TCCCAAGAACACACTGCATCTAATTTTAATGATGTTATACCTGCTATACTTAGCTGTTGTGGATTAAGTGATTTGTGGTGTCAAGGCAACATTTGCTAACCTTGACCTTAAACAGGTATAATAACCCTAAGGAAGCAAACGTGAAAAGCCATAATAAAGCAGTAAATTTGGTTTCTTATTTTCATTTGATGCATTTCACACCATAATCCATTATATTACACCTAATACAACACATCAACATCTCATCGGTTTTTACATACACTACTAAACGCACATCAAACTACAGTCTACACGCACATCAAGACCCATCAAATAGTCAACTAGTAGGATGACTATTACTGAAACAATACCATTTAATTCAATGACATACAAGAGCGGTTACAATTACACGTAACTGTAGATTATTTACACATATCATTTACGACAATCTACTGGATCATCACACTTGACTTTACACCTCAGGATTTGACATTATTATTCACAAAGATATAAATGGGACCACACAATTCATTCAATAAAGAATCGTCTTAATTTTGCACAGAATGATAAACTGATAATTTACTGATACATTTATTTGTATGATTTTAGTTATTTACAGTATTTGTCAATCTAATTAACAGAATTTTTATCCATTGTTATAGTATATAAGAAGGATCATCTACCTGGCCAGTAGAGAAACTTCAGTTTACTTTACACCTATTAGTTTGATAATAAAACATACCTTTATCAAGTTGACTTTACTGTTTTTTTATGCTTTTTTTTTCCATGAATTTTATATAAAGCCTCAAATTCCACAGGTTCCATACTTCAATAACAAATATCACACTTTAAACCATCAAGGTTACATTAAACCATGCTATGACGATAGCTCACCCAAGCCCATCAAGGTTACTCAAATCAACCCTTATGGCCAGTGCTCTTGCATTGATTACCACTTTAAATCAAACGTCAACAACATTTGCCAGATATCGCAGTAGCAGCACCTATTGCTCTCTAACATCACTAATTCTACAAGCTAGTTGCAAATGTATAAATACTCTTCTTTTTTTTTTTACTCAATTCCAGGATCTTCAGTTCATTTTATACACAAAATAAAATACAGTTGATTTCTATTGTATTTTACTATTGCTTTATTTTTTTTTTGTGAAATCTATTCAAACCTGATTTCACTGCAAGAATAAAAGCATCGATAACTTAGAGATTGAGCTCCGTACAATGCAGAATATCAGGGACATTAGACCGAATTGTAATGCACTTACTCTTCTGGCAATGCAACCCACTACACCGTCGTTTTAGGTCGAATTCTGTTCAAATCTAGCCATTTTCAAGCACGAATATCTCATGCCACAAAGCGTTTTGAGCGCTTGAAATAGCTTCACACGCCTTCTCTTGGCTACTGATTTATCAGAAATAAATTATTTATAAAAAGGAGTATGAAATTAATCAGGTAGTAAAGAATATCGTTTATTACATTGAAAATAAGAGGGTTTATATAATACTATTCGAATTGAGGGATTTGATGTGAGGATAAGGTATTAGATGGGTTGATTTGGGTGATAGGATAATAGATCCAATCTATTATCCTGAACATGCCATGATATGGATCGTAACTGAATCCTGTTTCATGTCAAAGTTTATGATCTGATGTGATCGGTGCTTGAACTGCTTGTTTCTACGCATTTGGAGATCCGGTTTAGAAATGATACATCAGTATGAATCTTATAGTACTAGCGTATCTGAAGTCCATATCTTCTTATAGTATAAATCGATATCGTACTGTACATCTAATCCGGTGTACATATAGTTTATATCTAAATATGGTAACTGGATGAACCGTCGGAATGCAGATCATAGTGGATGTATTCCACACTATCACTTAGGAACTGAGTTTCATACACTGCAAAATACCAGGATCGTTGGATAAAACTGTAATTTAAGTATGCTTTTGGAAACACAACCTACTAGACCTTACTTTTAGGTCAAAATCCGTTCATATCTAGCCAATTTCAAGCGCGAATAACTCTTGCCGCAAAGCGTTTTGAGCGCTTGGAATAGCACCAAACGGCTCCTCTTGATTGTGCTTTACTTACTGATACTTTATCTCAAATTTTTTTGGGTAATTGCAAATCCATGAAAATCCTCGTTTTTTTCATGAGTACTAGCAAGGAAAAATTCTTGAAAAACAAACGATCGCGTTTTTCATCCCAAAAATGAAGACTTTTACTATTATACATATTAGATCAAATTGACCGTAAAGGTGGAATGCAACATTGGAAGTTCTTTCTATGAGACTTGTATATGCTAAATCTTGACATATTTACAGAAAATCTGTTTTCATATTTTTGCGAATTGCTCGTTATTTTCAGTCTAAAAGCTGTATATAATTAGCATCATTCGATGCGCCTTCATTGGCTCTTTATGAATTTATTAGAAAGTAAAGTATAATAACGATAATTTTCATAGTCAGATTTAGCAAAAACGTTTGAAGATTGTAAGTTCAAGTCAAATTTGAACACGAAAATACCCAGTGCACAATTTCAAATTAAAGCGCAGCAATTGCAGCTGCCACGGCAGAAGGCTGAGACTAAATTTACTGGCCGTGACGTCGAGTAGGGCGCTCTCTCATTTCTCCGTATCTCCCTTTTTTTTTTTTTACCCTTTTTTACAAAACGCGTTTAGTATCCTACAATATTGGTTTTGGAGCATTTTTAATTGAAAATAACATTCTAACTTCTGATAACACGGCCTTGCAATGTTATAAATACTTGATACTGCTTCCTTGAAATGGAATACATTAGGTACCATTCGATAACCAGCACTGGAAGACCTAAAATCAGTACTAATCGAATTTTTTTATTAAATTTTGTTCATTCTTTTTGTCTGTTTGACGTTGGTGCTGCTGCCATTAATTCTCTGTTATCTCTGCTGTCTGCTTCTTTGGTCTTTGCCTGGTCTCTCGTGTCATTTATTCTTCGGTTTTTCTGTGGTGGTGGTACTGCTGCTGCTGCTAATCTTGTCTTTCCTGGTCTACTGTCTTTGGTGCATGCTCTTTCTCTGATTTATATCCAGTGTTTGCATATTCTCTGGTCTATCTGTGGCTGTGGTAAGTGGTAAGTATCTTCTTTCTTCTGGTTGCAATGGTATAAAGCTTCTTTGAACATTTGTATTATTGCTTCCTTTCTCATGATAATGCATTCATGATGTTTTCTTTGTATCGCCTTCTTCTTCTTTTGCTGGTTTTGTTTCCTCTGTGGCTTCACATGGAACAACATTAGTCATTATGTTGTATTGCAAACTTATGATACCACTACTGTTGCGTTTGCAGTTGTTGTGCGTGTTTGTGTTGTTCTACATCCGATTATTACTACCATGCACGTTGCTCATGTATGCAATTTTGTTGCAACAAAGAGCTCTTCTGAACATCTCTGATGTTGTACTTGTTATACTTTTCTTTGACCCACTTTGTGTGAGTGTCCTTTTTTTTTTGCCTACGTACTACTATACTTTTATAGTGATATGTTCTTTTCTTCTTTTATTATTATTATGTTTCTTTTGAAGCATACCTTTTTTTACGTTGTGTGGATGTGCCTATCCCTGAAGCTCAACAAGACTTTATCCGAGGCTAGGAGATAGATAGGCTGTCTCCACTTGGTTATCGCTACTTACTTTAGTGATGATTGAGGGTCTCAATGCCTGAATTTAAAGCTAGGTGGTGTAAGTAAGGCATGCTCTAGCACCTGGGGGAAGTTTGATGATAGCAGCGGCTATATTGCTACTATAGCGGCGCTTAAAATTTTGCCTCACATCAAAACAGGGGGAAACCCTCGCAAATTTTTTTTAAGTCAGCGGAGTTTTTAAGCAATTTGATTGGCTCAGGGGTAGAAGGAGAACAGCTATACAACAAGTTGATTTTCTGTTGATTTATCATTTATAATAGCTATGTGTTTGTAATAAAAGGTTAACCAAATAAATACAAATTAAGTTCTTTTATATTATTCAATAGTAAGATAAAGCGCAATTATTTGATCTAACACCATCCATTTAACAGTTCTATAAGAGTGAAGTCTTTTGAATTTGCTATACGTGGAAGTTATACAACTACTACTGTAGTACAGTACTTTTGACGTTTTTGTTCCAACAGTATTTGTTCAATCACCTTAATAAGTTGCTACTTTCAAGCTAACGATAGATTTTAGACATATCGGTGAGCCTAAATAATGTTAAACTAGAAGGTTTCAACCATGCTTGATTTGTACAAAACTGGTTGAGTTCTAACGGATTAGATAAGGATTTGTATTCTACATAATTTCTATAATATCGAATCTGCTTGATTTTAAACACTGCCGCACTTGATCAACAAGTTACACTGTTGATACTAGCATTAATTCGAACAGCCTGTATTATAGCCATTCACTGCAGTTTCAATAACAGGCCGGGCACTCGATGGGAGCATTACCTAGCTTGAAGAATTCATCAAGTTTACCGTACTCGAATGAGGCTTTATGGTGCTCCTGCATCGATTTCCGCTTTGTATCAAAGCAGCAACAGTACTTTCTAGATATCGCAATAGAAACACCTATTGCTGCTCACCATCATGATTAACGCTACAAGCCAATACACAATAATTAGTTAGTGCTCTTTTTTTTCATTTAGATGCAGAATCTTCAGTTCATTTTTAACTTTAATAAACATTCAAATGATTGCTCTTCTGCTTTCTATTTTCTTTGGCTAAAACATTCTTAACTCGATCTTATCGCAGATCCACATCACTCTCTGCTATATACTACTATCATAATTCTGACCCTGATCCTTTACCGAGCCCTATTTAGCCAAAACCCTCTGAAACGCCCGAGACTTGCATCACAAAAACTGCCCACGCACCATTAAAAATCATATATGTTGAGGATAATACATTTTCATTGAAATAATAATGTACAAAAATGCTGTTGAAACATATAATATACATGAAATTTGGGAATACAAAATGTAAAATTACAAATTTAAGCGATGATGCTGATGGTTTTTCTATAAATCCGCTTCCAAAGAGGGACCGGGAGATCGTCTTCATCAAATGCTTCATTTTCTTTCATGCGTAGAACATCATCCTTGATTGTGCCAGTTTCAAAGTCCATTTCGCTAGCTTTGACAAAGGGATCTCGTCTATATAGTTTGTTACCTACATACAAGACGATGCAAAACATGACAGACAAGTAGGCAGAAACGCAGTTGGCGGGATTGATAGGAGGGAGAAAGGTTTGGTAGCCTTGACCACCGATAACAATGCACCCAACGATGATGACAAAGATATCACCAAAGGGGAAGAATGGAGCTACATAGGGAAGAGTAGTGAGAGATCTACCTTGAGCCTTCAAGCCCATACGAAATCGAATGTGCGTAATCGAGATAGTGACCCAAACAATCAAGCCTGCAACCGAAGGCAAAGCAGTAAGCCAGTTAAAGACGACACCTGAACTAAACAGACTAGTCAAAAAAGCCAAACAACCGACGGCACAAGTAGCAAGAACAGACCAGATTGGAATACCCCATCTGTTGATACGAGTAAACACACGAGGAGCGGATCCTTCTTCTGCCAAAGCCAAGAGAGTTCTGCTAGAGGAGTAGACACCAGAATTACCAGCAGAAATCATGGTGATCAAGATGATGGCATTCATCAAATCAGCAGCCCAAGGAGCACCAGCCTTTTGGAATACCAGAGTAAAAGGAGATACCGAAACCTAAAATTTTAAACATTAAGACGCTGTATATACAAACTTCAAAAACTCACTTACATTTCCAGAGCCCTTAAGGAGATCAGGGTCTGTATAAGGAATGATAAGACCGATAATCAGCATGGAAAGGATGTAAAAGAGAACAATACGAAAGAAGACTTGTTTTACAGCGGCAGGTACAGTTTTATGAGGATTTTCAGATTCACCAGCAGTGATACCAACAATTTCAACACCATTGAAAGAGAATGCAGCTGTAATAAAGACATTGAAGATGCCTAGGAAACCGTAAGGGAATGGGCCACCTTCCAGATGGAAGTTAGTGACACCAATATAGTTGCTTCCGGCAGCACCAGTATCTACACAAATACCAACAATGATAAATGCTATAACAGTAAGCACTTTTACAAATGAAATCCAGTACTCGACTTCACCGTATCCTTTGACAGAAAACACATTGATACAAACAAGCAAGACTAGGCAAATGATACTCCAAACAACGCTGGGGACGCTCTTGACCCAATATTCCATGATCATAGCAACACCAGTGAGCTCAACAGCGACACCAACAGACCAGTTGACCCAGTAGATCCATCCCAACATAAAGCCAAGTGAGGGATCGACAAAACGACGAGCGTAATGAGCAAAACTTCCAGAGACAGGGATATAAGCAGCCATTTCACCAAGACTCATCATGACGCAAAATACTAATACGCCAACAATACCATAGGCTACTAAAGCACCACCAGGACCGCCGCTAGAGATGGCCTTACCAGATGCCATGAAGAGACCGGTGCCAATGGTACCGCCCAACGCAATCATTTGAATGTGTCTTGCCTTGAGGCCGCGATGGAGGCCAGCCTTCTCGGTAGAATCAGATGCAGGTATAGATGCAGCGGAAGAATAGCATGATTCAGTGAGATCAATTGCGGTGCTTGCTTGATTTTCAGCATCAAATTTGAATTTTTCATTGTTGACTTCCATGATCAACAGTTTTTTTTTTAAAGCGTTATTTCAGTGGTTGTGGCCAAAGACCCGGATTCTGTGTGATGTATAATGTAAAATTCCTAATGTGTGAGAAATAGTATATGATCTTTCGTTGTGTCTACTGCAACAGTGAGGAAACTTCTGAAAGAACTAGATATTTAACAAGAATCAAGAATAAGATGTGGAAAAGAGGAAATGAAATTTCAACATTAGGTCTTGAACATATGTAGTTCGCAGTTTAGGTTTTTTTTTTTTTTTTTTTTTTTCATCGATTGCAACCGTTTTACATATTGCACCATATCCTTAGCTTCTCATTCATCATTACCGAAAATCATTTAAATCAATGTTCACACATTCATAAAATTCATAAACTTGAGTTACATATTTTAATATGGTTTATCTAGAGCAAATGGCACGCATTTTGTAGTTCCCACGCATGGTAGTGTTAACATTTTGTATTTGGCAAATATGTCAAAACTCGACATTTTCAACCGATCTTTAATCTCTATTGGAAGAAAAAAAAACAGATGAGATGGTGTCAATTTAAACAAGCATCATTGGCTTCGAAGATCTCGATTTTATCGCCGAAGAAGCCTAGAGAAAGCAGTAGTCGAACGAAGAAGCTGGAGTGTTCATGAGCATTGCAAATCATTGAGAGCTTGCATGCAAAGAACTAATTATAAACAAGATGTATGTTGAGCAGTAGGGAGTGCATATCTTTATTTGAATAAAAGGCCATGCAAAGCAATCAACGAAAGCTTCCTTGATAAGAAATTGTTACATAAAGGCTCGCTTACTATGCCCAAGTTTCTGATCCATTAAAACCACAATCCAATCAAATGTGTATCCTTTGCTATTAAAGCAAGGCTATTTGAATGTAATTCCCTGGCAAAATGTGCATGAGGAATTACACACTCACTGCGTGAATCACCTCCTTATGTAAGGATGACGAAAAATGGGATTCTATTTTATCACCATTTGAAATAGCAATTTGTAATTTAAAATGTATCTTCCAATTAGTGTATTTGGGCAAGGCATTGCTTCTTTCTCCTTTTGCCTATATACGCACATGAAAGTAGTCGTCCGCCTTAGTGATGAGCTATTCTTCTCCAGTTTTGGCCTTGAGAATCAAAAGAATGGCAATCGCTCTCGAATAGCCCCTTCAACTTCAAGAGAATTTCGATAATGCAGGATGCAAAAATTGCCATCAAACAGCATTCAGCGTACAAAAAAACCTAGTCCTTGACGGAGAAGTCTAAATCCTAAAGGATAATCCACGTACTCAAGGAGTAAAAAGAGGGACGTAGATAACAGAGCAAAAGATGCCCTTAGGAGAAGTTAGAAGGGAGGTCATTTCTCTGTTAAGCAATGAAATTCGTTTATCTTTAATGTGTGCAGTACAAAATCTCGACTTGGAAGAAGATCCCCTTGCATGCGAGGACAATGGACAGCTTCTTCAGACATATAAAAGGCCACGGATCACTCTTCAATTTCACACTATCTTTTATAAACCCACTTATACATTAAAACATGAAGTTCTTTGGTATTGCAACTGCCCTCTTTGGTGCTTTGGTCACTGTGACATCCGCTGCTCCTGCTTTCATGGCAGATGATCCAGACACCACCAAGTTTTATATTACTGCACCTCTCGAGAATAACGTCTATAGCGCCGGTGGAGTGTGAGTACATGTTAGTGTAGGGCTCAAACAGAATACTAATATGATTCTTTCATAGTGTTACCACAGGTAAACATCTTGATACCATTCATGACCATTCACATCCATCGTATTTACTCATATTCTTTGTATAGAATGGATTAACGGTGTTCCTGGACCATTCAAACTCGAGTTGCTTAAGGGCAGTAATGCTGCATCCATGCAAAACACTGGAGTTCCTTTCAAGAATACAGAAGGCAGTACTGGATCTTACAAATGGCAAGTTCCCAGCGATGTTCCTGCTGGCACTTATGCTTTCCACTATGTGTTCAATGGGTAAGCTTACCATCAATCAATGTCGTTCAAGATGAGCTAATGTCAGCATATAATAGTGGCGAGTCTTATTCTCCTCAATTCAAGATCACTTCTGGTAGTGCTAGTAGTAGCAATCAGGCACAACAACACACAGAATCAGCTCCAACTCGCGTAACCTCTGATAACGCTACCACTGGATTGGGTGTTCGTCCCAACAGCGGTGCCTCCACTTCTACTCCTCCAAATTCAACTACCAACACTCGTGCTCAAACACCTCCACAATCTGCGTCCGGTGCCACTACTGGCTCCAGATCATCGTCTGCCTTGCCAGGAACTGCCAACCGTGTGCCTCAACAGCAAGCATCACAACAAAGACAGCCAGCCCAAAATGAAGTCAGTGCTATGAACTAAAGGGAAAGACCTTCCATTGCTAGCACTACCATTATTGCATTTCATGAATAAAAACTACAATCTCGGCAAGATCACACACTCGAATATAGTCCAATTGCTGCATTTGCCCCTTGAGAGTTTTTTTGGGTCATGATCGGATATGGTTAATGTATCAAAACATGCCCTTCATTAAGCTTGTGAAAAAAGACAATGCCATAAGCATAGAGCATGCACGTTGAATAACATGAAGAGTCATTTTATTCTCTCATTGTTCTTGAACAAGAATACAATTCATTGTGTACAATTGGTATATATATATATAGATACAGGGAGTCTGCCATTGCTTCTTTTTTTTTTTTCGTTTTGATTTAGTTTGTCGATGTGGACAGTTCTTAAAGCTATTTTTTATCTATCGATCCTCACTTTTGGCTTAATTAGCTTTACTGACTCAGTGTCATCTGTTACTAATAATGAGTTATTCAACTTGATTGAGCTCACAAAGCAGGGTTTAAGATGGACAGCAGAAGAGCATGCCGATAATCCCAAAGGTACATTCACAATATCAGAAGCTATGCAATCCATATTCATGACATACGCCTTTAGTTGGAGAGCAGCCTTGCACCTACGAGGTCAAGTTGGAGTCAAAGTTCAAAGATTTGAAGGAGCCTATGCCGTTCCAAAGGAGCTTCTTTGATGCAAGCAATCTGGACATGTCTGTAACAGGTATATAACTAAAGCTTCTCATCTGCACAAACAGGTGCACCTGCTAATACGCATTCTCTTTTCATTCAGCTGAATGCCCTGAAGTTCACTTGCCAAAAGAATCACTGGAGGATATACGAAATATAATGCTAAATTATGACGATTTGACATACACACAGAGGGTTGTTGTCGATTACCGAGTCAAGACTGGTTATTACAGGCCCATCGTAATCGAGAAAACGAAGCTCCCTTATGCAGCAATGTCAAGCGCAGCATGGAAATATGGCAGAATAGCCAACTTAGTGTTCCTTCTCAATAGAGTAGCATCCCTCCTATTTCAAAAATACATCATTGGAGACCGACAATCTACAGATGAATAAAGGCACTATTTTTCATGATTCAGTTTAATGTACAGAAGCGGTTTTTATTTTGCGTTTGTTCTCCAATCTTTATTCTACAATGTCTCTCAATTCTACAAAAATAAGCCCTGTTAGCCCCAATTCTATTGTATTTGGCCGATATTTCACTTACTGTCAATGATGTTTTCATATGCGGCACAAGCGGGCGAATCAGGGTACTCATCCAAGAAAGACACGCCAATATCACAACTCTTGGCAACTCGAGGATCCAAAGGAATTCTGCCCAACAAAGCGATGCCAAACTCATCCGCTAAAGCCTCAGCGCCACCTGTTGTTGGTGGAAAGATGACAGACTCTCCATGGCAGTTGGGACACACAAAGCCAGACATGTTTTCCACCAAACCCAAGATGGGGATCTTTGCCTTTTTACAAAAATCGATTTCCTTACGAACATCTTGCAATGCCACTTCTTGAGGTGTTGTGATAATGACAGCACCGTCAATGCCACTCTGCTTCAAGAAAGATGCTAACGACAAATGTTCGTCAGATGTTCCTGGAGGTGTGTCGACCAACAAATAATCCAAATCTCCCCAATCCACATCTCTCAAGAATTGCTTTATAAGGCCATTCTTCTTGGGTCCTCTCCAAATAACTGCATCGTCTTTGTCAGGTAGCATGAACCCAATCGACATGACTCCCAAGTTATCTTGTACATACACTGGCTGCCATCCGCTGTTGCTCTGATGAATCTGTTCGTCCACAACGCCCATGATGGTAGGAATGGAGGGTCCACAAATATCAATATCCATCACACCCACTTGAACATCCTCATCGCCGGAAAGCGCAAATGCGAGTTGCGAAGTAAAACTGGATTTACCTACGCCTCCTTTGCCTGACAAAACTAGAATCTTATGCTTCACTCCAGAGAGTCTCTCGGCAATCACAGCCACATCTACAATAGGACATTACTCTACTGGATCCACCCACTCAACATCAAGTGCACTTACCAGGATCTGGTCCCTTGGGAGCTGTAGCGCATATCTCTTGATTAGGACATCCAGCACAGGCATCTGCTTTACCTGCTTGCTCGTTCTCAGGTCCCTGTCGTAGCCAGTGATTGATAGATTAGTCATCCGATCTATTTCAAGTAGTCAAGACTTACAGGACAGTGCTCGTTTGCGTCGTCGGGGATGTCTTCTTTATTATTAGGTGCCATTGTGAGTATGCTTTCGTTTTTCAGAAATCAAAATCAATGATAGTATAAGCTTGGATTCAAGAAAAAAAAAAAAAAAAAAAAAGAGAGTGATGTTTAAATGGATAGGGAAAAGGTCATATTTATAATGATATCAAAGAGTCACAGAAAAATAGAGATCAGCGAAACAATCCAACCAGAATGAAGAACAGTATAATTAATGCAATAACGATGCAAACTGACTCTGTAGGACGTAGGCTCTGGGATTAGCATGCTACCATCAAGAAAGTGAGAGGTATCCACTTACTGTTATCTTTGACCTTTCTGCCAACATAGTCCAGCTTCTTCTTGGCTTGTCTTAATCTCTCGTCTGTCCTATCCACCATCTCCTCCGTTTCATCGATAATCTGTGCATGTGTTTCCAGCTCATCGCCAATAAGCAGGCCTAATTCTCTTTGTCTACGGATGGCATCGGACAAGTGGTCCAAGTCCTGATCTTGGTCGTCCATAATGCGCTGCTGCAATTGCAAAATCTGTCCGTTCTCCATATCGTCGGTCTGATCCATGTCGATAGATGTAAACCGAACAGACGAGTTCTTGCCTCGTTTATCTCCCAGCAAAATCTCCCTAGCATAATGAAAGGTGGGAGTGAAACCCTGCCCCTGGACACGATTGCGTAGCAGCGTATCTTACCTGGCAGTAGCGTCATCTTGATTGCCTAGCAATGCATCGAGCTTATCCACTTTGACTTGGAGCTGAATCAATTTGTCTTCCTCTGCTTTGGTATCTCTAGAGCAGGATGTCAGCTGATGCTCTCTCCACCTCATCTCTGCCCGTATAGATACCTTGACCCTGTCAGCTCTTCATCGGATAGTTGCTGCTCAAGCACTTTGATGCCGTCTCTTAGCTGTGTGAGGTTCTTGTCTATGTTTATTTGATACTTATCCACATTCAATCTAGAAACGACTGAGTACAAGATGCATCAAATGTTATTTGCTTATCCTACTTGAGCTGCTTCAATCGTTGCTTTTCAAAAACAATGGATAGTGTATTATCGGCCAACAAGTCGAGTCTTTGTAATAGCTTGGTGTCCATGCTGTGTAGAGTAAAAAAAAAGGGATGCTAATGAGAAATACCAAAGAAAGCTCCATGAAGCTGCCTTCTATACCACGATTTTAGTGACTGTACATCCAATCATGTCGAGCTGGTTACAACATCAATGGGCGCGTTATCTGGCTACGTTCCTTCTTCTCTCCAGGCAAAACTCGATAGAAACAAGGTAAGCAAGACACAGCAGACGACCATGGCACCCAGGCTGACTGGCATGCTCTATGACTAGATGTCTGCATTTGATCAGAATCCCTACTCTAGTCTTGATGAAGACAATGATGTCAGAGCATTCACTGACGACGAAGACGACAGCCTGTACTCCTACGACGCCGAAGCTGAATGGGAGGAGAGCAAAGAGCAATTAAGCGCACTATTCTCAATGGTCATCTTCCCCTTTGTTGGTAAATGGCTCGGCAAGAAGTTCTCATTCTGGCGTGAGTATCCAACATGTCCATGATGTGCAGTGATGATTGATGTTAATGAGCAACTTAATTACTAGTGTGGTCGAGATATCTAGGCTCTAGAACGCCATTCACACAACGCTACTCTATTCTATCGACTCAAATGGTGAATTCAGTGAAGCGCATTGCTTGAATAGCGACATGGCAATCAAGATGCCATTACCACTGAGTTTCAACCAGCTCATTTCACACACGCAACACACACTCAATTAAAGGAATATTGCAAATCTCACATCAGACTTCTTTACGCACACATTTCACTATTAAATACCCCTTCTCTATCCGCCTCGTTTCCGTATTTTTTCTTTTGTTTCTTTTTTTGTTTTTCTTGCCATATTTTATTTCTCAATAATCTATCTCCCATCTGAAATCCCACTCTCACAAATAATAAAAAGAGATAAAACTAACCTGGTTGCAAACGTAAGCCATTTTTCCTTACTCTTTCACTTGGATTTAACATTTTGTTTTTGTTTTGTTTTTTTTTTCTTTACCACTATTAGAATGAATTCTTGGAAACTCCCGGGCGTAAGAAGTAAGTAACTAGACAACAAACTTGCATTGCGAGATGTAGATGCTCATGGCTGCTACAACAGAAAATAAGGAACAGGCTCCTACACCTTCAGCTCCTGCTATTCCTGCTCCTCTCCCTCCCTCCTCTCCTTCTGCACAACAACAACAGCCTTTACGTGCTCCTGCCTCAAGGAATACAACACCATCACCCTCCTCTTCTGCCAATAACAACGAACCCAAGTCTGGTGTTTTGCTTATTCGTGTGTGTGAAGCTAGAGGCATCACACCCCCTTCCAACATCACTTTACCTGCGCAGCAGCAGGTGGCTATTAGCAACCGCAACAACCATGATTCCTTGACTCGCAAACAGCAAAACTGGTGGCTGCCCTATGTTGTATTGGAATTCGATAAGAATGAAGTCTTAATTGACGCTTTGGGTGGTGATACCGCCAATCCTATCTATCAATACAGAGCTCATTTGTAAGTTGGATAATCACTCTCATTAGGCGGCGATTAATATTTGTATCTAGTGATGTCTCTCGTAGCTCAGAAGTGTCGATATCCATCTATATGCGCCATCCTCCTACAGCACAAGGAGAAACGCCTCGCACAACAAACGATGTATTCCTCGGTGGTGTTAAGCTTCAGCCTAATTTTGAGACCACAAAGATTGAGGACCAAGTGTTGAACATTGTCGGTGGTACAGGTGCTATGCATGTTCAATTATGCTACAGACCTCAACAGGTAAGAATGAATGCTTCGCTGTGCATACAGAGTGGTCATTAAACAGTGGTTGGAAACTAGGTGAGCACACCCATTACATTTGACGCGTTTGATCTTTTGCGAGTGATTGGACGTGGCAGTTTTGGCAAGGTAAAAAAAAAAAAAAAAAAAAAAAAAAAAAAAAAAAAAAAAAAAAAAGAGCGTGTCAAAGGATCTTGTCAAACTTGTATGCTGATGGCATCCATTTTAGGTCTACGTTGTGCGTAAGAAAGATACGAATCGTATCTACGCCATGAAAGTTTTGCGTAAATCCCGTATCATTTCCAGATCAGAAGTTACGCATACAATGGCTGAAAAGACAGTGTTGGCAAAGATCAGAAATCCCTTCATTGTGCCTCTCAAGTTTGCCTTTCAAAGCCCTGATAAGCTTTATTTGGTGCTGGCTTTCATCAATGGCGGCGAGCTTTTCCATCATTTGCAGCTGGAAGGTAGATTCGATGAGAACAGATCAAGGTTTTACACTGCTGAACTCTTGAGCGCTTTGGAATGTCTTCATGATTTCAATGTCGTTTATCGGTAAGAGAAAGATGATCTCACTCCAGAATGACGGTGCTCATTTGTTTTATTTGATATAGTGATCTCAAGCCAGAGAATATCCTCATTGATTATAACGGTCATATCGCTCTCTGTGATTTTGGTCTCTGCAAGTTGAACATGAAGGAGAATGAGCGTACCAACACATTCTGTGGTACGCCTGAATATCTTGCACCTGAATTATTGCTTGGCCAAGGATATACAAAGACAGTTGATTGGTGGACCTTGGGTGTATTGCTGTACGAGATGATGACCGGTTTACCACCATTCTACGACGAGAATACAAACGAAATGTATAGAAAGATCCTGCAAGACGAGTTGAGATTCCCTGATGACATGAGCGAAGACGCCAGATCTCTTTTGAGAGGGGTAAGTGGGCTTTGTATTGAGTGAGACGTGGATGCTAATAAATTTGACAGCTTCTCACCAGAGATCCCAACGAAAGATTAGGCAACAATGGATCAGAAGAGATCAAGAACCACGCCTTCTTTTCGAGTATCGATTGGAGAAAACTAAATCAAAAGAAACTTCAACCGCCTTACAAGCCATCTGTGGATTCAGCTTATGATACGACAAATTTCGACGATGAGTTTACATCTGAAGCACCTCAAGAGTCGCTTGTCGATGACTCACAGATCTCCAGCACAATGCAAGAGCAATTTGCAGGTTTTACTTACAACCCTGCCAATGATGGTGTTATGGGAGAGAGTTACACTGGAACAACAGTGGTTGGTAGTGCAGGACAATCCCATTCAAATGGTCCTGCTTGGTAATAAATAAACCTTTTTTTTTTTTTTTTTTCTTTTTTTTTTTTTTTTTTTTTCTTTCCAAGAGTTCACGTGGCTAGAGCAAAGTTGTTACACGTTGTGTTTATCACACAAAGAATAGAGGATTGACTTTTTGCCAGAACATCAGATGACTTTGAATAAGCTACAAAGTTGTGGATGAAATAGATGGGGGATTCTGGTATTTAGACTGAATCATTGACGTCAATCTGGTCTCCTTTGTCCTGTACTTTCAGACTAAATTTAGTGCCATCCTTCCCTGTAAATTACTCGCATTGTATTGCTAGTGAAAACAGACAAGGAAAACACAAGTAGCACGGACCTGTTCAATATAGTTATCGGGCCATCGCCACGTGGATATTACAGTGAAGAGTTGAGCCAAAAATCTCGACTGGTTTGCCCTCCTCCTTCTCCCCCACCCCCCCTTAATTTTATTCTGTAGCACACATTTAAAGTCTCTCTTTTCTAATTCTCTCTCTCTCTTTTTTTTTCTCTCTTAATTTTTTCCCTCTTTCTCTATTCCACACACAAACACCCCCCCCCCCTTTTTCATCTTGGAAATTAACAATACACATAGAGGAAAACTAGGTTTGATATTCAATCAAGACACAACACATTAAATCATCCCTTTCTTTCACCCTGTCTTGGACCCTCTCTTTCTGTCTGTCTTTCTCTTCCTCCTCCTCCTTCTCCTCACATCCCCCTTTTTTTTACTGCTTTCTCTCATAGAGTAGAATGATGGATGCTTCACTTTGTACAGTGGTGATTCTACACCAAAATAATGATCAGCCCTACCACATTATCGACCAAGAGCAGCAAGAGGATTATCAGCAATTGATCAAATTGAACTTTGGTCAAGGTAAATGGGTGGAATCCAATGTTTAGTATACAGGGCTAAAAACAGAAAAACAGTGTACATACACCAAGACCCTTTGGAGGCCATCGAAAAAGTCAAACAATGTCAAAATGTGCAATCTACATTGCTCCTTGTCGATCTTGACGCGATTCAGTACAACGATAGCATCAGCAGAGAAACCTACATTGTCCAGTTCTTACAGAATATCACACGCGATTTAAATACATTATTGCCGAATTACATACCACTTGTCGGTTAGTTTATGATATCCCCCCCCCCCTCTCTCCAGTTGGTTGTGTATGTAACATTCATTGGCATAGTGTGCTCGAAGAACGACTCTACCAACCTCATGTTAGATTGCATTCATGCTGGTGCGACGGATTATCTATTGAAACCACTCTATCTTAATGTGATAAAGACGTTGTTCCTGGTAAATGTCACATTGGGTGCCTTGTTGTTATCATCATCCAACTCAAATGTCCCTGTAGAAATTGCACCGCTGTCAACCCGATTCAAAAATGCACGAAAACGTCAATACCAGCAACGCACCTATATTGCTACCACAGCAACAATCCCTGCCATCTCCAACCGCTTATCAACCACTATGTGACCGAATCAACGAGATGAACTCAAAGGATACACAGTAAGTCTTTTATATATATACTTGTGGTATGCTAGCAACGCACTCAAATGATACTGCTAGTCTATCCAAAATACTCATGGATGTGTTTGTTCCAAAAACAACAAAAGCAACACCCAGAGACCCATATCCAAATATATCAAAGTAAGGCTTTATTTGTTATTTACGTCTGTAACATTCAATCTTTAACCTACCCCCCTCTCTCCATGTGTCTGATAGGAAACGATCAGCGGAACTCAAATCAAGAATTGCGAGTTGGGATTTCAGTCCGTTTGGCCTGAATCAACAGGAACTGATACATTGCGTGTATTTGATTTTTGAGCAGGTATTGACCCTGCCTGAATTGAAACATCTAGACATCAAAACAGGTAAAAATCACACCATCTGGAGGATAGCCTTCATACTTACACACTCGCTTTCTTTTCGTATTAGCCCAATTGTACGATTTTATTATCGATTTAGCAAGTGTTTATCATGACGAAAATCCATACCATAACTTTGCGCATGCTGTAGATGTGTTGCAGTGCTTGTTCTTTATGTTGTGCGAATTGTCGGTGCTGCCCTTCACCAAGAAATACAAAAGCAGCAGCAAAGCGAATAGAAATCCGCAAGATTTGCTTCGACCCAAAGACGTATTCGCCTTGCTGATTGCTGCCATTGGTCATGATGCTGCTCATCCCGGGGTAAACAACATGTTTTTGGTAAGTCTGAACACTTCTTACAGCGGAATGCAAGGCTAACATGGTATTTTTTTTTTTTTTTCAGATCAATTCATCCAACCCGCTTGCGACACTCTATAACGATCGCTCAGTGCTAGAGAGTCTCCACTCAATGACTCTTTTCCAGCTACTAAACAAGCATGGCATTATTCAGTTAGTGGGTGACACGAAATCTGCCGAGTACAGAGGTAAGTAACCTGTAGTAAAAGGGCAATAAACAAACACATGGATTAATCCCTGCTAGCAGAGTTTAGAAAGACCGTCGTTTCGAGCATCTTGGCAACCGACATGTCGCTGCATTTAGAGTACGTCACCAAGATCAAAGAGCAGGCAACCCGAGTCAACAGCATGGACACCATGAGCGAACAGCAGCAGGAGTCAGAGAGAAATTTGATCTGTAGTGCACTGATCAAATGTGCTGATATCAGCAACGTTGCTCGCCCATTCCGCTGGGGTGCCAAATGGGCCGAGCTGCTTGTCGAGGAGTTTGTCTGCCAAGGCGATCTTGAAAAGGAACTGGGCATGCCCGTATTACCCATGAACGACCGTGATCAAGTCATTCTGGAAGATTCCCAGATTGGGTTTATTCGCTTTGTGGCCTTGGACCTATTTCAAAATGTGCGTGAAATTCTTTGTGGTCTTTCGTTTGCCGTGGATCAAATGCAGGCCAATCTCAAACAATGGGAAACACGAAAGAACACCTTGACTGTGCATGATTCCGGTGTGGCTAATTTGATCGAGCATGAAGCTGATGAGGATTTCGATGTGGTGTCCAATACCAGCACGACTCAGATGATGATGATGGAGACAGGTAAGCGCTTATTCAGGCCCCTGGAAAGATGAGATGACTGACATGAACACAAAATAGTGGGCAGCAAGCGATCGAGCAGTAGCCTTGATTTTAGTTCGCATTCACCCAACGATGTCAAGAGATTGTCGATAGAGAAAAAGACCATCTACCACCACGGACACCACCACGTCATGTCCACCACTACCACCACGACCTCCTCTTCCTTGCATTACGATCAAGTTCAATTAGACGATGACCATCATGATGAACACGACAGTATGACTTCTACCGTACCTAGATGCAATGGATCCTCATCAAATCATCATCACAACCATCACCCGCACCAACATCAAAGAAGAGATGCAGCCAATCCCGTTTACTGTCAATGTTCCATTCAATGATTCCCTTCAATTCACTGTCTCTATTCTCTCTCTCTCTCTCTCTCTCTTCTTTTTGTACATAGATTTGCTTATATCATATTGTTATTCCTCTCTTTTTCCCTCCTCCCATTATTATACTTTTCCTATAGATTTTATGGTTATACTTGAAAGCTTTTTTTTTTTTCTTTCCTTGTTGATATTGTTTTTTTTTTTTTTTACATATTTATCCCATTTCATAAGAATAAAGAAAAAGCCAATTTTCACTGTTCCTGAGCGATTCTAAACTGTATCATAAAGGCACATCGATTTAACTTTGTTTGATAAAATGTTACAGATAACTGAAATGGGATGTTGCCAGTTGTTGTCATACAAAAACATTTCAATGACATATCAAGTCGGTCGATGCAAACCTTTGTATGTGCATCATTGGTAGTTGTATGCAGTTGCCAGGGCGATCCGCTGTGCCTGAGGTGTGTATCTGTATTGGCCTTTGTATTGATCTATAGTGTAGAGTACAACGACAAGAACATGTACATCCATAGAGTCGCTAAACTATAAACAGAGGTACACACACGACAATAATAAAGAAGCTTTTTCTTGTCAAACATGAACCTGAATCGAACATCAATTTGGTAATTACAAACAGTTGCACTATGAGTTACATAATTCCTTATTTGAGGCAGTTAAACAGAGACGATGGTAGTACTTCACAGCATTGCATCTTGAAATGTCTTTATCAAAAGGACACCCATTAGCGTGAATGTTATAAACCTTTAATATAAATAAAAATGCAGATTTGAGCAAGAGCCAACGACATATCAATGTCGTGAATTCAAACTAAAGGTTGAAAAGAGCATTTGTTTGTTGTGTACGTACAGGTCATACCAAAGTGTATGTGTGTAATCGCTTGTGTGTGTGTGTGTGTGTGAAAAATCATAGGGTATATACCATGACAGAGGGTACAGTATTATAAAGAATTAGAAATTAAAGAGGGGGAGCATAATGAGAAGAGAGAATACATATAGGTAACATACAGGGGTTTTGTACTAAAAAGAAAGGAATGAACAGAGAAACTATTTACATACGAGAGAATACACCACCGAGCGCCGTTCCATGGACACAATTATATACGATAGGTTTTGTTTGTTTTACATATAGTACCATCTCCTCTGACCAGCAAAATAGGTATTTGGTCAAATGTGTGCTTTGTTGATAGCAATTCATGCTTTGATGGCACTCGACAAATCATCAATTCTCGGCTTCGATACTCTACATTAGCCGCCTTAATATCTCCAAACCACACTTGCAAATCGCGAGAAAAGTTCTCGCCGTGCAAGCTTAACTGTATCTGATTCTTGTTGTCGAGGCTGGATTTCGATGTCATATGTATCAATGAAGGGAAAGGCGCTGGTGCTGGAGCCGTTGTGGAGGAGGAGGCTACATTGTTTGGTAAGAGAGACGGCATAGTGTCACTACCGTCATGCTGTAATACTTCTTCACTTGGTGACAAGAACGTGTAAGTCGCACAATCTGTGCCCACTATGGTCCAAACGGCGGCGTCCGAGACATCTTCATGCCAGTACGCACCCAAACCATTCATTCCTTGATTTTGGACCGAAGCGCGTCGACCTCCTGTGCCTCCATTTGCAGCAGTACCGGTAGAGCCGTTGCTGCTGATGCTTGATTTACGGGAAATTTCATGGTGATGTTGCTGTTGAGATCTGGATATACCTGGAGGTGCAATAGACGGCATGTTGTGATAGAATGTGTAGTCGTCATTTAGGCTGTTGACACGGCGACGAGGGTCGTGCAGGATATCGCTGGCATCAAATAGTTTGCTACTAGTGTCCATCATGGACGATGGATCTGTAGAAACTCGTCTTTTGCGCACAATTTTGCCGCCTGCTTCCTGTGATGTGATGTCAAACATGGCGTCTACATCGTCCCATTGATGCGCGAGATTGCTGGTATGGCTGCTGGTGCTGGTGCTGGTACTGTTGGGTTTGGGTGCTGACATTGCTGGAGCAATAGGTTTTCTGGCATCGGTCGTCTTGTGCATGCCCACCATGTCGTTGAGGCAGGCGAGATAGGTCACTGGGTGACAGGTGCGAGGCATCTGAGGTGCAGTTGCAGATGGGGAGGGTGTTGCAAAGTAGTTGATATCAGGCTGCTTTGCTTGATGCTGTTGCTGTTGCTGTTGCTGTTGCTGTGGATCTTGGACGATTTGAAGTGCTACCTTGTGTAACTGAGAAACGGGATCACCCAACACTTCATCGCCGTATTCACCACCACCCATCAGGTTGAGATCATCTGTACTCTGGGCTCCACCTACCACAGTGGACGCTTTATCCACTTTTCGGATAATCATGACTGGACTCACAAGACCTGTAGTCAGACACTGTAACACAACATGCTGGTTGTAGTGAATTGGAATCAGTTGACTCGTCTTGTTCTTCAATGCAATGGCGGGTGGCGGTGGGTAGGGAATGTTGCGCGTGTAGGCATTGCGTCCAATGAAATCCTCAGGGGTATCGCTTTCTTTGGCGTCGCTGGGAGAGCGCGTGGTGTCCACAACCCAAATGACAAAGGGATCCCAACACGTTGTGCGAGCAACAAAGCATGTGCCTTCTCCAGGCGTGCCTCCTTGAAAGGGCTGTCCAGGAAATGAAAACGGCGAGGATGACGAGACGCCCAAGTACTTTGTGGACACTGTTTGAGAGCGAATGCGATTGAACAAGGACACGGTAGTGCCATGATGGATACACACTATAGGCAGCAAGGTCAACTCTCTGATAATCCTTCTCCAGACATTAGCAGACACTTACACTCCATGTTCTTCACGCTTTGTCTCTTCTTGGAAGGCTTACTGATCACTTTGATGCCCTTTGATGCCAATGCACCCATCTGTATTCCATTCGCAAGCTGGATTCGGATCAGGCCTTCCACTCTCTTTCGTTTCTCATCCGCGTCGTTGATGTACAAGTGCTTGGAGACACACTTTCCAGCAGCCAGTAGCTCATGTGCATGGTTGTGATACCAGTCAATGCTGTTGTTGCGAGACTCTGCAGAGCTACGAAATCGACTTGGATGCTGTTGTTGCTGTGGTGGCTGTGGTTGTGCTTGCACTGACTGGGGTTGCTCGGCGGTGGATCCCGTTGAAGTAGACGTAGTCGATGTGGATGGAGAGGCCGTTTGCTGGGTCTTGATGTGTCCTGTTTGTCCAACTGTGACACCAGATACAGTATACCATTCAATCTGGCCCGATTGAGTGGACGTTTCGCCAGAGATGGACACAGTAATTTTGGGTGGACAGAGTTCGTTTCCATTCGGCATTTTCAAGACTTCATTACTATGACCACCGTCTAATCGATGCAGTCTCTGAGAGGGCGAGGTCCACCAGTTCTTGCCTACCAAGATGGCTGTTGGCGGAGGGCACAGGAACCTGTCGTGGGTGGATTAGTATCATGCACACATACATAGACAACTAGCTACAAGTTTATACCTTTTCTCTGTGCCATAGCTCTTTTGAGCGACCTTGCTGGTCAGTATGATAACAGTGCGCTCTTCTTCATCATAGTGGTTCGACAGGTAGTTACGTATAATAGGCTTCATTCTTGCTTCGTTCACGGCGTGCTGTAATAGTCTCGCATTCAGCACTTGCTGTCGACGCTGGTCAATGAATCGAGAATTGTCGTCGAAATAATTGATGGTAGTACCACTTTTATCGTGGCTAGCTTGATTTGGAATGGGCATAGCAGTGGGAGGTGGTGGCGATGCGTTGGAGGAGGCCGACGAGATGGAGGAAGACGACAGAATACCAGCAGCCACAGCAGCAGCAGCGGCAGCAGCGGCAGCAGCAGAAGTGGAAGTTGCGTGCTGAAGGCGATGTGGATGAGGGGTTGGAGACGACGGTGTGGATCCTTGGTGGTGGAATAGCGTAGACAGTTGATTAGAGGCAGCAGTGCCCATAGTGTCCTTGAGCTGCGACACCAGCGTTCTTTCAGGCACCTATAGATGCAAATCATTGAATATACACATGTATACACACACGACTGAGTCTAGCTTACCATGATGGCATCATGCTCCATAGCGTTTTCAATCGTGCCATGTGGTGAGGATGAAGACGATGTATGCCATTCTTGGGTCTGATTCGGCTGATGAAATGGAAAGTCAGAAGTATGGTACGATTCGTTATCATCCTCTTGCAATGATTCCAGAAAACCAGGTGTAAAGAAGCCAGGTGTACTACTACCGTTGTTTGAATAACTGGTTTGTTGTGCATTTGCTGTACCACCAGCACTGCTGTTACTCCAGGACTGAATCAACTGCCGTTGTTGGTGCAGATTACCAGAGCCGAGATCAGCTAAATGCAGGCCAGTTGGCTCGTCGACAAAGCTGTAGTTTGTAGGCGTGGGTGTCTGCACAGATGTTGGCGTGGCAGTACTGTCAGTAGTAGCAAATTGATCTAGATTTAACATTTGGTGAATCTCGGACAGGCCTTTGTTTTCTCCCACGCCGCCATTACCGCCACTAAGTGTAGCCGTATGCAGTACATCATGACGCCCTCCTCCTCCTCCTCCATGAATCAGACCTGCACTCGATTGTTCGTTGTTACTGTGAGCTGGTAGGTAGGCACTACTGCTGCCGTGGTGGCCATAGGCGGATGTTTGTTGCGGATCGGATATGTTGAAATCCGACTGCATTAATGTGGAAATTGAATGTGGTTGCTGCTGTGGATGATGATGGTTCCAAGGCAATATATCAGATGACGCTTGCATATCTGCTTCATTATTGAAATGAATGACGAGAGAGGAGGAGGTGTCTGCTTGTACATTGTGCTGCGCTGACGGCAGTGGCGGGTGCTGTTGTTGAAGCCATTGCTGCTGCTCTGTGTGATAGTAAGAAGGTAGCTCCAGCTGGTGATGCATGGCATGGTGTGGAGTGTATTGCAGCTCTTCTTGCTTTCTTTTACGTGAAGTGGGAGATTCAGGAGAGTCATTCATTGCAGTGTCATAGAACACATTACTACTACTCGATGAAGAGTCTTTGGGTTGGTGGTGCGTAGCCATGATTGGCATTGTTTTTTCTGATGTGAGGGGCTTAATGATTCAATCTCTCAGCCTGAAAGAATTGAAAAAGAGTGAGAAACAAGGAAGAAGTGCAAGAAAAGAGGCACACACAATCAAGCTTTTACTTTGTACTCTATAAAGAAGAAAATTGCGGGGTAAATCAAACTGAGGTGTTTGAATAGCCTTTGTAATTGGGTCTTTCCATCATCCCATGAGTATGGCAAACATTTCTGTGTACACACGCACACGCACACGCACACACGCACACGCCTCTAGTCTCGTTTCGATGCTATCAAGGTATATCGAAATGACATAACTGCGTTGAATAGATTGTAACCATAACAACCACGATCCTTGTGGCAAAGAGATCCAGGCCAAATGCTGCATGGATCACTGTCATGTAGTTGGCCAATCTTATGCTACTCTTTCACCCCAACTTATCTGACCAAATAAGGACTACTTGTGTTTGTATGTAATAATAACAAGGTCATATGTCATTTGGCACTCTTTCTTCCATTCAAAGAGTGGTGTGTAATGATACAAAATCACTATTCTGCCCGAGGCAAGGCCCATCTGGAAGTCCTTTTTACTTGTTTCTTTAACTACTCGCTGGGGTTATTGCACGACATGGCACATATACATTGTCTAATGTGCCTAAATCCAACAGATGCCCTCAACAGGATTGTATATCCGGGTGCGGTGTGTGTCTATAAGGTCAACGACATTCAAAGTGTTTAGTGAAACGTATACGAATACGGCGTTTTATTGTTTGACTGGTCCCACCTTTATTATCATCATCTATCTATCTAAAGCCAATGGCAGCGGGTTTAATGCAAAAATTTAAATTTTATGGTTAATTGGAAACTTGTATTATAAAACGCAATTTACAAGATGAGATTGATGCCGATTTAAATGCTCTCTACCGTGTTGATGATGTGTCTAGTAGCTGCATACATCTGAATATTTGATCTATAAGTGTAAATTTTGACAAGCTGGCTTTTCAATTGGCCCCCCCCCTCCTCCCCTCCCCTCCCCTCCCCTCATCCCCATTCCAGGCAACACAAAAAAAAAAGAGATGGATGATCTGTGTGTGCCTTATGAAACTCAGGTGAATGTATGGCTCACCATTCCTCCAACAAAAATCTGTCTTTCCTAAAATAAAAACTTTCATCACTTGACTCATAACAACAGATTTTATTAAATTCACCCACGCACAAACAAAAAGCTTATAATTTTTGAATGCTATTTATTCCCGTACCTTGATTTTTTTTTATTGCCCCAAAGAAAAAAAAAACAGAAAGAGATGATGGATCATTCTTTTGATGGATCAAGATACTGATGGCTGAGTTGCACTGCAAATGGGAAGCATGTCGTTGGATCTCTACATAAAAAGAAATTGCAGCTTCTAGTAGATGATACAGAAGAATATCCTCGTGACCAAAAGTACAGGCATCCTGTAAAAAAATTACGCTTTGGTCCCTCTGACTCTGTCTCTGGTCTCTGTCTCTGTCTCTCTCGCTTTCCCTGTTCCCTGCCATAGTAGCAAAAAAAAATGTATAGTACAACTCAAACTTTAAATATATTTATATACAGAGTGTGAGAGTGCATTCTCGGTATACTTTGGCAACCGTGAATTGAGGCAGTGACAAAAGAGACTGAGCATCCTCGGCTCGCTTGACATAAATAGATATTTGATTTCACCAATATCATGCTGATGTGTTTGTATGATATGTGTCTCTATCCAACTATAACATGATGCATTTCAGTCAACATTTAATCATTGTTGTATTACCATCCATGTGTGGCCTTTTTCTTGCACCATGTCATATCATTTAGTATACATACAGAGTAAGGCTGATTTTTTAAAAAATAAAATAGACTTTTTGTCATCTGCTTCAATAAAAAAATAAAAAAAAAAAGACTTGAGTAGCATCCAAGATGGCACACATGTATGTGATAATAATTGCAATGTTTGTTCATTGCGTCTAGATCCTCATCATTGACTTACTAAGATGTCAGCCTCATTTTCTTTTCCAACAACTACAAACATTTCATTTTCTGCAGTTTGCTATAGTGAGTGATCTACGCTCCACGTTCTCGATTTGCAATCCATAAAGTGGGAAATCGCTGGTTTGTTTCGTCTGCATACGTATATCTGCAATGCCGACAATTCAGTTTCTTGGATCATTTGATGTAATGTATCAAAATAAACAAACTTCTTACTGGTTTCAGCTCATTTAAACAATGAAGATATCAGCTGCGTAAGTATTCTCCTGATATATCAAGAAGAATACCTCTGTCGTAGCCTCTTTTATCTATGTGTCTCGGGCTACTTCTTCTACAACCCCATCGCACATACTAAAACCTCACTTTTTGGCTCTTTGCTGTCATGTAAAGAGCCTTTATAAACGACTTGTAAATGTGGATCAGACTTTTCTACAATCCTCTACGTATGTACTAAAGGGAACAACTCAAAGACGAGCACACAGCATCCCAGAAACACCTTCTACTGCCCAACAGTGTGTAAAATACAGCAAAATCTGGATACACTTTGGACGTGATTTCTCGCGTTGTAAGCCGCTTTAGACCGTCAGAGTAACACCAAACGGTTGCTTTCATCTAGCTGCAACTGTCTGACATCTTTGCTCAACTTTTTGGGACCAAAAAAATCATGGCCAAAAATCGACCAAAAACCATGAGGGGTACCTCATGGTTTTCATCGAAAATCAAACGATTGCGTTTTTGACCTCAAAAATGAAGACTCTTGCTATGGTATGTATTGAATCAAAATGTTTCTCTCGGTCCAAAGCAACTTCTGAAACCACTTTTATGAGGTCTTTATATGCAAAATTTCGACATTTTGGCCAAAAACCTTATTTGATATTTTCTGAAGTTGCTCAGTAAGTTCAGTCAAAACATCTATTTTACTTGGCATCATTGGAAGCGCCTTGAAAAGTACTCTAAACGTGTATTAGGAAGCATCGGATGATCATCACACTTTATATAGTCGAATATCACAGAATAGATCAATTGAGTCGATCTTGTTCAGAATTTGGCCAATCTTGAGTAGAGAAAAATATCGATATTTGAAATAGGCTGCCTGGCTGGCAACAATGATGCTTCTGTTGTATATCAGAGACACAATTGATGTCCGCGAGGTTCGTAGGAATGAAATTTGAAATTAAAAGGTAATAGAGAGTCGCCTGGATACTTTTTGTTGTTTTTGTTGCAAATTTTCAAATGTAGTCGATTTACAAAAGGCTCTGTCAATGTGAATTTAATACGAAATGCCGACATCCACTTTGTTCAAATAGCTTGAATTGACAGCTGCTCTAATAGTTATCAATAAAGCTATCAAATTCAATGCTTTGAAATATCACTGTGATTTTTTTGCATTACAATTGGACATTTAGTTGCACTGCATTCCAATGTCCAGCTTTCATTCCTGGATACAGCTATACCGCTGTACAAGCTATAACGACCTTACATACATCCTTGACTAAGATAGATTCAACGGAAATCACTTGGCAAACCAAAGCATTTTATTTAATTCTTGTTTGATCTTGAGTGCTGTGATTTTACAACTGTGTAAGCAAAACCAAATTTCTTTTTGGTTTGTCTGTATCACATTGCTTGGAAACCATCATGCAACCGAAAGCAAACACTATTAGCATGTCCCATCTCAAAATACCGACTTCTGAATGAGAACTGACGAGCGAAGTTCATCTGCAAATCTCAATATTTGATGCGCCTTATTCAATGAATTCAGGAAGATCAATCTTGCAAATTCCAATGATGAACATGGGCTGGTGAAAGGCTAAAGAGTCACATTTTTCTGAAAGAGCCACTGCGAAGCTGGGGATGAACGAAGGATCCAAATGGAGAGAAAAAAAAAAAAAAAAAAAAAAAAGCTAAACCATGTAATTATCACCCTTGACAGCTTGCTTTTTTTTTTTTTTTTTTTTTTTCTTTCTTTCTTTTTCTTTTTCTTTTTTCTTCATTGAATTGCTCATATACCTGTACATCTTATCTCTTGTAAATTGCGTCTTTATTGATTTGTTTGAGACAAGAGGTTCATTATTTCTTCTTTCCTATTCACATTACAAAATCACATCAAAATCACACATTGCAACAATACATTTGAAAACCTCTTGCATCCTGCCCTTTTACTCGATTAATCAAACATGTCTCTGTCACTTGCTCGTCAAGCAGTTACTAAAGGAAGTCTGCGACGACTCAGTCGTCATTGCAGCAGCAACCCATATGCATTATTGAAATACACCTCTATATTCAGCAGACAACAAAGCTCAGTGGCTACGGCAACAGAATCTGACTCCAACTTTGGAAACAAGAAGCCCATCATTTTACCACATCCTGGCATGAATACCTTCAAAATTACAGCCAAGGTGCTGCCAGGTTCAGTGGCAGAGCAATTCGCCATTTTGAAGGCATGTATCATGTCAGGATCCATGATCCGTGCAGAGAGAATCATGAACGAACTGTACAAGACCCGGCCTGATGAGATGAAATTATTTGCTGATGTCAACCTGTACAATACACTCTTGAATGGATTCATTGAGGCACCTGTAAAACCCATGACGAAAGAATGCTTGGCTTGGTTGGACGGTATGAAGCCTCGAGGTGTGAAAGCGGATGCCAATACATATGCTATTGTGTTGAAAGGATTTTTAAGGTAATTTATTTTACAAGCCTAGGCAGATTTTGCGGTTCATGCTGACTGTGACCATAGAACGGAGAGTTATCACACAGCAAGGGAATTGATACGAGAAATGGCTTTTGAAGAAGGGATCCCAGTAGAGGATTTGCTGAAATCAGAGTACCTGGCAAAGAGCGACATTGAATCATTTAGAAAGGTAAGGAAGCAAAAAATGCTGGGTGTGTTAGTGGGAGTGACCAAGTGTTTTGACACATTGGACTCTAGATGATCTCCGCTAGCCAAGGAGCCTCCAATAAAGAAGTTGCAAAATTGCTGGAACGATTAGAAACTGCTACCAACGCCATCCTAGGCAAGCCTGCAGAGCCCATCATGAAAGACACCATGGCCGAACCTCTGATAAAAGAAACCAATTTCGACCCTGTGCCTGATGTGCCTGAAGTCAAGCCTATGAAATCCATTGGTGTGCATTTTTTACAAGAACAACTAGCAGCATTGCGTGATGCCAAAGGAAGTGCTCATATGGATCCTCACGATTTGCAATTGAGTTTGGAACAACAAGGCTACGAGATGGCATTACAGCGACTTTTATACGACAAGGAGCAGAGTTTGGAACGTGGTGATACATTGCAAGCTATGAATTTGACACCGTTGAAGCGGAATATGTGGACATGGCACCAGAAGATGTTGCCCTTGATTCAAGAGGAAATTGAACGTTGTGATGCAGCTACAATGCGTGAAACTGAGCGTCGTGCTTATGGTCCATTTTTGAAGTTGCTGCCACCAGAAACCTTGTCGATTGTGACTATTTTGGAATTGCTGCGTTTGCACAATTCATCTGGTATTGGTGATGGTATGAAGACAGCGCGTGCGATTATCGATGTGGGCAAAGCCGTGGAGATGGAATACAACGCAGTGCAGCTGAAAAACAAGGCCAGAGGGTCAGACAAGAGTGCAGGCACACACGCTCTTTTTGCCAGTGGCAAGCTGTTCAATATGGCTGTCAGAAAAGCCCAAACTAACATTGAAAAGGACTTGCAGCAAAGCGGTATACCCTCGCCCAATGACTGGAACCCTGTATGGCCTAGTACTATTCGTGCTAAAGTGGGTAGTGTATTGACTAGTCTGTTGCTGGAGGCTGCCAAGATCCCTGTGCCCAGTAAGGATCCTGAAACTGGCTTGAAAATGTAAGTAGAGTGAACAGTGGCAATCTGCAGTGTACTGATGTTTGTGTATAGTATTGAGAATATCCCAGCCTTTTTCCACACGTATCAATACGTTCACGGTAAGAGAGTGGGCATCATCAAGTTTTCTGAGCAGCTGACACAGATGCTCTCTCGCGAGCCAATCCGTGATACATTGCATCCTCGTCTTTTGCCCATGTTGGTGCATCCCAATCCATGGTTATCCTACAACAGTGGTGGCTATCTTTCTACAAAATCGCTTTGTATGAGAATCAAGGATTCTGCTGAGCAATTGATCTATTTGAACAAGGCGTCAGAAAACGACCATCTTGGAAAGGTCTTTTCTGGTCTGGATGTATTGGGCTCCACCTGCTGGAGAGTGAACAAGAACGTCTTTAATGTTGTTCTTGAAGTGTGGAATTCTGGTGAAGCACTAGCAGATATTCCGCCCGTTGTTGACGAGCATGCTCCCCTTCCACCCAAGCCCGAGAATTATGATACGGATCCTAAGGCCAAATTCAACTGGGTCTCTGAAGTCAAGCAGCTCCAAACTAACGAAAGAAACAACCACAGTTTGAGATGTGATGTCAATTACAAGGTGGAAACTGCTCGCGCTGTAAGTATACAAGACAGGAAGCTCTTGCTCAAATAATGACAGCTAACATGAATATGGCAGTTCTTGAACCTTCCCATGTACTTCCCTCACAACATGGATTTCCGTGGTCGTGCTTATCCTATGCCTCCCACTTTGAATCACTTGGGTAACGATCTGTGCCGTGGTTTGCTCCATTTCGATAAAGCAAAGCCTTTGGGCTCTCGTGGTTGGAGATGGCTCAAGATTCACTTGGCCAATTTGCACGGCTATGACAAGCATTCGTTTGTTGAAAGAGAAGAATACACCATGGAAAACATGAATCAAATTTTGGACTCTGTAGATAACCCTTTGACTGGCAACCGTTGGTGGTTGAAGGCAGATTCGCCATGGCAATGTCTTGCTGCTTGTTACGAAGTCGCTGCTGCTTTCCGTAGTGGCAAGCCAGAGGAATTCAAATCGCAATTGCCTATCCATCAAGATGGTACCTGTAACGGTCTCCAGCATTATGCAGCCCTTGGTGGTGATTTAGCGGGTGCACGTGCTGTTAATTTGGCCAACTCGGGCGATCGCCCTGCCGATGTCTATACGGGTGTGGCTGATTTAGTGAACAAGCAAATTGACGAAGCTGCTGAGAATGGCGATGAAATGGCCAAGTTACTCAAGGGCAATGTCAGTCGTAAGGTTGTCAAGCAGACTGTCATGACCAACGTGTATGGTGTCACTTTTGTTGGTGCTCGTGCTCAGATCGAGAATCGTCTCCGCGAAAACCCAGATATACCTCGTGCTAAGGTGTATGCGCTTTCTGGATACTTGGCCAAGAAGGTCTTTTCCTCGCTAGGTGAGATGTTTACTGGTGCTCACAAGATTCAAGATTGGTTGACGGACTCAGCAAGACGTATCGCTCGCAGTGTTCCTTTAGAGACATTGCAGGAAGCTGGTTTGGTTCCTGGTGGACCAGCAACACCGTCAGCAGGCGATGCAGCAACAGCAGCAGAGCCCACGAAGAAAGACGGCAGAAAGAAGAAGCCAGCCAAGGTGTTCTCTGCTCGTAACCCCTCTGCAAATCAAATGTCGTCTGTCATTTGGACAACCCCTCTAGGATTGCCCATCGTGCAGCCCTATCGTCGATCTGGCAAGAAGCAGATTGCCACCTTGTTACAAACCATCTTTATCGAAGATCCTGATGCTTCTCGCCCTGTCAACGCCTTGAAGCAAAGTACTGCTTTTCCTCCCAATTTCATTCACTCGCTGGATGCCACTCATATGTTGATGTCTGCCGTTGCTTGCCATAAGAAGGGTATGTCGTTTGCCTCTGTGCATGACAGTTACTGGACTCACGCCTGCGATGTGGATGGTATGAATGAGGTGATTCGTGATCAGTTTATCGAACTGCACTCTCAACCTATTATGGAGAATCTGATTGCTGAATTCAACGAACGTTACAAGGACTACAGAGTCCCTCAAACTGAATTGATCGACAAGAGTGCGGACGCTAATGAAGCAGCAAGCCCAAGCCTCTTTGGCGATGTAGCAGATTTCGACAAGGAGTTGGAACGTGAAAAGCAAAAGAAAGAAAACGAAAAGAAGGACGCTCTCAACGCGATATTTGGTATTGCTGATACACCTGACACTGATATCGACGCAGACGAAGATGAGGATGAAGATGACGAAGTAGCAAAGAAGCCTAAGAGGAAAACATCTACCAAATACAAGCACAGTTGGGAGCCTCTGACCTTCCTGCCGCTACCAGAGAAGGGTGAATTTGACATTAACGAAGTCAAGAAATCACCTTACTTTTTCCATTAATCGCCAACACCACCTTTTAGACTATATATATTCCCCATCCATTATTTGTAATTTTATGTATAAAACGCTACTTGCAGCACTGCAATTTTCAATGATTTTTTAGAATAAAACAAATCAAATGTTCTTTTTTTTTTTATTATTATGTTTAAATCGATACCTTATACTTTGTATGCAAGTACACCATAGACCAATGAGGTGTGGAAACCCCTCACATTTTATAAGATGGTGCCTCAAAAATGGAGTTACCAAAACCGAACATGAAAATGCAAAAAATTCTAGGCTTATTCAAGAGTGACAACATTTACACCATTATTGCAAAATCCTGGTTCGAATGGTACATCATTGAAGATGCAATAACCACCATATGCATCTCATACCACTTTGCTTCCATGTGAACAAGAGCTAAATAGATTGCTGTGATGACAGCCGCGAAATGATCAAGCAGGCTCCATTGTAACAATCTCTCTTGTATGAAACATGTTTAATATTAGATACACATTATTTCGTGCTTTTCTCTTGATTCTATCGGCTACTCGATAATCTGTAGGTCCTGCTTGAGTGGCTAAACTCAAAGGGTTTGTCCTTGATCCATTCAATAGGAGCCTGATAAATTTTTTCCTTTGACAAGGACATGTCTGATCTCATGTTTCTCTGTCTTCCTTCTTTCTCACTCTTGGTACTAGTATTTACAATAAGCAACCTCAGACTGGCATGGCTAAAGGGCTTTCAAGTTCATACATGATCCACATCAAATCCAGCGAAGAAATCAATGCATTAAATCAACATGGAATCATTTCGGCTCAGCCTTCCGAAATTACTCATACAAAAGCCAATACTGTTGCCAGGTACGCACTCACACATTGTTCCCATCCTTCATGCCATTGACTCACACATAACAGAATACCCACTAGTAGGAAAAAGACGGCCCAAATAGCACCAAATGACTTTGAGCAATGGATAAAATCGCATGGTGGAGATAAGGGTTTTGTTGATTTGATCAATACCAAGGTAGCGCCCCGAAAGAGAAGATCGCTCCTGTCAAATGTGCCCTTTGCCTACTCGTCTGATGAGAGCAGCAATAGCGAGGGCGAGGAAGAAGACGACTTTGATACACTTGCTACGGTGGCTACGATCCCAAAGAAGGTTGTCAAAGGTGAGGAGTTGTGTGTTTGGAACCATCTACATTTACTCATGTGTAACATGTAGGAAGCAAGCATTCAGCAACGCCCAAAAAGACCCTTACAACCGTAACTACATTGACGACTTCCCAAACGATTACAGCGCCCATAAAGAAATCAAACTGGCTTACTGGACTATTTCATAAGCAACCAAAATCATCATCATCATCATCATCATCCACATCATTAGCATCCGCAACAACTTCGCCACCAAAACCACCTATTTACAAGACACATGAGCCTGTGCCAGTGCCATTGACAAACAAAACTGTCAACATTTCACAGTTTTTCTCAAACAAAAAGAAGCCTACCAACAAGCCAAAAGAGCAAGCCAAAAAGATACCAAATTTGCCCAAACGATATCCCATTCCTATTGAAAGAGTCATTTATGAAATCTCCTGGATGAAGCTGAATAACCCTAGCAGGCCACTGCAGCACCATGTCTCCATTTCCAATATGCTGGTTTGGTACACGAATATGGTAGACAATCGACAAACTTTATTATACTTGCGAATCCCTGCAAGATCGACATCAGCGCACGTTTCTGCAGCTGCTGTCAGTCGACTATATTAGGACAACAGCAACATCATCTACTGCTCATTCAGTATTATATAATTTACCGATCCCGTTACCGAAATAAATTTAGCCGAGAAACGATGCTATTCAAAAGTTTCTTTCATCGCATAATATCAGAATTGAAGTTGTGTTTTTTTTTTAGGGTTGACATGGATTGAAAAGGGTGCGAAATAAGCTCGCTTTCCAGCACCATCTACATAGCAAGAGGTCGTTCCGTTTATTTTTTGTTTTTTTTTTGTCTCGTCATACAGAAGAGAACTCGAGAAGACAGAGAAGCCTTGACCGTTCTATCAGGAATTGAAATGGTCTGTTGTTTGGTTCTATAGCAAACTCCGTTTTATTTATTGTCTTTGATTACGACAAAACTTTTTCATCCCTTTTCTCTTTTATATCTTTAACTTGGATTCCATTTGAGAAGGAAGAAAATACAGTAAAATGGGAAATTCCATCTCAAAGAAGAAGAATAAGCATAAAGAGAAACGACTATCCACAAGCAAGAAATCCTCACAATCACAGCCACAACAATCCAAAGCAGCATCATCTGCTGCTGCCTCAGCTGCATCTCCACTCCAATCTTCATTGCCTCGATTAGAAGTGCCCAGTGCAGATAATGAAAACAGTGTCAACACGGCTCAGTCTATCAATTCAATCCTGATCACTTCTTCTCAGCACCGTAGAAACAATCAGCAAAACAACTCGGCTCTTTCAGCGCTTAATCCCGATTATCCTGTAGGTAATGCTGCGAATGATAACAGCAACGAGCAAGATACTGTCCAAGCGGGCGATGCATTCATGGGAAAAGTAGAGCATCCACAACAGCACAAACTACTAGCACAGTCTGATTTCTGGCCACCTAAAAAAGCTTCGGGACAAACACTAGACATTGACAATGTAGATAACAACCAGCTTACCGTATCCAGTATGAATCAGTTGACAGTCAATTCTGTGTCCAGTATGAATATGCAGGGTATCACTCAAATTGATGATTATATCCGTCGATTGCTGGATGCTGGTTATGCTACCAAAGTGCCAAAGCAACTGTGCTTGAAGCAGTCTGAAGTCAATGCCATTTGTCGTGTGGCCATGGACATCTTCTTGAGCCAGCCCTCTTTGCTCGAGCTGTCTGCGCCTGTCAAAATTGTAGGCGATACACACGGCCAATACACAGATCTGATTCGATTGTTTGAAATGGGCGGCTTCCCGCCTACATCCAACTATTTGTTTTTGGGCGATTATGTCGATCGTGGAAAACAAAGTTTGGAAAACTTTCTGTTGTTATTGTGTTACAAGATCAAGTATCCCGAGAACTTTTTCATCCTAAGAGGTAATCATGAATCAGCAAATGTGACAAAAGGTAAAGTATGGGTGTGGTTGGGATTTGGCGATTAAGGTTGTTAATCTGTGTATAGTATACGGATTCTATGATGAATGCAAACGTCGCCTCAGTCCCAAGATGTGGAGATCATTTGTGGATGTATTCAATACGCTACCCATTGCTGGTTTAGTGGCTGGAAAGATCTTTTGTGTGCATGGTGGCCTCAGTCCTTCGTTGCATAGTATGGACGATATTCGCAACATTCAACGACCCACAGATGTGCCCGACTATGGATTATTGAATGATCTACTCTGGGCTGATCCCGCTGATATTCCGGTAGATTGGGAGGATAATGAGCGTGGTGTCTCGTACTGCTTTGGTAAAAAAGTAATCAACGAATTTCTCTCCAAATTTGATTTGGATCTTGTCTGTAGAGCTCACATGGTGGTCGAAGATGGCTATCAGTTTTTTAATGAACGTACATTGGTAACAGTATTCAGTGCTCCTAATTATTGTGGTGAATTTGATAATTTTGGTGCCATCATGAGTGTTAGCGAGGAACTTTTGTGTAGTTTTGAACTGCTTACACCATCTGATCATCCTCTTGCAAAGAAAAACTAATTATTATATCCCTTTAAAATGCAACTCCATCAATCTACTGCTCGCCTATATAATTATAGCTTCTCCTCTTGTCTCGATACTACTACTATTACTATTTTTATTTCTTTCTTCACTTATCACCTTGTACAACAAATTTGTTCACAATAAATCCACCTTTTCGCATCATTGTATTATTGAAGTAGAGTTTACAGTAGAACTGATGTGCAAATAGGTAAAAATAATGACGCAAAACTACGCATTTTGCATACGGAGGTCGCACAAACGAAGGTTCAGGGGTTGCTTTGGATCGAGAGGAACATTTTGATGTAGTATTTGCTATAGTAAAAGTCTTCACTTTTGAGGTCAAAAACGCGGTCGTTTGATTTTCGATGAAAATCATGAGGTACCCCTCATGGTTTTTGGTCGATTTTTGGCCATGATTTTTTTGGTCCCAAAAAGTTGAGCAAAGATGTCAGACAGTTGCAGCTAGATGAAAGCAACCGTTTGGTGTTACTCTGACGGTCTAAAGCGGCTTACAACGCGAGAAATCACGTCCAAAGTGTATCCAGATTTTGCTGTATTTTACACACTGTTGGGCAGTAGAAGGTGTTTCTGGGATGCTGTCTTCTTGTAAATGATATATTTTCTACCAAACACCCCAGTGTTCATCACATACTGTACTACCAAATGTGTCAATCGATAAAAGAAGAGGATGTTGATCAAACGTCATGATCAGTAGTCAGGAGAAGTAAGTGACAGGCACAGCGATGAAAACATTATTACACTTGCATGATGTCAAGACGAATTCAGGAGGCCATTATTCTAACTTGATTAAATATAGTCTTTGTCTCGAGCTTTGATGGCAAACATTGTTACCATAGTAGATATTATAAGTTGGACAAACAAGAAATATTTACAATAGATTGCGTTTTTGGTGTGTATATGATGTACAATCAGCGTCAAATGAGACTATGCCTCTTATTGAATCGCATGTATGCATTGATAGCGCATACACGCTTTTGAAGACTGTTTACAGAATAACATATGATATAGTATGAATAGGCTGCATGGGCATACTACCTATTTGTTTTGACTGGATATAATGATGGTATTCAGAAATTGTAGAAACGCCATGCACGTACTGTAATGATAAATAATTATAGAATCAAAGCGACCATTTTTTCAATTGACAAAATAGAGTGCGACACATCAACAGTTTCAGATGATCGATGTTAATAGGCACTACGGATGGTGATATATCTAGCAACGTGAATGGCTTCAATCGAATCAAGCATGATTTGAAGTGGTACGACAATAGCATTTTGTGTTCCTGAAATTTATGTATTGTTCTTTCAGTTTCTTTTGGCGCAGAGATAGTTTAGATTTATTGGTAGGACTGTTGACAGAGCTAATCATCCTCCTAATAGATTTGAAACTATCTGACAATTTAGGAGAAGAGGCAGAATGCTTTTCGATACTATGTTAGATTTGTAAAAATCTTGAAATTGCTTTTACGCCATATTTATAAATATTTGCACCTTGGATATTGGAAAAGAGAGAAGGAAGGCGTAAGTATGGCGAGATCTATGCTCGTTTAATACACGCATTGTGTTATTTTATCCTTCTCTGAATATATGTTGACAATTAAATTATGTATCATTACTGTAAAAATAGCCAAATTTCGGTATGTCTTGTCTGTGTGTGTGTGTGTGTGTGTGTGTGTGTGTGTTATCGTGGAATGCGATCCTAGGCTTGAAACAACAGCAATAACTGGTTTTCTCGATCCGAGATGTAAATGCAAATTACCCTGTGTCACCAAGCAAAACTCGATTGCGGTTTTACGCCAAAAATTTTGAATAATGCATCTCCCTCAAATCCGATTATTACAAATGGGGAGGTGGGGGTGGGGAAGAAAACGTTATTTTGACTAATTTAAACTAACTAATTGACGATGATGATTGAATCTATCATCATCATTAAGACAGCAATTCATTTGACTATGTTTGTTATATGAAAAAAAACAAGGGGAACGATTACTAGGGTGACCAAGAAGATACGTAATGACCATCAGGAAAGGTCTAAAATGTTCCATTCTCTTCGGTTGTAATCTTGCTGATAGCAAACCCCAAGATAGATTGCTCCAGGCTCCCTTCAAAGTTACAGAAGCCGTGCACCCTATAAAAGCCATGTATACAAACACAAACACACACACACAACAAACCAGCCGCTGCGAGAAGAAAAAAGAAATCCATAGAATAAAAATGAAGGTCGACAACAATTGACGTTAAGCTTGATTGTTGTTTAGAAATTTTCAAGATACAAAATGAGGTGGTATATAAAAAAAGCTGTAATCCTCTCAATTTCATTTTTAGCTCTTCTCTCTCGCTTTTTCATTATTATATATATATATATATATATATATATAACGTCTAGTTATTCTTGATCTTTCCAAATCCTTCGGTTCATCGAGAAAATATAAATAAAGCAGTAGAGAAATCATCAGGGAAACTCTTTTCATACTTTTTAGAGATCGAAAAACTTCTTAAAAGCACAAATTAAGGGGGGGCAAATGGGGGCCAAGGCATTAAAAATATCTGATGAGCGGATATAACCTGGATAAGGTATCCTGTAACGATATTATTAGAATAAATTCATTTCACCATTATTTTAAGGAGTAAAATAGATGAATCAACGTTGTTTCCGTTCAATAGAATCCAAGTTGAAGGATGAGATGGGCAATAGCAACACGCACACGACTGGAAATCATGGATAGCTGATAGAAAAGCAACATATTGATCTCATTTTTGCAAGATCTTCTTTAAATACTAAAGAAATGAAACTATCTGATCACCACCCACTATCATCATCATCCCCATCATCGGCGATGCACTAAACTCTCAAGTGTTATAGTTTGAGAAGAATTGAAAAAGAACAACAAACAACATTTTCAAGCATGATTACATGTACATGACACAACTTGGAAGAATAGTAATTTTCATCAACAAGTGATAATCCAAAGTAGATGATTGGATATCCCCTTCATACTAACTGCACGAGTGTTGCGGGTGGGGGTGTAATGCAAATCGAAATAAGGGGTAAAATGCGTTGAAATACAGCCTAGATTTAGTATGACGATGAATGAGAGAAGCAAGACAGAGAACGAGACACTCACACCATGAACACGAAATTTGATGTGCTTTTTCTTGGTTTGTTTCCTTTACCAAGGAGGAATCAGAAGGTCTAAGTCTATTTTTCAAATCCAAACTTAAACTTCACAATATGGTATTATGCCTTTCAGTATGTACACTGTAAATCTTTGCTAGCAAAACATGTCTTTGTGATCTTCGTTATTTGCAATAAAACAGTTTCACTTGTTTTATGGTTGTAATCATGGATGAAAATAAAGCTAAATTAGGGGGGTGGGGCATGGGGAAGCTCAGGTGGGGGTAGGAAGGATCATAACGTTAAAACTAAGGGGTTGATACATTGTATTTGTTACAAAAAAGAAGCGTTTTAGTATTCTCTTAGTTCTGTGTATATAAATATATGAAATCGAATTACACAAAACAAGCACTAGTTGACGATTCACTATAGTCATGAACAATATTAATTGCCTTGTGTATTTTATTTATATACTTCCGTTTGACACATTGTGATGTAGATGAATTGCGTTACAAGCATTCTCCTCCTAGAAGCTCATGGTCCCTTATTTCATAGTAGATGTACCAACATGCTTTATGGTAGTATATGACCATATATAACCAAGCCAAGCACCACTCATTCATCTACCATTTCACATTATGTCAATGTGCATTATGAGATTTATAGCTTCTTTTTGTATATAAAAAAAAAATGTATCAAAATAATCTATGATGCTATGCTCAAGATTTGAGGAGTCCATGTAGCCGCATGTGAGGAGGAAGTGAATGTGAGAGCAGAGCAACGTAAAAAAGCCTTGATTTGTTTGTGTATACACACAAATGAGGTTCGATTGACTCAAATATTTGATCCTGTCGGTTGGTCGGCAAACTCGCCTTTGTGTTTTTTTTTTGTCTCTCTTTGTGTTAAATTCTTTCATTCAAGACCATGCTTACTTTCCATATGACTTGAGCCTGATGCAGCAGCAGCAGCATCGATTGATGTTACTCTTTCTTGATTTAAAAGGTTAAATTTTCTGTATGTATGCATGTATATTGTAATCATCAATAACAGGGTTGATATCAAAAGGAGCTGATTTTGTATAAATCCGAGGATATTACACTCAAGAATCAAGGGATAGGTTACATAAAATGCCTTTTTATTTACTTTTATACACGAAAAACTCGATTCGCATGCTATGTGTTATGTCCAAGATCCCTTTGAATTTTCCCGTTTTGAGTAATCTACTCTGCTTGCTCTCGCTTTTACCCATAAAATAGAAGCATATTACGAATTGATAACAAGTCTTCTCATTACAAAATCGAGATACTTGTTATATAAATCCGGATGTTTGTTCGCGTGGATGATTTGAGAGCGCCCCAGTACCACACAATTTGGGAAGTGATATAAATTTCTGTCATACTCGTATATCGCAAAAGCAACCCCCCTGCCCTACCTGCGTCTTTTACACTCTACTCTCCCTCTGCCTCTATGTCTCACTCCCCTTGGGCCGCTCCTTTTGTTGATACATACACATACGTCTGATACGATAAAGTGACAACATTTTAATATCAAACTCTATATAAACATACATACACAGTATATGTAAACAAATAGCTGCTATAGAAGTTTATCTGCATGTTAAGGCTCTGTATATATATATCCAAGTGATATTAGCTGTCTTTATTATAAAAGCTGGAACAAATTGATCGACATTTTATATACAAGAAACGCTTTTTACAGGTGGGTGTATTATTACAAGGTAGGATGGGTCTACTGCGTAAACTCATCTCTCCATACTCCTTAATCTCTTTAAGGAATAAAGATGATTTTCAAAATGTAAAGGGCAATAGAGCACCCAATGTAATCTCATATTTATACATATTCAAACAAGGGGAGATGTATATGACACACACATCCAGCATAGAAAATCAATTCGTATCAAATTTGCACCAATGGCCCTACTTTGACGTCTATTCCTCCCCCTTAAGATGGATATATATATGTATATATATATACATTGTTACTACTGCTACTATACAAGATTCTTGTCAGTTCTATAGGGGGGGGGGTGGGACACAAGAAATCAAGGGGGGAGGGCAGTGTCTTTTTGCTCAAAGCAAAATACCCCGCCCCCCAAAGCTACTCCAATATAAATAATATCAATGCAAAACAGGTGTATCCCATAGACACGCATTATAATTTTTTTTGTCTATATAAACACCATGATTTGCAATGTTATTCTCAGCTTTTCTTTTCTCTTTTCCTTCTTTTTTTAATACCAAAAAAAATGTCGTTTCAATACTGTCCAATGCTTGACTATCCTCAAAATCCAATCGTTTACGATGACAATTTACTCTCCTCCATTATACCTGCTAACATGATGATCAAGCAAGATCATATGGCTACCGATGACCTTTTATTAACTTCTGGCTACTACCCACACATGCATCAAGAGGCTCCGGCACTGGACTATCCATCAGATGGCTACAGTCATCCATGTAGTAATTTGAGCGACTTGATGTATCTCGCCGCTCCCACTGTCACTACCACTGCTGCTGCTGTCCCTGCTGCACCTGCACCTGCTACTGCTGGCAACGCTTGCTCCTCTCCTCCTTCCTCTCATTACTCTTATGACAGCTTTTACTCGCCAACGGAATCAATAACAGGCTTTGATTTCTTTCCATCACCAGCATACAGCGACCCATCTCTTTATGAATACTGGTCAAACAACTCTTCACCAGCACCTGTCAGCCAACATTTTGAAGCATTATACTTTGAACAACCCTCCAATGTCTTGACAATGCCATCAGCCAATACCTTTCCATCGTCTTCATCTTCATCTGCATCTGCATCCTCCACATCTTCATCACCGTCCACGCAATCAGCGTTACTGACAGCTCAAATCACAACGACAACAACAACGACAACACAAAAATCTCAAATCGAAGGAAGACCTTATCCATGCCCATCTTGTCCTCGTGCATTTGCCCGCAAACATGACCTGCAGCGACACATCCGTGTTCATACTGGTGATAAGCCTTACATGTGCCCTTGCTGTAAAAAGACATTTGCTCGTACTGATGCTTTAAAGAGACACTTGCGTATGGAAGAGAAATGCCGCAAAAGCAATCAAGTGCAAGCAATGAAGGACACTGGCAGAAGACGATATAGAAACTTGTAAATTGTTTTTCTTTCTATACATATGTGCACATTCTCTCTCTCTCTCTCTCTCTCTCTCTCTTTACTCCACTTTCTTTTTCATTACCATACATACACACATTCTTTCACAATCCTTTTTTACTTTCAAAACCTAAAAGCAAGAAAACTGTTGACAGTTGTCTTTACCCCCCCCTCCCCCATTTCACGTATATATACTGTCTGTTTCTGTTCGCCCTTAATGATTATTACTATGATTCAACTAAAAACTGAAAAAAGGAAATCGTCACTCCTCCTCTTCATCATCATCCATCCCTCAATTGGCTTGTTTGCTTACGTTCCCCTTATTATTATGCTTTTGAGCTTCGTATCAAATCCTATGTATTATGCGGTTTATTTTACTTTTTTATTTTTATTTTTTATTTTATTTTTTATGAAATGGGAGCAACCTCTTTAGAAGCTAGCAGTTGGTAGTGTACCATAAACCACACTTTTGTAAATATCATTTGGTAGCGATTCAATAAGAAATAAATGAAAAATCATGCCATTTAGACTGTATAATGTGAGTGTTGTATAATTTCATCATGGCAGGAAATTAAACTTTTCAATAACGAGATCAGACTTAATTAAGTTATCATATCAAACAACTATTTTTTTTTTTCACTATTTAGAGAGTTCCTTGTCTTGTATAATCATCTAGGTAAACCGCATGTTTTCTTTTGGAATGGCTGTGATAAATATACTAGTATACAAGACATGTAGGTAGCACATTCAAGGGAAGCATCTGCTAGCGTCTACATGTGCCTGTAATGGTCTGTCTAGATGGGTATACACAATCAGATTCAACAAAAATACAGAGTTTAGAGAGCCATTGACCCAGCAAGTTGGGTAAACTTAACCTTATTTGCAGTTTTGGCGCATTGTGTACAAGCACAAATAAAAGGGGTTTTATACAACTATCATTCTACATTTGTTCTTTGTTTCTAATGAGATATAGATGAAAAAGAGCAGTATTTTGGTTGATCGATTTGTATCTATATAGGGTTACATGTCTTTGGGCTGAAAGCTCAGGTCAGGAGTGCCATCTCTATTGCATGTCCTCTATGCTGATCCTGATGCTCATTCGGAAGCACCTTTATATGGGCCGTGTGTTGTATGACTACGAAATGATGGAAATGCAAGCGTACGTTTATTGTTCATTGATTCATAAATAGAGTATATAGAGTTGGGGGGGGGGGGGAAACAGATTGGGAATGTGTTTATACAAATCTAAAAGTTGATGGATATCTCAGCGGCACTGTTTGTATCCAATTCATTCTCTTCATCTTTGGAGTTGTAAGCGAGTCTGGGCAATACAAGAGAACGGGTAGCTACTCTTTCCTCCTGTTGAGGGCTGTGTGTGATCCAGATACATGTACGTCCCTTCAACGTGTTTTCAACCAAGAGCGTAGACTCTGGATCCAAGGCTGATGTAGGCTCTAATTGCAAACAAATAGATCAGTCTAGGCTACATCCATCTCATGCTTGTCTATATTACCGTCCAAGAGCAACACCTCTGGGTTTAGTGCCAATGCAATTGCTAATGATACTCGCTGCATTTCGCCACCCGATAAATAGTTCCAATTTTCATTGAAATGAGCCGCAGATAGATTCCAATCCATACCAATTTTGATCTTGTGATGATGATGGTGAGAGATGGATAATTAATATGTGTATGATGCAGTCTATCATGGTCTTCATAAAACGCTACTTACAGGATCATCAAAGTATTTGCCTTTTTGAGATGCATACTTTTTGGCCATGTTGAACAAATCCATGGGAGTGCCAGGATGGATTGCTGGTCGCTGTGGCACATACATGACTCTCGATCTCCAAGTAGGGATGCCGAAATGCGAGGGTGATTTACCGTATAAACTAGACTGGCCTGATGTGTATGGTGTAAGCTCTGCCAAACACTTGAGGAGCGTGGTTTTTCTGTGATTTGATCAGATTAGATGTTGTTTATCTCTTTCATTTCAAATGCCTCATGTTTACCCGGCACCACTAGGCCCTCTGAGGACCAAGATATCGCCCTTTTCCAGCACAATATGGACGTCCTTGAACAACCATCTATCGTCATTCAGCTTCATGGATATGCCTTTTGCTTCAAACATGGTAGCCATTGTATCGAGACAAAAAAAAAAAAAAAAAAAAAAAACGATAAAAGAGTAGTAAAAAGAGCAAATTAGATTATGAAACAGAGCCCTCAAATGTATTCAAATCCCCCGCCCCATCATTTCGCTTCGATGCGCTCCTGTTCACTCTCATTTCACTCCATCCGTTTCTCTCTCTCTCTCTCTCTCTTTGCCTGTGACGTATCAAATGTAATGGAGGACATATCAGATTATCCAGTTACACACACCAGTTAAAGAAGCTCCATTCGGTGCGCAATGTGCAAGTGAATAGGAATATATAGATATAGATATATATATATATATATATCCAACAAGATTTATGATAGGAGCAGCCAAATGATGAACGGTTATTAATTTTAATCAAATCGTTTGGTTGGGTCAATTTATTGTTTAGGAGTTGCTGCTGCTGTTGTTGCTGTACTTGCTGTTGTTGTTGTTGTTGTTGTTGTTCTGTGTGTATCTCTTTCTCTTGATATCCTTGTTGTGTGTGAGACTTTTAAAAATAAGTTTTTTTTTTCCATTCAAACAAACCATAAACTATTAATTTTTTTTCCATTTTTCTTCTTCTTCTTCTTCTCTCTCACACACACACACACACTCACACACTCATCATAATATGGCAGCTAAGCTACAACACAAAAGAAAGAGAAGTTGGGAAAAGGAATTTTACAAGAACGGATTTCCTTCAGAAGTCATTGTCATATCAGATTCCCCAACTCCAACACCTCCACCCTCTCTGCCACAAGCAACAAACTCATCGTCCTCGTCTTCGTCCAGCAGCCATGATTCCTTGTATCCAGCAAACAAGAGACGCTATCTGCTTGAGCCCGATCACAAGCGAATCTACAAAAATACCAGCGATCTCTCATTGAATCAGAGTAAGTAGCATCCTTTTATCAACATCTCCTACATCAACCCTAAGTCTTTGTCTAGGCTTATCAGCTTTCCATTATTTCCCAACTGCAAATCACATCTATCCCTCAACAACAACTGCAGCTGCAGCGCCAACTTCATCTACACTAGCGCCGCAATTGCCAGCAACTTCCTATCATTTACCTCCAGCAAGTACACTACAGAAAAGACCTGTTTTGCCAACCGCATCTTCCACGGCAACAACCAAGCAGCCAGCAGAGGTAGATATATCTCTCTCTATATATATATGAGCTAATTTAAGCTGATTTAATACTCACAATGAATTCTAAATTGATAGTTTTACGACGATAAAGATGGACATTACATTGTTAGACCAAATGAATCATTAACACAACAATGTAAATAGAAGATGGTTGATTGATCATACGAAATGCACTAATCACACTCTACATCATATAGACAAAATTATGAGATTATTGGGACAAGGGACGTTTGGCAAGGTCGTTGAATGCTATGACAGAGTACGCCGAAAATACTGTGCCATCAAAATCATCCGTGCTATCCCAAAATACAGAGATGCAAGCAAAATAGAAATTCGAGTCTTGAACACTTTGAAACATCACGATCCGCTTAATCTCAAGTAAGTGCTAACTATCTATTGCTGTGCTGTGCTCTTCCACTGATGAACCACTGTAGCAAATGCATACATTTGGTGGAATGGTTCGACTTTCGTAATCACATTTGCATGGTATTCGAGCTCTTGGGTCAATCCGTGTTTGACTACCTCAAATCAGTCCAGTTCAAGCCATTTCCGCCCACTCAAATCCAGCACTTGGCAAAGCAATTGATCACCAGTGTAGCATGTAAGTCTCTTGTCTCGACTGCATTGTCACTATGGAAAAATCTAATACAACCACCACCACCAGTTTTGCATGATCTTAAATTAGTTCATACCGATTTAAAACCCGAGAACATTCTACTAGTGGGCGAGCCTACAACGACATGCACAGATATACGCTTAATCGACTTTGGATCTGCTACTTTTGAAAAGGATTATCATTCAGCTGTGGTCTCCACTCGCCATTATAGAGCACCTGAGATTATCCTGGGTATAGGCTGGTCCTATCCATGTGATTTATGGTCGATTGGCTGCATTTTAGTGGAATTCTTTACTGGCGATGCTCTTTTTCAAACTCATGACAACTTGGAGCACTTGGCAATGATGAATTCTGTCCTTGGTCCATTGCCTCTACACATGGTCATGTCTGCAAACAAAGAAGGCCAAAAGTTCTTTTTCAAAGAGAGCAAAAAGCTGCGATATCCTACAACAAAGACAACCAAGCAAAGCAGGAAGTTTGTGAGCGCATTGAAGCCATTGCAAGTAAGTGCAACACCTTTGTTGATTGCTGCAAAAAAAAAAAAAAAAAAAAAAAAAAAAAAAAAAAAAAAGACTAAACTCTTTTGAAATTAGGAAATGATACCGGCAAACAATCAACACAACAAGTTTTTGCTAGACTTGCTGAAGAAATTGCTCGTCTATGAACCTAGTCAACGTATTTCTGCTCGTGAGGCGCTTCGCCACCCATTTCTTTCATGCTGCTAAATCTATCATGTAATTCTCCCCTGTATACCATTTTCAAATCCCAAAAAACATAATCATCCTTTTTTTATATTCATCCACTTGTTTCCCAGAATAAAGTACTAATTCCCCTTATTATCACCATCATTATTTTGTATTTGGATAACAGTCGTAAAGATTTACTTGTATATGGCATTGCGAGATATGAATTGGTGCTAAAGGGGCTTGGTGGTATAAAATGGTTGTATGCGAATTGAATGGAAACAAGAGGGACTTAATGACCCAGCTTCTGCAAGCTTTCGTCCATCCAGGATTTCAAGATGGGCATATCATTAATCATCTGAGCAATCTCGTTCTCTTGCACATTCAGTTGAATCTTTCTAGTGCGGTCTTCCTTGCTCTTGCCAAGCGTAATAATACTTGAAGTCTCCAAGAGCGTCATTAAATCATTCAATTCTGTTCTTGATACTGCTGAAATGGCCGAAGCAGTGTCTGAGCATAATGCACTGTATTGCTCACGGAACTAGAGTAACATGTATCAATAAGCATGCGGGCAATCTACAAAGGGCTGCGTATTTACCTTGCCCATGACGAGCTGGTCCTTCTTGTTTCCCTTTTTGCATGTACGAAGCATCACCAGGATCACACCCAACACAATCTTTTGCTGCAAATTCAGCTGCTTCAATTTCTGTGTAGTGGAGCTTCCAAATACTACATTCAAGACCTTCATCACATGAACTACAGTAACTTTGGGTTCTTGTATTGCGGATAATGTTGCACCATTTCTTTGCTCACCCAACACAGTAGTAGTAGTAGTAGTAGTAGTAGCAGCAGCAGCAGCAGCAGCAGTAGTAGTAGTAGTAGCTGCTGCTGCACTCTTCTTCTTTTGTTCCATCTCTGCAAGTTCAATCGCTTGACGACATACATCCAACGCTGTTCTCAAATCGCCCATGGAGGCAGCTACCTTACGAGCACATAATTCGATGGCATTGGCTTGAATCAACGGCGCTGGTGTACCATCCACAGCCTTGGGAGGAGGTGCAAATGGGTCATCGGGATCCTCAATCAGGGAAAACAGACGATCTCTAATGATACTGGTGATTTCTGATACTTGATACGGGTTGAAATTCATCAGCTGAGGTTCGCAGTTCTTGGCTCGAAGACGGGGCAAAATACGATCTGTTAAATCCAGGGCATTGGCAATGCCAATAAGGACTAATCGAGATGTTGGAAGAGAGGCCCATTCGAAAATCTTGTATAAAACGTCTTGGTCTCTGGTAATCAAGGAATCGATTTCATCCAAAATAACAACACTGATCATCATTATCGTCAATCAATTCATTCATGCTGTTTGCTGCTTGTTTGTACACTTACTTGAGCTTGCTCTTGTTGGCATTGATCAACTCTTCAGCTTGCTTAACGACGTCTTGCTGGATACTTGCAGCAGGACTCAGTTCCTCAATTAACTTTTGATAAATTTGCTTGGGTTCCTTGACACTCATACAATTGACGACCACAGTGGAAACGCGATGAGAGCGAAGAGCCATGATGTCGTCTTCCATGCGACGGATGACTTCGGTGAGCATGGCAGTCTTTCCAGTGCCTGGCATTCCAGAGATGTAGAGACAGCCAGGCTTGTTGGCCAAAACATGCTCCTTCCAGAATGAAAGCATCTGCTCTCTCTCGTCCCCACGACCGATAAGTCTGGATGGAATGGCAGTGCGTCTAAATACAGCTTTGGCTTTTTGATACAATGTTTCCTCTTGCTTGCTTTTGTTGCTCTTGTTGTTGCTGTTGTTGTCAGTGCTGCTCAATCCTTTTGATTTAAGGTATACATTTCTGCCGTTGGGTGATTGTACTAGAATATATCATCAATGAGATTGCGCGCACACACATACACATTTTATATTTGAATAGTTTACATTGAGCCATCTGAAGTTCCTTTGTGATATTTCTAACATTCTGTGGTGTTTCTGCCTTTGTCACATTGCTTGTCTTTTGTCTTCTGGTAGGTGTAGATGGTGGAGAAGGCAAATTCTCCAAATCCTCTGTGCTTCTTCTTTTTGTACCTGCAATAAAGATAACAATGAATCCCCTGTATCAAGTGGCTGAATTAGAGTCAACATACCCGATCTTGTAGGCGATCTTAGTAGTTGCTTATCATCGTTGCTAGTTGTTAGCCTAGTACTGGAGCGAGTGCGTTGTAACATTGTCTATCGTAAATAGTGAACAAACAAGGGAAAAAAAAAAAAAAAAAAAAAAAAAAAAGATTTTTTATTGCAATTTAAGGCTCCCTCTTTTCAAATGTGGTAAAAAAAAAAACGCGTTTATATTAGGAAAACAGCGCGTCATTCATTGACATGAATGGGTGGTTCAGGTAGCCGGCTAAAGGGTCCTGCTTTGTAAATGGCTTGTTTGAGTCCTTTCCTCATCCATTGCAGACAATTTTATATAGCCGAGATACCTAAGGAAGTATTGCTCATCCTATTCAGTCATGTCGAATCCTTGGTTGATTTAGCCCAATGCAGGTTAGTTTTCGACTGGGGCGACGAGGCAGAGGCGACCTTCTGGGGACCTTTGTCAGTCGATTGAGCGAGTTTGAACATCTCCGAGGAATTCTGCTTTGGCTCAAGACTTGGACAGACTGCTGAAGTAGACACCGTGCTGAAGGAATGTAAGCATGTGCAAATAGTGACTTTGGACGTGTTGCTCGACACTTTAATCACTAAAGGCAAACAGCTTGAGCCATGTATGGGATCCAACATGGAGCAAGTGAGTCGCCTACACAAGTGGACCATTATCAATGAGCGCGTTGGCAGATCTCTTGAGTACCTCGTCTACAAGTACCCAAGCGTGGAAGGTATCGTCATTGATGTGGCCCCTGTGTCGTCTTAACACTGCCAACATGATTATATTTAAGAATAACATGGACCATGTGCTTGCAGCGATCGCGAAGGTACCAACAAAGTCAACGCACTTGATGATGCGTCATTCTGCCACGTCTTTAATAACACTAAATTACTTTGATGAGAATGGATACACTGGTCATAAGAAAGTGATGGGCGACGGCCACTTCCTGTTGAAGATGAAAGAGCTTTGACGGTCGAGCATGTCACCCACTTGCATACCACTGTATCTGAAATATAATAAGCCGTTATCTTTTTCTTTTATCACACACTTTCGCTAATACTATTTTAATAAATTATGAATACTAATGAGCTGGCAGACATTGAATCGTTGACAGAACAAGACATTTTACTGCTGCTAGAAAGCAAAGATTTGACGCCTGAAGTATTGGAATGGATTGAGCAATACCAACAAGCGCGATCAACAAGCGGCTCAAACGATAGCACCACAACAGCTGCCAAAGAAGCAGGCCACTCTGAATTCAACCTAGGTGACAAGTGTGCTATTACGTTCTCTTACGAAGACGATATGGTTCTTTTGCCAGCCATCATAGTAGATATTACCGAGTCAACCACGCAAGTTCTCATATTGACTCCCATAACCAGAAGCACAATACCATGCAGCCAACATTTCAGCCCATCCACATGCAAAAAAGTGTCTTGTCCCCACAGCCATGGTTATACACTGCCTTCCGAGTTTGTTGCACCCTTTGAAGCGCTAGGAACACATGATGCAGATACACTTTTAGCTCAACTGCAATATGGAAAGAGGGTTTGGTGCAAAGAAAAGGATTCGCAGGATATATGGCAATTGGGCAACATTATAGATCAGTTGCATGGGCCTCGATGGCGAGTGCGGTTAAAGGACTCGAAAAAGCGAATTCGTGTGGACATGGAGCACATTATGCCATTCAAAAGCTTACTGGATGATGAAGATGAGAACAACCATCAACAAGACATGGGCGAGTGGAGTGAATCGGATCATGGAGATACAACAGACACTGAATCTGCGGTAGAGGATGATCCTGTGATTGCGAGTCGACCGGATGATACATTTGGGAGCTGGGAATCGCATACCACCGGATTTGCATCAAGAATGATGAAGAAGATGGGATACATTCAGGTTAGGCGCGCGCTATTTGTACTAGTAAATGTGACTCATGCTGGGCTCTCAGGGTCAAGGTTTAGGAGCGGATGGGATGGGGCGATTGGAACCTATCCAGGCACAACCGTACAGTGGTAGTTCTCTGGATCAACGGCCTGGATTGGGACTCGTAAAGAAGAAGAAACAACCATTCAAAAAGAAGAAATCAAAGGAATCTGAGAAAGTCGAACAAGAAGAAGAAATGGACATGTTTGGACTGATGAACTCTTTACTTGAGAAACAGCAAACAGAAGAAAAGACGCCCGTAATGACAGCTCAACAACGACTCAACAAGTCCACAGATACCCGCCAAGCCAACCAAACCCGGGCAAAGCTCCAATCACAACTAGAAAATGCCAAACATGAGTATACACATGCAACAGAGGCATTGCGACGCAACAAAGGTACTGCAATGGAAGCTCAGTTCAGAGATAGACTGAAATCCGCCACAGAATCGTATCATAGACTAAACAAGCAAATGACTGAAATTGATAATTACGTCAAACGCACAAAGCAGCAAAAAGACATGTACACGTTCTAATATGTAATTATTTTTTATTCGTGTTGCATTTGATGTAAGTGTATATATATATATATATATATATATATATATATATAGTATATTATAGATGTTGGTAAATAAAAAGAGAGGGTCAAGAGAGATGGAGATGGCATTTAAACAGTACACAAGGTATGAAGATGGTGGGATGAAGAAGGATAGGGGTAGGGAGACAAAAAAAAATTACAAATACAATCTAGCGTGCAACTTCCTCACCAGCAACAAAAACTCGTTTCACACGAATCTCACCAGTAGAGTCATCCAAGAATACGAAATCAGCATCGCCACCAACATTCAATGTACCCTTTTGCTTATCAATACCTAGCAAACGAGCGGGATGGAGAGTAGCGGCTTCAATGGCTTCCACCAAGGGACAGTTGGTGAACTTTTGAAAGTTACGGATGCATTCGTCAATAGTGATTGTGCTACCAGCCAAAGTCTTGGTGCCCTTGAGATAGGCACCACCCTTCTCATCTACTTCAATTTCACAACCACCGAGGACATAATCGCCCTTGGGGAGACCCATGGCAGATAGAGTATCAGTGACCAAGACAGCGCCAGTGGGATGAGAGTAATAGGCAATACGGATAGAGTTAGGGTGAACGTGGACACCATCACAGATAAGACCATAGAAGGGACGAGGATCAGGCTTGTTGCGATCAGGAGAGGTGTTTGAGGCAGCAGGATGACAATTGGCTTTTTCGGGAATAGGTAAATCAGCAGCACCAAGAACACCAATTAATCCGGGATCACGGTGATGGAACTAGACAAAAAAACAACGATGAGCATTGATTCTGAAACACACCCTAAACATGAACAGACACACTTACAGCTTGCATGGCATTGAATAAATGGGTGATGCTGTTGGCACCATTAGTCACAGCCTTCTCAGCATCAGCAATACGACAAGCAGAATGACCCATTGCTACAGTAATACCACGTGCCACCAAGTCAGGAATAGCATCACAGACACCTTCGATCTCTGGAGCCACAGTCATGATACTCACAGCCTTGTTACCCTTCTTGAGCTCAGATCCATAGGCATCATCGAAATCTTGAATGCCATTCTTTGCGGTTCTGAACACATCTTGCTTATGAGCACCCTTTTTCAAGACGGAAATGAAAGGACCCTCAACATGTGCACCCAAAATTTCAGCGCCACCAGTAGCGCTACCCTTACGAGGGTTCAACAAGGGAAGGACCTAGATTACACAAGAAATGTTAAAACCCTTATTCAAATCCCTCCTCTTTTGACCGAAAAATAGAAACTCTTACCTTTTCATATACAGCAGGAGATGAGCTCACCACGGTTGGACAGAAAGCGGTACAGCCATACTGCAAGAGACCCTTTGCGACAGTATCAATGTTCTTCTTCAACACATCAACAGGCTCTTCGTAATCAGCAAAATCGATACCGTAAGCACCGTTGATTTGTGTGTCGATGAAACCGGGCACCACCAAGAGACCCTTTGCATCAATGATTTCATCAGCATCACGGCGAGCAGAAAAAAAGAGGTTTTGAGGATGGATAATCTTGCCATTTTGGAACCATAGATAGGAATCTTTGACGATTTCATGGTTCAACAGGAGTCTTGCGTTGATAATTTTGTAAATCTTATCGGAAGGGCTAATATCGGAGGAAGGCATTGTGAAAATTTGGAAAATGTGTAAAGAAGGGAAAGGAAAAAAGGGAAAAAATGGGGTCCAAAGGCAAGACCTTTTTATATGGAACATCCAGTTGAGGATAGTGGAGCATTCGCTTTTGTGACCGGGACGGGACACTGTAATTAAGTAAGCTCAAGGGTCCAATGTCTATAACATGATATCATTGGTGATATGTCTTATGTAATCGTGTCATCTGACATTTAAATTGAACATTCCCTCCATCTACATTGCCCTATTACGTTATTCGAAATGGTCGGTTTTCAAGGTCAAGGGTCCTTCTAAGGTTTAAGGGTTGTTGCGGGAAACCCTGTTCAGGATGCTCTGATAGAATCTCTTTTTGAAACAACGGATTCCTATTTGTTTATAATATACTCAGTTTCTATTTGAGAAAAAAAGGGTCCTACCCTGAGCAAAAGTCGGAAAAGAAGAGACCCTTAATCCATCTATTGATGGCCTGATGTTTGATAACAAAGATGAGTGTCGAAACGGCCTATTGAGACATGTGTCAATCATCATCTTTTTAGAAGAAAGAAACAAAGAGATGGCAAAAGGAAGAAAGGCACAGTGTGTATATATCAAATGTCTTGATTGTTTACATAAATTTTAAAGAAAAATAGTGGCCACTAGGTGGGAAAACTGCAATAGTGTAATGATAGTGTGCCCTGTGTTTGGTATCCGAATGTTATTTCCGTGTGCCTCCATATACCAACATATAAAGTCAATTTGATATCTACATGTCGCAAACAAATTGCAAAATATCTACAATTGCAAAGTGACACTTCCGTAATTTCTCTCGTATTTGAATTTGCGCTTTTGAGTCGATGAGATCTTGTTGGATAATTCGTTCGGATAATGTTATACACTGTCATATTGAAAAATTACATAATGGGTGCACACGGCATTTTTGAGATTACAAATCAGATTTCGCTTGCTCTTGTTGTCTCTTTTCTCTACATTTCATGCAAGATTAGAATTGATCTGATAAGCAGAAAAGCCCGATTTTATCAACAAGAGCGAGATCTTCAATGTGCCCAAAAACACCTTTAATGATGATTATCTGTCACGTTTTAAAAGTTTATGTCCATGTTGTTGTGGTGCTTTTTCATCATACATAACATTGCTGTTGAAAGCTTGCATTTTTTGAATCGTTCACGTTTAGAGGACTCCAAATCAAATGCGTACCTAAAAAAATCAGTATTCACAATGACTAATTTACACAATCACTAGGGTTCTCATTCAACATATCAGGTTTTTTTTTTTTACTTAAGCAGAGTACAATTTTGTAGTTACCATAAAAATTCTCATTCAAATGAGATATCCTCGACAATTAGCTTACGACATATATAACCTCTTAGCCGATCTAAGCTATACTACGTTTCAAATAGCATTGCTCTTTCCTTAAATTTCACAAACACTGATTGTTTGCATATGAAAGGCATGCTGGCCAGCTGCCACCGACGTAAAATTGATTGAAATTCAATTTTTTTTTCTACTCCAGATTGGCCAAATCTCAATTGAAATCGACTTGATTCATCTGTTTTACTAGATTCGACTATAAAAATTGTGATGATCATCCTATACTTCCTAATGCATTGATGTAGTACATTTTAAGGCGCATCCGATGGTGCTATTTATAATAAGTGTTTTAAACAAGCTCATTGAATAAAGTTAGAAAGTATGAATTGAGGTTTTTGGCCAAAATGTCGAAATTTTGCCTACGAAGGTCGCACAAAAAAAGTTTCAGGGGTTGCTTTGGATCAAGAGAAACTTCTTGATCCTATATATGCCTTAGTAAAAGTCTTCATTTTTGAGGTCAAAAACACGATCGTTTGATTTTTGAAGAAAACCATGAGGTGCCCCTCATGCTTTTTGGTCAATTTTTGGCCATTTTTTTTTTTGGTCCCAAAAAGTTGAGCAAAGGTGTCAGGAAGTTACTACTACTCAAGTACAATTGTTTGGCGTCATTCCGGTGGCTCAGAAAGGTCTACATATCAAGATATGAAGGCTTGAAAACTGTCAAATTTGTTTATGTATTGCTTTATAGCTTTTGTTTACATGACATGAATCACATCTTTGGTAGCTGCAATTTACTGGAAAGGCAGTTCCGTAGCCTGTTCAATTTTTCATTTGAATAGGAGGCATATTGATTTTGGTAAAGCTAATTCATGCAAATTTTGATGCGCTATGTTGCTGGTACGCTTATTAATAATGAAAATGAAAAACCGAATTTGCTGCTTGAATTCTACGGTCTTGCACCTTCGCTTCGCTACGGTAGAACCTTCATTAAGATTAATATTACCAAATGGTGGGTCAGATGCTTACTTGCCATAGTTTTTCGCCTTCACTTCGGTACGGTAAAACTGCCTCATAGGTCAATGTTACCAAATGTTGAATTAGATGCGTCATGTTTTTGGAGGATGGGCTTAGCACCTCCTCCAAACCCTCTCCCCAATGCCGGCTTCATTCACCTTGTACGGCACACAATTCTTTAAATTTTTGAAAGGATATGATTTGTCTGTCTATTTTTTTTTTTTTGAATGTTTTACATTATATGATGCTATACAACACTAAAATAACGGATATCATCTGAAGTAACGAGCCGAATGATCTATTGCTGGCCGCCGCCAAGCTATCTCATCATGGATCTACTTCTATCGAGCTCAATCAGTCTAAAGACCGTCAATTAGATCAACGTTCTAAAGGAAGAGCTCGACCCAACTGACAAACAAGCAACATCGGGCCACCAATAACCTTTGCTTGTCGCACACAATTAAATTTTCAACTTTCTTTCCATAGATGCTCACATAAACATGTTGAAAGTCCAGCAAACAAAGAAGAAAAAGAAGCCTTTTGCACACAGAAATATCAATCCCTCTCGAAAGACATACACAGTACAAGACATATTCAGAGTGCCCTTCAAATTGTTATGCGATCCAGCATACTTTTGGCATTTGGCTGCTTTGTTCTTGTTTGGTGAATTCGTTTTGAGCACGCTTATTATCCTTAAAGTGCCTTGTAACGTGTGCTATAGCAACGCGTAATGAAATTGAAGCCAGTTGCTAATACGCAAACAAATAGATACCGAAATCGATTGGATTGCCTATATGCAAGAAGTAGAAGGCTTCATTCTTGGTGAACGTGACTATACCAAGCTGAAAGGAGACACAGGACCTTTGGTGTGAGTATGGTGATTGTCAGCCTACATGTCCACTTGCTCATCATGTATTCACTAGATATCCTGCAGGATTCGTCTACATTTACTCTCTGTTTTACTACCTGACAGATCATGGGAAAAACGTTCGACTAGCGCAATATATCTTTGAAGCTCTCTACTTGATCAGTCAATTCATCGTATGCGCCATTTACCGACAATCAAAGAAAGTGCCACCCTATGTAATTTTACTGCTCGGATGCTCAAAACGATTTCACTCCATTTTTCTGCTGCGATGCTTCAATGACCCTGTTGCGATGTTGTTTATGTTTGGATGTATTTTGGCCATGACTTACCGAAGATGGACATTGGGTTCATTATTGTTCAGTTTAGCATTGTCGATCAAGATGAATGTGCTGCTGTTTTTCCCTGCATTTGGTATCATTCTGTGGCAGGTTCTGGGTGCTTACAAGACATTTGCTCAGCTGGGGTTGATTGTACTGACCCAATTAGCTGTTGCTTATCCGTTCCTGAGCCATTATCCAGCCTCTTACTTTTCAAAAGCATTTGAATTTAGCCGAGTATTCGATTATCAATGGACAGTGAACTGGAGAATGATGACGGAAGAGACATTTGTGTCGAATTGGTTTGCAAAGGAGCTTTTGATAGGACATGCATTCACACTCTTGATGTTTATTGTGTTTATCTGGTGTGGGCCGTAACGTATAATGCTGTGCGTATGACTGAAATGGATCCTAATGTATAGTTTCACTTTTTGTAGTAAAGGAGGTGTCATGCATGTACTGAAAAAGGGATTTTCTCGTCATAGTAGAATGACGGTATCGAACGATGGTAAGTTGCTGGACCTACACTTGATACATCATATATTCAATTGTGCTCTCAGAAATCATATCCATGATGTTTACCAGCAACTTTATTGGTGTCCTGTTTGCCAGATCCTTGCACTATCAATTCTATTCTTGGTACTTTCAAACGCTTCCTTACTTGTTATGGCAATGCGCATGGCTTTCTACAGAAAAGGGACTCAAGTCTACTTCTCGCATCTTGATCTTTGTTACAATTGAAGGATGCTGGTTGACATTCCCCTCGACCATCAAGAGTTCATGGACACTGGCAGCATGTCATATTATGCTGCTGTTGGGCGTATTTGGCAACTCACCTGGCCCTGACTACAGAATACCTTCCATAGACAAGCAATGAGTTGGGTCTTATTACAATCATTAATAAAGAAATCACAAAAAAAGGAGTAATATGATCACACTTATTAAATAACAAAGAGGCAAGCAGGTTTTCAAATATAAATTTGTTCTTTCTTCTTCATTTTCATCTCATATACCCATTACTTATCACCATGACAAAAAGCAGCACCACTACACCTAGCCTTAAGATCAGATTGAAGTTGAACACGATTCAAATGAACGACACTGTCAAGGTGCAGAAATCATCACCTTCTCCCAAATCAAAGTCGAGAAAGAAGACCCACAGCAAAAAGAGAAAGGCTAAGTGAGTTATGTTTCGATCTATATTTGATCATATCCTAATGTTAGAGCATGTACATAGATCCACCAAAGCACAAAGCACTCAGATCGATGGTAATTGCAAATTATTCACTCACTGTATTGCTATCAGCTCATCAGTCTTTCTTGTAGTTGCCACTGATAAAACAACTGCCCCGGCAGAGGCTACAAATAGGGCCTTTTACTGGACGTCAGGTATGCAGCATGTACATCCACATGATATCAAATTACTCACTAAATATAATACCAGAGCGCGTGGAATCAACAAAATTAATACTTCGGACTGTAGTCATGGCAAATTAATTGCGTATAACATTTCATTGTAGAAAAGACTAAATTAGCAATCATTTAATAGCATTAAGCCATCAATCATAATATAAATCTTTAATTTAGACATCATAGCATGCGCTTCCATGGCAGAAAGAGAAAGAAGGGGCCGAGTATATTTGGTTTTATTGTCAATTTAAATCAATGGCAAGGAATGTGCCTTTTTCTCGGTTGTTGGGGATAAGTCTGCTGTCGGATCGGCTCAAGAGATCAGTTATCTGCTCTCTCTTCCATCTTGCCAAGAACATGTATCTCAGCTTCTTGAATAGGGTTTCTTGTAGGGTGTCGTTTGCTGTCACTGCGTACATGGATACCACCAAATCCACATTGTCCTTCAATTGTTGATCTAAAGTTCTGCTCAAATCAAATTGCTCAGGGCCCCAAGTTTTCTCAAATTGTTCCACTTCTGCTGCTATTGTTTGCTTATCATTGACAAATGTTAAAGATGCGATTGACTCTGTTGTCAGGTCTTGAACAGTTAGAATTAATTCATCACTATGATGGTTGACTTGAATAGTGATGTTGAGTAGGGACAGAGATCCATCTAGGCACCACTTTAGTTAGCCTAGAATGCCCTTAAAGTAGAGTAAAGTAAAATTACCATTTTGAACATGCAGCGAACCTACATGTGCATTAAAAGCCGTTTGTAACCGCATTCCCCTATACACTGCTATTTCAATTGATTTTTGTTGCTTCTGCGGTAAGATGGTGGTAAAAACGGCTGATTTTGGCCCATCTTCAATGCTGTGTCGTCTTATAATGGGATGCATCATCCCTCCCGCTACCGCGATGCCATAATGTACAGGAGATAGCTCAACGCAGCAAATAAAATGGCCACCCTCCAGTTGTTCTCGTGCTATCAAGCTGCTGTATTTTGCTGCGCCAAAAGCAATTCTGTATTCATATGGTATCGTGTTGTCATCGTCAGTAGCATGACCTTCACAGAAAACCAAATTGCTGCTCTTGAGGTGGCTTTTCAGGAACGCTTGTAGGTGTTGAACAGCCTGATGGTGTGATACAGTCAAAGGATTGGCTGATGTTATAATCACTTGATGGACGATAGTGTTATCAGGGATTTCTGCATTTCGTGCTAGTTCATCTAATGTAGATGACAACATTGAGAGGATGCCCAATCCGCTTGCCGTATAGTTGAGTCGTTGATTTGCCAATGTTTCAAAAATGCCATCTTCATCTTTCAACATAATGGCAATGTCCAAGCTATTCTTCTTTAAATGAAGCTCCAAATAGACATGGTCGCTCTCGATGTTGTTATCAGGGCAAATCATGGTCGATGCTACATTTCTTCCCATAACTATAATTCCCGCAAACCCTGCTCGCTTAGCAGCTGCTTTGGCCAAAGATCGAAAATCTAGAGATGTTGTATAAGAAAGTAAGCCATAGAACTGGGAATCTTGAGCAGTAATGATCAAACCTTGATTGTATTTGCTTTCTGCTATAACCGCAAAATATTTCCCCTATGAGAATAAGTGTGAGTATGATTACCACTGTAGATCAAAAAAAAAAAAAAGAACTAATGTCAACCTTTGGGAATCCGTAGTTGATAGATACCATATATTTTATACGTTTGAACAGAGATGCCAGCTTTCCCTCCATAGTATATGAATCATTGTTGGTGAATGAAAATCCAGTAGTTTGGTTTGCACATTGTGCGTTCTCATACTGATAGGCTTCTTGGAACAAATGCCATTGATTTTTATTGCCACTCTGACTACAATCAGAGTCATCAATACCAGGCAATGAAAGCGCACTAAAATCTGATACAGCCACTATTTCCTCAGTCAGTGAGCTAGATTCATTGATTAAGGATGCGGCAACTCTAACAGTGGATCGATTTGTCTCCAATCTATGACTTAAATCAATGCCGAGAGCAATGATTGTGCTGCTTTTGCTGCTAATAGCTTCTACGGATAGTGTAAAAAGCAAAAGAACAATGCACGATGAAAAGAAAAGCATATGAGTTGACATAATACAAGGAAAAAAAAGAAAATGGAATTTATATTTATTTGAGTAGAATGGAGAGTATGTGCCACGTTAAGGACAGGTATTTTGCTATCATTGGATGCTTATGTAAAAGGTACATTTGCACAGCTTCAGCGCTTATATTGCTCGCGATGTAGCCCTGCATGCTCGCAAAGAAAGGATAGCAGTTTTTGAAGTGTTACTTCTTCTGAACTGAAAAATCAGTCAAAATTAAGCTTTGTAATGCAGCATCAAGATATTTAAGCCAGATTGCATGATTTTACTGCCAATTCCCTCTATACCCAAGCCATCAAAACACCTGTTCAGTTTTAGGGCTGTTGACCCGTCTGCATACAATTTACGCCGAGATACCCGAGATAAACTCTCAATAAGGTTGTAAAGTATGGTTTATTAACTCTCTATATATATATCAATTATCACAAGTAAATTTACATAATGTAATCAACTCGATATGCAACTGTTCTCCACTTTAGAGCTGCCCCTTAATGTCAATCTTTTTATACTTTTTCGAGCTTTCCATCAAACCAGCATGCGCGGCTCTTGCGTCCAGTGCCTCGCTGTTATTTGCCTTTAGGATATTAGCCTTTTGCTCATTCAGAAACTTTAGCAGTTGCTCTCGGGAATCAAACGCCAGCTCTTTTTGAATAAACGCTAATGGGATATCGGGTCGACAGCTATTTCATGTGTGTATGTCAGTAATCCATCAAGCATTCAAATTCTCCAGATGTATACTTACGATTTACACAATATAATCAAGGAATGCACACGTTCTCTTTCGCAGAAATGATCCATCAGATATCCTCCCATGTTTGGTGCATTTTTATATAAATTAAAGAATCGATGGTAGTTAGCAGTGGCAAGCGAAGAACGTACATTCAGGGCATGCTGGACGAATGGATTGTGTTTTTGCTCAGATGTCAAATCAGCCATGGTGGAATTGACATCTGCCCAATTTTGTGTGTGTAGAAAGTAGAGGATGCGATATGCCGTGAACTCCATGACATTGCCCTTTATGCCTTTAGTGTAAAGTCCTTTTAGCTGCGTCTGACATTGATTATACTCCCCTAAATCACTCTGGCAGTTGTCAAAATGACGGGTGAGGAACATGGCTCGCACTCGATCAACAAGTACCCACCTTTTCTAATGCAATTCTGGCATGGATTTCGTATACTTGTACAGTAAATTCATTTTGAATTCTTTGAACCGTTAAATCTTGTCGCATGGATTTGAATTGATCACAAATGTAAGTATAATTTTGTTCATTTTTCCACTTATCCTTTAATAACTCGAGCGTTTTTTTCAGCACTTCTAAAGGTCTCACGGTAGCTGGATCTGGGGCCTGTTTGCATTCCAATTAGCACCCCCATCCGTAAAACGCTTTCAAACTATGCTTACCGAGGTGAGTCGAAGATACTGCTTCTCCAGTTTTTGAGATGTGCCCACCACCGTATGATTAAACACGTCGCCGTCCTAGATAAGCAGCAGTGTGTTAGAGATACCTCCTTTGAAGTTCATCCATATTTTTTGTCCTTACAATGTGCATATTTTGCATGGGTGTCGAGACATTTTCTGATCTGAATTGTGCTGCATCTTCTTCAAATCGTCGCAAACGTCGCAGCCTCTTTGCTTCCTCTTCTGCTGAGAATTTTTGCTGCTCTTTGTTAGGCTTGGGTTGAGAAACAATCTTTTTACTATTTGCAAAAGAGGATTAATAGATCTGAAATGTTGGCATATTACTTCACCTGTGATGTTTACCCTTTCTTTTTCTTTTTTTGTGGATTCTGAGTGCAAGCACTAAAATACTCTATATCAGTGACTCTCTTTCTCTTGATACTATGCAATGCAAACATACCTAGGAAGATCCATCTCACTCCAATCTGTTGTTAGCAGAGTGCCTGCTTTATGCGCCTCCAAGATAAGATTACGAAGCTGCAGTTCCGCTTGATCTCTTTTGTTGGATAAACAGTTTGCAAAAACATCTTGAACATATTGTCTAGTTCATCCTGCTTAGCAAGCCAACAAACCTCTGCTCCTTGCAAAATACTTACTTGAGAGATGCTGGCCAGGTTTCAACAGCCATGGCGTTCTTTTCGTTGGCCTTTTCCTCGGTGGTTCTCGTATCTGTTGCGACGGCAGCTGGAGGTGGAGGTGGAGGTGCTTGTTGCTGTTGTTGTTGATGGTGGACAGGAGGACGTGGAGGAGGCTGTTGTGGTGGCTGCTTGGACCATGGTGGAATTTTTGATGCGGGCCCTAATGGGGATATGTTTAGTCATTAGGACAGTTTACTTGTGATTTGACTTACTATTGGGAACAGGAGCTGCTTGATATGTAAACTTACTTGGCTCGGCTTGGGTAGCAGCAGAAGAAGGAGGTGGAGGAGGAGGGCGTTGATGCTGTTGTTGCGACGGTGGGGGAGGTGGAGGAGGTCTGTGAAATGACAGTTATTAGCAGCTTATTTTGCATTTATCAACTTGACAATGAGTTTACCTTTGTTGTTGATGCTGTTGCGCATAATATGGGTGCTGTTGATATTGATGTTGAGCAGCGGCGGATCCTGGAGGAGCAGCGTGTGCTGGCGATGTCGCTGTAGCTTGGTGATAGGCTTGCTGGCCATAGTAACCTGGATACTGAGAATAGTCATAGTTAGCATAAGCTGCATTTGCTTGAGCTGCACCCTCTGTTCCAGGAGCAGCTGCAGTATTATAATGTTGATAATACTGCTGATAATAAGCTTGTTGTTCTGGTGTTTGGTATTGATAGTACGCAGCGTATTGCTGATCAGCTGGAGCATTAGAACCAGGCGCGGCAGGGTAGGGAGAATACTGCTGCCATTGCTGCTGTTGTTGGGCTTGTTGCGAAGGTTGTTGTTGTTGTTGAGGAGGAGGAGGAGCAGCAGCAGTAGACCTAGGTCCAGCTGTGTTGGAGAAGAGTTCATTATCAAGACAGCACATTTACTTACCATGGGGGATTTACTGCTTGTTTATTCTGTGGATAAGCCATCTCTTGATACAAATCTCGCTTTGACAGTATGTAGCAGTTTCTTTCTTTTTCTTTTTTTTTTTTTTTTTTTGCTAAAAACAAGAGAAAGAGAAGGGGTTTTATGTCTGTACGAGTTTTTGCGATTGCACATCAATTTGGTTGGGTTGGAATATAAAGTCACCAGCAACTGGATGATGCTGATGGTGATGATAACCAACATGCCATTTGATGGATGTGCCATGCCAATCTACTGTTTAATACGCTTGTTCGTAGTGCTATGTAATGTTAAGTTAGAGACTGGATCTGCTCTTTAACGTATACAGTATTGCTCGAGTGTTTGAAATGTCAATCGAGGCATGTTTGACAAGTCGTTTCTATTGCTTGAATATAGATTTGGAGCTGATATGTCAAGCTTTGGGTCGCATCTGCTGTTGCTTGTAGGCTGAATACTGTTACAATATTGCAATTCAACATTATTGGCAGCATATAAATTACATGTATCCTCTGCCTCCTGTTTCTATATGGACATGGTTGCATCAATGATGAACAACTGGTGGAAGTTGAAAACTCCTTGTTGAAAACCTGCCTGCGCGCGTATTGGGTTGAGCATCCATTTTTCTTTCGTTATTGTTTGCTCATGTCAGAAGCCAAACTAGAATTGCATGACAAACTACAAAAGATTGGCAGTGCTTTAAAAGACTACACCCAAAAGATCTCCAGATCAAACAGTCGCCAAGTAGCCAATCTATTAAACGACATCCTGCACACATTAGAAGCTGTCGATGACCCAGATTCAACCATCACCAAAGTGCACATATTGTCGATTGTGCTGCCACTGCTAGCCGTATACAAATCAATGATCATGGAAGAGAAAAGCGGCTTTCAGATCATAGTGGAGCCATGGCTCAAGATCATGTATTTTCTGCTGTCTAGAACCAACACGAAGATAGCCATGCCACCCCAATTTACGACTGAACTAATTGCCATGCTCGCAACACTGCTGGATCAGAGCAGTTCCCCTGCCAATATACCCAAGCCAGCGATACCACCCTCCGAGGAAATCAAGCATCTATCAGTGAAATGCCTGTCGGAAGCATTACCGATCAAGCGCAAGGAAACGCTGTACAATGCTACAGCATTAACATCAGCATTGCAGCAAGAGTCTTTTTTTCTCAAAGCTTCGCAGGTTACCATGGCCTTATTAAACACTATCCGACTGGAGCGAAATCTGCAACTTCGTCTGGATGCAATAAGCGCACTGATTCAACTGCTGGTGGATAACATTCAAGACATTGACAAGATTGCAAAACTACTTCCAGGTGTCATTTCGAAATTATGCCTTACCATGACACAGAGATCAGAGAATGAGAACCATCAGCTGATATGTGGTTTACTGGATGCAATAGGCGAGTTGATCAGCACCGTGATGTGCGATGATGTGAACAATACGTTGGAGAGCATTCGCAGCTTTGAGGATATTGTGAACCAGCATAAGCAGCCATCAGTTGAGCCACAACAACAACAACAACAACAAGAACAGCCCTCAGGCACCAAAGAGATATTCCGCGATAAAGAGTGGTATGCCAAAGTGAAGCGAGAACTGCGATTGATGTTTGGACAAATACTGCGACTCAAGCTATACCCGGATTGGCGAACCAGACTGACATTTGTCAATTTCTCCTATCGATTGCTGTCCACATGCTCGAGGACACTGGATAATTGCGTACAGCTGCTCTTGGATGTACTGGTGTTGCATGCGGATGACGCCTATCCTCAAGTCTCTAGGGTATGTCGCTTTCATATGAGACGTTTACTCGCATCAGCATCATTTGGCAATGCTATTATGCCCGTCCTCAAGGACAATTTGTATCATTGGATCATGAAGTTTCCACAGTATGTGATATCCAAAGACGAGCAGGAAAAGACGGTTGCCATGTCCTTGATCATTGGCATGATTGTGTTGCTGGAGGATCAGGCAGAGAGCGTGCTTTCCATGGTGCTGAGCCGTGCTTCTGATGGTTGGATGACAGCGTTGGAAATAGACAAGAGCAGTTTGGATATCTTGGAGGAAAAGAACAGTGAGCGGTTCATTGAACTTGGCACAGACACAGCAGCACCTTCGCCTACACCTCTGTATCCCAGAATTCGCTTCAAGCACATTGTTACCGACATGTCTACAGCAAAGTTGAATCGACTGCTGAACATCATTGGAAAATACTGTGGTCTATCGAGTTGGGTACACCATTTCATGCGCTATGTGTCGACAGAGAATCAGGAACTGAGTGACCCACAGGCAGCCTATGTGGTCCACGCACTGATGTCTGGCTTCTACTCGTCTGACATGACAATGACTGAGTACGACGAGGCGGATGCTTGGCTCGAGTACGTTGAGGACGAGGAGGATACAAGTTGCGACAAGAAGGTGCAACTGCAAAAAATTGCTGCCCAGGTGCTAAATGACACCATGGAAATCCTTTCTGCTGCCACCAGTACCAACACCACATCCACGGCATTATCAGCAACAACAGCCAGTTTGGATGACGAGAGTGGACATGTGCTGACTGTGTGCTTTGGATTACAGATAGTCGGTCTTGCAGCCTATATCTTGGATCAGGACTATCTGCAGGAACAACTGATCACCATCCTGTACCCTCTATTGGCTCACCTAGGGTCCTCTAACGTGTACATTCACACCTACGCTTTAATTACCTTGGACACTATGGCGCTCCAGTGTGGATTAGACGGAGCCAAAGCACTTGTGATTGACAATATCGACTACATCATCAACTCCATATCTCAGCACATTTCTGTCCTCACCCACAATGCACGCGTGCCACTGGTATTGAAGGCGTTGATCCATGTAGGTGGGTATGCCTGTATCAACTATTTGGATGACACAGTGGAGGAGATATACGATGCTTTGGAGCGGTATTCACTGGATGAATGGCTGTGCGCTCAACTCTGCAGTGTGTTATTTGAGGTGATTCAGACTTTGGAAAAGAACATTCCGCCCACGACAGCATCTGATGAATCTAACGTGACAAAATCGCCTACAAAGGGCACTGAAGCGCTTGTATCGCCCCAAGTGATGTCTTTTATCCAGCAACAAGATGACTATGTGGTGGACGAGGAATTCAGGTCCATGGAGGATATTGGCAAGTACTTTTTGGACAGACAAAAGAAGGGTCTTCATGATGACTTGACGTTGGATCAAATCATGGAGCAAGGCAACTTACCTATGGATTTGCCCGCAAAGGAAGATGAAGACGTTGAAGCCCCCACAGACGACCAACCTATCCCACTGACACATGAGCAACAGATGGCCAAGGACATTATGGACAAGGCCAGCCACTTTCTCACCGTGTCTTCACCCAAGCTGCGATCTCAGATTCTCTCACTCCTTGCGTCTGGCGTCAGCATACTATCAGACCATCCAGGAGAACTCAACAAACTCGTCTACTCCATGTGGCCATCCATCGCTAACCGATTCAACGACCCTGAAAACTACGTGGTGCTGCATGCTGCTCGTCTTGTGGAAAAGATATCGCAAGTATCCACAGACTTTTTATCTAGAAATTTCACTGTCGATTTATGGCCCAGATTCAAATCCTTGCTTCAAAAGGGTGTCTCTGCTGCTCAATCAGATCCTGCATCGACCGGCTACTCTGTCTACTCACTCTACCATCGAACGCAGCTGTGCTTGTTACATACGCTGGCAAAAGTGGCTTACTATGTGCCTGTGAAGCAAGACCTTGTCAAGGATATACTGCAGACAACACGGTATTATTACAGGAATGACCAGGTCAATCAGCAGCTGGATGAAGCGTGCCAGGGCCTGTTTAAGGGACTAGCAACACAGCAAGCTGATACGGTGTGGTTGTTTGAACAGCGGCCTGGAAGTTGCCTGCCGTCACCCGACGCTGATCTACTTGATGTGTTCCAGGTACCTGAATGGACTACTACCTTGAGTAGCAGAAACCACAGACCTGGAACGTTGGTCCAATTTAAATAAACTGTATATAATGTAAAATCGGAAAATATTGCTTTTTGATGCTACATTCTGCGTATATGCTCTGTATAAATACCCTGCTTGCTCGCTTACTGGCTTTCTCGCTTCTTTGTTATTTGTATATTTCAACTATCGATTAAAAAATGCCCTTTTGTAAATGTGGTGAATTGTGTCTAGATGACAAGTGTAGCAAGTGTGGATTCGATTTCAAAGGTACACATAGAGATCGATTCATTCATAGATACAATAGCAAGCTAAAATATTCCGTATTTAATGGGAGCAGCAGCCGTCGCAGATAGAGAGAATGACAAGGTGGATCGATGGCAATCAAGGTAAGCGTATATAACAATCTACTGACTTTTAGTGATGAAACTCACTGTGGGCATATAGGTATTTGGGCAGCGTCATGGGGCTGGACAATCTATCCTCTCCCGTCGATAAAGAAGACAGATCCGCTTGCTCCTCACCCTTATCGCAACATACTAGCTTACCCATCATCCAACGCATCACAAAGCCATTCAACAGTCTATTGGATAGCAGAAGAGTTACTCCCTCCAAGAGTTTGACAAGTCCTGCTCTCAACAAGCGATATTCAATGAGCAATCTAGCAATCAACCATTGTGGAGAGTGTCATAAGAAGCTGTCGGGAAAGACAGTACGCTTACCCGATAGTCAGGTCAAGTATCATTGGAACTGTCTTCAATGCAAAGGATGCCAATTGCCGTTTCAAGGCACGTCCTTCTTCATTGATGTCCTCAAAAATGTGTATCATCCCCAAGTGAGTAAACACCCGCATAAACATGTACCATGGCTTCCTAACCCGTGGCTGATAGTGTGCACCATCGAATGCTGTAGCTCAAAGTTGCTCTCGCTGTTCTCAAGCTATTACTGATAGCTACATTGCGCTCAATACAAATGTGTTGCATCCAAGGGTAAGCCATGGCATAAACACTACCATTATAAATATTGACTGCCTACAATCACAGTGCCTTCGATGTACTGGCTGCCAAAAAATATTACATCCAGCATCCATTTACTTTGATATCAATGGGGCTCATTGCCAAACATGCTCCAACGAAAAGATGGACAACAAGGAACTGCTATCAAAGCACATGAAAATTGTACCTCAGTTACAAAAAGTAGCTGTTGCTACTACTACAACGAGCATCGCCACCAACATTATTGAACAACAACATCAGCAGGAAGAAGTACAAGAAAAAGCGATATCACCCATTGAAAAGGTCGTTGAAACGGTAAAACCCTCCTCTTTGATGAGCTCACGAGGCCGTCGGCCACTTCCTCAATTTGGTGTGGTGCGAGATTGTGCTGGCTGTAATCAACGCATCTACTCTGTGCATGAAGAGATACCTGGTCCCAAAGCATCCAAATGGCACAAAAAGTGCCTGGTCTGCACAGGTTGCAACAAGACACTGGATTCCGGGGCCACTGTGCACGAGCACGAGGACACGCACACGCTGAATCCATGGTGTACGACTTGTTTGCTAAGTAAAAAGAAATCAATGGTCCATAGTAACTCGGCTTCGGCTGTGTTTAGTGCTATTTTTTAAACAAAAATGCTCAACAAGGAGCAACTTTTCTCTCCCCTCTCCCCCCCCCCCTTGATTAGCATTATATAATGTTATCCTGTTTGTCTCTCCTTTTTTGTCGTTCTTTATTTCATAGACATATAAATGAGCTTTTTACCATCTCCATCTTCTCCCTGTTCAGTGTACAACCCACCGCCTTATCCAACAAATGACACAGAGATCACAGCAGTGACAGCCACCTCCACAGCCATCATACTGGACCAAGATCCTTCGCCATCCATAAAGAATCCCAGGAACCACCACAACCATCACCATCACCACTTGAAGCATCGTGCTTGTTATTTATGCAAAAATAGAAACATACCACCTAACGTGCGAGAGATTGGACCCTATTTAATTCATCGTACACAACCAGATTTGGTACTGATATGTCCCTGTCAACACAAGGCACATCCCACTTGTCTGAGGCAGCTACAAACAGACTTCATTTGCAACATCTGCAATTCAGTCTACCAGCTGAGGTACATTCGATATGCCCAGTTGTTGTGTCTGGCATGCCACATACTCAGTTTGGCATCGACGGTGGGGCTTGTGTTTGGACTGTCGCATCTAGGTAGAGCATTGGATGAACTAGGGCTAGGCAGTGAAATGGGGCCAAAGTTGGATGGAGACGAAACATGGCAAGACCATGAGATGTTGGATATTGTGGAATGGCTCAACATAGTTCATTTTGCAACGGGTGTCGCAGGAGAGGCATTGCTAGGACTAGTGTATATGGTGGGTGTGTGCCTGGTGATTGGGCAGGACCGCACACTGATCATGATATCCAATATACTGTATATACGCTTGGATCCCCTCAAGAGACAGACTTGGATTAATGTAATCTGTCTGTGGATTTGTCTGTTTGTATTTGGTCTGGTATTAGGTACCTACCTGCTCTTCTTTTCGTGGATCTGGGCAAGTGTATTGCACCATATACGGAAACGGATGATGTATGTTCAGATGCATCACCTTGATCCCTACTGTAGAGCATAATGATGAGTGTCTATTTTATCATCTATGTATATATATATATATAAACCCTTTTTCTGATCCTCTCTCTCTCTCTCTCTCTCTCTCTCTCTCTCTTCAGCATTTCCTTTTTACATCTTTCATGAAATGGTTCTTGGACAAAAGAAGAAGAAAAAGGCAAAACAGCCATCTCGCTGCAATCACAGTGACACACCAACAAGAACAGATGAACTAAAGAACGACTTTTGGCTGCCCACCATCAAAAGACGACGGCGCTTCTCTAGCAAGGAAATCAGATTATTACAAAAAGAATTCAGCATCAACTGCAGTCCGTGCGCAGACAAGGTGGAAGAAATTGCAAAGCTATTCTCTACTGATAAAAAGATCATCACTACCTGGTTTCAAAATAAAAGAGCCAAAACCAAGAAATTGCAAGCCAATTCGCCTCGAACAGTATCCTCGGTAGATTATGAGACAGAACAGGAACAGCAAGAAGAAGAAGAGGAGGAGGAGGAGGATGACGAGCACTACGACTATGATGATACCACTACAGAACTCTCCAATACCAATACTGACATGGACAGTGATACTTTTCATGTCATGAATGGTGACACAGCTCTTACTACACCTACCTGTATTTTGCATCAACAGGAATATCAACATATAGTCTCCACACTCAGCAGCCCACATTACGCGCACAAACATCTAATTAACTTCTTCTCCACCTACCACTTTGATTTGTATTATCTGACAATGCAAGAAGATCAAGATGATGCAAGCTCATTTTTCGCCTACAGCAGTTAAAGCACCACGCATGCAACCACTGTTTCCGGCCCTGAAGCACTTTGATCTGAGCTGGCGGATTCACCCTTATGGTGTGAGTAATACAAATAAAAGTTTTATTATTTTGCGCCGTGGGAATCACTATATACAGCCAACATGTTGGATATCTTTTGTTGAAAATACTGCACATTGTTTATACAAGCGTATTGTTCGTTCAAGTCAAGTTGAGTCAGTTGTTGTTGCACAATGCCTCGTTCTTGATTCGACATGTCTATTTTGATATAGTTCAGCATGTCCAATAGTTTCATTTGAATGTATTGATCTTGTGTGAATGGTAATTGTGGTGAAGCATGTTGAGCATACATGGGCGGGTGATGGTAATAGAGTGATGGATGAGGATAGTAGTAATAAGGAATGGCTGTTGTCGCTGCTGCTGCTGCTGCTGCTGCTGCTACGCCTGTAGACGTGTAGGCTGACTTGTTGGTTGTCGCCAGAGGCATCACCTTGTCGTTATTATGAAGAGGACGAGTGTAGAAATGCATTGCCAATTCAGAATCACTGAGATACGCCAACTGTTGATCGAAATTATGCTCCTTTCTTGGTACTTTGGGCTCATGAAACCTCACCACCATATCATCAGTGTGGTTCATGGACAGAATAGCATGCGCTGCTTCCACAGATTTACTGTAACTGACAAACCCAAACCCTTGTTTCCCCTTATCTTGTGGCATGACTTTGGCACTAATGATGCGTCCAAATGGCTTGAATAAATTAAATAAATCAGTACTGGTCGTGCCAGGTTGAATTCCCTTTATATAAAGATTACACAAATCCATTGTTGGTTTGATTTCAAAACTAGGTGTTGCTAGTTTGGTTTGAGCATTGTATGAACGACGATGATGGCTTGTCATTTTTTCGATTTGTTGGATACAAGAAGGGAAAAAAAAAAAGAAAAAAATAGGATTCTTTTGCCTCTTGATCTTTCTTGATCTGTCTCTTCTCGATCTCTTTTTATACGTGTAGAGTATAATCAAACTGAAAATATACACTGCGCAGTATATTTCTTCTCTGGGAAATTCTACTGTTGTCGCACTGTTCTCTTCTGTTTATGTACATGCATTTCTTAATGACAGCTCAGTGCTTGTAGACACATATTTTGTTCCTGAAGTGACGACCAATGTGCCTGGATCTCATCCAATTAGTGCAACGTAGCTTCCATAAAGCAAAGCATCTATAGACGGTATTGAGGTAAGTGTATCGTCTATGACATATTTGAATGCGAGCTCTAGGATCCACAATTACTAAAGCTTTGTTTGAAGCGAACTTACATAATTTCATTCTAGAGATGAGTCTACAGCCAGATTCGTATAACCCCACAGCCTGTACAATGGAGTACAGCCATACATTGTAGCCATTGTACTAGAATTGGCACTTTTAGGGGCGTTATTCTCATGATGTTGGCTTTTTTAGACATTGTGTTGTATACCAATTAATAACTCTCAACTTGTAGATATGACCAAACTCATAAAATAGAAAAATTTTGGATCGTCCAAATTCCACCAAACCTCATAATGAGGAATCCCTCATGAATTTCTGCATTTTTAAGTCGAAACTGGGTAAACTCGACTAAGGTATATCTTGAGTTAGAATAACCGTTAGAAGTTCCTTTATTATCTAAAAGTAGCGAAACACTACTTTCGCTGTGCTTCCACTTCTAATTTACCGAATTTTTGTAATAAATTTCTTTAGCGAAGAGGGTAGATGTTAAAATAGAGGGCGATTCTGGCAATGAAGCAGCTGCTTTTGTTGTAAACCCGTCTTTCAGACTGACAAGCTTGATAAACCTGCATAAATATATCAAAAATAAAAAAGATAGTTGAGGAAGAACCGAAAGACACTGATATGCAAGAAGCAACTACAAAAAAATGAAAGGCTAGTTTGTAATGCGACACACTTGAATTAATGGCAATCTGAATCGATTCGTTTTGTATGTTGCATTCATAACTAATGCCGTGTGGAAGTAATTGAAAAGAAGCAGTGTATCCCTTCTGTAATAAACAAGTATTCCAGTTTACTATTATTAGCGTTGATTATGGTTTTATGAGCATAACTATTGCCATTGCAAAAAGCACCTTTATAAGAAAAAGCTCCAAAGAAAGAAAAAGTATTTGGATTAAGTGATTGCCCTTTTCAATTCCATGATCCCATTTAATCAGTATCGCAATTATCATTGCCATCATCAGAAAGGCATTTGGGCCAGCCAGCAGCAGCGCCGTCTGCTGAAATAGATTGACGCTCCGCTTATTTCTTTTTGTTCAAGATTGGTCATATTTTGTCTTTTGCCGATTTCTTTAATCTATTTTGTGATATTCGACTATATAAATTATTTTTATCTGGCACTTCCTAATACATCCTAAGAGTAATTTTCAAGGCGCTTCCAATGATGCCAAGTAAAATAGATGTTTTGAATGAACTTATTGAGCAGTTCCAAAAAATATGAAATAAAGTTTTTGGTCAAAATGTCGAAATTTTGCATATGAAGATCTCATAAAAGCAGTTTCAGAGGTTGCTTTGGATCGAGAGAAACATTTTGATCTGATATACACCATAGTAAAAATCTTCATTTTCAAGGTGAAAAATGCGATCGTTTGATTTTCGTAAAAAACCATGAGGTACCCCTCATGCTTTTTGGTCGATTTTTGGCCATGTTTTTTGGGTCCTCAAAAAGTTGAGCAAAGATGTCAGAGAGTTACTACTACTCAAGTACAATTGCTTAGCATCATTCCGGTGGTTCAGAAAGGTCTAAATGTCAAGATATGAAGGTTTGAAAGCTGTCAAACTTGGTTATGTTTTTGCTTTATAGCTATTATTTACACAGCATGAATCACATCTTTGGTAGCTGCAATTTACTGGAAAGGCAGTTCCGTAGCCTGTTCAATTTTTAATTTGAATAGGAGGCATGTTGCTTTTGGTAAAGCTAATTCATGCAAATTTTGATGCGCTATGTTGTTGGTAAGCTTATTAATAATGAAAATGAAAACCTGAACTTGCTGCTGAATACTATGGTTTTGCATATTCGCTTTGCTACAATCAAACCCTCATATATATCAATATTTCCAAGTGTTGGATTAGGCGCCTTATTACCATGGCTTTGCACTTTTGATTTGCTACGGTAAAACCTCCTTATAAATCAATGCTACCAAATGTTGGATTAGATGATTAGTTGTCATAAGCTTTGCACCTTTGCTTCGCTACGGTAAACCTCCCCTATAAATCAATGTTATCAAGTGTTGAATTGGATGCATTATTATGTTCTTGTATATAGAGTGGAGATGATGATGGTTGGCGCAAGCTGTAAATGCAGCAATTCAAATGTCTTTTAAGATCTAATGCTTGGTCTTACTGCATGCAAATACAGTTTCAAATGTTACACGAATTCATCAAGGCTAAAGTATTGTTCACTCGGTGATCGTCATTAAATTGCACATCTGTAAGATGAAACATCTTCGAACTCGAAAAACAATGACTCGATCCATAGCCGCACTTGGATATCAGCAGAGAGGAAATAAACCCGTTGTTGATTTTCTCAATATAGCGTATAGACTATCACCTTTAGGATAGATCTCGTTTATGGTATGATTGGATGAATAGCAAGTAGTGTTGCAGCATTTCAGTTACACAGCAAGGTGACTCCTTTTATGGTTGCCATACCATGAACATCATACTATGTGTTTCTCTCTCTCTCTCTTCCCTCTTTGATACAATTACACAACATTGAAACAGATTGGATATCTCTTTCTTTCTCATCTCGATATACCTTTTACTACTAAATAATACACTTTTTATAATTTTATACCATTTGAACATTTCCACATTTGACCATGCAAGTCTTTAAAAAAGTATAAACTTCAATTCCCTGCCCCTCTCTCTCTCTCTTTCTCTTTGTTTCTCACCCAATTACCTGTAGGATCATCAGAACAAGCCTATACCATATGCAGTCTTAAAGATACAACTAAAGCGGCTCGTTGAGCAACAGAGTGAAAGAGGGGTCATATATACAAAGGATTTGCTCTCTCTCATTGATCAATACGAATTATGTGAGCATGTTGTATTACTGACACAAGTACAAAAGAAGGCCATTCTTCCATATACAAAAAGTAACCCCGACTTAGAAATGACACCAGATGATATTTTGAATCTATTAAAGCTCGTCTGTCCACCTTCGCCAGTTGTATCTCTATCAGCACCAACAAGGCACATTGTAGAGGATTTGATTACTGTTAGGCCAAGAACTTCTCCCCCTTTGAAAACACACAAATCAACTCCTTGGAAGAGAAGACCTTCAGCTGTAGCTGCTTCTATTCAGGACAGAGACGATGTCTTGGATATGATTTCGTCTACTACCGAGGATCATCAACAGGAAGAAGACGAGGATGAGCAAGACAAATTCCAACCTGATTTGATAGTAAGTACAAGCACTTGCATACTTGACTCGACGACTAACACTTGTTGCTAGATGTCAGGAAACACATCAATTGAAGTACCTGACGATAGTCCCGGAGAGAAAGAAGAACATTCCAAATTAATTACAACCGAAGAAGAAGAGGATGAAGTAAGGGGAAAACTAGAGGGAAAAAAGGGAGTTGAAGTCAAAATCTTTGCATTGATCATTAACTTCTTGCAGTATTCAAACCAGGATTTGGCTCGTTACTACCGTAGATCTCTCAAACTGACCCAGAGATTGAAATCATCCGAGAAAAGCCTAGCCTCCATGGCTCGTGATAACGAAGATCGAATTGTTCAATTGCAAAACAAGGTGGATGACATGAATATGGAGGTTGCCAAGCAAAGACGAGAAATTCAAGAATACAAAGGCAAAGAAAAGAGCAGTTTGGACCAAATCAGTGCTGTAATGATTGATTTTATCGTAGTAACGAGATCAACATCATTAACTTATTCTTCTACTATAGTTGGAGGCTCACATCTCCAATATCCAGCGCTCAGAAACAGACCAAAAGCAGGTGTATCTATCCATCAAGTCGTTGTTTGATGAGAAATGTCGTAAGATCTCATTTTTGCCCGTGGATAAACAAATATTGACCACATGTCATAGGTGAAGCGCAAGAGTTGCAAGAATTGTTGCGACAAAAGGAATGCGACCTCGAAAAAACTGAAGATTTACTCAACAGCTTTCAATACGAAGTTCAACTGTTGAGCCAAGAGAGAAGCAGACTGATAGGCCTTCAAAACAACCTGGAAATGGAGCTACAAACATCAGCCCAAGCGCATAAACAGCTGGAAGAGCAGAAATCTGAAAATGAGAAATTGAAAGAGATTATTGATACACTCAAAACTGATCTAGACGAAGCACTTCATCAGCAAAGTAGTAGTAGCAGTGCTGGTGAGGTGCTCTCCTGTGAACTAGTTGACGATACCATAGTGATGCCTCACCATCCCTCCAATATAAGGCAGCCTTCGATTATATCTGTTTCATCTTCTATAAATGAGGAATCACATGCATCTTTGAAGGTACGTTGTTGGATATATATAAAGACACATGAAAGTCTTGTATCACTTTCGCATTTCGTATAACATTGCCTATCTTAACAGACGTTGGAAAGTGAATTTACTGATTTGGATCAGTTGAAATCTGTCAGAGACGAGAAAGACTATTACAAAAATCGAGCAAACGAAGCCAAGGAAGACTTGGACAGAGTGAAAAGTGAATTGGATTACCTTCGAAGGGCATTAGATTCAGAGAATCGCTCCTTGGTGAATGAGCTGGCAGAGCTAAGATTAAAGACCAACACTGTGATTGTGCCTCCATTATCTCCATCGTCATCTTCAACAACCACAACAGGATTAGCAACAAAACCCATCTTGGATTCCATCTCATTGACGATACCGGAGCCACCTATCATGGATGTTTGGTCTCATTCTCGTATACGCAAAGTGAATAAAAAGAAGAGAACAGTACAGGACTTGCATGAGGTAGGTAGCGATAATGGCACCATGGCTGTATGTATGATGACTGATGGTACTCTGTATAGTCTACTTCGAGTATGAATTCCTTTGTCATTACAACTTCATCTCAACACAGCCACGCCAATAACAGGGATCGCAAGGTAATGACAAGAAGGGACGATAAGATTGTGACAAATACCGTAACATTTGCACTATACACTGTGCTTATTTACTTTTTCGGTATCGTCACCTCTACATTTTTGCTGGATGGGGCAACGGGACAAAATGGCTGGGAACAAGCTCTAGTAGCTGCTGCTTCAGGTCAGGTACCGAAAAGCAAAGTTTTGGAAATTATACTCTATTGGATAGAAAAGTTGTTGTTTGAGCCTCAAGGATTGCCTGTATCATAAAACATCGAATAAAGAAATATGCATGTCATCCATTTTACACAACACTCTTCAGGCACTGCAATGCCCTGAGGAAATTATCAAATAGAGCAGGGCAGCATTTTATGAGTTACACCGCAGCGGACGAAGGCCAATAAAAGACTGAGAGATGCGTAGAGCCAGAAAGCTTGCTGCGATCAATTCTCTACTATAGCCAAACGGATCCTAAAAGTAAAATGTCACCGTTTTAAATGTGGGGGTCCACAACAAATCCATCATTTAATGGAGTCGTGGGAAATCGTTCACCTATGACAAATATTCTTATTAAGAAGAATTCAGTTCGCATTTGATTTTACATCTCTTCTTTTTCTTTTGCAAAATTATTTTTTTTTTCTTTCAATCCAACATGATTGCTTCTTCTCGCCAATTCATCCCTTCTCTTCGCACTGTAAGTAGAATCAAGCCAGAAGCTGGTGCATGTCTAATTTAGCTGCGTAGGTTGTCACTCGTCGCACCTTTGCTTCAGCTGCCAAAAGCCCTACTGTAAGGATCCCGCCTCTTGCCATGTCAACACAGCTTTTAACATCTGTCGAATTGTAGGACGTAGTTATTGCCAGTGCTGTCAGAACCCCTGTCGGTTGCTTCAACGGCTCATTAAAATCTTTGCGTGCTATTGAGCTCGGTGGTATTGCTGCCAAGTCTGCCATCGAGAGAGCTGGTAAGTAGAACGTTGATCTACAGTCTGTCAGACACACATCTAATCGTTTTTACACAGGTATCAAGCCTGAAGATGTTGAAGAAGCCTACTTTGGTAACGTTCTTCAAGCCAACTTGGGTCAATCTCCTGCTCGTCAAGCTATCTTGAATGCTGGTTGCCCTGAAACTACCGAGGCCACCACTATCAACAAGGTCTGCGCTTCCGGTATGAAGGCTGTCATGTTGGCTGCTCAAACTATCAAGGCTGGCGACCGCAATGTCATGGTTGCTGGTGGTATGGAAAGCATGTCGAATGCTCCGTAAGTGTTACCTGAATTTCATGCATGGATAATCTTTTGCTAATAGAGTCGCCGCTTTTGTAGTTATTATGCCCCTCGTGGTGCTGCTTACGGTCACCAACAACTCAGTGATGCCATCATCAAGGATGGTCTTTGGGATGCCTACAACAACATTCACATGGTAAGTTTTGATTTGTTAGAGGAGGAGTCTGTGGATAATTAAAGCAAAATGGTATGATTATAGGGTAGCTGCGCCGAGAATACTGCTGCCAACTACAACATTACTAGAGAAGATCAAGACAATCATGCCATTGAATCATACAAGCGTGCTGCCAAGGCCTGGGAAAATGGTGCATTTGATGCTGAAATTGCTCCTGTTACCATCAAGAGCAAGAAGGGAGAGACTGTCATCAAGGTTGATGAGGAATACAAGAATGTCAAGTTTGACAAGATCACCAGCTTGCGTGCTGTCTTTAAGAAGGACGGTACCGTTACTGCTGCTAATGCCAGTACCTTGAATGACGGTGCCTCTGCTTTGGTCTTGATGTCTCGTGCCAAGGCTGAGGAACTCGGTGTCAAGCCTTTGGCCCGCATTGTGTCTTACGCTGATGCCGCTACTGCCCCTATTGATTTCACCATTGCACCTGCCAAGGCCCTCCCTGTTGCTCTTGAGAAGGCTGGTTTGACTGTTGACGATATCAGCAAGTTTGAATTGAACGAGGCTTTCAGTGTGGTTGCTCGTGTCAATGAGCAACTCATGAAACTTGACCCTAGCAAGGTCAATGTCAATGGTGGTGCTGTTGCCCTTGGTCATCCCATTGGTTCATCTGGTTCTCGTATCATTGTGACATTGACCCATCTCTTGAAGTCTGGTGAATTCGGTGCTGCTGCTGTTTGTAACGGCGGTGGTGCTGCTTCCTCCATTGTCATTCAAAGAGAATAAGCTGATGTTTATTATTCCCGTATTTCTGTAAAAATAAATCACGAATTAGGTAGCCTGACAGTAACTTTCAATCAAAGAGAGTTAATTAAGAGGCGCCTTGTAGACTCTTGAACGATGTATTCTACTATTTATAAATCATGCATGTATCGAGTTCATTGAGTGGTATGTGCACACATACACACCTCCTAAGTGCTTGATTTTAATTACGTTTGATTTCTTTGTTGTCAATTTCACATATAAATATGTATTGCTGACATGTTTATTGCTCTACATCTTTTTCTCTACTCAGTCATGCTTCACGACATAGTAGACCGCGATGACGCTCACTCAGGTAGGTATGCCATGTCTACTACTATAATATAGCAGATACCAATCCTAACTCATTGTGCTCTAGTGGGCATTCAATGTCAATTGTGCTGCAAATACAAAGAGCTCGAATGCTCAGATAAATATAATCCAGACCTTCGATTCCTCTACAGATCAGGGACAGAAATCATAGATGATTTCCTGGAGCCATGGAGCAACAAGACTGTGTCTACGCTAGAGAGAGAAGAATACTCGAGTATAGACCCTCAGGAGGATATGATAGACAATATGATAGAGAATTGGTGGAATGGCAGTTTCTCGATACCTGCGCCATGCTCGTATAAGGTTGCTGAAGAGATACGGATTGGCAATGAAGAGCAGAGCACAGAAAGAATTGTCCATGCGGAAGAGGTGGATTATGAAGACTTGTTCAAAAGTCTGATGAATGTCAATATTTATGCTATCGCAGAATATATGTCGAATAGCGAGCCCTTTTGTTTCAATGAGCATATCATCAATGCCCTTATAATTTACGCAGCTATTGCTGTACCATACCTGATTTTTTGAAAAATAAAACTTTTTACTGCTTGGTTATATGATACACTGTTATGGCGGCTATTAATATTTTGTATGTATTATTGTGATTTCTTGAACACCTGTCTAGTCTTTTCTCCATTCTTCTCCATCCATTCATTCACACGACAACCAAACAACTTGCTGTATTCACCAAAGAAATTGTGGTTGAATCTCTTCATAATAACAAATCCATGTCTCTTGACTAAAATTTGTTCGGCTGCCATACAGCATTCATTGGTCATGGCGTACACACGGTTGATATCATGTTCTTGGGCCCAGGTCATGGCTCTGTTCAAGAGCAATGTAGAGAATCCGCACGTTTGGAGTTCAGAACGAACAGCCCAACGAGTAATGGTGGCTGTCTTGGGAATTTGTTGATGAGCAAATGTGTGCTTTTTACCATCCTTCATGAGATTTGGCTTTTGCGTCAAAAGAAATCCAGGCACAGGCAAACCGAAAAGCTCCAATACAGCGACTGCAAATTGCTTCCAAGCGACAGGCAACGTGCTTCTAGCATCCTCCACGTCTTGAGCATTGCAAGACAATCCAATCATACCACACACCTCGTCGTCCAAGGTCAAGACCCAAAAGTGAGAGGGCACCTGCTCGCTCTCTGGTTTACGTACCTTTTTACCGTCTTCGTCAATCTTGTAATTCAAATAATACAAGTCAGGGTCCTTTAAGTCATTAGCCATGGCCTCGTCAATGCGATTCTGCAGTTCAATACGGTCTGAAGAGATGAACAGAATGGCGAAACCCACCATACTCCAAGCAAAAGTAGTAAAGAGTTTTACCAAGGTCATGGCCCAGCCAGGAATCGTGATAAAGGCATCAACCACTTTAGGAACACAGATCAATAGAGCAGAGTATACAGCAAACCAGATGATCCAGGTAGGAAAAGCCCACAATTTGCTTCGAATACTTTCGTATACCAGGGGAACTTGCGTACTGCGATATAAATATTCTACTTGCTCCAAGTCAGTGTCTCTATATGTTCGCAAGATCACTTTGGGGGCTGCAGGAGCTTCAGCTGTTGGCGTTGTTGTAGCAGCAGTGGTGGTATTTGCTTTTTTGTTGCTTTTGATTTTGGCCATAATTTGTTATATATTACAAAAAGTGAAGTAAGGAAAAAGAAACAACCTATTGGAGTAATGAAAAGAATGTCAAATTTATAGCGACTTGAAATTGCCTTAATAGGCATTTCCTACTGTATATAGCATTACAACATCTAAATGTGCAACCTTTGTATTCTTGGTCTATGGATTAACAAGTTTTCTATTCTATTGAATGAGTGTGAAAAGAATGATTGTGTATTACATTCGTGAGCATATCCATTCATCTTTAATTGCAAAACCTTAATGTCAAATTCTTGGAATTGTGGTTGCTTGGATCAATGTTGATGCGCTTGAGTGTGTTTGCACAGATTCAATCTTGCATTGTATGAGGTGTGAGTTGCACGCACACTTGCAAGATCCAGCTACAAACAGTCGGATCAATGGAGACTGAGTACAGTTGTAGCTGTACTGTTCCTTTGGTTTGGAGTTACGTTTGCTGCTTTACCATTCATAGAAACTCCACCTAGCCCTGATAACATAAATACCAAAAATCGTCTTTTAGCTGCATGCCATCAAGCGATAATTAACCTAATACGATTGGCACAAGCCTTTTATGATGCTTCACGACTGTATCAATAAGAAAAATTGTATACAGATTGATAGTATACGTACATTACCTCTCACTGCTCTCACATATTCAAAAGGCAGCGAAATTTGGGTGCATTTGAGCCGTGATTTCTTGTGTTGAAAGCCTTTTAAACTCACCAGAATAGCATCAAGCAATTTCTCTCATCTAGCAGTAACTTGCTGACGCCTTCGCTCAACTTTTTTGGTATTGTTGAAAAAAGCCTCCAAACCATGAGGGGTACCTAATGGTTTTTGTCGAAAATTAAACGATCGCATTTTTGACCCCAAAAATGAACACTTTTACTAAGGCATATATTAATTCAAAATGTTCCTCTCGATCCAGTGACCCTGAAACTGCTTCTGTGAGACCTTCAGACGTAAAAATCTCGACATTTTCGCCAAAAACCTCAGCTCATACTTTCCGACTTTGCTCAATAAGCTTGTTAAAGATATCTTTTAAAATTAGCACCATTGGATACGCCTTGGAAAGTGCTTTAAAAAAAGCATAAGAGGTCAAGAGAGGATCACCACAACTCCTTTAGTCAATTCTTGTAAAATAGATGAATCAAGTCGATTTTAATCATAATTTGACCAATCTTGAGTAGAAAAAAACCGAAGTTTTAATTGATTTTGGCGGCTGGTGGCCTAATGCCTTGCTAGTAGCTTTGTGCATTGGTTCAAGATGCTTCAGTCTTGCTTTTTTCGCGATAATATGGGTTTCCTTTTATGAAACAGATGCGAAATCACAAAAGTATCGAAACAATTCTAAATGTACAGCTTTAGAGTTGGCTTCCTTGAAACCTTTCACAAAAAAAGGATGCAATAGCAGAGAAGGGTATAACGGTGCTGATGTTAACATCAATTTTTTCAACATCTCAGTAAATATTGGCACTATGTAAAGGTATAAAAACTGCTATTAATATTGCTTCGGTGCTTAACGCAATCTGCATATAGCGAAACCAAATTGAAAGAAATCCTCAGATAACGTGTGAAACAAAATGAGAAATTGGAAAACATCAAGAAGCGCCTTTGAAATAGCGAAATACAATAGTGAGATAACGACAGCCATGAATAAAGTGACAAATAAGTGCCTTTATTGATCGTATATATATATATATGAATGCTGAAACGGCTAGAAGAGAAGCTACACCTTCTCATAAGTACGAGGTCTCTTGGCTCGGAAGAAGCATCCCAGACCGTAATAGATAGTAGCTAATAGCAGCGCAGCCATGGCACCGAGTGTCATCCAAGTTGCGGATCCTATACTCCCTTTCACTGTGGCGTTATGTGAATGAGTAAGCCCAATCACTCTATAGGCAACAACGATCAAGATGACAAACACAGCAAACAAAACCAAAAATGCAAAACTTGTGGCCATTGCTGTCATCGAGTCTGTAATGCGGTTGTAATGAGTGCACACAGAAAAGATAAACGCAAGCAATGTCAGGCCGAAACCACACCAATATAGAATGAAATTCGCTAAAAAAAAAACTTTATTATATCCACCTACAGGTGGGCCGATGAATTCAGTTAAGCTGGATTCAGCCGCTATTACAAATAAAACATCAGCATATTAGCATCCTATCAAAAGTATTCATGCTGAGTGAACCTACTCCAAACATATGCTGGTTTTGGTGTGTTACAATGGAGAACAGTTCCATGTGTTCCAGTGCAAGCGTTCCTAATGTAGACTCGGTATTTAGTATACTGCATCTGATTAACTGACAAAAGATGCGACTTACCATAGACCAAAATCAATGAAATCTTGTTCATTTTTTGTGAGTCTGGCAATGTACAACAGTTTCAGGAACTTGACATTGTATGTATTTCCCAACAAGATAAAGAACTGGAGCACAAGCGCACAAAATGCGAAAATTGCAGCCGTATATTTAAAGAAAGAAGCCCAGAAAGCCATTGTTCTAAAGAGTGACTATATGTAGTTAACAATATGAGGCCTGTTTTGTGTATTGCCTGTATGCAAAACGCCTCTTATTTATACGTGCAAATTTTTTTTTACAAATCCCAACATTTATATGATTTGAAACCATGATTTTCGGAAAACAGCAAATGCTACTATGTAAATCTCAAATAAATGAGATACGTCTTAGTGGATACGAGCACCAATCAAGCGGAAGGATCAGAAACATGTAGCTATGGTCTTTCTTACTTCATACTTGAACAGAATTCGAAGGGGAACGTTGATCTGCAGGATGACTACAACTCTATCCCAAGAACGTGTGCCAAAGCACATATCACAAGCCTTCGAAATAGTATGCGGGAGAGCACAAGTGTTTATCTTAGCCAAATGTTGCCTCAAACAAGTGCCCTGAACTCAGAATCAGAATTACAATCAAAATCACAATCATGACGCTTTCAATGCGATTGATGATGGTGAACCTAGAGGGCTCCGTTTAAACATGGATTCTAAAACAATCACTACAATAAGAAGCCCAGAATGATTTCACAAAGTTTATTGTGAGTAGAGTACTTTAATTTGCGATTTACATTCTCATGCGTATAGTGTTTAAACAATGCCACATACAGCTTTGTAACGAAGAAGATGAACATTGATGATCAGCTATCAAGATGAAATTGATGAATACAGATGGCATTTAAACAAACCAAGCAACAAACTGAAGCAGACATAGCTCTGAGCTTTGAGAACAAGCTAAGACTTACATTGCTATCCATCTAACAAAGCAATAAAATCTTGAGCAGTGAACATGTAGCAAGCGTTGGACACATTTGACAGGTTCCTGTACCTGAGGAAGATCATCAGGTGCTACATCAAAGATCCGGGGCTATACCGGACATACTTACATGATTTCCGGTGGGAGCAAATGTATGAGACCCAAAGTCTGAGTAGCAACTTTTTCACAGAGTATATGGAAGCGATGCAAAGCTGGCCTGGATAGAGTCCTTCCTATTCTCGCATACATTGCTTGTCGAAATGGTAATTTTCAAACAACACACACGATCCACTGCAGTCATAGAAATCGCAAACAGATAGATGGATGCATGGATGATGATGCAGATGCCGGTGATGGATGATGTACTAACATTTTAAATCTGATAGCCTTCTCAAAAGTCTTTCATTACCAAGGTCAAGCTTGGCAAGGCCAAGAAGCAAAACCGTCCTTTGCCTCACTGGTTCCGTCTTAAGACTGACACCAAGATCCGGTATGTTATGGGCAATAGAGAAGAATGCTTTGTCTGTATACTTACTTTTCCATCAATAGTTGGAACGCTAAGAGACGTAACTGGCGTCACACCAAGTTGAACATCTAAGTTGTTCAGCTTCACAACTTGTTTTCTCTCATGATGGCTCTCTCATATCAACAACATTTATCAATAGAAAAAGAAAAGTTTTTATAGGATTGCTGTCCTACACTGAAGAAAATAAAATCACAATTCCTAGCGTCTTCGTCAAGCAATTGTAAAACCAAAAACTATCTGGAAACTGGACTACATTGTTTAATGATTGTTTGTTTGATGGTAGACAGTGGATATGGGAAAGGTATATCAACAGTATTACCTGCAAAATCAACACTCTTCGCTCTGGATATGTTGCATGCGATGTGTATTTATGTGTGGGATGGTTTTGGGAAGCATGTATTGATCTACAAAAATGCTGACATTGATACGTGGCATATTGACCTTTTTGAACTACTAATTGAGAGATGGAAACTGGCATTGTGCACGGATCACGCAGAGAAAGTTCTTGCTAAAGGTCCTCGGATTATAAATGTCTCCTTCAAAAGCATTAATATGATATTAAGATCGCTTTGCACTGTCAATCATCGCAATGATTACCACCTAAAATGTGTTGACGTACATCTCTCTCCTGAGGATTGAGTCGAGCAAACACAAGCAGCAGGACATTAGCCTTATTCTCACAGCTATCTACTAATTAGAGTCTATTTACATGCTTTGATGCCTTTATCATGTGCTTCTGACACACTTTGTTAATTGCAAAGATACACAAAATGCAAGATTCACAATTTTGTTCTTTTCTAGTAGATGTACATCTACTGATGCATGAATCCGCCACATCATACGCAACTCAATAGACGAGATCTGTGAGTAGGCAGATACTTTTCATTTCATTCATATCTTACTATACTACAATGCGTTACAATAAAACTACCCTTGGTATATTCCGTCATTTATTCATCTTTCCTGGTAAAGTTGTCTAGACTCTCATTGAACTCTAAAGAAGCTTAATTGACGCTTCACTATGATAATAGATTTCTGGATTATCAATAACCCCGAGAATTGGACGGTCTTTGCCTACTACATTATGCTTATTGACATTGATCCCACATTAACAGCTCTTGGAAAGCTAAGCTCTGTGTTTCTGGACCTGATCTTGATGCAAAGTCTCTTCCACAATGATCCAAAAACTATCAAGTACACTCAAAAAATGCTAAATGGCTTACTAATCGACAACAGCTCTAATGCGGCCATCTGGAATAGCCAAATCATGAAATCCGCCAGAACCAGCTGTGCAGAAAGGATTTATGAAGTCATCTCTTCTACACTGATCTCGAAGGAAGAGTCCTTTGAAAGAAGCTTGACACCAAGTACTGAATACTACACCTGTAGCGAAGGTGAATTTTCTGGATCACTATATCAAAGTTGTGATGATTACTCATATGAATCATTATGATGTGTTAAGCGGAGAAGTGGCCTAGGAGAGGAGGAGGTGGAGGAGGAGGTGGAGGAGGAGGGGACAGTTTGGCTACTCTTGTGCTACACAAGATTGCGATTATTATTATTACAGCCTTTTTTTTTTTTTTGTACATACATGTAGGTTTTCACCTGCTAGCTATCTTTCCCCTTTTTCCAATTTTTTGTAGTCCTTTTCCCTGCCTTTTTTGCTGTGGTAAATTTGTTGTTGATGCAAAATGACAAATCCCACTTTAAAAGCAGTAGATAACACTACTAATGAAACGAGTGAATCGAGCAATGATACTGCTGCCAACAGCAACAGCAATCAAAAAAAGAAGAGAACTGGGCCCAAGAGGAGAAAAGTTACCCATGGTAAGTGTGGTAAATTGCACCTTTAGACATTGTCTAATTTGATGTGAGACCAGCCTGTGTTTATTGTAGAAGATCGCATATGACTTGTGATGATGGTAAAGTGCTTTTTGATTCACCTTCTCGTATCAAATCATTGAATATAATAAATCAAATAGGACGACCCTGTCAACGCTGTATCAAACGTAGTATAGGCCATCTTTGCCATGATGAAATCAAGAATACAGGCACGAGTAACAACAACGGCAGTGCCAAAAAGTCAAAAGCTGCCAATCATGCCAATGGTTCTGTCAACAGAGCTACAGCAAACTCTTCCCCATCCAACGCCACCACTGCCACCAACACTTCAGCTGCTTCAACCACACCTTCCATACCTGTTGTACCACAACATCTCGTTGGTAATTATTATAAAAGACTCATATGATTTGAGGTTTTTAAGCTTAGTTACACTAATATTTCTAAACATAGCAACGCCTAGTAATTTGGGTGGATTACCACTTCAGTTCTTTGGCCAAATGGGTTCTGGTCAATTGACATTTGCTAGTGAGCATATGGGCAATGAGATATCCGTGATTAGGTGAGTAAACTAACGCTTTGCTGCCAGTTGTATTAACATGTTGTGCGTCCTAGTAATTTCCTTGATTCACTTGGATCAGAAGCTCAAATCTTTCGGCCCGCAACAGCATTACAGCAACAGCAGCAACTGCAACAAGCACAACAGCAGGCACAGGAGGTCAACTCTACGGAAAAGTTCTTTTTGACAGCTGCAGATCCATCTGACGGAAGATTAGAAGATCGCTTAACAGAAGTCATCAATGCAAAATACGAAGCTGGGTTCTTGAAGCCCTACAACTACGTGAATGGTTATGCAAGGCTTCAGAAATACATGGACAGCAAGTAAGATGTGGCAGTGTGTTGGTTGCCCTATATATATATATATATATCAACTCTTTCTTCTATAGTATGTCGGCCTCAACCAGACAGCGCATCCTCAATGTGATGGGAACCTTTCGTCCTGCATTTCGATCTGTTGCTCAATCATTGACGGATATTGATTTGATTTTGGTGGAAGAAGCATTTGAGCGTTTGCTTTTAGATTATGATAGAGTGTTTAGTTCGATGGGCATTCCTGCTTGTCTGTGGAGACGTACAGGCGAGATCTACAAGGGAAACAAAGAGTTTGCTTCACTCGTCAATGTGCCCATTGAAAATCTTCGGGAAGGCCGATTATGCATATATGAACTCATGGCGGAAGAATCAGCAGTGAATTACTGGGAGAAATATGGGAACATTGCGTTTGATCCCGGGCAAAAAGCAGTTTTGACATCTTGCTTGCTAAAGAGCACAACTCCACCACAATCGAGCGTGATATCATGCTGCTTTTCATTTACCATCAGGCGAGATAAATATAATATACCTGTAAGTTGTGGCTGGCTGAGATAAAGATGGCATGCACTAATGACAAGGATAGACGGTGATTGTTGGCAACTTTTTACCTGTGCAGTTGCAGTGATTTTATTTATTCTTTAGGCTCTTCTTTGCTTTCCTTTGTATTTACTACAATTATCGCAATACCATTTTCCCTTTGGTACAGTTTTTAAATCCACACAGGCGATATGAAACCATTCTACATCACACTATTTTAGAAATTTAGTCGAAATGATGCATACAATACATGTGTGAATAAATGCTTACCTCTTTGTTGTCGCAAGCAACCATTTCTCCAAAGGAAACCTGCTGGCAATAGCAATACAGTTGCTCATTTGGATCAATTGGCTCCGAGTCAGATCTATTGCACAGGCATTTAGTGCATGTTTATGCAAACATGTCATGTTTAACGTACGATTTGGGTTTGCCGTTATTTTTTCTAGAGGGTAGTGCTTTGATGGGTTTTCCTTTGTCCTGCGAAGTTCGGCTTCTCGCTTGTTCTTTGAGTACTCGTGGTATATTTAGATCATCCTTCACCACTCTTCTCTCTATGCAAATGTGTATGTGAGTCAGCCAATGTAATTAGAGTTGTAGCCTGATTTGCCTACTCTTTGCTGATTGAGATTTCTCGCTAATCTTTTTGGATATCTTCTCTTTCGACGATAGTTTCGAGTATTCACGTAAGCTTCGGGAGGAAGGTGTCAACCCTGGTAAGGAAGCAATACGTAATGTGCCTATAGGCTGTGTCTCTTCGAACTTTACTAAATCTGCATCTAAACGGTTGCAATGACGGTCCACCTTAAGAAAAAAAAATAGATATATCAACACTACACATCTAGATTTGAATAGAGGCTGTCCTTACTGCGTCCGATGTCAATTTAGCTAGAGCTGCTTTCTCGCTGCTTCTTTGTGCTGTTTCTTCGAGCAGAGACACCAATGCTTTTAGCTGAATGAATCTTTCATTAGCATCAATCTCATCGATATTATCAATCAAATCAATAGCTGCTTTTGCTGTGATAGCATTTGAATCTAGTCAGCGTGTCAATAGGAGAATGTTGTGGCCGTTTGTAAGTTGTTTCTACCTTGAGCGTATCCATCCATTTCTTTGAGAAGCGTAAAATTTTTTTGAAGATCAATTTGCAACGCTTCGACAGCTACGAGGGTTGCAAGGAGTCAGTATGTGTTGCTGATTGAGTTGGCAAGCTCAACTTACTGTCAATGTAGTCATCAATGTAAATAAGGTTATCTATGGCGGTTCTTGTCATGGTAGTGGTATTACAATAATGAAAAAAGAATGGAAAGATAGAAAGAAGAGAGTGGGAAGGAGGTTTAATTAACGGGTTTATTATTGTTACAATGTTTGCGTGCCTGAGTGGATTTAAACATTCTCGGTAAAACAATTAAATGCTGTTGATGAACAAGTACAGGACATTCTGATAAGTAGTAGAATCCGATAGAAGGCGAGTTCTTAGCATACGATACGATTTAGAATCAATAGGGCAGGCATTTTAATGGTATTTGTATGAAAGCTTACCGAGCATTGATATGCTATTTAATGAACATAATTGGCCAAATTGATATTATATGTTTATTTGCATGTTTTGACAATCAAGGATGGAGAGAATTAAAAGCCTCTTTGCAACACTCTTACAGAAAAGTGGAGAGACAGTGAGGTGAGGCTTTTATGGCTAGCTTTGATATCAAGGCATTGCTCTTAGGAATATTGTAGCAGAAAATGCAGGATATGTATGTACAATCCTATACGAACTGTGATTTCCAATGCTAATTAAATTAGCAAGAATCAAGTCCATCTCAATAGGGCTGCTTGACATTGATTCAAAAGACTAAATGAATGATGAAGAATTATAAATTTTCAAACTAGTTGAAATTTATGTTATATCTGGCTTCTCAGTCCCATTTTCTGAAATGCAAGACATTATGAATACGCATGACCCCTTAATCAAATGTTAGCTGTATCCTGGAGAATACTAATCGCATCAATAGTGGTTGGCTCTCGTACAGCTAATCAAGGCTAAACCACACATATGCTAATTCTTATAATGACAAAATTTGCTGCGGCCAAAGCGCAAATCCTAAGCTTATTTCAGATGTCGCTCTCGCCTCAGTTGGACGTAATCTGTTTGGCAGTATAAACGACACAAATGTTTTAGGCAATATATATATATATATATCAATGATTTCAAAGAAGTATATAATTATCTTACTCAAACTATAGATGTTGGATGTTTATAAATCACCCTGGCTTCTCGATATCGATATAGGATTATATCTGAAACAGAAGCAGCTTTTTTGTACATTTCTCAACAAAAAGCCACACATAAACTAACTGATGATGGTGCAGATGAGTAGCTCGGCGATGTTTTTAGTGAACCGGATTGTAGTTTTATCAATCTGATTGCATGCGACGCAGATTGTGTTGATGCGGAGACGCGTTGAGTCATTGATATCAGCTATAATAGCCCTTTATTTATTGTTATCGTCAAAGAATACGTAACAATGGCAAACCTTTTTCACCAATGCATACAATATATTTTTGCTTTTACGACTGAATCCTTATAAAACTATTTGGAACCTTTATTTTACTGTTGGCAGCAATCTTTTCAGCTGGAGTTTGGTATTGTTTGTCGATTTCGCAATGACTAAAGGGTAAATCACATTGATTATTTTACCTACACATGGTGAGTTGTCATAGATTTGGCTGAGGTAGACAATATAATATTGAAATGTATAAGGATGTACAAAATTCACAGACACAGGCGTGATCAGTGGACAGCTGATTGAAATTACAAATGTATGGTTTTTCTGATCTACTAAATTCAGGGGTAATGTCTTGTTCAATCTCCGCTTACAATGTTTGGTCTGTTAATTCTGCTATCAGATGTAAACTCTCTTCTATCCGAAGCTATGCATACTCGTTCTTTTGTCTAGTTAGTATCAACATTGGGACCTTGAAAAATGACTGAAAAATGACAGAGAAAACAAGTATCCATAAAGCCATGCCGCAAATGGAAGTATCTCAGGGTCAAGGTGATCTGGATCTGGATTCATAATTGAGAAAGACTATGATGAAATGGGTCTAGAACGCATTCTCAAGATAATGGCAAAATTGTAGATGATGAGAAATGATACATGTGCTTTTATTGATTTTTTACAGCAGCAACACAGGGTAATAAAAAAGAGGAAACAGCAGATGAATGATAATATAGTAAATGAGAATAAGTTAGGTCTAGGTTGAAACAAAATATAACGAAAAAGCAAATAGATAGGAATTAATAGTGGAGAGGCGTGAGAATGTCAATGTTACTAAATGGAGGTATGTTTGTGTATCATTATGTCTTGATCTAGATGATGGCACCGCCACCTTGTGTATCCTCATGAATCTTGTCTTCATCTGCCTTGACTCTTTCCTGAGCCTTATTGACCTCGGTCTCCCAATTGATGTATCCCAAGAAGATCAGAGAACTAGAGGCAACCAAGAACAAGGCCAAGGTCAACGCGACCCATAAGCCATTCAAATCCCAATCAAGCACAAATGTCAAGTAGTAACCAAGAGGCAATGCAACAACATAATAGGAAAACAAGTTGACCCAGGCGGCAAAGGATTGACGACCTAAACCACGGATGACACCACCACACACACCAGATAATCCATCAGCAATTTGAAACATGGCGCAGAGAGGCATAATCTTGGAAACAAGTGCAACAACATCCTCATCTGCGGTGAAAAGGTAACCAAACTTGGAGCGAACGGCCATAAAGAAAGTGGAATTGGTGAAACCAAAGAAGATGGCAAACATAATGGCCACAACAGACGCACGGCGAGCCTTGATAGCGTTACTTTCACCGAGGGAGTTACCAATACGGTTAGAAGCAGCGACAGACACACCGAAAGGGATTGTGTAAGTAGCAGAAGCCGTAGTCAACACAATAGATTGAGCAGCGAGATCACGAGTACTGAGATAACTTGCAGCCAAGGAGGATAGCTCGAATGCCCACCATTCAGCAGTGATCATCAAGAGAGATGGAATGGAGAGCTTCAAGAAAGGCCACCATCCAGTCAAGCATTCTCTTGACCAACCGCCCCAGGCTTCCTTGCCGTTTACAAATTTGATATAAAGCACCAGCAAGGTCAACATTAACCAGTAACTGAAACTTGTGGCCAGAGGAGCACCAATGAAACCCAATTTGAAGGGAGCAAGGTAGACAAAGGAATAGTTGAGACAGAGATTGATGGGAGATACAACCATGAGGACATAGGTAGATGCTTGCATGATACCTTGAGCTTGCAAATACTTCTTGGTAGCTTCGAACGCAATGAAAGCAGGAGCACCCAGCATCAAGCAACGCAAAAAGAGACCAGCGTGTAAAGCGAGCTCAGGATCTTGATTCAAGCTCAATAACAACTTTGTACAATTCCACCAGACGATAGCAATTGGGATGAACATCAAACCGAGGATACAAAGAGCACGTTGGAGATGAATACCGACGAGAGTCTTATCTTTGGCACCGGTCCATGCCTGACTACAAAGCGTATCTAATGCAGTTGCGGTGCCAAATGCAATGCTCCATGCTGTCACACTGGCAAACATACTGGCAAGTGCAGCCGCAGCTAATTCAGTTGGACCCTATATTTATGATTTGTTTGGTTAGTCATCATTTCTCACACTACCGCCATGGTAAGATTATTCTTAAGTTTTCTTGCACAAATATTTACCAGATGACCCAGTGTGAAAATAGATGCCATTTGAAGTGAATTTTGCATCAGAAAAGTGAATACAATGGGCAAGGCATTTTTGATCAGCCAACGAAATTCTGTCATCCAGCTGGAATCATCTCTGCCATTCTTTGGCAGTCTGTTGATTAAAGGGGTGGTCTCTGTAGGAGTAGAGGACAAGGACGAGCTAATTGACACAACATCTTGCTCCTCGTCATGGCGATGAACACTGGAATGGCTCATTTTGGTTTTCGCAATTGGGATATATGGAGAAGAAAAGAAAAGAAAATTTCAGAAAATTTTTATTCGACACATTTATACAGAGGGGGGGAGGTGACACTAAATTGTTAGAGACGATGGTATATGAGTCAAGAAAATGAAGAGGACCAATCATCTTCTGTCATTTCGATAGCGTTTTTGGCTGCAAGATTGGGATCACCATGAGCTTTTTGGATCAGATGATGGCGAATCATGTTGAGTCTTTCAATGGCTACCTGTTTGGACTCTGCTGTGTTTGGTTGTTCTTGTTGCATTGCCTCCTCTTTAGCCTCTTTGATCCACTGGCCAATGACTGGAATGCCATAAATGTCGTCTGTGTAATTTGTATTCTGCAAATAATCAACAATGTCTTCAGCAGACAGCAACCCCGTTGTCCAATGATGTTGCAACTTTTCTCTTTCTGAAAGTGCATGTTGTGTATCCATTTGATGCCGGTGACTGATGTATGTGATGGAATCTGGTCTTAAATCGTCGCCATGGATGTGGTCGCTGTAGGCTGTACCAGCGTTTAAAAAATTGAGCACTTCTGATCCATCCAATGGATCATCATATGCATCAAAGTGGTTGGCGATGGGCGGCGTAAACTGATATTCATTGAATGCCTTCTGGGATGGTGTATATGCCTGGACTTGATCAAATTCAAAGGACTCCTTTCCCTTATCCTTCTTCAATGTACGAAACCCATTGATGTCGCTCTTGTACAATGGCTGTTGCTGGGACGATGATGCCGACTGCAAATGTGATAGAGAGTGATCAAAATGCAAAGAGTTCTTGCTTGTAGTTGCAGTGGTTTTATCCATCCAAGGTTGCATGTTGCGGTTGTTTGAAAAGAGAAAGAGACGAGGAAAGAGCAAAAAGATTGTTTTGTTACAAAAGTAGAAGGCAAGAGATTAGATAAGGAGTAAAAAAAAAAAAAAAAAGCAGGGAGGCTCAAAGCGGCTTTATGTTTAGTAGATGATCCATGTGATAATTACAATTCATGTTTCCGAGATTTCCGAGAAACAAAGCACACAATGTCTTGATCTTCAGCATGAAAAAAAAAAAAAAAAAAAAAAAAAAAAAAAAAGATTGGCATCCTGCTTGGATAAATATTAACCATTACTCTTTTATTCACACATCTAATCAGAGTTCTCATCCTCATCCTCTGAAGACAATGATACACTCCATACATCAGACGGGCTGTTCTTTTTGTTCTTCTTCTTATTGACCATGCATGCGATAGCAGCATCGTATCCTTCTATGGGCTCCACAACTGGATACGACTTGCGTTGCGAGCTGTAACCTTCTCTTTTAGCATACTTTTTTTCAGGCACTTCAAGCTCTTGCTTTGTGCGTAAGAATGGCGACATTGCAAACCAGGGTAACGCTCGACGCTTTTTACCAGCAGCAGCAGAAGAGGAGGAGGGGGTTTCGGACCAACTGGACGCAGAAATTGAAGGGGCCGCTACGGTGGATGTGCTGGCATTGGTGGTGTTAGTGGTAGGGGCATTGGAAGGGGCGGTGCTAGCAGCGGCTGCTTTAGGTGAGGAGGCAACTAGTGAGAAGGTCGATTGGGGAGTCGCAGATGCTATCGAAGTTGATGGTGGTTTGGCAACAGGAGATGCAGGCTTGAAAGCGCTCTTAGCATTATCTACTGGCATGAGTTCTCTACGAGCGGGGCTTGATGCTGCACTTCTGGCAAATGATGAGTTGGTATTAGGAGTAGAGAACCCACTGCTGATAGAGATTGGGGAGGAGGCAATTGTTGCTGCTGCTGCTGCTGTAGTCGCAACGGCTTTCGCTGGTGCAATTGCTTTGGAGGGTATATTAGATATCGAGGGAGAAGATTTACTGACTATGGACGACGATGAAGATGGCTTTGCGACTATATCTCTTCTTTCTCTTTCCTTCAGGTTCATAACAAATTCTTTTAATTCCTTACCACCAAGGCCAGATCGCATGGCGGATTGTGCTTCCAATGCTATCTTTCTTACCTTGCAGAACAATTTCAGAATTCATATTGGGTGATAAGGGTGGTGGTGAAGTGGAGCAAGATGGCTTGATGGTCTTGTACTTTCTGTTGAGTTCAGCCAAGAGAGCTACCAGCTTGTCGTTGTCTCTTGCCTGTTCAGGCTGCTTTTGTGTCTTTTTGGCCTGTATAGAGGGGTGTTGTTGCTGTAAATGTCTAGCGAGTTGAAGTTGCAATTCCTGCTGAATGGCGCTAGATATGGGTGATTGCAATGAGGATGCTTGCTGTAACGGGGATGCTCTTTGTGATGGAGATGGTGGTGGACCTGCCGCTTGATTCGTTGATGATGTCGCTGGCTGTGTTGGCGTCTTTGGCAAACTACTTGCATGTGTATTTTGACCACCTGGACGCTGAATTGGAGTGATAGGTTCCTTTCTAGGCCTACCTCTTTTTGCTAATCGTGACAATGGTTCTGTTTGTGGTTGTTGTGAAGTGGGCGCTGCCATTGACAAAGTATTAAGTAGTTTGGGTAGCACTGGTACTTGATCTTGTGGAGGCTGTGATAATGGTCGTGGCTGCTGCATTGGTTGTTGATGAGAGGGCAGAAAATGTGGTGCTGTGTGAGCTGATTGATTTGGCTGAGCTAGTATAATTCCCTTGTTATGCCATTTTAGCATACACATGTGGATACAAGGAATTCGTGTTAATAAAAAGCCGGGACAATCACAACTTGTAATGGCATTATTGAGGTCTGTGAATACTCGGAAAGAAGGCTCGCTTGTAAGTCATTTCACTCCCCAAGTGGTGTCTACTTGAGTGATCAATGAAGCTAGATCTGTGCTTGAATCGTGGTTGATATTACTGCCTACATAAAACGAACAGCATTGTTTAACGATAGCGAGATAGTCGGCCATCAGATATTACCATTGTCGGAGGGGCGAGACATCTGTTCAGGACAGGATATAGTTGGTGTATATAGATGAGTGGTATCCAGCGAGTACCTTTGATGGAGTATCTATTGCTTATTTGGAAATAGAAAGAGAATGAAGGTTTCCATTTTTTGGTGTTGCAATTTTGGATGTTGCAGACTAACTGTAATCACGAGATAGTAAAGCAGCAAACAACAAGCAAATCGATTCAACTTGCATTACTCTTTATGATCGCTTCTGTTGAATGGAGCGAAATTAGCTAAATTAAACATCTTTGATCTCGTATTTCACTAAAGTCTCTCAACTTGCTTCTCAAAAGCGGCAGTATCTTTAATTCAAGAAATCCACATGCATGTGAGAAGAAGGATCTATTGATGTGGTTTATCTATACGGTACTCAATGCTACCAATTTTCAATTTCTTTACAATGATGATGCCAATAATAACCATCTTCAATGGCATTGCTTACTTGTTTAACTTATGAGATTGGCAATAGCCTACAAACAAACTAGAATCAATACCTTTCTATATAAACTAGAAAAAGGATTATGTAAAATGATTGTAAAGCACTTTTTCCATAGTAATATCTGTCTGTCAACTGTAGCAAAGCATCTACTAAAAGAGTCACTGAGCTTGGAGCTAGGCACAGATACTTCACACATGTGAAAGCCCTACCCACAGCCATATTTCAGTTTCCCTGCCGCAAAACGGATTGGTTGCCTTTCTTCCCCAGCTTTTCTCTTTTATTCATCTTTTTTACCCATACTCCATATGTTCAAATCCTGGTTACAGCGTCCAGAGACCAAAAAATACGCAGCCGATGGTACATTTGTATATTTAATTTGACCAACAAGATACTGATTATCCAACACAGTTGCCGTGTTTGCGCTTTCGCAAGTTGCTTTTTACTTTGCTTTCAAATTCGTAGTGGGTTCCCTTGATCCTACTAAAGCTAAACGTCAAGAAGCAAAGGCAAAGAGTAATCGTGTGCTTGGAAAGCTAGGCGTAAGTAGTCCAGCGATGCTTGCATGTCCTATGATTGCTCATACATACAATTTCTGTAGGCCAAGGACTTGAAATTAACAGAATACGAGCAAATCATTGCAGCAGAAGTAATCCACTCTGACGAAATTACTGTCAACTTCAAACGTACGTTCTTATTCATATTGGTCAATTGTTGATGGATACTAAGTATGTTGTTGATAGAAATTGGTGGATTGGATCACATCATCCAAGATCTTCGTGAAAGCGTTATTTATCCACTCTGCTATCCTGAATTGTTCACCTCTGCATCAGGATTATTAGGTGCACCAAGAGGTGTCTTGTTGTATGGTCCTCCTGGTTGCGGTAAGACAATGTTGGCCAAAGCCTTGGCTAAAGAGAGCGGTGCCACCTTTATCAACATTCATGTATCAACATTGACTGACAAATACTATGGTGAATCAAACAAACTTGTGTCTGCCGTCTTCACACTCGCCAGAAAATTGCAACCTTCAATTGTATTCATTGACGAAATCGACTCATTTTTGCGTGAACGTAGAAGTACAGACCATGAAACGACAGGTATGATGAAGGCTGAATTCATGAGTTTGTGGGATGGCTTGACTACGGGCGAAGATAGTCGGATTGTTATCTTGGGCGCTACCAATCGTCCCAACGACATCGACTCGGCTATTCTCAGAAGAATGCCAAAGAGGTTTTCTGTTAGATTGCCTAGCGAATCACAAAGAAAGAGCATCCTTGAGCTTGTAAGTGATATCAATATGTGAACAAGTGGCTATCAAAAGGAGAAAGCTAATACGCCGTAGCTTTTACGAAACATTGAATTAGCATCAGACTTCAACATGACAGAGTTAGTGCAAAGAACAGCAGGTTTATCTGGAAGCGATTTGAAAGAGCTCTGCCGTAATGCTGCTATGATACCTATTCGTGAATTTGTCCGATCTGTCAGACCTGCTTCTACTGGCGAAGATGCCTCTCAAGATTTGATTGATTTGGATACCTCTGTAAGTTACATAAATGGTTTTGATGTTACTTTTGTATGCACAAGAGTTCTTATATTGACATTAGAAAATCAACACTCGTCCCTTGACCGTTGCCGACTTTTACTCTTTCGAGGCAACAAACGAAAAATCTTACAGCTACATTTCTGATGAGACTCCTCAACAAGAAAACCTTGATTGAACTCTCTTATTCACCTTCTAACCACCGTTATAAAATAAAAACATGCGAAAATCTTAGACTTATTCAATAATACAACCATATTCGATGATTTTCGCCCACTTTAACATATTGTTACAAATCGACTTTGGTTTTGTAACTGAATCTCTCTTTTTGCTGTAAATTGCCTACACTATCGAATAAACTACGCTTCACTGCTTACTATATTGGATCCTACTTCTGTTACTACAATTTGACATTAAACTCTTAAACATCTCTCCTTTCTAATGGAAGCACACAAATGGGAAGCAACTCCACATTATCCAACCTTTCATCCTCCAGTAACATTATCAATATCAACATTCACCATCCTTCAACAACAAATATATCTTTCCAGCTATAAAAATCGTTCAAGCTTTTAGGATTACTAAGTGTATCAAAATCAATTATAGAAGGATCAGCCCTTCATTACAAATTATATCATATAGAAATAGAATTCAGGACACATAATCCATAGAATCAATTTAATATAATATTCAAATGATATCAAACAATAAAATATTATCTTATTCCTACCTAAATCCATATCTATATAGCTCTATAGCTCATCGTCTTGTTATTTCATTGAAGTTATCAATCATAAGATCCCTTGAATCCTTTGCATACATTAACACCTCAATTCATTGTACTTTATCTACTTTTATCACTTTATTTACACATCCCTTTCTTTATTTCTATATTCTTTACTAGTTGGACAACTATAAACCTGGTGTTCATTTCTATAGACGAATCTGCTTTGGCTATTTATCTATATATTTACTCTATCCCACTCTTACCATTCACACTACAATAAACCACTTTGTAACAATATACAAGCCGAACTGCTTCACTGAAAGGAAGGTCACCGAGGGGTATAACCTGAACATCTAGTGCTTTTTCCTATTAGATTTTTCTTGGTTTTACTTAGCTTTACGAAGCTTAACGAAGTTTTATGAGGTTAGATGTTGCTATGGCCTTTTCAATCTAGTAAAAGATTAGTATTTTGCTTGCTGCTTGTAGTATAACAATGAGATAAAACCGCTTTGTGGTATCTTGCTTCGTCGTGGTGCGGCAAAGATTTGAAGCTGAGCTGTGCATTTCAGCAAAACGAGGAGGTTGCTTTTTCAGGCCCCATGTTGATGCTAGAGACTTCCAAACAGAACGATTATATGCCCATTTTGAGGGGTTACTAAGGATATAAACGAATTTTTAGTCGCTGCATTGGTCGTCAAATGATTAAGCGAGTAAAGTGTAAAGTAATTGTGGAATACATCCACTATGATCTGCATTCCGACAGTTCATCCAGTTACCAGATGTAGATATAAACTGTATGTACACTGGATTAGATGTACGATATCAATTTATACTATAAGAAGATATGGACTTCAGATACGCTAGTACTATAAAATTCATACTATATAAGATATAGGTTATAGATGGCACCACGGACATGGCTGGCGCTATAGACTTATATTTGTATTTCGACATTGACTACGGATGTTTACCATATCTGGATAAGCACCAAGATTAATGCAATATGAGCTTGTTGCTTCAGATGTGCACTTTATGATCCACGCTATAAGACACATGCTTATATCCATGATACTAGCTACAGATACTTTATGTACTACAGACTTGTACTTACTATATATGAGACATGCTATAGACATGCATATGATATGCTATAGACATGCCATATATCCAGATACATGCTAAAGATGTATGCTCAGCGATATACACTCAGATATGTAATATTGATATAGACTAAGGAGACTGTACCTATCGGATACATGCTACTAGATCGATATTAATTATCCTTATAGAAAGGATAGATCAGGGTACTTTGGATGAGAGTCTAATTATTCATCCAGACAGAGCTAAATCATGATTAGCTTGCTGGAGTTGTCTTTTAGCATGATTAGACATCAGTTGATCTGAGTTGACTTATTTGTCAATCTAATTAATAGAACTTTTATCCATTGTTATAGTATATAAGAAGGATCATCTACCTGGCCAGTAGAGATACTTCAGTTTACTTGACACCTGTCAGTTTGATAATAAAACATACCTTTATCAAGTTGACATTACTGTTTTTTTTATTCTTTTTTTTCCGTGAATTTTAGTCTATAAAGCCTCAGATTCCACAGTAATACCAATACAAAAAAACCAGTGCTTCGACGTTTCGGCACTAGTAGTATTTTTACAACTGCAAATTCAACCAGGCTTCTTTTCTACTAATTAAACTTTTCTCTTATCTTCTGTTTGCTCTACAAAATAAAACCTCCTCGTTTGGATACCTACTGCGATGCTTTCTTTCAAAAATGGAGTTTGCCATGACAAAAATACGTCTTTCTTCAATAACAGCAGTAGTATAGAAGCGTCTATACGGTTCTGAAGTCTATAAAATAAGCCCAAGGCGTGTATTGACTAATGTTGGCGCACTACAGAGAACTTATATGCGCCACTACTGTAGCAAAAATTAGCGTTTTAGCAATTAATTTTGGATAATTTGGCTGAAGCAGACCTTTTCGGCCGTGTAGCTCCGTGGATCCATTTAAACTTGATTTCACTACAGTTTGTTGATGTCGACTCTTGTATTACAGGGTTTATAGGTATTATGAATCTCTGTTTAGTCGATTTCGATACGTGACTTTGTTGTTTCTCCCTCCCCCCACATCGTGCTGACACCGACTCAGCATGTCCAATAACAGCCAATTATTCTTCTTGATAATGAAAAATGTCCAACATTGTGGATAGACTTTCAGTCTAGTGCTGCAGCTAGATATGGCATCTCTGTTGTAGACGGTCATCGAAAGTTTCCTGCTAACCTGACGAGGATCTCCTTCAATCCGAGCAAGTTGTTAGATTCAAATTTGCATAATATCATTGACGCCCAAGGCTTCAAATGACTGTAACCGTGCATTTCAAAACAAAAGATTTGCGCTCTAGAATTAGAATAAACGCTTCTATCACTTAGGAATTGAGTTTCGTACACTGCAAAATACCAGGATCGTCGGATAAAACTGTAGTTTACGTATGCTTTTTGGCAGCACAACCTACTACACCTTATTTTTAGGTCAAAATCCGTTCATATCTAGCCAATTTCAAGCACGAATAACTCATGCCGCAAAGCGTTCTGAGCGCTTAGAATAGCACCAAACGACTCCTCTTGATTGTGCTTTACTTACTGATACTTTATCTCAAATTTTTTTGGGTAATTGCAAATCCATGAAAATCCTCACTTTTTCATGAGTACTAGCAAAGGAGAATTCTTGAAAAACAAACGATTGCGCTTTTCACCCCTGAAATGAAGACTTTTACTATGATACATATTAGATCAAATTGAACGTAGAGATGTCATGAAACATTCGAAGTTCTTTCTATGAAACTTGTATATGCTAAATCTTGACATATTCACAGAAAACCTATTTTCATATTTTTGCGAATTGCTCGTTATTTTCAGTCTAGAAGCTGTATATAATTAGCATCATTCGAGGCGGCTTCTTTAGTCCTCGACTGATGTATTAGAACGTTGGGTGTAACAGCGACAGTTTTCATAGTCAAATTTGGCAAAAACGTTTAAAGGATGTGAGATCAAGTCAAATTTGAACACAAAAATACTCACTGTACAATTTCAAATTAAAGTGCAGCAGCTACTACGACTGCCACGGCAGAAGGCTGAGACCAAAACTACTGGCCGTGACGTCGGATAGGTCGCCCTCTCATTTTTTTCACACCACCGTTTTTTTTTTATCCTTTTTGCAAAACGCGTTTAATATCAAGTCATATTGGTTTTGGAGCCCCTTTGATTGAAAATAACACTCTAGCTTCTGATAACATGGCCTTGTATTGTTAAACGTAGTTGATGCTGCTCTTTTAAAGTGGAATATAGTAGGTAACATTCGATACCGAGTACTGGAAGGCGTAGAATAAATATTAATAACTGAATTTGTTTATTAGGTTTCGATAATTTTCTTGCCTGTTTGATGTGGATGCTGCTGCCATTGCTTCCCTGCTATATCTGCTATATCTGCTATATCTGCTATATTTGCTATTTGCTCCTTTGGTTTATTATATTTAGTGTTTGCTTCGTTGGTCTCTATCTCTGGTGGTTGCTTCTTTAATCTTTGCCTGGTCGCTGGTGTCGTTCGTTCTTTGGTTTTTCTATGATACTGGTGTTGCTGCGAGTGTTGCTGCTGGTATTACCGCTGCTAATCTGGTTTTTCTTGGTCTGCTGTCTCAGTTGTATGTTCGTTCTCTGGTCTATGTCTGGTAATTGTCTATTCTCTGCTGGTCTATCCTTCGTGGCTTTGGTAAGCGGTAAGTAGCTTTTTTTCTTTTGGTCGCAATGATATAAAACTTCTCTGGACGTTTGTATTATTGCTTTTTTTCTCGTGATAATGCATTCATGATGTTTGCTTTGTTACGATTTCTTTTTCTTTCGTTGGCTGTGATATGATCAGCTCAACGCATGCTTGCGATGTTGATGCTTCGTATGTACGATCATCAAGCATGATGTGCTGCTATATATCTGTATTGCCATTGTAGTACTACTTTGTTATATGGCCGTGGATTGTTGTTTGTGTTGCCTCTGTCGCTTCACATGAAACAACATTAGTCATAACGTTGTATTGAACACTTATAATACTGCTGTTGCTCCTGCAATTGTTTGTGTTTGTGTTGCTTAACATCCGACTATTACCATGCACATTGTTCATGTATGCATTTTTGTTGTTGCAACAACAGCGAGCTGTTCTGAACATCTTTGATGTTGTACTTGTTTTATGCTTTTCTTTTGACTCACTTTTTTGTGTGAGTGTTCCTTTTTTTTTTGCCTACATACTACTATACTCCTATAGTACTGTAGCATGTTCTTTTCTTCTTTTCCTTTTTTCTTTTATTATGTTTCTTTGAAGCATACCTCTTTATTACGTTGTGGTGGATGTGCCTATCGCTGAAGCTCAACAAGACACTATCCGAGGCTAGGAGGGAGATAGGCTGTCTCCACTTGGTTATTGCTACTTACTTTAGTGATGATTGAGAGTCTCAACGCCAAAATCTAAAGCTAGGTGGTGTAAGTAAGGCATGCCCTAGCACCTGAGGGAAATTTGATGATAGCTGCCGCTGAATTGCTATATATAGCGGTGTTTAAAATTTTACCTCACATCAAAACAGGGGGAAACCCTCGCAAAATTTTTTTTAGGTCAGCGGAGTTTTCAAGCGATTTGATTGGCTCAGAGATTGAAAGGGAAAAGGTCTACAACTAGTTGATTTTCTGTTGCTCTGCCATTTAACGTTATTTTGTTTTCGCATTAATAAAAGGTTTACCAAACATATACAATCTAAATCCTGCTGCTTTGTTCAACAGTAGTAATACACTCGATACGAATTACTCACCAAAATGGTCACTGTTTGTACTTATTTTAAAGTAATCCAAAAAAATCTAATAAATGTTTAAATGCTTGAAAATCATATATCATTTGTAATGAAATAGCCACCCAAACGCAACTTGATTGAAAACCAAAATTCATCAAAGAGCACTCTGTGGAATACGTCCACTATGATCTGCATTCCGACAGTTCATCCAGTTACCAGATTTAGATATAAACTGTATGTACACTGGATTAGATGTACGATATCGATTTATACTATGAGAAGATATGGACTTCAGATACGCTAGTACTATAAGATTCATACTATATAAGATATAGGCTATAGATGGCACCACGGACATGGATGGCACTATAGACTTATACTTGTATTCCGACATTGACTACGGATGTTTACCATATCTGGATAGGCACCAAGATTAATGCAATATGAGCTTGTTGCTTCAGATGTGCACTTTATGATCCACGCTATAAGACACATGCTTATATCCATGATACTAGCTACAGATACTTTATGTACTACAGACTTGTACTTACTATATATGAGACATGCTATAGACATGCATATGATATGCTATAGACATGCCATATATCCAGATACATGCTAAAGATGTATGCTCAGCGATATACACTCAGATATGTACTATTAATATAGACTAAGAAGACTGTACCTATCGGATACATGCTACTAGATCGATATTAATTATCCTTATGGAAAGGATAGATCAGGGTACTTCGGATGAGAGTCTAATTATTCATCCAGACAGAGCTAAATCATGATTAGCTTGCTGGAGTTGTCTTTTAGCATGATTAGACATCAGTTGATCTGAGTTGACTTATTTGTCAATCTAATTAATAGAACTTTTATCCATTGTTATAGTATATAAGAAGGATCATCTACCTGGCCAGTAGAGAGACTTCAGTTTACTTTACACCTGTCAGTTTGATAATAAAATATACCTTTATCAAGTTGACATTACTGTTTTTTTTATTCTTTTTTTTTCGTGAATTTTAGTCTATCAAGCCTCAAATTCCACACACTCATTCAAATTTATGCTATTTAGATCTATTAATAAAAGCGCTCAGATGTACAGCAAAAAATCATCATTTAAAAGTACTAAAGTAAAGATGCATGCTTATATATCGCACATCGTGTGAATGAATCACTCCTGATCATAATGTATTCACTCACACCCATGATGATCGTAATAAGTGATGTTATCTTTATCCAAATAAAATCAAATCAATAACAAGCATATTCAAATATGACAACTATGCCCTGATGCCATAGTTGTGTTTAGGATATAGATCATCTCTGGGAGGCAAATGTATTAGGCGTTGTATATTACATAAGAGGATCTGAGAATGAGCTGAGATGCATAGTAGAAGTGAGAGGTCTTTATTCAAGCAGCACGAAGGAACATGAGTGGTGCCATCAAATGGCTAATCTATACCCTGGTTCCTGGAGAGTGGTAGCCTATTGCCTTTCGTCCCTGGGAGTGGGTTTTAATTCCGTCAAATGTTCTTCCGTCAAAGCTATTAGGAAGAACATTCTATCCTGGATCATCTTTGTTGTTTATCCTTGACTGGTGGTTCATGAGTTCTTATGCAGCACATCCTCGTTAACTGGTTCAAGGCTTATACAATTATCCCGCATTCAAGATCAAGGTCCTATTGCTGCGGCACTGTCAAATAATTATACAGTGCGCGAAAAAAACGTTCCAGTGTTTTGCCAAATTGCACTTATAGCCAGTTTTCTCTGCAAATATCAAAGCTACTGGGGTTTGCTTAGTTTCGTAAATAGCCTAAGTAGTTGGCTATTAGATGATATATTATGCACTTTATTCACGTAATTAGAAAAAGAATGGTAGCCTCATGAAAAGTGAAAAGTCGAATTTATTAAATCTTATAAAAAAGCTCAATATTTAGTTGGGCCACCTTTACTCTTGATAACCGCTTTGATTCGGCGTGGCATGCTGCCTATGTATTTAAGACAGTCTTCTTTTGTGAATTTATAACATTTCTGTTCAATTCTGTCTTCTAACTCAGAAATGCTGGCGGCCCTAGTAGGGTACTTGTTCAAACGACGTTTTAGTTGATGCCAGACATGTTCAATGGGGTTTAGGTCAGGGCTTTGGGGGGAGGCCAATCAAGAACATTTTGAACAGAGAATCCGTGATGCGTGAACTATTTTTTAATGGGACCAGAAGTATGTGGTCTTGCGTTATCTTGCTGGAATCTAAACGTTTTCTTGTCCAGCCCATAGTACTCGATAGTGTCTAGCAAAGATGAGTCCAGAATTTCAGCATAAACTTCTGAGTTAACAGTTCCTTCGGTAATGGTGGAGCCATAGCTGTGTTCCTCCGCTGTTATCATGCCCCAGAAAACAACGCCACCACCATCTCCCTGAACTTGAGCCTCAGTTTGATGAGGCATCAACTCAGTGGGCCTGTCAGTTCAGTAGAAAGATTCGCCGTCAGATCCCCACATGTTGACCCTGGTTTCATCGGAAAATCCCCATTTACGCCAATCGTCCGCAGTCAAATGTCGATGTCTCTTGGCCCACACAAGACGCTTTTTTCCGGTTCTCCGCAGACACGAAATTGGTCTTTATCTTTCTTTTAGCCTTGAACCCTTTGCGCTTGAGTATATACTGTATATTCCTCAAAGTCATCTGAACTCCCATATGAGCAAGGTAGCACTGCACACCCTTGGGGCCGTCTAAATTACCATTGCGGAGATTCCTCTCAATGTAGTTCATATTCTGCGTAGTGATTTTGCTGCGTCTTCCGGGTTTGGCATGTTTTGAATGACCAAAAAACTTCTTCCTGTGGCGAGAAAGTACACTGACGGACAAATCTGGGAAGATTTTTTGAATGGCACGGAGGGAACAACCTTGGTTGAAAAGAGCCTTGGCAGATCCTTGAACCTCCTGAGGAATGGGACGTGTCATGTTAAAAAAAATGATGAAGTAAAGATGGTAAAATATAATGAGGGAAAAGACCAAAATCTCAGGCTTCTTTATACTTTTCTAAGCATTCCTCGGATAACTAACATTTTAAACATAACTGATATAAAAAATTACGGCTCTCAGATTATTTTCGTGGAATGTATACAAACAATAAGGTCATCAAGCGATATTTCCAATTTTACAAAATCGAAATTTTTTAATTTACGTCAGTTGCACTTGCTTAATATCTACTGTATCAATTATTTTAGTAGCTCATTTTGTGGCTAAAAACCCAAGCTTTCGTAGTCTTACTTTAGTTTTAAAACAGGAGAAAAACTGACAGAGCTGTAAGTGTAAAACTACGGATTGGCAAAACACTGGAACGTTTTTTTCGCGCACTGTAAATACCTGTGATATCTGCAGTGAAATCAGGTTTAATGGATTTCACAAAAAAAATAAAGCAATAGTAAAATACAATAGAAATCAACTGTATTTTATTTTGTGTATAAAATGAACTGAAGATCCTCGAATTGAGTAAAAAAAAGAAGAGTATTTATACATTTGCATCTGGCTTGTAGGATTAGTGATGATAGAGAGCAATAGGTGCTGCTATTGCGATATCTGGCAAATGTTGTTGATGTTTGATTTAAAGTGGTAATCAATGCAGGAGCACTGGCCATAAGGGTCGATTTGAGTAACCTTGATGGGCTTGGGTGAGCTATCGTCATAGCATGATTTAATGTAACCTTGATGGTTTAAAGTGTGATGTTTGTTATTGAAGCATGGAATCCTTTATCTGGGATATTGTGCAACTATGGCAGCAGGGCATAGTTGTCATATTTGAATATGCTTGTTATTGATTTAATTCTATTTGGATAAAGATACCATCACCTATTACGACCATCATGGGTGTGATTGAATACACTGTGATCAGGAGTGATTCATTCACACGATGTGCGATATAAGCGTGTATCTTTACTTTAGTATTTTTAAATGGGTTTTTGATGTACATTTGAGCGCTTTCATTAATAGATCCAAATAGCATGAATTTGAATGAGTGCTATTTGATGAACTTTGGTTTTCAATTAAGTTGCGTTTGGGTGGCTATTTCATTACAATATCTACACTAGTTTTGATCCCTATTCAATCTTGGAATAACATAATTAATATATTCAGTTCTAATTGTATTTACTCTGTCTATATTTCGTTATTCTAAACAAGTTGCACAATATCCCAGATAAAGGGTTCCATATTTCAATAACAAACATCACACTTTAAACCATCAAGGTTACATTAAATCATGCTATGACGATAGTTCACCCAAGCCCATCAAGGTTACACAAATCGACCCTTATGACCAGTGCTCTTGCATTGATGATTACCACTTTAAATCACACATCTACAATATTTGCCAGATATCGCAATAGCAGCACTTATTGCTCTCTGTAACCACTAATCCTACGAGCTAGTTGCAAATGTATAAATACTCTTCCTTGTTTACTCCATTCCAGCATCTTCAATTCATTTGATACACAAATATAATACAGTTGATTCCTATTGTATTTTACTTTTCTCTATTTTTTTTGTGAAATCCATTAAACCTGATTTCACTGCATCACTAATTATTATACGTTAAAATTTCACAAGATTGCACTTCAAAATCAAAACAATTGACAAGCCAAACCTGGTCTTTCAGAATGACTAATTGGTGGCATAGTAAGCTATCACAGAACAGATGCCAAAGAAAGTGTGATCTGCAAGAAGATAATGAACCTGTTCCCATCCACGTTGAGCACTGTGAACAAGTGGGCAGGCTATAATGGCATCGGGTTACTTCCAAAGCGTTCTGGAGCTCCATTTACGATGTATAATAAAGATCAGAGACGGTTCGCAAGTCAGCTTCGTTCTGCACCACAGTTGCCAGTGAAGAGCCGTTTGAAGATATGGTGTGACACCAAGCCATCAATTTCAATTGATACTTTCAGGAAGTGTATGAAGCTCGTTATCTTTCAATTATATAAGGCTGCACACAAACCAACATTGACATCTGAACGCAAGCTGAAAAGACTACTCTCCTGGTGCTTGGACAAAGTTGGACTGGAGTTAAGGCAGTGGAGAAAGGTTGTTTTGTCCGATAAGTCCAAATTCTTCATGGTTCTCGGCAATGATGGTGGCTCTAGGGTAGTCCGAAAAGAAGGTGAAAGATACAACGATCATTGTTAAGCACAAAGAATAACAGGATTAAAATTTGTAGCTTATAAAAAATGTTTGATATAACAAAAACAAGAAAAGACTTATTAGAATAATAAGATCAGACACAAAAACTAAAGATTTATTGACGAAGACAAAAGTTAACCTATTTATACTAAGTTTTGAATGCCAAAGTAGCAATTTATCTTGTACAACGCTTATCACATCTGGTGAACCTCAGTATTTAGATAGCTGAGATGCACTTCAATTATCATAGCTTGTCCATGTTGTTGCACAACACAGACATATCTACCCATCAAGAATACCTTAATCTTTATAGACACTTGTAGCCCTTCTGGCACAACAAAAAGGTAACCCCAAATTGGATTGCCTTTGATTTAATGTCAATTTCATGTACCCGCGTTCTTGAGTCCATCCCATTGTTTAAAATAGTAGCGTCTCAACTCTATTGTTGTAATTCCATGAATATTGCATCAATTCCACATCAATTGGTTTGCATCTGTCCTGAGTCAAAGTCCAGAGTCAAATCCACAGTTCAAAATGGTAATCCACGACTATTAGCGCGCAATCTCATTTGGATCCCTGGCTGGTTTATCGATTCAACAATGTCAGCTTTAGATATTGATCAGATCTTCGGCTAAACCTGACAAGAAGTACAACGAGTAAACGGATATGTAACAACTACAAAATAGAAACGACACCAATTGAGTAAGCACCAACATTGATTAGCAATACACCAAATAGAGACCGCATCGACTAGAATAACAGTATCAACGCGCCATCAATAGATAACATACAGTTTTACAACAGTTATATGAGTGTGTCAATGCAGCAGAACACCACACTAACGAGGAGTAACCCTTCAAGTAAGACATAGTAGATAAGGTAGAGAATTATACCTTGAATCCACCACCTTGCGCCTTTCCCATATACGGTATATTGCCTTTTTAGGAAATCGAGATAGAGCCAAGTAACCAAGAGAAAAACACACACGTGTCAATTCTAATACTCTGCGGTGCTGGTTTTGTGAAATGTGTAGCGAAATGTGTGGAAGATCTTGCAGTAATAGTTGATCCCGAGACAAAACCAAGTAATTAAAGCTGTTTAAGTTGCAATAACCTTGATGTAGACAGTATCTCAGCGATTAAATGTATATATAAAGTTATGTACCCAAAAGATTTAAACGTAAGAAAGTTCGATTTATTCAAATGTGTTGTATAGATTCAAGTATATATGTCAAAATAAAAAAATGTACGAATAAATGATTTGAACACCAGTTCAGGAACAGCACTCTAATAGGCTCATAGTTCAGATACCGCTTCTTGAAATTAGCACCACCACAAAATACTTTTACTATCGTAACAATTCATCAATAGCTGGTATAGTATAGTGGCAGTACATCACGTTGTGGCCGTGTCGACGCAGGTTCGATTCCTGCTACCAGCATTTTTTACTTTTTACTTAAAAAATGGTGTGTGTAGTCTTTTTTAATTCCTGGGAGTTTATCATCTGAAGTATTGTTACGAATCGTAATATCCGCGTTCTTTTTCTGTCACTATATAGAATCACCCAAACTGCTCTTCTCCATTATATAAATAAAATACATCACATTTGGTATCGTTTAAATTTCGCTCTGTCCACAACTCAATCTCAACTCAAAATGCTGCACGTCAAGCGGGCATAACTTAAAGGCCCAGATCAGCGCTTCAATGCCTTCCATATCTAAAAAGGACAACCATATATCAAACTCTATGTCTTAAATCCATTAGGTACAATTGCATAACCAAGGTTTATGATACTATACACATTGACCGTTGTAAATTAAGTAAGCTATCCCTCGTTCATCCAGATACAGAAATATTATCAAATCGCAAATCAATCCTTGTTAACCAGGACATTATCAAAGACATATCAAATAGCAAGTTAGTATAAAGGCATAAATTTCAAAATTCAGTTAATAAAATTGTCTTATAATTTACCAACATTTCGATACATATCTTTTATAGAGGTTATTAGCTGTTTTATTTACTTCCTTTCTTATATTTTACATCTGTCATTTGTAAGATCCCCTGAATTCTTTTTATATATGAATGTTTTTACTTCGGATGACTCTCTACCTTCGCTTCGCTTCGGTAAGAACCAACCTGTGCAGCGGTAGCTCACGCTACCAATTTCCCTTGCGTATCTTGTCAAAATACTGTTACTTTTATTTCGACCCTCTACTTACACATAAAAGCCCTTCATATTACCTGTGGGCCTGATTCTTATATAATGCTCTACATCCATCTACACGTAGCTACTTCATATACGAGTAACCAGCATACTGGTATTTCCTCTCTTTGGTCCTTGCTATCTTTGATACAGCAAAATTTGAGTGCATTTGAGTTGCGTTTTCTTGAATTCAAGGCCATTTTAGATGGTCAGAATAGCACCAAACAATTGCTCTCATCTGGCAGTTACTTTCTGACACCTTTGCTCAACTTTTTGGGGATCAAAAAAACATGGCCAAAAATCGAGCAAAAAGCATGAGGTACCCTCATGGTTTTCATTGAAAATCAAACAATCACGTTTTTCGCCTTGATAATGAAGACTTTCACTATGGTATGTATTGATTCAAAATGTTTATATCGATCTAACGTAACCTCTAAAATCATCTTTGCGAAACATTGATATGTAAAATCTCGACTTTTGACCAGAAACCTCTTTTCATATTTTGGTAAATTATTCAATAAGGTTATTCAAAACATTTATCTTACTTGGTACCATTGGATGCGCCTTGAAAAGCACTCCAAGGAAGCTTAAAGGATCATTTTTTTTTTTGTAGGGGAGTCGAGCTCCAGGTTTTATTTAAAGTCCTTAAAATGTCATGCTGAGGGAAAGAAAAGACTGTTGGTGGACCCAATGTCTGCAAAGAAGGGGAATAAGATATTTTGAACTAAGTTGGGAAAGAAATCTACTACTAATAAGGTGCGACTCCTAGAGCCAGTACAGTCTTGCGGAAAATCGTCAAAATATAGATCATGGATAAGAGTACAAAAACACCAAACGAGGACATCAGTACTACGTCAAAAAATCAAACAACTTGCGTTCACCAGGATTTGAACCGGGATCCTCCCGTTGGCATACGGGAGTTTTACCACTTCGCCCTACCACCAGGGGCGCTTAAAGGATCATAGGATGATTATCATATTTTACTTAGTCGAATATGCTAAAATAGTTCAATCGGGTCGAAAATTGTCAAGATTTGTCCAATCTAAAGCAGATTAAAATCTCTGAGTTTAAATTATTTTTGGCTAGTGAGGGTAGGCTGGCACCCTCAATGCCCTTTTAATTATGAAGTTTATAGAGTAATAGATGTTTTTTAAAGCGTGTATAAAGTAGGTGAAATATTAATTAGTTCGATTGCTAGCCATGCTATTTTATTTTGGAGTCTTGCATCTAATCACGCCAGACCACCGAAATACTTGTAAGCGCAATTTCTTTCCTTTTTGAGGCTTTGAAAGTATCTAGGGATCATAAATTTATTGTGTCATGATGATTTTGGTATGCAGGCGCGTTCAACAGACTTACAAATTCATCCCATAAAGTGATAGTAAGAATAGTTTGTCGTATTGTAATCCGGTGTTCACAAAATAGTATATATAGAAATGCAAATGCGCTTTGAAGGATTGTCACAAAGACTTTACCTATCTGTATACTATAAAGAAACATGATATAATACATCAGTCAGACAATGCATACAATCTGTTAGTGCTTATTCTATTAAACAGTGTTTTATTTGTGATATTCGCTTAGGGAAGGTCTCAAAAATTGATTTCTTGAGAAAACATGCATCGGTCCTTGGGAAAATTTAGGTGATTGTCCAATTATAATTGTTGATGATCACAATGCATTGATACTTACGTTGATTACTTGGGACTAAAAACGGGATTTTTATGGCAAGTCTCTTGCGAGATAAGATAAAATAATAAAGTTCTAGAAAATACAGATGGCGTAAACACTTCATTGAACATTTGTAAAGCTTCATTTGACGTACGTTCATCAATGTTTGAGCAAAAACAGCCCGTTGCAATTTAAAATGCCTTCTAAACCTTTTGTTCAATCATGCCAAAGGTCTCATTGGTATACCCACTAACAGTTGTGCGAAATGACGGCACAAATTGTACTAATCTTTTTCAAACTGCAGACGTAATATATTTCTTATTATTACATAAACGGAGGTGATCAGATGCTTTTCTCATTTTGAACATTTCTAATTTGCAAAGTTTTTTGGAGAAGAATGATACTAGCAACGCAGCAAGCAAGGTTATTGATATCTAATTGTTTAGCTGGATTTGCTATGCAATTATGTGTTCATTTAGTTTACCTAATTTCAAGGTGAGGCATAAGCAAACTCTGATACCTTGATTGCCGAATAAGCGGAGGCCAAGCTATTTGTAAACTAAAAGAGATAATTTATCTATTCTAGGACCAAGCAATCCTTGGTGTAACAACGACTTACAGGTGGATCATATGGATAATGATAAAAGAATGAAACGTTTATTTGATCACTCAAGTATTAAGTGTAGAAAATAAGTATGTAAAAGTAGGCGGAGAGAATATATATATAACACAGCTTTAACTACAAGAGGACAGACACCAATTTGATGCAATCAAGCTGCGGAAAGCTTATTTGAACAATGCTAGGCTGCAGATACTTAACAACAGCACTCTTCACAAACGCAACAGCAGCCAATCGCAGCTAGACAATCCGTCAGACATCCACCGCCACCTCTCAGTCTTAACAAGAAAGAGGAAGAAGAACCAACATCTTCTATACAAGATATGAGTATTTCGAGATTCGCCTCACAATTTGGACAACAAACCTTGACGATGATGCTCACATTGACCAACAGTCTGATCTGGGACTTGAATAGCACCGTCGGTAGACATTTGATTCAAAGTAGGGTAAGTAGCAGCAGTAGAGGGATGGTTAGCAACAGTGGCCATAGGGATTTCAGTAATAGGTTGACTCATTTTAAAGGTGGGATTCAGTACAATGAAGAGGTTAGATTATGGTTCTAAAGAAGAAATATCAGCGCCTATTTATATAATCGACATGGCCGTACACGAACACAGATGAGGTGTTTGAAAATACTTACAAACAAGCTATAAATTGACTATTCTTGGCGTTATTATCAAATAAAATGCTTCAAGCTTATTAGCGTCCAGCATGACCTCATAGAAAAAACTGACGACATTGGGAGGATTAAAAAAGTAATTTTGTGGTACTTGAAGTTCTTTAATGTGATGATTAAAAGAGGAATGTGCGTCAAGGCAAAGGCAGATGATGTGCTGTGAGTGTGCAGAAATATGTGTAGACAAAAGTATATATATATATATATATATATATATATATAGCTGGTGGTTATGCTTGAATGGAAAGGGCTTTTGCTCAATTTGCTGGTGATTCTGCGATAATACTGCTGCTTTCAGGTGTGGAGGGTGAGGTGCCATATGTGATTGCACCATTTACTTCGTCGTCATCTCGTTTAAACAATGTAGCCCAGTACTTGACTTTGGTAGCATCCGGCATCAACACACCACCGTCATCCACCAAGTCTTTATCTTTCATTGGATCATACAGTGGATTGGTAAACTTGGCCTTGTCAGAATTAAAGTAATCCCAGATACTGTAAGTCCTTTCCTGAGGTTGGTGGTGCGTTCTTTCCGCTTCGCTGTTGAATAAAAATGTACCAAATTGACACGAGTAGACATGATAGTGTAGATCAATCAGCATCTGCTCATTAAACTCAAATCGAGTGGGGTGTAGGCAGATCAGTTGATACACACAATCCAGAAACTGGTGGAATACTGGACTGGTTTCTCTTTGATAATAGTTTGACTTGTAGAATTTGTTCTGCATGTCTTTGATCGTATTGGTTGCTGCATTTCCACCCGTGTTGGCAAGGTTGACAAAGTACTTTTCGTTGCTCAAATGTCCACATCGATCCTCAAATTTGTGCCCAAACGATACCCAATCCTTCTCGATGAGAACCTGAATGCCCTCAAATGTGCGGTAATATGGATCCAAGCAAAGTTCGCTCAATGATACCAACTGCGATGTGCGGTCCCAGCCATCAGAGCAGTGAACAAGTACATGCGAATTGTATACATGCACGCTTTTGACAATGGTCATTGTGCCCTCCACAACCATGGCAATGTGCTTCAGCCACCCAGATCTCTGCAGAGCACCTCTATTCACTTGTCCGCCAGCTGATTCCATTCCTTGCATTGCCTCACTGAGTTTGGCTAGACTGTCTCTCATAACATGTATATTGTCGATAGCCACATAAATCTTTTTGCAGTTGCGATAGTGATCCATGTTTTCAGTTCCAGCGCCTCTTGCAACATTGCCTACTGCGTTGGCCATGGGTCGAGCATCCACTATCAGATTAGCTGCTGTGGATCCATACACTGTTTCTCCATTAGGTCCTGTAGGCACATTGGATGAGAATACTGCCTCTATCAATTTCTCGTCTTGAATCGATCTTGCTTGCTTGAAACCAACCAGAGGCTGGCTACTTCTTGTTATGGTTGCCTAACAACAAATCAGTTTTTTTGATAGTTGACTCCAGAGTATCTCATCTTACGGAGTTATGCCAGTGCATATAAGACAATGCAGGAATTCTGGCTTTACTACGGTATTTTGCGGCATAATTCAGCGTATTGTCACTAATTTTGGATGGTACTACCAAGGTACGAGGGTATGTAGGCGAATACTACACGGAGCATGAATAGTGAGTCTCCCCATACCATACTACACTTACCTTGTAGTCTCTATTCACGAGTGTAAATCGCCATGTGTCCGTGCTGACATCCACGCCCATGCGCTCGTATTCCTTGAGGGGGTCGTATATATTCCAACCGTTGTTGGCAGTAAATGGCGTCCGTGGTTGATATGCATACGCATAAAGCTGCTCTATAGAGGCTATACTTCCATTTTGCTCTTAGCTACATCACATCAAACAGCTCCTGCTTGTTTATCCCACTTACTAACACATGCCAGTTTCTGAATACTGTCAAATACATCTTGAGCTTCCCCATCCTTCAAAAGAGAGAGTGTGATAATCATGAAATCTCGACATTTAATATACAAAGGGTGGCGTCCCGATTGAAGTGAGGGCGGCTGTCTCTCCACAGTGTGTATGATGGGGTAGGGTATCTATCAAACTGTATGAGCAAACTGCTGCAGAATTTGGATTTTGAGTCTTACCCAGAGCTCTTCTTCATTATAACTGAATATCAGGTGATGCACAGTCAGATGTAGAGTACCTACAACAGTTTCTTGACCTCTATCAAGCTGAACATCCTTTACCTTTTTGTACGTTTCATTGACTTTTAACAACTCATTCCAATATCTTTAATCAGTGTTCTCAATCTAACCTGTGTGATCTTTAATAGATCAATACGACTAGGCTGTATATTCGCTTGTGGTTGAAACAGCGTAGGCAGCGAGACACGGGCAAGGTTAAAAATTGTGAAAAACTAGATGGGTTGAATGTGGGAAGCAGTGTTTGGAAGAATACAAGTAATTTACGCTATAAATTACTGGTATAAATGATGATTTAGCAAAAGAAGCGAGAGAAAGAGTGTGAAAAGAGGAAAAGAGAGGAAAAAGAGAAAGAAAGGAAACTCTCAATTAGTACTCAGAAATGCTTGCTGGAGCAAACAACCCCTTCCAAGTTTAAAGATGTTGTTTGCTATCCTAGCACGTGGGCTGATCATCATTGTATTCAACATGTCATTTGTGTGCATCATTGAGGGTGGATTTCCTGGTGGAAGCTAGAGCATTATACTGAGGGACGTTGCAAATTGACGCAGCGACATTAACGTTTGCTTGTCATCTCGTCATATTGATGAGGAACTCATGAAAGCTGATTTTACCAACCTATAAAGCACTGTTTCTTTCATGACAAAGTTCATGTCCACTTTGATCATTAATACTTGACAACTTGCAAGTGTCCTTAGCATAAAGTAATGTCCATTGTAACGTTTTTTTTTCGAGTACAGGCTCTTCAATATTGGCTACAAACTCTTCATTATGTAACATCAAGTTATTCCAAGTGCGATTGATTTTCATAAAACCAGATGAAATCGACGGGCCGCTTTTTCTTCTTCTTTTGCTTACAATCATTCAGACCTGAAAGTCGATACACAAGAAAAGCAAGAGATGCAATTATAGAATGAACGCACTGTTTTCACGTTTGACATTTAACAAGCTTTGTATAGCAGCATTCGTACTTCGAGTTGTGTTGTTGCTATATGGAGAGTATCAGGACGCTTATTTTACAGTCAAATACACTGATATTGACTATGTGGTATTCACAGATGCCGCACGCTACATTACAGAAGGAAAATCACCATATTTACGAGAAACGTATCGATATACACCCTTATTAGCCATATTGTTGACTCCCAATATCTTTTGGTTTCGATCATTCGGCAAATGTCTCTTTGCAAGCGCAGATTTGTTATGTGGATACTTGATTCATCGTATCTTGGTATTGCGCGGTATGCCATCCAAGAGCGCATTGAGGTTTGATGCACTCTGGCTATTGAATCCCATGGTGGCAAATATCTCTACACGTGGAAACGCAGAATCACTGTTGGGTGTCATGGTGTTGGGCACGTTCTACCTGGTACTGACGAGAAGATACTTTTATTCAGCTTGTCTTGTGTTTGGACTCTCGGTGCACTTTAAGATTTATCCTGTTATTTACGCTATACCCTTATTAATGCTTCTGGATGACCATTACGGAAACCCCTTTCAGCAATCCAGTTTTTTGGTCAAGGTGCAACATGTCAGATTTCGAATGATACATGAATTGGATCAGCAATTGGCAGAAAAGGACAGCATTGCAACCAAAATCATGAGAGGCGTTGTTGTGTTTTTGTCGCCTGTGCGTATTCTGTTTGGGATTATCAGCGCTTTTGTGTTTTTCGCACTGACAGCTTCCATGTATCAGCAGTAAGTTGGAAAAGGTACATGGTGAGGAAGTTCGTTACTGACAGCATTATGTGTAGATATGGAGACGAATTTATGCAACACACTTATTTGTACCATGTAACAAGAGAGGATCATCGCCATAATTTCAGCATTTGGTTCTATCAAATGTATCTCGGCATCGACAACACAAGTTCATGGATGGGTTTAGTTGCATTTGTGCCTCAATTAACGCTTGTAGCCGTCATTGGCATTGCATTTGGAAAGGATCTGTTCTTTGCAGCTTTTATGCAAACGTTCATTTTTGTCACATTCAACAAGGTCATTACATCCCAGGTAAATTTTGATAGAGTTTCTTCATGCCAGAGGGTTGACATTATGATTGCTAGTATTTCATGTGGTACATTTGCTTGTTCCCATTGATCTTACCTTCTTCAAAAATCAAGTTCAGATGGAGGGGTTTGCAGCTCTTGCTTGCTTGGGTGGCAGGACAGGTATGTAGTGATGTGAGAAAAAGAGGTACCATTTAACACAAGAAAATGTATAGGGTCTTTGGTTGAATTTTGCATATCAGTTGGAGTTTCTCGGCCAAAATACCTTTTTGCAACTTTGGATTGCAGGCGTTACATTTTTCGTTATGAATTGTTGGATAGTAGTTGAATTGATATTGAATCACCAATACGAACCCATCTATGGCAGCAGTGGCCGTATTCGCTGGGTGTGGGGAAACGGTGATCCAGGATCGAAGCGTTCATTATAAAAATAAAAAAAAAAAACTGGCTGCTCTTTTGTGCAAGCATGATTATTTCAACCAAGATTGTTACCATGGCAACTCGAGATGATAGTAGTAATAAAGAGTCTAGCTGTCTACTTGATATATCACCGAAATACTTGACGTTTGATGTGTCTACGTGGACAGAATCTCTGGTTTGATGGTTGAATGGTGTTTTAATAACGAAACAAATATGCGATGCCTACAAGATGTACTACATGGCATTGGCTGAGAGCTCTCGCTCAAGACCCTTTCTCAGGGCAGGACAAATGACATGACATTTACCACATCTATAACAATGAAATCAAGATGCAGATTCATGCAATGATAAGCCAATAACGTGTTGTTGATGAGTTTCAGTTTCCAGCATCTCATTATGTCTCAATCCACTGACAGGCGGCCATCATTGGTGCCCTAGCAGAGCATCAGCTTACCCGGAGTGCTAAAACGAAGTCTGGAGGAAATCTATTAGGCCAAAACTGTTTATCCAGCTTTGATTTAGTAGTGGTGTGTATCCAAAACGAGTCATCAGAGTTTAAGCGAATAAAATACAGGTAGAGAATAGAAAATTTTACAAACTCTTAAATTGCAGTTTTGATTTCCTCCCCTTCTTTATCCACTTTTTCCCATTAAATCATCTAAAATGTCACAAGCATCTGGTCCTGTTGCCAACAAATTCGTCCAAAAGCTCGCTTCTAAAGAATTCAGAAACTATTTGATGAGGTAAACATTGGCAGAACTACACACCAGATCATGCTGGGAAACTCACCCTTTTTTCTTTTATCTGCTAGTACCGTATGTATTTTAGAATTGTTTACGTGTTTATTAGAGTCTTAACATGGCATCTCTATACAGCATTTCTGGGGCCCCGTTGTTAATTGGGGTATTCCTATTGCTGCCATTGCAGATACCCAGAAGGATCCCAGTTTGATTTCAGGAAACATGACTTTGGGTAAGTTGTCATGTTGATATTCTGCATATCCACATGTGTATTGAGAAACATTTGGCATTGTAGCTTTATGTATCTATTCCGGTCTCTTTATGCGTTTTGCTTTGGCCGTTAAGCCTGTCAACTACCTATTGTTTGCTTGTCATGCTACAAATGAAGCTGCTCAAATAACACAAGGTTATCGTTTCCTTCAGTACAACAAGTAAGTAGTGTGAAATTTCTGTTGGGTTGCCCTTTCGTCTAGTGTGGGGCCAAAGATGCCGGGGTTTTATATACTCATCAGTAATCTCTAGATTTGGTGGTAAGGAGAAGGTAGAGGCCGAGAAGGTGGTCAAGCAACAAGAATAAATTAAAACATGCCAATAAAAGAGAAAAAAAGAAACATTGTATTTTATTTTGTACACTATTCAAAGCTACTAGATTTCCAGTGTTGTTCTTGCATTGATGCCAATCGTTTCAATCGCCTGAGAAAATGCTTTGCTGCTGATGGATTTTTGTGAATCTACATTGTAGAATGGATTGCAGACATTGGAGACATAGGCAGCATGTATCTTGCGGAAGAGCTATTGGATAAAAAAAGTCTTAATGTCGAAATGTTACCAAATTGCAATTAAAATTTACCGCTTTCATATCAGCATCTCGAATGATGCCATCAGTAACTGATACCACTATCACTAATTTAACCCGGGTATTGGTGATATATCCATATCTAAATTACAGTGTTTACTAATAATGTCGATCATCGTGATGGAGTGGATGCTTACACTGCTAAATCTTCCATGGCGTATAATAGCCCAAGGTACAGGTCAAGATTCTTGGGTCCATTTGATACTAGCGTGCTCTCTGTGAGTAAGTTGTGTAAAGGGAATATCTATAAAGCAGATATACCTCGTTCTTCAATGACATCTATCGATGTATGTGCAATGTAATGATATTTTAAATCAGGGTGGGAGGTACTGAAATTCTTTATGAATAATGGATTGTTCTATTTTTTTACGGATAGCTGTTAAAGCAGCCCCAATAGCGCGTATGTCAAGTTGCAATATACGTACTTGCTTCCCAATCAATGCAATACAGTTGATTTCGCTGCTCATGAGATGTATTCAGGGTGGTTTGGTATGTGTAAAGATAAAGATGATATGATAATTAGAAGACGAGGCAATCCCGAATAAGCTAAAGTCAGCCTACATTTGTTCCCTTGCTTTTCTATTGGGAGGTTCAAACTACAACACACCACCAAAAACACAAACCACCATAAACTTACACTAACCAGCATCTTTTTTTTTTTTTTTTTTTTAATTTTTCACTTTCATTTTCGCACTAAATTTGAAACTTTTCTTTGAATATGAACGTCGACGCTTGTATTGAATCAATAAAAGAGTGCAAGTATCTACCTGAAAACGATATGCGACAGCTATGTTACAAGGTATAACCATCCAATTCCCTAAAAAAAAAAATCCCTATTTTAACATGCTTCTGCTTTGTATAACCGACTAGTTGAAGGAAGTACTAGCTGAAGAGTCTACTGTTGTGCCTGTCAACGCACCAGTGACGCTGTGTGGCGATATTCATGGACAGTTTTATGATCTTGTCAAGATTTTTGAAGTGGGAGGCGATCTTCCAAACACATCGTACATATTCATGGTAACAAACATTCAAACTTACATCCATGTAGTGGACCACTGACGACGACCTTCCTACGCAGGGCGACTTTGTGGACCGAGGAAGATACTCACTAGAAACATTGACACTACTATTGCTGTACAAGCTCAAGTAGAGTATACCAGTGATCCATTTGCATGATTGTTCATCCTAACTGAGTAAAAATTAGATATCCCGATCGTATTACACTTACAAGAGGAAATCATGAAAGTCGTAATGTTACTCGAGTGTATGGATTCTATGGCAAGTATATAGCGTTGATTTTATGCTTATGAAACAAATGGCTCACATGTTGATATGGTGCAGATGAGTGTTTGGCAAAATACCAGAATTCGAGAGTTTGGGAATGGTGTTGCACCGTCTTTGACTATTTGCCCTTGGCAGCTGTAAGTTGTGTGGAAAACGACCATGGCACGAGTGCGAGGATTAAGCTCATGGTATTAGGTAATTGATGGATCTGTATTCTGTGTGCATGGCGGTTTATCACCCGAATTGCCTTCTATTGATTCAATTCGGTAAATATGATTGATAGCCGAGTAAAATGAGTTACTGACATGATTTCATAGTACATTATTTCGTATGCAGGAGCTACCGCAGAGTGGAGGGCATTGTGGTAGGTGTCAACACCAATGATGAAGATGAGGAGTCGAACTGACGTGGTGATCATAGACCTACTATGGTCTGATCCTGAGACTCAAGTAGACGCATGGGCAATCAGTCCTCGAGGTGGAGGCTATTTATTTGGACCGTTACCTACCACAGCAGTAAGGAGACGACAGGCTATGGAATAAGCTCGGTTACTAATCGCCGTTTGAGCAGTTTTGCCACAACAATGGTATAGATTTAATTGTTCGAAGCCATCAGTTAGTAGATGAAGGATACAACTATCCGTTTGATGAAGGAAACCTGGTGACATTATGGTCAGCACCAAATTACTGTTATCGATGTGGTAACAAAGCTGCTATTCTAAAGATACCAGAAGAAGACAGGCCGATTGTATCCACAGATTATACGATATTTTTAGAGAACGATGTTCAGGGAGACACCAACGGCAATGGCGGCGCTGGACAAGGTCCTGGTAGCCAATACTTTTTATAAGCACTCCCAAGGCAACATTTATATATTTTTGTAACAACATGAAATCAACCTATTATTATATAAAGCATATCAAGCTATCATAAAATACGGCATGGCTTCTTTTCTTTTTTAGTCTGAGGTGGCTCTAATGCAGCCACAATAGCTTCATCGAATACGTTCTTCAAACCTTTTTGAGTCATTGCAGAGCACTCTACATACTTGACAGCACCAAGCTCTTTAGCTAATCTCTCTCCCGAATCAAAATCAATGGGCCTTTGTCTTTGTTTGGCTAATTTCTCAATCACAGCTGAATCACTTCTCAAGTCGACTTGTGTTCCCACTATCAAACAAGGTACTCCAGGGCAGTGATGATGAACTTCGGGAAACCACTTTTCCTTTACATTCTCGAACGATGCAGGTGAAGTAACCGAGAAACAAACAAGAAAGACATCGGTTTGTGGGTACGAAAGTGGGCGAAGGCGGTCGTAATCTTCTTGTCCTGCAGTATCGAACAATCCCAGTGTATAGGGCTCGTCTCCTAATTTGAAATTAGCATGAGTACAATGGTATCAATGAGTAGATAGCGTGCGGCTATTTACCAATCATCACTGTCACTGCATAGTTGTCAAAGACCTAGTTGAGGTCAGTGAATCAACTCTATACCAGTTTATCACTTGACTTACTGTGGGTACGTATTCAGATGGAAATTTGTTGGTAGTATAAGAAATTAAGAGGCAAGTCTAAATACATGTAGAAAACGAAAAGGGTATTTAGTATGAAGAACCTACTCCTGCACCCATGTCAGTTAACAGCCAACGTAGATGCTTCTGCTTGATCCAGTATCTCCTCCTTTCAATTTTGATACATGTATCATACCCAGCCCATTCTCTCTTTTCAAGCAACACTTGCTGAAAATAAAAGATACATACTTTACCAACAGCGCCGTCTCCAACAACAACACATTTAATTGTAGCTACCACCATAGTGAATTATCGAGAAATTATTGCGGATAAGGAGGGGGGGGGGGAAAGAATACCAAGAAATAATAAAAGACAGAGAGAAAGAGGGACAAGAATAGTCGTGTATCTCTTTGACAAAAAAGGTAGGTGTGCTTGCTTACCAAAGCCAGCCTTTTCTACCCAAATAAAAAAAAACGGGTCAAGGAACCACGACTAGCAGATCAGATCAAATGACCTCACCTGAGTATCGTGGCTCATATTGAATATACGTTGATTCTGCTCAGGCCATTTCCAGGATGTAAACGATATACTAGACTTTTAGTTATGGGTAATTGCAAATGTGAATGTTGCTTGACTGATGCTCTGTATTTGTTGTTTGTCTTACAGTCTAATATATATACTGTAGAACATTCAAAAATTTAAAGAATTGTGTGCCGTACAAGGTGAATAAAATCACCGGCAAAGGTGCAAAGCCATAGTATCCAAGCAGCAAATTCGGGTTTTCATTTCCATTATTAATAAGCTTACCAGCAACATAGCGCATCAAAAGTTTGCATGAATCAGCTTTACCAAAATCAATATGCCACCTATTCGAATTATAGATTGTTCAAGCTACAGAACTGCCTTTCCAATAAATTGCAGCTACCAAAGATGTGATTCATGCCGTGTAAATAATAGCTATAAAGCAATACCTAACCAAATTGGGCAGTTTTCAAGCCTTCATAGCTTGACATGTAGACCTTTCTGAGCCACCGGAATGACGCCAAACAATTGTACTTGAGTAGTAGTAACTTCCTGATACCTTTGCTCAACTTTTTGGGATAAAAAAAATGGACAAAAATCGACCAAAAAGCATGAGGTACTCCTCATGGTTTTCATCAAAAATCAAACGATCGCGTTTTTCACCTTGAAAATGAAGACTTTTACTATGGTATATATCACATCAAAATGTGTCTCTCGATTCAAAGCAACCTTTGAAACCACGTTTATGAGGTTTTCATATGCAAAACATGACCATTTTCGCTAAAAACCTCATTTCAAATTTTATTAAATTGCTCGATAATTTCAGTCAAAACACCTATTACAGTCAGCACCCTTGGAAGCGCCTTGAAAACTACTCCAAGAACGTATTAGGAAGCGTTTTTTTTTTTTTGTAGGGGAGTCGAGCTCCAGGTTTTATTTAAAGTCCTTTAAATGTCATACTGAGGGATAGAAAAGACTGTTGGTGGACCCAATGTCTGCAAAGAAGGGGAATAAGAAATTTTTGAACTAAGTTGGGAAAGAAATCTACTACTAATAAGGTGCGACACCTAGAGCCAATACAGTCTTGCGGAAATCGTCAAAATATAGATAATGGATAGAGTACAAAAAACACCAAACGAGGACATCAGTACTACGTCAAAAATTCAGACAACTTGCGTTCACCAGGATTTGAACCGGGATCCTCCCGTTGGCATACGGGAGTTTTACCACTTCGCCCTACCACCAGGGACCGTATTAGGAAGCGTAGGGTGATTATCACAATTTATATAGTCGAATATCATAAAATAAATTAAAGAAGTCGAAAAAAGACAAAATCTGTCCAATCTTGAACAGAAAAAAAATAATCTGAGTTTGAATCAATTTAGGCGGCGGCATTGCTGCTGGCTGGCCCGAATGCCTTTCTGGTGATGACAATGATGATTGCGATGCTGATTAAATGGGCACAATGGACCTAAAAGGACAACTGAATAGCCTGAATGCTTTTTTTTTGGGAGTTATGCCTCATGAAGGTGTCTTTTGCAATGACAATATCTCAAAAAAAAACGCTGTAGATCTTACACAAGTCCTGTATTTACACATAGCTAGCTTATGTCGCCATCCTCTTCTCCTCCTGGCTTTTGATATGACTTTTCTTTTACTATTGATTGATTTTTTAAAATCTACTAGATGTACCAAAATTTTATTATATCTGAGCCCGCAGGGCGACGCCGACATCGAGTGTAGGGAGATAGATCGGCTAGTAATAGCTGTTCTAGATAATGAGGCACTTGTCAATGTGATAGATCAATGTGTATCTCATATTATGCACCAAGGACAATATCACTAGGAAGTAAGGCTATGTCATGTAAAGAGGCAAAAACGAGGCAAGCTTACAGCTGTAGATACCGTCTAATAGAGCAAACCTCTCTGATTTTTAATCACATCATCGTCAATATGCATTGAAGTACGAGCTTCTGTGCAGACACAAGACAGGTTTTCAAATCTGGAATAGACATACTTGTATGAACCATAAAGCTTCACTAGCAGCTACTTGAATCAAATTCTCATTACGTTTACTATGCCTCTACAATTGTAAACTTAGTCGCAGATATTTTGGTAACTCTAATGCTTTGCTCCTCACGCTTCAGTGATGTACCCACTTGCATAGCAAGCAGCTACTACTCAGGCAAACTAGAGGCTTGAGTTACGCCACTGCTCACGCATAACAGTACAAGCTCTTTCAAATGTTGATTTGAATCAAGCCAATTGTACGCTGTCTATTTTATTGTCTTGCGCTTGGATCTAGATTATGCAATCATGCTTGTTGTTATTTACAACCCGTTTCTACACCAACAAATGCGCATTACAGCTTTCACGAGTCTAATAGATATTCAAGACGTCATGCCCTATCTTGAGAAAACAAGGATAATAAACACAAGCTCAAACTTGAGTGTTAAAATGGTATATAGAAGATTTTTGCTGCCTGCTCGAGTATTCCACAACAGTGATTGTTTATCTCCAGTGCTTTTTTTTTTTTTTTTTTTTTTTTTTTTTTTTTTTTTTTTTTTTTTTTTACTTGATACAAGATGGTTACTTGCAATTCAGATAAACCAACCAACATCAAGCTGAAAACTGTCATGTGGCTTTCTCCGTTCAGCACGCACGAAAATGGAGGAGATGGATCACAAAAGAGAGTTCAGAGTGATACAACATCAGTTTCAATTTTTTATTAAAATCGTCTTGAGAGTGTCTAAGAATGGGAACATTTAATTTAGAAGATGTCTTGCATCAGGGTGATGGAGAGCAGCAGGAAAACTTACATGCATTTGCCAAGAGGTTTTTTTATGATAAACCAATATTGTTGTAGTATCACATTGTTGGAGCAGACACGTATTGTAGTGATTTAAGGTTTGCACAACAAGCTCTCCGAAGATTTTTTTTCATTTTCGGTTGGGTCATCCTATCGTATCAAGAAGTGTATATAGGGGAAGACAGTGAGTGTGAGCAAAGGCAGTTTTTTTTACTCACACAAAAACCCGCTCTAAATTATATTGCGTTTTTTTCCTTTTCTTCATCTTGTTTTTAGTTGCAATAGAATATCAAAAAAATGAGCAGAGACGAAGAATATGATTATCTTTTCAAGGGTAAATGGCGACTGTCTACATTTTATCATCTCTTTGTTTGATGAAAATCTAACATTTTGCGCATCTTGGATTAGTTGTCCTTATTGGAGATTCAGGTTGGTAGTTGGATTCAACACAAAGAGGACGAGATGTTGATAGATGTTTGCTGTTAGGTGTTGGTAAAACCAATCTTTTGAGTCGTTTCACTCGCAACGAGTTCAACTTGGAGTCAAAGAGTACTATTGGTGTAGAGTTTGCTACAAGAAGTATTCAGGTTGATAATAAGGTCATCAAGGCTCAAATCTGGGATACAGGTGCGTTGTTTGTATATAGTGTGTGCGATTTCTTGTCTATTAACGAGGAGACTCTCAGCTGGTCAAGAGAGATACCGTGCCATCACTAGTGCGTAAGTAGTGTTGATGTAGGTGGTTGGTAAACAAGGAGCTCACGAACATGTTTTTTTTTTTTTTTTTTTACTATAGCTACTATCGTGGTGCAGTTGGTGCATTGTTAGTGTATGACATCTCCAAGCATTCTACCTATGAAAGTGTTGATCGTTGGTTGAAGGAATTACGTGATCATGCCGACTCCAACATTGTCATCATGCTTGTTGGTAACAAGAGTGATTTAAGACATTTGAGAGCTGTACCTACAGAGGAAGCTAAGCAATTTGCATGTATGTTTGTTGTGCGTGTATGTGTGTGTTTCGGTATTTACTAAAATAATCAACAAAATAGCTGATAATGGACTTTCATTCATCGAAACTTCCGCTTTGGATGCAACAAATGTTGATCAATCCTTCCAACAAATTTTGACAGGTAAGAACACAAAAATTCAGGGCTTTTTTATCCCTCTTCTCCCCCCCCCTTTTTTTTCATTTCTAATATTTGTTGAAATAGAAATCTATCGTATCGTATCCAACAAGGCCTTGGAATCTTCTAATAACACAATTAAGCCTACAAGTGGCCAAACTATCCTTGTTTCTCAAACACCTGACGAACAAGCTAAACAAGGCGGTGGAGGATGTTGTTAAATATATAGTCTGCATTTCTTTTTTCTTAATTCTTATTCCCTTTCCTCTATTCTTGCCTTCTTTTTTTTTTATCCATTCCTTGAATCAAGTAAAATATAAAAAAGAAATTTAATCTTGAAAGAAGCGTGAAATTCTAGATAGGACAAGTCCGTCAAATCTGTTAAAGTGCTTCTCCAAAGAGGTCAGGCATCATATGCTGCCCATCTATACGAAACGTGCTATTTGATAGCTGATGATTGCGGACATTTTCCATACGGGCGCTCATGAATGATTAGCCATTGCATGCTCGCAATTAGCTTTTTGGATAAACCCATGATGGCAAATAGGAATTTCTTTTTCTGATTTTGACATGTAAACCAAGGTTACAGCAAGAATCAACCCGAGATCTCGTATTTAAACTTGATCCAAAGGCCAATTATATTTTTACATTTAAATTTTATGGTCTTATAAAAGAGGGTGAAAGATGGGTGATCCCCTCGCCCTTTCTTTCTCTTTTTTTTTTCTTTAGCGTCGTATTTATTTCTTATTTATTCTAAACACTATTTATTTTAAATGAGCAGCGACGTAGGAGCAACAGGTAATACATGACATGTCAACTATGATGTTAGCGTGTGGCTCACATTTAAGCAGTACCCCATTTCTACACTCGAGCTGAACTGGCTGATATTCATCAGGATGTCCTAGATAACAAATCGGATGCTAGAAAGCTAATCGTTGTCGAGAACAAGGTGTATGATATTACAGATTTTGTATTTGATCACCCCGGTGGTGAGCGAGTACTTTTGACTCAAGAGGGCAGAGATGCTACAGGTAAATAGTATAGCCCTGATTAAATTGATTGCTTGCTTTGCATGTTGTGTGTGTAACACCCTCTCTTATACAGATGTCTTTCATGAGATGCATCCTCCCTCTGCTTACGAGCTGCTAGCTAATTGCTACGTTGGTGATTGTGAGCCCAAGTTGCCTATTGATTCCAGCGATAAGAAGGCATTAAATTCTGCTGCGTTCGCTCAAGAAATTCGTGACCTCCGGGATAAACTAGAGAAACAAGGTTATTTTGACGCTAGCACTGGCTTCTACGTCTACAAAGTTTCAACCATCCTGCTTGTTTGCATTGCGGGTTTAGCTATCCTCAAGGTTTGGGGTAGAGATTCCACTGTAGCTGTCTTTATCGCTGCCTTTTTAGTGGGTCTCTTTTGGCAGCAATGCGGCTGGCTAGCTCATGATTATGCTCATTATCAAGTCATCAAGGATCCCAATGTCAATAATCTCTTTTTGGTTACTTTTGGTAACCTGGTCCAAGGCTTCTCTCTTTCATGGTGAGTGCGTTTAAAGATCTTATTGTTCTCATTGTTTTACAATCTGAAACTTTGTGGGTTTTTGGGTTGCCTGAAAACAACCCCAGCAAGAGCAATCTATTTAATTTCAACTAATAGCTTACTAACTGCTCCACTGATAGGTGGAAGAATAAGCACAATACTCATCATGCTAGCACCAATGTTTCTGGTGAAGATCCTGATATCGACACGGCTCCCATTTTGTTATGGGATGAATTTGCTGCTGCTAACTTCTATGGATCTTTAAAGGATAATGCCAGTGGATTTGACAGGTTCATTGCAGAACACATTTTGCCTTTTCAAACTCGTTACTACTTTTTCATCCTTGGCTTTGCTCGTACATCCTGGGCTATTCAGTCTATTATCTACTCTTTTAAGAACGAGACATTGAACAAATCAAAGCTCTTGTCCTGGTGTGAGCGTGTCTTTTTGATTGTCCATTGGATCTTCTTCACCTATTGCACTGTTGCTTGGATTGGCTCTCTCAGAAACATCGCCATGTTCTTTGTTGTTAGTCAGATTACTACCGGTTACTTGCTTGCTATCGTATTTGCCATGAACCATAACGGTATGCCTGTCTACAGCCCTGAAGAAGCAAACCATACCGAGTTTTATGAGTTACAATGCATCACTGGTCGCGATGTCAATTGCACTGTATTTGGGGATTGGATTATGGGTGGATTAAACTATCAAATTGAACACCACGTACGTATATAGCGTTGAAGATTTGACGTTTTCCTTGCATCAACTGATATATCACCTAATAGCTTTTCCCTGAGATGCCTCGACATCACTTATCCAAAGTAAAGTCCATGGTCAAGCCTATTGCGCAAAAGTATAATATCCCTTACCATGACACAACAGTTATTGGTGGTACCATTGAGGTCTTGCAAACCTTGGATTTTGTTCAAAAGATTTCGCAAAAATTTAGCAAAAAGATGCTCTAATTTGTATACATTTTACACCCTCTGCATTTTCTCTTCATTAAATTAATAAACTGCCATTTTCTTCAAGCTCTCATAGCTTGCATCCCCAAACCAGATGTCAAACAGCAGATCCACGACAGATTAAGGACAAGAAGGTAACAATTTACATTTCGTACTTCAAATCGCGGTCTACAACGGTTAAACTTTTTAATAAAGAAATGCGTAAACTAAAGCAAACAGAAGTAGCCATACTACGCTTCAGTACTTTCAGTTCAGAAGAAAGCCCTTCTTAATCATGAGTATTCACAATGGCATTGATGACTATCTGCCAGCCGCTGCCAAAACAGATTTAAAATTTCGATGTCTTCTTCTCGTCAAGATTGGACAAATTCTGATCAAAATCGACTTAATTGATTTATTTTATGTAATTCGACTCTATAAATTGTGATGATCCAGTAATTTACCCCTAAGCTTTCTTGGAGTGCTTTTCAAGACGCACCTAATAGTGCTGATTATGAGAGAGGTTTTGAATAAAGTTAATGAGCAACTTTAGAAAATATAAGATAGCTATTTTGACGAAAATATCGAGGTTTTGTATATGAAAGTCTCGTAAATAGACCTTCAGTGGCTGCCTTGGATTAAGAGAAACATTTTTGCCTGATATATGCCATAGTAGAAGTCTTCATTTTTGGGATGAAAAATGTGATCATTTGATTTTCGATGAAAACCATGAGGGGGTACCTCATGCTTTTTGGTCGATTTTTGGCCATGTTTTTTTTGGCCCAAAAAGTTGAGCAAAGGTGTCAGAAAGTAGCTGTTAGATGAGAGCAATTGTTTCATGTTATCCTGGCGGTCTAGAACAGCTTCTAGCGCGAGAAATCATGGCCGAAGTAGATCTAAGTTTTGCTGTTGTTTGCGTACTTTTGAGTAGTAAAAGGTGTTGCTATGATGCTGTGTGTCCGTATACGATTTATTCATATTGATATAGACGTGGAGCATTGTAGAAAAGCTGGATCCACAGTAACAGATCGTTTGTTTACAAAATCTCAGTGATGTTGGGGGCGCAAAGTAAAATTTCATTGTATATCAGTACGATACCATTCCTTTTGATAAAGTTTCAGCCCTTTTTACGTGTAAGAATCTGACCATGCTGCATATTTGTGTAGCAACGAGTAGTAAGCGTGCCAAGCTCTCGCTGTTTGTCTTTGAGCACATTTGCAAAGCATTTAGACAGCAATTAATTTAGCTTGTATGGCTTCTGAGACATAAACACCCAGAGGCTGCAATTCATACGTTATTTCCGCCATACTAAAATTGCATCTCGGTAGAATCAACTTTTCAGGGCTAAATTTTCTACTGATAGCAAGAATACGCCTTGCCAATGTGTCTCCGAACTATATTTTGGGGTCATCATCACTCTGACACAAAAGAGGCTGGAGAAATCACGCTTAAACAGGGTCATCGTAAGAAAGCCGCCAGTCTGGCCATGGCAAAAGATTGCTGGTGAACTGGATTTAGGAAACGATGACTTGGCTTGATACAAATTAAACATGGACCAACATGTAAACTGTTGTATTTTTCCTGAGATCCATGGCCAAGTCTATTGCCGAAGAGCTCAATATCCCTTCCATGACACCACACTTGGTGGTGGTACCATCGAACCCTCTCAAGCCTTAAATTTCGCTTAAAAGATCTTTTAAGTGTTCAGTGGAAATATATCCTCTGGTCTGTTGCCTTTATGTATTCGGCAACATTTGTACTCGTTGTACCTTTAAATGGTTAATCCGGACAAGGTACCCGCTGCAAGGGTGGGTAAAGATTTTCTGTCGGCTATCAATTGCTTGTATGGCAACTCCGGGTAGAACGAAAAAAATCTAGACACATTGCACAGAGCGAGGGCTATTAACATCCCCTCCTCCAAGCCAGCATATATTTAGTAATTCAATTTGATAATACTGCAATAAAAACAACTTGCCTATACTTTGGTTAATTGACACAATTTATTTATATATACAACAAATAAAGCTAATCAAGCAATGGCACTACATATGCAATCTAGATCAAACTATAAAGTTGCTGAACAGATCGTCGGCACTGGTGTTTTGTATCCAAATCTGTCGAGTCTATACATGCCTAGAAAATTATAAATTGCTGGAGGTATCTCTTATTTGCTAACTATATCGAATCAAAAGGGCAACGGTATACACCATTAATGCCTCCATACAGTTTTTTTTTACTATCGCATGTTTCGCATTTGGATCAGTAGATGTTCTCCGGAGCTATTTTTGACTCCATATAATGATAATGCAACGATGCTCACCAAGAGCATTGTATAATACAGATATATTTCTTCATTCAGTCAGGATCGAGAACAAATTGACCTTGCAATTCTATTTGGTCTGCAGTTAGAGACATGGTAGACATCAGCTGTGTGGGTTTTAGAGGTTGATAGTAATTGAACCTTCCTGATTTCTTTCTTTCTACCAGTGAATTCTGAAGTACATGTGAAATCCTTGTTTGTATGGAATTGGATTGGATATATTTTGTTTATTAACTGATTGCGGGCACACTTGATTACGGCATCGAGTACATAAATGCTTGGCTTTTGAGTGCCTATAGCTCTGGGCCTTGCAGATGTCAAAGGACGGAGCCCAATGTGCTGTGCGGGTACTCTTTCCCAAGATTACATCTGTCTGTCGTCTCACTCTCGGTTCGGATATTCTATAGAGATTTAATATAAATACCTCGTTGCTTGCCCCTCTTTTCGTTTCTCTCTCTCTCTCTCTCTCTCTCTTTTCCTCCATTCAAAATAATGCAACATCAACAACCAACATTTCGCGATCTTTTGATTCAACTTGTAAATACATTTAAACACTCCTTTGATTCCTCCAAAGTTGCCTGCGATCAGAAAACGGCAGACATGGCCAATGCAAAACTATCTCAATTCGAAAAGACCTATGTATCATTTCCCGAATTCGTAGACATTGGAGCAACATCAACTACTACTTCAAATGCTAATTCAGCTGCGACTGACAATACTCACCGCCATCAAGCATGGCTCCAACACAGCAGCACATTGACATGCTGATTCCTGCTACTTCTGCTGAAAGCTCTGTATATAATTTAATTTACTACATATTTTCCTTGTCTCTACACTCATATACCAATTTGTTTTTTTCTCAATAAATCCCCTTTGTAACATTTTTAAGCCTTTTTAAAAAAGCTTTTCCCCCGCTCAGGCCAATCATTCAGACACAAACAAAAGGACAAAAATTGTGCATGTTTGTCCGGAAATAGTTTGATATTAGCGCCTGTTTCATAAAAATGTTACTCGATCATAACGTAAGGCCAACTACAACATTTTGTTGGTTCTTTTTTCTTTTTCTTTTTTTTTTTTTTTTTTTTTTTTTTCTTACGGCAACATCGATGCAATTCTTACGTAGTGACCGTACGGAATGCTTGTCCGTCCTGAATTCTATTTTTCCCAACAGGTTTTCTTTCTTCCCCTCAGAAAAGGAGAGCAACAGAGAAGGTGCATTTCCAAAATGTGACAAAAAATTATATAACTTGCTTTTGGTGCAATGTACAGCTTATTCGCTATTTTTTTCAGGTTTAAAACCATTTCCCGATGAATATGGAATGAGCATTTCTCTGATGTCTCCGAATTAAACGTATATATTTGTTCAACAAAGACAAATGCCACCGACAAGCCAAGAAGGGAAGACGGGGGGGGGGGGGAGGAGGAGGAGGGAGCTGATCACGATTTGTTTATTTGTATTCAGGTCTTGAGATCCATCCGCTTGACAATTGTCCATATCCGAATTAGCCACAAACTACAGGGTGGCAGAAACCACATTCAAAACCAAGATACTTGAAATGACAACGCATTGTAGCCATTGATCTGTCTAAAGAGAGCGTTTCTGGATGCATATCGGAATTCTTGTTTGGGCAATTGTACCCAAACGATCAAGATACATCTGATATGCATTGTTGTCAGTGGTGAAATAGTGTAGATCAATATTTCAACTGAATATACTCAATCAAAAATGCCTCGCTCACTATTAGTGGGCCCACTGCGCAGTACTACATCGTAAACATCATTGCATCATGTACACACTAATCATCATTGCGAAAGCCACACATGATTATGTATGCTTATATAGATCCCGATGAATTTGATTAATTAAGCATGTTTCTCTGTCTGCTTATCTGACTCAATTGTGTGAATAGTTGCCGTTTTTACTTCTGTGATAAAACTTATTTTGATCTCATTATAAAGCGGCGATAAGGTACAAATGCGAATTGAGAATCAAAATGCCTAGAACTTCGCCAATATGGCTCCTTATAGACGCTCCCATTTCGTTCGCGATTGGTCATGTATGACTATAATACATCAAATTGTACTTGTTTGTGGAACGATCATGTTGGCTATTGAGACGCTCTAAAAACTAAATTAAATGGCTTGCGCTAAACGAGCCTAGTTTGCTCTAGCTAAATTGTGATGGCTGCTGGATCAGTATATGGTACTGATGTCAATTGAATTGCACCTGATGTGCAAATAGCATATCCATGGAACTGGATAGAATGAGGTATCACGATAAAAGCATGATGTTCATACTGCAGAATATAGTAGTACCGTGGAAAAAGTCAAATATAAAAACCATCCGACAAGACTGAGCCTGTTTTTAGGCCTGTCACTAAGCTTGAGGATTTCTGAATAGCTCAATTTCGTATGATACATAGCTGCTGATGTTATAAAGAAAGGTGCAAGTATGAACCTGTTGATCCAGTCTTTTCTGAAGTGTAAAAAGGTCTTTGTCCAGATAGAGTGCCTGACAACCAACCTTTAATTATACATTGCTTTTGAAAGTAATTAATGAAGCAACACTTTTCACTTGTGCTAATATCATACTCGCTCGTATGCATCTATTTTGTATTCCAATTAAGTTGTCCGTGATTAATCAGAGCTATGAAAGTCCACCTCCCCTTACGTATTTGACTTGGCTCTGCGTGCCATCAAGTCAGCGATTAGTTGATGACCTGTTAGTGACACCCAGCCTGAAGCTAATTCTTCTTTACGGCATTGAGTAACGGATTCATGGGCAACCCTATAGCTTGATTGATCGAACTTGTTCGAATCAGAGTATGGTACTACCGTAGCAGGTGTAGGAAGCTTTACGTACAAGGCCCCATTTATTGTTTTACCTCCTGAAATCTTGTTACACCTAAAACGGGTGCCACCCGTTGCTGTACCTGATCCATGTTGGGGATCTTGAACAATTCAGATGAGTTCAAATGGCTGTGACAGAGTGCTTACTTTCCACTGAGTGAATCAGTAGAGTAAAGGGCAAGTTGCTGATCTTGATCTGTTGTGTCTGGTTGTGATAAAGAAATACCAACGACAATGCTGATTTCAGCACCCATGGCTTTGGCTACACTGACACATAGAATATCTACGCAGCTGCCATCCATGAGCATGTTACCATGACCAACGAGAGATGATACTTGGCCGAACAAATACATGTATACTTTTATGTATTTCCAAGCATCACCAGATCTATGAACCTCCGCGCGAGAGTAGGTGTCATTCATCATCATTGCAAATAAGGGGAGCCAAGGATCTTCATTGTGGCTAACACTCGTGCATTTACAGATAGCTCTGTTGATAAAGTGGCCTAGTAGAGTAACATCAGACTTTATTCATGCTGGCAACGAAGCCGCATATCGGTATATCTAGTCAAGACCAGGTATGTTAGATCAAGCATCTATCTGGCCAACTACTTGCACGATTTGCGTAGGTTTTCGTTTTGACAACCGCTTCAGGTAAACTCACGCTTTAGACATAGCATTCACCAACCAAATTTCCAATGCTAGTGCCACCAGCAATGTCAATAGGTTCGCCTACTTCTTTAGTACATTAATAAACACTGATAGTCAATGCCGCCAAAGCTCCTCGCAATCTTCTGCCAGGTCTGTTATATCGACTTAACATTCACAGCTGAATAAAAACCCCGGGTAAATTCAGTTCTTGCTAGACTGACTGTGTTGCTGTAACATGGTGAGTCAGCGTTGGTGGACTGACTACTGGGCATAGGCTTTATTTGACGGTTTATCATTAAAATTAACAAGTTCCACAGTAGAGGTATACGATCCTTGATTTGGTTGCACAGATTAATTGGCTTGTTTGTTGTCTTGTTGCCGTTGAAAAAGCTTGACAATACTGAATGTATCAATTTCGGTCATTCGTTGCTCTTTCACGTTGAGATTCTACTACTAGGAGAGGTCGTGGCATGATGATGCGCTGGAACCCTTAATCGGTCCTGTGAGCCATTGTTAGAAAAATTCTAAATTTTTTTCTCGACGATTAGGTTTAATGTACTTTTGAGCATGATTTTGTTACACCAGATGCAAAGGGCCTTTCTGAATGGAGTAAGACTAGCAGTCGTTTTAACATCTATCAATAACGTCTCAAACCCACTTACTGAAGAGTCTTCATTTGCCTCGCCCACCAAAAAGACGCAAACTGTCTGTCGCATGCATGTCTTTGTCCAGAGATATCTCTCGCCACTATTCGCAACAAGGAGAGCAATAGCCGCAACTGTAATGGCACTGCTGATCAGGAAATTCAACCTTCAATCTTTTGTTATCATTGAGACCCGTTCATAAAAGACCTGTAAGTACCTATTTGAGTCTTCCACAATGCTCCACCTCTGTCTCAATCGAAACAGTTCACATACGAGCAGGTAACATACTTGCATTACCTTTTGCTACTCAAAAGTATACAAACTACAGCCAAATTTGCGCACATTCATGTAGTAATTTCTAGTGCTAGAAGCTGTTTTAGACCGCCAAAATAGCACCTAGTAATTTCTCTCGTCTAGCAGCTACCTCCTGACACCTTTGCTCAACTTTTTTGGGATCGTCGAAAACCCTCCAAAAACCATGAGGGGTACCTCATGGTCATGGCTCTTCCCGCTAAAAAACAGAAAACAGGTTCAACGACCGAAAGTAGCACCTCCAAGGCTACAAATACCGTTGTTGACGCATCATGGGCAAAGGTAACGAAGGGCATCAAGCATACAACGATGACCTTCAATCCAACGATCGTAAAGACACCCATCACACCTTCCACCGCCACCAGTGAATCGAATCAGTCTCTGATGACCGAGGACGCCACCGTCAGCAAAAGTGTGGAAATGGTTCGACCCTTCCTCAAGGGCATTGAAGACAACTCGGTGCTCATCGACATTACTGGTTTGCTTAATCAACAGCTCTTACGAGAGGCTCTGCAAGCATTCAACAAAGATGCTCATCTCAGAAAAGGCTACAACGATTATATCGGCAAAGTATCTCGCACTCGCAAGTATATGAATCGAGAGATCATGGAAACATGTTGGATCCACGACAGTCCTGGCCACATCGCAATCCTGCAGGGCTTCAATCTGACGGATGGGACCTTTGTCAAGGGTTTCCCCTCTCTTCCAGCTAATGATACTATAGTTAATGTTCGTTTAGACAGACTACCCATGGAGCCAGTTCCTGTCCTGAAATCTTTGATAAAGGATAGACTGTCACATTTTGGAGAAGTCTTGGACTATGGCATCTCCTTCACTCAGGGCGACTACGTCGGACAAGGCTATGCCACTCTGAACATCACCCCCAAGCCAGACGAACCAGCGTATGAAATCTTGGATCGAATTATCTACTTCAGATTGGATAATGGCACCAACCGTCAGGTCCTTCTCAAATGGCAAGATATGCCAGATTTTTGTCGTCTCTGTCAAAAACCGGATCATTGCAAAGCCGATTGTCCTGATGCCAAGAGGTACACGCAATGCTACAACTGCAATCAACATGGACATGTCAGTCGCAACTGCCCTAGACAGGATAACACTGACACCCCCAACAAGAAGCCCACTACGATCCCCAGGAAAGATCGCAAGGTACCTACTCCGATCATTCCCCGAGAGCCCAACCCTCCCATTGGCCCTAGAGTGGTAGTAGCCAAGACCCAGGAAACCACAGACACTGAGTCGGCCAAGAAGCAACAGCAACAGAACAAGCCTGAACCCACCAAGGAGGAGGAAGAGGGTACTGATGAGGACAACATGAATATTGATTCTCCCACTCCTCAACCCAAAAGTAACAATGATGACGTTACACCAAATGCAGATGCTGCGAGCGCACAGACATCTGCCAACAACACGCAAACATTGACATCATTCAATGCAGCTGAATCAACTCTGAATGGACAAGAGCTGATCAAGCAATTTATGCCTGATGACAGTATGAAGGAGCCTCTCATTCAGGAACGACCAGATCTGGAAGATGGCAGAGATGGCAAAAAGCTCAGAACGGAGCAGGAACAGCGCGCCAATCTCACCAGGCGCTTCACCAGAGGCAGTGCAGCCAGCAAATTCAACACTGTCACCGACAAGGGCGGCAAAGGAGCTTCAGACGACTCCCAAGGGCAGGAAACATCAGAAACTGCTCAGTCCAACCCTCAACACTTAGAATAATATGATGATTAGAGCACCTAATCATCGATTGCGGATTGCGACTCTCAACTGTCGTGGTCTGACACACAAAAACATAAAAAACGCAGAAAAAAAATTCATAAAATACCTCAAAACATCAGACATTGATATTCTTGCCATCCAGGAATCTCATGCTGACAAAAAAGATACTCAAGACACTTTAGATATGCAGTTTTCCAGCAAGTCCAGCACCTACACCAAACATTGCGGAATCATATCACTTAACAACAGATACATTATTACACCCATTGACACTGGCATCGATGGTAGATTTATACTAGCACACGTACATTATGCGACGGAAGAGGAACCAAACTCCTCCAACTCCATAGCCACAATACTCAACATATACGGAAAAGCAGCATCAAGAAAAGACAACGTGGAATTCTACACGGAATTGATGCAACACAGATTTTTGATACACAAGATTACAACTATTCAGAACAACATGATTATTTTGGGAGATTTCAACTACAAATATGAGTCTCGCCGATCTAATGGAACAGTCGAAGCAACTACAGTCGAATGGACAGCCTTATTGGAGGAATATTTCATCGATTGCTTTTGGGAAAACAAGAGCGCCACTTTTCATGGATCCAACAATCTCCATTACATCTTGGACTACATCTTCTGCAACAACACTTCCTATGGAACAGTTACAGAATGTACCCAGGAGTTTATGAACCCGACATGGACAGATCATGAAATGCTGGTCATTACTTTACAACTGCAAAAGGATGCAACACAGGGGCCTGGCGCCTACAAATGCAATCCCTTTTTGGCCAACAACCACAAGTTTCGTCGTGAATTGGTGATCTTCTTGCAAGGTCTACAGCCGCAAGTTGAGCTCAAGACAGCCACCCAATCCCCTCAAGAGATCTGGGACTGGATCAAAGACGAGTTTAAGGAGCATGTCCGACAATTCCAACTGGAAGAAGTCAACTGGCGTAGAAAGGCACTGAAGACGTTACAAGCAAAACGGAATCGGTGTATGCGAGCAAAGAAGAACCGGGGACTGATATTTCAAGGGCTAGACACCATCAACCAACAAATTGGTGCGTTACAAGACTCTATCGCCGAAATTGAAGTCCTCAAATTAGGGAAGTATTGGAGAGAAAATGGAGAGAAAAATGCTGGGTTCTTGAAGAAACTCACCGTATCTAGACAGAATCAACGTCAATTGAAACAACTGAGGCATCCAGTTACTCAAGAATTGCATTCTGATCAAGGTACTATGAGCGAGATCGCTGGCAGCTTTTACACGAATTTGTACACACCAACTCCACCCGATGCCAGATCAATGCGGCTATTGTTGGATCAAATCACACCTGACATGCAACTTGACGGTGAACAGCAATCACTCCTCGAACTACCAGTAGAGCTAGATGATTTGTTGTTTGAATGTAAAAGATCGCCTAAATTTGCGTCTCCCGGCAGCGATGGCATCCCTTACCAACTCCTCCGGCTGATTCTCAAGTTCCCACCCCTCCACTCTCTCATCACCACGGTCTACAATGATGCCCTCACCAAAGGCATATTTCCTGCGTCTTGGAACGTCTCCCTCATGACAATCCTCTACAAGAAAAATGACCCCAATGACATGGCAAATTATAGACCTATCTCCCTCTGCAACACTGACTACAAACTCTTGACACGTTTGCTTAATCATCGAATGATGGAAGTCGCTAAGCAACTGATCAACGAGAACCAAGCGGGATTCGTACCTGGGCGGTTCATTGCCCAAAACGCTCTGCGGTGTCAGGTCATAATGGAAGATGCTGAACGAACCATGAACTTGGCCAAGAAGAACAATGTGATACACCAAATGCCCAAAGCAATTGGCCTTAGTCTTGATCAGGAAAAAGCGTACGATCGAGTTAACCTCTCGTACCTTCAAACAGCACTCATTACTTATGGCTTCCCTGCTAATCTTGTCCGCTGCATCATCAACATGATGGGCCAAAATCTCTTGCGCATCAATGTGAATGGTTACTTTACTGATGATATTCCCAAGCTGCGAGGCTTAAAGCAAGGTGACCCCATTTCCTCTATTTTGTACAATTTGGCTATTGAACCCTTTCTGCGGTCTATTCTCAATGATCCATTATACCACGGCTATCAAATGCAGTATGCAACTGACCATCCCAACTATAATGCTAATGACCCTTTAGTTCATGTGTCAAAAATCCTATGTTACGCTGACGATGCTTTTGTATTTGTTCAAGACCTTCCTGATCTGGCAAGACTCGAGTACCACTTAGATGTCTATTGCAATGCAACCAATGCCAAGATTAACTACAACAAGGTCGAAGCTATCTCGCTCTCTGGTCAAAACACATGGTCATATTGGCAAGCACGACTCTCGGAAATGAATATCACAAAATTCACATCCAACAAGGATTCCAATCCAGTGATCTATCTCGGGTTTCCTCTGCTGCAATCGGTTCAACAACGTGAAGTATTTATCGGTGGTCTTGTCGACAATCTCCGGACAGCTACCAAAATCCACAGTGTAAGAAGTCTCTCCGTCGTTGGCAAAGCTACAGTGCTCAACAGTTTGATTTTGTCCAAATGCTGGTATGTACTACGAGTAACTCCGTTTGCTCAAAGTAATGTCCAAGCTATCCAGTCCATTTGCACCAAGTTTCTACGAAAAGGCATCTTTCCTGTTATCCCCTGGGCCACATGGACCAAGCCGAAGCCATTAGGTGGATTAGGTGTTCTGGATGTTGCTCTGCAACAATCAGCCCTATACTTTCGTTGGGTTCAACCGCTCCTCCATCCCTCTGACTCGCCCCACATCCTAGATCTCATGCTGGTCATGCTAGTGAATAAGCAAAATCAGAGTGCGCATGTGCAGGTTCCGTTGCTCTTTCCCCTCACACGAACCACTGGTCTCACCAAACAACGCACCAACACGGTAACAATGATCTACAAATCAGTTGACCGCCTCAAACGCATCAATGAACCAGTTCACCTCAATATTGCTACCGCCTCAATCCTACCTGTCAAAGCCATTCTGCAGCCGTCTGCCACTGTCTCCAAAATGCCGATTAGGGCCACTCAGTTGCAAGTAAAGGATCTTTATCAACCCAATCCTGACCAACCTCTGCAACTCGAAGCACGAAAAGCACCAACCATCCCAGCTGACATTCGACGCGCTTGCAAGAAAATCCTGAAGCAAATCAACGAGAACAAAGTACATATCCAGCCGTACTTTAGCCTCATGCTACAACCCCCTCAGGGTGGCACCAACCGCACAACCGACATCTCCTTCAAACCGTTTATTGACTCCTATGATTTCAACAGCCAGCAAGGCCTCACTCGACAGATTTCAACCAGAACATTCCGCACAGCATGCATCGAGGCTCACACCTCCAGCATTGCCAGGTCCAACTGGAATTTCTTCTGGTCTCTGTCCCTGAACCTTGTCCACCGTAATGTCATCTATCGCTTCCTCACCCACACCATCCCGACCAAACGCCTGCTACACTACTTTGAGATAGCTGAGTCACCTCTCTGCCCGATCTGTGGTAACGAAGAAAATGCTGTACACTTGCTTTTCCTCTGTTCCAGTAAGGCATCCATCTGGAAAGCTATCATCTTTGAATTCTTGTGGCCAACCGTTTCGATTGGTGATATTATCCAAGCCTGTTCCTCTCTTGACTTTGAAAACATCAAGTATGTCTCCAAATCATACACCACTGCTCACATGGTCGTACTGGTAACACTTGGCAACATTTGGCGAGCTCAAGTTCGTATGATCTTTCACTCGACTCCATTTATATGGATCGATGTGGTCCAGCAGATCAAGAACGAGCTCCTTCAACTACATGCCCAAACTGAAATTCACAAGCAATTGTAATTCTCTAATCACAATTGTCATCTATCATCTGTTCCTGTCATCTATCGCTTTATCCTAAATACAATTGAATATCATATCAATTGCGCCCGCCTCTTGGTAGTGCCCTAGGGACCTACTTACACGGAGCAATCAATAAAAACAATTTAAAAAAAAAAAAAAAGTACCTCATGGTTTCTACCAAAAATTAAGCGATCGCATTTTTGACCCAGAAAATGAACATTCTTACTATGGCATATATTGATTCAAAATGTTTCTATCGTTTCGAAGCAACCCTTGAAACTTTGTTTGAGAGACTTTTATATGCAGAATTTCAACAATTTCGTCAAAAACATCATGTAGTATTCTTGCAATTTGCTCGATGAATTAATTCATAACATTGGTTTTACTTGGTACCATTGGATGCGCCTTGAACAGTACTCTAATAAAGTATAGTGGCGTATGGGATGATCATCAAAGCTTATATAGTCGAATCATGCAAAATAGATCAATCAAGTCGCAATTTGTCAAGAATCAACGAATCGGGACAAAATGTTACGCGCTGATTAAACCGATTTTGGCTGGCAAACTTGATTATTTTGTGGCAAAATGAGTGCCTTCAACTGAAGTTTTTGAATCTGATAGAAGGAAGGGATTTCGAGTCAAAGGATGCTTTAGCATGTCTAAAATACCTTCTTTTTGCTGTTTTTCTTCTACTTTTTATATACAAAATATAAATATTGCATTCCAAATTCGAAGTCTATTACGAGTTATAAATGAGTACCCTATTCAAAATAATCAAGCTAAACTGGCCATCGCAGACAGCTAGCTTTTGGTGCGAGTTTTGGAGTTCCTCAGCTGCCAAAGTGCAAATCTGCTACGACGGGAATGGCATTTAGTCAGTGCGTAATTCAAATGTTGGCCTGTCCTGCCTGAAACCCTAAATACACACAAATTAGCCTCTTACATTCGCTTCCTAAATGCAAACAATGGCCGCCCATCCGTCAAATCTTCCTTTTACATCCATCCAACATAAGATAAAATGGTAAATAGCATGCATCCATCAGTGGGTATAGCAGAATACTAATGAAATCATTTATATATAGTCTCACAGGTGCGTTTTTTTTGGATAGATTCATCAAAATATCGAAACATTGATCAACTAACATGGATGATGAAAATCATATAGAAAGTTTGAAGCCCCTCGTCATGGTCATTTAGGTTTCGGTCCTCGTAAGAGAACCAGATCTCACCGTGGTCGCGTCAAGGCCTACCCCAAGGATGACTCCAAGCTTCCTGTTCACTTGACCGCCTTCATGGGTTATAAGGCTGGTATGACCCACATTGTCCGTGATCTTGAACGTCCTGGTTCCAGTAAGTTGGATTAGCCGTGTGAGCTAAACATTGTGTCTAATACATTTGCGATTGAACAGAGATGCACAAGAAGGAAATCGTTGAAGCTGTTACTATCATCGAATCTCCTCCCATGGTTGTTGTTGGTGTTGTTGGTTACGTTGAGACTCCCCGTGGTCTCCGTTCCTTGACCACCGTTTGGGCCGAACATCTCTCTGAAGAGGCCAAGCGTCGTTTCTACAAGAACTGGTACCGTTCCAAGAAGAAGGCCTTCACCAAGTATGCCCAAAAGTATGCTGACAATGGTAAGGATGTTGCTCGTGAGGCTGAGCGTATCAAGAAGTACTGTTCCGTTGTCCGCGTCATTGCCCACACTCAAATCTCAAAGGCCAAGCTCCATCAACGCAAGGCTCACCTTATGGAAATTCAATTGAACGGTGGCTCCATTGCTGATAAGGTTGAATGGGCTCGCAGCCATTTCGAGAAGGAAGTTACTGTTGGTTCTGTCTTTGAGCAAGATGAGATGATTGATATCATTGCTACTACAAAGGGTCATGGTTTCGAAGGTGTTACTGCTCGTTGGGGTACCAAGAAGTTGCCTCGTAAGACTCATCGTGGTCTCCGTAAGGTTGCTTGTATTGGTGCCTGGCATCCTAGCAGAGTCATGTACTCTGTTGCTCGTGCTGGTCAACGTGGTTACCATCGTCGTACTGAAATCAACAAGAAGATTTACCGTATTGCCACTGGCTCTGATGCCAAGTCTGGTACAACTGACTACGATTTGACTGAGAAGCCCATCACTCCTATGGGTGGTTTCCCCCACTATGGTGTTGTCAACGACGACTTCGTTATGATCAAGGGTTGTTGTGCTGGTTCCAAGAAGCGTGTCATCACTCTTCGTAAGTCCCTCACTGTCCACACCAAGCGTTCTGCTTTGGAAAAGGTCAATGTCAAATTCATCGATACCTCTTCCAAGTTTGGTCATGGTCGCTTCCAAACTCCTGCCGAGAAGCACCAATTCATGGGTACTCTCAAGAAGGATCTCTAACTATCTTGCTTGCCATAGTTTCCCTTTTTCTTTTTAACTTTGCTCAGATTAGATCATTATAAATAAAACAGTCCCCATTTTGATTTGCCCACTGTTAAGTAACACACTTTTTTTTTGGTTGGAGAATGTAGGAATAGAGGAAGAAATGTTGCTGCTTGATTGAATATAAGAAGAGTGGCTAATGAAGTGTGATAGATCTAGGAATCAGGTGTTTCAGCATAGCTTGTCATTGATTGGATTGAGACTCTCTGATGCTGTTGGCGTCAAAAGCGGATGTTGGCTCTTGTGAAATAGTCTCTTGCCACAGCTTCTCAATTACATTGAAACCGATAATGGTGGAGATATTGTTTGTCAGTTTCTGAAAGGATGGCAGCTGTGTCGTGTACTGATTTACACAAACTATTTTTTGATATGATTCTTCCATAACAGAGTACATACCTTATTACAGTATGATTCTTCCTTTTGTAGCATTTAAAAATATCCGTCAACTTATAGACAACATCTTCAATACACTTGCATCTTATAATTTACCCAGATGCAAACATGAGTTCAAGTGGTTAAAACTGACGGCAATAAACTGTGCACATGTGAAATAGCTGATACTCTATAAGATGAAGCCGTCAATTACATTGCAATCCTAGTACAGAAAAATGGTTATTTTAGTGATTGTTGGTATCACGCTCTTTTTGAATGAATTTCGATATAACATCATGGCTTTCCATTTATCCTACATGGCCACTGAAGACTAATTATGTTGCATAGAGTGTACAAGTAGTAGTATTTCATTATTTAATATACAAAAGCGTGTTCCTGTACCTGTTTTTGTGTCTTTCTGAGATCAAAAATCACATACATTCTGTGTATGTACCACTCTCGTTACTGCTGCATCACTTTTTTAAGCTAATTCCAGCAGGTCGTATTCTGTTTTTGATCCAATAAGTTGGCCTTATAACAGCACTAGCTTGGTACATTCAAGACTTAGCTCCAGAAGCTATCCGTTTGATAGGAATAGGAGGTTAATTACAATGGTACATGGCTTCTATTCATATAGTTACGTTTTACGCTATCCAGAAATGGTGGATGTACACTTATGAAGTGTTGACATTAGCTCCAACATCTTGTTTGAAGTGAGATTGCTTCATTAAACTGTATTGTACAACAATTAGTTCGGAGTTGCGCATATTTGGTAGATTACAGTTTATTCCATAATTGAATTAAATGCTCATTAAAGATGCGTAAATGTGCTACATTTCGACATTGGACAACAAATCATTAAAAAATATAAAAGCTAAGAGACCAACTATTGTCTTTCCCTTTTTATTTCCTTTTTCAATTATATATTTCTTCTTCTACTATCGCTTTACTTCTTTTTAATCTTGCAACATACGAGAAAAAAAAGCAGTGGTCCCTTTCCATTCATTAATTCAGTGAAACATCAACACACAGAAGCAGAAAAATATACAATATCAGCCCAATATGCTCAAATCTAACTATCTAATCTTACTTATCGTCGCTCTGATGTGCATGTTCTCAAACATCGAGGCTGGCAAAACAAAGACTTGGAAATTTTACAACTGGAACCGATACAATGGTAAAGCAACCGTTGGTAAAGGCAGCAACTGGGATAGCGCCTGGGGAATTCCTGAGCACGGCGGATGGCTCTGGTTCTGGAAGAATGCTGACAAGTTGAAGAACATTTCCTACAAGAGTGGCAAGAAGGATTATGTTCTCCGTGTCACCTACCCTAAAGGCTCTAGAAATCCTGAAGCTAACCCCATCGGCGGTCTTGGGTTCAAGGCTGAACCTCTCGCCATTGATAACACAGTAAAGACAGTCGAGTTCCAATACAGTGTCTACTTCCCTAAGGGATTCAACTTTGTTAGAGGTATGTAATTGACATTTGCAATTAAAATCACGTTGATTTAACATCCAGTAAATAGGCGGTAAACTCCCTGGTCTCTATGGTGGTCATGGTGATTGTACTGGCGGTATTGATTCCAACAAGTGCTTCACTACAAGGTGCGTACATGAAATGTGAAATGTTGTACGAATATTAATCATTTTACACTTTTTTCTTTGTAACCATATAGAGTCATGTGGCGTGACGAAGGTGAAGGTGAAATCTATGCCTATTTGCCATCTTCCAAACAAAGATCCAATCTCTGTGACAATAAGGTCAATATCTGTAATCCTGACTATGGTTACAGCTTAGGCCGTGGTACATTCAAGTTCAAGACTGGCAAGTGGGTCACTGTGCGTCAAGTACTTACTATCAATACTGTTGGAAAGCAAGATGGCCAGCTTTCTCTTTACGTTGACGGAAAGCGTGCTATGACTCAAACCAAGCTTGTCTTTCGTACAAACAGCACTGGGCGTGTCGCAGGCATCAGTAGGTTCATAATACAAATCAGTCGACTACAAGTTTCTAACTACCTTTACTAGTGTTCCATACTTTCTTTGGTGGTTCTGATAAGACCTGGAAGACTCCCAAGACACAGTACTCTTACTTTAAGAACTTTAGCCTCAAGACCATTTCTTAAACAATATTTAAAATTCCTTTCCTACGTCTTTAAACTATACTCGCATCAATTTTCTTCATTGAAAAAACATGTGGCTGTATACCCTCGTTCATTACCCTTCCTCCTTCCTTCTCCATTTTTTTTTTCTCGTTGATGATAGATACGGTCATAAACTTAATTTGAATCAGCATATCTGAATTGATCTACTAGAAGAATTGACATGTCGTTTAAAGTTCCATTACGATATAAATTTCTTGATCTGGTTTAGATCTACTCTAATCCTTGTACTATCTGAACATTCCATCAGCTTGATAAACCTTGTTTTATCTTTGTATCTTTCAAATGATGAGTAGAATCCAGAAATCATACATATTAATTTATTGCTACCAAAAAAAAAAAAAAAAAATTATTGCCGAGAAGAAAAGAACTTTGAGAACAAGAATCTTTAATAAATTATTTCCTTCATTTAGCTGATAATGTGATGTGTAGCTACTTCATTTATATACAATAGTTGAAAGAAAGTCCCCAAGTATCCAGCTCGTCGTACCTATTAGACGCTTGATATATGTATCTTGCAGGTGTGATGCAATTAATAGAGAAAGCATTTCACTTGGAGTATAGAATATAACGACCGAATAAAACTTTTCACCTATGTATTGTGAGGCTTCAATTAATTTGGTATTTAAAATTTTTGAAAAAAAACATTTGCATAATTACTATTGATTCTGAAAGCGAAGGCTTTCAAAATCAAATATAAGATCATCACCAAACTAACAGGTAGGAGCAAATAGATTTTTAAACTCCGCTAAGCAAAAGATAAAATGGAGAAAGCAAGGTTTGAACTCGCGACCTTTTCTATGCGAAAGAAATGTGATACCACTACACCATTTCCCCAGACTAAACACCAAAAGTTTACTACTCAAATATAGTCAAACAATTTTTTTATTTTTTATTTTTTATTTTTTATTTTTTATTTTATTTTTGCTACTTTCTTGTCCAGTTTATAGTTTGTTTGATAATTTTAGATCTTACGGATAATAAAAGCTTCTCTGTTGCCGGCAATATACTTTGATTGCTAAAGCATTTTAATTCACTTAGGAAATTGCACTCTCTCAAATGAAAACATCGATGTGCTCATGGAAATTGTTATATCAAATGTTATAGCAAGGTCTCACACTAAAGGTTTTAGGCTATTCTTAGGTCCTTTGGTTAAATCATGCTAATCATGATTTACAAATCAATTGTTGGGTAGATAGTAAACCTATTTGTATTATAGTTCATCATCATGCTGTAAACCCTAGCATAATGAAAAAGTATATAAATGCATTCTTGGGATGCATTCTCAATAAAAGTGTAATTCTTTGGCAGATTCAATTTTACATTGTATTTTGACATAACAAGAATAACGAAGTTCCCAAAAGAGCACACCAATGTTCTGTGAGAACATCAGTTGAGCCATACTGCCGGGAAGGCGCATCTGGTACTTCAAACCTTTACATTATAATGGGTATAACGTAGACCTATTGAATTGTTTTTGCATTGTGCGGATCTGATGAGTATATGTCGAAATACGGCCAAAAAAGGGTATCATGCAAAATCATGGATTTTTCTTCAAAATCTGCCTGTGATAGCAAGCAAAAAATCTGGTGATGATTTTTTGGTCAGGACAATATTTTTAATATTTCATGATAGAGTCATGCCAGAGCTTCAAGCAATAGCTCATTCGATAGGAAATTTTTTGGTCCACAATTTTTAGTAATGTTTAACAAAATGTTTTGATGACAGATAGTGATTGTGATGAATTCGTAATAATAAGTCGATGATAACAATCAGTTGTCAACTGTATCTAAAACGAAAGCAAAAAGCTTCTTTATTACAGGGCATCTAGCTTGCTTAAATATGGTAGATCCCTGGTCAATGACTACTACGTTGAGATGGTATATGAATAGTAGCAGGCCACTGGGGCCTTATGGATTATTGGTATAGCTTGTTGAGAGGCCACCTAAGTCGATATGTTTCATGTAGTGTAGGTGGATCTCGATGTCTTGACATTGGGGAGATTGAATGTATTGTAGCTTCTGAGGCACCTGTGCACACACAATTGACTGGACTTGTACACATAGATGTGATGTGATACGATAAACATCATCTATGCTGCTACACTGTAAAAGGTGGCTTGAGGAGAAAGTGAATGTAGCCTAAGATGCATGCTTGTATGCAACAGATTGATCTTTAGAAAACAGTCAAAAAATCGCAAAAACAATCGTATCAAATATCAGTTGAACAACATCCACCAGACACTTGATATGGATACCATTGTATTTACCTTTGTATTCTCTACAAGCTTCATATATGTTTGAAGGGGTGATTACTATCAAGGAGCGCGTAATTTTAAGGTCGATAGATTTCAGAATCCTATGGATCATCATTCAGAACGATATAAATTGAATATCCGTTGAGCTTTCGCATGTGTACACCACACATGTACGCATTTGACCAAGCATTTTAAGAATTGGAGCGTACGAAAAGGACCATTTTTGTTTTTGGTACAGGTCATCTCTGAGAGGCAAATGTATTATACGTTGTATAATACAGGATGTAATGAAATAGTCACTTAAACGTAGCTTGATTGAAAACCGGAACCCATCAAATATCATTCATTCTGAAGTGAACTACACTAGATTCCCATCATAAACAAGGCCCAAAATAAATGCCATCTCAATCAAACCATGCTACCATCAGCAGATAAGCATGCATAATAATAGTATTAGCATGATGATAGCCAGGGTTAAATGAGAGATGACAGATACTAAAGTAAATGTCAAGGGTATTGTAATGTGTTGTAACATAAATATACCTAAAAAGGATACAGGCTCAACAATAAAGAGCTATTCTTTACGCATGATTCAAAAACCATATATTGAAATACCGTTCTTGATCCATCAGATCAACAACTAAATGGCCCAACAAAAATATATAAAGTAATGGAATCACTGGCAACTACTAAACTGCTGCCAGATAAGAGATATAAACCAAATAATATAAATAGAGACGTAGAATATACATTTTATTGCACATTATCCTAATTTCGAATAAAGAAGGATTTTAACAGTATTCTACCTGCTTTTTCTAACCCCTTTTTTTTACTGCACATTCAAATTCATGCTATCTATTTGAATACTCTACCAATGAAACGCTCAAATATGCATCAAAATACCATTTAAACATACTAAAGTAAAGATGCACGCTTATCTCGCACATGGTGTGAATGAACCACTCCTGATCACAGTGTATTCGATCACACCCATGATGGTCGTAATAAGAGATGTTATCTTTATCCAAATAAAATCAAATCAATAACAAGCATATACACATATGACAACTATGCCCTGATGCCATAATTGCGCAATACTCCAGATGAACGGTTCTAAACTTTAATAACAAACATCACGCCTTAAACTGTCGAGATTACATTAAATCATGCTAAGACGATAGCTTATCCAATCCCATCAAGATTACTCAAATTGATCTTTATGACCAGTGCTCTTGCATTGATTACCACTTTAAATCACACATCAACAACATTTGTCAGATATCGCAATAGCAGCACCTATTGCTTTCTGTTACCACTAATCCTACGAGCTAGTGGCAAATGTATAAATACTCTTCTTTTTTTTACTCAATTCCAGCATCTTCAATTCATTTTATACACAGTGGATTTCTACTGTATTTTACTATTGCTATATTTTTTTTTGTGAAATCGATTAAGTCTGATCCCACTGCAATGTATGAAAAGTTATATAGGTACTGCACTATACGCTAGGTACCAGTTCATCCCAGTACCAAATGCCTGTCAAATATGCGTCCTTCATCATTTATTTGCAACATATTTCAATTTCATGGGTTACTATCTGTTGCCTGATATCAAATGTTGGATATATTACTGTACAAAAGCCTTTCCAATATTAAGGTTTGGGCAATGCAAAACCAAGCTTTGAAATACTAATACTAGAGCTCTGAAAATAGCAAGCTGCTACTATAGCAAAATCTTGCGAAAAAAAAAGAGACAATGTAGTTACATTTTACATTGAATGGTAGGTTGTTGTTCAGAAACGGATGATATTTGAAACAAAACAATTCATAAAAAGATCGTATTTGGGACGCTCTTCCTTGAACAACGGTCAGCTCTACCGGCTTCTTCACTAATTGAAGTTTGTACCCCTTTGTTCTACAAAATGAGACCTCGTATGGACATCTACAATGATGCTTCCTTGTAAAGATTAAGGGTTCAACTCTCAAATTGAAGTTTACAGTGACATAAACACGTTTTCTTGGATAACAACATGAAAGCACCTATGTGGTGCCCAGTTCTATGAAATAAATATAGCGCTTGGTATGATTAATAGCAATGCAGAAAAAGTATTTTATATGCGCCACTGTAGCAAAAGGTAACCTTGAACGATCGTTTTTCGACAATTTGGCAGGGGCTGGCCTGCTGGATGTTGTAAGTCTATGAGACCTGATGCTAATAAGGCTTCTAGTAGAACCTCAAACGATACGTAATTCTTAAGTTTACGTATTGAGTATTGCTACAGGTAAGTTGGTGCAGCGGATTTTGTACATCTGCCCTTTGAAAGCCCTAAAAATATCCGAAAAGCAGGGTTCTCTGAATAGAAACTGAGGGATAATCATCAAGAGTGGTACCGTTCGACGGGCCTCTCAAATCTATACATACTAGTTATGGTATTGCAGTCAATACTGCTTGATTATGTTATGCTTTCTTATCGTTAAGCTAGAGACTCATTGGTAATAAAGAAGGAATGAAAACACAAACTTAAATATTTTTTTGCAATAGACCGCATATTCAGCAGCACCCTGTATTGTCATTTTGAGTTTACGGTACATCCTCACATCATATCTAGAGCAGCCATTTGCCTGAAATGTTCCTCAATACTTACGTATAGTATCAGAGAACAGCGCATCTTTCATCTTCCTCACTTCATCCGTAATTTCATTTCAAACTAGTCGATTGTTGTAAATCACAAATTTTGCTACTACGACATGATGATAATCTCCATTGACCAGTTAATGTTCGCAACAGACAAGGATATGGATACACAAATACGCAGTAGCAGCGCATAGTATGATATCAATGAAGATATCCCTGATTTATGTTTCATCACTCATACATATCGAAACAAAAGAGGTTGTTCAACTTTAAAGTCAAACAATTTTAACATGTACACAATGAGGGACAAGGCAAAACTTTTTGAGGTCATACTTAATGCCTTTTCATGTAGACAGATATACATCTTTGACTTGTTTGCACAGACAGCTTATTTAAAGAAGAGGAGGGGGGGGGGGTTGGTACCTGAAAGAAGGGAGTATAAGCAACATTAGACTGGTATGCCTAAATATATATATAAAATGTATCAAAGACTTTCTCCTGTCATCAATGCAAGTCAACAAGTCATTCATACATATTTCATGTATTCAACAAGACAGGGCTTTTACCTGCATAAAATGACCTATTAATGTCAATTATGTATTACAATTGCCTTTTCCTGCCTTTTGCATGACCAAACGATACAAGTGCAAAGCTATTCTTTCTTCAAGACAAAATCCCTTGTGTCATTGATAGACAGTAATTTTGTCATTATACAACTCTATTGTAGCCACCTTTCCACGATAAACGGGCAATTCACCCACAGAGTGTTTCAAATTTTAAGGAGAAAAACCATAAATTGCCTTTTTGTGTTTTCTTGCAGATCGCGTACTAATAGGCCATCATGTACATTGATTAGAAAACTGCTTGAATCCCTTAATATTCCATTACATTCATACAAAAAGCATCAAATTTGATTTCTTTGCGTTTGAATAAGCAAACACATTTACTTGAGAAAACGCGCATAAACTCGATATTCCTGTTGATAGTATGCTTAATTAGTGTTTATTTATAACGGCGCAATGCGAAATTTAGCACCCATAAATAAAGAGTTTGGCAAGGGAAAATAGGGGGTAAATCATATCCATTGTTTCCCCTCTTTTGTTTTCAGTTTGTGCCAGCCACTTGCAACATCCATTTCTTTCCAATTCACAACGCGTTTTTACACATTCAATTATTTACTATGTCCTTTGCAACCATTCTGCTTCTTTATGCCATCTTCATTGCTACTGTAATGAATGCCTATGGAGCGTTGCTTGCTTCAAGACACATTTCAAACACAGTGGAACCTGAGGCGTTACAAATCGCAACTACAGCAGCACAGAGCGACCACATTAAACATGTCAAGCAAAAGATACACGAGAACACCGTCATTGGAAGCACAATACAAATGATCGTGGAGTGGATTCAGGCAAACAAGCTGGCACCTCTCCAATTTGACATTGAGCAAGATTTCGACTGTCATCGTGCATTAGCTAGGAATGTCATTGATCAACTGCTTACTTCTCAAAGATTGTCGGCCTTATTCCAGGACATGAACGGCGAAACCAATGTTGCATTGGCAAATGGCGTTGCAAGATTGGCTCTAGTGGCTATGGACTTGGGCGAGTCTTCTGCTTTGCTGGCAGTAGTAACCGAGGTTCTCCTTATCTGCAATGATTGCTCTGCCTTGAATTTTATTCATTTTAGCGTAAATCAAAATACATCAATTGAAAAATTACCCCACATTCAGCAAAGCATGGAGTTTGAAACCTTATTGATAGCAGCGAATAGATATCGTGACACTGAAAACGCCTTTCGTGACCAACATCAACACGATAGACGCACTCTAGGTAGCGAGTCAATCGAACGTATTGCTGTCAGTGCTCTGGAAAAGATCAACAGACTTCAAGCGGCTGCTGGATTCATCGTTCCCACATCAATGCATGATATCGCTTCTGAAAAATCTGGACGCCGCATTTCAAATTCATCAACACTGACCAACAATTCTGAAATCAGCAGTTCAGTTTGTAGGTCTCCCAGCACCTCATCAGTAGGCACTTCGAATACATCACTCACAGGCTATGACTTGTCAAGAAAAGAACGCACCGAATTCATTGACAGAAAGGATATGTTGCAGCCCAACGAGGCAACTTATTATGACATTATCAAATTCAAGACTGATCTCTTACACATCAAATTGGAGGCAAAACATCTTCTAGATCAGGTCATCAACCCGCTGACTAGCATTGTATCCACGGCAAAACCCATTCACCGTATTAAGCAGGTACAACACGCATTTGCCACCCTGATTTCTATCTGTTGCGACACTGAATCGGTTCTAAACAACCTGCAATATGGATTTGCATTCGAACAATTGACAACGCACATGGCTTCTCATCTCATCGATGGCGCTTATTCAAAATTGCACCAGCAGACAAGCATTGGAGACTATCAAGCGAGCGATTTCAAGGAGCTGACTGCCAGCGTCAACAAAGCCTTTGATGTCACCTCCTCTGCTTTGAAGGCGTTCTCCAATCTCAGTGCAGTTCCCAGCAGTTACTATGCAAGATACTTTGCGTCGATGGAAGCACTCATGGACAGATGCACCCGGCTGGGCTCAGCGTACAAAAGCATTGATTCTGTGTATCAAGGTGTCATCGAAATCAGAACAACAGTTCAGAAAGGCCACGACAAGCTCAGCACACTCCAATACGACCAAGCAATGCCATTAAAAGACATCGCTATGAACATCACAGCCATTCAATCCCTTTTTGCTGACATCTACAGCTGCAGCACACAGAAATTACAGGCTTTGTATGGCACGCTCGAGCAGCAGATCAATTCCAGCAGCACTGGTGGATATCAAAGCGAAGAAAAGATTGCCTTCAATATGGTCAATCGCGTGTTTGAGGACATTGCTAGCATTAAGACAAAAATCAAGAGTGCTTCTCAAGAATTGGTTCATTTGAGCGATAAACACGACGTCAAAAACAACATCAATCAAGCAAAGAGCTGGCTCCAGGCAATGAACTATTCCTTGGGATTATTCATCACTTTAGAGGCACTCTTTTCGTTTGGTTCCGTTGATGCAGATCAAGAAGCCTTGCAAGACAGATACAGCGATTTCCAAGAGAGATTCACTGAATTCACTCTGACTACTTACAACAAGATATGCTCCTACTTTGCCGAAGATTATGACGCAGGATTGAATTATCAAAAGCTGGGCGATACTCCTGGTGCCCATAATAGCAAGAAGGAGGAGTACAAACTGTTCGACAGTTTACAACAAGTGGTGGATCTGACAAGCAAGCTGCTCAGCTATACACATCAGGCTTTGGTGCAAAGAAAGACAGTGACTGAATACCTCCATCATCTCAATGTCATACAAGAATGTATCGCATCAAACACACCTCTCCCTGCATCCACTAGCTACGAACATGCCTTTGCGTGTTTCTCCAACATCTCATACCCTCAGTTGAACATTGACGGGCTCTCCAGCATGCTCTACTACTACCATCGTGAATTGTATATTAGTTTGAGCGAGACAAAAGTAAAATTAATCGTCAACCATCTTGGTGATTAATGTGTGTGTGTGTGTGTGTGTGTGTATATCAAATAAAAAGTCTAGTTATGTATCAGTAAATTTATTGTCCATCATGTGTTATGAATCTTTTTCTTTTCTGTAACAATAGCGATAACGATGGTATAGGTGATGATGGTGAGGATGCAAACAGCGGGTATAAGGAATCGAACAACTTGAATAGGAGCGCAAGTGAGCCTGTAGACATTTGTATCAACAAGTGCATTCTCTCACTCAAAGGCCATAAATTACCGTAGAAACGTCCATGTGCTCGTTCGTTTGTTGTGTTCTGGCATGAAATAAGGATCTTCATCATCATCATCGCTCTCTGCGTAGGATATGAACTCGATAGCTTCCTCCTGTTCATCGTCTGATGCCTCATCTGGCTGTTGTGATAGTAAACCGTATTCTTCCTCGGGTATCATCTTGTCAACGGGTGTTTTTTTTTATAAAAAAAAAAAGTAGAGATGAAATAAAGAAAACGCTGCCTTAATTTTGGTCACTTTTTGATACAAAGATCAATAGCAGCAGCAGCAGCAGCAGCAGCAGCAAAAAGACGTCATGGACCTTGTGTACATGATTGAGTCGACGAGTGAAAGAAAGGCCTCTTGTAGGAAGGCTGCCATCAGATGCTCGACACAAATTCAGCTTTGATGTCTAGCGAGCTCATCTCTATCTTGCAAACTTGAGAGAATGACTCTGTATACTCGCTCTCAATACAAAGATTCCACAATTGTTCATGCAATCAACTGGGATGAAAAATGTGGGAATTCCACATTTAGGGAAAGTTACTTGCACAATCAGACGAATTCCACAGCATATATCAACAGGAAAATTCGTCCTGCCTGCTAAACAGACAGCTTGGTTACTGAGTTTTGTAACACTTATAAGCGTGGCGCTGACAAGGAAAAAAAAAAAAAGTTTCTTTTCTCTCTCTCTCTTTCTCGCAGTAGTCTTTCGGCAAATGGCTGACCCAACGCAATATTCACCTGATGATGCAGCAAATGGTAACACTGGCTTGGGCTCACCATTGATACCACTCGATCTAGGCGTCGATTATAGCCTAGGTTATCCCTCGTTCAGTGCGTCCAATAGTGCATTCACAGCAGATACCACCAGCAATCAAGAGTCAGAGGACATGCAAGAAGTGCTTGATGCATTACTCGACCTTCACAGCTTACAAAACATGGACCCAGTGCAATTTGAGAAGGATTATGTCACTATCTTGAGAGCCATTAATTTGAACGAGGAATTGCAGAATAAAGTCCAAGATCAGATTCGACTGGTAGAAGAGCAATTGGACACAAATTCAAAACTATTGGTGAGTAACGTAGTGCAAGTGTTGGCAGTAGACAATGATACTCACTGTTTGACAGAAAGAAGCAAGTCTATTTACATTGGCAGAGAATAGATGTGGTAGCAGATTTCCCATCCACACGCTGTACCGTAATCCAATCAACTATTTCGACAATGATGAATTGCTGAAGCCAGTAGTGCAGCACAAATCCAATGCAACAACAGAAGGCACCATGGGTGAAGATCCCTTGCTTCAGCTGGATGATGATGCTGACTATAGCAATGACGATGACGAAGAGGAGGACGAGGAGGACGAGCATGCTATAAATTCTGCAGATAATGAACATAATAGAAGTCATAAGGCTTGTAAGTATGTGGAATGTAGCAAATGCTTCCACGCTGACCGCTTTGTTAGGGTCTCGCTTGGAAAGAGAAAGACTGGAAGAAGGCATCATCTCAGAGGCTAAACGTATGGTGTCATTTGATTTTGTCAAAAGGTATGCTTTACTGCTGCAAAGCCATAGAGCACCTACTGATGCATAATATTCATGATGTAGAAAAGAGGAATGGCGCATCTGGGAAGTTGACAAGATGGAAAAGAAGGATTTGTTGCTGTTTCCAGTCAGTCGATTTGAATGGGATCGCATCAGCTCTTTGCATGTAAGTTCAGGCAAGTGTGTGTTCAGGCCAACTCAGAGTCTAAGACCGACAGCAGGTATTTTCGAGGTCTCCCATCGAGTGCTTGATACAATGGACAACACAGGAGCATCCTACCATCAACAAAAAGCCGTGGTCAAAGCAAGAATCACAGAAATTGGCTGAGATCGTCGAGAAAATAGGCTTATTCAGTGGTCAATGGGAGCGCATTGCAAATGAGCTCGGCTCAAATCGAACTATTTCGCAGTGCTTTTCCCACTACATGTACGAAAAGAACAATGCGCATGCTAGAAGTCTAAAATGGACAAAGGAAGAGGACAAGAAACTGACAGATGCCGTGAAACTGTTTGGCAATTGCAACTGGCAGCAAGTAGCTAGCATCCTGGGCGATCGCACAGGTCAGCAATGTCTGCATCGATGGCAGAAATCATTGAATCCAGTCATCAAGCGTCAGAGATGGAATGCTGAGGAGGATGCATTATTGCAGAGAGCAGTTCATTTGTACGGTGCTGGTAACTGGACAAAAATACAGCGTCTTATTCCAGGCAGAACAGACATGCAATGCCGTGAAAGATGGGTCAATATCCTGCAGCCTTCCATTAACAGAGGACAATTCACGCAAGAAGAAACGGATCGTTTGTTGGAGCTGGTGGACACACATGGCCCCAAATGGTCTTTTCTGCAAACACTGATGCCAGGGCGAACTGACAATGCACTTATGAGGCACTACAAGAACATCGTCAAAGGTGCTGAATCAAGCAAGAAAAAGACAGCTACTAAATCCAAAAAGCAAAAGAAGCCAGCATGCAAACAAGCTCCTAAAAAGCGACCCAGAGCAAAACCCATCAGCAAAACGCCCACTGTACATAGCAAGCGCACAAAGACAAACGAAAACGATATACCCTTAAGAAGATCAACGAGAGCAAGAAGATCTACATACCAAATTGAAGATAATGCAGAGGAGGATACAACAGAGGAGGATTAAAAAGGGACATTGATTTTTCTTCCCCGTCTGCAGTGGCTTGTTTCATTTCATAATGTGAGCTTCGACATTGAAAAAAAAAAAAAAGTATTGCTATTTTTTACCTCTTTACATCTATTTTACTGGCCAGCTGTCATACCAGTAGAGAAGCCTGTGTATATAAACCATTCAAATAAATCAAACAACTATATATATAATGGTCAGTTTTCATACAAATTGCAATTCGACTCCTCATTAACACCACGATTTAGTCTGATAAAAAGGCTCCAACAAAGGAAAATTTGACGTGGAAGATCAACTATCTTGCTGCTCAGGTATTAGGCAGCCGTCTAACTTGAATGGCATCAGTATACTGACCATTTCGATTTGGATGTAGGTGGGTGAAAAGACACACATGAAGACTGCCATCCTCGCTGCATCCAGGGCAAAATACCAACAAATTCACAACAGGAATGCCGGTGAAATGAACAAAGAAACTTTGATTCAAGAGCTACATAACGCCAGAAAACTGAAATTGGAGTCGAAATTGGTTAGTAACTAAACCATCCACAATATACGATCAGTGAAGCTAACTTTGTATTATAGTATCAAGCTCGCAAAGATTTGAAAACTGCATTAAAAAAGGCAAAGAACGAGGAAACTCAAAAGCAGAACAAGAAGATCAAATCAGCTCGTAAATTGTTAGAAAAGTAGGATATCCAATGTATTACTCTCATGGATTTGTATTGAACTTGCCCTTGTAGCGCTGTTGGTGAAAAGGAGGGAGACGATAAGGAGGCCGAGAAAAAGCCCAAAAAGAAGATCACAGTTGAAAATATCGAATTGTATGAAAAGGAGTTGGAAGCGATTAAGGTAACATCAGATATGCCATTTGCATAAACGCACGTTTTAATGGTCCATGATAGAGTATTGATCTCGACGCACTTGTCGAAAAGACATTAAAATCCAAACTTCAAAAGAACGTAGAATTGAAAAACGAGGATCTCATTAAAGACTTGATTGAGTCATCCATCAAAACCAAAAAGACTGAAGACAAGATTTTGCAAAACATCGAATCTCGTTTAATAGCCAGCAAGGCAGTGATTTCCGAGATGAATGGTATTTTATCCTCCTTCCAAAACATTGTCAAGGGCAACAATGAAAAGATTGAAAAGATGAAGACCATCGAAGAGAAAAAGAAGCAAGCAGCAGAGAAAAAGAAGAGACAAGCAGAGGAAGAAGAGAAAAAGCCCCAAGCAGCAAAGAAGCCCCGTGTCACAAAAGCCAAAAAAATAGGTACATCAGAGTTCTTTGAGACCTTGGGTGAGGTGGCGGATGACGAGAATGAGGACGAAAACTTTAAAAAGATCTACGAGGGTGAAAAGAAACCCAACAGAGCAGGTCAAAGACAGAGAAGAAAGTAAGTGTTCAATATAAAGTGTCATTTTTGTAGTGTTTTTTTTGAGTGCTTACATGATTTCAACAGGCAATGGGAGGAGATGTATGGTCGTGAGGCAAAGCACATTGCTAGTGAATATCAAAAACGTGAAGAAAAGAGACTTGCAAATCCTGATTACAGACCCAAAAAGAAGCCTGCACCCAAGCCCAAGCCTGCTGCTGTTCATCATCAAAAGCCATCAGCTCCTGCTGAACCTGTTCATCCATCTTGGGAAGCTAAGCGTATACAAGAAGAGATCATGTCCAAGGCATTGAGTGGGAAGGCCAAGTCAAATAACAAGATCGTGTTTGATGATAGTGATTAGAGACTTTTGTAGATTAAAATAAAGAAAATCTCATGTAAAATACATTGCTCGAGTGTATTAAAACAGTCTTTGCATGTTGATCTGATACGAGGAGCAATGCCGCTTGAACCCACTCTTATTTGATATGTATTCATGCTACATTGGTATTGGCTTAAACTATATGTGATTTCAATTGATGCTATGCCATCGATATTCATTTAGACTATAGGGTGCTTGTTGCATAGTGTGCTTGTACAAATTAGAGCAGTGGCTCAAATGTAGGGTTCCAAAAGTAGGAAGAACCCTTATCACCAGTGATAGCAGACTCCTTCATGTCTTTGCACTCGTTCCAGGCGAGAAAGTTGTCCTTGATACCTTCAATAATATTGCTGCAGTCTTGTTCAATGACTATGCCGCCTTGTCGGATGCTCATATGAGCTATGTCATCCGTTTCGAACTTGAGTGTGCATTTGCTATTAGACGATACAGCTTGAAGCAAATTAAAGTCTTCTCAGTAGCAATCTTCATAATTATATAAATTATAATCATCCCAAAATGCTGCAGGTTATCTTTCGGCCAAACCTATATACTTGAGTTGTAGGTAAAAAAAGATCTTGAAGCTGTATGGATTTGTCTTGAGGAAGCGGCAAGTGTCCAGTACAGTATCCATTGGTTAATCTTAGGTAAACGAAGAGGAAGCAGGGGAAGTGTGTCCTCATGGAAGATCGAGTCTTTTGCCAACAGTTCTGTAATTTTGAGGTTTGGATTCGATGCTTGACTAACAGAGGTTTCTTCACAGAGCACGGATTTACCAAGAATCATCATTGATTCATCCAGTTGGCCAGATGTTGTATCAACCTTGTCCAAGATAGTCCAGTTGTCTCTAGTGACGAATCCTTGGATGTGACCCATTAAAGCCTCTGTATATGAAAGATTAACACAGATCGTCTAATGACAAACTCGTATAGGATAGAGACATGTTCAACATCTTTAATATCAATTTCGGTGGGTAAATACTCGTACCCGCAATCCAGAATACCATTCAAATTTACGTTTGTAAATAAGAAACTATCAAAGATGATGGTGTAGGTGCAAATCTTTCTCAACAAGATGGTATTGATCTTGTAACCTTTGTACAAACCAGGATTCATAGTTAGAGTGAATCTTCTTATGCTGACATTGCTCAAGGTAGCCACCACTAGATCCATGCATATTTGAACTTGACTTATTCTTGTAAAGTTTGACAGCACCGATTCAAGATTCATCTTGGAAAATGAGCAAATAATAGAGCTAATTTTATTCCACCATGCGTTTTCTTCAGTTTCCCTGCCATGAAGGTCATTAAGTTGCTCTGCGCTTATTTTACTTAATGCTTGGAAATTCTCTGCGGAATATCGCAGCGCTTGTGTAGAAATTTGGCATTTTCGTAAATGCTGATATCCCTAATTATTTTGTTTGGAATAGAATCGTTGATCATTTCAGCGCAATCAAACAAATCCAAACTCTAAAAGTTTAGATACAGAGGAAATACCATCAGCCATTGTGTTGAACTCCTGCAAACTGTTGAACGATATTTTAAATAGGCGTAGCTTGGCCAGAGATGGGAACTCCTTCAAATGCTGCAACGAAGTTTGATTTGCAGGGTCCTGCGATGAAATTGATAAGCTTGTTAATGTTCTCGTGTTCAGGAACAATAACACATTAAACATTTTTGTATTATCAGTATAAACAATACCATCGCCAGCAATTAACTGGAGCTTTTCAAATCTGACCTTGCTTAAAGACCACACCAGTGATTGTTTTTGACTGAAAAGCAATATAACAGAAAATTTTGGGGCAGCAACTGGTAATTGTCTCTAGAATTTTTGTCGTGTCTAGCCGAAACCAGTACTGAAAGCGACAATTTCCATCACTATACCGAGTTCTATAGCTTGCTTGATCACACTCGTAGACTCTGATGCGCGTTTGCCCAGACAAACTTTTGTGTGAAATGCCTCTTGAGCGACTAATTTCCACTCTCGGCAGGCCAATTGGCGTTCATACTACTACAAAGCCTTTATAGATGCTTCATTTCCATGTGGAAGAGGAGAGACCAGTTGACGATAGATGCCGTATAAAGTTTTAAATGAAAGCCTTTAATGTGGCTTGCCTTTTAATGTGATGTTCAAAGCGTCGCTTGTCATATTATTAAACAAAGTAAAAGGAAGAAATAAGAGACAGTTTAGAAAGTCAAGTAAAGTGATCAATCAAATATTGAGCGTATGCACATCAAATTGCAAAAGAAGCTAATAACAAAACCATGAGAAACGCCAAGAGGGACAACACTGACTCGAAACTGACTCGAAACTGCCTCATCAAGCTTTAGACAGAAAGCCAAGATAGCCTGGATAACATTACATTAAACGCTCCACAATAAACCCGAAGAAAGGCTTTATCCATATGCTGCAAATATGCCCAAATAACTGTAAAATCAAGCGTATTTGCCCCTGTGATGATGGCCTTTATTCTCTCGATCCCATTCTCGATTTTGTGAAGCAGTTGGTATCATTGTTAAACGATCGGTTAACAGCGAAGCACAAGGAAGGATCCCATTATTTGAAGTATGACCAACATTCCAAGAGAGGTGAAGACAAGAAATTTACAGAGTCAAAGCGACACTACGTTGCTGCTACTTATTATTATTACTCAAAGGTCCAATGTCTGTAAGAAAGTATGTATATCGCAGAGATAATTGTTGACAACAAGAGAGGTTCTTCTATATTGCCGATCGATGCGATGCAGGTAATACTGGATAGCTCAAGGGTAGGTTATCGTTTTCGGTTTTAATATGGCTCTTCCGAAAACTTCTTGAATCAAATTGCAAAAAGCATTAATTCTTTTGCTCTGATAAGAAATACTGCATAGATGCAATATGTTGAGAGTGGGGTTTCGTTGATTTGCTTTGACAAGGCGGTCAAAATTTGTAACTTGTAACTTGTGCCTATATTTGCATAGACGTAAAGCTATTAGAAAGGTTATGGTAATGCATACATAGCTCTTTATGGCTAAGTTGTACTCAAATAGGCCATGAAAATCAGAATAGAGTGGGAATCATTTCAATATGATTGACCTGCGCTTAGTGAAAACACTATAAGCATAAATGATCATAGCCTTGTTATGAACAAGTTTTCTTGTTGCTTTGACTACAAATAATGAAGCCATGATTTGAAATCGGATTAAAAGGGGACGCAATCATTGCTTAGGTTTGTATATTTTCTTTTCCACCTGTTCGTTTTGAAAAGACTTTTAATAATATGGATGATTTCTCTACCAGCCCTAGAAACAGATCAATACCCAATGTACCTTTGGATGATGGAGGTACATTAGAAGACATAGAGCAATGCCAATAACAATTTATTTACCAATTTGCATGCATCTATAAAGACGAGGTAAACGAGGAGCAAGAACAACAACAGGAAGGTGAACGTATTGAATCAGTTTGGAAAGGCATCTTAGCACGAATAATGGTGGTTCCTACGTTTGTTACAATGATAGGGCTTAAATGGGAGCATTTTGAGTTACTGGCAGATTATATCCAACAGCGGCTATCTAGCGGTCTAAATTTTGTCAAAGATTACCAAGTTGTGATTGTCTTCATCTCTGCATGGACCTATATCATCAATGGCCTATGTTCGATCAATTCTCATAATAAACATCGGTTGCTTCTTTGGGTGTTCATGCCATTAACTATTATATCAAGCTTAGCCTATCCCATCTATCGATCATCCCAAGGCGTCGATGGCTTATCTCCTGGCCTGGCTAGAATTAAGCAGTATTCATCCTTTGCCAAGCATCTCGTTGATATTGACACCAAAGTAACGGAACAAGCTTCACGCATGGAGCAGCTCTTTCAAAAGACACATTATAGCAACAAGCAACTGCTGGAACACATCTCTCTTGTCTCATCACAGATTCGAGAGCAACAGGCTCAACTGAATTATCAGCGTGAGGATTACCGAAGGATTTGGAATCAACTGTATAACCAGCATCAATACATGGCATCTGTCTCTGACGATATAAAGCAAGACGTTATTGAAGCACTTCAGGACAACGCCATTGCAGTATTTGACACAAAAGAAGAGCAGCTCAAGGTGTCGCCACAGTTTTTCGAATACATGCAAACAACCAATTTTATCCAAGCGTTTATTCAGCATAATAAACATACCATCAGATCTTTCATTCAGCAGGAATTGCAACAATTCTTCTTGGCACATCAAGATGAGACCCACTCCATTATGAAAAGAATAGAGCAACTACCATCTTCCTTGGAGCAGCTAGTTGAGTCAGCCATGAAGAAGTATCAGCCTCCTCAAAGCGACAACGAACCTGATTTTGCGCTGGGCAGCCGAGGCGGTAAAATTATTCCATCGAGAACCAGCAAAACCTATCGACCTCCACTCACGTCCAAACTACTTTTACGCAGAGCACTTGGTTACTATACCAAAATCACAAAACCCCTGGCAGTTCTTCAACCGAGAACGGAAGTAGGCGAATGCTGGTCCATGAATAGCTCCAATGGCACAGTGGGCATCTATCTGAGTGAAGAGATCTACATGACCAGTGTAATACTAGAGCATCCATCAGCAAGTGTGCTACTGGATGATATCAAAAATGCGCCTCAAGATTTCAAAGTGTTCGGTTTGCCAACAGACTCGCCCGATTTGCCAGACGAGCCCCTCCTTCTTGGGCAGTTCAGATACGATATCCACTCTGAACAGAGAGTCCAAAAGTTTCTATTGGAAACTGACAGATCCTTCCAGATTGTGATCATTCACTTTTTATCCAACTGGGGCAATCCTGACTTTACAGACATTTACAGAATCAAGGTCAGTGGCAAGCCTGTATCTCAATACACTGTTGCAAAAGAAGAAGGTGATTTCCGATGAATAAATCTTTTATTACTATATTCTATATACATGGTAGACGCGTGAATATGCACATGTGGTTTATCAATGTCTTCTATACTTGTTTTGAGCATCCTCTACTATATCATCTATGTAACGAACGTGGGTTTTTGATGCATGATCTCTGCCATCACGACGTCTCTCTTCTTCTCTAAAGTTTCGCATGCGATCCTTGGCTGCAGTATGCTACATGTCGAGGCGTTAGTTATCTATCCTTGCTGAGAGAAGCTTTTTATTTTACCTCCATGATAGCGTGTTCTTTGGCACTGATTCCTTCAGGAAATGTATGTGTGTGTTTTGGACGCTACAACAACACAGGTCAATGTAAAATTCGCTCAAAGCCATCCATTACTTACTGTAGGCGTTGGTTTTCGTCGGTTGATAAACAAGCTGCTATTGGCACCTGTGCTAGGTTGTCTTTGTGGTGGAGCTCCTCTGTTCGAGCCAGCAGGCGGCAGGCCTCTTGAAGCACGATAACCCGATATGCTCAGCTTTGTACGGTCTGATGAGGTTGAGTTCGTTGGTGCTGAAAAGGAGACAGCAGTAGCAGACCGGCTCCTGTTGGCATTGAGTTTCTGCTCCTTGTCCTGACGCACTTTTTCGAGAAACGTGGAAGGGGTCATTTTAACATCCTCTTCCTCTTGCTTGATATCACGCATTTCAACATCTTCATCCACTCTTCTCTTTCTACTGCCGCCATGCTTGCTACTGCTGCTTTTACGCTTATCACCAATTCTTGCACTGGTCGTCCTTTCATCCTCAGAGGACGAAGCAGAAGAAGACGATCTTGAGTTGTTGCGGCTGCTGGGAGCGGAAATCCTGACAGGGCCCTTCTTGTACTGGGTGGTTTTGGATTTGGTGATGGATATTGTTTTCTCGAATATATTGTGTGGTATAGAGATTTCATTGATAGTGTGGTTGAAATAAGGGTATTCACACTAGGAAATACTGTAAGTAAACGCACACAGCTTTTGCAGCAAACACACACTTACATCTGTAATGAGATCACGTTTCTGAGCATCGTACACCAAATCTCCCCAGTACTCACTGCTGTTCAACGAGTGAGCATTACCCAGCACAAACAGAGAGCATCTGGCACGCGTCAGGCCTACATTCATACGACGCATATCAGCCAAGAAACCAATGCCACGACCTATACAAATCATGTCAGTGTATCTATAAACAAGCTAAAAAAAGAACCCTCATACCATAACCAGCTCTGACGCAGGAAAATATGATAATCTCCTTTTCTTGGCCCTGGAAACCATCCACTGTGTTGAAATCTATGACATCCAAAATACTGTTGCCAAATCTCCTTTGGAATCGAGACTTGAGTTGACCCACTTGCTGTTTGTAGGGTGTAATGACACCAATCTTGCTTGCAAATTTGATTGTAGGCAGTTTGGTGCAAAGCATATCGACCAAGGCAACAGCAGCATCTGCTTCTGCTACATTGAAGATGGATTTGCCTCTGCCCAGCTTTTCCTGGCCATCCATGATGTTGAAGAATCGATACGGAGGGAACTGAGGGAGTGCATGCCAAACGGCAGAGGAGATTTTGTCCATGTTGGGGCCATCCTTGAGTTGCGATTGATAAAACATTTTGCTAGGGAAGCTACTGATATGAGGGTGCATACGATATTGGATGCTATAGCAGTGTTGTCAGTTGATGTGCAATAGATGATGCGACTATGTTTTGCTTACCTCAATAAATTGACTTCGGAAGCCATGCTTCTCTCCAGTCGCATAAACAAACTCTGCTGGTAATTATGCTTGGTAGCCAACGTTGACATGACAGTAGGAGGCAATTGATTGGGATCTAAGCATGTACAAGGTTAGACACCGCATACACTTTAAAGCTAGCAAATACTCACCACCCACAAGGATACAACGCTGTGTATCAAACTTGAGAGGAATCAACGAACTGATTTCAATCGACTGAGCAGCTTCATCCACAATCACAGTTTCAAAAGAGACACCCATCTGAGTGAGCATATCGTGTCCACTGCCACTGAGCGTAGCGCATACAACATCTGCATTGGCAAACACTTTTTGACGTGCACGGACGCGAGAAATCTCCATTTCTTTACCATAGTTCTTTTGGTCCTGGTAAGTATCCTTGAGCAAGATTCTGCTCTTGGTCAATTTCTGAGCAAGCGTCTTTCTTTTGTCACGCAAGATGGACATCTGAACCATGTCACTGCCCGCTTGAGTGATTTCTCTGTCCACATCGTCCAAGCTGATTTGAATGTTTCGAATGTCTTGGTGCAACGTGTCTAACTTGGCTCCCCATTTACCACCTGGTGCACCATCTTTACCACTGGAGGCGTCCATCTCTGCTTCAATCAGTTTGTCCAAAATGCGATCCTTGACACTGGCGTTGACAGAGTCTGCTACACCGATACGAACAATGTTGGGACTGGTGAGGCCGTTTGAAGTCATGACACCTTCCTTGAGACGTTTGGCGATCTCATCCACGGCAGCGTTACTGGGAGCACACACAAGGAGTTTGCCAGAGGTAGGCATGTCTTCTGAAGTGGCTCGTTTGCGTTGATCCAACAGAGATACAATCAATGCTAAAATTGTCTTGGTTTTACCAGTACCAGGAGGACTGAACGCGTGTTAGTTTCGGTATGGAGATTACTCCCTTTCCCTCATGTAACTTACCCCTGAATTAATGAAAACCCCTTCTTCTTTTGCATGGCAGATACAATAGCCACGGCCTGAGGTTCATTCACGTCGTAGCGAGTACAGCAATTTTGAATTAATGAGCTGCTGAGCTTTGGCTTGGGAATCGCCTTGGGCTTGATAATGTCCTGTGCCAAATCGTAGTATTCCAATCCCTCCAAGGCAGCGTATTCACGCACAGTGGTCGTCAAACTAAGCATTTGATTAGATTTGCATGCAACTCGTCATGATAAAACCGCAACAAACCTCATAATCTTGAGAATGTTCCAGTTGGTCTTTGGCGAGATGGAATTCAGAATACTGATACGATCACCAGCAAAATAGCAGCGAACCACCACTTCACCCATGTTCTTCTTTTGGTTGATGTTCATGACTTTGCCCAAAAAGGCTTTCCCTTTCCACGCGTGATCATTCGAAGGCGTACTAAACGACGTAATCTGGTCAAAGAATTGATTGCCAAAGTGATTTGCGACACAAATAAGGTCGTCTGCAGACAGGCTGTTGGTAATTACACTCATGGGTAGCCCAAAAGTAACATCCACGAAATCATTGGTATGGCAACGACCTTCTACGATACAGCGATCCAGCACGTCGTTTTGCGTCAATTGTTCCTTAGCACGCAACAGTTGGCTCCAGGTCTCCAGCATCAACAAAGGCTCAAACACAGCGCGGTATTCATCAAATGTCTGGAAAGTAGACGGAACAGCATCGTACATGGATACATTGGCATAAGGGGGAATCTCTCTGGTCTCTATGATGTCCCAAGAAAGCAGCGTCTTGAACAGGCGATCAATGTTGGGTGCGATCTTTTGGCGTCGTTTCTGTTCCAGCATACGTGCGTTGCGCTTTCTGTTGAGGAATTCATTGGTGATGGGTGTTTCAATCAATTTGATGGTTCGCTTAGGTTTGGCATCAAACAGTGCCTTGACACTGGCACTCTCTGCCTGCACATTCGCTGCCTTGAATTCAGGTGTCGTACCATCCATGTCACTGATCAGTCCCAGCAAACCAGCATCATCATCGTCTCCATCATCCGAGGAGGAATCAGACGAATCTGATGAATTGTCCTGAGACCCACCATAACGTTGACGAACAATACCAGCAGCAGAAGGCGACTTGGCAGTGGCAATCAAGCGACGTTCAGCACGGAACTCCTCTCGCAGATTCTTGAGCTTGGATGTGAATCCCATGGTGGGTGGACGCAGTTTGCGACCCTTGGAGGTAACAGCAAAGGTAGGTTGCTTGCTCTCTGCAGGGTAAAATCGAGTGTGCTTGGGCTTGATGTCGGAGCCAAGCTTGTGGACTATGGGAGCACTGCTGCTGGATCTTTGGTTTTGTTGCTGCTGTTGTTGCAAAGGAGGATCATCTACCTGCATGGCGTCTTGACCAAAATGAGTTGGCTTGCCTTGTTTCTGCTGCACATCACTGGACGTAGTAGCATTGGCATCAAACCACTCATCTGGCATTTGGGAGTAATCAATATCTGCAAATTCTTCTTCAATCTCGTCGTCAGAGATTTCGTGAGGATCCGTAGCTGTAGCTGTAGTTGTAAAGAAGCTTGTGATTTTAGGTGTAGTCGCTTTGATGGTAGTGGGCCGCGTTGGGCTTGTTATGGCTACATTGGAGAAGCTTTGATCCAGAGTGATCTGACGCTTTCTAGTACTTGCTGGTTGCTGCTGAGAAGAAATGACGCTGGGCGCAGAGATACTGCTTGTCATAGCATTGGAAGTTTCCTTGCGTGCTGTTTGACTGCTAGAGGGATTCACTGCTTGCCATTCCACATCTTCATCATCGCTATCATCGTTCAGAAAAATGAAATTGGTGGGTTCGTGCGCACTCAAAGCCATGAAGAGACACTCTCTTTCATTGTCAGTGAGTTTGCTGGAGTTGACACCTGTTGCAGCCGTCATGAAGCGGTCGTAAGCCTCCACAGAGATCTTGACCTCTGCCTTTTTCAAGGTGTTGAGAATGGTATTTGTGAGTGGTATAAGACGAGAAATCATATCTTGGCGTGTCACATAGATCCAGTGCGAGAGGGAGTCTGTCATGGTGTTGATGTGATCATAGGTAACAGCTGCTTGCTCCTGTTGCGATGTGACGGCAATAGCCCGTTCAAAGAGTTTCTTGGAATGCATCATTTGTGAAGCTGTGTCGAGAATAGGCACAATCAAATTAACCACAGCAGAGGGCTTGTACTGAGAGGCCCACTGTAGGCCCTTGTCCAAAATGATGCTAATGGTACGCCAACACACATCCCAGAACTCGCCAATAAGGCCATCTTCATCCTTGGCTTTTTCGGGTCCCATTTCAATCAGTGTCATCAAATAGCCGCTGGGCTCGCTTGTCATCAAATGGACTTGAATTGAAAAGAAAGTGGCAAGCGAGGGCACTGATTTAAACACGTTCAACGTAGGACTACTGGTCAACGCTGTGAATTCACGCAAAATAGCATTAAAAGCTTCTAGCACCTTGAGCGGTTGACACATGTAGAAAAAATCGTGAAACAAGTCTTGATCACTGATGTCGCGGGGGTATTGCTGTATGAAACGAGCAGCGTCTTGCTTGATCTCCAGGTACGGTGAACATATCAAGTGAAGCAGGGGCTGGATCATATCTTTGTCTGTCAACAGCTCTTTTCGCGTGGTCCAATCTGCTTTACAAATCACTTTGAGCGTCTTGGCCACCACAGCACGGTAATCAGCAAACCGAGTCAGCACAGCCTTGCATTCCGCAGAGAGCAACTCGTTTCTCGCTTCAGCGTCTTTGGCAATGGAGGGAACATCTGACGAAGCAATGTTGGCGTAGGCCTTGAGCAGCAGTGTCACTAGCCAGGAATGCCTGCACACATCTTCATTGTAGCACGACTTGACGGCTGTCCATATGGATCCATAGGGCGATTTCTTGGGAGTATTGTCCACAATGTCTTCGTCGTCCAATTCGCTGGGGAGATCGTCTATCTGAAAGATGGCCTGAAACGCCTTGTTCAAGCAGTTAGAGTCCCTGTCCACAAAATCCGACAAGATGTTTCTGGCAACCACTGGCATGCGCTGCACCAGCACTGGCAGGGATGTCGCATCTGTCTTTGCAAACCCCATGATCTTTTCCACGTATTCGACGATTTTATCCACAGGCACCGAGTCATCTGCCAAGCACTGATCAATGATCTGCAGACCCAGTTCGGCGCAGTAAGCCCGACTCATCACACCCCACGTATCCATCTGAAAGTAGCCGAATGTTGTATCCAGAATCTTTTGCGTAATGTCCTTTTCCACCCTGGTATGTCGCAGTGACGACCAATAGGGGTATAACCACTCCAACATGCTCTTGATCTTGGCCATCAGTTTGTCATCGGGATATCGACTGCCATCACGCTGCAGAATTTTGCCCGTATTTCCCTCCCTCGCGATCTGCATGGCGCCTTGAAAAACTGGATGTTCACAAATCTGCTTTACAATGTCGTAGTAGATGGTGCTGTCCTTGGTGATCTTGCCCCAGAATTTGGTCTGCATCTTGAGTAGCATGGCTGTCATTGTCTTGAGAATCTCGGCAAGCCATTCTGCACTGCTGGAGAGTTGCACTTGGATCAAGCTGGACATTGACACATTGGATTCTCGTAAACAGGCCAACATCATGTCAGACGATGCCATACCGATGGCTAATCTGAACGATTTCCAGTACTCTCCCAAATCCTTGGTGATCTCAAACGGGCACAATTTGGCAATCTCTACATCCACTTTGCTATCCTCTTCCTCCTGCATGAATACGGTGAGCATAGCCACAATCAACGACTTGACTTGAACGAAATCGCTCTCTGACAGCATGTAATGATCCATTGTAACCAGCTTTTCCAGCAGTTTTCGAGCCCAAAACCGCACAATTCGATGGTGATAAAACGACATGCGAAAGATGTAAATTGCTGTGTCTGTGCCGAATGTGGGGAATGATTTGGTCTGCTGGATCAGGTCAAACACTTTTCCCAGCAGTTCGTCACATTTGGCATCCTTCAAGAGGTAAGGGGCGTAGATGATCTCTAGGATGGAGCATATTACTTGGGTGGTCATGCTGAAAGTGCCCTCCTGTGCTGATCTGAATGTTGATTTGACTCGATTGACATCAAAGGCTTCTATACCCTGAAAGAAATCATGCACTGTTTCTGCAGGAAAGACCTTGTCGTATCTGGATTTGCACTTGTGTTAATATTGGGGGTAATTTCTCTCCGTAGTCAATTCCGTTTACCTTGCTTTTACGGATTGCTTTGAATTCTGGTATGCTTGAACACAGTACGTACAAGAGCTCAGCTGTGTGTTGAGCTTCTTTTTGTACTTGACAATGGGATCATGATCGGGCAGAGAGAACAACCACAAGGACTCACGAGCGATAGGCAGTGTAGCGTTGGTGCACCACCAGTGATTGACAGCGCTCGCCAACAGATATTCTAGCGCCTTGTTGAAGAAATTGGTCTCTATATCTGCATTGCCCGGGTTCTGCTGCTTCTCTTCCAGCAAGTTTAATACTTCTTTCAGCTGGGAAGCATTGTTGTTGCTACTCATGATTGTCAAAAAGAACAAGAAAAAGGTGGATTTAAAAAATTTCTCTGCTTGTCTTTCCTGAAATAGGATTTTGGGCATTTTTGTGTGTGTTCCCAGTGACGTTCGATTCATTTGATCTTCGCGTTTGCGCGTTTGTTTCTGATGTGTATTTTTGCATTGTCAAACTTAAACCATGCTTGCTCATGCGATCTAGGTTTGACGAAAAGCGTCTAGTGCCAAGATGTCGATTTGAATATAAGGATGGTATGTCAGATGTAGGCTGCTAAAGTGTTGATTTGACATGACATGTGTTCATGTTACTGTCCCTCCATGAGACTATTGGATCGTAGTTTGGCACACTCGAGGATGCTTAAAGACGCCAAGGCTGAATTAGCATTACCATATTGATGTGATAGAGTAGAGCGTTGGTTATTGACACATCATAACAGTGCCCCTGAATTTGACAATTGGCACATGCAGTTCAACCACCGCTTGCTTTGATGCCTCTTTGAAGCGAACATCTTTGCAAATCACAACAGAAAAAGCATTCGATAATTGTAAACCACACCATCTATTTTATTAGCACATTGACTGGCTCTATAAAGCACAACTCTATGATAAAACTGCTGTATAATATGGAAAGATTGCATTGCATTGATTCCATGAATCTATTTTATGGTGCATACTATCTACGGAGCTAAGCGTTCATACTCGAATGGCGTTCCATCAGAGCTAAATACTTCAAAATCTAATATATCAGCCCCCAAGTTGTTTCTCGGGTCCATGACGTTCACCCATCCGCCTGCTGGAAGGGAGATGGAATAACAAAAGTATTTGGCGGTCTGAATCTATGTGCGTATCTGCATTAGGGTCTATTCGAGATGAACGGCGTACAACTTACAGTTACTACAACTATTTCGTCTTTTGCCCCTGACATGGAGCAATCAGGTGAAGTATAGGGACAGCATTCACGAGATTCTGGAGCTACATGCTTTTGAAACAAACTACCGTTTTACAGTATGAGCAAACATCAAATCTACATCAACAGATACTCCATACTAACCTTAAAAGAGGTGCTTTTGTGTGGTAGGAAGTCTGATGCAGATCTAGGAACCGTTTGTTTGTTTTGTTGTAGATACAATAAGCGTCTAGTTGCTGCATGAAGAGTACTATTTGCATGAGGATGAGTAGAATGACGATTGCCTTCATTGTGATGAATAAATAGGTAAATGCTTGTTAGAAAATGCTACCACATTGCAGCCATATTTATATTCTTAGGTCTCTTATAATGAATAGCCCTTTAATATGTTCAACTGATGACTTTTATAATGAAATTTCTATTGACAATAGACAACGTATTTATAGCAACTTCAACGAGTAGAGCCCCTTAAATGCATAAACTTTTTGCTATTGTATCCAATGCAATGCATTAGTAATTTATTAAAATTAGATTACAAAAGACGATCCTTGTCTTGAGGCGTCATTCTAACAGTTCGTGCCCTGCTCTTGTAGTCATCCCAAGGAAAGTAGGCACCACAGATACGTCTATGACCGGTGAAAGCACTGCGACCGTGCAAAACACGCCAATTGTCAAAAGTAACCACACGGCCAGGAGCCAAAGGATCCCACAATTCATTCTTTTTAGATTTCAGCAAATCACTCCACAAGAACAAGGCATCATAAAACTCTTCTAATTGTGTAGAACTAAGGTGATCCAGAGTGGAGCGATCATCATTGTTATAGCGAATTTGGTACAGCTCGCCGTCAGGGCCATGATTCAGAATGGGGTTAGCTCGAGGTGTGGGAACGATCAAGACATTCTCATCGCCTGCCGAGTGCGTGGGAATCAGTGTATTGGACAATGTACGGTAAGCGTTGGGAGATTGAGCCTTCAACTGCTTGGCAACAGCAAAGCCATCTACGAACAATGAGTCGCCGCCTTTGCCTTCGAATTCCAACTTGTGGAACATTTGAAGGCCTGCGGGTTCCGTGAAATAAGTGTTGTCGGTATGGGCACCCAATGCCAATTGCGTGTAGGCAGTATCAGCATGAGCTAAATCAGCAGTGAACGACCAAATGCCCTGTGAGTAATGCGTCTCGCGCAAGAAGCACAAACGACGGGCCAGCTTTTCAGTAGCTTCAACCGTGGTAGGCACACCTTCCACAAAAGAAATACCATACGTTTCGAGCTGATCCAGCCATTGCTTCAATCCCTCCTCTGTATTCATGACAGCTTCATAATCTATGGGTGTGAGCTTGAGTTCAGCGTCCCACAACTTGGGCTTCTTGGTTGCCAAGGGCTCTGAGGTGCGAAGAATAGGGCTGTAAGAGTGTGTATGCAGCCAATCCCAAGCATACTTGGATTGATGACCATCCGGCCAGATCACAGACAGTCCATCTTCCGTGCTGTCAACAGCAGTGGGTTGAATATCACGAGGAATAGAAAAGGTATCGACCAGACGTTGACGAGTGATGGGATGATAGCATTGTTCGCAGCGACAGTGATCTCTCAACCAAAAGTGATTGTAAACACTGGTTTTGCGGTTGTTCCAGTCCAGAAACACTTGCTTGTCGTTGGCGAGACCTGCTCGTTGAGGGACAGCACCAGTGCCTTCCAGACGTTTTTTAGCATTTGGTTTATGCAATCGTGGTATGGATGTCGAAAAAAGCGCTCTCGTAGGGAGGTTGGCAGGAGCAGGGCTGGTGAGTTTGGTCAGCTTGAAATACCGTTGCATCGTAAAGTATCGAAAAGATGTTTACAAGCAAAGAAAAAAATGAAGAGGGCCTGCTTTAAAACCAAAGATCGGGTGCGGGGAAATTGAAATCATGGTCGTGCAACATGGACATTGTCAAAACCAAAGTGCCATTGTGGTCATTTGGTTAGATAATCATACGATTTTCTATGTGATTGGCGAAAAAATGTGATGGCATATGATTTAGATGAAGTGCTTCATGGCCACCGATGTCTTAGCAGCAATATTGGAATATACTGCTGCTTACTTATTTGGCAATTTTGCCATCATGAAAGTAATTTGATTTAGCTTATAATATACTGTAAAACATTCAAAAACAACAGACAAACAAATCATATCCTTTCTAAATTTTAAAGAACTGTGTGCCGTGCAAGGTAAATAAAACCACCGGCAAAGCCGGCGATGAGGAGGGGATTTGGGAGGAAGAACATAACGCGTCTAATTCAACGCTTGATAGCATTAGTTTATAGGGGGGTTTTACCGTAGCGAAGCAAAGGTGCATACCTATGACAACTAAGCATCCAAGCCAGCATTTGATAGCATTGATCTATACGAGGGCTTGACTGTAGCGAAGCGAATATGCAAAACCATAGTATTCAAGCAGCAAATTCGGGTTTTCGTTTCCATTGTTAATAAGCTTACCAGCAACATATCGCATCAAAATTTGCATGAATCAGCTTTACCAAAATCAAAATGCCTCCTATTTGAATTAAAAATTGCTCAAGCTACAGAACTGTCTTTCCAGTAAATTCCAGCTACCAAAAATGTGATTCATGCTGTATAAATAAAAGCCATAAAGCAAAACATTATCAAATTGGACAGTTTTCAAGCCTTCATATCTTGACATGTAGACCTTTCTGAGCCACCGGGATAACGCCAAACAATTGTACTTGAGTAACAGTAACTTCCTGACACCTTTGCTCAACTTTTTGAACCAAAAAAAAAAAATATGGCCAAAAATCGATCAAAAACTATGAGGGGTACCTCATGGTTTTCATCGAAAATCAAACGATCGCATTTTTCACCTCGAAAATCAAGACTTTTACTATGATATATATTAAATCAAAATGTTTCTCTCGATCCAAAGCAACCTCTGAAACCGCTTTCATGAGGTCTTCATATGCAAAATATGGCTATTTTCGCTAAAAACCTCATTTTATATTTTCTAAAATTGCTCAGTAAGTTTGGTCGAAATATTTATTTTACTTGGCACTATTGGAACTGCCTTGAAAAGTACTTCAAGAATGTATTAAGAAGTTTTTTTTTTTTTGTAGTTAATATTTTATTTTATTCAAATATTATTTTTGAGGGACACATCGCGGAGTGGTGGACCTCGAACAACGAACTGACTATCTAATAAACGATTATGTGTTGGTCGGAAGCAGTTTGTCAATAAGACAAACTGTCCTGGAAGGAAAGCGCTCAATTGAGGCAGCGGAGAGGGGTGAAGGATTTTGGCTACCGTGGAGCCAGTATAGATTCCACATCTGCCAGAAAATGGTAGAAATGACGGCAATATACTTGGATCGATCTTTGATAAAGTGAGGGAGATGCAAATAACGCACTGTGCCATAGATGATTTCAGATGTCAGAGGAAAGTTGGAGTAGTACTGAGACAGGACGGTTTGCCATAGTTGCCATTTGACAGGACAGTCGACAATAAAATGCCTCAATGTATCAATGCCTTGGGCACAAAAGGGACAGATAGGGGTTTCCACAGAGCCAATGGTGCGCAGATAGGTCTTATGTGGGATGCATCGCGACAGTGCCCGATAAAGAACCGTTCTGGCAGCAGGGTGGGCAGGGGAGGACCACAGTGCTTTGACCATGACATTGGTAAACCGATGTTCTGATGGGACCAGCTGTTGTTGCTGTTGGCGATATGTGCTGGGGTGATACAGCTTCCACTTATCGGTGATGCCCAGAGTACCAAAGAAGTCAAAGTTTGTCCAGTCCAAGCTGGAGTGAATGTGTTAAGAAGTGTTTTTTTTTTGTAGGGGAGTCGAGCTCCAGGTTTTATTTAAAGTCCTTTAAATGTCATGCTGAGGGATAGAAAAGACTGTTGGTGGACCCAATGTCTGCAAAGAAGGGGAATAAGATATTTTTTGAACTAAGTTGGGAAAGAAATCTACTACTAATAAGGTGCGACTCCTAGAGCCAGTACAGTCTTGCGGAAATCGTCAAAATATAGATCATGGATAAGAGTACAAAAACACCAAACGAGGACATCAGTACTACGTCAAAAAAATCAAACAACTTGCGTTCACCAGGATTTGAACCGGGATCCTCCCGTTGGCATACGGGAGTTCTACCACTTCGCCCTACCACCAGGGACTTGTGTTAAGAAGTGTAGGATGATCATCACAATTTATATAGTCGAATATCACAAAATAAATTAAAAAAGTCGAAAAAAGACAAAATCTGTCCAATCTTGAACAGAAAAAAAATAGACTGAGTTTCAATTGATTTTAGCGGCGGTGGTATTGCTGCTGGCTGACCCAAATGCCTTTTTGATGATGACAATGATGATTGCGATGCTGATTAAATGTGGGTCATAGAATTGAAAGGACAATTGCTTTAGCACCAATACTTTTTTTTGGGGAGTTTTACCTCATAAGCGTGTCTTTTGCAATGACAATATCTAAAAAGAGTCGCTGTAGATCTTACACAAGTCCTGTATTTACGCATGGCCAGCTTTATGCCGCCATCTCAAGAGCAACATCAGCGATTGGATACCTCCCCCTCTTGGCTCTGATATAACTTTTTTTTTAACCATTAATTGATTGTTTAAAGCCTACTTGATACACCATATTTTTATTGTCTCTGATTTGAAATGTCTTCAGTGAGAGCCCCAGGGCGACACCGTCATCGAGCGTAGCGAGATTGATCAGCTAGTAAGCCAAATCAAGTGAAATGTACATGAAATGGTAGAGATCATGGAGATAGAGATTTCCTTGAAGCAGTGCTCTGTAATGAGCCAGTCTCACATCATACCCCTTGAAACAGTCAACGGATACGTAATGAAAAGTGGAACCATACTAATTTGTACGCCATTCATGCATTCTCTTGCCATCCAAAGCATTGACATGATTCAAGGCACATCATATTTGATTAGTTCAGACAGTCACTGAGATCCTATTTCAACGTCATTTCGTTATAAGCAATGAAAGGATTCAACTGGGCGAAATTATGAAAAGTTTGCTGGCTCTCAATGCCCATTAGAAATTATGGCGACTCACATTTGTAAAGTTTTTTTTCTTCCTCTTTCTCAATAATCAAGAAAGAACAAGACCCCCTTTCCTTTTTGTTGTTTCCTATAATGTCGTATTTTGGAGACAGAGATCGCGATAGAGGCGATAGAGGCGACAGAGGTGGTGATAGAAGTGACGACAGATCTAGACCCAACCCCTGCAGACTCTACGTGGGTAAGTACTATACAAACTTGTCTTCAACTGTCTCTGATCATGGCGTGGCATTTTGTAGGCAAAGTCAGTCGCTATGCGCGCGAACAAGAATTGAGAGATCTCTTTAGCAGATACGGCAGAATTAGAGACTTGGTCCTTAGAGTACGTATTTTTGCAGAGCGTTTCGTATCTATGACATGTCAAGTGTTGATCAATCTTTCCATGTTAGGATTTTTATGCTTTTGTTGAATTTGATGTAAGTTTTTGCTAATAGCGTGGATGGAAGACATACTCACTGAATGTTTGTCAATGTATAGAATATCAGAGGTACCTGAAAGCAGATGGTGTGCAAGTGGGTCATTTCGGTGGAGACTAATTACGTTAGGACATTGTTTTATTAGATGCTGAAGACGCCTCCAAAGAGCTCAATGGTTACGAGTTGGAAGGCGAAAGATTGATCGTTCAAGTTGCCAATCGTGCCCGTGACAGAGGTGATAGAAATGACAGAAGCGACAGAGGTGATCGTGATCGTGATAGTCGTCGTGATCGTTATAGCCGTGACAACCGCGACAACCGCGACCGTGATTACGATAGAGATAGAGGCAGAAGATACGACAACAACAACGACGGTGGTGACAGATGTTACAACTGTGGTGAATTTGGTAAGTTGTCATTTATGGAACAGAGTGTGATTCAACGTGGCTAATGTCAATATCCAAACTGACTAGGTCACATGTAAGTCGCTAAATCATAAGAGCGTGCACGAAGATACTAATCCAAGCGACTATCCCATACCAAATGCCTTATACAGTGCCAATGAATGGTGAGTGTGTAGTCAAAATGCCAGTAATTGACTATTTATAACTAATCAAATATTATCTAGTTCTTTGCCCAAGGGAAGGTACGAGGAGGGGGGGTTTTTTTTTTTTGCATAATCTTTAACATGAGCATCGAGGTTTACAAGTTTTAATTTTTCTATAGTGGTGAACGTGCCATGAGATTTCAAAAAGGCTGTTGTTTGTAAGTGGAGATATGCCAGTGCTTGTAGTTTGCATGAATTGATGTGTGTTTCTGTAGTGAATGTGGTCAGACTGGCCACAGAGCTCGGGATTGTCCGTAAGTACATGAGTGAATAGAGATGTTTGACGAGTCTAATATGGTATAATTCAGTGAGAAGGCCGAAAATGCCAATACATCCTCTTCAAGAAGACGTAGATCTCGTTCCCCTCGCTCTCGCTCTCGCTCTCCTAGACGCTCTCGTAGTCCTCCCCGACGTGGTCGCAGCGATAGACGCTCTCGTAGTCCCAGAAGATCCCCTAGCCCTCGTCGTCGCTCTCCCAGCCCTCGCCGTCGCTCGCCTAGCCGCTCTCGTTCTGCCAGCCGTCATCGTCGTCGATCAGACAGCCGTGATAGATCCGCCAGCCCCACACAGCATCGCCGCTCTGTCAGTCCTGCTGATAGACGTCGTTCAAGAAGCCAAGATTCTGCAGGAGATGTTAAAATGGATTCTGTATAAAATATATTTCACATCCAATCAATCCATGTACAAGAACAACACACACACACACACACACACACACACACACACACACACACACACACACACACACACACACACACACACACACAGCAAAACCACACTTATACAACTCGATGCAATATGCTCAAACCAAAGCACAACCGCCAGTCAAGCCATCCACACCGGAAAATGACGTCGAGTTCTATAATTTTTTATCAAATAAAAATGATAACATCTCATCTCGCTTCTTTTTCCCGTATCTACTACATATAAAAATGCCCATTGTCTATTCATTTGAGAATGGTGACGCTCTGTCAAGCGGCCTCAACAGCTTTGTCGAGAAAGTTTCACGCGACGCTATTGCTCAACACGGCCATCTGTCCATTGCCATTTCTGGAGGATCTCTGCCCAAGATTTTGTCCAAGGACTTAGCCTACAACAAGAATGTTGAATTTGACAAGTGGCACATCTTTTGGGCTGATGAACGCTGCGTCTCTCACGACGATTCCGATTCCAATTATTTGGAGGTAAAGAAATCTCTCCTGGATCACATCCCTCAAATTCCTCAAGAAAACATTTATCCCATCAATCAAGCATATGCTGTTGCTAAAGATGCTGAAAACGCGGCTAGTGAATATGAGCAACAGCTCAAGAAATTTTTCAAGAACGAATTGCCTCGCTTTGATTTGCTCTTGCTGGGAATGGGCCCAGATGGCCATTGTTGCTCCTTGTTCCCTGGTCATCCCTTGTTGGATGAGCATACGCGTTGGGTCGCACCTATTACTGACTCACCCAAGCCTCCTCCAGAGCGTATCACACTGACATATCCCGTCGTCAATAACTCCCGATTGGTAGTCTTTGTTACTGCTGGTGACGGAAAGAAGGACATGGTCCAACAAATCATTGAGCAGCCCGACAAGAACTTGCCCTGTCAACGCGTCAAGCCTGTTGGTAAGGTGTATTGGTTCATTGATCACGCAGCTGCTGCAAAGTTGAGAAAAGAGTCTTGCTCAGAGTATAAATTGTAATTGTAATAAAGGGTCCTTGTTTCTCGATTGTAAATGAAGGGGGAGGGGAGATTGAGGTCTACAGAGTGAGGAAGGGGGCGCAGTTTTTGTTCAATACAATTTGTATATTAATGGATAGATGTATCAACGGAGGCACGCTTGTGAATGTGTATCGTGGATCCCGTACACTAAATGAGTGGATACAATACATTTTTAATGAATTCTTTTAATTTATGTACATTTTAATCAACGAATAACGTATGGTAAAGTTGAACAGACGTGTGTGCCTTGCTACCTGATTGATACACGTCTATCCAGATCATGCCATTTGCTCTGCCTCATGCCACACATTGGAGCTGATATGAGTTGAACACACTCATCTGGATTTTTGAATCTCCTTTTTGAGACGAGATTCATGCACAAATCATCCCTTTTAAAAAAAAAAAAAAAAAAAAAAAAAGTAAATATGGGCGATCCATCATTTCAGACAGCACAAAACGCTCAAGGCCTGGAATTCCACATTTTCAAAGGGTTAATTGCGGATATAGCAAATGTATGTCTAATGAAAGGAGGTAGAGGCTTGATGGTATCAAATGGCTCTCATTTTATTCAATTTGAAAAACATATATAAACCAGATCAATTCGACTCCAATTTTTTTCATTATTCACTACTTCTCAATAATACATTAGAACAAACTCACTTTCTTAAAATGGCTCGTCTTGCTCAACTTTGCATTGCTACTCTTGCTCTTTTGGTTATTGTTACCTCTGCTGCTCCTTGTCATGGTGACAATGGTCTTGGTGATCATGATGGCGGTGATCATGAACTCGGTCATCATGATGACTTTGAGGAATTTGAAGACTACGAGGATGAACATGATGGTGAATTCGATGATGAGGATGACTATGAAGGCGGTAACGATGATGAGGACTGGAACGATGATGGTAATGGTTATGACAACGAAGACTTGGATAACGGTGAGGACAATGATGGCTGTCACCCTACTTTTGGCTGCAGTGGTACTGGTGGTGGTAACAACGGTGGTAACAATGGTGGTAACAACGGTGGTAACAATGGTGGTAACAACGGTGGTAACAATGGTGGTAACAATGGTGGTAACAATGGTGGTAATGGCGGCAACGGTGACAATGATGGATCTCTTGTCGATGTCGATGCTGGCTACATTGGTACTGGTGATCTTAACTTTGACAATGCCCTTCAAGATGTTGTTAACCTCGACAACCTCAGGATCAACGATCTCGTCTACGATATCAATGCTATCAACTAAATTGCCTGTGCAGTTTTTTCATCCATCATACATTTGCCAATTGGCCTAAACCATATTCTTCATATATAAAACGCATTGCATGATCATTATTCATCATTTAATACATCAAATATAATAAACATATTGTTACAATCTAACCCCTTTGTGCCTGTCTGTGTGCCTTGTCCATGATCGACATTAAATTCTTCAGCATGCGATCTTGCAGCACTAATGAAAAAAAAAAAGGCTCTCCTTGAATAACTGGAATGCGACAGTATACATCCAAAAGGGTCTAGGCATCCCCGTTTCAAATGATACATATGCCAAGCTCCCCCGCATTTTAAACCCGTTGCACCGTTGATCATTCATTAGACACACACTATCGAATGAGCCTAGTAGACAATCTCGAGTAGTACATTGGCGACAAATGTCGGTTTAGTTTTACCGTGGCGCTTGTGGTCAAGAAAAATGATCATGTCTCATCTGAGTCCAGTCTTTTGCTGCTGCTGCTGCTGCTGCTGCTGCTACAAATGCATCATGTGATCCGGCATCTTGGTTCAAGGCAGCCAGCTGAACTGCATGCAACAAGACTACTGGTGAATGGTGATTGACAAGAAGCCTGAGATTTGAATATTTCTTGTTTTTTTTCCTTTTTTGATTATTATATCTTTTTCTCTCACTCTTTTTTTTTCTTTCATTCCAATAACAACACTGTACAAAGCAAGATTACTCAAGGAACATGCTGCAACGACTCTTTCGAAACAAAACTGTTTCAAGAGATGCGGACGACAGTCATAGCCAAATACTACTAGAAACTCAACCGTAAATAAAAACTGATAATTATAAAATGAATGACATTGGGTAGAGAGAGGGGGGGGGGGAAAGGGTCGATTGAGATGTTTGATGTTGATTTTGTATAAAATTAATTAAAATAGATGGCACCCCACTGAATTGAAGCAAGAGCATCTTCGAGTCTTATTTTGCCAGGATGTTGGTGACTCTAATAAGACGATTCTGTATGATTCGGATTATTATGTGAACAATAGTGAAGCGGCGAGTACGTTGGCTCGTTCCTGGAATGGCTCACAATACCACTCTTCCTCGAGCAGAAATGGCGGCATGGAATTGGGCTCATTCAAAGATCAGAGGCATGATTGGAGACCATCTTACATGAGAACCATGCCATCCCTCTCCTTATCAGATCAACAGAAACACATGCGGCCCGTAATGAATGACAATGACACACGCACTTGCTGCATAGACTAATGCTCATTCTACCATAGAATCATCGCAAGCTAGATCTCACTGGAGAAATGATATTTGGCACTGCACCCTTAGCTTACAAAGGCATGAATACAAAAGTACATTACTACAAGCGAGACAAAAGTCCTCAAATCGTGATATCCAAGCTGTTTACATTGAACAACTATCAATCGCATTCATCCCATCACACCTCAGACAGCATACGAAGGGCATCGTTTTCATCCATCAACAGCGATAGATCAACTGCATCATTTCTAGCAAATTCGTCTTTAGGGGAGGACAACACATCCGAGCAATCAAGTGACGATGACCATTACTCTCATCCGTACTATCAACCTGTCTTTATATCGACCAAACGCTCACGTAAATTTGCTCAAACCAATATGGAGAACGGCCTCTTTAATCCCACACCCTTACCGACCACTAGAATATCTGCTATAGAGAATGTAAATTCACATCTTGCTCTGTATTGGTATCCATGGCTAAACCCGTTTTTTCTTATTCTTTTTAGCCTGTACGACAAACATCCAGATCAGTCAAATTTGCAGTCGCCATTATCATCACTCTAGAAGACAAGAATGAAACACTATACGACTTTATATTCTCGCACTTTGCATTGATCGAAAATAGACTACATCAATTACAAGCAGTTGCACTCAAGCAGCTCTATCAATACTTTAAACATCACCCATCGCCTCAGTTACAGCCTAGAAAGAGATCCAGCACTATATTCCTCAGTCCAAATGCATTCCAGAACGATGCGTTTTTGATAGACGCATCAAGTCAGTTCAAAAAGTCATTTTTTGATTTATATACCACACCGCGAATACAGGCAAGTCTCTATGATTGCTACAAACATACATACTTGACACTTACATTGAAACACTTAGGAACCCCTTTGGTTAAACATGTCAACGTTCCCGCAAAAGAAATCCGAATACGATGCTAGTCTAATAAAGGAATTAATGCGATTAATACACCAATTTGATAATAAGGCACACAATTACTTTATATCCACGTTGCTGACTGGGGTCCTGATGCATCATCTCTCCTGGGTGCATACCGTCTCTCCCCCTGAAGTAGATCAGGTAAGCTGTTGTATTTCGTAATGGGTCATTTGGTGGTATCATTTACTCGTTCATTTTTTTTTTTTTTTTTTTTTTTTTTTTTTTTTAGCATATCGGGTGTCACCATGGCAACTACGATCCACTATGGGCTCAATTGAGGTATTCTGCAAATTATCCCATGATGGAAATGTAAGGCTCATATTTTTGCAACAGTGATTTATATGGATTTGTGGGCACACCATCGCGAATCACCAGGACAATCGTAGTGGGTTTACGGCCAAGTGTGGTGCGCAGGATATTGTACATATTAACTTATTTCATCCGGTGTAACGAAGTCTATGAAAACACAGAAAGTCGAACTATTGTGAAAAAGGACACGTTATCAACCTCAGTGTCTACAGACTCCATTTTCAGCCGAGAATTAGACGATGCCAACAGTGAACCTAAGTTTGAAGATAAGATTGTGAGACACCTAACAGGAGACGTTGAATCCATAGCTATTCCTCGAAACACCTCCACACGATCGCCCGTATCAACTGCCACTGCAATGAACGCCTTAAGTATTAGCCGAGACACATACGCCGCATCATCCTCTATAGACTCGATTTCCAACTCGATGAAAAGTTCGTCAAGGTGGTTGAGTGATACAGAAGAAAGATCTTGGTCTCCAGATCCGTTTGTTGTCGCATCATCATCGCCATCCTCTCTATCACTTGAATTACCACCGCCCTTTGTGTCACCTAATGAATGTTATCATGTTGCTATGCCAAAGTAAAACAAGAAACAAATACAAAATGTCAATCAACTTACATTCTGATTTCTAGATCCACCATCACTCATATGGAGCCAGATATCACTCAACAGCAGCAACAGCAGCAGGCAAATGACGATATACCCTATTCCAAATCAACCAGTACCTCCAACACCTCATCTTCTGCCACCACCACCAACTTTTCCACGAGAATCGATCGTCTCTATGCCAAATCATATGGTCGCTCCCTCATGGCCTCCTATTGTGATACCTTTAAATCTGATTTTACCTTGATGGGAATACCCACATTACCACCCACTTCGGTGCTGGATGCTGATTTACGTAGTACATTGGAACAATTCACACTTTCTGATTCTGTACTTGAAGCCTCTTGCTTGATCATAGATACAAACAACTTGTAAGTAGTGAATTGAAGCGAACAGCAAGGCACACGTTTAACCCTGTGTATCAATAGCAAATGCCGAGTACTAAACCATAGGATTCCTGATTCTTTGCCTGATACACCTCCCCATATACCAACATCGAGCAAAAAACCAAATCCATCTGGCAACTGGCAGGTGATTGCCATGTCTAATCTGGTGCATCATATGCTGACTACTATGAAGCAAAAATACGATGAAAACAATGGTGATCTATCCTGCTCTGAAGAGGTGAATGGATATGAGTAGTTTAGCCGAGTGCTTATTAACATAATTATCATAGGTCATTGGTTACATGGAAGACAGCTTGCAGCTGGTTTACTTGTACAGTACCATGCTACAAGACGAGGTGCAGGAAGCTTTAGCACAGTCTGATACACCATTAGATGATCCAGCGAGTCTTGCGTCAAAATTAGGGTAATCGTAATTGCTGATGAGGCATGAATACCTTCTAATTTTATTCTATCTGATAGACTGAATCAAAACGATATACCATTGCTACTCAATGTGGCGAGCACCTATGATTCCAAGATGTGGGATTTGCAAAAGAATGCTTACAGATACAGCTAATAATCCAAAGAATTGCAATAAATAGCTTGCAAAGTGAACATCACAAGCACATTTGAAGGAAAATTGCGCTGAATCAACTTTGTGCTTGTTGGTTGCTTGAAGCACATTCTTAGTAATGATATGTCCTAAATAAATCAGCTCTTTATCTCTCTATCACTTGTCTAATGTTTGCTACAGATGTATGCTAAATCGCAGATGCGAAATTTGAGATTACACTATGATAGTACCGATATTCAAAATTGATGCCTGTACGCATGAAAACATTTGAAATGCTTGTGGTAAAACTAAGACTTATTATTAGGCCCACTGCCTTTTTCTCAAGTGAAGTCGAGAACTGAAAGAGACTATACAGTACTACTATCGTGTTATATCCTGAAAGAACCACATCCACCCACCGATATGCTGTTGCAACATATGGTTCAAGTGTAAATGTGTTATAAATGTGGATTAATGCCTCAAATCAATAGCAATGCACTATGCTATCAATCTCATACCCATCATTGAATAAATTCTAAGGTGAAATCATGAGCAAAAGGGCTGCTCTATTTTATATATTAATTCTTTTTTTTTTAGTTGTCTTTTTGTGTATTCAATGTGTCGTATATAAATATTTGTGGTTTGTGTTAAATTACAAAGAGACGGAATCAGCATAAGGCAAGGCGGTAAGATCACCAAGAGCAACAGAGGTAGGCTTGCTCTTGAACAGCTTTTCGGCAATCTGATACAAACATGTTAATTATACGCCTTCTAATCTACAGCATATGATGCAAAACTTACTTGAGCAACATCAGAGGTAGTAACCTTTTCGAATGCTGAAACGGCATCAGCAGCAGAGGTATACTTTCCAGAGTTAAGAGCCTATACAATTCAAATCAATAAAGCGCCCATGTAAACGGATCTAGTGTAACTTACTTGAGCACCGAGAGTTTCAAGAGTATCGAGGCGAGTCTCGAAACCAGCGGTAGCAGCATACTTGGCTTGAGCAACAGCTCTGCTAAAGTCATCAGAAGAGAGACCCTTGGAAACAGCCTTTAATTGTTCAACAGCAGCAGCAATGGCAGCACCAGTTTCAGCGGTAGAAGCAGAAACTTGGACACCAAAGAGACCAGCATCAGAGTAACCCAAGTTGAAAGCCTTGATTTCAGTGCCTTCAGCAAACTTGGCAGCAGCTTGAGCAAGGATACCAGAACCGGCAGTGTGTTTGATGTTGACTTCACCACCAAGAGCTTGACGGAGAACTTGGAGAGCAGCATACTCGGAAGAGTTGAGAGCAGCACCCTCGAAAGCGAGAACGTAGTTACCCTTGTTGGAGACAGACTCGATACGAGTCTCACCACCAAAGTATTTAGTAGCTTCCAAGGAGAGCTTACCGGAAGGAAGGTTCAAGTAAGTTTCGGCCAAGTTTTGGAGGATTTCGTGATCGACACCAGTACCAACGAGGGCAACGTTACCAGAGGTGAAGAGGCTTTGAGCAAAGGACTTGACGGTGGCGTTGTTGACACGGGCAGTGCGCTTGGCAAAGATGGAGTTACCAAGACCAGTGCGGAAAGCAACGTGGTGAGCAGCTTCAATAGCAGAGATCTCAGCATTACCGAGAGCATTGATGGATTCAGCAGCGGTTTGGTGTGCAACATCGATGAATTCGTGTTCCTGGAACTTTTGTTTGGTAACAACATCGCTCAAAATTTCAGCAAACAATTCACTATACACAAATGATGTTAGATGAGCTGTCAATTTTCAAGTCCACTTTCCCGTTCGCCCCTAGACACCGTCATATAATCTTTATCGTCTGATTTTATAGGTGCATCATGCCAATGCCCTCTCGCCCCTGTTCCACATGGTCCGTCACACACAGTGTTCATCTATACTTACACATCATCCTTCAAGAGTTCAGCGGAAAAGACAAGAGATTCGTGAGAGAGGTTAGAAGACAAAACACCCCCAGCAATCTCAGCTTCACGAGCAATACGGAAAGCAGTGCGATCAGCGTTGTTCTATGATGGATACAATCTGTTTAGTAAGCTGCTCAATGCCCCATGTCTCTCTGTCTCTATGTAGCAATTGTTGCGCATTTCATCTCTGTATCTGCAGGTCCACATTTCAATGATATCTATGCAAATTTCACAGCAAAACAAGGGCGCCGTACAGTAGAGACAAGAGCAACCAAGTATGTATATATTACCTTGAAGCCGTAGTTCTTCAAAAAGTGAGCAACACCAGCATTGCTACCAGATTCAGCTCTGGCACCACCGTTAACAACAACAGCCAAAGAAGCGGTTTGACCGGGCTCTTGAGATGAAGCTACCTTGACACCGTTAGCGGCTGTGGTGATTTGACTAGCAGTAGCAGCTGTAGCGTAAGTAGCCTTTGAGGCAGTGCTGATAATGGCTTTACGAGAGGCGGCCAACATGATATTAATTCAATAAATAATAAGGAAGAGAAGGGAAGAGTGGGGTGTAAAGAACAAGAAACGTTGCGGGGAAGAAAAAAAAATAATAAAATGTTAAAACTAGGGCTTATTTTTGTACATTTTGTAGGGCTCTCATCCGGTTGTTTGAATGGATTCTCTTTTTGTCAACCACTGCCCTTTTGACCTGGTAAAAACTGCACCATTTTAGCACGTCATCAACCTGCATTAGAAGGTCCGTTGCGTCTAATGTCTGGTGGATCAGAAGCGATTGAAACTCCCTGAGCCATTGTAGCATGTAGCATTGGCCAGCTTGGATGGTATTGCAGCGCCACCATACATTTCATCAGGACCCACACTTGATATAATTATATTTTATTAGAAATGATAGACATTACTGGCATTTGGTCTCAATGATCGAGGGGCCAACTTCCTCGTATTCCTTCTTGGAGATCCATAACTGGTTAAATGAGCCTAGTGATGCCAAGATGGAGCCACCCAACCAACTACTGCTTTTACGCTCAATTGGACTTCCAAATGCATGCACCTTGACCTTGTTTCCTGGCACCATCATGGGCAGTTCGTTGCTCAATCTCTCTGTAAATCCAGGGAACAGTGTATTTCCACCAGTGACAATGACATTGTTAAAAAGCAAAGGACGTAAATCGATATCGCAAGCACTGATACTGTTGAATACAAGTTTCGATACGCCTACAGTGTGTTGTAATTGCTTTCTAGTGAGCCCCAATGAAGGGATGGGTTGTGTTTCTTTTCCTGGTTCAAGAGGTGGCTATACACGAGAGAGATGAGTGTTTGACCTTCTGGATTCACTAGACATCGCTTACCAAATGAATGTAGCGAGGATTAAACATGATTTCAGGCACCCTATAGCGCTCAGCACCAAATGAATTGTTGTAGCCGTCAGGAAACTCGAATGGCTTTTGAGGTCTTTGATTCATCAAATGCTCATCGTATGGAATTTCTGACACTTGTGATACTGATTCCTTGTATTCATGAATGATTCTCTGTCAGACGGCTCGGTGTTAGTATCCACTCCTATACTCGTTGGTCTGGTGTCTGCCTTACCGAAATCTGATAATCATCAAAACTCTCTGTTGTATCTGGCCTCTTGCGCAATTGAAGTTGAGGTGGCTGGCCAGCAGGAACTGGCTTTTTGCTAGCAATCTTGTACAGAGGTGTCACATCCAAATGCAATCCGTTTTTAATATAATCTCTAATTTGCTGACTCAAGATATCGCCACCCACGGACTGATGAAGCACACCCTTCTTCAACACATAGCCATCATACACTGGGACAGCGCTTGTTGTGCTTCCTCCAGAATCCAAAACTAAACCAGTAGCTCTACCAACTGAAAAACTAGGTAGACAAAACAAAATCAACAACTGAACCTCAATCAATCACTTATGTAAATATCACTGTACGCTGTCATGACGGCATCCTTGGCCACATAGAAAGCAGGTGCTTCAAACTTTTCAAATGCCAATTCCATCATCTTTTCGCGGTTTTCGGGTGTATTCCAAGCTGGTTCTGTACATAATAAAGGGTGCTCTGATGAATTGACGTGAAGCATATCGTTGTAAGCTGCTTGCCAGAGGTGTTCAACTGCATCCCAATCCTTGACAAGACCATTCTTCATGGGATTTTTGATTTCCATGTTGGCCCTCCATGTATTTAGTTTGCTGTCTCCAATATAGTAGTTGCCTTCTTTATCGACGCCGTAAGAAGTTGGGAAAATGGATTTGGGCACATCTTCTCCTGCAAAACCAACACGTGTAGACGTGGAGCCCATATCAAATACAAGCGCGTTTACTTCATCTAGGAGTTAATGAATTGGTCAGTTGAGAGAACATGGCAGCAAAAAAATAGAACTTGCTTTGCATTTACCTCCACCATAAGTAACCATTTTTGTAGTTTATAATTGTGTGCAAAGGAGAAAGAGGTTAAAAATGTACTGTGTTTTGCTTTGTATGGTTGAAGCAGTCTCAAAATGAACGCCACGATTTCTGGCAAAGGCTATTCTATTCAAATGCTAAACAAAAGATCATCGTCAGCTCAGCTCTTTCCTAGTTGACGCTGTGTAAATGGTACAGATTAGACCAGCATTCTGTAGTAAGCACGTTCGGCTTAATGATTGAGGCTCTTTTCAAGAATCTGGCAACTAAACAGCATCATTGATCCAATTCACTCGCAACTGCTGACAACAGGTACTGAGATATACTTTTGATCCAGATCACTCTACTTCAGAACTTTTGGGAGAATAGTCTATTGCGCTTAAACTGCCGTCTTAAACACAAAATCCTATATTGATCAGACATGCGCATTTTAATTCAAGTTGGCGAATGCCTATACCTTTCGCTTGGTTATCTACCTTTGTCTCACTTTGATGATAATCAAAGTAAGCAGCGGTGGTTTGCCTTTGTCCATCGCGTTAGCATCCTGTCAGCTTCATCGAATATTCTACTGACTTGGAGTTTTTAAATTTGTCGTACCAAGTAAAAGCCCTCCATAACTGTGGATCTAACTCTTGTACAACGCTCCAGGTCTGTATTAATAATGGAACGCTTCATATACGGGCCTTCAGTATGCTCACATTGCCTCTTACTGCTCTATAACCTGCAAAACATAGCGAAATTTCGGATTGATCAGGCAGTAATTTCTCGAGTTAGATGCTCTTCTAGACCTCCAGAATTGCACCAAACGGCTCGCGTTGCCGCGGGCCTTTGGCTAATATCCCAAAATTAATATAGCTAAAATGCTAGAAGAAGAGCCCTGATTGTTGATTGATATATAATCACTAATCATATGAGTGTTTATGCTTTGGATGGTTCTCTACCTTCGCTACGCTTCGGTAAGAACCAACCTGCACAGCGATAGCTCGAGCTACCGGTTACCTTTGTGTATCTTATCATAATACTACTACGTTCAAGCTGACCCTCTACTTACACATGAAAATCCTTTACATTATCTGTGAATTTGACTCTTATCTGATGCTCTACATCCATATACACGTAGCTACTTCATATACGGGCAAGTAGCATACTGGTATTTCCACTTTTTAGTCCTTAGTGTCCATAATACAGCAAAATTTGAATGCATTTGAGCTGCGTTTTCTCGCGTCCAAGGCCGTTTTAGATTGTCAGAATAGTACCAAACACTTGCTCTCATCTGACAGTTACTTTCTGACACCTTTGCTCAACTTTTTGGGGATCAAAAAAAACATGAACAAAATTCGACCAAAAAGCATGAGGTACCCCTCATGGTTTTCATCGAAAATCAAACGATCGCGTTTTTCACCTTGAAAATGGAGACTTTTACTATGGTATATCTTGAATCAAAATGTTTCTATCGATCCAAAGCAACCTCTGAAATCATCTTTATGGGACTTTGATATGTAAAATTTCGACATTTTGGCCAGAAACCTCTTTTCATATTTTTGCAAATAATTCAATAAGTGTATTCAAATCATATATATAACTTGGTACCATTGGAAGCGCCTTGAAAAGTACTCCAGGAAAGCTTAAGGAAGCATGGGGTGATTATCATACTTCACTTAGTCGAATCTGCAAAAATAGCTCGATCGAGTCCAGAATCATCAAGATTTGTCCAATCTGGAACAGACTATGATTCTGGGTTTGAATTAATTTTGGCTTGTGGGGCCAGCTGGCAAACTCAACGCCCTTTTCATACTGCAATACAGTAGTAAATGCTCTTGAAGCGTATGAAAAAGTAGGTGGCAGGCCATAAAGCTATCGTTTATAATGATATTTTATTGCATTCTATATCGTTCATAATAACATCGTCTTGCATTCTATATTTAATAACGTTAGTCTAAACATTGACGACTCAAGGCTGCATAAGACGTCTGCAGTAAGTAGTGAAATCTCTGAGGCTCTGAGACGTCGTTCAAATAAAACATTGACAGCATTGAGCAGAGGAAAGAGGGTAAAACTAACAGTGATTTTTGTTGATTGATTGTAAAATCATTATTCTCATATGAGCCAGGCCTGACAAATGCCTCGAAACTCAGGTTCCATATTAGGGTTGTAAAGTGTCTAAGGACTGAACATTTATTATGTTATGATACTAATTCAAAATGAAAGTATTGATCCAAAGCAACCTCTGAAACATTAATTGTGCGGCCTTCTTATGTAATATTTTTCAGAATTGCTCAATAAGCTTTCTATTAATACCTATTATAATGGGTACCATTGGATACGCCTTAAAAAGTACTTCAAGAAAGCTTAAGGAAGTATTTTTTTTGTAGGGGAGTCGAGCTCCAGGTTTTATTTAAAGTCCTTTAAATGTCATACTGAGGGATAGAAAAGACTGTTGGTGGACCCAATGTCTGCAAAGAAGGGGAATAAGATATTTTTTTGAATTAAGTTGGGAAAGAAATCTACTACTAATAAGGTGCGACTCCTAGAGCCAGTACAGTCTTGCGGATGCTTAAGGAAGTATGGGATGGCCATCACATTTACATAGTCGAATCTTACAAAATAGGTCAGATGTTGCCCAAAATTTCAAGAATCATCAAATCCAAACAGAAACTGATATGCGGAGATTAAATGCGTTTTGGCGGGCGAAACCATTGCCATGCTAATTGTGATGGTAATTGATGTTGTTGTAGGCCCGTAAGAAGGGGATTGCGAATCCAAAAAGATTATTATCGCTTAGTCTTACTAATGCATCTTGCTTCTGCTAAACTTGCTTGTATCTAGGAGATTTAATTATTACAAATGGCTCATTTAAGTGCTGTTTAAAGTAGGGAATGTATGGCAGTAGCAATTTGATGATTCCGCATTTCTATCCCTTGAAAGCCTCTTACTCGTGTCCTTCCATTACAGAAACTAGCTTCAAGATGGACCTTAGAAATTGACGAACATACCGCATCACGACTCACCAGCTATGACTGTAATTAAACAGGCTCTTGTTCATATTTTCATTCACAAATCCAAAAACAATTCTAATCAAAGCTGTTCCTCTCAATATTGGAGTGTTGTCGTTCGCAACACTTGTATAGTCATACTAGCTGCTGCCCTGAATTTGAAAGGCAAGAATAGCTCAGGAGCCTTAAATCGCCAGTTAAACTCGGCACTATCAAGTTCAATTTTTTCCAAGAAATTCTTGTTGGTCCAAGGTATGGATCCACTGGAAACCTGGCTCAAATGCGCCTTAAAACTGATAATCTAAAGCCATGGCTAGAAATCAATAAAAAAGTAAATTCTACGCCAGAAGTTTGACAGCTATAGCCTTTCGCATGAATTAGAATCTTCCGAAAGAGATCATTTTGTCCAAATGTGTATCATAACATAATAAATGTTCAGTCCGTAGACATTTTTATAATCCTAATATGGAAACTGAGTTTCAAGGCACCTGTCAGGCCAAGCTCATATATGATTAACGACGAGCCGTTTGAACGTAGGTTGGTTTCCACCGAAGCGAAGCGTAGGTCAGGAAACCACCCGAAGTGCTGAAAGGCTCGTATGATTAATGATTTTACAATTAATAAGCAAAAACCACTGCTGTTTCTACCCTCTTTCCTCTGCTCAATGCTGTCATTGTTTTCTTTGAACGATGACCTAAAGCCTCAGAAATTTCCCTATTTACTGCAGACATGTTGTGCAGCCCCTGAATCGTCAATGTCCAGACTAACGTTATTAAATATAGAATGTAAGAAATTAGCACAATAAACTATAGTGCTATGACCTGCCACCTACTTTTTATACGCTTCAAAAGCATCTATTGTTGTATTGCCTTCATAATGAAAAGGACATTGAGTTTGCCAGCCAGCTCCACAAGCCAAAATTAATTCAAACCCAAAATCATAATCTGCTTCAGATTGGCCAAATCTGAATGAATTTCGACTCGATTGAATTTTTTTTTTCAGATTCGACTAAGCAAAATATGATGATCATCCTATGCTTCTTTAAGCTTTCTTGGAATGCTTTTCAAGCCGCATCCAATGGTACAAAGTACGATAGATGTTTTAAATAAACTTATTGAGCAATTTGTGAAAATATGAAAAGAGGATTCTGGCCAAAATGTCGAAATTTTACAAATCAAGGTCCCACAAAGATGATTTCAAGGGTTACGTTGGATCGATAGAAACATTTCGATTCAAGATATACCATAGTAAAAGTCTTCATTTTGGAGGTCAAAAACGCGATCGTTTAATTTTTGGTGGAATTTTGTCCATGTTTTTTTATCCCCAAAAAATCGGGCAAAGGTGTCAGAAAGTAACTGGCAGATGAGAGCAATTGTTTGGTGCTATTCTGACGATCTAAAACATCCTTGAACGCGAAAAAACACAGCTCAAATGCGCCCAGATTTTGCTGTATTAGGCACACTCTTGACTAAAAAAGGGATAATACCTGGATGATACTTGCCCGTATATGAAATAGCTACGTGTACATGGATGTAAAGCATCACATAAGAATTAGGTCCACAGATAATATAAAGGGTTTTCATGTGTAAGCAGAGGGTCAACATGAAAGCAGCAGTATTTTGTTAAAATATGCAAGAGCAATCAGTAGCACGAGCTGCTGCTGCGCAGGTTGGTTTTCACCGAAGCGAAGGGAAGATAGAGAACCATCCAAAGCATAGACACTCATATGATTAGTGATTATATATCAATCAACAATCAAGGTTCTTCTAACATTTTAACTATATAAATTTTGCGTTATTAGCCAAAGGTCCGCGGCAGCGCGAGCCGTTTGAACGTAGGTTGGTTTCCACCGAAGCGAAGCATAGGTCAGGAAACCACCCGAAGTGTCGAAAGGCTCGTATTCATAATGATGATTTGTAATGATAATGCACTCGTCTTACGCAATGTGGTTCAAACATAAGAATGCCGAGCTTCCCCTGTCATGTAACTCTTTGAGTCCCAAGAACACTTGTTGACAAGAGAATCTCTCATACTGCGTTTTTCACGTGCTTGTAATACCATGGGCCATTGACTTTTCAGATACATCCCCAAACATTTTCTGTAAAAGAAAAAGTTTTTAATAAGCGTTTAGTCCATTGTAATTCAGGTTCCCTTTTCCTTGATCATTCTACAATCAACAAGATGGGAGGCAAAAAGAAATCTCCCAAGCCATTGACGACCGAGAAGTCAGAAGAAAAGGTGACATTGTTAGCTGCTGAATCCAGCCAAAAGAAATGGCGAAACTGGTGGGTCAGAACAATCACCACATTCATGATGATTGGCACCTTTTTCCTTATTCTCGCTTCGGGCCATATTTGGGTTATTATGATGGTCATTGCTATATCAACAGTTGTATATAATGAAGTGCTGCAAATAGCCCAGGCTCCAGCAAAGGATAGCAATTTCAGATGGTTCAAAACTATGAGCTGGTAAGCCGTCTCAGTCAAACACGTTTATGCGAATGATAATGCCAACCATACATTTCTCTTTCTCGATATTTAGGTACTTTTTAGTAACTACAACCTACTTTCTTTACGGCGAATCCATCATCTATTACTTTCAGCAAATTATTCTGGTTGATAGAGTACTCTTACCATTCGCTACTCACCATCGATTTATCAGCTTTGTTCTCTACATGATTGGTAAGTTCTTTGGTCTCAATGAAAAAGATTGCTGTATCTCATTACTCGGGTATGTATAGGATTTGTGTTTTTTGTCACTAATTTGAAGAAGGGTCAGTACAAACAGCAGTTCCGTCAATTTGGCTGGATGCATATGGCCTTGTTGCTTGTCGTCTTCCAGAGCCATTTCATTGTCAACAACATTTTGGAGGGTTTGATTTGGTTCTTTATTCCTACTTCACTCGTGATTTGCAATGATATCTTTGCCTACATTTGCGGATTCTTCTGGGGTAGAACTCCTCTTATCACAGTATCACCAAAGAAGACAGTGGAGGGCTTTGTCGGCGGCTGGATCTGCACAATGATTTTCGGCATGTTGGTAAGATTACAAGGAATCAGGAGATTGGCGTGTGATGTACTAATGACTAGTACAGTGGTCTACTTTGTTGATGAGATTCAACTACATGATTTGCCCCGTAAAGGTAAAATGATGCACGCGAGAAAATCCCGTTATCGTGCGTTCTCACAAATCGATAGGATTTGTCCATGTCTGCCTGGTCTGAAATTGATTGTAGCCCTGTTAACCCTGTATTCACTGCTGTTCCTTGGGCTTTACCTGCTCTGTGGACTACCATCATCAAGACTTTGGTAAGTGCATTATGCTGCAAAATGTCAATTCATTCAATTCTGAAGGTATGAGTAGATCCACAAGGAGGTGACGAAGGTGTGGATTGCACCTGTTCAGCTTCATTCTCTCGTGATGGCATGTTTTGCCTCATTAATTGCGCCATTTGGTGGCTTCTTTGCTAGTGGTGTTAAGCGTGCATTCAACGTTAAAGACTTCGGTCAAAGTATTCCTGGACACGGTGGTTTGACTGATAGATTTGATTGCCAATTCTTGATGGGTGTATTTTCCTCCATCTATTACCAGAGTTTCATCAAGGTACGGTCTAAATGATTGGGGCATTGTGTACCGCACAACTAACATCTGTGATATTATAGACATACAATTTGAACATTGGCACTATCCTTGCATCTGTCATCAACAACTTGTCATTGCCAGATCAATTGGAATTATTGGAACGCATCTTGACATATTTCGTAAATCAAGGCATCCTTGATCCCACCGTGTTGCAGAAATGTGGAGCCAGCGCATTGACTGAGAGTGCTCGTCAAATCTTGGAGAGTAGCATTAGTTCTTCATTGTAATATTATCAACCTTCATACTATTTTTATTCAAATATATATCTATTAGTCTTTGTAATGTCTTGTAATAAACAGTATCTTATATATTAATATTGAAGGCAATGCTTCCAGTTATACAACCATGCCAGGTGTGTATAATAATACAATGCTTTTTATAGCAGCTCTTTAGTGCATTTTGAAGTCGAAATTATTATTTACAGCACTTTGTACACTACCGCATTATGCCATTATTGACAACTCTTTCCACATGCGAAGCAAATGCAATGTATATTAATCAGTTTCTTTTTACTTGATAAAGAGAAAATCAATGACTGGAAAGCAACGTGAAAATGAATACATGTAAGTAATTGTGTAAATGATGTACAGAAGACTATGGTATGTAGGCATTGGTAATACTAAATGAGAATATAAGCATTGACAGCAATGGGTGATGATATAAGTGTTGGTATAGTAATAGTTGATGGCGACATGAACGTTGATGATCATAAAAATACAAGAGATCCTACTTGAGAAGTCTGCGGCGTGCATGACGAACACCCAGGAAGTTTTTTTCAAGCTTTCTTTTTGATATATGAATAATGGAGGGCGTATGCATAGATGGGATGCTATCCAAGATACGAGCTGAAGATGGAGGATTTCGAATTATCAATGCAGATAATTTAACGATCACAGCCAACTTTTGGAACAAGGGGATGATTGATTGAACTTGATGCATGCCATAGCAATTTGTAGGCATGTAAATAACCTTGAGCAAAATACTACGATATAATCCATCAAACTGATGATCAAAAGAATAGACATGACAGCAATTTCCTCGCATGAGGATACCACACAGCACAGCACCAGAGCGTCCTTCAGCTTCAATAGCCACCGTAGTATCCTTTAGTTCTCTACAAAGCTTGACCAAGTCATTCACGTCCTTTGCTCTGTTTGACTTTGCTTCGAGTGATAGGATTACATGCTGGGATTTGGTTGATACGACGGAGAAGTCAGCATGTTTGCCACTGGTAGCCAATGAAGGATCCAAATCATTGAAGCGCTTTGCAGAGTCATTGATCATTTTGTCAGCACCAAGAGATTTTGTTAATGCAGTGTTGGGGAAATAAGCCTTGAGAAAGTTTTCGACAGTATCCCTCACCAAAGTAGCTTCATTGACATCATTGCTGGAGTAGTCTGCAGAGTAGGTGCTCAATAAGCTAGTCAAAACATCACATAGAACGGCTGCGTCTTGATAACTATGTTGGTCTTGGCGAAGCTTTGCGATATCATCATGAATGTCTGTTGTGTTGATGCATCGAACAGCCATATCTTGAGCGAACTTGGCAAGGAAATCTTGGTGACTATTTTCAAGTTTCACTGGTTGGTAATAGTCAATTTTGTCAACTTATTTCATGTTAGCTTGAGCAACATCATAAGAGACAACATCAGTATTGTAAAGTCATTTTTAATAAGCATAATGCCATCGAGCGCGAGTTGTTCACAGTAGTTTAATGTCTCCAAGTCTTCAGCTTTCTTGATAACAGCGTTGCGATAATCAATAAAGGAGGAGGAGACATCATGACCAGATACAATCCATCTTGAGCTATCAGACTTCAACTTGTACTGGTAGGAATCGCCATTGTGTTAGATACTGGTAGGTGTCACCGATATCGTCTTCACTTGGTGAATTGGAAGTTGATGGTATAGACTTTCTGGCAGAATATTCAGATGTTTCAATATCACTGCCTTCATTTGATGCACTATTGTTCATTTCATCTATCATATGAGTGTACGCTTGAGCTTGACTTGCGGCTCGACCTCTTTGCACAGCCTTCAACTTTCGTCTTGTCATAATCTCTTCCTTATGTGTCCAGTAGTTGATAAAGGATGCCTGCTCGAGGATCTATAAGAAACACCTATCAAAACTGAGCCTTGAGTATGATTACAGATATACCACATACCTGATAGTTATCATTCACTATCATATTAGCAAATTTCCTGGCAATCTTGTATTCTTTGCTAATGCTCTTGCTTTTTTATATGCCGTCGACTATCTTTTTGAATTCATTGGTGGCAGCGTATTTTGTGATACAGCATTGTAGATCTAGAAACTCGATCATGTCAAATGAATCGTGTGATGCGTGTTCAGCGAAATACTGGAAGAGACGACCCATTGTTAAGCTCAAGTTGAAAATGCTCATTCCAGTTGAACGGTTTGGAAGAATTTCGCGTCACTCTGATAGACTATCTAATCTCCCCAAAATTGGGCATCCCCCTATCAACACGTCTTCCCATTCACTTATTTAAAGTATAATGTTCGCTGGGTGGTTGCTATGATTTTGGATTGCCAGGATTCTAGCAAATACCTGCTGATCTTCTCAGCAGCAGCAGCTGGTTGTCCGTTCGAATCTATCATAATTCGTTTATTTCCTGTAGATGGAAATGCAGTTGTAAAGGCTTTTACCGGACACGCAGGTTAGGGTGATTCCTCGATTTGCAACTTGCAACGACGGTATTCGTTACGCCCCCTACCATTGGCAATCACGAGATATGGTTGCTGACAGGGAATCTTTTCGAATGCATCAGCAGCAGTTTACTGCATTATCGACCGGAGCAGCCAATTTTGAAATCAATTCCTCATCGGCTGGCCCTTTCATATTGAATCAAAGGTGGTGGAGACTAGGTTCATTGTAGAATAGATTACGGTTTATAATAGCCGATCAATCTCGCTACGCTCGATGACGGCTCTCGCCGAACACATTCCAAATAAGAGATAATAAAAATCTGGCATATAAAGTATTTTTTAAACAATCAGTTAATAGTAAAAAAAAAGGCTATACAAGAGTCAGAAGGGGGGAGGTATGCTCTTGGGATGGTGACTTAAAGCTAGCCATGTGTAAATACAGGACTTGTGTAAGATCTACAACCTTTTTTGAGATATTGTCATTGCAAAAGACACCTTCATGAGGCAACTCCCTAAAAAAGTATTTGCTCTAAGCAATTGTCCCTTCAATTCCATGATCCCCATTTAATCAGCATCGCAATCATCATTGCCATCATCAGAAATGCATGTGGACCAGCCAGCAGCAGCGCCTCCTGCTAAATCCATTCAAACTCAGCTTATTTTTTTCTGATCAAGATTGGACAAATTTTGTGTTTTGTCGACTTCTTTAATCTATTTTGTGAGATTCGACTATATAAATTGTGATGATCACCCTATGCTTCCTAATACATCCTTGAAGTGCTTTTCAAGGCGCTTCCAATGATGCTAATTGTAATAGATGTTTTGACTCAAATTATTGAGCAATTTGATAAAGTTTAAAATGAGGTTTCTCGCGAAAATAGCCATATTTTGCATAAGAAAACCTCATAACAGTAGTTTCAGAGGGTGCTTTGGATCGATAGAAACATTTTCATATAATATATACCATAGTAAAAGTCTTCGTTATCAAGGTCAAAGATGCGATCGTTTGATTTTCAGTGAAAACCATGAGGGGTACCTCATGACTTTTGGTCGATTTTTGGCCATGTTTTTTTTTTGGTCCCAAAAAGTTGAGCAAAGATGACAGGAAGTTACTGTTACTCGAATACAATTGTTTGGCATTATTCCGATAGCTCAGAATAGTTTACATGTGGAGATATGAAGGCTTGAAAACTGTCCAATTTGGTTATGTTTTTGCTGTATAGCTTTTATTTACACGGCATGAATCACATCTTTGAATCACATTTTTGGTAGCTGTATTTTACTGGAAGGGAAGATCTCCAGCCTGCGCAATTTTTAATTCGAATAGGAGGCATATTGATTTTGGTAAAGCTAATTCATGCAAATTTTGATGCATTATGTTGCTGGTAAGCCTATCAGAAACGAAAATGAGAAACCAAATTTACTGCTTGATGGCTATAGTTTTGCACGTTTGCTTCGTTATGGTAAAACCCTTTTAAGGTCAATACTACCAAATGTTGCTCTGAAACCACAAACTACTCAATCTACAGCCAAATAACAGGCAAGAAGTCGCTTGAATTAGACATGTTATGTTCTTGGGAAAGGAGCTTTTAATCTCTGATGGGCTACGACGACGTTTTTGTGTTCAAGTTTACTATTATATATAATGACTAGTATATACAGTAGAATGATGATATCTGATGTACGCATTGATTAAATTGGTTGTTATTAAAATCAAGATTTTGCTAGAGGAGCCATGAAGTCAGCAACGGCATTATGCTGCTTAAGGCCCTGCAGGTGTTTTCGACATTTTCCATCGAGAGGCGACTGTTTATTGCACTCATATGCCACACAAGACGCCAGTGATCAACGATAATCGTAAGACGATCCGGCATTGTTAGATGCTGATCCAAAGCAATCAAATTACATTTCACCAATGCCAAATCCGAACGACGTCATGGTTACATAGCTGGTTTGTGTGATGAGGATAGTTTCTCGAGAAGAGTACATCAAGAAAGTTACTCGAGTATCAACTGCAGGTAATCATTATGATCACAACATGATGCTACAGATTAATTTGTAACTAATATAGCAATCAAACTGGGCTTGTATATATCTTTCAGCATAGTGATTAACATATGAAATGAGATCCACCCCAAACAAAAACACCTGGATTTAGCTTTCCGCATCTCAAAAGTAACAGTGGTGTAACCAACAACGCGGTTTAGTGTGTGTGATATTTAATCCATGATGAAATGAAAAAAAAGCTCTTTTTTTTCTCTTGTTCTTCTTTGTTTTTTTCACCACTCGACTAGAAAATGACAAAGTATATTCCAGAAGAGAGTCTCAAAGGATTGCATTTATACAAATATGGAGGTGTGGACAAATCCCTTGTCTCCAAGTACGTTTTGGGTCCTTATTGGAATAATCTCGTCAAGATTTTTCCGCTCTGGGTAGCGTAAGTTGATGTGTATGCTTGGGTGTGGATCATATAGGATGGCTACTTATAGATATCCTTTGTCAACAGGCCTAATGCTATTACCTTGTTGGGCTTACTGATCGTCGTTGCCAATGTCATTACTTTGTTTTACTATTCCTCAGAATTGGGTGAATGCCCCAACTGGGTGTATACAACTTTTGGTATTGGTTTGTTCATGTATCAATCATTGGATGCCATCGATGGCAAGCAAGCTAGAAGAACACAAACATCAGGTCCCTTGGGTGAATTATTCGATCATGGTAAATAGCAAATTCTTGCTTCAGAGAGAGAGTGTGTGTGTGTTTTGGGGCGCTAAATTAAGTTTTGATTTCTAGGCTGTGATGCTTTGAACACCACTTTGGGTGTTTTGACGTGGGCTTCCTCCACTTATCTCGGTCAAAGCTGGTGGACCGTAGCTTCCTTATGTGCCAGTCTTGGAAACTTTTACTTGTCTACTTGGGAGGAATACCACACTGGTGTTTTGTTTTTGGGCCATTTTAGTGGACCCGTTGAAGGTGTGTTGATGTTGTGTGGCATTCATTTGATCTCTGGCTACTTTGGTCCAGCTTTCTGGATGCTCCGTATAGAAGAGGTCCTGCCATTTATTAATTTCTCTCACAATGCAAACACCAAACTTCTGGGCGCACTCCAGTTGAACCATGTTCTCATCGTGATCGGTGGTCTCGTTACCTTTTTCAACATCATTGTCGGGTAATGTGCTGTGCTGTGCTCATCATGCATCTCGGAATTGTGATATTAACCATCGTGTCAACAGATTATATAATGTCATCAAGGTCAAGATCTCACCCACTGCAAACTCCAAGAAGGACAGCTCTATTTTAAAGGCTACATTGGGCCTTTTCCCCTTTGTCAACATGTGCTTCTGGGCTTACAAATGGATGCGTCTTTGGCCTGACATTGTGTCTGAACACCTTGCTATTTTTATCGTCTTCTTTGGGTTCCTCTTTGGTCATCAGGTTGGGCTTATGATTACAGCCCACGTGTCAAAATTGAGTTTCCCTTATTTCAATGTGCCTGTCAATGCCATCCTATTATCTGGTGTTTCTATTGCCTATTTCCAGTCATTTATCGAGGAATTTATCCCCATCAATCAAAGACTTATTCTCAAAATCTATTCCGTCATTGCCGCTTACCAATACTACGACTTGGCAAGCAGCGTCATCCAACAAATCTGTACATATCTCGACATTGGATGCTTGCGTATCAAGAAGAAGCCAGCTGAAAAGACATCTTAACTAATAGTATAATAATAAAGTTTTTTTTTTATTCATCCAGAACGTGTATGTGTTTAAAAATCTCCCATTTCATCATCCTCATCCAAATCACCCTCTGCAATCTCTTGGGCAAGTTCTCTCTCTCTTTCCCTTGCCTCTTCAGCACTTGCTAATTCCTTTCTATGAGCATCCATGGGGAAACGCATGGCCTTGATAGCCTCGTTATGAAGGTTCAAACAAAAATTGATACGTTGGTGGTAGGCGTTTTGAGGTTCATTGGTGCTGTAAATGTCAGCAATTTCTTTGCTCTTCATAAATCCCCCTGAATGGTCCAAAGTTGCATCAATAACACCATCACGAATAGCTTTTGCAACAATAAACTCTGCATCCTCCTCGCTGTCCAAGTGAAGCTTGATACAGATATCTCTCAAAGAAATCTTGGAGTAAGAGAGACTGATCATACGGATACCTGTCTTGATGACATTGTGACGGAGACGAAGAATCAAGGTGTAAGTCTTGTCCTTTTTGAACACTGCGTCAAATTGAGCTAATCCCTCTTGGAACTTGTTGAGATCACCAACACGCACTGCTTGAGTAATGACGAGGTAGGGTGCGAGAGCCTTCTTCAAGATGGGCTGCCTAAAGAGCGATCTTTCAGGAATTTCCCCCATCAACAACTGAACGACAATGAAGAATTTATAGGCGGTTTGTTGGAAACCAGCCGTGACATTGTTCTGAGGTGCTTTGCGGATGGCTTGTGTCAAGTAGGTGTGAGCGGCAGTGTAGTCAAGTTGAAGTGCCTTGATGCGTCCGAGATAATAGGCGTAACGAGCGGCTTGATTGTTGCCAGCCTTTTCGGGGAATGTGCTCTTGGATACAAGTTTGTCGGCTTGATCATACAAGTTGTGGAAAAAGTAGTTGCGCAACAATAAATTTAACAGTGTTGCTTGAGATTCATCGTCGTGTCTTAGAGTAGCTGTTCTATGTGCTGCCAATTGAATACTATTGAGGTTTTAGTCAAAATCATTGTGGACATTACTTGGCGATGAGCTTACGGTCTAATTTCAGCGAGCTTATTTGACAGTTCATGGAATCGACCATGGTAAAAGTATACACGGGCAGCAATTTGATCCAATGTTCTGCGGTTCATGATGGTCATCTTTTCTACAGTTTTGTTTGATAGTTGGAGACCCTGTGTCTGTATGTCAGCAATGTGCCACTCCCACAATGCTACATGCTGGCTCTTACCTTTTCAATCTCGTTCTTGTCCAAAAGATAAATTAATACATTCAGGTGAAGGTAAATGTCAACTTCAGGCAAAACTGCATGCTTCTTTTCTGCGTCCTCTTCGGTGGATGATGACTTTTCGTTCTACAATGTCAGGTTAGTTATCATTTGCATGGCTTGGTTTGATATATGCTTTTGCTTACCTCTCCCAGATAGGACAGGAGTTCAGCCTTTTGAGCGTCATCTATTTAGCGTATCGTCAGTCATCTGTATAAATAAGTACTATACAAGCGCCACTTACTGGAACCATAGTAATCTGAAATGACTTGAGCGAGGATATCTGAAGTCAAGCGGCGTCTAATAGAAGGCAATGTTCTCAACACACGGGTAGTGAATCTTGACTCAATTGTGTCGACAGCACGCTCCAACAAGACGAAATTGCGCTTGATTTCTACATGGTTAAACAGGTTTTATAAGACACGTAATCTCTTGGTGCTTAAATGCAAATTACGTACCTGTAACTGTCTCTTTGGCGAGGCGTTGTTGCTTGGCGTCTTCATCCTCAACGATCTCCATAGCCTCAGGCTCGGTCTTTTCAGGTTGCTTCTGTTCTTTGGTGGTATTTGTCATTTTATCTTTTTGTATCAATGTAAAGCAGGAAGAAAGGAACTCGCAATGGGAAGCTCTTTTAAAAAAGGTGTACGTATTGCGCGTCCTTTGGAACTCTGCAATTCTAATGACATCACGTAGGCTCCTCTCTCATTTGCTTTGTGTGCAAAGTGTGTCGGACAACTCTATCATCTATTGACACTACATTTTGCCTAGAAAAAGATTTTTTCCTGTTAGATTGTCTGCATACAGCATCATGTCAAGCTTGATTTTGCCATTGTATGATGCAGAATTAGATGTTCAAGCGTATAACAGTAGGAAATCCGGGTCTTTGATTTAAATTGCATCTATGATCTGACCCTTCTTGTAGTATACCAGCCATTGGAATCAATCCTACCTTATGATCTGCCAAAACGAGATGTCAATAGAGTCGTAGAGTCTGCAAAGCCTACAGCAGCAATGGCATCTCCATTCGCTAAAAAGATAGCAGAACCAGCACTAGACACATATTGTAAAGCTTGCAAAAAAAAATTCAGCAATGAGCCTACATTCACCAACCATTTAAAGAGTGCAAAGCACATTGCCAATGAAAAGAAGCTCAAGCCGACATCCAAAGGTCCTGCCAACAGTCAAAAGCTAGCAGTTCATCCCAAAGTCCAAGGTAATTACGTTCATATGTCAAAAGCTGCTTTTATTCACCAGTGGTTGCAGAGGCACTCAGTATGCTGGATCAGGCTGAGAAATCAGGTAATGCCACCGTTGCGTTGACAACCTATTGGACTCAGGCACAAACATTGTACGCATTGAAACGACCACAGTATACCGAGAAAGCATTGCGCATGTTGATTGACCTGATAAGCACCTCGCCTACTACGACATTCTTACCTGCACAAATCACCTCGTTCTTGTACAATGCTCGATTAGCACTCGCTCGATTACTGTGTATCTATCAACAATTGGATGGTGCTAGAAGCGTCTACTTGGATGCTCTTGCAAGCAAATGGAAACTGGAGACACCCGAGTTACTTGACATTGCTCGCCGTATTCGTATATTATCGATACAAGACTTGTTGGACGCATGCGATCAATTAGCGATCAAATACTTGACTCGAGAAAGAAATAGAACAAAACCAGCACCAGCATTGACAGATGCCAACAACTCAATTGCCTCCATTCTATGCGAGGCAGCGCATTTATTTGCGCAAGAAGGCCAGCAATGCCAAAGCGTATTGTCTGAGCACGTTGCTATCGTTCTGTATGCAACGTGCTCACTCGTATGTCCTTACGAACCAACTTTTGGAATCACAAAAGACGATATTTACTATTTAATGATACAAGTGTATACATCATTGGAAGATTTAGACTATAAAATTGTGGATATATACGCATTGGACTCTGCGCATGTTTGGCACATGTTTAATGCCTTGTTAATAGCCATCGAAATAGGTGAGTTGTAATTTACAGTCTTGTAGGCAGTATCTTACATTTTTTCTCCTAGACGATCTTGTTCGTGCACAGACAATTGAAGCCAGCCTAAAGCAACTAGTATACCCAGATGTGCAACTCCTATGCAGTTTATACAAACAGAGGTCTTCATTGAGCATTGGCCACGACACTTTACAACAGCAGCTGGATTTCGTCATTTTGTTACTGGAACAAACGCAAGATCCACTTGCGATACGAAATCAGACCCATAAAGAACAGCTGGATATAATAGACAGAATTCGAAATTGCATCTAGTGAAGATAAAATATCCCCCTGCCCCTAAAGTTGCCACAAATTCATGTCATTTTAAGGAGGAAAAAGAGAATAATTTATTATGGTGTATATATACAAAATATGTGTGTGTATGTGTGTGATATGAAGGAGTTAAATTCTTTGGGCAGTTTCTTGTTGAAGTCTATAGAGGAAGACCAGCGTTCTACTTAGATTGGCGCAGCCTTGCTCTAATTGCAGCGCACGATAGGTTTTCATCAAGGAATGAGTAGCAAATTCAAACATTTGAGCTCTATGGGAATGCATTAACCTGGCATTATTCAGCATGTTTGAATAGTAGTCTTGTCCCACTTTGGCGAAGTGATCTGATAACCGAGAAATGGAAGTAGACCATACACCTTGCGTACAAGAGATGGATTCCTTTTCGCTTGTTGTGTTGGGAGCCAAGATCTGGCGACACCAATAGTAAGAGCCACTGTGATTACCGCTTCTTGTACGTGGTCTCTTGTATTTCAGCACATGTGGCCAATCCCAACCAGCGGGTTCAAATACAGGTTTTGCCATATTAAATACCATGGGTGATTTAATACCACTATCCTGTTGTTCATTAGTGCTGTTATTGTTTTCATCATTGTTATCGTCGTCTGGTAAGATAATGACTGATTTTCGTCTCTCCAAAAATGTTGAAGTTCTTTTGTTTGAGCTGTTTGTCGCTGTTGTGTTTGTTGTGGTGGTACCTGCAGCATTAACAGCATGGTTTGAGGTAGGCAAGCTTGTGGGATACGGTAAAATCACCGATTTCGGTCTGGAAATGTATACTTGTTGCGTCAGTTTCTGAATTTCGTCCAATACATCAATGTCTTCTTCTTGCTGAAATATGCGATGATAGCTACCAGCCATTCTTGCCAAGTTTTGAGCGGCATTTTCTTGAAACACCAAGCCAAAATCCTTTGCCACATTGTTCAATATGTCTTTTTTGGATTCATCCGACATACTTGATTCGTACACTATGTAGTATTTGCCAATCGAGCTGAACCCTAACCCCAATGTAGCTAAATGCAATCTTGTGATTTTGACAACACGGTAGTCTGGATGTGGATTTGACGATGAGGACAAGATAGAGAGGACAATATTTTCAACATCCCGTTTGCGATGCTTCCAGTCATTTCTTAACTTTTTGAGAGCTTGTAGCAGGTCAGTGAGATCATCATGTGCCTGGCCGTATTCTTCTAGTAGGTTAGATAATCGTTGAACTTGATCTAAATATCCGATGCGCTCCAAGTCGCTGGTGTGCTGTCTGATGCACTGAGATTCCAAGTGCATGGCATATCTGTCTCTCAGCATGAGGACCCATTCAGTCAAATTGTTCCAGTCTTCCATGCTCACGGGTATTTGCCGATGTTCAATCAGTGCTTTGGCCATCTTGTATGTTTGTTGCTGCTCAGATTTTGATAACATGCCTAATTTCTGACACAACTCCATTTGTTCGACCGAACAAATCTGGCCAAACGATTCAATCAGGGAATTCTGGATGCTTGTGAGATCATTGGTATTGGTATTCAATGGTGATAAATCGATAGATGGAGATAATGCAGTAGTAGCCATAATTTTCTGATTTTGTCTGTCTATAATTGCATTAAAAAAATAAAGAGGAAAGAGAAAAAGAGAGGTCTGAACACAGAGCACATTTTATACAAAAATAGCAGCTTTCTTTCTCTCTCTCTCTGTCTCTCTGTCTCCCCCCTCTTCGCCCCTTTTTAGTGTGTGATACGAAAAAACGACAATGTATCTTCTTATTATTGTGATACACGGTTATTCACTAATCAAACCACAAGGTCGACTATTTCGATGCCAACAACAACATCATCATCGTCATTATTTAGTTTAATTAAATTGCTCTGCGCATCTTGAAGCAAAAATCTACTTTGTAAACATTACATTTACTGCAAAATACAAGTTTTTTCATTTTTATTTAACCTTTTTATTACCTTTTTTAGCCATCATGATCGTTTACAGTTGCTCGACTAGGCCGCTTGAACCGTGTACCCCTTATTTTCGTGTGTATGATTGTATCATTTCTACATTTTTCCATACCAACAGTGGATGACAATGAAAGCTATTTCACAAGAATCTTGCCCCTCCCCCCGTCCTCCTTTCAGATTTCGAATGAAAAAGGGGCAGCTCAAGAACTTTTTGGAATTTTGGATATGTTTATGTCCAAATGGAGGCACGTTTTCTTGTCACTCATATACAGGATATGCAAGTTTAATTACAAACAGTTTCATTCTCGCTCTCCTTGCTTTCACTCTTCGTTTTATTTCTTACACATGGTCGAGCAAAAAAAAATAAATAAATATATATTCTTGTGGCATCCTCCATCATTGCGATAGAGAGCGTGAGTGATAGAGAGCAAGAAGTGGTCTGATATTTTACTCCAACATAAAAATTACCTTTTATATGAAATGCATGGTTCAAAAAGTCAAAACTTTGGAATTTGCATTGACCAGAAGGTGATTATTTATTGGCTTTTGACAGAATGGTCTGATAATTTTATTGTACTACACCCTTAAAAAAGCTGAAAGATCGGATATCAATAGAATTTCATTTTGTCAAAGCACCAAATGGTCGAAAAATCGTAAGATTTCTTGTCCTTTCACTCACTTGTTGCACCAGAATTTCCTCTTTATGTCCATTGAAAAGTGTAACCCACACAATATTTGTACCCGCCTTTTTTCATTAAAAAGAATGAGAGCGCGATGTTTATTCAAGCTGTGATATCATCGTTTGATGGATGTGGACTAAATTATATGTACAGAAATGCTACTTCTACTGCTTGCTCCTACTGCTATGATCACTTGCTATAATATATATATATATTTATAAATAGGGGTATGATATACAAAATGGTTATTTCTTCTTGAGAGTGGAGGATCTCACCAAAGTTGATCTTCTGGAGGAAGATGGTGTTGTAGCAGCGGTGCTGGGCGTTGCCTTATTAGTCGATTTGAGCCCCACATGTGCCAAAGAAGAAGTTCGGTCCCTGGATGATGGCTTTACATGCGATCGATTCACGAGTGGAGACGCTGCAGATGCAGTGGCAGCAGCGTTGGGTACAAGTGTTTTTCTTTTTGTTTTCAAAACTGTAGCAGCAACAGGTGGAGAAGGAGCAGATGCAGTAGCCTTTAGTAATTTATCTTGCAATATTTTTCTTGATTGGCTTTCACGTTTCACACAGAGCTCTAATTCAGTTACTTTAGACAAGAGTGTCTGATACTTTTCGTGACCTGGGTTATTTTCATGTGGTATTTGTTGTTGGTAAGCTGATTCCAATTTCTTCATTCTTTCTTCTGCTTGTTGGCGCTTATTGATTTCATCCTTCAAGACAGACTCGATTTCAGCGATTCGATTTTTTTGATGCAATTGACGTTGTTCAAATGACTGATTCAATCGCTGTAGTAGATGAACCATACCAGCAATGGGTGTACGTTGTCCTGTCGTTGTCATGGCAACCATGCCCACCTTGTTTTCTAGTACGATAGGTGTAGATTTGTTTTGATATTCTCTCCAAATATCCTGGATTTTAGTGGCGGCAGTCTCTGCTGATGATGTGAATGAACCAGGCTGCATGGCATCTTCTTTTCTGGTGGAGAGGATCAATAACCGTCGAGGTACATAATGCTTACGACATGTATCATCAGGAGGATGTAATGATGTATTGGATGTAATGCTGTTGGCCCATCGTTTACCAGCGTCGCTTTTGAATTGAATTTTATGACTATGACAAGAAGATGGCGTAGGTGACATGATGAGCCGTTTAGTAGGTAAAAGCGTTTTTGTGGATGATCGTTCAACATCGTTCATCCAATCTATGACAGCTCGATCTTTATTGGGCTTGGAATTGGATTTATTGGTTTTGATCTTTTTGGAAAACCATTCGTTCAAGGCTAATTGATCTGGCTGGCGCATGTCTGAAAATTGAGTTGCGGCTGTAGTGGTGGGCAGTGGCTGGATATGGGGTTGTGGCAATGTATTGTAAGAATGAGTAGGAGTAAGATGATCAGCAGCAGCGGCAGACACAGATGTAGGGGCGGACGGCACCACGTGGTCTTGAAGAACTGATAATCGTCGTCGTTCTGCTGTAGATGTTGCTAGTTTTTTGAGAAATCTTGAGCGAGGTGGAAATTCGTAATGCTCTTGTTCTGGTGTTAATGTTTGCGGCACAATAATTTCTTGTCCTCCATCAGGGTATCTCTTGATAACAGCCTATATGAAATAGTAAAATTTGTATAAAATGTTAGAAACCAAAAGAGAGAGAGAGAGAGAGAGAGAGAGTGATTGAGAAAAAGAAGTCGTAAGAAACAAAAGAACGAGAATATTGATTTATGAAACACATTTCGTTATCATCTTATTTGTTTTTTTGCCATGATATCTCTATCCTCACTCTTTCCGTTTGATTGAACTGAGCCTTGCGAAAATGTAACACGAAATTATATTTGTATCCCCAATTTCTGCTCTTATACAATTGACAAAATGCTCAAATATACAACAAAAAGAGCAAAGTTGACAGAAATAAGATGACAACGAAATGATGGTTCCTCTAAATCAATACAAAGAAAATAATGCAAATGTTACAAAATAAAAATTACGGCGCACCTTCTTCCGGTCGCCCCACATCATGAGAGACCGGGGTTCACGTCTACGATGTAGCACTTGTGCCATTGCTGTTGCTGCTCGAGCTGCTATTCTTTTTTGTTGCTTCTCTTCTATGGATAAAGAAGACTTTTTGTTGGATGATGCGTTGGGGCCCGTGCGTGTCTGTAGTGGTGGCCGTGCTCTGCTACTCTTCTCCTTGTTTTTTTCATTTTGAACCAGTTCATGCATTTAATAAACCTGGGGGTGAAGAGGGAAAAAATCGTGTTGGAATTGCTTTTCTCTCTCTTTATTGCTGTTGTGATATTTACACTGATTTATAGATGTATGTATAGAGTAAGAAGGAGGAAGAAAAAAAGGGGGGAGAGCTCTGTTTGTTGGACAGCAAAGCGATGTTGAAACAAAAAAGAAAACAGTTTATAAAAACATGTAGAGAAAAGAGAGAGAATATAAAGGGTTTGTTTTCGTTAAATGCCCAAAAGGCAAGAAAAAAGTGAAAGAGGAAAAAAAACACAAAAGAAAAAGAGAAATGCTTAGACCTTAATTCACGTTTTTTAAAAATAGCACGTGAGTAACCAGTGTACTTTCGTAGAGGTGCTAGTATCATTGACAAAAGGCTTTTTTGTACAAATAAAAATACAAAAATCTGCAGGCGATATACAATTAAGGAACATTTGGAAAAGTCAAACTGTATTATTTGGTTGAATAAACCAAAATAACAAACGTTTCTCATTGCTAGCAATGCTCATCATGTTCTGTTTATGAGAATTCTCAGGCACAACTTGTCTTATAAGATGTAGATTCTCAAATCTTGAAGGCGAAGCATTTTTGTACAAGAAAAAGTGCCTTGACACTCCAATCGTGTCATTTCCTATTTGCTGTTTATATTTACTCGATGTTTATCATAAATATAAAAGCTACAGAGATGGAGACTAAGGTTCTCTGCTTGTCCTTTTATGTTTTGTATCATACTCACATGGCAGACGTTTGTAGCTGTATGATTTAGTAGGGATCATCGCAAGAATGAATCATGATGGTATACCATGTATGTGTTATCTGCATAGCGAAAAAAACAACAGATGTACATTTATTATGCTGTTCTACGCACAGCTATTATTATCATCAGTGAAGTGTTGCTGGTTTTTTGTATACCATCAATCATTTACAAGCACAGTTACACTTTTTTAATTAAGTAATTTCGTGGTAACTGTTACTACATCATACCCTATACTATAAATACCACGATTGATATTCATATTACATTACATATCTTTGCAGTGCTAGTAAGGTGAAATGGAGTGTTTATACATTGCATTCAATCAAATGGCATACAGCATTATGCACGATTCTTTATTTGTTTTAATACGTGGTAATAAGTTGCCGTCGTCCGTTAATTTGTTGTTGTTTGTATTCCTCATGTTGTCGTTTATAATTTTATCAACTAAAGTTACTTAATGCTCGTCAGACGTTAAACCCCCTTTTTTGTGCTGTGTGTATTCTTGATCGTGCGCTAGACCCGGGTATACCATTTTAAGATGCCTGCTCCCCATTTTCTCCTGATCGTTTTTTTTTTACCTGTTTCAACAGAAATCTTATACATGATAAGGGACACAAGTGTATGGATTCAAGTTTTTTCAAACTAAAATATTAATCTGAACTAAATCCTCCATCCTTCATACAGGTTGCATGGATATAACAGAGTTGCATAGTGATGTCAGGTCCCTGAATCTATATCTAAATTTTAGCTTGATTGTTTCAATCTAATTGACAAAAGAGAGGGCGCTGCTCAGTATTCTAGTCCTCTCTAAACCTACACAGGGTTAATTATAGAGACTTTTCCATAATAAGAGGCGCTACATTGAAGTAGAAATATGTCAGACAAGCTATGAATAGCTGTTTTCTTGCTTCTTGTAGACTCTCGTCAATAGTTTCCCAAAAATGATCTTTTCAGGGGCAAGATTACAAATCAATCAGCGTCTGTACGCAGCTAATCAAACTCAAAATGTGCCTGGATCTATATTCTGAGAGTGCGCATAGCTGTCTACTATATTACTACAGAGCACGATTGATAAATTCGTGAAAAGAAAAAAAGCATTCCGGGAATGACAATCAGCTGTACAATAGTCTGTAAGTGAGGCCTTGTTTAGAGCTTATATACAAAAATGTGTTGTTGAATAACCACGTCAAGCAATAATCATCACAATAATTTATTGCCCATACATACTTTCACAGCCTTCAAAAAGGAAAGAAATCAATCTTACAAGTATCTTGATGGGCTGACGCATTAGATGCAAGACTTCAAAAAAATAGCATGGCTACCTATAGTACCATGCAGTTCGTCACCTACTTTCCGTTGGCTTCAAACGTATCTATTATTGCATTGAGTTTGCCAGCCTGCCCCACCAGCCAAAATCATTTCTAACTCAGACTTACACTCTGCTCCAGATCGGCCAAACTTTGATGGTTATTCGACTTGATTGAAGTACTTTGAGAGGTTCGACTATAGAAAAATTAATGATTCACCCCATGATTCTTTAAGCTTTCTTGGAGTGCTTTTCAAGGCGCACCCAATGGTATCAAGTAACTTAGATGTTTTGAATAAACTTATTGAGTAATTTATGAAAATATAAAAAGAGGTTTCTGACCAGAAAGTCGAAATTTTACATAGTAAGGTCCCACAAAAATGACTTCAAAGGCTATCTTAGATCGATAGAAACATTTTGATTCAAGATATACCATAGTAAAAGTCTCCATTATCAAGGTTAAAAATGCGATCGTTTGATTTTTGATGAATTTTTTTTCTTTTTTGTATGGATGTTGCTTATTTATTAGTAAATATACGAATATAATAACATCAAATGATGGACAAGTGCATGTAACAAAGTGACTTGCCATATATAAATCTATTGAAACTAATACTAATATTAATGTTTGAGATCTGACAATCTCATCACTTCAGCACAGATCTTGTTGGTGACATTGTTGGTATCAAAAGGCACTCCTTCGAATGTTAGTAGGAGGTGGAATCTCCATATCATACGAATGGTGGCAGCAAACAGGTCGAAGGTTGTAATCTTGATGCCTAAGTTGTAGATGAAGTATTGCTCCAGGTTCAAATTGACTATGGATTGGTATACTTGCTGTGGATTAGCAGCTTCGGGGTATCCCAGGAATTGTTCAAAGATGTCGGACCAAATGTCGTTTTTGTGGGGGTAGCTAACCATGAGATGTTTGGCATCTTCAGTATCATTGCAGAGGGTACATTTGTCATCTTCGACGTTCCTCAGGCGTCGAAGGAAAAGAGCAGATTTACTTGGGCATTGCTTATGGATCATTCTATACCAGACATTTCTCACAGAGTGGTGCATGTTTTGATGATAGAAGTGTTTCCACTGGACTTTGCTGATGGTATGATTGAACTTTCGTCATTCGAAGCATTGGGCGGTTTTGGTAATTAAGCATAGCAACGAAAGGCTGTAGATCTAGATAAGCCTCCATGTTTCTTGTATCCGCAAAGGATTTCAATTTGATGTTCCCACAAAGAAGACCTCTTTCTATCTGGTTCCTGATGTTTGGTCGCTTGCATTCATTTCTTGACTTTAGCTGCAGAGTACTTGTTTCCTGATCGATGTGGAAGAAGTCGTGAACTTTGCTTTCCTTGATATAGTCTCTGCTTGCATATCCCATAGCTACTTCCTCATTGTCAAAATCAAGAATTTCCAGCACTGGCAATTACAAGAGTGTCATGACATTTGGTTTGACAGACCAAGCGAGTGAGAGTGGAGAGTACTTCATACAAGTATCTATTGCCCCGAACATAGTGTAATAAGAGTGAAAGCCTCTTAACTGGTTTTTGTATCTAGCCGTTTTGAACAGTATAGGGATTATGTGCGATGGTGAGTCGTGCGACATCTTCAAATAATCCACTGGTAGCCTATAAGTGAGACCAGGTATGTCGTTGCTGTTTTCTGTTAGTAAAGCGTTCAGATATCTGAATTGCAGAACCTTTTGTTGAGCCATTATATCAGTCAGTCCTAAGCCGCCTTGATACCTTGGTAGGAAGAGAGAGAATTGCCCTTTAGAGGTAGATACAGACCAGACATTACAAACTGATAAATGATTGAGGTTATCTTCTTGACTGTGTCTTTGGGCAGAGAAACGATCCGAATGACATGCCATAGTTTGGACAATATCATAGTGTTGGCAATATTCGCTCTGCCGTACAGTGAGACTTGCCGTGCTGCAAACCTTTCAACAGCAGTAGCAATATCACCCAGCAGTTTAGCAATGTATACGTCTCTTTGTTGATTGCAGAACCAAATTGGATAACCTAGGTATTTTATAAATCCTGTAGACGTAGAATCATACCATTTGATTTTGAGATTGTTTGTTGCATGATCTTGAATTAGGCCATCAGTTGGGCTTGTCATTCTTCCACCATGAAGAGGGAAGGCCACGGACTTGTCGTAGTTGATCTTGGAGTTCGAGGCCTTGTTGTAAGTTCTCAATCTTTCTTCCAAATCAAGAAGTTCAGTCCGAGATTTGACGAATGTCAGGACATCATCCGCATATGCGAGTACTTTCAATGGAGGAGGAGCCACCCAACTATTTGTTCTCTTGCTTATAGGCTTGACGTGTTGGAGACTATACCCCGAGGTAGTTGTACTTTTGGTCACAGATAGCAGAAATGGTTCAATAGCCAAGTTGAACAGCATTGGTGATATACTGTCTCCTTGTCTGATGCCGTGTCTTTGCTCGATAGGATCTGTTAAAAAGCCATTGACATTCACGCAAATTGAGTTGTCGAAGAATAACTTGCAGATGCATTGGACAAACTGTTTTGGAAAACCAAAATTCACTAGGACCTTGGATATATACTGGGGATGTACCCTATCGTACGCTTTGGCGTTGTCCAGCATAATCCCAGCATATTCTACAAATTTTTCAGAATTGTTCCATCTTGCTTCACGTGCATTGTCTACAATCACTTTCAATGGTCTCCAATGTATCTACCTCTCAGGAAACCACTTTGGTGGGAGCCTATAAGGTCACTGGCTACGTCTAAGACTCGTGAGTTAAGTTGTCTGGTAAACACTTTGCAATCAGAGGCTATTAGGGTTATTGGACGGTAGTTGCCAAGGTCAGTCAAATCCCCTTTCTTTGGTAGCAGCACAATACATGATTCCTGCCAAGATTTTGGGAATTTGCCTAGCGATAAAGCATAGTTGAACACTTGCAGGATAACTGCTTCACAGCTCGGGTTGATAACTAGAAAGTGCAAAATTTCGTAACATATAACATCCAGGCCCGGACTACTACCATTTGGCGTTCTTCGAGATCCTTGAATGATATCTACGTAAGGTATGTCTTCAATGATGTCCTGTGAGTCCTCAGCTGGAATTGTTTTGTCGATATATTGTAGCATTCTTTCCACACAATTGAGATCAATTTCTTCCTTGGTGTATAGGTCTTGGTAAAAGACTTTGGCAGCATCAAGTTTAGTACTAGCTTCCAGGCATTATTCCCCGGAAGTAGGATGCTTTAGGCTAGAGATTGTTCGCTTGGATGCCTTTTCCGCTAATGTTTGCTTGGTGTAAACTGGAGACTTTTCACCCTTCTCATGCCATCTCTGTCCTGATCTCAGTCGTTGGATATCAACTATCTCTTGTTAGATTTTGGATAGCTCCTTTTCGACAGGAGAAAGCAAGAGATTAAGACAGACGGAATCATCCCGGTACCTACGTAGCAAATTGTTCCTCTCACTCTGTAGCTTCTTGATTTTAGCTTTCCTCCATGAACAGTGAGTGCGGCTGAAGCTTTGAGTAACTTGCTTAGTTTTCTTCTTAATCAGGTCCCATTTTTCTTGAGCAGATAGGTTAGGATCTAATTTGGTTTCAACGTAGTTCGAGATAGCAGTGTTTAATTTGTTGACGTAGATAGGGTTCTTCGCAAGAAAGGGGTTGGCCCGCCAAACACCTTTACCACAGTTAGTCATGCCGGTAGTGTATGTCTTGGTTAACAAGGCATGGTCTGTCCATTCTTGAGAAAAAAATGTGATATTATCATCACTCATTTTGAAGAAAGCATTACGTCCTGCAAACGTATAGTCGAGAGTGGAAAGAGACGATCCACGTCTAAAAGTGTAATCATGCGGTAGATTTGGTTGGTTCAAGCAATCTGAAAAGTGAATGTTCAAAAATTCAATGAAACTTTTGGGCTTTCCAGTTTGGCGATTATAGCGTTGACTTGTGGAATCGAAGCAGCAGTTCATGTCGAATGTTGAGTTGTAGTCCAAAGGTCTTCCAGTTGTGGAGGCGTTGTTGTCGATAGCTGGAACAATGTTGAAGGTTGTTCGCTTCTGATTCTTGATATTTTGAAAAAGTGATGCATAGGTAAAAACGTTGTTGCCTGGATTATGGCTAGAATCCAGCGTGGAGTCTCCATTACTGGAAATTCCACCTTTTTCTGCTATTTTGTGATCTTTAGCGGAAAAAGCCATGATTTTTGATGAAAACCATGAGGGGTACATTATGCTTTTTGGTGGATTTTTGACCATATTTTTTTGATCCCCAAAAAGTTGAGCAATAGTGGCAATAAGTAACTACCAGATGAGAGCAATTGTTTGGTGCTATTCTGACCATCCAAAACGGCCTTGGACGCAAGAAAACGCAGTTTAAATACACTTACGTTTTGCGGTATCAGGAACACTAAAGACCAAAAAGGGGAACTATTAGTATGCTGCTTACCCGTATATGAAGTAACTACGTGTATATAAATGTAGAGCATTACATAAGTACTAAATCCACAAATAATGTGAAGGGTCTTCATGTGTAAGTGGTGGGCCAAAATGAAAGTGTCAGTATTATTTTGATAAGATATGCAAGGGCAATCGGTAGCGCAAGCTGCCGCTGCGCAGGTAGGTACTCACCGAAGCGAAGCGAAGGTAGAAAGCCATCGGAAGCATAAACACTTGTAATAAAATAATAATAAAAATCAGTGTTTTCACACTATTAACGGTAAATCTGCTAATTCATCTAGGCCACTTTTCTATTACTAACTAAATTTTGCTCCTTGTGTTTGTCCTAAAAGTTGAAATTTCGTCTGAGCACATACTGCGATACTTTAAAAATCGGATTTTAACTCCCAAATATGAAGTTTACCATAACAAAAACACGTATTTTCTCAATAACAACACAGAAGCGTCCATACGGTGCTCAAGTTTATAAAATGAATCTAGAGCATGTATTAACTAATGTAGGCGCACAACAGAAAACTTATATGCGCCTTTGCTCCAGCAAAAAAAGAGCGTTTGAGTGATTGATTTTGGGTATTTAGGCTGAAACTGACCTTTTCGGCTGTATAGCTCCGTAAATCCATTTAAACCCGATCTCAATACAATTTGTTGACATCAACTCTTTTATCACATTTCAAGATTTAAAGGTATAATAATGTCGATTACTAAGAAATTGAGTTCGGTACAATGCAGAACATCAGGGACATTAGAAAGAAATGTAATTTACTTACTTCTTTGGCAGCAAAACATACTACTACGACTTATTTTTGGTCAAATTCTGTCCAAATTTAGCCATTTTGAAGTACAAATAACTCATGCTACAAAGCGTTGTGGACGCTTGGAATAGGGCCAAACGTCTCTCCTTGTCCACACTTTACTTACTGATGCTTTATCTCAAAACTTTTTAAGTCATCGCAAATCCATAAAAATCCTCATTTTTTCATGTGTACTAGTAAGGGAAAATTGTTAAAAATCAAACGATCGCGTTTTTCACCCCAAAAATGACGACTTTTTCTATGATACATATCGGATCAAATTGATCGTAAAGATGTAATGCAACACTGGAAGCTGTTTTTATGAGACTTGTATATGCTAGATTTTGATATATTCGCAGAAAGCCGGTTTTGAACTTTTCGCAAATTGCTCATTATTCTCAGTCTGAAAGCTGAATGTAATCAGCATCATTCGATGCGCCTTCATTGACTCTTTATAGATGTATTAGAAAGTAAAGTATAACAACAACAATTTTTATAGTCAAATTTAGCAAAAACGTTTAAAGGATGTCAGATCAAGTCAAATTTGAACACAAAAATATCCACCGCATAATTTCAAATTAAAGTACAGCTATTACTACGTCTGTCAAGGCAGAAGACTGAGACTAAATCTACTGGTCGTGATGTCGGTTAAGGCACCCTCTCATTTTTCCATGCCTCCGTTTTTTTTTATATTTTTTTTTGCAAAACGCATTTAGTATCAAACTATATTGGTTTTGGAACCCTTTTGATTGAAAATAACACTCTAGCTTCTGATAACATGGTTCTGCACTGTTACAAGTACTTGATACTGCTTCTTTGAAGCGGAATATAGTAGGTATTATTCGATAACGAGCACTGGAAGACGTAAAATCAGCACTAATCGAATTTGTTTATTAGGTTTTGATAATTTTTTGCCTGTTTGATGTTGATGCTGCTGCCATTACTTCTCTGCTATTTCTACTGCTTGCTTCTTTGGTTTATCATGTCTGGTGGTTGCTTCTTTGGTCTCTATCTCTGGCGGTTGCTTCTATAATCTTTGTCTGGTCTCTGGTGTCGCTCGTTCTTCATTCTTCAGTGCTATTGTTGTTGCTGCTGGTGTTGCTGATGATGCTACTGATGATGCTGCTGCTGGTGTTGCTTATGGCGCTGCTGCTGGTGTTGCTTATGGCGCTGCTGCTGGTGTTGCTTATGGCGCTGCTGCTGGTGTTGCTGATGAAGCTGCTGCTGGTGTTGCTTATGGCGCTGCTGCTGGTGTTGCTTATGGCGCTGCTGCTGGTGTTGCTGATGAAGCTGCTGCTGGTATTGCTGCTGCTAGCCCGGTTTTTCTTGGCCTGCTGTCTCTGTTTTATGCCTGTTTTCTGGTCTATCTTTGGTGATTGCGTATTCTCTGGTCTATCTGTGGTCTATCTCTGGTGATTGCCTATTCTCTGGCCTATCTATGGTGGTGGTAAGTGGTAAGTATCTTCTTTCTTCTGGTTGCGATGATACAAAACTGCCTTGAACGTTTGTATTATTGCTTCCTTCCTCATGATAATGCATTCATGATGTATGCTTTGTTGCGTTTTTCTTCTTCTTTTGTTGGTTGTGTTGCTTTACATCCGACTATTACCATGCATGCTGCTCATGTATGGATTTTTGTTACAACAACGAGCTGTTCTGAACGTCTCTGATGTTGTGTTTGTTATGCTTTTCTTTGACTCGCTTCGTGTGAGTGTCTCCTTTTTGTCTACGTACTACTATACTCCTCTAGTAGTATGTTCTTTTCTTTATTTTTTTTATTATGTTTCTTTGAAGCATACCTTTTTTTACGTTGTGTGGATGTGCCTATCCCTGAAACTCAACAAGACTCTATCCGAGGCTAGGAGGTAGATAGGCCGCCTCCACTTGGTTATCGCTACTTACTTTAGTGATGATTAAGGGTCTCAATGCTTGAATTTAAAGCTAGGTGATGTAAGTAAGACATGCTCTAGCACCTGAGGGAAGTTTGATGATAGCAGCGGCTATATTGCTATTATAGCGGCGCTTAAAATTTTGCCTCATATCAAAACAGGGGGAAACCCTCGCAAATTTTTTTTAGGTCAGCGGAGTTTTCAAGCAATTTGATTGGCTCAGAGGTTCAGGAGCCGAAGAATTCCAGCTAGTTGATCTCCTATTGAACTGTCATCTATAATGAGTTTATATTTGTAACAATAAAAGCGTAATCATATGGGAACAATTTAAATCCTTCTTTATTCAAGAGTAATGTAAGATAGGGTGCAATTACTTGATATGGTGGTCATTCGTCACAAAAACTCATATGAAATGTGAGGGATATGCCGTTTATCTTCGTATGTCAAGATGTTATACAGATACCACTTGAGCACAGAGTTGTTTACGTTGCTGTCATTGCAATAGCATTTATTTAAGATGGCTGCAAGAGCTGCTGCTCCAATGCTGCTGCTGGATTCAGTGAGCCCAGTTATCTTCCTACTATTTTTTTTTTACCAAATGTGATGCGACAACAAGGGGAAAGCCCTTAACGCTACATTATTTTCATGTGATATTTATATTCGTATACACCGCATTGAATAGAGTTTGTGTTATAATAGGGTAACTGGTACCATTCGGTGAGTAGTTTAATTTTTTACAGACTTACTATAGACTGGTGACAAATGTTACTATTGAAAATAATACGTTTGAGCATTGGAAAGTTGTAAGTAAGCATCATCATTATGTACCATCTCTAAAATGGATCTCAAAACGTGGTAAGACAATACTGGAAGTAGAAATCACTTCAGATCATAAGCTTTGACATAAAACTGGATTTAATTACGAATCCAGTAGTAATAATGGCATGTTTTGGATAATACATTAGATCTATTTTTCTCCATCATCTGGATCCGCCACCTCTTCTGACACTTTACAATTGCATCACGTCCATCAGCTTGAACAATAGTATATGAATCCCTTTATTTTACAATGTAATAAACGATATTCTTTACCTGATTGATTTTCGTACTCTTTTTTTTTCTAAATAAATGATGGATCAGCAAGCTCAAATGTAAAGTCGACATTGTTTCAATTCTAGTAGATTTATATATTATAACGCGATTGTTCAGCAATGCTTTCATCTTGAGCAGCATACTATTACAGTGTATCAGCACTCAAGCGCACCTATATATACCGTATATAAAAAAGAGGATTTTTAAAGCACCTGAATAGCAAAAATGTGCTTGTTTGAGGCTAGGTGCGTAGATAATGTTGTTTCTAGAACGATGACTTGCCGCGTAGATAAGCGTCAATTTTGATTTCAGATTTGAATGTGCCAATAAACAGACAGTTATTATTAGATGGTAACTGATTTTGTATCTATTTCACGCATAATACAAAATCTCTCGAGTTGGTTCGCATCTGTCAAAAGGGTAGGTACTTTATTGCCTAGATGAAGACGTAGAATCCGTCATTAGCTTCCATATGAAATACGGTTCCATCGTTACTGAGACTGTGAAATTGTATCATAATACATACATAATTACAAAAAATGCATTCTATATTATATGAGCCATACATATTGAGTAAACATTCATAGCATGAGTCATATCTATCTGTAAACGTTATATATATAAAATGTCATAAAGTATTTTTATTCATGGTAGCACAGGAAATTGAAGATTGATCTATTATAAAATTCAAATGTACATTTAGTTGAATGTCAATTTGCATTAACATTCAAACACAATGCCAGCCATCAGACTTATGGGATAAGAAATTGCCACCATGCAAAGTGCAGCCATGCCTACGCATTCCACACACAACATCAATGCCAAGTTCGAATTCTACATCTGTTGTAATGAATGTTACAAACATCAGCAGATGTGCCCTCTTTGCGACTGTTACTAATTGGTTTTATTGCAATAATTCACCGACTAAGCGGGTGTCCTCACATTGCCAGTCTGGCGCGCAAAGACATGTGAATAAGTGGGGGATAAGACGTACCTATAAAAAAGTAAGAGATCAAAAAATCTGCTGATAGATCCCAGTGAAAAGGCCAACTTACTTGTCAGGATTTTGAACTCGACTGAAAGGAGGCAACACCTTGTTGTCAAGTGAGACCAGTGCCGAAAAACCAATGAGGGCAATGTTACTCGCTCCTTGCTCATCACGATTCATGGTAGTTTGTTTAGCCAGCCTTTTTGGACACTCAGGGTTAAAGCATGTAACGGCACCGAGGTTCCTCTTCATTCTATTATCCTCATCACGCACCAGTTGTTTCTGTGTCTCCTTGAAACAGGAGCAGCAAATTTTTGTAGAATTGTATTCGTCCACCAATCTGACTGTGCTTCTTGTGGACAGCGTTGACATGTACGGCTTCATACTTCGAGTGCTGTGGCCACGGAGGTACTGAGTATTGCGATGCCAGTTTCCTATGAAGGAAACCATCTTTGGCTTGTTGAAGGTGGACATGGTTGCAGCAGATCTGGCTTCACTGGCTACCAAATATTGGTGAAGTTTCTTCAAGCGGATTCGTCCAGTTGCCCTTCCTTTCTGTAGCCTCTTGCCTGATGACTTCTTCCTCTTCTTTCGCCTATTGGAGAGGACAGCATTATCGACTTTGTTGGCTGTCATTTCATACTTGACGAATGTTTCTCCGTTTCCAAGAGAGGTTGCAGTGTCAGAATAATCTTGCAGCATTTGAAACCGATTGATCGACTCAAAAAGAGTGAGGGAAGCCACTATAAACGAATAATTCCTGAACACTGGCACTGATGTCGTCAATAATTGCAATGGGCTTGACACTCTTGCTCAAACCACAATCAAATAAATCAACAGCTTCGATGTTTATTATGCTACCAGTATACTAGGGAGCTCGTTGATCAATGCTATGCCCCATTATGCTGTGTTTTGTTGTGCAATGCACTTTGATCTCCAAATCAATATTGAGATGTGTATGCAAAGTACGAAAGATCAAGCTGGCATTGATGAGGATAACATTACCATCTCTGAGATTGGACATATAGCGGAATACCGTATAGGCAATGTATTGTGTATATCAGTCTACCACAGCTCAGATTTCGTATGATACCTTGTTAAAGAGGATGGTACTTGATTCCATACGCACAGTACTTGATGATGACTGTTAGATATTGACAAGGCCCATGTATTTTGCTTGCCTGAACATTTACACCAGGCACATTTCATGATTATTGAATAGTGCATGCCTCTTTTTTTTTTTTTTTTTTTTTTTTTTTTTTTAACTTCAAGAGATCTCTCAGCTTTTTTCAGGCACCAAATCAACATTATTGAACATAGTAGGGTAGGTCTTGACAAAAATCACCTTTTATAGCTCTATGAAACCACTGCTTGAAGAATAATCACCTTTTATGTTAATGTTTGGATGAAAGCTTGTTCTATTCTTAAATTGGTCACATACAAGTTTACAATAGAATGCAATTGTGTCCCACAACATTTTATTGCCACCAAAAAGCGACAAGTTGAGTTAGGTTGTGCCTTAATAACCTGAGGACACAAATTGTGTCCTAGCAGTGTCCTTCGCCCCATCTAATTTTTCCATGTTGTATTACTCTAAATTGATGCTTTTAATAGCATTCGTTTGTCTTTCTCTTTTTCAAGTTTTCATCTTTTTCTTTCTTTCGTTTTCTCTTCACTCCATAATCCCTTATCATTATGTTGGAAAAGCTCCCCGTACGAGCAAAGTTAGTGGTTGTAGGTGATGGTGCATGCGGCAAAACATGCTTACTGTTTGTTTACACAGAGCAGGGATTTCCAGAGGTAAAAATACATACAGGGGCAGTGTCAGGATCCGAGCAAAAAGCGCAGCATACTTAGTGAGATTTTGTGTGTTTTATAGCGTTATATCCCAACCGTATTTCAGTCCTTTGTTGCTGAAGTCAACTTGGATGGAACAATCGTGCAATTGGCATTATGGGATACTGCAGGTAGAGTGGAGGAGTCGCAGCCATTTCAACATGAATAATTTATATATGTGTGCTTTATTAAACACAGGTCAAGAGGATTATGATCGCCTACGCCCTCTGTCCTACGTTGGGACTCATGTGATACTTCTTTGCTTTGCTATTGATTCACCTGACTCTCTTGATAATGTCCAGGAAAAAGTAAGTCGACTGCAGATCCAATAGCGAATGGTTGCTAATCACGGGCTGTAGTGGATCACCGAACTATACACCTACATTCCAAATGTGCCCATCATCCTGGTTGGCTGCAAAAAGGATCTGAGAGACGATGAAAAGACTGTCGAAGAATTACATCAAATTGGGCAAAAGCCAGTTTCTTATAAAGAGGTTTGTGAAATATCACTAGACGGATTCAAGACAGACATTCATGCGCCATGTCTCTCTATACTAGGGCCAAGCCGCCGCTGAAGCTATAAAAGCTGAAAAATACATGGAGTGTTCTGCAAAACTAGATCAAGGTGTGCAGGAAATATTTATTTTAGCTGCAAAACTTGGAAGCAAGCATAGAACAAAGCTTCAAGAGAAAAAGAGAAAAACCTGTATATGCCTGTAAAATGCTTTCAACTCCCCTCTATCATTGTTCCGGTATAACCTTGTATGGATTCATAATGCCATTGGGATCAATAGCACCCTTGATTGTTCTCATTAACGCCAATTGCACTGAGGATTTGGCACGGTTCATGTAGTTAACCTTGGATACGCCTACACCATGCTCTGCTGTAATGGACCCATTATTTTTCACTGTGCATTAAATTGGTTGAATATTGTTACGCTCTTCATAACATGTTTTAAACTTACTGGCCCATGAAAAGACAAATTCATCCATTGCTTCTTGGCCATGATCATCAAATCCCTCCAAATTAGCCATAATATGCAAGTTCTATTGTGTGCTATGAATGAGTACTGTAGTTCCACTTTGTAGGCAGCACACTTACACCATCACCAACATGGCCAAAGCCCAGTAAGTTTGAGTAAAGCTTGCCAGGGCCCAATTGATTTTTATCTCCAAAATGCTTCTTGGCGTCCTCCACCATCTTGTAAAGGAGAGGTACTTCCATAGCTACATCATATGTCATGGCTGTACCACTCTTGGAGATGGACTCTGGGATCTTCTCCCTCCAGCCCCAAAGTGAATTCACTTGCTTGGCATCTTGTGCCATAACACCATCTTTAGCGACGCCAGTTTCCAATAAGCGTCCCAAGTACTCGTCTAGTTTCTCTTGATCATGCTCTTGTTTGCTACCTTGAGTCTCTAACAAGGCATAAAATGCATGCTCTCCCTCAATGGGATAATTGACATCTTGCATCATTTGAGATTTAACAACACCCACTGAATCAGAATCCCAAAATTCAAATGCTACGTTTTGATTAGTAGAGCGCGTTGCACTTTCAAGCCGCTTTCAGCTATCGTACCTGATAAAATTTCGGACAGATCCTCCTTGGCCATCACGAATGCTTTTTGAACATCTTCAAAGGATCCAAGCCCCACCATAGCAACATTCACGGACTGTCAGCGCATATGTGTTACATCTATATTCGGTTTTCTCACACTTGTTTATTACTAATATAAAGCCTTACCTTGGGACGTCTGGGTGTCAAGAGCGAAACACCAGTGATTAAACCCAATGTTCCCTCTGCTCCTATGAACAACTGCTTCAAATCATAACCTGTATTGTCCTTGCGTAAAGTAGACAAGTTATCAAGTATGGTACCATCGGGCAGAACCTGTCATGACGTGTATAAGCAACATTTGCTACAGCATGTGCTCAAGAAAACAATACAACTTACCACTTCAAGGCCTAGTACATTGCCATGCAAATTACCAAAGCGCATTAAGCGCAAACCACCTGCATTTGTACTGACGTTGCCACCCAATTGGCAAGATCCTTTAGCTCCCAAATCCAACGGAACAGTGTATCCTCGAGGCTCCAAATACTGGTCCAAAGCTTCCAACACAACACCGCAATCCACAATTGCAGCGCCAGATACAGCATCAAAGTGTCTGATTTTGTTCATTTTGGAAGTATTGACAATAATCTCGTCGAAAACGGGAATAGCGCCACCGCTGACACCTGTATTACCGCCCTGAGGAACAACAGCTAATTTCTGCTTATTACAGTACTTGAGAATTTGAGATACCTGCTCTGTAGTCGTTGGGAAAAGACAAAGCCTATGCATTCAGTGTTAGTCTAGCTTGTGCACACACGCTCACATTCACCGAAACTTTACAAAGACGAGCCTCTGTAAAGGTTAAACCAATCTGTATTGTACTGAATCATGTTGGTGCTCTCAGGGTCAGTTTCATGCACAATATTAGTAGGCGCTAGCACAGTCTTGAAGAACTCTACATCTTTGTTTGTGATCTTGAGATAAAGTATATGAGATCAGTTGAACATTCGATTGCTTTGACCATTTACTTGTGCTTCACCTTGGAAAATGCTGGATTTCGCTGGAATTCTGGATGCTTTACGTGCGTCAAAGGCGTCAATGCTCTGTTGAATACAGATCTCGATGAATGAAGCAATCTCTTTTGGAACATGAATAAAGAGAAGAGAGAGAGAGAGAAATGGTGAGAAGCACACTAAAAAGGGAAATAGGATAATATTTTATAGCATTTAGGGTTAAAGTTCGATGTGTATCATTTCGCCACTGTGACTAAATGCATTTACACGATGGATCATTGGGCAGTGAAATACAATTAGCGATGCCCTGAATCAGTATGCTGATCTATCTTTTGCTCACTTATCTTTGATAAGTTCACTTGATGTACACAAACCGCTAGAATGAATACAAAGCACATTGCTTTCCTAGGATATAAAATGCCATTTGCATAAATAACCGGATTCCATGTGAGAAAACAGAGCTTTTAGCGTGGCAAAATGAATAAGCGACGTTCATCAGATCACATAGATTCAATTGTAGCACAAAAGAATGGCTCACAACTATCAGAGCCGTGAAATTTGGATTTGTTTTCTCTGTGGTCGAGTCACTGCTTTTTGTATCCAAGCAAACTTGGGTATAGGTAGAGCTGAAAGATGAACTGCCTCAAGACCACTTTGCAAGTGAAATCTTCAATGCTATTAGGGATCGACCATTATATGTGGTGAGTATAGCTTGGACTATTTGATCTCTTGACAATTCAAACAGCTATTCTCTGCAATTAGATGGCAGAAAACCTATTTGACAACAGCCATCATGGCTACGAAATTCAATCGTACTACTGCTGATGGCAACTAGTTTCCAAGTAAACGCTTTAATTCTTTCAGTTCTGGCGGATGTTTATAATGAGAGTCAGGCGATTTCATGGTGGCAATTGTTCTAGAAGTCAAGGTCATTCTGTTCATGACCAACAAGTCGAAACAGCGTGGCAAGAAGCAAGTAGCACTGAAATGGTGGGCAAATCGGCATCTGCAAGCTGTATGTAGCCAAGCCTTGAAAAAACCTCTAATTGCTATACTGGTCAAATGTTGTCGGCAAAGGATGTAGTGTGTAGCATGAAAACTTGCATAGCCGAATATACGAATATAGCTGTTATCTTTAAGAAGATCAATGCCTCCCATCCTTGGATCAATTTCAAAATACCCTATCATGATACTCGGATTTGGGAAACCGCCATCTTGAGCGACATTGTCCATGGCAACGAAATTGGGGATCAATGCCACAGCTACCCTTTAAAACCATACAAATTGACGAATGGATCGATTATACAAGATCATGAGAATAGATGCGCATGATTGTTTTCAGCTATAAATGTGCTCAAGTGCGCGCCCATTCAAAATCGATCTACCTTTCTGACCATTGTACTCAAATGACGGATGTAACTCGAGCACAAAATGCTCTTAAAACTACTATATTTGTATCAAAGCACTGTTTCAATTGGTGTGAAAGTACAGAAATCTTTCTTTCATTTGAAGTGATGTGACTCGAACCCCCCTCTCTTCCTGCCTCTGCTCCATTTTCCCCTGAAAATTCTTTTCCAAATATATAGATAATCAATCTCTCTTCTTTCTCTTCTTTTTGTTTTCTACTTGTTCATTTTTTTTTTACCCCTCTATTACAAGGCAATGGCTGGCACAGACTCAGTTGACTTGAGAGATAGGAGTGGTTGGATAAGAGCTCGTTATTCCCGTTTGGGTGTTGCATGTGTGGTAGCACTCACTCTATTCACGTAAGAGAGACTCCTCTTCATTCATGTTGCAACTCTGACTATTTTGCATGCTGCTAGTGACATGTTGGTCTATGGCGTGGTCATTCCTTGTCTGCCTATCCTTGTCATTGATAGATTGGAAGGCGATTCTACAATGGTTGGGTTCTTGTTTGGCTGTTATGGTATGCAATTGTTTGATTCATCAAATGACTAAGTCGGTGTTAATGTTATTTGTTTTAGCATTTGGTCTATTATTGGCAACTCCTGTATTTGCCATTTTGTCAGACCGCTATCAAAATAGAAGATATCCCATGATGGGCGGCATGTTGGGTTTGGTGATTTCTACATTAGCATTCGCCATGGCAGATACATATGCATTGTTGGTATTGGCTCGTGTGGCTCAAGGGGTAGCGGGTGGTGCTTCATGGTAAGTCGTTGGTTGCCCCCCCCCGGGTGAATCAAAGGATCCATTCTAAAGATGGCATTTTAGGACCATTGGCCTTGGTTTGCTGGCAGATGTATTTCCAACAAAGAAATTGGGCGCTGTCATGGGCACAGTCTTAACAGCACACACAGTTGGATTTGCATTGGGCCCTGGTATTGGAGGAGCTTTGTATGAATACGGAGGCATGGAAGCACCCTTCTTCTTTTGCGCTGGATTTGCTGTACTCAACTTTTTAGCTATCCTCTGGTTAGCGGAACCCAAGCACAACCACATTGAAGAGACACAGGATCATGTTTCGCGAGCACAAGAAGAGATTGATGAGACAACGCCCTTGGTGAACAGCTGCAATAGAGCAACAGACAAGAAGCCATTGACCATGATTGATCTCTTGAAGAACTGGCGAATCTTGTCATGCGTTTTGTGTGTTACAGTCAGTGCATCTGTTTTCGCTGGTATTGAGCCTGCGTTACCTATTCATTTGCAGCAAACATTCAGTGCGTCTGCATCTACTATTGGTTTGATCTTTGTCGCCATGGTTGTCCCTGCTTTTCTCGCTCCTTTGATCGGCCATCTCTCGGACAAGGTAACGATGTGAGAAGCACTTGAACGACATGCGCGTATACTCAACATTTCTGTTTGTGTAGATGGGTAGACAAGTGATCTCAGCCACTGGTATGATTATGATGGCCGTTGCTTCACCATTAGTGGCACTCCATTATACCTCCATCTATTGGATCATACCTCCTCTTATGGTGTTTGGTCTCTCTAGTCCCGTTACATTGACTCCTGTTTTACCTGAGATGGGTGAAACTGTGAACGAGATGGTAAGACTTGAATACTTTAAGGCATACGCAATATGCTGATCTAATTTTTATTGTTATAGGGCGGTGCAGCATATGCTCAAGGTAGCTTTTGATTAACAAACAAACAAACAAAATGCGTGTGCTAATATAAATTAAATAGTTTACGCATTATACAATATGGCTTATTCCATTGGTATGTTTATTGGTCCTGTAGTTGCTGGTTTGATCATGTCTGCTGCTGGTTTCGAGACATTGATGATTGTATTTGGAGCATCGCTCATTATTTGTAGTCCCATCATGATGAATTGGGGTGCTGTATATAGAAAAACAGCAGCATTCTTTCATCGCAATTAAGCCATTTTTATTAGTTTCTTGCTTGTCGTTCAGTTCACCGTTAATAAATTAATCAAACAAGCATATGTTTGTAAATATAACACTAGCCGATCTATCTCACTACGCTCGATGTCGGCGTCGCCCTATGAGCTCTCGCTAAAGACATATTAAATCAGACATAATAAAAATCTGGTATAAAAGTACATTTTAAACAATGACTATATTAGGGATGAAACTTGCTTTAAAAGAAGTACAAATCAATATTTTTATGCAGCATTTACGTTATACTGTATTATTATAAGACTTCTGGTTCCCTACATCCTCCGTCCGAGTCGCATTTTCTGGCGGCAAAACTGTGATACCATTCGCGGATGCTGCTCTTGAGATGGCAACACAGAGCTGGCCATGCGTAAACACAGAACTTTTATGAGATCTACAGCGACTTTTTTGAGGGGTTATCATTGCAAAAAAATACCTGCATAATGAAAAACTCCCAATAAAACCAAATATAAAAGGATTCAAGCTAATCGATTGTTCTTTGAAATTCACGATCCCCATTTAATCAGCATCGCAATCATCATTATCATCAACAGAAAGGTATTTAGGTCAGCCAGCAGCAGTGCCACCCGCTAAAATTAATTGAAACTCAGTTTATTTTTTCTGTTCAAGATTGGACAGATACCGTCTTTTTTCGACTTTTTTAATCTGTTTTGCTATATCCGACTATATAAACTGTGATGATCACCCTACGCTTCCTAATACATTCTTGAAGTACTTTTCAAAGCGCTTCCAATGGTGCTAACTGTAATAAGTGTTTTAACTGAAATTATTGAGCAATTTAATAAAATTTGAAAAGAGGATTTTAGCGAAAATAGCCATATTTTGCATATGAAGACCTCATAAAAGTGGTTTCAGAGGTTGCTTTGGATCGAGAGAAACATTTTGATTTGATATATACCATAGTAAAAGTCTTCATTTTCAAGGTGAAAAATGCGATCGTCTGATTTTCGATGAAAACCATGAGGTATCCCTCATGCTTTTTGGTCGATTTTTGACCATGTTTTTTGGGTTTTCAAAAAAGTTGAGCAAAGGTGTCACGAAGTTACTACTACTCAAGTACAATTGTTTGGCGTTATCCCGGTGGCTCAGAAAGGTCTACATGTCAAGGTATGAAGGCTTGAAAGCTGTCAAATGTGGTTATGTTTTGTTATATAGCTTTTATTTACACGGCATGAACCATGTTTTGGTAGCTGAGATCCTCTGGAAGAGCAGTTCTGCAGCCTGTGTAACTTCTGTTTTGAACAGGAGGCAAACTGCTTTTGGTAAAGCTAATTCATGCATATTTTGATACATTATGTTGTTGGTAAGCTTATTAAAAATGAAAGTGAGAAGCCGAATTTACTGCTTAGATACTGTGGTTTTGCATATTTGGTTTGCCATAATCAAGCCCTCGTATAGATCAATGCTATTAAATGCTGGATTGAATACTTAGTTGTCATACGTTTGCACCTTTGCTTCGCTATGGTTAACCCCCCCATAAATCAATGTTATAAAGTGTTGAATTACGCGCGTAATGCTCTTCCTCCAAACTCCTCTCCCCATTGCCGGCTTCGCCGGTGGGGTTATTCACCTTTGCCCGGCTCTCAATGCTACAAAATTTGGAAAGGATATGGTTTGCTTGTCTACTTTTTTTTTCATAGTTTTCCAGTATATATATATCAGTGATACACAGTTGCTGTTCAACATACCATGTCAGCACGTAGAACATAGTAAATATCCAACAGGTGCACTGTGAACATTTAAAGAAAATAGCAGCAGTAGCTTCATGCGTCTTTTGGCACCTGTACATGACGCATTAACAGGCAAGCGATGTCCATGCTAGCCGCTCAAGTACGAAAATGCAGGTATTTCTGATTAATTTTGCCATATACTTTTTGCAAGCCTCATAAAACTTCACTAAGCTCGAGATGCTCCAATATTGTAATCTACATCATAAGAGATACAAGCGATCAGTTAATCTATTACAGAATACTCGCCTCGATGGTGCATCAAATCCGATTTATTAGACAATCTTCAAGTACTTGCAACTGTAGTATAACTGATTCGTGATTGACGAAATCAGGCTGTAAGCAAGCTTTCCATGTCAAAGTTCGACTGAGTATGAACGACATCTCAACAGCCTTTGTACTCTGTTACACCACCATGATCCAGCTATTGCTTTGAAAGTGCCAAATAAAAGGATTCTCTTGGCAGGAATAGTATGTATTATGATTCAATGGTTTTTACCGCGGTATATTGAAAACATGGATTAGCAAAAGGCCAGTGAAAACAAGTTCTCAAATTGGAGTTATCAGACACACACATACACACCAAAATGCACACAAACCACACAAACCACACAAACAAAACAAAAAAAAATGGTTTTACATCTTGTTTGTTTCTTATCCCAGTAATAGTGTCTTGTTCTTTTTTACTTTTGTTTCGAAACTGACCATGTCGTACAGGAAACATCAAAGAAAGCTAATGTTGCGGTTATGTATGCTGATAGCTTTCGTCTTGTTCATCACACTCATGGTGCTGCTGTTTCTCACTTCATTGTACAAGACGATACCTGCCAACATCCCGTACTTTACCAACATTCCATATTATCGAAACAAATGGCAGTACACACCCCCATCCCAGCTGTCTCAACGAAACCCTCATCTGAAGGCAGCTTACATTGCATTTGCACATGGCGACAAAGAGTCACTCAGTGATCTGCGACAGACAATGCGCACCATAGAAGACGTGTTTAACAAGCATCACAACTACCCATATGTTATCTTTACGGATGACAATTTATCCACTGAATACAAGGAACTGGTAGCTTCCATCACTCAGGGAGATGTCCAATTTGAAAAAGTAACTCAGTATGAATACGGCTATAGTAATACCACAGATCAATTCAGAGCACTGCTCGCAAGAAACTACCTGAAAGATACAGAGGGCAACACCGAAGAGTTCCGGTTCAAGTCGAGATTAATGGCTGGCACCATTTTCAAGTAAGTAGCGAGTGATCGTTTATGCAACGAGGTGGCCAATTTCTGACAGCACTCCTATAGCCACGCTGTATTTGACCAACTGGATTACTTTTGGAGGTTCGAGCCAGGCACCGAGTACATGTGCCCAATAGACTTTGATCCTTTTCAGTACATGCTGGACAACCACAAGGAAATATCGTACTCAATGGCAACCTACGAAAAGCAGGAGACAATACCTTCACTTTTTAACGCGGTAACCAAGTTCAAGAAGCAACACACAAAGTGGCATCCATCAATTGACGTTGAAGACGAGAGTTTGATGTCTCTCATGACAAACGATGATGGACAGTACAATCGATGTTATTTCTGGAACAACTTTCAAATCGCAACAACACGGTTTTTCAAGAGCGAAGCGTATCAAACATTCTTTGATTTCATAGATAAAGAAGAGGGCATATTTTATGAAAGATGGGGGGATCCAGTGATACAATCATTAGCAGCTGCTTTGTTTCTCAATCGAAATCAAGTGCACTTTTGGGAGGATGTTGGGTATCGCTATAGATACCTGTATAATCACTGCCCAAGTGATAGAGCCATATGGGAAAAATGCTCATGTAGACCAGAACAGAGCTTTGATCAAGACGGTCTTAGTTGTTTATCCCTTTTCCAATAAAATAGATGGGTGTATTTACATATGTATAACAAATTACATGGCGTCTTTGAACTTCCATGCATTCTTGTCAAGTAGTTCTTGATCCAGCATACGTTTCTTGTCAATCTCAACGGACACTAAAGCGTATACTCTTTGCACGGGATCCAAATCGTGCACAGTGTCTTTGTTTTTTATGCAGTTGGTGCCAAAATCCCAGTCGTCGCCAGTGGAGAAATGGGTGAAATTGAGGTATTCGAGACCATCTTTGGCATGCTTGTTTCTGTACAGACCTCCATTCAACCAAAGAGGCTTTCCTTCCGCATCAAGGTGGATCTGATTACCACAGATGTACTCGGGCGAACCATCAGCAGCACCACGGCCATAGCTGCCAATAACACCAGCGTACGACTTGACAAACGCGTAGGGTGTTTGAGTCACTTCAAAGCCTACCCAATACGTCTCTTTGTCACCGTGAACGTGCTTGTAAACCACTTCATCACGTTCGGTCACACCATTCATTTTGCAAACAGATAACAGGCCCAACAATGCTTTTCTTTTATCCATCACCACGACGCCAGACTCTTGCTCATGAGAAGAAAGGCCTCTAAACCAGCGAGACTTGGGCACAAACGAGCTCATGGAAGGCAGAAAGGATCGCATCCAATCAGGGCCCTTTGTCCAGTTGGGAAACAAGGTACGATCATAGTAAAACAAACTGCCAGTCATCATGTAGCCTTCATCCTCAAACAGCATGCCAGGATCTTGGAAGAAGAAGACATCTGCATCCATCATGATTATTTCAGAGAACCTGCTCGCCAACATGGCAAATGGTTTCATGGCCCAGCCGCCAAACTTGGTATAATAATCGTCCACATAGTCGTCCAGCTTCATCAGTGTCAGATTGTCAAATTCACTGGTCAGATAGTGTCGTTTGGCGATATCCAAATCGTTTTCTCGGATGAAAAACACTTCAATCGGGAGGTCATTGTGATACACTTCTCGAATCGCTCGGATAGTCGATGCTGCAAACTTGAATTGATTGTTGCCTACACACAGCACAATGCCTTTGCCGCTGGTGTGGTTGTTGATGTGAAATACATTGTCCCAATAGGGATAGATCCAAGGATAAAGCGCATTTTCCAGTCTTTTAAAGAAAGTCCAGGACGGATCATGTTGCACATCTTGAAAGGGGTCTTTGGCTAGTATCTTGTCAAAATGCAGAAACAGTGCTTTAAATAGTCTTTCAGCTGCTGTGATGGTGGCAAAGTTGGGAGGAAGATGAGCCTCGGGAATCAAGGCTAACTGAGAGAATACCGTTTCTCCTGCAGCGGATTTGAAGAATGCCAGATCTTGTTCTAAATGACATGCAAATCATGAATACAAATAGCATATTTGGGGTTGAGTAAGATCTGTGTACCTGTCCATTGCAATGGCGGGTGGGTAACAGCAATGTCGTATTTACTAGATAGCTCCTCCACTCTTGACAGGTTTAGCACTGATATCAAACTTTAGTATATGAAGGGCCTAATTTGTTGGATGTCTTTTGTATCCTACCGGATTCCTGTACTTGCAGTTTGTAAAGCTCGCCATTCGAGATAAAAGAAGCTGCATCAAATGTATTTACTGATTTGGCAGGCGCTCTATCAAACTGCCATGTAAACAACATGATTACAGTCATCAAACTCACAGCCAAGATTGGCCATCGAAACGCTTTGATATGAGAGAACATTGGAGGGAAGAAAGTAAAAAGGACGCTGCATCATGAACTGGAGTCTTGCAATCTTTTTATATACCAAAGCCATACGAAAATGGAGTTGCTATCTGCGCTTATAATTTGAAACCTACATGTATGAGTTCAAGCTAGTGGTTCATATAGTAAGATGATCCTACAAAGACACACGTACTCACTCGTTTGCAATACACTTGTCTAAACTGAATTTGGATGTGGAAATGATCAGATCAACACTAGGTTGCTGACAGAAAGTTGCTAGATCAGTGCCTGAAGCTACACGAACAAGAGTGTGTATAGGTTCATCTGAACGCTAAAAGTTTTTCCTTCTCCTCTTCTTTCTCTCTCTCTCACACACACATACATTTACTGCAGAATCACCCGACACAATCATATTAAACTGATACATTTGGAATGACAGGCAATCAAGAAGTTTTCACAGGATATGCAGGATTAGAACCCTTTGTTTTAAAGGATGAAAAGACGCACTTGCAAGTCTACAAGTTTGAACCAAGGCCTTTAGACGCCGATGAAGTAGAGATTCAGGTTGCTGCATGTGGCATGTAAGTCTTTGATTGACTCTAGTCATCCCGTGCTTGAACACTCAACATTTCTATGGCTGTATAGCTGTGGATCAGATGTGCACCAATTAACAAATGTGAGTCTAGTAGCATGGACTACCTTGGCATGTGGTGATTGACGCTTATCAATCGTGTGTATAGGGCTGGAAACGCGCAAACTATCCCTTGATTGCGGGTCATGAATTCATTGGCAAGGTAACTGCTGTTGGAGACCAAGTAAGCAACATTCAATTGGGACAGAGAGTCGGCGTCAGTCCTGTATGTCGATCCTGTGGAGACTGCATCCAATGTAATAGCTCTCATTCGCAATTGTGTCCAAACAAAGTGACAACATATAATGGAAAATACAAGGGAATCTCTACATTTGGTGTAAGTGACATTTAACGATGCTAGAACGCTCTGCTTATGCCTAAAACTTAGGGTTATGCTGATAAGGTCAGAGTGCAAGCTGCTTGGGCCATCCCAATTCCTGATAACATCAGCGATGCAGAAGGTGCTCCATTGTAAGTGTGTTTTATCTTCGTTTAGCAGACATTTTTAACACAAATATACAGGCTGTGTGCTGGTATTACTACGTGAGTGAAAAAAAAATAATGACATCCAGCAAGTAATGGCATCTTATACTATTGTAACATGTTAGCTACCTTCCATTCAAGCATCAAAGCATTGGCCCTGAGACCTCAGTGGGTGTCATTGGTATTGGAGGATTAGGACACTTGGCAGTGAGTACATGAGCGCGGTATACAAGCAAGACCATGTGCCTGATTTGAGTAAATATGACCAGATTCAGTGGGCAAAAGCCAAGAAATGCCCCAAGATTCTCGCCATCTCTACATCAACTAGCAAACGGGAAGATGCTACTAAACTCGGTGCTACTGATTTTTTAGTTTTGGACAAGGATGGCAATTTTGAGGAACAGTATGCCAGAAGTGTCGATGTGCTTTTGGTCTGTGGATCAGGTAAATCAACCAACTGGGGCAAATTGAGCGAGCTTATCAAGACCCGCGGTAAAATGATACTTATTGACGTTCCTGATGAGCCTATCCTCTTACCTGCTGCTGCTCTTGTCTATCAGCATATCAGTTTGATTGGTACATTTGTCGGTAGTAATGATGATTTGAAAGAGATGCTTGAATTCGCTAGCCAAACAGGCGTGCGTCCATGGATTCAAACAGTCGAAAATACTTTGGAAGGCGTGAATGGTGGTATCAAAGACTTGATCAATGGCAAAGCTCATTACCGCATCGTTATCAACGGAGAAGGTCGATAAATCCCCCCTTTTTTTGAATTAAATCGCATCATTTTACAGAGGGTTCAATTGAAGATCTACAGGGCCATTATTCCTTTGGGAATCATAAGAGTCCATTCTGTTGCTCATTGCCTTGTGTTGTCTCGTGTTTTCTCTCAACGGATATGATTCTATGTTATGTTTTTTTTGTGATGCAGTGCTGACTCTGAGTATTTGGTAAATGAGAGCTGGTTCTTTTCGAGAAAATGGGCGATGTATGGCTCATTGCAGATCGCATTGTTGGGCCATGCTTCAGTATAAAGGTTGTTCTTACTTGCTCTGCGTAAGCTATAGCAGCATGACTATAACCGAGCGGCGGACGCAGGTTACTGTGATATTTTATATCAAGATAAATGTATGAAAACGATTTAAAATAACGGACAAGTTATAGACTTGGTATGAATGGGATCCTCGTCGATCATCTTTTGAATGTCGAGCCGGTTACTATTCAGCACAAAGGCAGGGGCGAAGGTGGTATTTCAAAGAGCCAAGCAAAAAATCGTCGTCTTCAGGATCCTAAGGCAAGACATGGACTTTCCTCAGAGTAAGCGAAAAATTCACCATATGCTCGACAAACCGGCAACGCATATCAATTGCTCCATCACTGCAGCTCTTGAAACCATCCAGATCAGTTGAATATCCAGCCATTCCAAAGAACTCATTGTATTTGTATGCACAACTGGCCATGATTACCTTGTTAAAAGCCGTATTTGCGAAAAGAGAGTGTGCTTCATTCAATCCAACGCTTCAGATGAAAGCAAGTGATAAAATGGATGTCTGAAACTCGTAACAAAATGATGTTTTTCGCTTACTTTTATTAGGCGGATAGTAACCAAACACTCTGATTTATAGTGGCAGGAAACCCTCAAAATGCAGTGATGAAAATGCATTTTGATTTATTAATTTATGACAAAGAAAACTTGATATGTTTCTTTCAAAAATTGTATGTATCTAATAGTATTTACTTCTTGGGTGCGGCATCAGCCTTGGAGGCCATGTTGGCAGCCTTACCGTCAGGAATACGGATAAAGTGAGCAGGCTGAGAATCGGTAGCAGGAGCATCGAGAATAAAGTAACCCTTGCGCTCAAATTGAATGATATCACCCTTCTTCAAGTTCTTGGTGTTGCCATCAGCAATAGCAGGGAACTTGAACTCACTGACAGGAGTAACCAGATCCTTGACCTCATCACCCTCCTCGACCTTCTTCTTGGTGATCAAGTAATCGTAGTCAAACAAGAGGATATTAGTGGCATCTTCATCCTTGGTCAACCAAGTCAACTTCTTCTTGGTCTTCTTGAAATCACCAGCAAGATGAAGCTCCAAATCAATGCTAGTAACCTCGCCTTGAGCATCCTTGACAATCTTGCGGACAAAGACATTTCCCCAGTCCATCAAGGTAACCTCCTCACCTTCTTCGAGAGTCTTGGCATCCTCTTGATCCAAGTAGATTTGAGGACCGTAGTGAGTCTTCTTGTTACCGAGCTCGGCGTTCTTCTTGTGAAGAGGAAGTTCCTTGACCTCAGCGGTGGCACCAGAGACATTGCAGACAACAACACCCTCCTTGAGCACAGCGACGTATCTGGGAGCAATAGGATCAATGATCTTTCTGTTCAAAGCCCAGAGTTTGTCCCATTCCAAGAGCAGAGTGTTTTGAGAGGCACCTTGCATCAAGATGTATTGCTTCAAGGCTTCAATGGTCAAACCACGACGACGGATACCACGGACAGTAGGGAAACGAGGATCGTCCCAGCCACTGACATGGCCTTGATCAACAAACCATTGAAGCTTTCTCTTGGAGAGAAGAGTATATACAAAGTTCATTCTACTGAAATCCCAAATAGTGACCTTGCGAAGACCAAGAGCTTCAATCATCCAGTCGTATTGGACATTACGGTCACGGTATTCGTTGGTTCTCAAAGCATGAGAGACACCTTCAATGGAATCGACAATGGGGCAGGCGAAATCATAGGTAGGGTAGACCTTCCACTTGTCACCAGTGTAGTGATGAGGAGTCAAGTTACAACGATAGATGACGGGATCACGCATGGTACCGTTAGGACTGGCATAGTCAATCTTGGCACGCAAACAGTTCTTCAAACCTTCCTCAGAACCCTTGGCCATCTCAGCGAAACGACGCAAGTTCTCCTCAATAGAGTTGTCGCGACACTTGGAGGGAACACGGGCGGTACGTTGCTCACGCATGGTAGCTTGGTCGGTATCATCACAGTAAGCCTTACCTTCCTTGATCATCTTGAGAGCGAGTTCGTACATTTGATCAAAGAAATCAGAGGTGTGAGAGACAATGTTAGAGGGAACACCGATCAAAGCAAGATCCTCCTTGATGGATTCCTCGAATTCAGTCTTCTCCTTGCTGGGGTTGGTATCGTCGAAACGAATGATCAGCTTGCCCTTGTAGGTATCGGCAAAGTATTGGTTCATAAGAGCAGCCTTGGCGTGTCCAATGTGAAGATAACCCGAGGGCTCAGGAGGGAAACGAGTGCAAACCTTGCCCATCTCGGCCTCAGTTAAACCAATTTCGAATTTACCTTGATCAGCAGCCTTGGGACCCTGTATATAATGTTAAATCACTGCACTCTCATCCAAACACACTACACTTACTTTGGAAGCCTTGTCTTGCTTCTGAACAGCTGTCAAAGCATACTCGGCAGCTTCAAGAGAGGCAACATACTCGTACCAACGAACAAGATAAGCGCCGAGGTTCTCAGGCTTCGTCTTGACAATACGAGCAAAGACAGGGGAGGATCTCAAAGTACCCCAGATGACCAAATCAGCAATGGTAACTTGATAACCGACAATGTAAGAACGGAGGGTCAAGTACTTGTTGAGTTCCTTGTAAGTGGCATCAAGGGACTTGAAGTCAGAGGTAGCCAATTTGGTTTCAGCAAAATCCAACCATTGATCAATCAAGGTAGAGCTGATGGGATCTTGAGGGTTGTAGAGACCAGCCTCAGGGTTGAGTCTGGCTAAAAGTCTAGCGATGGCGTTGGTGGTTTCATAGGTTTCACTACGGAGATTGACATGTCAGAATACAAGTGAACATGTTGTTATGGACTGATTGACTGATACAAACATACCCGTTGTAAGAAACAGAAGCGGCAGGCTTGGAGGCACCGTCAAGGTTCTTTGCATCACGGAATTCAACTTGAACAGCATCCTTCTTAACAGCGTTGATTTGAGCAGCAACGGCGAGCACACCTAGGTACACATTTGCCGCATGGATCAGATGTCATGGTTCCCACGTTTGATTGCCTCGCAATGGACACTTACCGTAGCTGAAGGGCGATGCTTTAGAAGCAACAACAAGTTTAATGGCACTCATGATAATGTGAATGGAATGAAAACAGGATACTGGTGTTTTTTCCTGAAGAAGCTTTTTATCAAAATGTTGAAAAAAAAGTGACTTTACTTGACTCACCGTTAGAGCAAGTTCCCGGAACCCTTTGAGCATTTTACGGTGGAGCAACAACTTTGACATCACACGATGTATCCCAGATGAATCATTTTGTATATGTCTTGAGGCGCAGAAGATGAAGCATCGTGTGATTTTTGTCGATTCACCATGTCCAGATGGCTAAATGTTTGAAGGATATAACATGCTCGGATCCAGATAATCATTTTGCCGTCGATCACAGCAAATGTGATGTGTTGCCCTGATACTACAGCTCGGTAAAGGGAGCTGACTTGAGATTGAATGTCAACAATTGGTAGAGTTTACACCACACGAAATGCCTTTTTGAATAGGCTAGCACGACGATCCCTTTGGTGGGCTTTACACCTGGATGTCCTGTGGATATACTGCACCCATTTGATGTGCGATTTGAGGTGGCTCTACCAGATTGTCGTCAAGCAGAGCCTGCTCTGACCTTTGGCTTGCTGTTGCATGTCACTGCGAGTAGAATAGAGGCGTCGCTTTTGTTAATTTCTTGTGGTACGTTTCCAATTAATGAATTGTAAATTGGCTAGTTTCGACAAAAAGAGAAAGCTAAATTTACCTTTTCATCCCGACTAGTGAAGTTTGAACAACACTTGGCATAGATACAAATAAAGTGCAAAAGGGAACATTTTCATTGCTCGCTCCACTTCTCTCTTTTCTTTTCCTTGCTTGATATTAGATATCGACCCCCCCCCCCTTTCCTTTCCTTTTTCTCTCCTTTTTTTCTCATTTATCAAACATTTGATTTTATAAATATATATATATATATATATATATATATTTTTTACCCAACAAAAATGGATGATACCAAACCTTCTTCTCTTTCGTCTTCTTCTTCTCCAAGCCAGAAAGATAAGCAACAAGACATCAATTCGCTGCCACATGAAGCCATGTCGTTGAATAGTAACAGTAGTAATGAGCACTTTTCAGCCGCAGACTTTCCAGAGCAACCCAATGTTGAAACGAATCAGCCACTTACAGCTGAATTATTGGCAGAGCAGAACGAACTGTATTCAAACAAGCTGGAGCCAAAACCCAATGCAATTCGTGCTTGGGCTGCCGATCTTCCTGAAGTGCCTGATAGCGTCCAGCCTATCCTCACAACCACACATATATTCGAGATGGAGTCCCTCACATTAGACGATGAGGAAGAGGAAGAAGCTGAAGATGAGACAGTGCGACAAGACCACCAGCCCAAGATACAAGAGACAAAAGATGTATTCAGCGAGACACAGAAAGTGGCCTATGTCAGCCTCTGCTATCTAACCAGTTTAGAGGTTGTTTATGATTTCCAAGGCAAAGACTTTACATATGCTCGCATGAGTGCAGATAACTGGCAGCGGAAATTAATGCGAATGCTATATTGCCATATGGACATCTCTGCAGACGGTGAGTATCAAGTCAATGTAGAGTGACAGCACACGGTTATTCACGCGATGCTATTAGAAATCAAGATGATTGAATCTCTGTCCAAGCACGATATCCGGCCAACCGATCTCGTACATCAATTCACATCTCAGGGCCAGACGGCAGAAGTGCAGTTAGACGACTTGAATACCAAACCAAGCCAGAAACAAGCAGCCGAGTTTGATAACAACAAGATCATCATTGACCTCTGTTGGACAGTGATGTGCGACCTGTTTTTAATCTGCCTGAGTACTGAGAACTATGACGCTCGTTCCAGAGTATTTGTTGCCAGAATTGCATCCTACTTGTCTCTGGATTGGTTTCAGGTCATTGGCTTTGAGAAGCGGATTGCAGAGCATTTGCTGGAGGATGCCAACTGGGAAACAGAGACAGTTACCAGTGTAGCCACCACCATGACGACAATGACCATGACCAACGTTGATCACAATGGATTGGTACAGAACGACGTGGAAAAGAAGAGCAGAAACAAGCAGCGCAAAAAGAGACGTTATGTCATGATTGGTTTGGCTACAATTGGCGGTGGACTCATCTTGGGTCTCAGTGCTGGCCTTATGGCTCCTGTAATCGCAGGTGGTCTTGGTGCATTATTAACAACTGTTGGTGTTGGTGGAACAGGATTTCTGGGTAGCACAGCGGGTATTGCTTTAATTACAGGTGGTGCAACACTTGCAGGTGGAAGTAAGTTACTCTATTCTACATCTTGTACCTTATATCATGCTGATCATTCCTCTGCTTTGTGTTACTTGTAGGAATTGGAGGTTTGTACATCATATCTTTTGTGGTCTGAAGCGCTGGTTGGTTTGGGTCGATTGACATTGATACTCTTAGGAAAGAGCATGAACAAGCGTATGAAGACTATAAATACGTTTGAATTCCTCCCGGTCCATGTAGACGAAAATGTAAACTGTATCATTAGTATTACTGGGTAAGAGAGACGGGCTTGCACTTGAGGCTGCATTGAAAAATAACCATGCGTTATTAGCTGGCTTCCGTCCAAGGACGCGGATGAAGCATCGCTCCCCTTTAGCACATTGGACCCTCTCATGGGCGATCATTACAACCTCTATTATGAACCAGAGATGCTTTTCGAGCTGGGCAGTGCGTTCCGTATCTTTGCAACAGAGGCAGTGACGTTTTCTATCCAACAAGCACTGGCACACACCATCATGGGTGCACTGCTCGCTGGCCTTGCATTTCCACTTGCCCTCACTAAATTAGGATACATAGTAGATAACCCATGGGCAAACGCACTAGATAGATCTAGATTGGCTGGCCTTATCTTGGCAGACACTTTGATGAACCGAAATCTAGGTGCGAGACCAATTACTTTAGTTGGTTACTCTCTTGGCGCCAGAGTCATCTTCTTTTGTTTATTAGAGTTGGCTCGTGTAAAGGCATTTGGTCTAGTTGAAAATGTCGCTTTATTTGGTACACCTGTCAGTGGCACCAAAGCCGAGTGGAAGGAATGCACCACCATTGTATCAGGTCGTTTTGTTAACGGTTATGCAACAAACGATTGGCTGTTAGGCTTTTTATTCAGAACATCCACTGCTGGTTTAGGCAATATTGCTGGTCTCAGGCCCCTGTCTCATATAGAAGGAAATAGAGTGCAGAACTTGGATTGTACAGACTTGGTCACTGGCCATTTGAGCTACAGATCCTCCATGCCGAAATTACTGAAGCGTGCAGGCTTTGTAGTAACATCAGAAGAACTGCCAGTGAAAGAAAAGGACAAGACTTCGTTAGAAGAGGTAAGTTTGCAGACTCTGTTGCATAGCCAGCACCCTAAATAATACTGCAGGATACATCATCCACCGTTGCCACTGCTGCTGGTGCTTCCTCCGACATAAAAAATAAGCACTTGGATTCTGCATCGTCATCTTTGAAAAAGAGAAGTTCGTTATCGTCACTTTCATCAGGAAAAGCATCGATACAGCTGTCGTCCAAGACATCTACACCAATAGCAGGAGCAGATGGCCATGACCACGAAAGCGATGCGATGCCCACAAGAACAGCTTCATCCTCTACAGCGCCAATGACACCAGGAAACCAATCGCCTCGTACATCGAATGACAATAAGCTCAATGGACCCAATACAATGTCAGACTATGATATTATTGCAGATATTATTGCCAATGCAACCGCCGCCGCTTCATCAAAATCAGGTACATATAGTTCTTTATCTTCAGGAAAAGCTTCTATTACCGCAACTCCCTCTCTCATGCCGTCCGATCCAATGATGACGACTTCGTCCTCAACTACAACCACCAATTCTGCCACTACAACCACAGCAACGATAGCAGCACCAAGAAAATCAGGATTAAACAACTTTTTCGGTGCTTCAGCCAGCAGATCAAAGTCTGAGACCACCATGAGCAGCAGCACAAAGAGTATCATAACACCTGAAAAACCTAGAACCACTTCCAGATCATCCCTACTATTCGGTACGGGCTCCTTGTTTGGCTCGAAAAAGAAACCTGCGACAGAGGAAGAAAAGGAACTCAAGGATGCAGGTGTTACAGTCAAAGAAATCAAGGGTACCTTAGGCAGATTGGTTGTGCCTCAAGAAATTGCAAATCCAATGCCTAAAGTGAAGCTGGAAGCTCCTCAACATGCCCGTTTGAACCGTTAACTTATTTATTTTCCCCTCTCTCCGTCTCTGTTTTTGTACATTTTACCATTTCATATATCCTCTAAATTGTTTTCATACAAATAAATCATCCCAACACTTGATCTCATTACTCCAATTTCATTTGAAGTTTAATGCACACTTGGGGTCTTTTATCAATACATTAAAAGCCATAAGGTCTCTTTAATGTAATGAATAAAGCAGCTATTACGCAAGTTATATACACGATAATAAGCGCTACCAACTAGTAGAATATTGATTTCAGGATATCAGGGGCAATTTTGAAAACATTGGGCAGCAATTGTCCATGTTACCTTAGGCTTAGCATTCAGATGAGTCATTTTTAACATTGGAATTCCATATATGCAAGCAGCTGTAGCAAAAGCGATCTGACTCATCCAGACGGCAGTACTCTTCCAACTCGTAATCCCTTTCTTACGAGCCTTCAACAGCATCAATTACCATCTCAATTAGCATAGCAATGGTTTCGCCCGCCGTCAAAACAAATTAAATTGCCGCTCATATTTTTTCTTCTGATTCGATGATTCTTGAACTTTCGGGACTCTATTCGACCTATTTTGCAAGATTCGACTATGTAAATGTAATGACCATCCCATACTTCTTTAAGCTTTCTTAAAGCATTTTTTAAGACGTATCCAATGGTACCCATTATAAGGGGGTATTAATAGAAAACTTATTGAGCAATTCTGAAAAATATGAAATGAGGTTTTTGGCTAAAATGTCAAAATATTACATAAGAAGGTTGCACAATTAATATTTCAGAGGTTGCTTTGGATCAATACTCTCATTTTGAATTAGTATATGCCATAGTAAAAGTGTTCATTTTTGAGGTCAAAAATGCGATCGTTTAGTTTTTAATGAAAAGCATGAGGTACCCCCTCATGGTTTTCATCGAAAATATCTTTCAGCTCAAGACGAATGGGATCTGATCAAGCGGAAGACCAAACAGGTTACTATCAACTTTACTAGACACCATGATACTTGGAGAAAGGCCAGAATCAAGGCGCTGCAAAGCGAGAGGAATAACTTGCTGCGACGCTACCGGAATGACATCGAGTGCTTGAAACTGCTGCTGCCGGACGTGGAGGGAGAGCTATCCAAGCTACAGCAGGAAATTGTGGAGATTCAGATGTTGAAAGCAGGCCGCCGATGGTTGGAGCAGAGTGAGAAGTCCCCAGAATATATTAAACACACCATTGATCAGCGTGTCGACCAACGGACAATTGCAATGTTGAAACATCCTAGCACTGGAGAAGCTAGCCTGGACACGGAACCCAAACTCAATGCTGCTGAATCTTTCTATCAGGATCCGTACACGGAGGAACCAATTGACATGGATTGCTTGAATACCATGCTCGGTCATATTGATCGTACGGTATCATCAGAGAATGCTACAATGATTATGGAGCCAATTGACTATGACGATATCTTGGACGGTGCCCGTCAAACCCCCAAACAGAGTAGCCCAGGACTGGATGGCATCGGCTATGAGATACTTTACCTCCTTGTCTCTCACCCAAGCTGTCGTGATATTATCCATCAGGTATTCAATGACGTTGTTCGCTTGGAAAAGTTCCCCAAATCTTGGCAGGCCTCGTGTATCATTATCTTACACAAGAAAGGTGACAAGAGTGATCTAGCTAACTACCGTCCCATCACACTGATTTCAGCGGATTGCAAAGTTTTTACGCGCATCATGAACCCTAGAGTTGTCCAAGTGGCTAACAGGATTATCACCCCTTATCAATGCGGTTTCTTGCCCGGCCGTTATATTGGGGATTATGGAAGGTCTCTCCAGGTGATTATGGATAATGCTCAGTCTGCTAGCTGGCGGAACCCCTACAACTTTACTGCCTATGCTGGCATCATGCTTGATAATGCCAAGGCCTATGACCAGGTTCACCCAAAGTATCTCTCCCAAGTACTGTTAAAGCTTGGCTTCCCTGAAGCGTTTGTCACATGCATTATCAATTTGTTCTTTGATAACTCCATCTATGTCAATGTGAATGGTTTCTTAACCGGTGCAATCTCACAGCGACGAGGGATTCGTCAAGGTGATAGTATCTCGCCAGTCTTGTTCAACCTGTCCATTGAGCCGTTCCTACTCTCCATAGTCAACAATATGAACCTCACAGGATACAGCCTGCAACACGTCAAGCTCCCGCACCAAATACAGAACCCATGGATATCTCCTGCTCCCATCAAGGTCCTCGCGTACGCCGACGATGTCCTATCGTTTGTGAAATCGCAAGCTGAATTGGTAGAGCTACAAGAACTTCTACTAGTATACAATCGAGCTTCCAACGCCAAGATCAATTACAGCAAATCCGTCGCCTTCCCTCTCCACGGCAGTGCCATGAAGTCCACTGACGGCCAACAGATCAAGCAATATGTCACCACTCCACGGGCTATATCAAGTATCTTGGATACCCACTCTGGTTTGCTAATCACCAACGCGATGTCTTCGTCTCAGAACTCATTGGCAATATCAATGTTATGACCGACATCTTTGGCTCTAGACTCGTCTCATTATATGGCAAAGCTAACATTGCAAATACTCTCATCCTATCCAAACTGTGGCATGTTATTCGTGTGGTGTCTCTCCCTCAGGAGGTCCTAAAGAAGCTCAGATCAATTATATACCAATTTGTGATGTCTGGCCTGTTTCCACCTCTCAAAGGCACTTCTTTCTTCTTTCCTCGTGATCAAGGCGGATTAGGCTTGATCGATATCGGTGCTCAACAGAAAGCCCCACAGTTTCGTTACCTACGAGTCCTGCTAGTTGGCAATCATGGTCTACTACCTGATTTCACGTATCAATTGTTAACCAATGCTCTACGTCTTACAAACGACGCTGCTCACCATGTTCTGCGTCTATTGTTCATGTCAGCTCGGTATAAGAATACGCTGAATGGTCTCCACCCATTCTTGTCTATGTTCAATGCCATGGATACCTGCAATACTCACAGCTCCTGGTCCAGTCGCCCACCAGCTCACACTCCAACCATTTGTACACAACAATAGCACTGGTGACCCTGATTTCCAGCCCTTTGTCGACTCATTGATATACCAACAGCAGCAGATACCGAAGCTAGCGAACAGAGGTCTCCGTTTCATCATGCTGGACATGGCAAACCTCGACGTTAGTCGTAACTTCAGCAACCACCTCAACAAACAACAATGGCAGACTTTCTACAAGAATAACATGCATTACTCAGCTCGCAACCTATGGTATCGAATGATACATAAACAAAGCTCCAACAAACTTGCCATGTCGCAACTCTATCTGAAACATGCTGAATCTGATAGATATAAACTCTGTTATGAAGTGGAAGGCGCCAAACATCTCCTGATCAGTTGTGTCCACAAACTTGATGTATGGGACTCCTCATTCAACGAGTTCCTTGGTTACCCCAAATCTGCAGATCCACATCTTATCTACAAATCAATCACGCTCTTCAAACTGAACCGATATTTCATATACAACTTGGATATCCACATCACGATCTTTGACTCTTTGCCACCATTATGCGTATTATCTGGAGAAACCATTATCAACAGCTTTACAACCACATGCCTTTTGATTCAATCCAAACCAGCCGCCAAATCAGAACCGAAGTGTTAAGATTGTCAAATCTTAAGCAACTTTCTTACTAGATTTATCATAATAGCTTTATATATGGCAAGTCACTTTGATAGCATACACTTGTCCATCTCTTTGATGCATTTGTCTTATTTCTAATTATTATCCTAATAAAACAATATCATCCAAAAAAAAAGTTTTCATCGAAAATCAAACAATCGCGTTTTTGACTTTGATAATGAAGACTTTTGCTATGGTATATATTAAATCAAAATGTTTCTATCGATCTAAAGTAGCCTCTGAAATCAACTTTGTGAGACCTTACTACGTAAAATTTCGACTTTCTGGCCAGGAATCTCTTTTCATATTTTCATAAATTGCTCAATAAATTTACTCAAAACATCTATCTTACTTGGTACGGTTGAATGCGCCTTGAAAAGTACTTTAAGAATATATTAGGAAGCATTTTTTTTTTGTAGGGGAGACGAGCTCCAAGTTTTATTTAAAGTCCTTTAAATGTCATACTGAGGGATAGAAAAGAATGTTGGTGGACCCAATGTCTGCAATGAAGGGGAATAAGATATTTTTGAATTAAGTTGGGAAAGAAATCTACTACTAATAAGGTGCGACTCCTAGAGCCAGTACAGTCTTGCGGAAATCGTCAAAATATAGATCATGGATAAGAATACAAAACACCAAACGAGGACATCAGTACTACGTCAAAAATTCAGACAACTTGCGTTCACCAGGATTTGAACCGGGATCCTCCCGTTGGCATACGGGAGTTTCTACCACTTCGCCCTACCACCAGGGACCGTATTAGGAAGCATGGGTTGATCATCAGATTTATATAGTCGGATCTGGCAAAATAGTTCAATCAAGTCGAAAAACTATCAGAATTTGGCCAATCTGAAATAGACTACAAGTCTGAATTGAAACTAATTTTGACTTCTAGTGGAGCCGGCTGGTAAACTCAATGCCCTTTTCATTATGAAGGCAATAAAACAGTAATAATAAATACTTTTGAGGTGTATGAAAGGTAGATGGCGAATTACATAGTACTATCATTAGCCATGCAAGTCTATTAAAATACTTGTTAGTGTTGAGTCTGTAGAAGCTGCGGGAGTTCAGTAACTTAGTGGCAGTCGGATCACGATTTACGTTGTTACTCACTGTCTATGTTGGGACGCAACGTTCAACAAGAAGTGAACTATATGTTTGGCTATGAAAGTCTATGCTTATGAATGACTAGGGTATGTTGTGTATCGTATCATTGTAGCTGAACTGACGATTGGATCCTTCATAATGATCGGTATTGGATATACGGAACTCGATGTATTGACTCCTCAGTTTAAACAATTAGATTGGTTGATTTATTAGCGATGATAATTTAGTATAAATATGATGTGCTTGAATCAATTAATAAATCATTACTTTTCGCATCTGGTTACTTTTAAAGTCTTCCTTTTGATATCTATCTTAATTTGTTAATATTGCATCTGTTTATACAACAGCTAGATCAACACCTTTCCGTTTTGAGGCTTTAAAAGTATTTAGGGACTATAGATTTATTATGTTATGATATTCATTATTTTACACTTTACTCGCTTAGTTATTTGACGATCAATTTAGCGACTGAAAATTCCTTTATATGCTTATTAACAACCCCTAAAAATGAGTATACGATTGCTGTGATACAAAATCTCTAAAATTAATCAACACACGGAGTGAAAAAGCTATTTTCCTCTTTGAATGAAATGCGCTGCACATATTTGACCCTTCGCCAAATCATAACAGACAAAGTTTAACCAAAAAGCTTTCACTACAACGTTTCTCAACGCCTATTCCATAAATCTACCATTCGCAATTCCTTGCAACTAACAGCTTTCAATACCTTTTATACGTAGGTCTTTGCTCGAAATTGTCTTATTTCCAAAATCTTCCATTCCTGATCAGCAACTCATCATCCATTTTAAAACACAAATACACTATCGTTTTTGTCCCTTAAAGTTGGTATAGAAGAAACATGCTACCTTCAAAGCTCTAGCGTCAGTATTTCAAAGCTTGATGTTATTAATGATGGCTCCAACCTCAAAGCTGGAAATATTTTGTAAATCCAAGGTTGGATAGGAGATAAAGGATAGCAACCCATAGAATTGAGACTAGCTGGAAACCAATGATGACCGATGCATGTTTGTTGAGAGGGTGTTTGGTACTGAGAGGGTCTGGTGCCTACTGTACTGCTGTGCCTATACTATTATCACTTTCACCACGTCTAATATTTAAAGGATATTCCTTACTTCAAACTGTGTAGTAGATGTTAATTCTAGCAAATGCACCTTATCTTGTTATAGAATAAAAAATGGTCTAAATTGTACTTGTCTACTGAATTATCCTTTTATTTTAATTAATTAATTAAAAATACAAAATGATTTAAAATGGCAAACCAGCATAAAATCAACTAGCTGTAGACCTTTTCTCTTTCAACCTCTCAGCCAATCAAATTGCTTGAAAACTCCGCTGACCTAAAAAAAATTTGCGAGGGTTTCCCCCTGTTTTGATATGAGGCAAAATTTTAAGCGCCGCTATAATAGCAATATAGCCGCTGCTATCATCAAACTTCCCCCAGGTGCTAGAGCATGTCTTACTTACACCACCTAGCTTTAAATTCAAGCATTGAGACCCTTAATCATCACTAAAGTAAGTAGCGATAACCAAGTGGAGGCGGCCTATCTACCTCCTAGCCTCGGATAGAGTCTTGTTGAGTTTCAGGGATAGGCACATCCACACAACGTAAAAAAGGTATGCTTCAAAGAAACATAATAATAATAAAATAAAGAAGAAAACATACTACTAAAGGAGTATAGTAGTACGTAGACAAAAAAGAGACACTCACACGAAGCGAGTCAAAGAAAAGCATAACAAACACAACATCAGAGACGTTCAGAACAGCTCGTTGTTGTAACAAAAATCCATACATGAGCAGCATGCATGGTAATAGTCGGATGTAAAGCAACACAACCAACAAAAGAAGAAGAAAAACGCAACAAAGCAAACATCATGAATGCATTATCATGAGGAAGGAAGCAATAATACAAACGTTCAAAGCAGTTTTGTATCATCGCAACCAGAAGAAAGAAGATACTTACCACTTACCACCACCATAGATAGGCCAGAGAATAGGAAATCACCAGAGATAGACCACAGATAGACCAGAGAATACGCAATCACCAAAGATAGACCAGAAAACAGACATAAAACAGAGACAGCAGGCTAAGAAAAACCGGGCTAGCAGCAGCAATACCAGCAGCAGCTTCATCAGCAACACCAGCAGCAGCGCCATAAGCAACACCAGCAGCAGCGCCATAAGCAACACCAGCAGCAACATCATCAGTAGCATCATCAGCAACACCAGCAGCAACAACAATAGCACTGAAAAATGAAGAACGAGCGACACCAGAGACCAGACAAAGATTAAAGAAGCAACCGCCAGAGATAGAGACCAAAGAAGCAACCACCAGACATGATAAACCAAAGAAGCAAGCAGTAGAAATAGCAGAGAAGTAATGGCAGCAGCATCAACAACATCAAACAGGCAAAAAATTATCAAAACCTAATAAACAAATTCGATTAGTGCTGATTTTACGTCTTCCAGTGCTCGTTATCGAATAATACCTACTATATTCCGCTTCAAAGAAGCAGTATCAAGTACTTGTAACAGTGCAGAACCATGTTATCATAAGCTAGAGTGTTATTTTCAATCAAAAGGGTTCCAAAACCAATATAGTATGATACTAAATGCGTTTTGCAAAAAGGGTAAAAAAAACAGAGGAATGGAAAAATGAGATGACGCCTTAACCGACGTCACGACCAGTAGATTTAGTCTCAGTTTTTTGCCGTGACAGACGTAGTAATAGCTGCACTTTAATTTGAAATTATGCGGTGGATATTTTTGTGTTCAAATTTGACTTGATCTGACATCCTTTAAACGTTTTTGCTAAGTTTGACTATAAAAATTGTTGTTGTTATACTTTACTTTCTAATACATCTATAAAGAGTCAATGAAGGCGCATCGAATGATGCTGATTACATTCAGCTTTCAGACCGAAATAATGAGCAATTTGCGAACATTTCAAAACCGGTTTTCTGCGAATATATCAAAATCTAGCATATACAAGTCTCATTAAAACAGCTTCCAGTGTTGCATTACATCTTTACGATCAATTTGATCCGATATGTATCATAGAAAAAGTCGTCATTTTTGGGGTGAAAAACGCGATCGTTTGATTTTTAACAATTTTCCCTTACTAGTACACATAAAAAAATGAGGATTTTTATGGATTTGCGATGACTTAAAAAGTTTTGAGATAAAGCATCAGTAAGTAAAGTGTGGACAAGGAGAGACGTTTGGCCCTATTCCAAGCGTCCACAACGCTTTGTAGCATGAGTTATTTGTACTTCAAAATGGCTAAATTTGGACAGAATTTGACCAAAAATAAGTCGTAGTATGTTGTGCTGCCAAAGAATTAAGTAAATTACATTTCTTTCTAATGTCCCTGATGTTCTGCATTGTACGAAACTCAATCCCTAAGTGATAGAAGGTTTTATTATTCTTATTCTAGAGCGCAGATCTTTTTTCTTTTTGAAATGCGCGATTACAGTAATTTTAAGGCCTGACCGTCAACGATGTTTTGCAAATTTGAATTTAACAACTTGCTTTTATTGAACGAGATGCTCGTCAGGTTATTAGCAAGACACTTTTGATGATTGTCCACAGCTGAGATGTCATATCTAGCCGTAAAACTAGACTGAAAGTCTATCCACAATGTTGGACATTCATAATTAAAGGAGAAATGATTGCTATCGGGCACGCTGAGTCGGTGTCAGCACGATGTGGGGAACAAACAGTAAAGTTATGTGTCAAAATCGACTAAACAGAGACTCATAATACCTATAACACTTGTGATATAAGAGTCGATATCAGCAAACTGTAGTGAGATCGGGTTTAGATGCATTCATGGAGCTATACAGTCGAAAAGGTCAGCTTCAGCCAAATTATTGCCCAAAATCAATCGCTCAAACGCTTTTTTTTTTGCTAGAGTAGTGTCGCATATAAGTTTTTTGTTGTGCGCTGACATTAGTCAATACATGCTCTAGATTCATTTTATAGACTTGAGCATCGTATGGACGCTTTTGTGCTGTTATTGAGAAAAGACGTGTTTTTGCCATGGTAAACTTCAAATTTGGGAGTTAAACCCGATTTTTCAAAGAAAGCATCGCAGTAGGTGCCCAGAGATCTCATTTTGTAGAACAATCGAATGTTGATTGTTCAAGCGACGATAACTTTTTATATAAGTGTCATCCATAATTCAATTAATAAAGGCTCGTATTAGTAATAGCATCTGGTTAATTTAAAAGGTCTTTATTTCTTTTTGCCCTTTTAAATTTCTCTTTACATTGTATTCTACTTCTCGGATACAGCACACTCGGTGATCCTCGCTTCGGTAGAACTGTTTGTTAGATTGTTTGAATAATACATTGCTTTGCTTTGCCAAATTGACTCTATATTGTCAGCAATCAATGTAGTAATATTAATAAGCATTTCAGGACTGTATCCGCTCGAGGGTTTAAGGCCAACAAGGTCTGGCAAGCGCCTTTTAATAGATATTACTACCGCTGATTCTTGCATGTAAATGGCAGGTGGATCATTATTTGCGTTTCTCATTAAATATCTTCCAATTACATTTTTGGAACCTTAAACAAGGAGGATGCGTTGTGAGCTTGTAGCAAAATACAGTATTCAGATGCGATCAGCACGATCTAATTCCAACAACCACAATGCGACCCTACATACAGTGTATATCATAAAGTTTCTCTTTTGCTGCTCTCATTCGATCATTGACTCAATTATACGCTCTTTCATAATGACCGAGATTCAGGCTGCAGTGAAAATTTATAGAAACATAAGCAATAGCTTTGAAAGTTGGAGTAGCTATAAGCTTTTGCATGGCTGCTGGTATCACAGTTGTGTACAAGGAAATGCAAGACACAGTTGACAACATCATGGTACATGGAAAAGACGTCACTTGAATAAAGACATCAATGTTGATGAGCAAGGTCGACAATTTTTTTTCTTTTACACAACTTACTCTACTACAGCATTTAAAACAAATCATGTTAAAATTCAAGAAGCACGATACAGGTTAGAGGCATAATTGAACGAGCAATTCAAGAAATTCATTCAGTTTAATAGAAAAAACCGAAATCAAAAAAGAATCTCGTAAAGAAGAATCTAAAAAGGAGCGTTCTCGTTCACGCTCACGTTCCCCACGTAGTAGAAGAGACCGTTCACCTCCTCGTAGACATGAACGCCGATACAGTCGCTCACCTCCATCATCGCGAAACAGTAGCAGCAGAAGATCTCGCTCACCGCCTCGTCATCGAAGAGATCGCTCTCCAGATTACGACAGACACAGATCATCTCGATATCGTTCTCGCTCTCGCAGTCCAACTCGATCTTCAGCAGCATCAGCAACAGCAGCAGCTAAATCCAGTGAACAAAAGGTAATTGTGACACCTCTAGTTCTAAGGAAATCACTCGCCTAATTACAAGAGTTTCCTTTTTCCATTTAATTAGGGCGTCAAGAGAGTTTTAAAGAAGCAACCCACATATAGTCTAATTGAATTAGAAGTAAATGATCGATTGGGTAAAAAAGTTAGAGTTAAATGTGCACCCAACGACCTTGTAGGGGACTTTAAAAAGCTGGTTGCAGCACAGATTGGCACAGAACCAAGTAAAATCGTTCTCAAGAAATGGTATAAGGAATTCAAGGATCACATCACATTGGCAGACTGTAAGTTGGCTTGTTGGGATTGCGTGGTCTGTGGGCATGCGTTATTCACAGAATGCTTGATAGATGAACTGCATGACGGAATGAATTTGGAGCTGTATTATCGATGAGAAGGTGTTGCACAATGTTCATTGGTGTTCCTCAAATTTGTGCTTCTCGGTCAAATCAACCATCTATTTTTGACGATGAAATGTAGATAAATGGACATGTAAAGACGCAATAAAAATACGACGCGCTGTGGAAACGCAAACCCTGGGTGAGGAATGTTCCTTTTTGATTGTTCAGCACTGCTCCAACCTCGATGTACAGTGATGGCAATGTGGTGGTTGCGTTTTGTTGACCAAAGTGTATTTTGTTATTCCGCATTGATTTTAAATGGACTTTTCTTTTTCTTCCCCTTGCTATAAAACCCCCCTTACCTCACTCACTGTCTCTTTGTTTCTTTTTTTTTCCTGTCTCTACACTTTTTTTACGAACCTACACACTACACAACAATATGTCCAGCAAGGATTCCATCGCAGAAAAGGACGCAACTGATGAATTTCCAAAATCGGACGATCTCATCAAGGAGGACTATTCCGCATTAAAGCAGACGCTGAACACCATCCAGAAAGAAAACACAGCCTTGAAGGAGGACAACTTACAGATAACAGCAACCATCGACGAGCTTCGACACACTGTAGATGAACTGCAAAAGACTCTCGCAACTGCAAAAAGTGATTTGGCTGCTTATGACGAGCGTCACGCCACCATTTTGAGTGAACTGAACGGATTGAAAGAATCAATAATGGACTCCAATAGAATGTATCAAGACATCTCAAACCCACAACCATCACAGACCGCGCTCTTGCCAAATGAAGCCAGAGACACGATTGCATCCTCCCAACGTAGTATTCCTGCACCTTCTAAAGTATTGCTAGACGAGAATAAGAAGAAAGACAATAGATTAGTAGAATTAAGACGTATCACAAGAGAATACATGAATGTTAGTGACGAGGAAGCAGGGCTCAGACTATACAAGCTGCAGAAAACAATGATCCATGTCGTGTCTGATTTGAAAAAGTACATGATGAGTCGACACGAAGATGTAACCAAATCGTGGAAGTCTATCGACATCAGCACACAAAGAGTGGCATTTGAGATGGTGGAAAAAGAAGCAAGCAATCTGGGTGTGCCTTTGAATTTGTGTATTGGTTACTGGGGTGCAAGAAGATTGATCAGTAAATCTTGGGCAAATGCCTTGAGAACATCCAAGAAGCACGTTAATACAGGTACTTTTTTTTTTGGATTTTTTTTTTTTTTTTTTTTTTTTTTTTTTTGCTTTTGCACGGACATGATTATTTATTGATTCATGATAGGTCCCGAGACGAGAGAAGATAGGCCAGAGGATGATCAACCAAGGGCAACAGATGTTACGGAACCTTCTCCAGATACCGATATTCATGACAACAATGACAACAACAATAACATCACTAATACTACTCACGATGATCAAGACGACGCCTCTTCACCCTCACCTGACTGCAGAGCTTCCAAAAGACCAAAGACTAAGGCATAAACTCAACGCTTCCATCTCTTGTTATTTTCTCTTTCGATAATAAATATATATCTGTACATTTGCTAGCTCTATCTTTCTCTATTTACTATACTATGCAACTAACGGAGTGATAAAATGCCAAACTTGGTTATGCCCGCTTTATGAAATAAAAAGACCTCATGGTGACACATTCTTTTAGCATAAAATCACATGTAACAGATGTGGCATAATGAAGTCTCTTGATGTGTAACCTTGTTCATTTGAATAATTCCAATATGTGTACATGAATTGATTCAGGAACCAACTATTAACACGCCCATTCTCTTACGAAATGTGGACAGTATGCAGAAATCCGTTTCGTATTGAACGATCATACAGATTAAAATAGATACTTGGGGTTTTCCATGAAACTGCTTACCAGGGGTTTTCTGCATCGTTTGGTCTTGACATATGCCACGTATACATTCGATAGAAAAAGTCTCAAGTTCCGGAATCAACACTTCAAACTAGGCCGTTATCTAGCATACAGATTTTCCAGTATCAAAATGACAAAGTGCGAATGTCTCCAAGAACTCGGATGTAAGTAGTCCATTTTTACAAACCCCCCCCCCCCCTAAACAAAAGCCCTATGTGAGGCAGTTACTATTTAAGATTCTGTCGATCTATTGCTTTTCAATTCACATATTAAGTTCGATTAATTAAATCCAATAATGGACCATTCGGAACAGACAATTTCAGTAAATGGTTGAATTGTCTGTATTGATGAAACCTAAGCTTATTGTATTGTTCCTCTGTCAAGCGCTTTGGTTCCTCCCCATATTCTCCATGTTTGAAGTCAATGTATACTGTTGCTGTATTTGTAGAGACTTTGACCATGTAGTGGGATTCATAATCGTGAAGCACAACGATTGTGACAAATGCCCTTTGAGGTATGTATATCTCTTCAACGTATTCTAATTGCTCTGACAATATATACAAAGTGCCAATACCCATTCAACACATTTCGATTGCCAGGTTATCCAATCGCAATCTGTTCGCGTAATTATCATTGAAAAATGTCGAGGAAAGCGTTGCAAGAGACAGCCCCAGCTTTTTTAGACTAATGTAATATCTGATGGCGTATTCCAAGGAGCTTATCATTGCCTTACTTTCTGCCATCTCTTCGTGCCATATTTATATCTCGTTCACCGCACTTGGGTGATCCATTCAAATCCAGGTCTGTTACTTGTGAAGAGAACGCTTTCAATGCGTGCTGATATAATGCCTCCATGTGAGACGATATGCAAAGATGAATACGCCTCGTCATCGCTTGTTTGCTAGATCTCTATCTGAATGCACCGAGATTGGTAGCTTCCGGCTCATTTTCGTAAGTTGACTGTAAATTATTCTTGTATGGCTACATGAATTTTGATATTTGCAAGATGATTTCCAGTATGATTTTTAGAATAGTTCTGAGTCCACTAAAATCGAAGCAAGGAATAGGCCGCAAGTACTTGATAAATCTGATGACTGCATCTATATACTGAACGCTTCGTGTATAATAATACTCTTTGTAATCTAAAAATTGCCACTTGCCTCGAGTACAATGTCAAATCGTCGCAAAGCAGGGAGCTTGTCCATGATATATCTGAAATCCTGAGTAGTGATCAATGCATCGCCTCTTGTCACCAACTCTGATGGAGGACAGGATCTTTGAAGGCATTACGTTGAATTGATTGGTAATTGAGAGACGTCAGTGTTGCTGTTCTAATTGTAAATGTTCTAGCAACAGTTCTACTGATTTGATGTTGCGAGGGCACAATTTCACATAATGCTTAGCTTTGCTATGGAGGTTGCTCAGAGGTCTCACTAAAATATGATCACAGCTTCTTCTATTTATAAGAATATGTATGTCACTGTACACAAGCTCTTGAGCTACAGATGTTCATGAATGGCAGATGTGCTGCAGATCCAAAAGGTCAGTACCATCAATTTATGAAAACACTTCTTTTCAAACTTCGTTGGGAAGCTGCCCATGATGACATTATAATTATTACAAGAATAAAAAATTTGCATGGAAGCAAGCTTTTCTTTATGAAGAATATTTGCATTGAGGGTCTGATGATGTTCAATTTGGAGAGCTCACTAGACACTCATCAAAGCCAACTGCTGGTCCGTTATGTATGTTGTATGACAAGCAAATGTATAAAGCACAGCCAAATTTGATAGCTTTCAAACCTTAGTATCTTGACATGTAGACCTTTCTGAGCCACCAAAATAACGCCAAACAATTGTACTCATCCAGCAGTTACTTTCTGACGCCTTTGCTCAACTTTTTGGGAATCCAAAAAAATGGCCAAAAATCGACCAAAAAGCATGAGGTACCCCTCATGGTTTTCACCGAAAATCAAACAATCGCATTTTTTACCTTGATAATGAGGACTTTTACTATGGTATATATTGAATCAAAATGTTTCTATCGCTCTAAAGTAATCCCTGAAATCATCTTTGTGAGATCTTGGTATGTAAAATTTCGACTTTTTGGTCAGAAACCTCTTCTCATATTTTCATAAATTGCTCGATAAGTTCAGTCAAAACATCCATCTTACTTAGTACCGTTGTATGCGCCTTGAAAAGTACTTCAAGAACGTATTAGGAAGCATGGGCTAATCATCAGATTTATATAGTCGAATCTGGCAAAGTAGTTCAATCAAGTCGAAAAGCTATCAAAATCTGGCCAATCTGAAGCAGATTGTAAGTCTGAGTTGGAGTTATTTTTGGCTGGTTGGGCAGGCTGGCAAGCTCAATGCCCTTTCCATCATAGTAATAAAAGGGTATTATCTCTGAGTTTCTCTGGCCCACGGTAACCACTGATAATATCCGCCATTCCCCCCTCACTTTCGACTTTTACAATATTCGATATAGTCAGCGGCCTCGTGCTTCCTCCCATCATATAGTCATCATTGCGATGTCTAACATTTGGAAAGCTCACTATCGTCTTATCTTCGATCAAACTTCCTTCGCTTCCGCCGTTGTGCTGAATAGTATCCGACTCGACATCCAAAAGATGATCGACGAGGATCTCATTCATGTCAGCCTATAATAGTCCCTCTTTTAATCGCTCTCATATTTTGTCTAAACATATACTATATTATCACAGAAAATTGCGCCCGCCGCTCGATTATAATACTGCTACTATTGTCTACGCGGAACAAGCAATAAAAACTTTTAAAAATCATAGTAATAGATGCTTTAGAGGCGTATGGAAAGTAGGTGTCAAATTACATAGCTCTATTGTTAGCCATGCTATCTCCTTGCATTCTATATTTAATAACGCCAGTCTATCAAAATATTTGTTAGATCAACCTCTTTCCTTTTTGAGGCTTTGAAAGTGTCTAGAGACCATAAATTTACTACGTTAAGATGAGCATTTTGACTCTTTGGATGGTTTCTTGACCTACGTTTTGCTTTGGTGGAGACCAACCTACGCTCAGGTAGTTCGCGCTGCCGCTAGCCTTTGATTAATATTGCAAAATTAATAATAGCTAAAATGCTAGAATAAACTTGTTTGTTGATTGATAGTGATTTAAAATAAAATCTCTAATCATATATGAACCATGCCTGACAGATGCCTGGCAACTCAGTCTTTATATTAGGGCTGTAAAAGTATCTAGGGACTATAAATTGATTATGTTATGATAAAACATCCCAAGCATCTTTGTCATCAACAGAAAGACATTTTGGTGAGCCAGCAGCAGGACCAAAATTTATCCAAACGCAAATTAATCTTTCTGTTCAAGATTGGCCAGGATCTGTTTTTTTTTCGGCTTCTTTAATCTATTTTATAATATTCGACTATATAAATCTGATGATTAGCCCATGCTTCCTAATACGTTCTTGAAGTACTTTTCAAGGCGCTTCCTATGATACCAAGTTATATAGATGTTTTGAATACACTTATTGAATGATTTGTAAAAATATGAAAAGAGGTTTCTGGCCAAAATGTTGAAATTTTACATATCAAAGTCCCACAAAGATGATTTCAGAGGTTGCTTTGGATTGATAGAAGCATTTTGATTCAAGATATACCATAGTAAAAGTCTCCATTTTCAAGGTAAAAAATGCGATCGTTTGATTTTCGATGAAAACCATGAGGGGTACCTCATGCTTTTTGGTCGATTTTTGGCCATTTTTTTTGGATTCCCAAAAAGTTGAGCAAATGCGTCAGAAAGTAACTGCTAGATGAGAGTAATTGTTTGGTACTATTCTGACAATCTAAAACGGCCTTGATCGCAAAAAAAACGCAGCTCAAACGCTTCTAGATTTTGCTGTATCAAGGACACTAAGGACTAAAAAGGGGGAATATTAGTATGCTGCTTGCCCATATATGAAGTAGCTACGTGTACATGGATGTAGAGCATCACATAAGAATCATATCCACAGATAATATGAAAGGTTTTCATGTGTAAGTGGAGGGTCAAAATGAGAGTAGTAGTACTTTGATGCGATGAGCTAAGGCAATCGGTAGCGCGAGCTGCCACTGCGCAGTTTGGTTCTCACCAAAGTGAAGCAAAGGTAGAGAGCCGTCCAAAGCATAAACACTTGTATTAAATAATGATATAACCACAATTGCCATCATTTTGACATTCAAATGCAATCTGCTGGAAGTGCCTTACTATTACCCGGCTTCGTTTGTCTATACTGGATTTTAAATCAGCCGCCCACACGTCCAGCAGATGGAACACATCTCTAGTTTCCAAAAAGATGTTCAATGAATTAACTAAATTAATTTTCTAGTATTCTGGCAAATCTATTTTAGTGATATGAGGGGCGTCCCTTGAAATCTCGCCACACTGTGACATGTGCACAAGCATTGGCATTTCTCACGTTTGAAAAGCATGTAATGGATTCAAGAACATCCCAATTCAGATCATAGTCATAACACTCATTCGACCAAATGCCTTGCTCGGACTACCATGCGTGAATGAACGCACACTTCAAGATCAGGAACATCTACGCATCGTTATACCATCTCCTTTTCAAATACTGGCAAAAATGCCAAGATAAAAACTTATATTTGGAAACAAACTTTATTTTGTCTAGCCATATTACGGATGTCTCTTTTCCCAAGCCAAGTAAAATCAGTTGTGCATTCATGTTGCTCAGCAGTATCACAGCGCCACTGAAGAATGACAGATTACCAGGAATCATCCATGTTCTGGATCTTTTGTATAAGACCAACAAAGCGTTGTATGTTCCCTAATTTGGATCCCATCTCGAGCCACAACACAACTTGGCCAATGATGACACCAAGGTACCCGCCACACATGCACACAATAAGGATATTTTCTTATAAAAAAAAAAAAGGGTTATATTTTTTATTATGTTACAGAAAAAAAAAATAGTAGGGAAAAAAATAAGTGAGATGATTAGACTTATTGCACTTGAACAGACGAAGGAGAGGATGAAGAGATGGTATCAACTGATTTATGCTGTTGTTGCTGTTGTTGCTGATTTTTGAAATTCTTATTGACCCATTGGCTCAAATTTTTTAATAGTTGCTGATGCTTCTCTAATTTGGATTTGTCTGCAGTTGGATACAATTCTTGTTGTGTCGTTTGTGCTTCCTTCTCGATAGCCAAGTCTGACATATCACTCACTAAAAGATCCAAGATATCCTTACTTACGGGTGATTTCTTGGCACGGGGCTGCTGGGGTTGCTTATTGGTTTCGGAAGATGCAACCGATGATGATGAAGACGGCTTCTTAGTGCTATTGGAGCTGATATCATCGACGCTAGCAAAGACATTCATCATGGTGGTAACATTCTTTTTGGATTCAATCAGAGTGTCTGGCTTGACTGGCTTGAATGCCTCGGCTGCTTTTTCTTCTTTGAATTCCGCATCAACAGGTGATTTCGACTTGTACTTGACATCATCCTTTGAACTGCCCAAGTTTTGTGTGGTTCGAAGATCAGGCGTAAAGTAGTTATTGCTGTTGACAATGCCAGGCACATTGGCATAATGGTGTCGCATGCCATTCATCTGGGGCGGTGGTAATTCAGCTGCATAGTTGTAGGTGGTTGTGTCCATCATGGGCATCGAGTAATCGCCATAGAGCTTGGAAGGAGTGGATGGGTTGTAGTCCAACGCAGATGTTTGCATCAATGGTTGGGATCTGACGTACATGTCTTGCTCTGGATTGTGTGTATTGGCAGTGGGATATAAACTAGTGTCACTCATTGGTAAATTAGCATTGAATTGTAGTAACATGTCAGCATAGTTTGTTTGTTGCAGTGCGGGTTGTTGCTGCTGCTGTTGTTGCTGTTGCTGTTGCTGTTGCTGTTGTACAGCAGCGTAGTCATATGATGCATTGCTAGCAGGAACTGCACTAGCACCTCTTCCAACAGCACCACCGCCTTCAATGCTTTCAGTAAGCTGAGCCAACCAAAGGTTAAAGTTATTCAGCTGCTCTTCGTTGTTCATGTTGAGCGAGTTTGGACTGATAGAGCCGTTGTCCACTAGATTCTGGAACATATCGAGGTTATTCATCATATCTAAATATACAACAGCAAATTTTAGGATACATATATTAGCAACTATAAATAGATTCAACATACCTGAATTATACTCAGTTTTCAGTTGATTAGAGCTTTCATCGACAAACATCAGGTTGTTCATGATATCATCAGGTATAAATTTGGGTGGAGAATAAGGGGTAGATGGTTCTTGTTTAACGGACAAAGAGCTGCTGCTATTAAAGCTCTGGTAGCAATCAGAAGAGGGCGATGACACAGCACCACTATGGTTGGTGTGGAGAGGTGGCTGCATCCAGCCATCTACTTGGGACCAGGAGTGAGTTGTTTGATGAATCATATTGATACCATTTTCTTGTCTTACCATCAGAATAGTTGCTGCTGCTATGAGGAGGGGAAATGGGCACCTTCAAAGAGGTATGACTAATGACGGTAGGATTAGGAGATAACGACATGTCTGGCTGCCTAGGAGGTGTTAAGGGCGTCATATTGGCCGATGAACGATTAGGTCGAATCTTTACAGGTGCTGCATTTTCTTCGTTGTGAATTCTTTCATGTTTCTTCAAATCTTGAGGACGCTTGAACGATTTGTCACAAAACTATGACAAGGGGTGAGCTATTCGGTTCAAGACTGGGATGAGCAACAACTTACATTGCAGTGATGAGGCTTCAAGGGGACATGCACACGAAGATGGCTAGTAATATGATCTCTCTTTACAACAGAAACTTCGCAATCTTCCCAATGACAAGTCAAGCACAGGTTACCGGTTGACTTTCTACCCACATGGTCATTTGTTAAATGACTGTAGAGATGTTCAGGGTCGGTATAAATTTTGTTACAGTTTTCCCAACGACAGTTGTATCTTGAATAATCCATATTTTATGTATATAGAGTGATGGAAAAAAAAGAGAAGAAGAGAGAAAAAGAGAAACATGGAAAGTGAGCATATTTATATCCCATCACCACCGCCAAGCCACTGTATTTGAAATTGTTGTGCACAGCCATTTCACCCCTTTTTCCCAAAAGATAAACATGAGCCTTCCTAGCATAAACAGAGGCTATCTAAACTTATCCTTGCATTCGTTGAGCTAAGCAGCTATTTGTGTTCTGGGCCATTTTTGCTGCCTAAGTGAGTATACGGTGGTGTTGTATCATTTGCATGATTATCGCTGAAGTTGAACATTTCATCACCACGCCTTCTCCCCGCTCTTTTTTCTCCCTCCATCATTTGAGGCCTATGAGATTCATTGGGCCCCTCCGTGTGTGTATGGATCGAAGTTTGGATATTCGAGGAAATCCATGTAACAATCAGTGCTAGAAAGGCATGTTACATACAAGAGAACATCACGCATCCCCAGTGCTTAACATTCATGTATCCAATTTGTTGATAAACAAGGAAATCCTTTAAACGTTTCTATAACGGCAAAATGGCCGCATTTGGCTAAACAAAAGTGGCTCTTTTGATCAACAAGAATAGATGGTTGAATATCTGTTTTTCTTTTATTAAAACGCTTTGAAAACTCAAATTATGGTACAGTAATGAGATGATTAAGAAATGACTATGTATAAGTGGAATGTTGAATTAAGGATTCTACTTCAAGGTATGGCAGAAATATACAAGCTTGTTAGTTTCTCTTGTTCAAGTTGTCACCGTCGTCATGGTGGTGGTGAGAAGCAATTTGATTCTTGGCGGGTAGCATGTTAATAGCAATGATACCTTCTTCGACATGATCTGGGTGTGTTTCGTGGCCAAAGAGCACAGCAGATGGTGCCTCTACCTTGCTGCTGGTTTGCTGATTCTCATCAGCATTACCTTGTTCCTTCTTTTGATCTGTCTTGAGGACAGGAGCAGGCTTGACAAGAAGAGAGAGAAAGAATCCAACACCACACATGGCGGTCATGACATACCAAATCATACGAAGTGCATCCAGATAACAAGCCAAGACGGTCTCTACGTACTGAGGAGGACAGCCATGGCGAACATATTCAGAGGAACCCAATACACTCTGGACAACATTAGAAGGGACAAGGGTGGAGAGATCTTGCGTCAAACTAGAATTCAAAATGGCAGATGAGATGGCCACACCTAATGCACCGCCAAGGATACTAATTCATATTGGTCAACAATGCGATTAACTATAACACATATGCACACAATCCTTACCGACTAAAGTTACCTAGACCTGTGACAACAGCAATGTCTCTAGGCTCAGCTGAAGCTTGTAAAGCAATAATTGCCGAGGAGAACATGCATCCAAGGCCCATGCCACCAATGACAGTAAAGCCATAGACGTTTGACCAAGATGTATCCTCACCAAACGTGGAGATCAAACCAACACACAAAGTAAGCAAACCCATTCCAATAGGTAAAAGTGGCTTGAAAATACCCGTCTTTGAGATGAAGAGGCCAGAGAATGTAGCAAACACGGCAATCAGCAATTCCATGGGAATCAAACGAATACCAGACCACATGGCAGAATCTTCACGAACAACTTGAAAGTAGATGGGAAGATAATACACCATACTGAAGAAGGTCATACCAAAGAACCAGTTGGTAGCCAATACAGCAGAGATGGTGCGGCTCTTGAACAGACGAGGAGGCAATAGGGGTTCAGCGACCTTGCCTTCAATGAAAATCAACAAGGCAACCAACAGACCCGTCAAGACAAGCGGAACAATGACAGCTGCAGATTTCCAGGGGAACGTTTGACCACCGAAATTCATGGCCAGCAAGAACAGCGTAGCAAATGCAAGCACAATGCATGTACCCACATAATCAATACGCTTCAACTTGTCCTTGAGATTGCCCTGAGGCACCGGTAAATGCAAAAAGAAGACCAATACGAACAAGGCAACAGCACCAATGGGTAAGCTACAGAAGCAAACCATGTTCAATGACACGATAATTGATTTCATACCACTGCCAACTTACTTGATGTAGAAATTCCAACGCCATGTTACATAATCCGTGAAACTACCCTATAAACAACGGTGAATGTTATTCACATTGATCGTCCGATGTAGCAACAAACTGCAAACTTACACCAATCAAGGGTCCAAATACACTGGACAATGCAAACACTGCATTGACGATACTGCAAGGCAATTCAAAAGCGTTAGCGTTTCAACGGATTACAACAGACCCATGATGATTATACATTACCCTTGATAGCTGCCTCTTTTCTCAAGTGGAACTAAATCGGCGATGATAATAAAAACCTATGTCAGGAAAATTTTGATTAGTTTGGAGTACAGAGGACAAAGGGAAAAAAAAAAAAAAAAAAAAAAAAAAAAACCTAGAATTTTACCATGCTAAAGATAGAAGCGCCACCGATACCAGCAATGGCTCTGCACACAATAAGCATGATCATGCTCTATATCAAGGCCAGTTAGATCAAGAACTATCAACACTGTCAAAGAGCAAACTACCTTGGCAGCACCACAAAGCACTGAACCCAACAGAAAGATGACAATACCAAAAATCAGGACCCATTTTCTCCCGAAAATGTCAGAGAATTTTGAAAAGAGAGGTTCTACGAGGCACAATCGTAAGCATGCTGTAATTGCAAAATAGTGATTTCCACTTACGGAAAGCATCAAATGTCAGAATGTAGGCTGTAGCAACCCAAGATACAATGGACATTTGGTTGAAATCAGACCCAATACGAGGTAAAGCAGTGGAAACAATGGTGCTGCCAAGGGGCATGTAGAGTGAGATCAATGAATGCCAAGTGTAGCTAGGTTGTCGAATCTTACCTGTCCAGTGCAGCCAAGAACAAGGCAATCTGCAAACCACCGAATGTAAGTAAGATGTTGTTCTTTTTGGTTGGTTTGGTTTCCACACCATTGGTATTATCCATGGCCATATTTTCTGATTTTGCATCTGATGATGGATTTGCCGTTCTTTCGCTGTATGTGCTGTTCAGCGTGGCAGCAACAGATGTTCTTCTGGAAATACCTTTGTCGAGATGGACGTCATGAGCTTCCAAACTTGTAGAGGGTGGCATTCTTCTGTACAGTAATCAAGTTTTGGTTAAGAAGAAAGAACAAGAAATCTAGCATTTTGACGCAATTTTATACGCTCTTGGTTTCAGTGAAAATTTTTAAAATTTGACAGGTTCACAAATGTGCTGTACTCCCGTTCTCTCGGTGAGGCACACAACTGAGATGAAATTGCTCCCAGCAAATTGCATTACAATGATGACAGCTCCTATTTATTAAAGTTTGCTCTTTGATTTCAATAGTTTGTCTTCTTCAGCAGCCAAATCTCTAAGGATTCTGCGCAGGATTTTGCCAGAAGGGCTCTTGGGCACCTCTTTGATGAACTTGATGGAGCGCAATTGTTTGTAATGAACGACTTGATCTGAAACAAACTTTTTAATGGCATTGGCTGTTTCCTCCGTTTCTGGCACATCTGGCTTCAATGTGATGTAGCCTCGAGGGAGTTCAGTTGCTTGATCTGAATCGTAGACGCCAATCACTGCACAATCAGCGACAATGGGTGAGCTGAGAAGAATAGCCTCTAATTCAGCGGGAGGCACCTGGAAGCCTTTGTATTTGATCAGCTCCTTGATACGATCCACAATATAAAAGTGGCCATTCTCATCTTGAAGAGCAACATCACCAGAATGGAAATAGCCTTCTTGATCGATGCAGTCTGCAGTTGCTTTGGGATTGTTGATGTAGCCTTTCATAATGTTGGGGCCCTTGAGCCACAATTCACCACGCTCGCCACGAGCGACCTCTAAACAGTATCAGTGAGTATGATGTCCTCTGGCAGTAATATGATCAATCTACCTTTGCCTTCTTCATCGACAATCTTGGCCGTCATGTTGGACAGTAAAAGACCAGTGGACCCTATAAGAAACATGTAAGCATCTAACGGAGATACATGTGCATAGTATGATACATACCATCAATAACACGATCTGTAGGCTCTACAATAGCACAAGGAGATGTCTCTGTAAGACCATAGCCTTGTTTGACAATCATGGTGGGAATTCTCTTCTTTACTTGCTGAGATAGATCCACACCTAAAGGAGCAGCACCACAAATGACTAGCTTAAGAGAACTAAAGTTGTATTGATCTATTAAGGGGTTCTTTGCCAATAGCAAAATGATGGGTGGTACAAGAGCAGTAAAGGTGATCTTTTCCTTTTGCACTGTTTCACAAAACTGAACAAGATCAAAACGAGGCATCACATGAAGAGGAATACCCAAATACAAGACTACGTGAAGCAACAGTGTGAGACCAAAGATATGGAAAAAAGGCAACACACCAAGAGCCACATCCTTGTTGGCATTGACAAAGGCGTGATCCAAAGCGTGATATTGCAATACGTTGGATGTAATGTTAGAGTGTCTGTATAAGCTATTAGTTTATGTATCTATCGGCACTGTAAGCATTATATTTACGTTGTCATGACACCCTTGCTTCTACCTACAAAGATAGAATGGACATATTAGTATGTTTGTTGATTGAAACGTCCTGAAGATCACTGCTCGTTTCGTACCAGTCGTGCCGGAAGAGAAGCAGAGGTAGGCAACAGAGTCTTTGGCTTGTTGTGCCGTAAATTCAACTGGAGTAGCACGACGTTCGTTGAAGAATACTTGCGAGTAGGGCAACACCCCATTTACAGATTCACCACCAAAGACAAAGACGTGGTCTTTGGCAAGACCCACTAAATTAGCTGCTGCCAAAGCAAGCTCAACGTTAGAGGGATGAGCAATCAATACCTTGGCTTTGGTCATTTCAAGCTGGTAGGCAAGTTCCTTGGGTGTATAGGCAGGATTAGCGGGGGTGGTAGAGCCGCCTGTTCTACACATGTCAGGTACCGTCTCTTGGATGTGCCTATATATCACTTACCAGCAGCAACAGCACCTAATAAAGGTACAGAATAATCATACTATTTCCAATGTCAGCATGTCAATGGTGTAAAATAGCTTGTATTCAGACAAACCTGATTGGGAGAATAGATGGCAACAACATCACCACGCTTAAAGTCAAACTTGTCTTGCAGAGTAGCAGCAAAGCGCAGGATGTTATCCTTGAGCTTGCCATAGGTTAAACTTTCACCAGTGAAAGCATCAATAAGCAGTGTACGATTTTCTGGGATTTGATGAGGATTAGTTTTGAACAAAAACTGGATGACACCTGTTTCAGGGACTTTGATGTCGGGAAGAGTTGAATGAATCACCATGATTGAAGATTGTGCAATGAGATGAGAAGAAAAGAGTGGAAAGAGGGTGAGAATCTAGGATTTATATTCATAATCATGAATTACTCACTTTATATCATTGGACAAGGTTGTATTTAATTCCCCACATTCAGCATGTTACACGGGTGGAGTATGTTGAAAGGGATCAAGTGGAAGGTCCAAGAACCGCAGGGAAACTGTTCATCCTCAGGATTTTTGACTACTCATTCATGCATACCATATATACAAAGTTTGCTATTATTTTATTAGTGCTTCTCGTTCATATTGTCGTTTGAAGGATGCATGCCACAACTCAATCTCGGTGCATACTGAACATTACAAATCTTGTTAACAGTCTGACATTTGACAGTCTTTTAACGTATCACAAATCTAAAGGAATTTGAATATGCCATTCGATTAGATAAAGCATGATGCACCCAAAGAGAGCTTAGAACGTTTATCCTATGACAAATGGCAATTGTTCTTTTACCCATGAATTTGAGATGCTGCATCATATCCCTTCAGAATTTTAAAGAACTGTGTGCCGTACAAGGTGAATAAAACCACCGGCAAAGCTGGCAATGGGGAGGGGGTTGGGGGGAAGAACATAACGCGTCTAATTCAACATTTGATAGCATTAGTTTATAGGGGGGGGGGGGGTTTACCGTAGCGAAGCAAAGATGCAAAGTCATGGTAATAAGGCATCTAACCCAGCACTTGGCAACAATGATCTATATGAGGGCTTGATTGTAGCGAAGCGAATATGCAAACTATAGTATCTAAGCAGCAAATTCGGGTTTTCATTTCATTGTTAATAAGCTTACAAGCAACATAGCGCATGAAAATTTGCATGAAGCAGCTTTACCAAAATCAATATGCCTCCTATTCGAATTAAAAATTGCTCAAGCTACAGAACTGTCTTTCCAGTAATTTGCAGCTACCAGAAATGCATTTTATGCCGTGTAAATAAACTCTATAAAGCAATACATAGCCAGATTTGACAGCTTTCAACCCTTCATATCTTGACATGTAAACCTTTCTGAGCCACCTGGATAACGCCAAACAATTGTACTTGAGTAGTAGTAACTTCGTGACACCTTTGCTCAACTTTTTGAAGACCCAAAAAACATGGCCGAAAATCGAACAAAAACCATGAGGGATACCTCGTGGTTTTCATCAAAAATCAAGCGATCGCGTTTTTCACCTTGAAAATAAAAACTTTTACTATGATATATATTAAATCAAAATGTTTCTCCAGACCCAAAAGCAACTCCTAAAACTAATTTTATGAGGTTTTCATATGCAAAATTTCAGCATTTTAGCCAAAAACTTTATTTCATATTTTTGGAATTTCTCAATAAATTCATTCAAAACATCTATTTTACTTGGCATCATTGGAAGCGCCTTAAAAAGTACTCCAAGAGTGTATTAGGAAGCATCAGACGATAATCACAATTTATATAGTCGAATTTTACAAAATAGATTAAAGAAGTTGACAAAATACGAAATTTGTCCAATCTTGATCAGAAGAAATAAACTGAGTTTCAATCTATTTTAGCAGACGGCGCTGCTGCTGGCTGGCCCAAATACCTTTCTGATGATGCCAATAATGATTGCAATGCTGGTTGCATGACGATCATAGAATTGAAAGAACAATTGCTTCGCTCAAATATTTCTTCTGAGGAGTTTTATCTCATAAAGATGTCTTTTGCAAAGACAGTATCTTAAAAACGTCGCTGTAAATCTTACGCAAGTCCTATATTTACAGATGGCCATCTTTTGGCCGCCACCTCAAGAACAACATCAGTGAAAGGATATATCCCCCCTGGCTCTGATGATATAGCCTCTTTTTTTGTACTATTAATTGAGTGTTTAAAACCTACTTGATATACCAGATTTACATTGTCTCTGATTTAAAATGTCTTCAGCGAGAGCCGCAGGGCGACGCCGTGATCGAGCGTAGCGAGATTGATCGACTAATAACAAGAATACAGCGAATTGCATGCCGTGTGACATTTGGTGCCACACATTACATGGCACATTTTGTCGCCATCAACATAATTTCATTGCTGTCAGTCGAGACATCATTTTTATCTTGCCTAAAGAATCTACTTCGAGGCGTCGTCCCTGAACAATGAATGAATCCACAGTAAGATCAGATAAGTATGTTGCTCTAGAAACAATATGCACCTATAACAATGGCGACACTGAACGAAGAATAGAGTTATATAAGAAGACTAGCAAAGTGCCATCTTCATTATCACACCTCTTCCTTTTTGCAATAAAACCCATCAACATGATAAAATCTTTCTACATTCATATTGCCTTCGTTATCATTGGTATGCTGTATCTACTCTTTGGATCTAGACAGCTTTGTAAGTAAAGCGACCCAGGCGATGCAAGCCCTTTGTTGACTAACATTGTTGCATTTCAGTCTTTCAATTCTGTCATGAAATGAAGCTTCGTCACACTGTTGCAGCTCCAGAAACACTGCACATTGAAAGCTTAGCAGACAACTTTTACAAGACCATATTTTTCCAATTAAACACTTATAAATGTAAGTTTCTATTGCCTATAGAGACATCTGCTCAGATTGCTTATCTTTTTCTTTTCGTCAGTGATCAACCATTGCCAGCTTCATACCTGGGACTATAGAAAGCCATACGAGTTTTTGAAATCAGTTGTTTCTACGCTCATCAAGGGATGCTCAGACTTGGACAGTGCTTTCATCAAAGATCTGGGAAGCAAGCATGCAACAAACCTGAATGTCGCCTTTCAAGAAAAGATACTCAACAGTGGGGTCTCAAGGAACTTTTTCTGTTTCTATATCTTTTTCATTTCTCTTTTCTTCAAGGACGCTATTCAATCGGCTGCTGTTGATGCTTACAACAATGCGTACAATTATGTCAGAAATTGGTACTTTGATGGTGGCAACATGGCTACTGCAAATGATAATAGCGACAATTCTGGTGACAATAGTGGTGGTCGTGGTGGCCCAGGTGGTCCTGGCAGCAATCCAGGTGGTAATTCTGGTAGCAACAACAATGCTAGCGGTTCAGCCAAAAGAAAGTACAAGACGGAGCAATCAACGCGTCGCAAGCATCTCCCTATTGGCAAGAAACCTGTAATTAGACAAAAAGCCTCAACCTCCAAAGCGCGTTCTTATGCTGCTTCATCCTCCAAGAGTCCTTCTAATATTGCTTCATCTTCCAAAAATCACTCTTCGTCCAAGGCTCCATCATCTTCCAATGCCCCCATTATCGATGTTGACAAAGCTGCAATCTGTCAAGCCGAGAAGGCGGACAAAGTAGCAACAGACAACTTTCAGGCATCTTTTGTCGAAATAAACCTTCAAAAAGCAAATCTTGAAAAAACCTTCTCCAAGTACCAAGGCTTGGTAAATGGCTTGAAAAGAGAATACAAACAAAAACCAGACATTCCACTTCCTGATGCGGCTTCTGCCTCTCTCAATCAATATCTAACCACCCAAAAAGAATTGGTCAGCAAGCTTCGATATGTCAGTTTATTGAAAGCAAAAAGCACATACATGCTTGATGCCGTAACGAACCACCTTCGATTTGCCAAGATAGAAACTGATAAATTAGAGGAGCAACTTCAACGATATGACTTTGCTAAACGTGATCCCTTTGTACTGCTGACCAAAGAAACCGTATCTCAGGTGCCTCCTGTTACTGAAAGATCAGCCAATATCTCTTCTACATCATACCCTCCTGCGCCAGATGCGACCTCCGATTCTGCATATCCTGGTCAACAACCTCAAATAAGACGTGATGCACCCAAACCTTACCCAAGTCACTCTCAAGATGCTGCTCCTGTCAAGAAACAGTTCGAAACTGAGAAAGAGGCCAACGAGTACCTGAAATACATGCCTAGACATGATACGACATTCGAAGACGTAGATTTTGATCAAGTGAAAGTGCCTTGTGGCATCGCGTCTCTACTTGGAGAATACAACAATTATTGTTTCCCTCCTGGCACGTATGAGCCCCCACCACTGAATCCTGATATTCCTCCTACTCCTGCTGAATCCAACTTTGCAACTCTTTTACCTTCAGCACAAGAACAAATACCAAAAAGCAGCAAGAACAAAGGGAAGCAGCCCATGTATCCAAGACTGTAGATCCACTTGAATGGCATAGAATTGTTCCTGCATCAAGCATTAAATTATAAATTTAAAATACAATGTTCATACCTTTTTATAAAAACTATCTAGTTTAGTATGCTTTGGGCCCTAATTGACTGAGTGAAGGCTTTGAATTCATCATTGTGATGATTTACATGCAAAAAGAGACACTGCAAGAACGCGGACTGTGAAACATCAATCAAGCGGGAATAACATTGCTCATGGACCAAAGGACCATTTCAAGTCAAAACGAGCGCCAAAGTCTATAATTCCTTCTTTCCCCGCATCGGTAAGTTAGAATGGTACCTAATTGCATCCATCCATCCACAAGAGAACACAATCCATCCTGCATCAACAGAATATCGTTATGGCTAAAAAGAGACCAACATTTTGAATGTAATCAGTGCGACATTGGAGACATTGCCAGCATTGGAGATTCGTAGATCTTTACGCTACAGCAAATGCATCCAAACTATTAAACTCATCCATCCATCCATCCATCCATCCATCCAGCTATCCCTTCACCAGAATGAATGTCGACATGTATAGAATACCCTCCATCGATCAACAAGACACACCAACTTGTTTTTGCTATGATGGATCTATCATATCAAATCAGCCTAGCAACATAGAAGAGCGAAATCGCAGATAACAAAGTGTTGGATTGGTGTGTGTGCTCTTGCTGGATATTTGGACTGGATGCAAATAGAGCGTAGTTCGTCTGATACTAATCCTGAGGTTTGTTGTAATAGAACCCAACATGCTTATTTCCAAGGAGAACAGAAAGGCTGTCTACTCAGCTCTTTTCAAGGGTAAGTAATATAGGAATACATGTGGAAGAACAGTATAGCTCATGTGTGCTCTTTTTGCGATCAATAGATGGTGCCCTTGTCGCCCCTAAGGATTACAACCTTCCCAAGCACGCCGACATTGACGTCCCTAACCTCGAAGTCATCAAGCTCATGCAATCTTTGACTTCCAAGGGTTTCGTCAAGACCCAATTCTCCTGGCAATGGTATTACTATACTCTCACTGATGAGGGTATTGACTACCTCCGTGAATGTATGTATAGGATTAGTGCAATGGATCGAGTCAAATGCTAATTCTCTTTATGATAGTCCTCCACTTGCCTCAAGAAATTGTTCCCGCTACCTTGAAGAAGTCTGCTCGTCCTGCTGCTCCCCGTCGTGCTTGTAAGTTTGTTATAGGGTTGAATTGGACACAACATTGAATACTGATAACTCTTTGTCTTTCTATAGTCGGTGGTGAGGGTCGTGAAAACCGTGGTCCCCGTGGTGACCGTGGTGATTACCGTCGCAAGGAAGGTGCTAACGGTGACTTCAAGCCCGAGTTCCGTGGTGGTCTCGGTAAGTTATGATTTACATGAACCAAGCGTACAGGATGGCTAACTCGAAGCATTTGTGTTTAGGTCGTGGTAACCGCGAGTAAATTTTATTTTAGCATTTGACTCACTATCGCTTTCTCTTTTGTTAAAAAAATTTACATTGCAACAAACACATTAAATGTTGGTTTTATAAAAACATGCTTGTCTCTTTGTATTGAGTATCGTTTTTGATGGAGACGGGAAGAGGGGAGAGGGTATTAGTAACATGAATATATCCAATGCGTCGGTTGCCTCGTCTTATAAAAATGTAAATTAAGCAACATCAGGCGTGTAGATCCGTATGTTTAGACACAACGATATTAATACACATGAAGCTAGCCCAAACGCTCGTGTTTTCATTATAATTCTCCATAATAATAAAGGGTGTTTTGTGTCCTCTCAATAACATTTGGCTTTCTCGACAAAGGCACTAGTGAAGAAGTTGATTTAGAACAGATTTTTCGGTTTATTTCATACTGCTTTAGAGACTTTGGTTGATTTGATCCTGATAAAGTTATATTTAAAGACTGTAGTTGCTCTACTTATGTTTTGCTTTTAATTCAGCAATTTGCTCAGCGGTTGCTTCTTGATGTAGGTAAAAGCAATCATCTCCTTTTGCACAGGCGCCCTCCAGATGATAAAATGTGCAAAGGTGGATACTCGCCTCTACCTTTTCAAGTTCGGCTTTATCCACATCATCATGAGAGAATGGACAGCGATCACCTTGGTTGCACACCCCTTTGAAATGGTAGTATCGACAAGGGCCAGTAAGTTTGCGAAGCTTTGTCAGCATGTCATCAGTGAGAGGATCATGAGAGTAGGGGCAGTTGGCTTCTTTACAATTGTTGTTCAAGTGGAAGAAGCGACAGGGCTCCAATTTCAAATCCTAACAGTAGAACAGATTAGAACAACCTAGCTATACAATCATCTCATAGTGATACTTACATGTGAAAAGGGACAAGCATCAAACTTGCAGCATGAGCCAGTTTTGAAGAACTCGCAAACAATCTTCTTTTTGGGATTGTCTTGAACAATAACAGCATCTTTGTCGTGTTTAAAGGTGCAAGCGTCGCCCTAAATAACATTCAAACTTGAGTTAATCGTGCTTTCGAGGCATATTCAATTTTATACTTACATTACTGCAATGTCCATTTGCAAAGAAACGACATGTGATGAGAGGCACAAATTCCTTCTTAGTCTTTTGACGTTTCTTTTGCTGATTTGCTTTATTGTCGTTTGGTCTCTTCAATGGTTTAGGTGCGCCAATTACTAGTACATGGAAGACTCATTAATCCACATGTTGGTATAGCCTTAAAACGCTAAATTACTTACTTTGTCTAGCAACATCCTCCAGAGTAGGCTTGTCACTGTTGTTGAGGGTCGATGATGGTGAAGCAGACAGAGATCCAGCGTTTTGTTGTTGGCCTAATGCGTGGTTTAATAATTGCTTATTACCAAGCTGATGCATAGTGCCTGCTTGATTATCTACTGTATTGGCGGCCTTTGTTGCTTGGCTCTGGATGTGTTGATTCGCATTTATATTAATCTGAGGATTGGAAGCCTTGTTCTGCTTTTTGTTCTTTTTATTCTTGTTCGGCTTGGCATTTTCACCGCTTTGTTGATCTGATGGTTTGGTGCTGGCAGACTTTTCATGTAACTGAAGTAATGTGTCAAAATCAGCGTCCTCAAGGTTGTTGGGATTATAGGAACGGTTATCTGCATGTTCTTTGGCTGCGTTGGCTGCCCTCTTTGCGGCTTGTCGAAGTTTCTTTTGCTGATTTTTCGATATTTTCTTAGGTTTGTCTCGAGGTCGAGTTGATTGAGCAGCTAACGATGTTGACAATACTGGCAAATTACTGCTTTGTTGAGCTGAAGAAGGAGGACTTGACAGCGAAGAGACATCAATAGGAGGCAAGGCTTGATTAGTTGCAGCAACTGGCGCTTGTAAGTGAATTGGTGATTCCTTGACAGTAGTCCAGGGAGCAACTGAGCGCGCTGCATTGATAGCATTGGAAAGACCGAGGTGGTTTGGAGACACAGACTGCGGCAAGGCTGTTGAACTATTGATCGTTGGAGGAACAGAATTCAATGCTGAGGCTGATGGCGGCTGAACAGCAGATGCATCAACAGTGCTAACTGCAGGTTGATGTGATGGAGCGGCCTTTGGTGGGATGCTAACACTTTGAGATAGTAAACTTGACTTTGGTGAGCGATCAACATTTGAAAGGGGAGACACAGGTTTGGAAGAGCTGCCCTCTAATAAAGGCGGTGACACTGATTGTGAGGTTACTTTGGTTTTCTCAGCGGATTGAAAGATGCTGTCAAGAATGTCATCGATGGGAGTAATTTTAGACTTCTCAGGCGACTTCTTGGGTTCAGAGCCACGTCTCGTCAAATCCTGTGTGAGGATTTGAATTGCTTTTGATGATTCACTGGGACCAGCTGGTTCTGATGATGGAGATGCTGATTTAGGTACTAGAGTCGACGAAGCTGAAGACAAAGGTGGTGGAGATGCTGTGCTGATTCTGCAAGATGGCTTTTTGAACTTCTTGACAGGAACAGCAAGACGATCTGATGCAGGGTCAATTTCAGAAAGAGGGCCATTTTCACTGAATAATTTGCGCTTTTCGGCTTCTTTCAAAGAGTTGCGACGAATGATTTGAGCAATTGTTGGCTTTGGCTGTGCTTGTATTGCTGCCTTTTGAACCAGCTTTTGTTGATAGAGTTTGTTCATTTCATCGAGTATACGGTCATCTTGAACACTTTTTGATGGAGGTGGAACATTCATAAGGAACTGTCGAACGGATCTTGGCTTATCAAACGACATATTGACTATATCTACGTTTGAAGGATTGAACAGAGATTTAGTATAATAAAAACGCAAAATTAGATGAAACTGGAAACAGAAAAAAACTATGTAAAGCTTTCAAAGAGTCACAAATGTGATGAAAGCCTATGGCCAAATGATTTAACGCAACAGCGGGCTGTTGATGCAGTGTATCCATCGTTATAGCAGTGTTCATGCCAACAAAGCACTTAAAATCTATTAAATAGAGACATCGGCTACTTTGAGCGTCTTGGTAGTTAATAAGCCCATTGAAACAGGTCGACGAATGCACATTGCGTATCTGAAAGCCATTTACTGCGATTTGACGGATCCCAACCATATCAAACCTTCAAAAAATGCATGAATCGATCAGGGTGTAATTTCTCAGTGGAATCACTAGTATATAGTTGCCCTTTTAATTTGATATGATGGCAATCTTTGATTTAGAGCGTGTATAATACATGATCCACCATCAAATCATTTGTAACTGGATTACTGGATGTGTTCTATATTCATTTATCTGCAGAGTTAGTTTGGATATATCAGTAATTACGCTGTATTTCATTTTTTTATTGATTCGAGTAAATAATGCTGCTTTGATGGTTATAGCGTATTATTGATACATCAATTGCACATTCGTTTGACTGATCATGCGAAATTAGAGTTGCAGCCACTACTAGCAAAGACTAAAATTCAAGTACCACTATCTCTACCTGACATTGGGCTCCTTGTTTTACATAATGGCATGTCCCTAGTTATTGATTTACATACACCTTCTCAAGGTAATCTTGTGTTTACCCCATCATCCCTTGCAAGTGTGCCTCCCTTCCTCCTCGACACCTCCTTTCATGCACATCAGAGGCTTATAAACAGATGCAATCCATCTTTTTCTTTCAGTTTCGTCCCTTTTTCTTACTATTACAATTTTTTTGTTATACAATGAAGCTTACATTTGTCGCTTTAGTTTCTACTATTACTTTTTCTCAATTGATTTTAGCTCAAACAGCGCCTTGTGCCGCTCAAGAAGTGTAAGTATTTGTGTATTGATTGCGTTAATGATCGCTGTGTTAATTGCTTTGTATTCAGTTTAAATACTTGTTTGTCTAATGAGGATAACTACCTAAAAACTTGTCAAGGTCAAGGTGAGTTTGTAGAACTTCTCTACATTACTGAATTGGAATATCTAACTTGATGATTGCCTTCAGATTATGCTTGTCTTTGTAAGGTATGATAATCTGTAAGAGCTGGTAAGATATACATATAACTCACAGTTTATCTCAATGCAACAGTGGCATAGGGCCAAGCTATCTTGCTACGATAACTGCCCCAACGATTTGGGAATGGCGTTAGTTAAGGGATCAAAAGATACCTTTTGCTCAATTGCACAAACATACAATACGTAAGTAAAAAGGTAGTTGATTGAGATATGAAAGCGCTCACCAGTCCTTATAAAAAATTAGAACTGCTAGCAGCAGTGTGGTTGCTCTTTCAATTGCTCCTGCAACCACTATTTCCGGCAGCTCTGCCACTGTAGCATTTCCTTCCTCGTCTTCCTCTACCACTGCATCTTCATCCTCTACATCCAATCATCGTTACATTGGCCAGGGCTTGATGTTTGCTGCAGGTGTAACCGCTTATTTCCTGATCTAATTTACTAATGCATGTGGCATTCTAATATCATCTAATTACACTTTAACTACTCTTGTTTATATTATATGTGTTTGTTTACTTTATTAATTGGCAATAAACTCTCAATAGTTTATATCCAGTGTGTGTGTGTGTGTGTGTGTCTTCCCCTTGCATAAACTTGCGTACATAATAACACTTCATCCTAAAACTCCAAATGTTGCCATTTGTTTTGCTATAACTACTATGTAGACTGCAATATCGTCTCTTATATTATACATAATGTTTTTCAAATTAGGGCGAGCAATTATATGTATTAGCAGTCTTGATTGTGAAACGGACGCCTATCTTGAGGAATTCAAGGAAGCATTTACCGCCAAAGAATGTAAATCAGGCTACATGATTCACCCTTGGCAATTAAAGCCAAAGCTGTCGACAACGCGTATCAAAAAGCATAGCCAGTAGCATCTACAGCTTCTATATTCACAAAACATAGTAGCTGTAATAAGCTGTGGTACTGTTCAATTCGTAATTTCCTTCATATGAGCCTCAAAAATATACAATGTTTATCAGAATGGCATTTTGGCAGCCAAATTTTTCAATCTCCGGTCAGTTTTTTTCATCAAATTTGTTAATTTTTGATTCATTTGCGACTTCGTCGATCTATTTTGCAAGATTCGACTATGTGAGCTGTAATGATCAACCCACACTCCCTTATGCTTTTCTGGAGTGCTCTTCAAGGCGCATATAATGATGCTAGTAAAACGAGACACTTTTTATAAGCCTATTGAGCTATGTTGAAAAAAATGAAATGGCGTTTTTTGTCAAAATGTCGAGATTTTGCATATCAAGATCTCGCCAAGGTGATTCCAGAGGTTGCGTTGGATCAATAGAAACATTTTGATTTAGTATATATTATAGTAGAAGTCTTCATTTTTGAGGTCAAAGACGCGATCGTTTGATTTTTGATGAAAACCATGAGGTATCCCTCAAGGTTTGGAGCCGATTTTTGACGATCTCAAAAGAATTGAGCAAAGGCGTCAGATAGTTGCTGCTGGATGAAAGCAATTGTTTGGTGTTGTTCTGGCGGTCTAAAACAGTTTCCAACACGAGAAAACACGGCCCAAATGCATCCAAATTTCGCTTCTTTTTGCAATCTATTAGATGATAAGAGGAAATAAAGGCATACTGTTTGACCTTATCTGAATTGTTTCGATTGACACAGACATGGGTCATTGTAGGCCCCAGTTGCAGGTTGCTCATGGAAGAGTTTCACTTGATATTTGGGAAGTCAAAAAGTGCAAATTCGATAAATCTTGGTAGGATTGCTATCGACGGAGCAGTTGGTCAAGGGAAACCAGCTATATCGCATGTCTTGGTATTGGTATGATTTTACTTGCGATTGCATGATAACTAGTACAGTGCAAATACATGCGTTTATAGTTAAAGAGTATTGAGGTCATAGCGATCCAGCCTACAATATGCGGTTTCAGTTCTTCAGCAAGAGCTAAAGAAATCAACCATAAACCGCCACCTTTCCAAAAGTGTTTTGCCCATAGAAAATACTTGATCTATCCTGCAACTCATTACAGAGCCTTCTCTTCATTTTTTTTTTCGTTATTCATTTATCTCGTTTGATTGTAAATCGCAAAAGTGAGATGTCAACCATTCAAATGCAATCAATACCCAATTTCTATTATTATACAAACTAAAAGACAGATATAGCTGGCATAATAACCCACTACCGAGCCATAGCATCATTAATACCAACCATGCTACTAATAATAAAAACGCTTGTGTGCAAGGCTTTGTATGACCATTACTAAATCTTGTTTATTATTAGGTTCAAATTTGTTTCATCGTTTGTTTTGTATTTTCTACATTAATAATCAAGTGTGCTTTGAGCGATAAGCTGTATGATATAGCAAGCTTCTTCATAACAACTATAGTAATATTAGTAAAAATAGGCACACGGTCTTACAAGCATCATACAAAGTGGCTGATGTCTGCTAGAAATTAAATATAGACAGATCTATGGGTAAAGGTTGAATAAAACAAACTCTGCTTATATTTTCGAAACGGACATCAACGGACGATGCAACGTTGCCAAGCAAAAATGACTTTTTGTCATTGATGATGATAATTTCTTGACTTTCCACGAGCACATCACCTCCGGAAAGTGAGTGTATCCCAGTCTCTTATTTCCCAAAGTACATTTTGGACAATTGCAAAGGATGAGATTTAATCAGATAAGAAAAGAAACCTATCGTCATGGTAACCGCGTATGAACATTAGAACATCCAGGTACAAAGCCTGATTAAAATGGAACCCAAAGAATGATATTGTCGGTTTGTGTGTGACCTATGTTCGCTGTATTTTTTGAATAATGGACACTATAGTAGCGCATTTATCAATTTTCGTAAAAATAGGTAAGATTTCTAAACTTAGAGGGTTGGAGATCATGCATAAATGTCATCTACTACCGTAATCTACCTACTGTTGCTACGACTTTGCTGAATTACATGGAGCCTTTCCTCTTGATGCAAAATCCTTGGATTTTTCTCATATTACATCTCTGCAGTCCACATTCAAAATTGATTGAGGAATGTCTAAGGCTGTGCTATATACCAAACGGATCGGTAAATGCCCCTTGCTATATCATTTAGATAAGCGTTTTGTACATTACAGTTGACAACATTTGATACTATACAGTACCAAACGCCATCAATATGCACTAAGCATACACTTTAGTCATACTATTACACTATCTACCTAAAAACTTAGAGTATTTGTCAGATAGCTGTTGTTTTCGGTTCTGATTTTACCGAAGAAACACATTCTCGGATCTCGAATTCATCCCACGAAAAGCGTAGAGACCAACTGTGTACACTCCGAACATCTGAAGATGGCATACACGACAATTGTCGTCATAGCAAAGATGACCAAGGCAACATAACATACCCAGGATACAATTTGTGTAGATTAGATGGTATTGCAATCCAGCTAAAGATGAGGAAGAGTATACGCCTTCTGTCACCATGCAACAATTATCGACTCCACAACGACGGAGCAAAACTTCTTTATTCATATCAAACAAGGCATGGACAGCTATTGTTTTCTTTTGCCTTTTACAATGAGACTAAATTTAGATTGAGAAGCAAGCCAAGGTAGATGTTGCCATCTATTAAAGTCTTGGAACTTGCTGTGTATGTAATTTAAATTTCGCATACATTTGAAAGGACTAGACCATCTGCCATTATTTAGATTTTCAATTTTGACATGATGTCTAAGTTACACTCCATTTTTCTACATTTCGAGTATATCTTCAATGTTGTTTTGTTTTCTGTCAAATCATTAAATAATTAATGAAATACCACGCAAATATTATGATCTTGTTCTATGTGAAATACATTTAACAAATGTTCCATCAACAAGGCTTGGCTCTACTCCAATTCTGAAGCATTTATATTGTAACACAATGTATTTGTCGTCATTGAAAATGGGTACAAGATCTACAAGTATGAATTATCAATAAGAAAAATTGGGCTGAAGACGAAGAATAAGCGAAATGTACAATAACCTAATTCAGCCATATGTTGCATTTCAAAGAATGGCTGACAACATTTAGGCATGAGAGACCTTATTTTTGGGGCCATCTAGACGGGTAGATGTCGATCTATTTTTGGCTTCTTTCTTGCGAAAAGACTAAATCAAGAAGTATTCGTTCATTCCGTATAATCATCGAGAGTAAAAGAGAGCTGGGCGGGGCCGTCTATGATGTATATCACAAGGTAAACAAAATTTATATTTATAAACTTATCAAAAGAGTTACACAGTCAACACCAAAGAAATCCCCTTAAATCTTATATAAATCCAATTCCTTTCAAATGGAAGAAAAAAATAGTTTTGTTGTTTTCTTTTCTCTTTAGCTTTCTTTTCTTTATTTTCTTCAACATGCGTTTCTTATCTACTGTAATATTATCGACTGCTATTGTATTCATTTCATCCACTTCAGCTGCCAAATTAGAGAAGAGATGTGCTTTGAAAAGAGAACCTATGACAATTGAAGATGGCTTGGTATGTTGTCTTGTATAAATCATACATTTCACCCCCTTAACTAAAAAAAAAAAACACATTTCTCTACCACCATCATCAACCTTACCACTACAATTACTACATCAGCTCGTTGCAAAGATCAAAGTCGGTAAGGCAACAACAAAAGACGACAGCATCCACGGATAACCTTCCGAGAAAAATGCTAAAAATACATTATGATTAATACAGGCACACCTCCACAAACTTTCTCGGTCGTCTTTGACACTGGTAATTCACTCACTTGGGTACCAGCCGCTGAGGTAACCATGGAAACCGATTCTATTTTGACGTATTTGTATTTATTTCTATATTTGTCATCTAGTGCCATACTCCAGAATGTCGACAACAATCCCATCTCTACAATTCAAATTCTTCATCAACTGCTGTCAATCTCCACAAAAAGCAATCCATCAAGTACGATGAAGGTGTCTGCATTGACGCCAGGCTCTATAGAGTACAGTATAATTCATGTTCAACCAAATCATTCAATTAACATGTTTATTTTTAGGATACAATTTCAGTTGCAGGTCTTGCTGTACCTAATCAATTGTTTGGTAGTGCTTATAGCGTCAAAGGTCTAGGTGGCCCTTCTTATCGTATGTAACCGCACTGTTTGATGCAAATACCCGTAAATGACTAAACCATGATATCATTTCAAATATAGTCGGTTCCCTTGGTTTAGGTGGTTTCAATGCTGATGGCTCTACTAATTATTTGACATCCAACTCAGCCTCATCATCAAAGCAAAGTAAGTAGCAGGATATCAACATTGGGAAAGAAAGTTTGCTAAGCCCATTCGAACCCTTTTTATTATACATGTGCTTCTAGAAAGACAAGGTAATACATACAAAGCCAATTCTAGACCCTGTTTGATTTGAATGTCCTATGCTTATATTAAATTCTTTAATGTTATGTAGCTGTAAGCTCTGGTGGTTTCGCTCAAAATGGCTTCCAAAGCGCATATGGCCAATCATCTCAACAATTCGGCATGGTTGCTGCCTCGAACGGTTTCTATCAAAAAAGAAGTAATGATCAAAAATCAGACGCTGAATTCATCTTTGGTGGCGTTGACCACAATGTCTACAAAGGCGACATTGCTTATTTCAAATTACCTACTTGTGATTACGGCGACTCCCCCTTCTGGAAGACTGAAATCAAGTGCGTCAAATTTGGCGATAAGATTGATATCAAATTGGCTCCTAAATCATTGGCATCTTTGAGCACCGGCTCTAATTCTATCTTGGCTCCTACCAAACAAGCAGATCTCTTGCACGCTGCCATTGATGCTAAATATGATGAGGATGAAGGTGTATACAGATTGGAATGCTGCGAAGACCTCGACGACTTGCCCACTTTCAAGATTGATTTCAATGGTTATCGTGTCTCTTTGCCTCCCAAGCTCTACATCAAGAAGGATGGTGAAAAGAAGTGTCATACTCTCATCGGCCGCAACAAGGGCACAGATAAAGACTGGATTTTGGGTGGTGCTTTCCTCAACAACTTCTATCATATCTATGATGCCAGCAACAACCAAATCGGTCTTGCTATCCCCAAAGGTGGCTGTGATGCCAAGATCACCAAACTCTCTAAATAGATCATTAAAAGACCTTAATTGTTGTATATCCTCCCCATGTATCATTCATCCCACACACACACAAATAAAAGAAGTACCCGCATCATAATAAATTTAGTAAATTCACTCTATAATTACTGCTAATTGCATCTATCTTGATTTATTGACATGCTGTAAAATGATCGTTACTATTTTGACGCACGTAGACGCTTGGACCACTATATGTATAATCGAAATGATCTACCTGAAAGCAACCGAGTTTGAGGAACTCGCCATGTTTCAACACCGAATCATGCCTTGCTTGTGAAAGACTTAACGAGGTTTGCAAGCGAAGTAGAGGTTTGAGAGTGCTTTGGTGCACGCATTAAAACATAAGCTCCTAATTTAGTAGCTGGGTATCGTCAAGTATACGTATGAAGATAACCACTAATCGATAAAATGCTGTAGATTCGGATAAAAATGCATATCGCGAAACCGTACGAGTGATTTAGGGGCCATGATTATAAAAATTTAGCTGGAGCACGCATACCGCAGCTCGCATTAATGGTATTTACTCGCGGCGCACAACGCCATTAAATGGTATACGTTAACGGCGCACAATGCCATTGAGTGGAAGACCCTAGCGGCGCACAATGCCACTTGTACTGCGGTATATGTAGTTGCGTAGACCGCAGTACTCGAGTTTCTACAGATGATCCCTGGAATCACAATGAAGACATTGATGGTGCTCTTAAATGGATACAAACGACATGCCTACCTAGAGATTCGCATTATTGTAGGACGATATTCTATGATTGGAGCAGGTGAATATACGGAAAGCCTTGTTTGAAACCCAAAGCATTTTACGGTTTCAATGCAAAAACAAAAGTGTATTACACCGCGACGTCATTGAGGTTTATTAAAAAGAAGAAAAATTTTAATCATATAAATAGCGGATGGTTCAAGCATTTTGTTCTTTTTCTTCTTTACTACTTTATAAAACTACTTGTAATCATATCAAAATGTACTCTAATTTTCAGCCTAAAAAGGTCGCTAAAGTTAGCTCCAAAATCGAAAGAGAAGCTCCCGAGATTGTGAATTGGGTTGACCAGTTGAGTCAGATTATTGATGAGCTCTCAGAGGGTAAATCAAAGTAAGTTGTATGGAAGCAGGGGGGTGAAATGGCACGCTTTAACAAGTTTTCGCTATAGCAACCGAGAAGAATCGCTCGAAAGACTAGTAGATATCCTGGCAAGCCATCACGCATCGTCTCAAATTGAAGACCGTTTGGAAGATGTGTTGGGTGCATTGAAGAGATCCTTGTTGAAGAATTCCAGCACTCACGAGGCATGTCTCGCAGCCAAGGGCATTGCATTGACATTTATCAACATGGAGGATATCTCAGAAAGCGAAGGCGATGATTTATACCGCAGAATCTTACCTTCTTTGAGAAATAGAATCAAGGATAGTGAACAAGTGGACATCAAAATAAGTGTAAGTTTTTATAGGATCATTTTTTTTTTTTTTTTTTTTTTTTTTTTTTTTGCAAGGATGAGTTGTTAAAACGTGTACTTTTCTAGTGTCTCCAAACGTTGGCTTTGATCACTTATACCGCAGCATCAGACATTGATAAGCAATTAGTGAGAGATTACTTGTTTGATCTCATTGAGACAGACGGTGCTGATTTCAATGTCGAGAGTTTATCACCCAATGAATTGGACAACTTATTCAGCGAGGCTCTTCAAGCATATGGTATTTTATTTGCTGCTTCTTTCACTACTGGTGTTGTAGACTTTGATATCTTATGGGAGGAACTGGAAAAGTAAGTTGGTGTATGGTTTATCTTGGGAAGAGCATACTGATTGATAAGTTTCTTGCTATTCAGGGTGATGCCTATGCATGAAATGCTGCTGGAAAGCCCAGACAAGGATATTCGAATCTCTGCTGGCGAAAATGTTGGGTTGATGTTTGAAACTGCCAACATCTTTTTGAAATCAGATTCTGACGAAGAAGGTGATGGCGAAGAAGAGACAGTAAAACCTGAATACGACAACATGGACGGCTTGGTTCACACATTAAAGGAGCTGTCTATTGATAGCAGTCGTCGCAGAGCAAAGAGTGACAGAACAGAGCAGAAATCAGTGTTCCGTGATGTTGTTAGAAGCGTTGAGGAGAATGTGAGACCTAGCGAAGAACTCAAGATTGGTGGAAAAGTTCTTACTTTCCGTGGCTGGGCAAAGATTCTACCTTTGAGTGCATTTCGACAAGTTCTTGGTCAAGGATTCCAACATCACCTCAAGACAAATGACATGATGAAGGGCATTTTCCGTTATTCTATCGGTCGCCAACAAGAAGACGCTGATGACTCTGGCGACGATGATGCTTTTGACAAATCCACCTTGAGCAATGTGGACAGAAAATTTATCAACGACGAGAATAAGAAATCAAGAACCAAGCAATTGCGCAATGCCAGACTTGGCAAGGAAAACTCAGGCTATTGAACATCTCCATCATCTCTCTCTTTCTCTCTCAATGTAATATAATACTTCAAGTGAATAAATCTAAGCAAGCATATATATGTATATATATATATATATATATTTTATTTTTAAGAAGGAAAACGATTTTGAATAAATGATACTAAAACTTCTAAAATATAATACAAAGAAATTGATAAAACCAATTTATGGCTCAATGGTTCTACTGGTGTTGGTAGTGGTGGCCAACTCTTCAAGAGGATGCTCTTCATTGACAGAGTTGTGGATGAATCCATCACGGATCTGATCTCTCTCGAGCTTCTCCTTCTCCTCCAATTCCTTCATGGTTTCAGGTCCCCATTCAGCAGGAACAACCAAGTTCAAAAAGATGGCCATCAAAGAACCAATACAATAACCGGTATCCACAATGGTTTCAATGGCACTCAGAAAACCTTGCAAGGCTTCATTATCACCAGAATAACTAAATACGTGTGTAAACCATGAAGGGACCAATGTAACACCCAAACCAAGAGCCAAGGAGCAGGTAACAATGAAACGATCACGTCTAGTCCAATCAAGGTAGGCAAGAATACGGATGCCAGATACAGTGACAGAGGCAAACAAAAATGCATTCATACCGCCCAAAACAGGGGAAGGAATGGCCAAGAACACAGATGAAATCTTACCAAAGACGCCATAGATAAAGATGAAGAAACAGCAGCAGTAACCAGCAATACGATTAGCACAGCGAGTCATGGCAACGACACCATTGTTTTGAGCAAAAGTAACAAGAGGACTGATTGTCATACAGGCAGCCAAGAAGGAGTTGACACCATCAGCAAGCAAGCCACCTTGAATGCGACGCTGGAAGGGCTCACCTTCGACCTCGACGCCAGATACATCACAAGATGCGGTAATGTCGCCAATACTCTCCAACATGTTATCTAAATACACGATTAAAAACGGTATCACTGCAGGGCCGTACACTGTGATTTTGAATGTCTTGACCCACAAGAAGGTAATGGGTGGAGCAGTATCAATGGTGCTATGGTCAACATAGCCACAAGCAGCTGCAACAATCAAACCAACAATCAGACCAATGACAATTTGAGAACTCTTCATAAAAGGAGAGCCGAGGTTTTCAATAAGAACAATAGTAGCAAAGACAAGGAAACCAAGACCCAAGAATTGAGGGCTTCCCCAAGGGAGAGCGTGAGGAGCCTCAGTGGATGGACATAAAGAATACAAACCAGAGGCTGGCATGGAGGCACAGCCACCAGATCCGCCAGCCCAATCCTTCAAAGCAGTGCTGATGACGGAGCAACCGATCAAAAGAATAGTTGTACCAGAAACAATTGGTGGGAAGAGACGACGAATGGTTTTGGGAGGCAAGAAACTCATACCAATTTCAAAGAATGAACACACCATGGCTATCACATCTCTTAATATCCATTGCAGCCTAATAAGAGCTTCATAACACTACTTACATGTTCCCAGAATTGCGCCCCAAGCATTAGGACAAGGAAGATTCTGAATTGTTCCATCTTCAAGAATGTTTGTAGGGCAATAGCCGCTAGAGTACATGTTTTTGATGACTGCACTTGCAGCAGGAATACTGGCAAAGTTGGGACCCACTACACTCAATAAACCTGTACCAAGGTAATAGCCTGATGGTGGATAGATGCATCAGTGTATGGACCTACTCGAGATAATCAAGGATGCTTACCTGTTCCCCAGATCTTGAAGCGTGTAATTTGAATCAGTGATAAAATAGCAGAGCAGATTAAAGCAGCAGACAAGAGATACTGTTGGTCTGCCATCTCCAGGTTCAAAGATGTTGCACCTGTACCAGTCATAATCAAAATCGGTGTAACGACACCACTGACCTGTCAAAAACGAATAAATAAATGTGCAAACAAAAGAGGCTTATCTTACGACTTACCATAGCTAGTGAGTGTTGGAAGCCCATCACCAATGCCAAACCCAAAGGCAATCTACTATTCAAACCCCAGAATGGAGTTGCCCTCTTTTCCTTGATCAAGAAGGAAGGAAGACACATGACCTTCCAGTCAAAATCGCCCCACCATCCCTCTTTAGTGGCGACTTGAGATTTGAACACCTTCCAGAGATTGGGCTGCTCTACAGGAGCATATGCCTCAAATTGTGTCTGAGAGCTTGATGGAATTGTCTCTGCATCATGTATGGTAGGTGATCCAGGTGCTGATTTACTATCCATTGTGTGGTTTTCTTTCTTAATTCAAGAAAAAACAAGATTTTTAATCCTTGAGAGATCTGTCAATTGTAGAAACAAAAGCAAAAAGAAAAACTTTTTTTTTTTTTTTTTTTTTTTTATTGATTTGACTCATTACAACCTCTTTCTCCAGAAATGGCAAGTAGAGAAAAAAAAGTGACTGGGATGGCCATCTCTTTTTGCCTCACCATCCTCTCGGATGTCTTGATTTCAGTTGACCCGAAAGCCAAAATCTGCTTGGGAAGCTTCTTTTTGTTTATAGCAGAAAATTTGATGTGCCACATTTTCCATTTTAAGTTATCGTATGATCTTTCTTGGTAAAGTGGGAGATGATCTGTAGAGATTATAGAAGCAGACTCATTTTGATAGCACGAGAGAAGTTTCCTGTGATTAAAAATGATCCTGTCAGTGCACAATGGATCAGCATTAGCATCGCAATTGTAGTTTTTGATCTGTCAAAGCATTCAGCGTCCGACAGCAAGCTTTATTGCAGACATCAATGAAGATGCATCAAGTATTTAACGTCCATGTATTAGCTATGTACGATTCAAGATCAAGCCACGCTTACACACCACGTCAATTTATTGGTATTTGTCTTGAAAATCAATTAAGAATGGTGTATTTGCTGAGGGGATACTTGATATGATTCTCAATGCTATTCAGCTTGTCACCCAGACTAGCAAAAACTGTTTCTAACAGACTTCTTGATTCCTCCTTTGTATTATCAGCTGTCAACTCCCAAAACATGGCACCGCCAAGCTGTCTATCTTTGATGTATTCGCATTTGATCTCTGTTACTGCCGGTGAATCATACGTAACAAACTCCCGTTTTGACTCATCGTAGGACCACGATGCTCCTCTTTCTCGATCCAGATACTCCTTAGCTCCCTGCTGAGGAAGATCTTTGTAGTCAAAAGACCCCTTTTCCCATGAACCCTCAGGAACGCCTCTGTAACTCGACCCCACCTTCCCATTTGTGTTTGAGAACCCTCTTCCATACAATGGCATCCCAATGACAATCTTCTTTGACGGCACACCGCCCTCCTTTTCGAAATAGGTCACTGCTTGATCTACATTTAGTGGTCCGCCATATAAATTTGATTGATGTCCAACTTGCTGATCCCAATTGCCTGCAAAATCGTATGCCATCAAGTAAAATATATCCACATAATGTGCCATGCTTCCCAATTCCAACAGACGGTAATTTTCAGGTCCACACGGCATGGCCACTGATAAAAGAAACTTTTGATCGGTGGGGTCATGAGCGAGTTGGTAGTCATCTAATGCAGCGCGCATTTCTTTTAGCAGTAATACATAGTTCCCGGCATCTGTAGCATCCTTTGGAAACTCCCAATCAATATCGATGCCGTCTAGGCCTAAATCTTGCAAATGCTGTATCGCTGTTTTAGTAAATACAGCTCGAGACTCTGGCGTAGATGCAAGCGCTGAAAAGTTATGACTCCAAGAGTAGCCGCCAACACTGAGAGACACTTTGAGATGTCTGTTTTGCTGTTTGAGTAGTGCAAGCTGTTTGAAATTGCCATGCAGGTCGTTGTCATTTTCTTTCCAAAGATCCACAACGCCATCAACAGTTTTCTCTGATGTCTGTTAGTTAATATATGCATTTCAGGGCTTGCCACATTAATATACCTTTGGGGAACTTGATGTCTGTGTCTGCCCAGGGATCCTGTTGTGCGCCGAGAAAATAGTTTAGTATTTGAGCAGCTTGAGCAAAAGGACATGTACCTACGCCAAGAACAATACTGCCATCCCTATTGGCATTGGCAAAAGCATACAGGATATGTGATAGTTTGTTTGCTTTCAAATCAACAACGTTGAATTCTCGGTCATATATGCCCCTTTTGAGAAATGTTAGTCTTTACAATGATAGTGAATAATGCTATTGTGTAATACCAATTTATGTAGTAGCCTGCAATTATAAATGTATCGTCCATTGGAGAAGGCACGATTGTATTGTCAGGCAAATTAGCATGGTCTATGGCCTGTTGATACCAGCCGATGGTCAGCAAGATGACCACGACTGGAGTCAGTATGGCAAATCTGATGATATTCCTTAATGTAAACATGATGAAAGCAAGAAGAAAAAGAGGTGCCTATTCCGTTCATCATTTTAAAAAAGAGGAATTTATTTGTATACACACACACTTTTATTATATTTGATCGTGCTTAGTTGATGTCTTTTTTTTTTTTTTGAGCGAAAGGGATATTTGCCTTATACATTGTACTCTTTTTTAATTCATATATAAGTTAACATTTTCGTAATTGTTGTTTATTGAGCAGCTTCCTCGGGCTCAGCATCGTAAGCGGCCAATTGTTGAGATAAATCAGCATCAACTTCGGGGACCTACATTGCAAAATTTCATCAGTATCTTGATTTTCGACACTCTACATCCATCGCTTGATCAGATAAGCACTTACAGCAGGGGCAGCAGGGAGCTTCAATTCCTTGACAGCACTCTCGTCAGCAGCAGCCTGTAGAAAATTGATTAACATTCAAAACGCATTTTTTCATCAATCAATATCAAACTTACAACAGGTGCAGGCTTGTATCCCTTCAACTCCTTGATGAACAAATCTTGAACAACATCTATAATACATCAATCCATGAATATCTCATTTGCATCGCATCATCAATACATTTATCCTTTACCCTTTTGCATAACGGCAGCGGCAGAGAAGCTACGAGCAGCGATGGAGGGAACAGCAGCCTAATAAAAGCAAAATGTTGGTTTGAATTTTCAATGAAATGCTGGCAATTGTTTATACCTTGAAGGAGATGGAGCTAAGGGCAACACGGGCAATAGACATTTTTGTAGTTTTGGCAAACGTTAAAAAGTAGTGTGGGGTTAAGAAGTAAAAAAAACAGAAGGGGGAGGCCCTATGTTTGTTCTATAAAGATTAATGTGACGCAACCCTAGGTATACTTTTGTACAGTCACCAGGAACTGTAGGGTGGGTGGGCTGCCTTGGTCCATTTAGGCCTGCATTCACTTCAGATACGCGAAGAAATCTGCCTGAAATTGGCATTGACCACTACTAAGTTACTCCTACTATTGTATTTGCAAGATAAATACATCAAATAATCATCAGGATGTCAATGACATGAACGTTTCTGTGTCGATAATCTATAGCAATAAACATCGGAAGTTCAAGAGACAGCAAAATGTCGTCCATTGGACATGATTCATTCAGCTCATTTGTCATCTAGAGCGAAAAAAAAAAGATGAGCGAGGCGCTCAAATGAGCTGAAATTTGCCAAGTTATTTGAATAGACATTTATTTTGGCCTTAAATGCCACCGTTTTTATCTTAGTTACCTCTAGACTATCGCTTATTGCTGTCCAAAGTTGAACATTCCAAATAGCCTTGATTTGCGGAGATTTAAATCAGTGGCACCATCAGGATTGTAGATCAAGGGCCAACAGTGCTCAACATAGCTTTTATTGATAGACAAGAAAATGGCTGGATGCAGTATCAAACTTGTATCTGACATACGGCAAGCATCTTAGGCAAGGTATTTACAAAAAAGGTACTGCCAAGGTGTATTGAGCACACATTTCGATAAGCCAATAGGTCCTGATTACAGGATGAAACGCATTGAACTCGACAAATCACGCCAAATCAGGTTTTGCTCCTCATATACCGCCCTATTAAAGCAAATTCTGGTTATTTCCAGTCAAATCCTATGGTGAGCTACGGTTGGAAAATTCATTTCCTCATTGCGTTCTTGTACGCTATGGTGGAGGTATAATTGACAGTTAACTGGACAAGACTCTAAAAGCCTTTGTTAGCATTTACAGGCATGCACATGAGTTCCTGAGTGAAAAAAAAAGAAGGATAAGTCTAAAATCATGTCAATGAGAATACTCACACTTGACTCAATCCTCAAACGAGGTTAGAACTAACTGTTGGTAAAGATAGGCGCATTCAGAATCTACCAACTGTCAATGAGATTGCAGCTATCATTCCCAATGAATATTCTGAAACAAGATTTAAATATATCCTATTTTTTTTCAGTCAGTGACATTAGTCTCTTTTAAACGCATCTATGAAACGCAAGCTGCCTATATGCCATATTAAACTGCTGCAAATTACGATTAGGAAGTTGTGATTACATATATTTTGGTAGTGAGCCAAGCTGACTAGCATTATCAGACATGAATATTCCCACAAAAAGCAAAAGAGAGCATTAAAGCCAAGCGACAATCTTTTCAAATTCATGATCGTCATGAAATCAGCATCGCAATTATCATTGTTATCATCAGAAAGGCATTTGGATGAGCCAGCAACAACAAAATCAATTCAGACTCAGAACATTTATTTTTGTTCACGATTGGCCAGATCTTGTTGTTTTTCGACTTGATTCAATTATTCTACCACATTCGACTATATAAATTGCCTTGATCATCAGATGCTTTTTTAAGTTTTCTTGGAGTACTTTTCAAGGCGCTTCCAATGATGCCAAGTAAAACAGATAATTTAACTGAACTTAATGGGCAATTCCAAAAAATATGAAATAAGTTTTTTGGCCAAAATGTCGAGATTTTGCATATAAAGATCTTATAAAAGTGGTTTCATAGGTTGCTTTGGATGGAGAGAAACATTTTGAATTAATATATACCATAGTAAAAGTCTTCATTTTCAAGGTGAAAAATGCGACCGTTTGATTTTCGATGGAAACCATGAGGGGTACCTCATGGTTTTTGGTCGATTTTCGGCCATGTTTTTTTGGGCCTTCAAAAAGTTGAGCAAAGGTGTCAGGATGTTACTGCTACTCGAGTACAATTGTTTGGCGTCATTCCGGTAGCTCAGAAAGGTCTACATGTCAAGATACTAAGGTTTGAAAGCTGTCAAATTTGGCTGTGCTTCAAGCATTTGCTTGTAGCATTGTATACTACTGTTATGTTCTTCTTGTATAGATTAGCTCATTGGACTGGAAGTTATCTGAAGAATATGGAAATTTCTAGACGAAAGCCAACTGTCCGGATAATTCTGCTCAAGATAGAGTTCAGAGATGCCTGTTAAACTTTCTCCCGTCAAATTGATTCAGTAACGAGGTTATCCATATGTTTTCATCGAGACATGGCATCGCAAGATGATGCGTTTTTACACTAATGTAGCAGATTTATACTTCTTTGGATATTATCGATCTGATCTATTTTTTCTTTCAACTGTCCTCCTTTGCTTAGAAATACAACGAAGCAATGTATGTGACACGTCGTAAAGAAATGTGACAGTGTGGAATTATTAATCAAAATGAAATGGTTTCAACACACAAGTATAAAAGGGATCCAATGTAGAGAGCATCTTCTTTCATTTCGTCATTTACAAACAAACATTTTAATCATACAAACACAAATGGCCTCCTCTGCTGTCCCCTCTGTTGCTGCCAACACTAATCCCGCTCTCGGTGGCCTCTCTGGTCCTATCACTAGTGTCACACCTAAATTGTTTACTCCCATTACATCCAAATCTGTCACTCTTCAGAACCGTATTGTTGTTCCTCCCATGTGCATGTACAGTGCTATTGATGGTTTCATGAATGATTTCCATGTCTCTCACTGTAAGTAAACAAATTGAAAGTTATACAATTTCATGATCTAACAGTTTCATCATCAGATGGATCATTTGCACTTAGAGGCCCTGGCATGATTATCATTGAAGCCACTGCTGTTGAAGACAGAGGTAGAATCTCGCCCAACGATCTCGGCCTTTGGAAAGACGAGCAAATTCCCCAATTGAAGCGAGTTGTTGATGTGATAAAATCTCAGGGCGTCGTTTCTTCCATTCAGTTGGCTCATGCTGGCAGAAAGGCAAACATGGGATCCGGGTGGTGCAATGGCGGGTACCATAACGTATCGGAACAAGACGGTGGTTGGCCCAATAATGTGGTTGGCCCTTCTGATAATGCCTTTGATGAACATCATGCTGACGTCCGTGCATTAACCGTCCCTGAATTACAAGCCATTGCTCAAAAGTGGGCGGATGCTGCCATTCGTGCTGACAAGGCTGGTATTGAAGTCCTCGAAATCCACAGTGCTCATGGCTATTTGCTCCACAACTTTTTGTCTGGTAACTCCAACAAGCGTACTGATCAATATGGCGGTTCTCTTGAAAACAGACTTCGTTTCCCATTAGAGGTGGTGCAAGCTGTTCGCAATGTCTGGCCTTCCGAAAAGCCTCTTTGGGTCCGCTTCTCTGCTACTGATTTCAAGAACATTGAGACTTTGGGATCTGATGTCGATGGCTGGGATATTGATCAAGCTATTGAATATGCCAAGGCTTTGAAAGAAATCGGCGTGGATGTCATTGATGTCTCTTCAGGTGGTAACTTGCCCAACATCAACTACCCTGCCAAACCTCTGTATCAAGTTCCTCTTGCCAACGCTGTTAAGCATGGTGCTAACATTGCTACTGGTGCTGTTGGTACCATCACTGAGCCCAAGGACGCTGAAAGTATTTTGGAAAAGGACGAGGCTGATTACATTCTAGTCGGTCGTGAACATTTGCGCAATCCTGCTTGGACTCAGCGTGCTGCCCATGAACTCGCTATCAATGTTCAATGGACAAACCAATATGGCCGTGCTAACCGTGAAAGATTCTAGATGCACATATAGATTTTACCATATAGACATTGTAAATACCATGATCATTACATTTTAAAATAAAATCCACTTTTTATTATTGATATCTTGATTCTAGTCATAAATTCTATTGATATTACCTTTAACCCAAGAGATCTGCGAAGACACTACAAAAAGACACTTGTTCAGTAACGACATTTTCTTCACAAACCACACAAAAGACTTACTCCTTCTTCTCGGGCTTTTTGGCAGGTGTATTAATATTAGATGTAAAGAATTGACTTCCTTGAGGCTGTTGCTGTGGTTGCTGGGATGTTGTAGCAGTAGCAAATGATCCCCACGTGCTATTGTAATTATTAGTTTGAGTTGTGTTGAATTGTTGTCCGTAAGATTGATTTCCTCCTCCCAGGTTCAAACCTGCCATTTGGCTTTGGAAGCTTCCTCCATATTGTTGTTGTTGTTGGTGTTGAGGTGGAGGAGTTGCAGCAGGAATACTACTGTATAAAGATAAAATCGACTTGAAATCGTTTTGTTTGGGTGCTTGAGCCTGTTGAGCTTGAGGCGATGCTGAGGTGGAAGACGCAGCAGCAGCAGCAGGCGATGTGCTCGAGGGTGCACTGTCAAAAAAGAAGTCAGCTCCTTGAAGTTGAGTGGCAGCAGAGGCAGCAGGTTTAGCGGTTTGATGGCTGACTGCAGGAGAAGATGAAGGAGAGCCCAAGAATGCGTCCAAATTAGCAAACTCTGATTGCTTAGGCTTTACCTGCTGCTGTTGAGGGGCAGGAGACTGACGAACAGATGAAGAGGCGGAAGAAGCAGATTTAGGCGTGCTAAGAACATCATCGGCATCATCGTCTCCACCCAAAGTACTAGGATCTGGAATAGGACCCTTCATTGCCCATCTCTTTTGCTCGTATTTGGCACGAATCCACATTTCCATGTTGCTCTCTGAAGGCTTCTTGTCCTTGAGAGTAGCTTCCCAATACCTTAATAGCAACTTTAAGTAATCAGACCTACCATGACACAGCATCAACTTACTTGTTTGCACGCTCATTTCCCCAACGAACCATGTTTTCTACCTGGTCTTGGACCCAAGTATCCAAGTCGACTGATTTAACTATTCGATAAACGACCAGTGAGCATGGCAGGTGTGTATCTCTCGAACGGCTCCTGCTTACCTTTACTGATATGAACACCAAGAGAGCGATGAATGCCAGAGCAACGAATACAGATAAATATACCAAGATTCCAAGAAGCCCAACGAGCATCTTTATTTCATGTTAGACCAAATACGTAATAACAAGTATCATTCACTCACCCTTCTTCTTGCAGTCAGCACAGTATTTGTTGGCATTCTTTTGCAAGAGAGCCTTCAATATCTTGGTATTCTTTTCATTGGAAGCTCTATCAGCAGTTCTAGCGTGGCGAGTAGACATGATTGTGAGATAAAACGAAAGGGAAAGGGAAAGGGAAAGGGAAAGAGAAAAAAAAAAGAGAAACTGCAGTTGGTGCTTCCAAAGGATGAGAGATATCCCAAATTTAATATGGCTATTCAATTGGGAGAACCACCATCTTATTGAATACCCGAAGATTCGCTTAATATAGGTTCTTAACATGCACATGTTGCTTATTGCAATATGAAGAGGTGCTATTAGTGGTCTACAGGAAGATCGCCTTGAGCAAGATGAAAGATATTAGGATTAAAAAGACATCAAAGGGAAATATCAAGCTACATTGGCATTCCCAGACCTGAAATGCAAGCACAGTTTCATTAGATGATAAGTCCTCAATGTATTTGCTTTAATGAAATCTTGTATTCCAGAGGAGCATTCTATTATCTAGTCAATTCTAATGAAATTGCAAGTAATGGATACAAAAAAGAGAGTATGTATGCCATGAGAGCGAGTAAAGAGGCACGCAATACAATAATGTATAGCTGAGCATGGTTAAGGTAGTAGTGATCAAATCTGCCAATGCTCCAGATGAAAGCATTTGCTATGGTTTCTTATATCGTAGCATTGGGGAGTTGTATAGCCATTCAACTCTCTCTCTCTCTCTCTCTCGAAAGGCATGATCAACATTCAAGTTTGTGAGTGACCTACCAGAAGATTCTCGATATTTCATTGTAGTGTTTGAAGCCGATAAAGCAAGATATTTTAAAGATCCCATACATTGAAATTTCTTTCTTTTACCTTCTTTCATGTTTCTTCGTGCTCAACTCTCAAAGCAACGTTGTTTATTCCAACAAGCATCGAATCGTATCTCAAAACTAAACATGTCCTCTGCCGCTGACAGTCTCAAAAAGCCTATTCTTGCTCTCCCCTCCACTGCTGATGAAACTGTCAATGTCGATATCAATGATACCTACAAATTAAAAGAACTTGGTCCCATCGGTAAGTTTCCATGGCAACATGCTTTTAATTTGACAAAAGGCTAAGATATAAGCATAGTGATTAATGAGAATGGCACTATGAGCAGAATCAACAACTGGTTTGAAATGAACGACATTGAAAGAGCCAATGTCAATAGAATTTTATTGAAAAGAAACAGAGAACGCTTAGCAAAACTTAAAGAAGCTGCAGATAAAGCAGAAGCAGAAGCCAAAGAAGTGTAAATAAAATCATCTGTGTTTAAGCAGCAGTTACAGCATATTGTTGACCGAGACCTTTGACCAAATTGACCAATTCCTTGAACTTTTCCTTTTGCTCGGGAGTTGCTTGGACTTGTGATTCCCCTTGAGAGCAGCCTTCAGGACCGCCTACATTTACCGCGCATTAGCTACATTGCACACTGACTCGCCCTCATACAACTTACCATTGGACCATTGGAAATCATCCGAGAAGAAAGACAAGGAGATATCTTGTCCATAAATGTCTTGACTACCAACAGGTTGCTCAGTAGGCAAGTCTTGAAGCTGTTGCTTGAGGGTATCTAAAAAGCTGGACAACTCCTCGCTGTGCTTATGTTAATCACTATTGGCATTATCTACATGCGAATGACGTACAAGGAAGCACCACCGGATTGAGTATGATAGTCGTTTTTAGATTCAGGTTTCAAAGTAGCGTGCATCACTGTAGCCCCACTGTTATCGCCCTTGATGTCAACGACTTGCCTTTTTACCATGGTTTTAGTAGACCTGCAAAAGACACCTTCACTCATTCACGCAACTTACTTGACGGTTGGACCAACAAATCCACCTACGAAACCCTCACGAAGAACTACTTGAAATTGAGCCATGTTTGTGTGTTGATTTATCGAATGTATAGAGTGTTTGCTAAAGAAAAGGTTTCTAGATAAGAAAGCGAATAAAAGAGTAGTGAAAAGAAATACGATCAATCGAAGAGGTTTTTGCACCATTGTATTTATGAAAGAAATGGACCTATAATGTTAGTGTGAAGTAGGACATTTTAGCCCAGCTTTGTGGTACAGCCTTGCTCCATGTGATCAGGTTTGTGCCTCCGTAGAACCACACCCACATCAATAACTAGCAAAAGACGACTATAAGCATGACGTGAAATAAGCCTTGTATATATTATCTGTCTATAGAAGCAAAAGGAATATCTCTCGGCGTCATGTGGAGAAGATTCTAATGAAAATTGGCAAAAAAAAAAATAAGGGGTTTCCGTACCTGATTACGTTTTATGTTGATGTTGTGGCTGCATGAATCATAACGCAAATGCAGGCTTAAACTATCAAGCTCAAACTCAAAGCATTTGCAAGTGCATATACAAATAGACTACATGATCGACTTTCAGTGGCTCTCACCTAGAGAAGAGCATTTCTAACTGTTGCTGCTGAGCTCTATGGCAACTTTCAACGGCCAAATGCAAGTAGAATTGTTCGCTTCGAAGTGATTTCTTGGGTGAGATCTATGGTAACCTTCTTATTGCTGTATCTTTAGACTGATATTTGTGAAGCTATCAAGATCAGCATTCGAGAAATGATAAAGATTAGGATTGACAGCAAAGAATGGCTTTTGATCCAGTAACGTATGTCACAAGCTTGATAGATAAATCCGGCTTGCTCCGAGTTTTTGTTTCCTCTTCGAAGAGTGTACGCTTTTTTCCTTTTGATTGATATCCCAGTCGAGTGAGCAAGCTACAGATCAATTTAGAAAACAAAGCCGAAGAAATATTACGGCTCGCAGGACACCTCTACACTGGAGATGAGGACGATGTTGACGACGAAGAACTTCATGTAATGGACAAGGCCAAACAAGAGAGGCGACATGTAGTCTTGAGTAGGCACAAACGTGCATCGAATTAATATATTTCCAAGCTAACAAAACCAAAGTCCTTTACACAATCCATGCATGCAGCAACATATGCTCAAACCAAACGATTTATCTATGCAGTGGCTGCCAATCCGTGGTATGAGAATGTCCTTTCATGCGACGAGATCTTTGAGCTGTACGACTATTATGGAGAAGAAAACAAATTGCAGCATTTCTTTGGCAAGGTCAAACCATACTCAATTGCTCTTCAAGAGATATCACTCTATGGGTTTTACAGATGGTGCATGAGAAGTGATAAACAGTTTTACAGTGATGAACGGCCTAGAATATTGCGAGAGACAGTTTATGGTAAGCAGATGACTACAATGATATATAGAGTTGAAAGCTAGGCTCTTTGGACACGCAGCTGAAGTTGCTCAAGACGTCTTGAATGAGCTTCAATATGAACAAGTTGCTCGTAAGATGGCATTGCAATTTATTTCCATTGCACCTTGCTTGAAAAAACACCTAATTGATTGAAATGAATGTATATGGTACTTTTTTTTCATCTACGAGCAAGTGAATAAATAGTCTGACGACGCCTAAACAAAACTGGCTTATCTTCTTTATATAGTGCAGTTAAACATTGAATGAAAAAGTAAATATTTGCCATTCTAATCTGCTCACATCAGACTGGGATCAAGTGTATTCATGCAGATCCAAAGCATTGAGACTCAAATGTCACTGCATCGCACCATCTATCAAGCGTACAGGCTACTGCATAGTGTGGATTACAACAGCATGTATCGCTTATACGAAACTGTCTTATCTTTTACGTTGGCAAAAAACGAAATAGCATACATCCAACAACTTTTGTAGTTTGTAGAGGTTGTTTGATAGGCTGAATCGCTTCTGTGGTGGGTTGTTGACTCGCTAGATGCTTTTGTTGAGGCCTTTTGATTGGGTAATAACACTGGATTGTTCCATTTGATTACTATGACTATGGTTAAGGGCATTCAATTGATTTGATGTATTTTATGGCTGGATCTATGTTGCTTTTTGTGTATATAAGCTGGTGATACTTCATATTCTCTCTTTTTTTTTTTTTTTTTTTTTTTTTTTTTTTTTTTTTGGAATGACTAATGTCTGATTTGAATGATTTGAGGTGTAAGCAATCATTTAGGGTGAAATGCAAGTTTTTTTCTTTGGTTGACTGACCATACCAGCTTCTTTCACATCTGCTTTAAGCTTGCATTGTCAATGTATGGATAGCAATGACGCATGAATAGGCGTACCGCAATATTGTGATAACAACATGTTATTCCATGTGCATAAGCGCTAGTTACCTGAGATACCATTGGTATTTACGGCAATAAATTCAGGTACAATGAACTTTATACTACGTTGCAACGAACTAATATCGCCAAATGCATGTGTATGGATCATGATCCTGAAGGTTGATCGCTGTGTTCGATTGATGTATCATGACCATGGATGCCATCTTGGCCCGAGCAAGGTTTTTTCTTTGAGAGAAACTTTCTGGCATGGCAACCTTAGTTCGACTCGATTATATCTGCGATCAGTAACACTATCCTCTGGTGCATGTGCAGAATGTATATCAAATCTTTTTTTTTTTTTTTTTTTTTTTTTTTTTTTTTTTTTTTTTTTAATTTACCCCGAACAAGCTTTTTGAAACTAAATACAACAATAATTGGATGATGCCGGGAAAAAATCTTTCAACAAAGTAGTAAACGCTACGATACGCGATTGCCTATTTTTTTCTCTTTTTTTTTCCTCTTTCTTTTCTATCTTGTGATTAAGCTTCCCCGTCATGCCATTGCTAAACAAAAAACGAGTGCCTGCTACAATAAACATTTCTTCGAATCCAAAACGTCAAAGTAAGGAAGTTTGGTATCTTCGTTCTACGAATGAAGTGTTTAAAGATTATGAGTGAGTTTCAACTATTCCTGTATCATTCATGTAAAGCAAAAGCACATCTAACTAGCCTACATGTAGATCGTACATTAACAAACTAACATTATATCATCAAGCTATTTGGGAATGCGAGAGAACTGGCAAGACGAATTTGACCTACGAACAAGCGCTGGAGAGTGAACGAAGCGAGCATGAAAGGGCTGAATACCACTTTTCTGAAGTTCTTCGCAAAAGCATCCTCAATCGGGTCCAATTCCGTAAGTGGCATGGAGAGCCTTACTCATTGATCAGCGTCTGACCATCTGGATTATAGAGACACTCCACATCGATGATCTGGTTGATCAAATCTACTCACATTTCAGCAACAACTTCGTGATAGGAGAAGTGTTGCGATGTCATTTGAGTAACTACGAGTATGTATACAGACGTACCTTGAAAGCATCACACGGCACTTACTCTGTTCTACCTTCAGCTACATTGCAAGAGTTCTCGATATCGTTCCAATTCAAGTGCTGTCCATTACCACCAACAATCATGCTGCCAATTCAAATTCAGAAAATCAGCCTGATGGAGCAAATGTTCCCAGACAACCAAATGGTAGATTAAGGTTTCCTGATGCCTTTTTGCACCCCACACCGCAAGAGCAACCTGCCTCTCATCCTGACACCACCAGTATGTCTTTGGAGCATGCAAGCATCAGTCAAGACAGGGAGGAATTTGTTACTGAATATCGCTACAAGGTGCAGCTGATGGACGAAGATGGAAGACCTTTGGAAAAGCTGACACGTATAGTGGAAGGATCAACATTCATACGAGACAGGCAGCTGTTCAACCGATACAATATACAGTGCTTTATCCGCGACTGTTGCTATAGAGAAAATTATGTGTACTCACCGTGGTTGATCAAGGTAAAATGACATTCTCCTAACTATGACATGCATATTCATATTCTTATAGCCTACTACTGCGAGCATGTACGGCATTGAAACGCCATTACCACCCTACCTAGAGAAATTCCAGAATCAAGTGTTTGATATACCTTCCAAGAGACGCAAGATCATTACCAGCAATCATCACAAAACACCTGATGAGAAGGAAGCGGAAAAGCAAGCTCGCCGAGAGGAAACATTACTAAACAAAGCCAAACTGAAAGAAGAGCGAGATAGACTACGCATAGAGAGAAAGAAACAAGCAGCAGTGAAATACCCAGTCGAAGACTTAGATTTGCCAATTTATCGCAAAGATCCCAACAACAATTGGGCTCTGATCGATATGTCCCCTCGAAAATACGTTTCAAAAGACGGCATCATACCTTATCCCAGCGGTGGCAGATCAGAACGCCCTATACCACACCATGATTCAAATATACCAGCTGAACTATTTGATACTTTCCTTTCTACTTGGGCTTTTCTTACCGTCTTTGCAGAGCCTTTGAAGCTAACAGCTTACAGTGTAGACGAATTCGAAAAGGCGCTCTTCCACGAAACACACCAACCCAAAGCAACTGTCTTGGTTGAATACAATGCCTGCTTGCTCAATGTAATCATTAAAGAACGCAAAGACAACACATCCAACGAAATCATCAATGGTGATGCGTCAGAAAGCTATCTGGAATCATTGGAAAAGAGCGATGACGAAAGCGACGATGAGAACGATGAGAATAGTAAGCAGACAGGCTCCAAATTGAAACCAGAGTCATCACAACTACCAAAGGTTGAGCGAGGATGGCGAGACAAAGACCATTTGCGTTTTGCTCAGAAATGGGACAGCAAGGAATTACGAGCCAATTATGAGCGTCGGGGTTGGGAGACTACCTTGATCGGATGCCTCAACGACATTGCCACGCCTGAATTGTTGCCTAGTATTAATGATCTGTTACGCCACTTGAACCCCAAAGTAAACTCATCAGCAGCAGACAGAGAGAAGCAGTATCCCACTTTGAGCATTAGGCAAAAACTGGACATTCTGGAATTCTTGGTCAATGTTGTGAATGAATCGACAATCATCAAGTAAGATTGCACTTTAGTAGCAGTAGTACAATTGCTCATATGTCTAATTTGTAGGAATTACATGGAGTACTGTCAAGATCAGTTGACTGACTTCAGAAAGCACAAGGTTGAGTTAAATAAGGAATCAAAAGCATTGTAAGTAACGCTGTGAGCATTATATAAGCGTTTTTTACTGATGGTCTCTACAGAGCTGCCAAGCGCATCGAAATGGATAAACGCGACAAATTGGAGAAATCTGAAGATATCAACGAGGAGGACGAAGCAGAAGAATCTGCCTCCGACAACAGTGACAATTCTAATGAAGATTCTGATATGGAAAGCGACTCGTAAGTGCTTGTTGTGCTATCTCAATGTATGAATGCTAACCACTTCAATTAAATAGATCTGAAACCAGACTTGGAAATCGCAAGCGTAGACAAGTATCTCGACAGGAAAAGCTCAAACAAAAGCAAAAGGCACGAGAAGAAATGGAAATACAACGCAAGAAGCAATATGCGGAGCAGCGTCAAATAGCAAAGGTCAAAAGCCAGGAGCAGCGCAACAGAATGAATGAAAGACGCAAACTGGAGGAAGATGAAAGGGCCATCAAGAGAAAGGTACACTAGAGTATGTGTCTCTTTGAGCTATATACTTACATTGCATTTCATGTACAGGAGGATCACATAGAAAAGAATATGAGACGCTACATGACTCTGCGAATCCGCCCTCTAGGTAAAGATCGCTTCAACAATCGCTACATTTACTTGGATAACGTTGGTGTCTCAAACACATACGGTACTGGCAGGCTCTATGTCAGCAGCCCTACCGACATTGATATCCAAATGATGATAGACCGAGATTTCGTTGCATCCGATCTTCCAGATCGTGCTTGGGGCTATGGCGGTGGACACTGGTTCATTATCAAGTTAATGCAAGAGCAGGGTTTTGCAGAGGAAAGCGAATGGCTTGATAAGCGTATGCATGAGTTGAATACATCTCATCCAAGTGAATACCGTGGGTGGTGGAAATACTACTCTGAGCCCGAAGAAATTGAACAATTACTGTCGTGGTTGAATCCGAAGGGCGTAAGAGAACAGAAATTAAAGGCTGAATTGTTAAAACAGCAGCCAAATATCATAGACTCATTCAGGAAGCGAACAAATGTGAGTATGCCCTTTTTAAATCAAGGCTGGATGGATATTAACTTTTCTATGCATAGGCTCTTGCCAAAGAAGCGAGTCCTTCTCCCGAAGAAGCTGCGGACGAGACACCGCCACCCCCACCAAAACGCTCTACTCGATCGAAATCCTCAGCTGCAAAATAGAGACAGCTCTTTTGGTGGTTCACTAAAGAATAAATGCCTATTCAATATACCTTTGCAACCAAATAAAAATGTCGTAAGAATTTGCGCCAGTTCTAAAAGAGTATGATGTGTCTTTACAGCCAATCCATCCTGAAGTCTGAGGTGGATACACTCTATATTGCTCCAGTTACATTGATTTCGGACTGCAAATGTCGTGGCTGTATATTCTCGAGTAATCAAAACACGAATATCCTCTTTCTTTCCCAATCATTCACTTATACCACAGTAAAGATGCCTCTTTCACCTTTGAAAATTAAAACCAACGTCGTCAAGAGGTAATACATTCTTCTGCCAGAAAGAAGAGTCCCATTAACTGTCTTGAAACAGAATCAGCAAGGAACATGCTGGTTACTTGAAGGAAGCTGAAACGCAGCAAAAGCGCATCGATAAACTTATCGCTGAAGGTGCTGACGAAGCCGATGTCAGAAAGCAGGCAAGTTGATTATATCCATTTTTCTGCCGAGAAAAATATTACTGACATGAAAGGGCCATCTCATACAACAGAAGGAGGTTCTTGGAGAGACAAATCAAATGATCCCTGATGTCAAGAAGAGACTTGCTAATGCTTACCAAGATTTGCAGAATCAAGTGGTAAATACCAACGCTACAAGTATACTTTCGACTGAAGCTAACTGTCATTATCAGGAAAACGCTGAGAATGCTGATATTGATGAGCTGCAAGAAGCGCAAACTGTTTTATCTGAAATCTCTGCAATCCAATAAAGAATACAGTTTTCATGTTCTACTGTATACTGGAAAACTTGAGCACAAAAGCGTCGTCGTAGCCAATCAGTGAGTAGAAGTTCTTCTCCCAGAAGCATAACACTTCTAATTCAAGCGATTTCTTGCCTGCTACTTGGCTGCGGATTGAGTGATTTTTGGTTTCAAGGCAACATTTGGTAGCATTGGCCTTGAGAGAGGGCTTTACCGTAACGAAACAAACGTGCAAAACTATAGTAATCAAGCAGTAAATTTGGCTTCTCATATTCATTATTAATAAGCTTACTAGCAACATAGCGTATCAAAATATGCATGAATTAGCTTTACCAAAAGCAATTTGCCTCCTGTTCGAATTAGAAATTGCACAGGCTGCAGAACTGCCCTTCTAGAAGATTCCAGCTACCAAAATATGATTCATGCTGTGTAAATAAAAGCTATACAAGAAAACATAACCCCATTTGACAGCTTTCACGCCATCATATCTTGACATGTAGATCTTTTTGAGCCGCCGGAATGACGCCAAACAACTGTACTCGAGTAGTAGTAACTTCCTGACACCTTTGCTCAACTTTTGGGACCAAAAAAAAATATTACCAAAAATCGACCAAAAAGCATGAGGTACCCCTCATGGTTTCCATCGAAATTTAAACGATCGCGTTTTTCACCTTGAAAATAGAGACTTTTACTATGGCATATATCAAATCAAAATGTTTCTCTCAATCCAAAGCAACCTCTGAAACTACTTTTATGAGGTCTTCATATGCAAAATATGGCTATTTTCGCTGAAAACCTCATTTCATCTTTTACCAAATTGCTCAATAATTTTATTCAAAACACTTATTACAGTTAACACCATTGGAAGCGCCTTGAAAAGTACTTCAAGAATGTATTAGGAAGCGTAGGGTGATTATTACATTTTATATAGTCGAATTCCATAAAATAGATTTAAAAAGTCGAAAAACGACAATATCTGTCCAATCTTAAACAGAAAAAAAAAATAAACTGAGTTTGAATACGTTTTGGCAGACTGCGCTGCTGCTGGCTAGCCTGAATACCTTTCTGATAATGACAATGATGATTGCAATGCTGATTAAACAAGGATCATATTATTAAAAGGACAATTGCTTAGCCTAAATCTTTTTTTGGGAGTTTTATCTCATGAAGGTGTTTTTTGCAATGACAATATCTCAAAAAATCGCTGTATATTTTACACAAGTTCTGTATTTACTTATGGCCAGCTTTATGTCACCATCTTATTAAGAGTATCAGCAGCAGTGAATGATATGACAGTTCTGTTATCAGAAAATGGCAATTGTGATGTACAAATGCTGCATAAAACTTGAATTTTCTTTCATATCGTCTCAACAATAAGCTTTGTTTGATAACAATGTAAGCAAAAAGGGTGCTGAGCGAGATACCTCCTCTCCTCCTCCTAGCTCTGATATAATCTTTCTTTTACTAACTAATAATTAATTGTTTAAAATCTACTTGATGTACCAAAATTTTACTCTATCTGATTTAAAATGTCTTTGGAGAGAGCCCACAGGGCGACGTCGACATCGAGCGTAGCAAGATACATCGGCTAGCTTGTCAAATACAAAAATGTGCTCTAAAAGCATTAAACATTAATTAGTATAGGCCACAGTGCCTTTCAATATGCCATTCCCATCTCAATAGCTTGACAAATGGATTGTCTTCATCAAAAAGACGTTTTGGCAGCCAAAATATATTCAATTTTCGACGAATTTGTTTTTATCAAATTTGTTAATTTTTGATCAATTTGCGACTTGTTCAACCTATTTGCATTGCCCACATGAGGTTCATCTATGACAATGTTCCTATAGACCATACAGCAATATTGGCCAGTATTCGGACCAATGTTCGTCAGACCATTGCGGAAGATCAGTGCCATTCCCTCCTGTAATCCAAAGCCATTTATTAGATAGTTTTTTTTATATAGTTTAGTTTAGTATCTTATTCTTCATATTTTAGCTTATAGTTATCCAAATCTGTATCTAAATTGCACTCGCCTCTTCACTCTGACCTATTACTCTCAGTGTACGCGAATCAATCAGTAAACAAATTTTTTTTTTAAAAAAAAAAACCTATTTGCAAGATTTGACTATGTAAAACGTGATGATTATTTAATAATTGCCATAGTAAAAATGTTCATTTTTGAGGTCAAAAACGCGATCGTTTGATTTTCGGTGAAAATTATGAGGTATCCCTCATGGTTTGGAGCCGATTTTTGACGATCTCAGAAAAATTGAGCAAAGGTGTCAGATAGTTGCTGTTGGATGAAAGCAATTGTTTGGTGTTAGTCTGGTGGTATGAAACGGCTTCTATCGCGAGAAATCGCTGCTCAAATGCATCCAAATCTCTTGGAGTTTTGCATGTGTTGGAGTAATGAGAGGTGGCATGAGTATGCTGTCTGCTCGTATCTAAGTTATTTTTATGTATAGGGATGTGAAGCCTTACAGAAGGGCCCAATCCACAGTTAGAAATCATTTATAAGCGGTCTATAGGCCGTAAGCGATTAAAATGTGAAATATTAATATGCTGTGATAGAATACCTGATATGCTTATCTTTCAATGATCTGTTCAAGATGCTTGTTGCTCCCATAACCTATAGTTTCTCGAGCAATGCCTTGGCTGGCTTATGCACTGGAGCCTAGCAATTACTTGTTGGCTATTTGGCTGTAAAGTGAGTCTCTTGCCAGCAAAATATCGAGGGGTTTCATCATCGTAGAACGACTGCGCAGCATCCAAGGCTTTGACAGCAATCAGCATTGATATGCGACCATTAATTTCTATATATGGAATGGAAAGAGGAAGAACGTTCCCAACCAATGATGGATTACGCAGCCTGGCATTAGTAATAATGCAATCCGCAAAATTATAAATTAACAGGTACTTTTTTTTTTTACTTATGCTCTTTCTGCTTTACTCTTCCACTCGAACACTTACACAATGAGCAATGATAGAATCAATTTCAAAGTTACCTTTAAGTCAGAAACAATACCCTTTGAGCAATGGGACGCTTCCTCGACAGTTGGACAAGTCAAGCAACATCTCCATGATACAACATCGCTACCACAAGACAGCCAAAAGTTGCTTTGGAAGGGCCATATTTTGAAAGATGATGCCGCTTCAATAAATCAACTCGGCATCCAGGACAATAGCAAGCTCATGCTAATGGGCAGCTTACCGACTCAAGTACAACAAGTGAATCAGTTAGATCAAAAGATACAAGAGCAAAGAAGAATTGCTCCGCTTATTCGACAGCAAAAGAAGAAACAAGCACAAAGAAGAGGACCAGATCCAAACGCCAATTACACCTTTCATAAAATCTCAGTAATTCCTGAATTCCAACATTCGGAGAGAGCAAGGCAGCTGCTAGAAAGATTACGAGATGATCGTGGTGTAAGCGCTTTTGTAGATGATATGAGATGATGCATGTTCTAATTAAAGCTGTAGATTCGAGCCATCATGGCAGCTAGAAAGTGGTCCGTGGGCGAATTGATAGAGCTAACACCATTTGAAGCCACCATTCTTGGTTACAATAGAAATGCGGGACAATTGATTGCGCTGCGATTGAGAACAGACGATTTATCTGGATTTAGACATTACGATTCTGTCAGAAAAGTGCTGCTTCACGAATTGACGCACAATGTATGGAGAGATCATGACGACAACTTTCATGCGCTGAATAGACAACTGAACAAGGACGTGGTAAATCTGGATTGGACAGCTCACGGTGCAAAAAGCCTTGGAGGAGTAGATTACTACAATCCTGAAGATGAGGATGAAGATGCATATGGAAACGATGTGTTATACGAATCTGGCACGTATCGTCTGGGAGCAGGAGCCAAATCAGAGTCAAGTCAATTATTGACTCCTGAGCAGAGAAGGCAAAGGCTAGCAACTGCAGCATTATCGAGATTAACCAAAAAGGAGGAGCAAGAAATGGATGAAGGTTGTGGATCTTCATCACAACATCCTGTCAAATAATTGAAGTATATATCTAATTGTAAATCCCTCAATAAAGAGCTAATATAAGCATACGAGAGACACCCCTCTCTTTAATAATACGATACTTTTGGATGACAGGTGTAAATATAATTACCATGACGATGGGATATTCATAGAGCCGTGTAGTACATAGGCTTAGGAAATTCTAGCGACACAAACAGAACGCTCAAATGGGTCTGAAACGATTGGTCCTTAATTAGGGTTTATGCATTGTGGTTTAGCCTCGTTTTCTCTCATTCTCTCATATCTGAAATGCCTTCTCATACTCTTCAAAAGGACAGTTTGGCACCTACTTCATTTGCCCTCAAAGATATGAAGCAGCTGTTTGACTGGCAGCCTTCCTTGCTAGACACATTCAATGTATCTAACATTGCATTACAGCCACGCGAGTCTGCATCTACAACTGCCCTGAAACCTAAACTACTATTATGTCATGATATGGCTGGCGGCTATAAAGAGGATAAGTATATCCAAGGCAATGACTATCAAGATATTTATTACATTCAGTATTGGCATCTGGCAGATACATTCGTCTAGTACATATCATCATACAGAGTGGCATGGTTTGATTTTTGAATCTAAAAAAGATGAATTGTCATAGTTTTTCTCATGAGCGTGTATCGATTCCTCCAGTCAATTGGACCAACGCTTGCCATCGAAACGGTGTTCAGTGCCTAGGTACGTTTCTGGTGGACGGCAACAATCAAATGCATGAGATGGAGGCACTGCTTTATGGCCCACCCACACTAAACAATAGCAGTGATGATCCAATGCGACTATGGAGCCCCTTTTATGCAGACAAACTGGTCGCCATAGCAAAGCACTACGGGTTCGATGGCTGGCTGATCAACATTGAATGCGAGTTCTTTCCGTTTCCTACAAGTCCGTTTTTCAAAGCGCATGAACTAGTAAAGTAAGTGTTCCCTCGTTTTGATTTTACGTGGATCATCCAACTACGATACGCAGGTTTCTCTGCTACCTGACACAGGCAATGCACACCGAGATTCCTGGCTCAAAAGTGATTTGGTATGATAGTATGACCACCACTGGCGAGATTGACTGGCAAAATCAACTCACAACCAAGAATGAGCTATTTTTCGAGAATTCAGACGGTATATTTCTCAACTACTGGTGGGAAAAAGAATATCCAGAGCTAGCAAGAAAACTAGCAGAGAGACATGGTAAGACGGGCGTAGATGTATATTTTGGAACCGATGTTTGGGGAAGACATACCTATGGAGGAGGAGAGTTCAAGTCTTACAAGGGCGTCAAGGCTGCTAGCTCTGCTCAGACATCTTCGGCTTTGTTTGGTATGGCTTGGACATACGAACATTTTGACAAGACTGAGTTTGAGAAGATGGATCGTCTGTTTTGGTGTGGTGGAGAGTACTCTGAATACCCGCCTCCACCACCACCAAAACAATCGAAAGGTAAAGATGAGCATGTAGACAGCGATGACAGGTATGTAATTTACCAATTTGGCATACTGGGCTCTGACACACAGTTGCCCGCAGTGAGGACGAATTGATGTATGGCCACAAGAAGGGAATAGCAGACATAGTGGCCATTATCCCTGCACCTGGAAAAAACTGGTTTGTAACAACCTTTGACAGAGGCTTTGGCAAACGCTTCTATCATCGAGGCAAAGTAAGTCGCGGCACAGCATTATGAGCATCACCATTAACGTGGATACAGAAACTGCTCTGCCAACCTTGGTCGCATCTTTCGCACCAGTCCATACTACCCAATCTCAGATATCGAGAGCCCATGGTCTATCCAAATGACAAGAATATTTCTGTACATTGTTCTCTGCAAACGGAGCACGGCGCTTATCTAGGAGGCACCTCTCTTGTCGTTGTCGGCCAACGGGTAAACCATCGAGAATCGCGCGATATGGAGTCAGAGATCACAATTCCTCTGTATCAACTCAATGTTAATGCCAGCCAGGGATGCCAGCTGAAATACATCTACCGCACTCCTTTGATGGAAGATGTTAAGGTGATCTTGTCCTGCCATTTTTCGTTGCATGCTTCCACCAGCAGCGATTCAGATGACTTTTTTAAATCATGGTCTTCACCGAAAAATCTATCAGACGCTGATGAGGATGGGTTCCGTGCTACTATTACTTCTACCAAAGATGCTTGTGATAGTAGATGCTTCCTGCTGCCTGCAACGGAAGAAACAACAGGCGAAAATGATTGGATCACTAAAACCATTGGCATTCCCTCTGTCTCCCCAGGAAACCAGCTATTCATCAAGCGTATTGAAGTCAGTGTTATCGCAAACACTGCAAGTCTGGTAGGATTGGCACCGAATGTCATTGCTTGTTTGGGCTACCTGAGCATCATACCCACGACATCAAGTACAGAAGAGTTACAGATACAAAACTTGCGTTGGTCGGACACACGCATCGAGAAGGTTTCAGCAATAGAAGCCAGGCAAGGGCAACATCAACAGCAGGAGAAGGAAGATCTCAGCGATATTTCTATACAGGAAGAGACGCTGCGTTATTTTGGCACATTATCATGGGATAGCGCTTCTAGCATACCATCTGGCTGGAAAGAGATTGAGTATTACATCGTATCTCACGAGATGGATGGCAATATCAATAGTCGCACGTTTCTAGGAACAGCTTTTTGTAACCAATACCGCATTTCCGGTTTAGACTGTACCAACAAATCACGAACTCATAGAATTGTGGTAGAAGCTGCGAATAGAGAAGGCCATATAACTGCTCAATCAAACCTGGATGTAGTATTGGCATAAAATAAATCATGTTGTGATTGAGTACTCTTCAATTAGCTAATAGCTTTATTATTGATACATCATCTCCTGGCTGCTATCTTCCAGTATAAACTCTGTGTTGACGATGCTATACATCCAGCCATCCTGATAGTAGCTATTGTTATTGTAATACTTCTTGACACCCAAGCTAAAGTATGGTTTCTGGCCCTTGCTGTCTTCTTGGGTATAGTCACCGTACTTTTTGAACTCTCCCCATAATGCAGGATTCTTCTTCAACCTAAAGAAAGAATTGTTACCGGCCTGTTCCATGGTGTTGCGCCATGTATCTCTTCAAACCTGGGGGCAGGTAAATCCTTAAACAGCTTGTCCTAAACACTATTTCAATAGCTATTCCAATGCATAGTTTAGATATACACTTACAGCCTGCTCATCCATTACAAGCACTGCCAATTCTGATCCGCTGTCATCCCTGACTTTGAACATAGCTCTGTATACTGGTTTCATCATGTTTCCACATCTGGAGCACGCATCCGGTTCCTCGAATCTAGTAGGCACAGATCTAATAGTAACAATAGTAAGCGACTGAGAGACGTCTCAAATACGATTCAGGCATTCACGCTTACGTTATTTTGCAATGCGAACAATAGCTCTTGAGCCATGTCGTAAGTTCGCTCGGTTTCTGCTTCTCAATGGTCACTCTGATGTATTCCACTCCTGGCTCCTAAAACGAAAAGAATACCTGATGAGTCAACATAGTGCAAATACAGAACTAAAGGTTGCAAACCTCTTTTTCCAGCAACTGCTTGATAGGAACAAGTGTTTGCTGACTAGGAATCCCTGCAGTAGTAGTCAGGTCAATATACACTGTATCAAATGCAAATTTATCACTCTACTTGATCGCATAAGATTCACAGCCGTTTCCGATATTTGAGACGGGCTTTGGTACAAGGAAGCTTCATGTTCTCTTTTTCTCTGCAGTAATGGTTGCAAGCGAGGATCATCCATGTCCAACTTCTTCACATGTTCGCCATCTCCTGGTGTGAAACTGACACGGATTTCAAGCTGCATTTCATTTCTCGTATTTCTTGTACAGTTATCTAGAAAGACATAGTCGCCAAAAGAGAAAGGACCGCACTCTGCGTGTTTATCGTATAGCGTGCATGACACAGTCATGTCGTTTGTAATGTTGCCCAGAGTGCCATCATCAGCCATGTCCTCTAATCGAGTCAGGGGGTGCGGATTTCTGGTATAGTCGGTCAGTTTGATTACACGTCGCTGCGGAGGATGCTCTTTCGCTTCAAAGAATCCCACAATCATGCCCACATAGTTGAAATACTTTGCATCGTCCTCTTGGATCTGAGCAGTTGTAACGATCTGTCTTCCTCTTGGAACCGTCGAGTGAGAGTTGGCTGAAAATCCGTTCTGGAGTTTGAGTGCCTGACTCCAATTACGGAATGCTGCATAGATTTCTTGATCTCCCGCTTTCCAGCAAAAGCCTTTACTGGTGAAGCAGTTTCCAGACTCGTCGTCGAAGAGTGCAAATTCTGTATAGCGGTTTTTGGTAAGCTGAGGCTTCCTCCGATACTCCTGGACAAAGGCGTTCTTCAAGAGCACAATACTGCCCTTTTTAATTTCTGGCATATTTTCATCATGGACGAAAAAGTTGCAAGTATATGAGTCGTCTGGATTAAGCGTTGGGTCAATGACTAACAATTTGTACATCGGATCTGCACTAACATGGATCAGTAATGCCAACTCAAGTAACTCGGTGCCTTCGTACCGCTTCCAGTCCTCGTAGATTTCACATCTATTGCCAGAAATAAGGTGCATTCCACTTGCTCCTTCTTGTGCTCTTTGACACGGGCATAATCTTGCAAGCATTTCCAAGAGTATTTCTGTACATCATTCATCAGAATCAGGCTTATGCCCATCATGAGCATTCCATTACCTTCAGCGTGTGTTGATAAATGGTTGAGAGGTCGTCCAGCATGTCTATTTTTATAATTGATTGATGTGAAAAAAGCGAGAATTGTAGAGTGTCGCGTGAGTTCTACTTTTGGTCATTGCTATCTCTGCTTGACGTGTCTTGGCTCAGCCCCTCATCACTGCCATATTCACCATTGGTAGTGTAAGTAGTCGACATTGAGAATAAACCACGACATTTGCTCTTGTATATTTTTTTCCTCTTTTTCTTTGTATACACAACCAGCATTACAAACCATTCAAGCATGTCAAAGTTCTTAATCTACCGAGACGAGATCGACAAGGCAATCCAAAGCTGTTTGGCAGCCACCACAGAGTACAGAAACCAACATCAAGTATCCGAAGTGCCGTTCCCTGTTATCCAAGATTTAGTTCAAAATCACATCCAGCCTTTAGGTGGCAGCGAAAACAAGCTCAACATCAAAATGCCAGAGGAAAGCAAAACCGACTGGAGAAAGAATGCAACCGAAGTCATGTTTCGTCGAACGCTGTTGCAGATGATTGATTTGGAGCAGAGTGAGGAGAGGTTCAACAAGATATTCGACTGCCTTGACATTGTATTATATTGCACAGAAACCAGTAAGTACATGTTGTTCCTTGGCACAGTATGCTCAACAGAGGCTAATTGGACCTCTTAGACGTCGATTTGCTAGACGTGGTGGTGCCATTGACCTTTCTGGAAGAGCTATCAGAGGCTCATACCACCAGTGGTTGTGAGAAGATATTCAATTACATCGAAAAGCGCAAATCAAGAATCACAGTGGTAAATATGTCGGCCGAATCCCGCCAGACGACAAAACTTCTCACATGCAACTGCTTAGGATATGGTTCCCGGCAAAGGAAAGGGTCTCATTCTCTTGAGAATGTGCAATGATTTGCTGCGACGATTATCAAAAGAAACCAACACTGTATTCTGTGGTCGCATCCTCATGTTTCTTGCCAATTCATTCCCTCTTGGCGAAAGATCAGGTGTCAACTTACGAGGTGATTTCAACACAGATATGATCCACTTTGATTCAGATGAACAAGTAGACGCAGATCCCAACATGACAGGTACACTGCTTTGGCACTGGCGTTATGATAAGGTATTAATGCGAGACACACACGCATATATATAGATGAGCAAAAGTCATTTTACAAGCTGTTCTGGTCCACTCGTGTCTTTTTCTCCAATCCACCCACCATTTTTGCTGATGATAATTTTAAAAAGCTGCAACAAGGCACAGACAAGATTGTTGAGAAATTCGAGGTCATTGGCGAAAAGGAAGCAGAGATATTAGGCGCACGCAAGAATGAAGGTCTGAAGCGGTCAAGAGAGGATTACGAAAATGGAGGCGCATTAGGCATGGAGGAAGACCCTGCCATTGCAGAGGAAATGCTGGCATTAATCAATCGTGATTACAGATTCCCCAGATTACTGAGCAGCAGACGATTGTTGGACTTGGAGATGGAAGACGCTCGATTTAGAAGAAATGTCATTGTGCAGTACTTGATTTTGTTCCAGTACCTGTCTGGATTTTCAGCTGAAGAAAAGGAGAAGACCAAAGAAGCATTAACAGCGCGTGGAGCCACCAAGCAATCACTAATTCAGCCTTCGTATACACTCTCTGACGACCAAATCAAATGGATCGAAGACACAAAACAGGTCTTATTGAAGCTTCTAAGAGCTATCAAACCTCATGGAAAACTATATACCGACATCATATTGACCATCTTGGAACACGAGCGTCACTGGATCATTTGGAAGGCATCTGGATGTCCTGCTTTTGAGAAACAGCCTCGAGATAACAAGCTGCTTGAACAATCACGCTTGACCAAGAAACCGCGATTGGAAGCACCACCTAGAAAATACCGTTTCTCTCATGGAAACTTTGAAGTGTCGAAACTGTTTGGCAATAGTACAAATACCTCGCTCTCTAGCTTCATGCTGTAAGTCTACTTCTAAAATGGCCTGATGATACCGCTTGCTAATGTGATGATCTGATAGAAATCGACCCAAAATCCCCTCTGGTATCGAGATCATTGATAGCTCACTCATGGAATTAGACGACTCGCTTGATCCTCCTCAAGACAGATTCAATTTCGCAAATGGCGTTCTATTGCAAGCCTCAAGAATTGTGTACGAAAACCACCCATCACTGATTCGATTATTTTATGCTGCCAAAAAGGACAGCTACAAGGAAATGCATGAACGACTCAACGAAACCAAGGAAGCCGGAGAAGAAGAGGACGAATCAACAAACAAACCATCTATGCCAGACTTTATTGTGGGCGAAAAGATTACAGAAGACCATGTACAAGCGGAAATCTCAACATTAAACAAGGCACGAGAAATACTAACAGAAGAAATAACCAGCAAAGACGAAGAAATGAAGGAATAAAGTATGTTCTTTTTTGCATCATATGGTTTAATGACAATTGGGAAGAATGATAGGGAGGTCTTTCTTAGTCTCTCTATCATTTAATGTAGCTGAGAATTTATATTGTCAATATCAAAGGGGTAGGCGAGAGACAGAAATTTGTAAAAGAAAGTAGCGTATATAAATGCCTGATGTTGCCATGGAAACCAAATTCTGCATTTCATTACTACATAACAACATCATGAAAGCCTTCTTTTTGGTAGCAGCCACTCTGGCTCTTGTCACTACTCCAGCGATCCACGCAGCACCATCTGCCAGTGCTGATACCAAGCAAATCAACATCTTGAATCAATGTGGACATAAGCTGCAAATTGGATATCAAGCAAATGATGACCCGCGAGGCCACATCGTACCTTTAGAATCAGGCAAATCACACAAGATCACTATTCAAACAAACTGGGCAGGACGCATCTGGGCAAGAGAAGGCTGTGATGTTCACAATTGCGATATTGCAGGATCAGATAATCCAGCATCTTTAGCAGAGTTCAAACTATCCTCTGTGTTGGCAGACATTGATTACTATGATGTCTCATTTGTAGATGGCTACAACTACCCTATTCGCATTGAACCACTAATGATCCAAGGCCTGGATCAACTTGTAAAATTGGATAAAAGACATTGCAGGCCCTCTGAATGTACAAGCCTTCCCACATGTCCACTTGATTTGCAATCATTGAATGGTGTAGGTAAATTTGTAGCCTGCGAGAGTGCTTGTTCAAAGTATGGTGATGACAAGTACTGTTGCACGGGCGCTTTCAATACAGCAAACACATGCACTTCAAATCATTATGCTCAAAAGATTAAGGCTCAATGTCCTGAAGCGTATAGCTATGCTTTCGATGATGCTACAAGTGTGTACGGATGTAAAGCTGCTGCCTATCGAGTTGTATTTTGCCCTTGAAATAGCTTGGGAATGTAATTCTGAATAAAGTTGCCATTGTCATGGTCATTCAATTATGATGTCTTGAGCTCCTGGTAGTGTGTGTACCTGAAATCACACTGTGACAATCAAAATAACATGTCGCATCTGGATCGCACCTCTATTGGTGTGGCAAGATTCCATCATCTTCCATTAGCACTGTGACCATACTATTGTGACCATAAAATGGATTCTTAAAAAAAAGTATAAAAAGGCACTCAAATCTTGCATTTCCGTCTCTCTTTGTACTTCTGTCTTGTGCTCATATCGGATAAATCTTTCGCCTTTTACTAAAGATTTCCGTGGATGCGGGACACAAAGGAAGATTACCCAAATTTTTTGATAACCCATTTCCTTGGAATCTTGGATTCTAAGGGATTATCATCATTTAATTAAAATGGAAATGAAAGTGATAATGAAAAATCTTTGAGCATGTCTGAGTTGCTCATGAAATCCATGAGAAAATGGTACCCTTTCCTAATTAAAACGACCCACGCACTTTGATGCTATTAGATGTTGGTCTTGCAGCCGAGTGATATGAGAGATATAACTGCTGTAGAAAGAAATACCTCTTGTTTTTAGAACATTCCTAGAATGAAGACGTATGTTATTAGTGCAACATTCGTAAACCGTTAATTATAGACGTTTGTTTCAGAATGAGTGAATGCCAAGCATAATAGAGCAAATAAAACTTTAATTACATTGAGATGGGTCCCATTGAGAACTACATTTGCAGAGAACCAAGGTAATATGTATATATGTATGTGTATGTATAAGTGCTAGGGATAACGTGCAATTCATTACTGTGCAGACCTTACTCTTGCGACATCTGTACCGATATTCATGCTGTTCATCGCTTGGACTGTTGGAGCTACTAAGCTTGTTGCAGCTCTCTTCTTTTCGTTGTTTGCCGCTGCTCTTGAGATGGAATGTGCCTTGATGCGATTCATTGCTTTCACGGCACTGATAGCGCTCTTGAACGTACGACGCGCATTGAAATTTTCACGCACTGTATCCAAAAGATCAATGTCTTTAGCCTGTTGCCCTGTCATCCAAACATCGTTCAGAGCTTCTGTTGCAGTGGGTCTTGAGTCTGGGTTCAGTGAAAGGCATTTTCTGATGAACGAACGAGCTATATTTGCATAACATGTGAGTTTCGAATGTGTAAACATTGGCCAGATACACACTAGAGCATATATACACATACCATCAGGAGAAACGTTCTTCCAATATCTTTCGTGGAATTCGTATCTTGCATGTGTAATGTCGTCCATCATCTCAACATTGTCTTCGCCTTGGAATGGCTGATAACCACAAAGCACGGTATATGCGATCACGCTACGAAAGATGATTCGTTTCAGTAAAGAGATGCTGGTGCTCTACGCTCTTATTTCCGTTTACCCAACGCCCCAAATGTCAACTGGATAACTGTATGGCTTTTTCAAGAGCACTTCAGGAGCTTCAAGTAGGAAAAAAAAAAAACAGAATATTAGCTTTGGCTCAGTATGCACCCATTATATATATATATATATACAATGTGTTCTTACCGACATAACCTGGTGAGCCACAAATGGTCTTTAATCCAATTCCGTCGTCTTGCATTGCCTTTGCGATGCTGTATTTCTCGTCAGTTCATTGTACTTTGAGACGCACATTCGCATTACCCAAAATCACAAATGACTAGATCTGCTGCTGATTCGGGTGTCTTGAACAGCAAATTCTCTGGCTTCAAGTCTGTTTCAATAAGAGTTATATTTTGTACAATACAGGCAATGCACCAAATCTTACCTCTGTGGACAATCTTATTCTTGTGCAAGTATTCCAACCCTCTCAAGACGGACCGCATCACTGCTATGGCGTCCTTCTCTGTAAACTTGCCTCTTTCAAACAATCGTTCAAACAATTCGCCTCCAGTAGCTCTGTTTGGAAATGTACTGTGTTACCATTCCATTTGCAATCATAGAAATAACCAAGATTTACGATCTTACAATTCAAACACCAAGTAGAACTTTTCTCTGTAATGGTAGGATCACTGGAATGAGCTGTTGGACTCGATATGCTATAGCCGTTGCCCTTACCGAGACTCGAACCAGTCGTAAAATCCAATAATGTTGGGGTGAGATAATCCCTCCAACACTCTCATTTCAGAATACACCATATCAAAATGACCCTTTACCTTGGATTTGGGAATGATTTTGATGGCAACCACCTTGCTGTCCTCGATACGAGTTGCTTTTTTGACATATCCATACGATCCACTTCCTGTATCAGCAACAAAATCGGTTCAATTCAAATTAATGCGATTGTTCTCTGTCTTTAAGTATACCTAATTCCTCGCCAAAGCTGTATAATTTCTTTCGTTCGTATGATTCAGGTTTTGGGATACCTCCATGCACCCAAACATCAACAGAATCCCGGAATCCCATACTGTGTATATTTTATTTCGATTTATGATCGAGGGAAAGAAACGAGAAAGAAAACGAAAAATAGAATAGCCAGAAGATAAAAGAGATGAGCAGGTTTTGGATTGGAACTACGACTCATAGCCATGATCAGAGAGGCAATAAATCAACCTATTCCTCTTGTTTATGTATACAAAGAAGTATTCTATGCCCAAATGGTATCAATGCATTGGCTCTCATTTGTGCAGTGACGGATTTACATGTTGATGGCATACACAATGATATGGATGAGTTTCATTGCATTGATCACATGCTAGCGTTTTTTTTTATCGACATGAGCAAATTAGAGACATCCCCCGACGTCTTGGTAGAATCAGGCCATTCTTGTCTGTTGGCAAAGACTCTATATCGCCATGCGCCATCAACAATAAGATCGTAATACTAATTTAGCTGTTTGCAATGCATGGGACTGAGAAAAGAACGTGAGGGTCAAAAATTGAGGATTATCTTCACACAAAGCATATTGCCTTTTACAGGCGACATCTAATCAAAGTCGCATTGGTTCCAGGCATTGATCTGGGCGTTCGAGTGATCTCAATTGTGATGTGGCATTATGCTTTGAAACATTATTTCATCGAGTGCCATGCGAAGCAGACTCCAATTCATATCGTCCATAGCTTCCTCAGGGCTAATAAGCTGTTAAATGTCATAATTTATGCGAAAATGGTGGTACTAAGTTTGTCTTTCCACTGATATTACACTGACTGCTTTTCATATTGATTGGAATGTAATTTTTTTCGCTTCAACGTCTCTTCATACTCTACACACTACTACAATATGCAAATTAAATCCGTTAGATCAGCATTAATCACAAATTACGAAGTTTTAAGGCTTTTAGAAGAGTCTCAAGAAGCACAAAAGCAAGTTCAAAAGCGTGATACATCTGTAGAATACCCTGAACATTTGCGTACAGTACAATTTGAGGTAATCTTGTGGCCTGTCAGCAATGAGGGGTCGTTATGCTGACACGTTCTTACTGCTAGCTTACGGAATATCTAAAAGAAACACCATGCAGCACACAAACACCAGAACAGATATCCAATTTCATGGAAGCCATCTCGAAATTTGAGCTAACCAAAGCAGAAAAGCTACAAATTTTGAACCTTAGACCCAAAAGTACAGTGGAAATCTATTTGGTAAGATGAAACCGCTACATCATCAAAACGTTGGTTGCTAAACTTGCTTGAACGAGTAGCTCATTGAAGAGTGCGAAGAGAGATTCACAGAAGAGGACTTGGAAGAAATGCTCTCCAGCATCCTTCACACATTACCACGAGATGATGATTATGAAGAGGAAGAAGAAGAGGAGGAGGAGGAGGAGGAGGCCATGGATGAAGATTAAACCAAACAGCACCCTATGCAATGTACGACGTAGCACATTGCATCTTTTGTGTAGTTATCATCCGTAAAATAAATAAAGCAGCATCATACTTTTTCCTTCTTTTTTCTTTTTCTTTTCTGTAAACGCAAATCATGGAATTACCTACAAATACTGCTGCTCCTAAACCACCAAAGAGACAAGTGACCCTAGGCCCAACATCCCCTATCCAGGATTGGGAAGTCGAGCGAGCAACGGTAAGCAACCACTGAGGACACAGGAGAGCCGTAACTGAAATTTCACTGGCATCAGATCCTCGCTGATCGTAAAGAGAGCTGTGAAAAGGCAGAGCGACTGGAAAAGAAGCTGGAACTCGACCGTCAAACATACGAAAAGAACACGGCTAGTGTAAGTCATTGAAATCAGTATCCACCGATAAAAAAAAAGCTCAATTTCATTCCTTAGCTGCTCCGAGAAAATAAGCTAAAAGAGACTTTTCTCGAAAAAAGAATCAAGGATGTTCAGGAGCAGTTGATGGAAGAGGTAATTCCGTAGGTCCAGGAACATCTGTATTGTCTATGCTAAGCAGTATAGTAGCTGGTGCTAGTGCAACGCACATTGGATGAAGAGCGATCCTCATTTCAGGAACAATTACGAAGCTTGAAAAGCCAACATGAAGCAGCGTTCGAGGCTGAAGAGAAGAAATATCAAAGAAGATTAACAAGCCTTCAAGAGAGACTGAATGCAAAGGATAAGGAGTATGCTGAGATATTTGAAAAGGAACAGCACAGCTCTACAGCGGAATCAGATGTTGAAAAGGAAAAAATCATTGAATCTTTAAATATTCAAATTGCCAAGAATCAAGAGGAAATGGCTAAGCTTCGGGAATCTAACCCTGAAAGTGAGATCGAGAACGATGATGATGATGATGATGGTACACCCGAAAAGCAGGTAGGTAGTTCCTTTTGCACTTTAGGTATATTTTTGTTCTAAATCTCAATAATGTAGGCTGAAACTTCCACTTCTTCGTCTAAGGAATATCAACAGCTTGAATCATTGTACAAATCACTACAAGAAAAGTTTGAGGCGACCGAGTTGGTATTGAAAGATTGTAAACAAGAAAACGAGGACCATCTACGCAAGATTGACGAATTGAAAACTAGTCTATCAGCTGCTCAACAACAAAGAAAACGCATCGATCAAGTCGTATCCAGTCAAAATGACCATATCAAGGAGTTGACTGAAAAGTTCATGTCGGAAGTGCGACAAACCGAAATGACAAACCAGGCACAATTTCAAAATTTACAATCCGAGCACACTGAATTAATGCGTGAGCTTAGAGAACAGCATGAAACTGAAAAGGAAGTGTGGCAAATAGAACAAACTACCCTAATCGATGAGATGCGCAGAGAGTTGAACTTTGAAAAGGAGGAAGCACTGCGAGAATTGGGCAGAGAATGGAAGGAGAAGAGCGAAGATTTACATGCATCCATGTCCAAGGATGCCATGGAGATTCAAGCTCATTGGGAATCCAAATTGCAAGAAGCAAAGTCAGGCTCGCTGTTGAAGGTGTCTCGATTGCAGGGAGAGATCGCGGTGGTCAAGGATCGCTTGGGACGTGAAATCACCAGACGAAAGCAAAACCAAGCATTGTTGGAAGAGGCCATAAATAAGAATAAGCTTTTGGATGAGTCCTTGAGGAAATATCAATCTAAATGTCATGATCTTTTGAATCGGCGTACTACAACGGAGAAAGAGATCCAAATAGTAAGTTATTACAATGTGGGCAAGTTGAGAATGTTGCGAATATTAAACTAATCATCATGCTTGCTGTTAGTTGAAGTGTCAACATCGCACCTCTTATAAATTAGCTCTGGATCTCTTGACTATCACCTCACCGAATAAGACCATTGATTCTCGAGCTAGATTGCCAGACATATTACAAACTGCTGTCAGAGATGCCACCTTGATGAGATTTCATGCTGAGACAGAGGCTGATACTCAAGGCTCAGCATTCGCTGTCAATGGCATTCCCACATATGGATTTTGAGAACAGCAACCGCCGTAATCAATCGTTTAGCATATATATTGTGTAATAACCGACATAAAATACCCTTCCAACTGTCATTACCTTGATGGCTCAAGAATAAATTGAATACCCACCACTATCTGGCCCTTGTTTTGCAAAGCAGACATATAGAATTTGCATTATTTTGTTCCATGCAGGCCACAGTATTGTAAGGATGCAAAAACCTACTCTATCTGCATTTTCAACTCCCATCATCGGCGACAATCCTTAGCACACGACCTCTGGCCATGGATCTGATTCTGCTCTGTTGTCTCACGGCTGTATCAATGGAAACAATTGATATGCAGGCCTAAAACATATTTGCATTGCCTTTTACTGCTCTACAGTATGCAAAATATATATAGTGAAAGTTGGATACATTCGGGCCGTAATTTCTTGTGTTAAAAGCTGTTTTAGACCGCCAGAATAGCACCAAACAGTTGCTTTTGTTGAGCGTTAACTTGCTGATACTTTTGCTCGGCTTTTTTAAGATTGTCAAAAATCGACTCCAAACCATGGGGGGGTACCTCATGGTTTTTATCAAAAATTAAACGATCGCCGTTTTGACCCAAAAAATGAAGACTTTTACTATGGCATACGAGCCTTTCGACACTTCGGGTGGTTTCCTGACCTACACTTCGCTTCGGTGGAAACCAACCTACGTTCAGGCGGCTCGTGCTGCCGAATATAAAATCACTGATCATATGAAAGCTTATGCTTCGGATGGTTCTTTACCTTCGCTTCGCTTCGGCGAGAACCAACTTGCACAGCGACAGCTCGCGCTACCGATTGCCCTTGCGTATCTTATCAAAGTACTACTACTTTCATGTTAACCGTCTACTTACACATGAAACCCCTTCATACTATCTGTAGATCTGATTCTTATGTGATATTCTACATCTATATACACGTAGCTACTTCATATACGGGCAAGCAGCATACTGGTATTTCCCCTTTTTATTCCTTAGTGTTCCTGATACAGCAAAATCTGAGTGCATTTGAGCTGCGTTTTCTTGCGTTCAAGGCCGTTTTAGATGGCCAGAATAGCACCAAACAATTGCTCTCATCTAGAAGTTACTTTCTGACACCTTTGCTCAACTTTTTGGGGACCAAAAAAAACATAGCCAAAATTCGATCAAAAAGCATGAGGTACCCCTCATGGTTTTCACCGAAAATCAAACGATCGCGTTTTTGACCTTGATAATGAAGACTTTTACTGTAGTATATCTTGAATCAAAATGTTTCTATCGATCTAACGCAGCCTCTGAAAATATCTTTGTGAGATCTTGATATGTAAAATTTCAACTTTTTGGTCAGAAACCTCTTTTCATATTTTCGTAAATTGCTCAATAAGTTCAGTCAAAACATTTATCTTACTTGGTACCATTGGATGCGGCTTGAAAAGCACTCCAAGAAAGCTTAAAGGAGCATAGGATGATCATCACTTCTTTATAGTCGGATCTGGCAAAATAGTTCAATCAAGTCGAAAAGCTATCAAAATTTGGCCAATCTGGAGTAGACCATGAGTCTGAGTTGGAATTGATTTTGGCGGTTGGTGGGGCTGGCAGGCAAACTCAATGCCCTTTCCATCATGAAAGCAATACAGTAATAGATGCCGTTGAAGCGTATGGAAAGTAGGTGGCAAGTCTTGGCACTATCGTTAATTATGTTGTTTCTTGCATTCTATATCGTTTATAATAAATGTTCAGTCCCTAGACACTTTTACAAACCTAATATGGAAACTGAAATTCAAAGCATCTGTCCGGCCAGGCTTATATGATTAATGGTCTTACAATCAATCAAAAAAACTACTTTTATTTTTACCCCCTTTCCTCTGCTCAATATTGTCAACGCTCTCTTTAAACGACGGCTCAGAGCCTAAGATATGTCATTATTTACTGCAGACATTTTATGTAGTCCATGAATCGTCAATGTCCAGACTAACATTATTAAATATAGAATGCAAGAAAATATCATTATAAACGATATAGAATGCAAGAAACAACATAATTAACGATAGTGCCAAGACTTGCCACCTACTTTCCATACGCTTCAACGGCATCTATTACTGTATTGCTTTCATGATGGAAAGGGCATTGAGTTTGCCTGCCAGCCCCACCAACCGCCAAAATCAATTCCAACTCAGACTCATGGTCTACTCCAGATTGGCCAAATTTTGATAGCTTTTCGACTTGATTGAACTATTTTGCCAGATCCGACTATAAAGAAGTGATGATCATCCTATGCTCCTTTAAGCTTTCTTGGAGTGCTTTTCAAGCCGCATCCAATGGTACCAAGTAAGATAAATGTTTTGACTGAACTTATTGAGCAATTTACGAAAATATGAAAAGAGGTTTCTGACCAAAAAGTTGAAATTTTACATATCAAGATCTCACAAAGATATTTTCAGAGGCTGCGTTAGATCGATAGAAACATTTTGATTCAAGATATACTACAGTAAAAGTCTTCATTATCAAGGTCAAAAACGCGATCGTTTGATTTTCGGTGAAAACCATGAGGGGTACCTCATGCTTTTTGATCGAATTTTGGCTATGTTTTTTTTGGTCCCCAAAAAGTTGAGCAAAGGTGTCAGAAAGTAACTTCTAGATGAGATCAATTGTTTGGTGCTATTCTGGCCATCTAAAACGGCCTTGAACGCAAGAAAACGCAGCTCAAATGCACTAGAGAGCCTAAGCAATGAGGTTTGATCAAATGATCTTGTTGAAGTGCCGAGAATATCCTTTTTAAACATTATACACCCATTGCCCAGTGGTGCCTGATTCAAATGCTACAGCTATAAAATATTACTCATAATACGGAACAATTTTTTAACTGGTTTGAAGCTAAGTGTGAATCAAACATGGAAAGTGTAGATGTATAAAATCTTACTATAAGAGTCTCAAAACATCATATAAAGTAACATTGAGCCATGTGACACATTTTGGCATATCATATACATATACGATGTAAAACTGTACCGTGTGTCATGTATTAAACATTGGATAGGTGTATAAACATTTCACTGTTCGATAGGGGTACTTTCTTTAAATACCACTTTAAGTGTTTAAATTCCTCATATTTCGCAATTGACGGGCCCTTCTATTAGAAGTCAAACATCCCAGATCTTCATATTTGGGGTTGCTGTATATGCTGTGTATGCGCGATCAAATCCAATATAATTTCTCAACTGCCGGGGATTTGCCGATTATATGTACACACGCAAAGGCTAAGATGCTCGAGCTCAACTCTTGTTAATAATGTTTATTCATGGCCCATGCTTTCCGGTTTTGATTGAATAAACTTATCTGTATAGGTGATGCACAGAAGGCTTCATTCCTTGTCATCATTAAATGTATTGGTGCACCAAAGGCGGGGAGGGGGTAGTTTTGTTATCATAGCAACGTAAATCTTACAATTGAATTAGATACTCAACATGTTTGGCATGGAAGAGAAGAATCCGGGTTACTGGCCAGCTCTTTTTTCTTCAATGTTCGAGAAGATTTGGAATCGAAAATTATCAGGCCATTGATTTAAGGGATCAACGGCAGCTTGGAAGTTCACAACATCTGTGTAGCTCTTCAACAAATGAAATGCCAATAAACACATATGCTCGCATAGACAGTTGCAGATAGCAGCAGCACCATGGCATTTTATTGCTGTAATTAGCTCTGTATACATTATCAATCAATTCATTTCAAGCTTGAAACAGATTTGATGTGGTATTTTTAGAACGGTGCACAAGATATTTGAGTTATCTCAACGCAGACAGTAAAAAGTGGATAAACTAATAATGCCAGATTGAATGGCAATACAAGAAATTTAGTAACAAGGTACCGAGTTTAATCGTCGTCATAATCGTAGGTCTGGTTCTCTTTTCCAGCTTATTGTCTCCACTTCAAATGTCATCTGTCTCGGTTTCCTTTGTTCTTCAATCATCGCTCTTCTTAAGCTCACCAATTTCCGCGCACTGTCTCCTTCTCCAAAGTAAGTATTTGTCATTGCTTACGAGCTAACATTATTACCCAAGCAGGGTGTACTTTTTTCTTGTTAGTGAATGATTGGCTTATTGTTTGTCTCAGTTGCTTTGCAATCATCGATGCCACTCGCCAGCAGTTGTTTCTTTATACTGCTTTTGTAGGATGAAAGGAAATCTGCAGTCTCCAAAAGAGAATGTTTGTCAAATCGAGATCCATCAAGTCAGTATCTAAAGCAAGCAACTTTTTTTAAAATTTTCGATACCGACTATACACAATGATCTACCTGTGAGCTACCTTATAGAATCGATTTGAGTAACTGCCTGTTCTTGTAGTCTACTATCTATTAGGTGAATTTTTTAGCATAGCATGCTTTATTGTGTGCAGACGTAAATTTCTTAAATGTACAACTCTTATATTGAATATAGATACTATCGAGAGGAAATACAGTATTTGAAACAAATATTCCTTTTTCAATAAAAGTAGGGTCCTTCAGGATATGAGAGCCGTAATTGCTAGTTGCTTTACATAATACGGCAAGTTCACCCGTTGCAGCGAAAACAGAAACCCGGTAGCGACGATTCTATGTTTTTCCTAGCGTAATCATGAAGCCAAATCTGAGTCTAATACTTTACTTGGAGAAGCAAGCAATTGGCATGTCTTTTTTTTTTATGCAAATTGTTTGGAAGTACTATCTATGTATTTTTTAAATGTCTGTCAATCTAGATATACAGACTAAGAAGGAAAAAAATAGGTTTCAAACAGACTGAATCAGTTTATTGTTTCACTACTACAACGGAAGTAAATATTGCAATAAGGAAAAAAGTTCACATTCGCTCAAATCGAACCATTTTGTTCGAACCCAATTAAACCTTACGCAAGTTGCATAATATCATCGTTTGTCCATTTGGTCCACCCGGATCTCTGAGATGATTGGATCAACACTAATTTACGCCTCAAATCACACCCTAAGAGCACAGCCATAAAAATGAGATGTTGTGTTTAATAGCAAATATTGAGCAATGTCAAACTAAAAGGAAGTAATGGCATCAATGAAAAAATAAAAAAGCCATAGCACTATAGCCTCTCGAGTAGTAACAGCACTAGAAATGTAGCTTATGTTGAAATTAGTAATAAGACACAAATCAGAAACCACAAAAAAAAAATGGGATCAACGAGGCTTACTTTCGTTTGTAATCCGTTACCAAGCCTCAACTTAATAATTTGCTACCGGAGATCATATTTATCGTTCGAATTCATATAAATATGAATGGGAAGAGGCTATGTGTTTCCCTAAAATAAGAACGAGAGCCTCACGTTTCATTTTATTTCACATCTCTTTTATTTTTCTCGCATTATGACAAACAATACCTACTGGCAAGCATTTCCTACCAACATGGTGGATGCACCTGGCTTATTGATTCCTCAGCAAACACCACCTTCGCACTTGCCTCACTCTCATCATCACCCACAACAACAACAACAACAACAACAGCAACAGCAACAGCAGCATCCCAATCCGCAACAACAACAGCAGCAACAACAGCAACAGCCGTGGTCGGACGATGCTGATAAAAGAAAGTGGAGTCAGGAGTTTGGCGAATTTGACATCAATTCTCATGCGAACAAAATGTTTCGTATGTACATTTACAACCCATGATTAAAAGGCTCAAAGCTAATGAAATTGCTCATAGATATGGATGATTACAGCAACAGCAATAACAACGACCCTAGTGAAGGCGATAGTCCAGGTAATTTTTTTTTTAATTACTGAATTATGCTCCAGTTGCATTTACTAAATCATTGTATAGATAGTGGTAGTGGATCTCATAGAAGACATGATTTATTATCAGATTCTGGTTTGTTTCATGTAAACTATCATGCCCAACATGCTGTCCAAACCGCAACAATGACTAACATTATCGCAACATAGGGAGCCGATCAAAAGCAAAGACGAAAGGAACAAAACAGAGCCGCACAAAGAGCCTTCAGAGAGCGTAAAGAACGATACGTGAAAGAGCTTCAAATCAAAATCAAAGAAATGGAAAACAAGCACAATGATGAGCTTCTTCGCGTCACTCAAGAAAACGACTCTTTAAAAGCTCTTGTCAAAAGAATGGAAGCTGAAATTTACACTCTCAAAGGTGCTGCCATGGCGTTCAATGTGTCCATCAGCAAAATGCGTGAAGCAGGTCTTGACGTACAAACTACCTCTGTCATTCGCGATACACCTTCTCCACCTCAATCTGTCGATCGGCATCCGTCTCCTCCAGCTGCTGCTGCTCGTCCTTATGACAGAACCATTCCTCGATCCTCCGCTGTTGCCACTCTTCGCGATAGAGACGGCTATTCTACCACTGACAGACACTCCTCTATCCATGATCCTCTGCTTGACAATGTTAATCGATACAATAGCTCACCAGTGGTCTACAATCATTCCTACAATCATCATGCCAACGACGCTACCACAGATGATGATTTAACAATTGAAGATGAAGAGCCAGCACACTCTACAAGCTTTGCCGAACGAGAAGTAAGCCGGTTTGACCATCAGGTGGACCCAATGATGAACTCTGGTGTCAAAATGATTCCCTGCTCTCAAATCTGGGAAAGATTATCACAACACCCGAATTTTGACGAATTCGATATGGACCAACTTTGCGAAGAGCTAAAAAAGAAGGCCAAATGCTCTGGTACTGGTCCTGTCATTCCAGAATTCGAGTTGCAAGAAGTATTGCGCAGGATGGATTCTCGACAGATCTAAGCTTATTATACACTCATATACACCCCCACCTCTTCCACATGTAAATTTCTTTTTCTCTTATATATATTTTCCAAAGCTAGAATTCTGTTGCAAAGACAGAAAATATCCACACCATACCTTTTGCAGTTACATACTACCATTTCACTCTCTTTATATATAATAAAAACTTGTTGAAAAACAAACTCTTCTACTTTATATTTGTAAATCATGGCTATCCGAATGAGAGAGAGGAAGGGAGTTGAACAGGTGGTGGCAACCGTAAGATTGGTATGTTTAGACGGATATGCAGACATGCATTTTAAATGCAATTTTCGCATGTATTTATTTTTACACATGTTGAAAATAGGCTTGCTTTTCCATGATGATCAACTGACTCGATATAAACAACTTTTGCTGCCTCCCAAAAGCGATAAACAAATGCTGTAGCTTTGGCTTGACTGATGCTGATAAACTGAAGCCTACATTTGCGCCTATGATTCACTGCAAAAGAATATGTCATGCACTAGTAAACATTTACAGTAATTTTTGAATATAAATACGGCTCTTCGTCCTTTTTTCCTCTCTCTTTCCTTTTTTTCTCTCTCGCTACTTTCTATTCTGTGCATCAATGATCTCTAATTACCATCTTTCCAGAAACAATCTGGTTAAATCAAATAGTTACCATGGCAACAATGGTCAATATCATCGCAAATCATTGGTAGATAATACGGCACAGCAAGGCAGCATGATGCTGCCACCAATGAGCAGAATATCACGTGCATCGACAATGTCAACCATCATGGAAAAGCAGCATTTGTCTCGTACTCTTACCCCTCCACCGCAACAGAATAAGAGAAACAAAAAGAGGCACTCATCTAGCAGTAGTAATCGCATTAGCGCAATGAACCTGATGGAGGATGACATTCCATTGGCACTATTAGCATACAAGAAAGGATATACCAGCATGTCACCTCAATTGAGCAGCACATCTACCAGCGATAGACCGCTTTCTAGCAGCATGATCCAGAGCAATTATAATCAACCATCCGATGCATCTCTTGTAAGGAAAAAGAAGCATCATCGGGTATCTTCATCGTCACCGCCACCATCATTATCACCATCGTCATCACCAGCGCAACCAGTACACAAAAGAAAGAAGAAGCCAGTGCCCTATCAGCTGAAAACCAACACTGATAGCAGCACATCGCAATCATCCACAGTGGTAGCCACTCCCACCATCGAACAACAAGATCCCCATTTAACCAAACAAACGACAAAAATGTCCTTCAAGAAGAAATGGCTTTCATCTTTACGTAAAGTATTTTCCACATCTCCCAAAAAGTAATCATTTATCCCCTTGCATGTAAAAAAGCAATCATTGCCCACTCATTACCACCGGGTTTGATACATATTTGGTTATTTTCAAAGGCTTAGTAGGTGCAACAAAAAAGAACTGCTGCTGCTTCTAATGCTGCAATCCATATGTAAAAGGATAATCTTTTTCTTCTTTTTTTTTAATATAATAAATGTATGTACAATCCGTAAATAGAAGATTTGTTCCTTCTGCTATTAAATATCTTTGATGTCTTCAATATCTTGGCTTTCCTGTTGAGCAATGACATGTGCTCTTTGTCTTGATTCAGGTAACATGTAAAACTCTTGACATTTTTCAAACACACGGCCAGTTCCCTACAAAATAGCGTCAAAATTGGCCTTCCATCCCTGCGCCCACATTCAGCTCATCCTACCTTTGGTGGTATAGGGATTGGGAAAAAGATGGTGTACCAAGGGCTGTACAAACAAACGAAAGCTGGTTATTTTTAAACATGACATTTTAAGCAAACAACCACCTACTATTGATCGCAAATATTGAAAAAGCGTTTGAAATTCTCTAACGGCCCAAAATTATACATATTGACAAAGATCTCTCCTTGGGATTTGCATACGCCCTTATCATAATAGTTGTTGTAGAATTCGACAGTTGTCTGAGCTGTAAATATCTATGGTTACCATGATGATATGGTTAACAATGGAATTACTTGACTCGAAATACAAAACTAGATCTTTACCAGATAGTAGTGCCAAATGCACAAGGCTCCTATAGCCAACCCCATACAGATAGCTAGAATCATGGAAAAGGCCATCAGTGGTCTAGGAAAGTAGTATGGCCACTAGTGGATCAAGTTAATAATAGATCAGATCAACCTTTCCATCGTAGCGCTTACATCCATTTGAGTGAAATCCAAACACAACATAAAGGGCCTCCATCCAAACACTGCAAAATAGCCGGCTGCAAAGATCAGATATGTCATGAACAATACAAAATAGCGATGGTTGAAATGCCCAACACAGTTATGAATCCATGGACCTATTCAATGGTGATGAGATTCCACAATGCTGATTGTTGGCTCATTCCCCCGTTTCTTCTTACAATGGTGATCGAATCTTAAAATGCATGTATTACAAACACTGCAATGATGTGCTCTTTCTGGTTTCGGTAATTGGCCTGAATGGATTGCAATGATTACATTAGATATTACTTGATTTCCCAACACAGACACAAGAAATATCCTTTTCCTTACACTTTTTACAAGATTGTGGAAACGCTGAATGCTCCTCCATTTCTAACAACATGGTGCGCATGAAGGACTCCTACGACCAAAGACTATCATTGGTATTCTGTCGCTTAGGGCTTGGCTTGGCGTTTTTTCACATTCTTACCGAATCATTATGACTTGCAGAGCTGGAAGCTTCAGGTCGTCTGTATTCCTCCATATCTCCAGGTGGTGTACTGATGGCCATATAGTAATGAAAGTGTATACAGTAAACCACGTATAATGTGAATAGCAAGGTGCAGATGTTGTAGAGCTTGTATAAAGTAGAAGCGTCTGTCCACGAATGGAAATACGGAAATACAACTAGATAGTACGCCAATACGCACATGTCCAGTAATAGAACTGCAATACCTATGAATACGGGCCCAATACTCCAAATCGCCTTGTCGACAATTTTAGTCATTTCGTCTGTATATTGTAAACTCGGTGAAAGAAATTATAAATCTAAGGGCAAAGGAACAACAAAGAAATAAAATGCGCAGAAAAGACTACAGCACAGCATTCAGCAAATGATCGATTGAGCATCCGAATACGGAAAGTCCCAAATCTACATTGTTGCTGTCAGTTACAGTTGTAGAAAAATAAATTGACTGTAGCCCTCTTCTAGTTTTGTGGCAGGATCCATGTCATATAGCTTGCTTGGTATACCATTTAGAATATCAATGCTCATCGGTATAATGGGCAATACCAACGCCTCATCGATGAAAAAAGCCTCATTTTTCGGCTTCATGTCCAAATAAGTGATCATGATTGTACAGTTCTTTTTCGTATGAGTACACACTGCGTCAAAGTAAACACTAGATCTTCAAGTATATTTAGATGAAAAGAATTAGGGCTCTTCTGTGGTTTTCATAGATTAACATCAATCATATATTTGGCTGGCTAACATTTCCGAGCTGTTTTCACCTCAAATTGAGATCCGCGAGCTTCGAACCTTTTGGTATTCTGTTCAATAGTAACCACTATTTTCTGCTTATATAACGTTTGCGTAAATTAAAATACACATGGCATGGTACCACTGTTGATAGTTATCTTACAGCTTCTATTTAGACAAGCTGAATTTCCGGACATTTTGAGGGTTTTCATATATTTTTGGAGTTTTTAAAGGGAGAGCATGTACCAAATCTGTACCAGCTTGTAAAAATATTTGTTGCGTAGGCTTAAGAATTATCTATCGTTTGAAATCTTACTCAAATCTGTATCATTAGTTTTTGTGGATCTACAGCACCCAATAGGTCACCCAAGTTATTGAAAGACGGATCGCTCAAGGCTAATTTTTGCTACAGTCGCTCATATAAATATTCTCGTGTGCTCCAACATTAGTCAATGCACGCCCTAAGTTTGTTTTATAGGCTTGAGCATCGCAAGGACGTTTCTGCAGTGTTATTAAAGAAAGGCGAGTTTTTGCCACTGTAAACTTCCATTTGAGGCTTGAAGAACCGATTTTGAAAGGATGTACCGCGGTAGGTATCCAAACGAGCTCTCATTTTGTAGAGCAAACACAAGGAAGCAAAATTTAGTTAATAGAGAATAAGCCTGGCTGGATTAAAAGTTGTATTGCAGATAGTGTTGAAACACTTGTTGTTTTTACATTATAATATTGGCTACTTTGCATTTTACTCGTTTAATTATTTGACAGCCAGTGTGGCGACTGAAAAGCCGTTCATACTTTTAGCAACCTCTCAAAGTGTGCAAACAATCTTCCTAGTAAGATGTCTTTAGCATCAACGTAGGGCTTGGGATAACGGTTCTCTCTTTTTCATAAACGCGCACCGCAGCTTTAAACGTTTGCCAAATAACAGCGAAACAAACCATCATCAAGTGGTTTTCACTACAATGTTTCCCAACGTCTAATCTATCGATCTATGAATCGTAAGCACTTGTAGTTAACAGTTTTCAATAGGTTTTATAGATGCCTAGCTCTTAACTCAAAGCTGACGTATTTCGAAAACCATCCGTTTCTGAACAACAACTTATCATTCAAATTAGAATTCAATCACAATAATATTGTTTTCCTCGCAACATTTAGCTATATATATTAACATGTTACTTTGAAAGCTCTAGCATCAGTATCTCATAACTTGATTTTGGATGGTCCAACCTTCGAAATTGGAAACACTTATATAAATTCAGAATTTGATATGAGAGGTAAAAGATAGCAGCCCATTCAATTGGATCATGTTGGAAATTAATGATACAGAGCACATGTTTTCCGGGGCATCTCGTATTAGTTTCTCCTGGTACCGAGTCTACTACTGTGCCTATATGACTTTCCTATCCCCACCTAATATCAAATTTAAAGGACATCCCTCACACGCAATTGTTTTGATCTATCAGAAATACAATATCTGCATTTGGAAGTAGATTGACAGATAATCGTACCTCAAATACCAAAGTTGGCAACAATGAAACATACCTTATAGCAAATATACCATGGAAACATATCATATAATAGCATACAACCATCTCTTATTCATCCACTGTTACATCTACTTGGCCCCTAGCTATTAATCCCTGTTACCCTGACCCCATTATTATAAATACCCACATCATATCCATCAGACCATAATAAAAGAAGGCACTTTTTATGCTGATTTAAATCAGATCTTGTCCTTGATAAATCATTTTTACTCAATGTTAGATCAGATGATTGCACCTTGCATTACTTTTCAACAGAGGATTAAAATTGCTTCCATTTGATCAAGCTTTTATTATTACAAAAAAAGACAAAATAATGATAAAAGGTAGATCAACAGAAAATCAAATAGTTGTAGACCTTTTCTCTTTCAACCTCTCAGCCAATCAAATTGCTTGAAACCTCCGCTGACCTAAAAAAAATTTTGCGAGGGTTTCCCCCTGTTTTGATATGAGGCAAAATTTTAAGCGCCGCTATAATAGCAATATAGCCGCTGCTATCATCAAACTTCCCCCAGGTGCTAGAGCATGTCTTACTTACACCACCTAGCTTTAAATTCAAGCATTGAGACCCTTAATCATCACTAAAGTAAGTAGCGATAACCAAGTGGAGGCGGCCTATCTACCTCCTAGCCTCGGATAGAGTCTTGTTGAGCTTCAGGGATAGGCACATCCACACAACGTAAAAAAGGTATGCTTCAAAGAAACATAATAATAATAAAATAAAGAAACATACTACTAAAGGAGTATAGTAGAACGTAGACAAAAAATGGACACTCACACAAAATGAGTCAAGGAAAAGTATAACGAATACAACATCAGAGACGTTCAGAACAGCTCGTTGTTTTAACAAAAATCCATACATGAGCAGCATGCATGGTAATAGTCGGATGTAAAGCAACACAACCAACAAAAGAAGAAAAACGCAACAAAGCAAACATCATGAATGCATTATCATGAGGAAGGAAGCAATAATACAAACGTTTAAAGAAGTTTTGTATCATCGCGACCAGAAGAAAGAAGATACTTACCACTTACCACCACCATAGATAGACCAGAGAATAGGCAATCACCAGAGATAGACCAGAAAACAGGCATAAAACAGAGACAGCAGGCCAAGAAAAACCGGGCTAGCAGCAGCAATACCAGCAGCAGCGCCATAAGCAACACCAGCAGCAACATCATCAGTAGCATCATCAGCAACACCAGCAGCAACAACAATAGCACTGAAAAATGAAGAACGAGCGACACTAGAGACCAGACAAAGATTAAAGAAGCAACTGCCAGAGATAGAGACCAAAGAAGCAACCACCAGACATGATAAACCAAAGAAGCAACCATCAGGCATGATAAACCAAAGAAGCAAGCAGTAGAAATAGCAGAGAAGTAATGGCAGCAGCATCAACATCAAACAGGCAAAAAATTATCAAAACCTAAAAAACAAATTCGATTAGTGCTGATTTTACGTCTTCCAGTGCTCGTTATCGAATAATACCTACTATATTCCGCTTCAAAGAAGCAGTATCAAGTACTTGTAACAGTGCAGAACCATGTTATCAGAAGCTAGAGTGTTATTTTCAATCAAAAGGGTTCTAAAACCAATATAGTTTGATACTAAATGCGTTTTGCAAAAAAAAAATATAAAAAAAAACGGAGGCATGGAAAAATGAGAGGGCGTCTTACCCGACGTCACGACCAGTAGATTTAGTCTCAGTCTTCTGCCGTGACAGACGTAGTAATAGCCGCACTTTAATTTGAAATTATACAGTGGATATTTTTGTGTTCAAATTTGACTTGATCTGACATCCTTTAAACGTTTTTGCTAAGTTTGACTATAAAAATTTGTTGCATACAAGCATGCATCTTAGGCTACATTCACTTTCTCCTCAAGCCACCTTTTACAGTGTAGCAGCATAGATGATGTTTATCGTATCACATCACATCTATGTTTACAAGTCCAGTCAATTGTGTGTGCACAGGTGCCTCAGGAACTACAATACATTCAATCTCCCCAATGTCAAGATATCGAGATCCACCTACACTACATGAAACATATCGACTTAGGTGGCCTCTCAACAAGCTATACCAACAATCCATAAGGCCCCAGTGGCCTGCTATTTATATACCCTCTCAACGTAGTAGTCATTGACCAGGGATCTACCATATTTAAGCAAGCTAGATGCCCTGTAATAAAGAAGCTCTTTGCTTTCGTTTTAGATACAGTTGACAACTGATTATTATCATCGACTTATTATTACGAATTCATCAAAATTGTTGCTATTATACTTTACTTCCTAATGCATCTATAAAGAGTCAATGAAAGCGCATCGAATGATGATAATCACATTCAGTTTTCAGACCGAAAATAATGAGCAATTTGCGAACATTTCAAAACCGATTTTCTGCGAATATGTCAAAATCTAGCATATACAAGAAGTCTCATAAGAACAGTTTCCAGTGTTGCATTACATCTTTACAATTAATTTGATTCTATATGTATCATAGAAAAAGTCGTCATTTCTGGGGTGAAAAATGCGATCGTTTGATTTTTAACAATTTTCTCTTACTAATACACGTGAAAAAAATGAGAATTTCCATGGATTTGCAATGACCCGGAAAATTTTGAGATAAAGCATCAGTAAGTAAAGCGTGGACAAGGAAAGATGATTGGTGCTATTCCAAGCGTCCACAATGTTTAGGATATAGATCATCTCTGGGAGGCAAATGTATTAGGCGTTGTATATTACATGAGGATCTGAGAATGAGCAGAGATGCATAGTAGAAGTGAGAGGTCTTTATTCAAGCAGCACGAAGGAACATGAGTGGTGCCATCAAATGGCTAATCTATATCCTGGTTCCTAGAGAGTGGTAGCCTATGGCCTTTCGTCCCTGGAAGTGGGTTTCATCTCCGACAAATTTTCTTCCGTCAAAGCTATTAGGAAGAACATTCTATCCTGTATCATCTTTGTTGTTTATCCTTGACTGGTGGTTCATGAGTTCTTATGCATCACATTTTCGTTAACTGGTTCAAGGCTTATACAATTATCCCGCATTCAAGATCAAGGTCCTATTGCTGTGGCACTGTCAAATAACTATAAATACCTTTGATATCTACACTAGTTTTGATTCCTATTCAATCTTGGAATAACATAATAAATATATTCAGTTCTAATTGTATTTACTCTATATTTCGTTATTCTAAACACAATGTTCGCAAAAGATGATGTACCTGTAATGAAATAGCCACCCAAACGCAACTTAATTGAAAACCAAAGTTCATCAAATAGCACTCATTCAAATTCATGCTATTTGGATCTATTAATGAAAGCGCTCAAATGTACATCAAAAACCCATTTAAAAATACTAAAGTAAAGATACACGCTTATATCGCACATCGTGTGAATGAATCACTCCTGATCACAGTGTATTCAATCACACCCATGATGGTCGTAATAGGTGATGGTATCTTTATCCAAATAGAATTAAATCAATAACAAGCATATTCAAATATGACAACTATGCCCTGCTGCCATAGTTGCACAATATCCCAGATAAAGGATTCCATGCTTCAATAACAAACATCACACTTTAAACCATCAAGGTTACATTAAATCATGCTATGACGATAGCTCACCCAAGCCCATCAAGGTTACTCAAATCGACCCTTATGGCCAGTGCTCCTGCATTGATTACCACTTTAAATCAAACATCAACAACATTTGCCAGATATCGCAATAGCAGCACCTATTGCTCTCTATCATCACTAATCCTACAAGCCAGATGCAAATGTATAAATACTCTTCTTTTTTTTACTCAATTCCAGGATCTTCAGTTCATTTTATACACAAAATAAAATACAGTTGATTTCTATTGTATTTTACCTTTGTTGAGGATATAGATCATCTCTGAGAGGCAAATGTATTAGGCGTCGTTTATTACATAAGAGGATCTGAGAATGAGCTGAGATGCATAGTAGAAGTGAGAGGTCTTTATTCAAGCAGCACGAAGGAACATGAGTGGTGCCATCAAATGGCTAATCTATATCCTGGTTCCTAGAGAGTGGTAGCCTATGGCCTTTCGTCCCTGGAAGTGGGTTTCAATTCCGACAAATGTTCTTCCGTCAAAGCTATTAGGAAGAACATTCTATCCTGGATCATCTTTGTTGTTTATCCTTGACTGGTGGTTCATGAGTTCTGATGCAGCACATCCTCGTTACTGGTTCAAGGCTTATACAATTATCCCGCATTCAAGATCAAGGTCCTATTGCTGCGGCACTGTCAAATAACTATAAATACCTTTGATATCTACACTAGTTTTGATCCCTATTCAATCTTGGAATAACATAATAAATATATTCAGTTCTAATTGTATTTACTCTGTCTATATTTCGTTATTCTAAACATTTTTTACAATTAATTACTGTACCTCTATATATTGCATTATATTATCCCAATCCTAAATCAAGAATGTCTGCTGGTTCTGTGTCCTCTAATTCTACTGCTGGTTCAGCAAATGGTTCGATTCAAGTCCCTGGGGCTACTGCGGCTGGTCTTCCTGTTACGCTGGAAGATTTCGATCTCAATCCTTCTATGGATGGTCTTACCGAGGTTCTGTCTCAAGACGGTCAAGTGCTTGATGAAGACGAATTGATGGCTGAACTTGGTGGTGGTTCTTCGGCTTTGTCTGCGTTTGAGCCTCTGGAGAGCGTGAGTGGAGAGGTTGGATCTGGGGGGAAGTCCGCAGCTGAGCCATTGAGTGAGGCGATGGAAGCAAGTGAAGAAGCTTCATTAGAGCATGCGTTGAAGGCATTACGTGAAGAAAATGCGAAATTGTTGAAGGTGGTAGCAACGGCACCTACTGCGAGAGAGCGTCATGAGGCTCTGCGAGTGATTAGCAGCAATAAGGATGCGATTGTGGAATTGCGTAGCTATCGGGATGTGGTCAAGCCCAAGACAAGTGCGATGAGTCGTGGAATGATGCGTAGTGAAAATTTGGCTCTGAATCGTCGCGATTTACCCAAATTCCAGTTGGCTTCTGCAGCGGTGAAGGCTTTTCCCAACGAAGAAGTGTTTGAGAGCGTAGATCATTACTTGCGTACTTTTGAGAGCATCTTGAATTCATCATCGTTGGACTTGGAAGCGCAGTGGGCCAAGTTACTTCCGTTGTGTATGCCCAATGGGGATCGTGCGTGGGTCGACAAGACTTTGTTGAAGTGCAGCTCGTGGTGGGAAGCGAAGCAAGTGTTCTCTAGACGCTTTGGGTCTGCAGTGATTACTCGTCGCAATACGGATTTAGTATTTACGATGGTGATGAGTGCGTCTGAATCCATTATGGATTACTCGTGTCGATTCCAGCAAGCAGTGTACAATGCGGGCCTCCAGTTGGATGATCCAAGAGTGGCTGATCGCTTCATGGCGTCGTTAATCTTGCCGGTGCAAACGGCTGTGCGCATTACCTTGGTGAGAGAACAAGGCACTGAGTCGTGGACAGTGGATCGAATTACCCAAGTGGCGCGCGATGTGTTGGGAGATGACAACCGTTTCTATGCGCATGCAACAGCTTTGCTGCCAGGTGCTGCGTTTGAGGATCGTCAAGAGCGTCGTGGGTACCAAGGATCGTCAAGAGGGATGTCGTCAAGTGGAAGACGTAACCATGGAGGGTTCAAGCGAGTGGAGAGCAGTGGTGGAACCAAGAAGTATCATTGTAAGCAGCATGGTCCAAATGATTCCCATGGGTCCAAGGAGTGTCAGTTTTTGAAGTTCGAGAAGGCCAGGAGTGAAGGCAAATGCGTGAAGTGTTGGAAGCCATTTGAAAGGGGACATGATTGCAGCACTCGTCGTCCTCCTGGGGTTGGTCCGTCCAACACGGCTCTGAATCATGAGGTCTTCGCGGCAAGTGTGGTCACCAAGGACAATGAGTCTTCGTCCTCGTTAGGGGCATCATCTTCGAGGGATGCCAATGCAGACGATGCCAATAGTGTCGCTGATCAAGATCAGCTGATGAGTGAGTTGGCTTTCCAATGTAAGTTGCCTAGTGTGAATGTGAACAAAGCAGAAACTAATTACTTTGCGTTGTTGACCCCGTTGTTGATATGTGTAGAATCTAAGAATATCAAGGTCATTGGCAAGGTGGACACCGGGTCCCAAATTAGTTGTATTAGTTTGAAGTTTCTAATAAATGTGCTTAAGATCAAAAAAGTGAGAAAAGTTGATGGGTACCTGAAATTTTTATCCAAGTCTGTGAAGCGAGTGGCAATGACATTTCCATTGAAATTTAAATATGCTAATGGCATTGTATTTGAACATGCATTAGAAGTGGTTTCGTTTGAGCAAGGGTTGGACTTTGATGTCCTGTTGGGAGTGGATGTGTTGCCAAAGATGAATATTGGGCTTACTGGTGTGGCGTTTCGCATCGACAGTGAACATCAGCATTCAGATGCTACAGAACATAATGAAAGAATGTTTGAGAATATCAATTTGGACTTTGAGGGCAAACATTTAGAGGCGGATAACTCACCTGCGGGTACTGAGGAAGAGCGTCAGGAGTTTAAGACATATATGAGCGAATCCTTAAAGAGAAATGAAGAGATACCTATCGAGTCGTGTTGTCCATTGCCAGAAGCTATAGTGAAATTACCTACAAAAGAAGGAGCGACGGCGCATCGTCGTCCCTATCCGATTGCTGAGTCGTTGAAGCCTGTAGTAGAGAGACAAATTCAAAAGTGGTTGGATACCAAGACGATCGGACGTTCGAGAATCAATTCGTCCTTTAATAGCCCTTTGCTGGTGGTACCAAAGCGTGACAAGTTGGGAAATGTAGTGGATCATCGTGTGTGTCTGGATGTGCGTTTGTTGAATAGTATTTTGCCACCTCCCTACAATTTCCCAATTCCTTTAGTAAAAGACATCTTTGAGAACTTGAGTGGTATGAAGTATTTTGGGACCACGGATTTGAAGGATGCTTACCACAGATTTCCCATTGAAAAAGAGAGCCAATTTAAATGTAGCTTTAGTTTTAACGGCCAAGGATATTATTTCTTGAAGGCTTGTTTTGGATTATGCCAGCTGCCAAGCCAGTATCAATTTACACTATCTACGTTGCTAGCAGGATTGCAACAAGTGCGTGACGAGTCAGGACGAGTGGTATCTACTACGCAGAATTTTCTAGACGATATCATTATCGCTGGCGTGGATTTTGAGCATTACAAGGTAGCCGTAAAAACCGTGATTGATCGGCTTACAGAGGCAAAATTGATTTTACAGCCGAGCAAGTGCCATTTTATGCAGAGAAAGGTGCGGTTGTTAGGCTTTGTGGTCGATGAAAAGGGCATCCGAGTAGACAAATCCAAATGTACAAATGTGGCGAATTGGCCTGTACCCTCAACCAAGAAACAAGTGCAGCAGTTCATGGGATTAGTGAATTATTTGCGTTCACATATTCCAATGATCTATAGAGGGGCGGCTCCGATCACGGACCTCATTAAAGACAACAAGAATGTGATGAAGCACTGGACGAATCAACATACAGAGTGTTTTGAGGCAATTAAGAAGATATTGCAAGCGGATTTGTTGATCAATTACCCAGATTTTGACAAGGAATTTATTATTGCGTGTGATGCCAGTTTGTATGGAGTAGCGGCTGTGATTTACCAAGAAGATGACAAGGGGCGTCATAAGTATGTGGGTTTTATTTCAAGCACACTGAGTCCAGCGCAGCGTCGTTGGTCCACAACGAAGCGAGAATTGTATGCGATTGTGTTGGCGTTGCGGAAGTTTCAAACGTACATTTATGGGCGTGCGTTCCGGGTACTGACAGATCATCGAGCATTAGTGTATTTGCATTCTCAGAAAGTGGTAAACCCTATGATGGCTGGATGGATTGAGACTATCCTAGATTTTACATTCGAAGTCGTGCATTTACCAGGAGCAATGAACATTTTTCCGGATTTATTGAGCAGACTATATCCACCTGTGGAGAATGAGAGTACGCAGTTAATAGTGGAGGAAAGTGAAGAGCGTAGTCGGGAGAGACATGAGCAAAATCGCAAGAATCGTGGTGCAAAAAATATGATTAAGAAGAAGCGGTATAGCAAAGATCAAGCAGTAAATATCTTTGCCACACAAGTGATTGAAAATGCGAAGGAAGATCTTGATTACATGACACCTCCTGAGGAAGAGCGAGATGAGATTTTACAAGAGATTCACATGTTTGGGCATTATGGCGCACAGGCGATTGTGAGAGAATTGCACTCGCAAGGGTTGCATTGGGCTAAGTGTATGAAGATGCTAAGAGGTTGGTCAGTAGCTGTCCAGAATGTCAGAAGCACAATATTGCAAAGAGAGGGTGGCATCCGCTCAAGAATGTAGTTTCGCTTCAGCCGATGTCGCATGTGTCAGTGGATTTGGGTGGCCCAATGACGATGACCTTTGATGGATATGTGTATATAATGGTTGTCACAGATCTGTGTACCAAGTATGTGATTGTGCGCCCATTAAAGTCGAAGGAAGCAACGAGCATTGCTAGAGAATTGATTAAGGTGTTTGGGGATTACTCATTTCCTATTATTATGCAGAGCGATCATGGTGGGGAATTCGAGAATCACTTGCTTCAGGCAATCAGTGAGAACCTAGGTTTGCAGCGCAACTATTCTACCCCATACGCAGCCAGAGGTAATGGGAGTGCGGAGGCGAGTGTGAAAATTGTGATGAATACGCTGAGAAAAATGTGTAACTCTAATGCGCGAGAATGGAGCGATTACCTTCCAATTGTGCAGCTTTGTTGTAATCGTTACATCAAGAGTAAGTCGATGACTTCGCCGTTCTCGCTGATGTTTGCCAGGCGAGTTACACTGCCAGAGGATTATGCCAACAAAGACAAATACCCGATCCCTAAGGATATCATGTCAGTAAAAGAGCTTGAAGAGCGTATTGACTACATGCACAAGGTGGTATTTCCAGCGATCAATGAACGAGAGGCCAAGATGAATGCGATTATGCAGAAGAGGTTTAATAACAAGCATATGCTCGTGGACATTCCAGTTGGTGCTCATGTGATGGTAAAGATACGTCAACGACCAAGCAAGTTGAGTCCCATTTATGATGGTCCATATACGGTCATTCGTAGAAATCAAGGCGGGTCATACGAGTTGAAGGATGAAATGAATGAGATTCTTCATCGCAACTATGTACCATCCGAGCTAAAGGTGGTGAACATAGATGAAAAGGCCATTGATGATGAGTATTTCGAAATTGAGGCGATTCGAGATCATAGGGGCAAAGCAGCGAATCGTGAGTATCTCATCAAATGGAAGGGCTATGGTGAACGCATGTGTTCGTGGATAACTGCAGAAGATGTATCGGATCCCCATATTTTGCAAAGATATTGGCAAAAGCATGTGCAGCTGCAGAAGCAAGAAGAAGGGCGCATCCGAGAGCGAGTGGCTCAAATGCCGAGTAAGCAACAGAGGAAACGTGCTGCCACTGGGGAAGCAGATCAGGCGGGGGCTCCTCAATCCCCAGCGAAGCGGCGTCGGGCCACTTATGTTAGGAAGAAGACAGGATAAGTGGGAAGGTGAGCGACAGTGGGGACGAGGTAAGAGTGGTGAGCGAGAGGGTGTTGTCATGTGTTGTGGTAGCAGTGTACCTTTTTACCTGATCATTGTTTTTTTTCCCATTGGGTTTTACATTGATTGGGATGTTTTAATGGCCATTGTTCCGAATTCATGATAACACATAGGAAGTATTTCAACGAGCCAAGCTTGTGTGATCTATCTCCTGTGGTGTAGTGTTTATCGAATCGACAATTCTTGCAGTATTATCGATTCTGGTGGGGACGAATGTTGAGGATATAGATCATCTCTGAGAGGCAAATGTATTAGGCGTCGTTTATTACATAAGAGGATCTGAGAATGAGCTGAGATGCATAGTAGAAGTGAGAGGTCTTTATTCAAGCAGCACGAAGGAACATGAGTGGTGCCATCAAATGGCTAATCTATATCCTGGTTCCTAGAGAGTGGTAGCCTATGGCCTTTCGTCCCTGGAAGTGGGTTTCAATTCCGACAAATGTTCTTCCGTCAAAGCTATTAGGAAGAACATTCTATCCTGGATCATCTTTGTTGTTTATCCTTGACTGGTGGTTCATGAGTTCTGATGCAGCACATCCTCGTTACTGGTTCAAGGCTTATACAATTATCCCGCATTCAAGATCAAGGTCCTATTGCTGCGGCACTGTCAAATAACTATAAATACCTTTGATATCTACACTAGTTTTGATCCCTATTCAATCTTGGAATAACATAATAAATATATTCAGTTCTAATTGTATTTACTCTGTCTATATTTCGTTATTCTAAACAACCTTTGCTTTATTTTTTTTGTGAAATCTATTTAAACCTGATTTCACTGCAGTACCAATGACCAACGGTGACTCTCCTGATCCAGAGTAGGAAGCATCCACTGCTACCCACTCCTTCGCTGATTTCGGTAAACCAGCTCCCCGCCAACAAAATATCGACCCAACCTACATCGTACCGGCCAACGGTACCCCTTATGCTTTAAATATGCATTTAAACATTAAATATAAAGTAACTAACATCCAAATAGGGAACCTCAATTGCAGTAGTCTATTTAAGCCTCCTAAAACAATCTCACAAGCCTTCTGTAGATTTCTATTATCAGAGACATTTGATTTACTATGCCTTTAAGAAGCACATGCACACGATGATGAAAGATCCGCCCTACCTCCATGCAACACTTCAAACATCATCTATTAACCTCCCACTCTCCCATTATCTAGCTCTATTCACTTGGCAACTAAATGCGAACAATTTTGGAGACTCGAAATAGCTCTAAATGCGCGAAATACTTGGTACCGAATACTTCACCAAAAATAACTGCCAAACATATTCTGCACGCTTGAAAAGAGCACCAATTTCAACCATACTACTGCTCCATCTGTTCCTCCTCTACCGCTCGAATAGAAACCAACGAGCATTTCCTCTTCTCCTGGCCACCCAAAATGTTCAGTCAAATTCATACTTATGTGGTGTACACATGCGGAAGGTCAACGGAGCTTCAATTTCTATTGTTCTGAATTGTTATGTCAAAATACAATGTAAAATTGAATCTGCCAAAGAATTACACTTTTATTGAGAATGCATCCCAAGGATGCATTTATATACTTTTCATTATGCTAGGGTTTACAGCATGATGATGAACTATAATACAAATAGGTTTACTATCTACCCAACAATTGATTTGTAAATCATGATTAGCATGATTTACCCAAAGGACCTAAGAATAACCTAAAACCTTTAGTGTGAGACCTTGCTATGACATTTGATATAACATGAATGATGATCCATGGGATTCCAAAATCTATCGACCTTAAACTTACGCGTTTCTTAATAGTAACCACCTCCTCAAACTTATATGAAACTTGTAGAGAATTCAAAGGAAAATACAATGGTATTTATATCGAGTCTTTGGTGTACATTGTTCACCTGATATTTGGTACGATTGTTTTTGCGATTTTTTGACTGTTTTCTAAAGATTAATCAGTATCTGTCATCAAAACATTTTGTTAAGCATTACTAAACATTGTAGACCAAAACATTTTCTATCAAATGAGATATTGCTTGAAGCTTTGGCATAACTCTATCATGAAATATTGACAATATTGTCCTGACCAAAAAAAGGTCATCCAATTTTTTCGCTTGCTATCACAGGCAGATTTTGAAGAAAAATTCATGATTTTGCATGATACTCTCTTTTGACCATATCTCGACAAATACTCACTGGATTCGCTCAAAGCAAAATCCATTCGATAGCTCTATGTTATATCCATTATGTTATAAGAGTTTCAAGTGCCTGGTGTACGTTCCCTTCATAATAACTTTGCTTAGAACCTTCTATTTTATCAGCTACAACAAGCAGAAGATTTTCAAAAATCAAAGAATAAATCTATAAAAACCATATCGTCATATAGAGAAATCATTACTTAAACGCATGCATATTTTGCATATTTTTGAGCAGAAAGAGGCATTAATACAATACAACTAGGCCGTGTGTCCACATTTGCACTGTTTTTATTGAAACAGACGCGGGGCATTGTAAAAAGTCAGATCCACTATAGCTGATTATTTACAGACGGTTCTTACTTCATAATGGGAGGTAATAATGTGAAACTTTAGTAAATGTTGGTAGAATGTTGGTTTGTATACAGTTAAACATAACTTGGACGCAAATGGTTGCAAGACTAGTTTTATGAATCGAATTCCATCAGAAATACGCATATCTATACTATGGAGATCTATACAAAACCAATAGAGAGCATTATCAATGCATCAGATTTTATGAAATTCTTGTCAGTATCCTCAATTTTCACCACCGATCCAGCATTTGCAAAGCAAAATTAAACTACACTTGAGATCAAATTATGTGTTGCGTCCATCCTCAGAAAATAAAATGGACTCTAGAGGAACTCTGACATTCAGATGGCGTGCACCCGTTCAAAAAAATGTCCAGCTCCATACTAGAGGTCAACGTTCTCGTCTCTTATACATCTGACAGATTGACCATCTCATGGATAAATCAATTGGCCGTACAAAACTCCAATAATCGGACTTGGCTTGACCACTTTAATTGTGCGAATGAACAAATGTGTGTGCGCGCGTCTGTTTGGTTAAATCTCTTTTCTTTCACACTTCTTTTCTTGTTCACTTCATTACAAAAAGATCATGTCGCTTAGCAGACCCAAATTCTTCACTACCAATAAGAGAGGTATGTATACACAACTTTCTTTCGAGGCGGGAGAACATCATCTAGAAGGAGGATGAGAAGGAAAAGAAAGGAGTTCTCGGCTGTGCAGGGTGAAACTATCATACAGAAACAAGGGGAGAGAGCAATATGAATGTAAAACCAAATCAACCAACAATGTCACTAGGTGAAAATTATGAACTCAAGTCAGAGCTCAACAGCGAATACCGTCATCACCGCAAAGATGCAGTAAAGAAAGTGATTGCCAACATGACGGTCGGCAAAGATGTGAGTGGTCTGTTTCCAGATGTTCTCAAGAATATGCAAACAGAAGATCTCGAGTTGAAAAAACTGGTGTACTTGTACTTGATGAATTATGCAAAGACACAGCCTGAGCTGGTCATCTTGGCCGTAAATACATTTGTCAAGGTAAGAGTCAGCACAGTAACTACACTGGAAAGGATGCTTACCTTTGATACACCAGGATTCTGATGATCCAAACCCTTTGATTCGTGCACTTGCTATTAGAACCATGGGTTGTTTACGAGTAGATAAGATTATTGACTATCTTACAGAGCCACTGCGTAAATGCCTCAAGGATGAGAATCCATATGTTAGAAAGACAGCAGCTGTTTGTGTTGCCAAACTGTATGATCTCAACCCTGAATTAGCCATGGAGCAAGATTTCGTCAACTCTGTCAAGGAGATGGTCTCTGATGTGAATCCTATGGTGGTTGCTAATGCCGTGATTGCATTAACTGATATTAATGAAGCATCTCCTCAACACAACATTTTCGAAATCAATAGCAACATTTCCAACAAACTATTACATGCCCTTAATGAATGTACAGAGTAAGTTTTGGAGAAATTAATTCAATTATCAATTTACTAACTCATTTCACAGATGGGGACAAATTGCTATTTTGACAGCCATTGCTGATTACAAGGTGTCCAATGGAAAAGAGGCTGAAAGTATCTGTGATCGAGTGATGCCTAGATTACAGCATGCAAACGGCGCGGTTGTGTTGTCTGCCATCAAGGTACAGTAAATAACAACGACAGGAAGAAGGATGACTGAAATCATTGCATTTTAGGTGTTGATGATCAATATGAGACACATCAAGGAAGAAGCTTTTATTAAATCAATGTGTAGAAAAATGGCACCTCCTTTAGGTAAAAACTAATAAAACAGGGGTAGAGATCATATAAATTAACATTTTACTATAGTTACGCTTCTCTCCAGTCCTCCCGAAGTTCAGTACATTGCATTGCGTAATATCAGTCTTATTCTTCAAAAGAGGCCTGAAGTACTGAGCAATGAAATACGTGTGTTCTTCTGCAAGTACAATGATCCACCCTACGTTAAAATGGAGAAGCTCGAAATCATGGTCAAATTATGTAACGACCGTAACGTGGATCAATTGCTAAGCGAATTGAAAGAGTGAGATGATTATTATATAATCATTGTGCATTGTATACCAACCATTTCTTTCCCTTTTCACAGGTACGCAAATGAAGTCGATGTGGAATTTGTTCGTAAATCAGTGCATGCTATTGGTCGTTGTGCCATCAAGATTGATGAAGCTGCTGAACGCTGTATCAATGTCTTGTTGGATTTAATCAACACTGGAGTCAGCTATGTTGTTCAAGAGGCCATCGTTGTCATCAAAGATATCTTCCGCAAATACCCTCACAAGTACGAAGGCATCATTCCTACGCTTTGTGAGAACTTGGAGGCATTGGACGAGCCTGAGGCGAAGGGTTCTTTGATTTGGATTATTGGTGAATATGCTGAAAGAATCGATAATGCAGATGACTTGATCAACATCTTTTTGGAAAACTTCAAGGAAGAGAACCCTCAAGTTCAACTACAATTATTAACTGCTACAGTCAAGCTCTTCTTGAAGAAACCAAATGAGAACCAAGACCTCGTACAACGTATCCTTCAAACAGCTACAACAGAGTGTGATAACGCTGATATCCGTGATAGAGCCTATGTGTATTGGAGACTACTATCTACTGATCCTCAAGCAGCCAAGGTAAGCCGTTTTGCAATGTTTGTATGTGGTTTGTGTTACGGTTATATTGATAACGAGATGGCTGTAGGCTGTTGTTTTATCTGAAAAACCACCTATTGCTGGCGAGAATGAAGGCATTTCACCTGCTTTGCTCGAGACATTATTATACGACATTGGTACATTGGCCTCTGTTTATCACAAGCCTGCAGAGACATTTATTGCTGGTAAGAAGTTTGGTGCTGATAATGTCAGCAAGGCCATGACAGAGTAAGTGGTACTATCGTGTGTTATCTGTTCAGCTGAATTTATAGCTCTCTCTCTCTATCTAGACATGCGGAAGAAGACGACATAAATGCTCCTCCTCCTCAAATACAAGCCGCTATCAAGAACAACGATATTGGCAATTTGCTTGATTTGGATTGGGATGAGCCTTCCGCCGAGACACCCGTATCGCCCATTTTACAAAATAATGCACCCGGCAGTTCATTCAATGATCTGCTATCCCTTGGCGGTGGCGGTGGCGGTAGCAGTAGTAGCCAGGCAGCACCTGCTCCTGCTAGTAATAACATGGACGACATCATGAATCTATTCAACTCGCCCACTTCCCCTCCGCCTCAACAACATCAACAGCAGCAATACCAATCACCTATGATGAATGATTTTACCAGTGATCTTTTTGGTGACTCCACCCCTCAGCCCGCCCAACCTCCCACCACCACCGCTAGCAACAACAGCACCACACAGGCCGCCAAGGACCCTTTTGCTGATTTATTCTAAATAAACGCAGGAAATACTACCAAGCACAAAATTATTGGATCTTTCTATGATTTATTTAAGCTTTTTTTTTTTTTTTTTGTATTCCAAGGAACAAAAACATGTGAGTAGCACACACTCACCAGCTATTCAATGTACTGTAGCGCACAAACACTATATTCTCACATATCATTACAAAAGTCGCACAAAAAAAAACTGCATTTATAATTTGATGTCTCTGTTTTTCTTCTCTTTTTCACCTACTTCTTTCAACACTGTTACAAGATCATCATGACTGTATCCAATTTGAAGCACGGTGACTCCATGCAGCAAACCGCTATGGAAGAAATGCTCAAGAAATTCCATGTACCTGACGAGAAAGTAAGTACCTTGATGCAAGGCGTTGGTTTCGAGATGAAGCATGGATTGAAATCCAATGAACCCAGCAACGACCTCAAGATGATTCCCTCGTTTGTATCTGGGTATCCTACTGGCATGGAGAAGGGCACTTACCTTGCCCTTGAAATCAGCGGGGTGGATGTCTATGTCTGTCAAGTGCGCTTGAAGGGTGAAGGTGGAAAATTGGCCATCAATCAGTACCAATACAAGATCCCTGATCATCTCACTGCAGGCGATAATATGAGCACACTGATCGATTATATTGCTGACTGTGTAGCTGATTTCCAGCATCGAGTGGGCGCATCGCAAGAGATGGGGATCAGTATGGGAATAAGTTTGGGTTTTGCAGTGCGACAAACGGGTTTAGACAAAGGTTTTATCGTTGCACTGGAACACGGCTTTGAATATCCGAATGCAGTAGGCAGCGACATAGTTGATTTATTCCATCAGCGATTCGAGGCCAAGGGATTAGCTGTTAAAGTAGTTGCAATGGCAAATGGTAAGAAACTGTCTGGGATGCATACAACACACATAGAACCTGAACATTTATACATGTACAGATGCTGTATGTACTCTTTTGGCTCACGCATATCAACATCCCTCTACCCGAATTGGCATTGTACACAGTGCAGGCACCAATTGCGCCTACTACGATAAAGTGACCAATATGGAAAACTTCTTGGCAGACCACCCCAAGTTGCTAGCGACCACATCAGACATGATTATCAATACCGAATGGTGCAACATTAGCTCTAAATACCTGCCCGTCAACAAGTTTGATGAATTGGTTGACCTGGAATCCAACAATAAGGGTGTTCATGCATTTGAGAAGATGACTACAGGCATGTACCTCGGCGAACTTGTAAGGCTGATTCTCGTTGAATTTGCAGATCATCAAATACTCTCATTCGACATTGATGACGAGGAATGTCTGCTTCGTATTCCCTACCAATTTGATACCAGCTACATGTATGTCTGTGAAGCGGATGACGATGGCGTCTTGGAGGGCACTCGCGTGATTCTAGAAGAAATGTGTAGAACAGGCGAAACACGCATGAGTGACCGAGAAATTGTAAAAAAGGTGTGCCAGCTTGTAGGCCATCGAGCTGCAGTGTTGCTTGGTGCAAGCATAGCAGGCGCTGTAGACTACATGGTTTCTCATGGCATTGGTCTAGACTCGTCTGAAGGATTTGCGATATGTGAGTAAATCCTTTTATATGAAAACAGGGCATATGGACTGACACATTGGATGATAGCCATTAGCGGTGAGGTATACAAGGATTATTCTTCCTTCCATCCTCGTGTTTGTGAAACTCTCAAGACGCTGATTCCAGACGAAGTAGCAGCCAAGTTATCGGTGGGAATTGTAAAGCACTCGAGAATTGTGGGTGCTGCTATTGTAGCCATGATGGCTGAAAAAATCAATCCGCAATACTAGCTATTTCGCATGATACAACCTACATATACCCATTTTTTTCATTAGATTATTAGTCTCCTAATGCTTTCTTTCTCTTCCTCTCTCTTTATTTTAATTTGCTTATGAAATCAATATGTAAAATATGTAATAACAATAATAATAAAAATGATATGAATGAATGATCCCACTGATTTATGTAATCATTAGGTGTGTGTGTGTGTGTGTGTGTGTGTGTGTGTGTTTGTGGTCAATTTGTAGTTTTCTTTCTGCTTGTTCTGTATTTGTTGCGCTTTCTTGTCTTGCTTCTACTCCCCTTAGTGTTCTCCTTGTTGCGTTTTTATACCTTAAACTCCTGCATCAAGTATAAGATTGTCGTCAAAATCCTCCTTAGCCTTGTTATTTATAATGTAAACGTTTTCTCTTGCGTTTTAAAACCTTGACTTGATTTGTTAATCTCGCATGTATCAATTACATATAAAATGCATCTACCATGTACGATTCTAACCGCTTTTTTTTAATTCTTTACAGAGATTGTCAGATCAGCATCTCGTTATCCATTCTATATATACATATTGGAGAAAAACTTGTATATAAACCAACGCTACGTATCCACTTTTGCATCTTCCTCTGCTAAATCATCTTTATCTCTCAACATGACGTTTTCCATCCGCAACATTTTGAATTTCTCCATCGTCTTAGGCTTGCTGGCTTCGTTGGTCTCTGCCTCCATGATTGAGAACTGCAAGCCAAACCATGTTGCTATCACTTATGACGATGGACCTTATGATTTTACATCAAATCTTGTCGATTTACTGAACTCCAAGGGTGTCAAGGCAACCTTTTTTGTTAATGGAAAGAACTTTATGTAAGTAGCATTTTAGTCATAATAAGCATCCGCTCACTCTTCCTATGCAGTGATTTAGAATCAAATCAAGAGAGCCAAAGAGCTTTAAAAAAGGCTTATGAGTCAGGACATCAAATTGCCAGCCATACTCTGTCGCATAAAGACCTAGATACCATCTCTGGTGAAGAGTTTGATTCTGAAATCACTGAATTGGAGAGAATTGTCCATGACCTTATTGGTGTCAAGTGAGTAGCTGAGCATTAAGATGGAGCACACCAAAGACTAATTGTATGTATGATAGACCTGCTTGTAAGTTGTGAATGTACCTGAAATCAAGGTCCATACACTCATCCTTTTCATGTAGTTATCCGTCCTCCATATGGTAATGCCAATGAAGACACTGTCTCAAAGCTTGAATCCAGAGGCTACTCCGTCATCAAATGGTCCACTGATACCAAAGATTACGATACCCATAACCTTCAGCAAGAGATGGCTAATGTGAAAAATTCCTTCAACTCAACCGGTTCTGATGAAGGATACATTACCTTATCTCATGATGTAAGTGATTGATGTGTTGCGCAGCTGTTCATTTTAGTAACAACTCCTGTCATAGGTCTATGAGCAAACCACGACTGAATTGACTGAGGCATTGATTGATTATACCAAGAGCCAGGGTTTCCAGTTTGCTACTGTTGCCGACTGTAAGTTGTCTGTTGCATGGGAATACTGAATTATTTACTAACCTTTCGCTACTGCATAGGTATTGGCAAGAATCCTTACCAATAAGCCATATTGTAAAATTACTAGCTTGATCCAAGACAAGCAGTGTAGTCGTTCTGTTAATTTAATAGAAAGAGCATTTTCTTTAATTTATTCATTTTAAACCCTATGTATATATACATTGAGTTTCCAAACCGTTTTAATAAACATAATCTCACTATTGCAATGTGATATTTTCGCTCTACTTGGTTGATCATCGTAAATACGCACATAGAGTGTTACTCAAAGGGAGTGCTGTTTTTCTCGGCTAGAATGGAATACAAGGCAACAACAATAACAACTAGTAGTTAAAAATAGTCATACATGCTTCCTGAAAGCGATTTTCTGCATAGTGATCATCTAATGTCACTATCCAAACTTGTATTTCAGTAAAAACAAACAAATACCATTAATTTCGTAATGCATTCAAAATTTTATTTCGCAAACAGAACTAGCATGGTTGTTAGAGAAATGACAAGTTATAATAGGCTGGCTTTTGCCTGGTAACATGATGGCTCTTCTCTCTCGAATGATATCAATATGTGCGTTATTGGGTGTGATGTGGAAGCACCTGTTGCTACATTACATATATAAATGCTGGCGCCAAGTTTATTGACATAATTTCATACATGTGCATTGCACTTTTTACTTTTCAACCAGCAGAAGTGATCAATGGCAATACATGTGCTCAATGATGTATGGATTTTGACTGAAACTGAATAGCATATCATGCATTTATGATGATTTAATTCTACCATCCAGCGCCAAGGAGCACTTGTATTAAATTCAAAGACGTGAGTAGTACCTGCAAACTATCGTCAAGAGGTTGAATTCATTGTTTTAACCTTTTTCTTTTTCAGTCCTTGTTTATTTGTGATAATTGATATTTCTATGAGTATGAAAAACAAGGTTCTTTTGCGTTATATATATACAAAAACTCTACGGCACGACGACGACAACAAGACACAAGCATGTTTATGACATGCTTTCAACATAAGCAAGTGTCTTTTCCTTGACTCTTTGTACATCATCCTCAGTACCATGAGCCTTTTCGAATTGAATCCATTTCTTAAACAAGAACTTCATCTTCTTGGATGAAAACTTCATAGAGGCAACACGCTCAAACAAACGTCTAAATAAAAAGAATATGGTTAGTTTGATGCTCCAACATAGCTTTCAAGGGGTAACCAACCTAGTCATTTCAGTGTCACCCGTCTTGATCTCCATGTCAATATAAATATTCCATAAATCCAAACGCTTAGGATAGTTGCTCATCACACCTTCCAGGATGGTACGACCACGTTCAGCTTCACCATGCTTGAACTCTAATTGAGCAAACTTGACAATGGTTTGTACATGTTCGTGCTTTGGCAAGACCTTGAGGCTCTTTTGGAGTAATTCACGAGCTTCGTCGGGCTTACTATGTTGAAGATAGTAGAGTCCAAAGCCTGTCCAGACTTCAGGTGATTGAGAACCAAACTTCTTGGTCATTTCTTCCCAGAGTGCTTCAGCCTTGTCTTGCTTGTCACTACGCTCGTAAATCTTGACAAGTTGGAGGTATACCTTGAGGGGTTCGCAGTAGACTAATGCACGCTTAAATACCTCTTGAAGAGTCTCATCTGTGCCAAAATTGTTCTCTAGGTTGAGAAGAGCAACCCACACATTCATCTTTTCTTGCTCCTCACGGAAACTGATAGTCTTGAGTGCACGTTCACCAATATCACGGGCCTTGGCGATTTCAGACAATTGAAGCTGATAAGCCATAAAGTTGATCCACAAGTAGGAAGAGTTGGGAGAACCAACCAAGAGACGTTCAAAGTCGCCAGCTGTTTGAGGAGCGTTGGTATTGAGCTCTGCTGTCAAATCTTCAACTTCCTTCTTCTTTTTCTTATCCTTCGACTTGTCTTCTTCGTCATCGGAATCCTCCTCCTCTTCTTCTTCTTCGTCGCTCGAATCGACTCTGTTGTTGATACCAGTCCAGTCAAAGCTATCAATGTTCAAGGCAGGTGCGGGTGCTGATACTTCCTCTTCTTCCTCTTCTTCATCGCTTTGTTCAGCTTCTTGATCAGAGTCGACATTTTGCACAGCATCAGAATCGGCTTCTTCCATTTCTTCATCTGAATCATCGACTTCAGGCATCTCTTCGTCGCTATCAGAATCATCGGCCTGTTGTTCCTTCTTACCACTCCTGGTGCTAGATGATGAACCTTCAACGACACTCTTCTTAAGAGAAGCTTCAAGACGCTTCATGTCGTGGTCAATGTAGATGATCTTGGCTTTGACGAGCTGACCGAGCTTGTAGATGTCCTTCCATTCCTTGACAAAAGAATCAGACAAGTTGGCAATTTTGACACGAGCAGCAATGGAGTGGTTCAGCTTGACAAAGACACCAACAGCAGCAATATTGCTGACATAACCTTCATACACTTGACCACGTTTGATGTCCTCAAATGACTTGACTTCGTTGGATTCAATGTCGGGATAGATGCGAGAGGGTCTCATGGAGACATCGACTTGACCTCTTTCCTTATTGACACTGATGATGGCCACACGCACTACTTGACCTTCAGTGCAAGAAGCAGTAGGGTCTTCAGTGTAAGTATCAGCAATGTCAGTCAAATAAGCTTTACCAGCAATCTTGCTAGTGATGTTGACAGAGACGCCATTGACCTTGTTGGTATATTTGACCACAGCGTTCATTATTTGACCTTCTTCTAAATCCGAAATGTCAGTGATACGAGGTGCCTTGGGATCTTCAGCGTTCATGAATTCAATCGTATTCTTGTTGGCATCGACAGAGAGTGCAACAGCGCGAATAGCTTGGCCACTGACAAAGTGTTTGGCGAGGTTGTTGCAGACATTGGGATCTGAAGAGGCAAGCTGCTTTTGCATGGTACCAGTAGTGTGAGATCCAATACTGACACGAGCATAAGCAGGATGAATGTCAGAGATAAAACCAATAAACTCATCGCCTGTCTTGATGTTGCGGATTTCACGAGCACTCTCATCATCCTCACTGTCCAAACGAAGAGAACAATCCACATGTTGCTTGACCTTGGCAGCGTGAGTAATGGGCAAGTAGGTGTTGAGCTTTGTGTTGCGAACACCCAAGATCTTGACTTGGATCTCTTGCTTGGACCTGAACTGACTCAGAGGAGCCTTAGGGTTCTTGATATCATCAAATGAGTTGTAGACTTCAGAAACATGGATACGGCCTTCAAGCTCGTTGGGAAGAGAGAGTGTCATATGGGTCTTTTTGATGTTCTTGATAGTGACAGTGATGATCTTACCAGGAGCAAAAGCGTCGTTCTTGGCTTCGTGCTTGGCATCGAGTTTGGCCTTCTTTTCAGCCTGCTTCTCCTTCTTCTTCTTGCTGTTGATGAAAGAAACGAGCATTTTGTTCTCTTCGGGATCCACCTTCAATACAGTTGTCTTGACAGTTTGGCCAACATTGAAAACCTCACCCAAGTTGGCTACGTGGGTTTCAGTCATTTCACTGCCAGGAGCGAAAGCGGTCAAATTGTTGTAGTAAGAAACGACACAGCCATTGTTCTTGATGGCCACAATCACACCATGACTTTGATCGTCCACGTTAATCTCGTTAATATCCTTAAAAATGGGGTATTCACTGTTGATCAAAGACTTCTTGAGGGTCAAAAAGACCTTCTGCTTCATTAAATCCACCTTGAAAACACGGCATTGAATCTTCTTGCCAACCTTGAACTTGAATTCAGGGCGAGTGAGCTTGACATCAGCCATGTGCATAGTAGGCACCAGACCACTGATAGACTTAGAGACCTTGACAATGATCCCAGCATCGATGAGCTTTTCAACCTCACACTCTACCATGGAGCCAATCTCGATATCAGCAACACGCAAGAACTTTTCAGCCAATACACTGGGTTGCAGAGTCAAGACAAGCACAGCATCGACAGGATTGTAGGTCAAAACACGAGCACGGTGAGTACTGCCAATCTTGAACTTGCCGGTGGTTCCAGAGACAGTAGCAATGTGTTCATCTGCAAGACGAGAGACATGGACATAGCCAGTAACACCAGAGACGCCGTCCAAAGTGACCCAAACACCAGTGTTATTAACACGGGCCACTTGCACCTTCTCCAAGAAAGAACCAGCAGGGAACATATGTGCAATGAATTTGTCAGACTTCTTGTCACCAGCAACAGTGGGGACATCTAACTCCAAAATATGTTGAAGAACGGAGCCACCAATCTTCTTGTCTTCTGTGTTAAGGATAGTGAACAAGGTACGGAAAGTGATGTTTTGTCCCAATTTGTACTCCTTTTCAATATCTTGAGAGGCAGGAATATGAGACTGATCAATAGTTGTAGCATAAAGACCTTGCATCTTGACCCCCAAACCGTTGCTTTGAACAGCATCAATGACACCAGTGACTAACTGACCGGGAAGTACTGAGGTGATGCGAGAGAAGGGATCCTCGACAACGGCATGACCAATCTTGGTGCGGTCAATAGTGACATTGGCTGTGCGAGCATCTGCCTTTTCAATAGCGCATTCAACATATTGTCCAACAGCAAGTTCCTCATCACGGTTGTACTTTTTGATATAGCTCTTTGACTCTTTGAGGGGCAAAAAGCCAGCTAAATCCTTCACACCTAAATCTAAAACATAACCATGATCTTCCACACTCTTGACAGTTGCACCTAGAGTCTATCACACAGCAAAAAGGTTAGCTCACATCTGCTGGACGCTGCTGCCGCTCTGTATGCCACTTACCACACCAGGAGTAATATCGACCTTGACAATATCTTCATTTACAAGGCTAGGCTTCAAACTCAATTCAATGATTTTCTTTCCATCGGTTTGAATAGAGGTAATCTTGCAGCGAACCCATTGACCGACGTAGAACAAATCAGCCAAGTTGGGCAATGCAGTAGATTCGCCTTCCATATCCTCATCTTCGTCCTCGTTGGCAACTTTCTCGACAATGGCTGTGATAGCGTCAGAAATTTCAGTGATGGGCACAACACCGACAAGCTGATGTGGCAATGAAACAAACAAATCCAATTCATTGATGTGGGAAATGCAGCCCAAGAATGATGTTCCAACTGTCAGTTTCTATCGTCATTCTATCTGTCAGCCATTTGTCATGTTTTTCTCGGCTGTTGTATTGATTTACCTTAAAGTTTAATTGCTCAATGTAAGTTTTGTCAGATTTAGGCTTTTCCTCTTTGACAGCAACAGCCTTCTTGGACTTTTTGGAAGGCTTTCTCTTCTTTTTAGCAGGCTCTTCGCTATCAGCAACTACACTAGCATCTGAAGTTTTGGTCTATGTGATGGAGAGATGGTTAGAAAATGACATTTTCCTTAACATGGTAATGACAATGCTTCTTTACCGAGGCAAACAGATCTTTGGCAACTTTGTTGGAGATTTCTCTGTGCTCAAGAGGAGTCAAAGCGCTAGCACCACCACGAGGAAAGCTTTCCTCGGTGGGAGCAGCAATAGTTACTGCGGAGGCATCATTTTCGCTTTTAGCGCTGATCTTTCTTTTGCCAGCCATGATTAAATCTTAAAAGAAGGTTTGCAATCATCCACTTTTTTTTTTCAGTGATATTTTTTCTTTGGAAAACCATGAGTTTCTAGGATAAAAGGTCACAGTGGCGTGCCAGCCCTTTAATGGCATCTGGATTAATGCACTGAACTACAATGCTTCCTCATTAAGGCACAACTTTTGATCTCATCTTCCTATTTAGGTATTAAAATGAAGCATCAAACCCTGATTTGGCTCAGCTGATGTTGGCAGGATGTCAGATCATGAATCTATTGTGTCATAGTATTGCCAAATATCTATCAACATGAATTTGGCCTGGCTGCCGTGGTAGCATTTGAGGAGCCCTGTTACGGTTGAAATGACACTATCCATGATAGATTATGCAGTTATTCGACGCATATAATAGGAACCACCTATATTTCACTTGATTTTGTAGTATAGTTTTACTAGATGCAGACTATCTATTGCGTCTAAAATGTCTAGCTTACCTTACAGTCACCATCATCGGGCTAAAGAGCTATGTCATTGTGTTATGATACAGCAGTGCCGCTCAACTTATTGAGCAATTTTAGAAAATATGAAATAAGGTTTTTGGCCGAAATGTCAAAATTCTGCATATGAAAACCTCATAAAAGTAGTTTCAGAGGTTGCTTTGGATCAAGAGAAACATTTTGATTTGATATACGCCATAGTAAAAGTCTTCATTTTCAAGGTGAAAAATGCAATCGTTTGATTTTCAATGGAAACCGTGAGGTATCCCTCATGGTTTTTGGTCGATTTTTGGCCATGTTTTTTTTGGCCCAAAAAGTTGAGCAAAGGTGTCAGGAAGTTGCTACTACTCGAGTACAATCGTTTGGCGTCATTCCGATGGCTCAGAAAGACCTACATATCAAGATATGAAGGCTTGAAAGTTCTCAAATTTGGTAATGTTTTGCTTTATAGCTTTATTTACACGGCATGAATCACATCTTTGGTAGCTGACGTCTTCTGGAAGAGTAGTTCTGCAGCCTGTGCAATTTCTAATTTGAAGAGAAGGCATATTGATTTTGGTAAAGCTAATTCATGCAAATTTTGATGCGCTATGTTGTTGGTAAGCTTATTAACAATGGAAATGAAAACCGGAATTTGCTGCTTGAATACTATGGTCTTGCACCTTTGCTTCGCTACGGTAAACCCCTCATTAAGATTAATATTATCAAATAGTGGGCTAGATGCTTAGTTGCCATAGTTTTTCACCTTCATTTCACTGCAGTAAACCGCCTCATAATAGGTCAATGTTACCAAATGTTGAATTAGATGCGTTATGTTCGTAATGGATGGGCGTAGCACCTCCTCCAACCCCTTCCCCAATGCCGGCTTTGCCGGTGGTTTATTCACTTTATACGGTGCTCGATTCTCTGAATTTTTGAAATGATATGAATTGTTTGTCTACTGTTTTTTTTAATGTTTTACAGTATATATATTAGATAAACAATGCGAAGCAATGACAAGCTAGATCTCAAGTATGCGCGCCGCTATATAAAGAGAAAACTATAGATATATAACATCCTGTCGTATAAAATCAATAAACCTAGAACTCGAGTGCCATAGGTATGGAGTCAGTAGGTGGTCTATAAGAATTTCAAAGATAATCAATATCAAGCCTGTTATTTAATGATTGTATGTAAGAAACTAAAGGGATAAATTTATGAGCATTTCGTCTGAATTAGGGGGCGAATCTAACAATGATCAGTGTGCAATTGTGTTTCATCTAATAATTGGCATTTTGGCAGATTCTATTAAATCTGTCATTTGGCAATAAATCTACATTGAAAACGGGTCTAATCCGATACTGCAAACGCTGACCAGATGGTACTATGATGATGGAGCGATATGCATTTAATTTTACATCTAAATTGCAATAGAAATCTAAAATGGACTTATTTAAAGATTTGAAACCAAACATGCTGAACATTCGTTGTGATGGTTTGTCAATAAACGGAAATTCAATGCAAATCCATGATCATTTCAAGCATGGCATCTGGAAAAAAAAATGACATGGCGCTTCTTGGCCCTATCTATGACCCATTCCATAACAACATTAAAGGTAACCCATATATAGACAATCCATAATGAACTTGAAACTGTGTTTTTTTATTGTTTCCAACATTGGACAAAAGAATAATAAATTAAGGAAAGGAGGCGCTTGTAAATAGACAAAAGGAAGGGAGAATATAAACGAAATGTACAATTCTATAAGGTTGTTACACTGATCATTGTCCAGCAATGCAACAATGCAGCAAGAGGAGAGATAGCCAACGAAAAAGAAGAAGGCAGAAATTAACAAGAAAAAAGAGAGTGATGGTATGTGTAAAGAACATTAGCTAGCATTTAGCTGGAGACCTTGGCGTACTTTTTGTACAATTTACGAGCCTTCTTGTCATTAACAATGTTCAAGATGGCTTGGCCGACACCAGCACCGTCAAAGTGATCCACACCGTAGAGATCAGATGCACTATATTCTAGCTCAAATTCAACCTTTCCATCGCCATTGGCTTTGTCAAGATCGACATAGTATTGATCCCAATCACGGATAGTGCCTACAGGATAGCCATCGCTCTTTTGAGTGTTGTAAGTATAGACACGGAGAGCTGGGTTGTTCTTGGGAATGACGGAGGGAGCATTGAAAAGACCAACAGAGGTTTTGCCTAGTTGCTTTTTCATATGCTTGGCATTAGAGTCATCGGCAGCGAGAAAAGAGTAAGATTTGCCCTTGGAGGAAGAGGGAAGAACAGCGTTCAGATTATCGTCTATGGTGACAAGATGTTAGGCGCTTGATTTCCCTGTTGGGCATCGTATTGGTTTGTACTTACTATTGGTGTGTCCTGTAAAGTGACCCGAGATGGTGCTACCGTATTTACCGAGCAGATTCATGTATTGAGTGTAGCAGTTGGATTTATAGAGCTTGGAGCCATCATCATCGATAGGGGGAACATGGCCCATCAAATAGAGTTGGTGGCCCTTCTTCTTGGAGTAGCGCTGTAAGATATAAGATAGCCATTTCATCTCGATGGCAGCAGGACTACTGGAGGAACTGCAGTCATCAACATCATTGTTCTTGTCATAAAAGTACATGGTATTCAAGTTGACAATAGTGAGTTTGCCCTTGATGACATCTTGAACATAGTAGCCACCAGTAGAGAACGCGGAAGTTAGATTGAGACCAAGGGGCTTCCAAATGGATTCGAGCTTCTTGAAAATCTTGTCGTTCTTTTTAACATCGTTGTGATCGTAAGCATCGTTGTTGCCAATGGTGGGAACATAGGGCACATTATCGGTATCGTATGCTGTTTGGAAGTACTTCATAACGGTAGAATGAGCATTGACGACTTCGCTTTGAGTTCTGGGCATACCATCATCACGGTCCTGTTAATTAAACAGTTAGATCCAAAAGATACAGTTGTTGCACAATATAAATGAACTTACATGTCGGGCAGTATCACCAGTGTAAATAATGAAATCAATGTCGGTGATGGACTCTTTCAGAAAATTAAATGTAGCGTCCACGAGAGCTTCAGGAGAGTCGCAGTCTGTGCCTAATGCACCGTATTTACCAGACTCCGAGGATCTCTTCTTGCCATGCTTGTGACAGAACGAATCTGGGTCAGCACCTTCCAGATAGTTGGGATCAATGTGGATATCTGATGGTTATCAAGATGAGTATAGAATTGCTAACTACAGGCACGTCTATGTGAGCATTTTACCTGTAATGTGAAGGAATTTGCCATTCAACTTGGATCCTCTCTTGGTGAGAGGTTGTGCTTCGTTCATGGGAGCGGCATTTACAGAAGCAGCATTCAAGAGAAATACGCTGGCAGCGATGTAGGTGAGAGATTTGAGCAAGACCATATTATAAAGTGGTTGTTACAAGATGGTAGAAAAAGAAAATGAACTCAAAGCAAGCTTATATATATATATATATATATGATTTCTGACACTTATTAGATCTCCTCCTGAGAAGAGAGGCACAGAAAACCATGTCCAATTCTCAGGAATTGGTACCTTATTAAAGGGAATTGCTAAATCAAGTAATCAATTACACAAATATAGTAGTTTTTGCGACCATCGACGCTGCCTTTATTCCGCTGGCTATTACACAAAATGACATTAATTTATGTTGTATATCAAATCACGAATTCTCCCTTTTTTTAATGCGTTTTAATTATGTTGGACAAACGTGAGATATAAGGCAGTTTGCCAATTAAGATGGCTTATACACTTCATCTATACTATAAACTCTATCTCCATGATTGGACATGTTCTCGAGTAATTCACTAGGCAGGTTCATGGCACAAACAAATCAACACTATAGAAGAGGAGTTTATATGCTTACATCAAATCATGCTTCTTTACGCAAATGAGCGCTGCTTTGTGTTAAGGTGTATAATTTTACCTTTTTTGATATTATAGATACAAGAAATGGTCAGAACATCAAGAACACAAACAAAAACAAACGGTTGCCATTCTTCCGGATGCGTGATAATGACAATGTTTGTATGTAGTTTGACATGCAAACTTAATCAGCTGTGGATAACGCGCCATCAAATGTGCCCTAGCAATTAACAGTGAGCTGAATTTTAGATGATGCGGTGTCGTTGATGCTGGAATACACTACATTTACATCGCACATGTACATTGGATATAACACATACAAAAGAAAGAGCTGCTATTTCTCGAATTCTACTTGATTTGATTGTTTTTGATTTGATTTTCTGCAAATATGCCTCCTTGGGACAACATGTGATGCAGAATATCTTAATATGTTATATCATATCGCGTAATTTTTATTCTAGGCTAAATGTGATATAGTATATACAGTGCGGGGCCATCTGCCTAATTCGCACCTAAGCTTTAAAAGAGACATTTCCTTGGGATTGCTTAACTAAAAAAAAAAAAAAAAAATCAAGCTGATTTATTGGAATCAAGAAATGTAAAGATATTTTCTTTCTAACGATACTAAAAATGATCCCAGATAGCATCACACCTTAAAAAGAAAGTTGATATAATGATTCGATTTAGCAAAATTATTTAAAACTAATTACTAACAACATTAAAAATCATTTCACATCTAATTCTCTCGCTTCATTATTAGGGCCATTCTTTGCTCTGGTACTTGTTGTGTGGTAATTGCTGCTATTCCCTTGGAGCTTCAAACCGATCAATATATGGTGTCTCTTGGTCCTCTGCTACATTGTCTATACGGTTTGTTTTCTGAAATTACTCTCTTGCTCATTTGGGCTTAAAACCGGTGGTCTTCATGGCCCTTGACATGGTTTCTTGATAGCTCAGTGCTTGGTGACTTGATGATTCAATGATTGGTTCCTTGATATATCAAAGGGTGATGCCTTAATGGATCAATGCTTTGGTCTCTTCGCTTCTTATGATATCAGTATTTTCGCTACCAAACCTAGCTCCCAAGTAAGGCTTTCAAGCCGAAGCTTTATTCGTCGTTCATGCAAGTTCCCAAAGTGAAGTTAAAGTGCTCGGAAGATGTGGATTTACTAGCTGCGCCGAATTCATGCTTGATCGTAAAACCGATTCAAGTCCTCGAGTTATCGCGATCCCAGACGTAGGTACTATATAGTTTCTTTAGCATAAACCAAAGCAGTTTTTGACATGTTATATTCATTCTTCTTGCAGATACGCTCATTTACATTTCGACAATGAGAGCGACGCCTCTTTTTATTTTCATTTTTATCGCGAAAACCATCATATAATGTGCAGAAATCTACCAAATGTAGTTATCAAGCCAAGCATAGAAGATGTGTTGGGGCGTCCTATGTGCGTTATGAATTCGTGATAGCAATGCCATTGAAATAATCAGTCGTCGACTGTATCTAAAAACGAAAGTAAAGAGCTTCTTTGTTACATGGCATCTAGCTAGCTTACATACGGTAGATCCCTAATTAATGACCACTACGTCGAGATGCTGCATGAACAGCAGGCCATTAGGACTATGTTGATTGTTGGTATAGCTAGTTGAGCCATATACTGTAGGTGGATCTTGATATCTTGACATTGGGGAGATCGAACCTATCGTAGTTTCTGTGGCATTCGTGCACACACAGCTGACTGGACTTGTAAACATTGATGTGATGTGATACAGCCAGCGTCATCTATGTTGCTACATCGTGAAAGTGGCTCCAGGAGAAAGTAAACGTAGCCCAAGATGCATATTTATATGTAAAAATAAGTAACAAATGATTAAGCCTTGTCAACCAAGCACCAATATAGTTCAAAAACAAAGGACATTTCGTTGTGGCACACACAGCTTGACGAAGATCAACTTGGATGGTGCGTTTGCGGCGCCAACCTCTCTGCTGCCACTACTGCCGACATTCCTGATGCTACCGCTGCCAACATGCCTGCTGTCCAGTGCAAATATTCAGCCACCCAAGATCAAGATTTGTGGGCTATCTTGCAATTAGGAGGGATGCTTTACCTATTATGGTGTTTTCCAATAGGACAGCCAATCTGGCCAGTTCTAAATCGACAGATTTGGACTTGAAGACATTGGATATTAAACGATTTGTTTAGTTGGGTGCATTTCTCATTTGAGGTCATCATAAAAGAGATGAAGGCTCAGTTGTTTGTAATATTTTTTTAATAAATAATTACTGATTTTCTAGGGCTTTCACGTAAATATATACATCATAAAAGAGAAAACATTGAAACCAAATCCAGTTTGGAATATTGTGTTGAGAAGGGAAGAGAGAACATAAAATACAGTGGTAACGGGTAAAATATTAAGAATAACATAGAAGGAAGAATATTAAGAGAGAGAGAGAGAGGAGTATGATCATACATATATGTTACATAAAAAGTAGTGGTAGTAGACAATGACATTAGACATCAACAATGCGCTGGACCTTATTGCAGTCCAAAAGATGTTCACCGCGGTATTTGATGAGATATTCACCTTGATCCTTCCAAGTTACTGTCTTATTCACAGGACAACCCTATAAACGAAGGTCAATCATTTTGCTACTCAAAAGTAGATCTGAAAAGAAACTTACCTTGTTGCTGTTGGAACACTTGTAATAAACACTCTTGTTGCCAGTCTTCTTTTGCACTGTATTACCGTTATTCTTCCAAAAGTAGCCATCAACATATGGATATTCCCTTGTCTCGACAATCTTTGTAATGGCCTGCATTTCTCTTCTTCTTCTTGGTCTAGGCGGGAAATCATACCTCGCAGAGGCGGCAGCAGCAGCAGTGCTCAACAAGGATCGGTTATCTAATTGGCGCTGGCTATGGTGATGATGATGTTGCTGTAATGAATTTGTAAACGAATCATCATCAAGATGATAGTCTGGAGAAAGTGGATGCTGCTTGTTGTTGTTGTTGTTGCTGTTTTGAAGTGACGACATGACCACAGCAGCAGCAGCAGAACTATAACTGGAATTAAGGTTTATAATACATTAGTAATGATATAAATTTTTGACTCGGGATAGACAAATTTACCTCTCCATTTGAAGTAATGAAGATGCGGAGACCGGGGTAGTAGTAGAAGCAGTTGTGGATGTGGGGATAGGGGAGAATGTTCGGTCATCAAATTCATCAGAATCAGCACTACCAGTGAACGAGGAACCCAATGTTGAGTCTCGTCTATGATTTGATTGCTGTTGATGCTGCTGCTGTTGTTGTTGTTGTTGTTGCAAAAGAGGCGTTGGTGCACAGTGTGTTGGTGACGCTAATATTGCATCTAAGCTTGTGCGTCGCATGTGATGATACATTCTACCGTCTGTAGATGAATTGGTACTCATTGGAGGTGTAGGATGCATTGTGAATGAATTACTGTTGAAGCTTTGATTTTGATAGGATATATTGCCGTTGTTGCTGTTGTTGAATGCCATTGTGTTGTCGTGTTCATGGCTGGGAGGCTGTTGCTGCTGCTGCTGCTGTTGTTGTTGTTGTTGAACTAGTAACAGATCAAGCTCCTTGGCTCTCAATTTTGCCTCCTCGGCTCTTCGTTTGTCCTCTTCCAATTTGCTTAGTAGGATCAACCTCAATAGTTCTGGTTGAGATTGATAGCTGTAGATGATGTCCTGAAGGTCACCGGAAACAGGATTCTGCTGTTGTTCCTGCTTCAAATTATTCGTCATCAAAGGTGAGGTATTTGCATTCATTAAATTGACATTTGATGTATTATTGCTGACAGAAGTAGAACGAGAAAATGAATGGAAAGGAACCTGCTCATGATGGTATAACGGCACTGCTTTGGCAGTATCTTTTGTTAAAGTGTAATTGAAATCAGCCATTTGAAATTTTGAAAGATTGAAAGAACAGGAAGAAAGAGAAGGGAAAAAGAAGAACAAGAACAAGCACAGTTTTTAAACAGGGTTTTCGCTTCTTCCAACGACTTCCCGTCCTTATATTGGTATTCAAACGATTTTCTCAGGGTCACTAAACCCCTCTCGATTCGGTAGATTAGTGAAATGTATAGTCATGAGTGTGGGAGCGTGCGGTATTCTATCAAATCACCCAATGATATCGCCAAATGCTACGAAAAAAGGGTTTTTCGTCAATACGAGAAATAAAATAGTTGAATTTCATAATGATTGGAATAACCTTGTATTCCTTGGTGTGTGTGTAAATCTTGAACCCTTTTTTGATTCTGGTAATTTTACTGCAAGCAAACTATCTCTCTTTGTAATCTAAAAATCTTGCAGGGTTTTGATAGCTTGATTTCCTCTTCCCGCCATTGCAAATGCCATAGTTCATTGATACACTTGAATAGCTTAGGAGACGGCGGGATGATAAATACCTGTTAATGTGGGGAAGTTTATTTTTTCATTCTCATGTCCTACAAAGAGATGACCTATGTATTTCATCAACAGGCACTCGAAGCATTTTTCCAGTGCCAAAATGCATGTGCGCCTCTGTTGAGAGATATGCCTGATATAGTGTTGATCAGCTAAATTAATTGGCCGAGTCTAATGGCTATTTTGACACAAGTCTTGCAACAGTGCGTGTTTATAATTGTATTTTTGATCAAATGGCCTTGAACAAACAGAAAAATAACGTGGTATTGTGTAACAAATACTAGGGATTCAAATCATCATTCTTCTAGTGTTAAAGATGCGCTGTAAAACGACTGGCTTGGATTATTCCTTACCCCATTCCCGCCCCACATTTAGTTTTATATACATAACATTGCGGTTATACAAATAGCAACAGAGAACGTAGCTACGATGTTTAAGACCCATACCCGTCTTGATCTGATTTATCTGTGTGATTCATAGCATTTTAAAATTAATGAACTGATGAAATTGGTGCTACGGCAACTAGAACAAAAAAGAAACCGATTCTTTTATAAGGTGATCTCTTATAGCTTGCTTTGAAATGTTGGACAAATTTCCTTCCTTCGAGCTCCTGCAATTCAGGCCTACTATATTTACTATTTCTTATATCTGCAATGCTATCATATAAACAATCATGTAGGTTAATAGCTAAAACGTGGCCATGGACATGCTGCTTGAAAAGGCATGTACGATTATCCCGAGGAACGCGATGTGTGTGAAGTGGGGGGAGGGGGCTTTTCGCCATGTCCTATGCGGTCATGCTTGTGTTTTGCGTTTGAAGGCACACAAAGGAAATTTGCGGGAATGATTGAAAAACAGGGTGACAATTCCCTTGCCCTTGCACTACGCAATTTATTATAATGCGTGTTTACAACATCATACCAGACGAAGCTTGCCTTCCCAAGCAAATGCTTTGCTTTTCACTTGCGCACAAGATGAAATACACGGGAAACAGAGATAAGAATAGGGTCGCTTGAAACGGTAAAATGCGGTGTTATGTTTGGAAACATGCCTAGCATACATTTTCGTTGAATGCTTGTTTCATCAATACCCGTTGAGCTTATCTACAGTTGTACACGCACAGCACACGGAAAATTTTGCTATTCGAAGAACAGTAAGATTTGCCCACCTGATATCAACAAACAGATACAAATTAGTAAAATGTCTTGCATTGCTCTGAAATAGGCATATTACATAATATGGAGATTTTTGCCTTTCTGTTTCAAAACAGCTTTTGATCACCTTCTTCCTTGGAAAATTTATCAGATCATAGTAGATAATGACAATCAACATTTGATTCATCATCCATTAGCAACCCTAGTAGACCAAATGATTTGTTCTTCTGTCTATTAATGTACATATACGTTCGAATATACCAGTGCCTAATTTCAATTACTTTGTATTTTCATCCTTTAGATGTTTACTTGCATGATATCACTTTGGCCTTATTCTACCAAGTGTTAGCTGATTTACTCATCGAAAGGAGCATCTTTTGCATCTATCTAAATGGTTGAGTAATGCAACGAGCTTCTTTCACTATATAAGCATACTTTACTTGGATTCTACATCGTACCCATGAATAGCAATATTCCACTTTTAAACTTCCCACTGTCATCTGAGAACCCTCCACAAACGACCTGTAACCGAATATCCGACTCTGCTACGATGCCCCACATCTGTATCCATGTGAACAATTCAATTGCGAGCGTACACTATACTTGCTTTGCTTCTTGTTACTCGAAAGTATTCAAAACACAGCAAAAATTGGGTGCATTTGTGCCGTGATTTCTCGTGTTAGAAGCCGTTTTAGACTGCCAAAATAGCACCAAATAGTTGCTCTCATCTGGCAGTTACTTTCTGATACCTTTGCTCAACTTTTTGGGGATCAAAAAAAACATGGTCAAAATTCGATCAAAAAGCATGAGGTACCCCTCATGGTTTTCATCAAAAAAACAAACGATCGCGTTTTTGACCTTGATAACAAAGACTTTTACTGTAATATATATTAAATCAAAATGTTTCTATCGATCTAATGTAACTACTGAAATCATCTTTTTGGGAATTTGATATGCAAAATTTCGACTTTTTGGCCAGAAACCTCTTTTTATATTCTTACAAATTGCTCTATAAGTTTATTCAAAACATTTACTTTACTTGGTACCATTGGATGCGTCTTGAAAAATACTCCAAGGGTGTATTAGGAAGCATCGGATGATCATCACAATTCATATAGTCGAATATCTCAAAATAGATTTTTCAAGTCGAAAAAATGCAAAATATGTCCAATCTGGAGTAGACCAAGAGTCTGAGTTAGAATTATTTTTGGCGGCTGGTGGGGCCGTCTGGCAAACTCAATGCCTTTTTTATCATGAAGGCAATACAGTAATATATGCTTTTGAAGCCTATGAAAAATAAATGGCAAATTATATAGTACTCTCGTTAGCCATGTTATTTTTCCTGCACTCTATATTTAATAACGCCAGTCTATCACCATATTTGTTAGATCAACTTCTTTCCTTTTTGAGGCTTTGAAGTGTCTAGGGACCATAGATTATTACATTACGATGAGCACTTCAATTCTTCGGTTGGTTCTCACTAAAGCAAAGCGTAGGTCAGGAAACCAACCTATGTCCAGGTGGCTCACGCTGCCGCGGGCCTTTTGGCTAATACTGCAAAACTAAAAATAACAAAATGTTAGAAGAAACTTGATTGTTGATTGATAGTGATTTAATATAAAATCTCTAATCATATATGAGCCATGTATGACAAATGCCTTGCAACTCAGTTTCCACATTAGGGTTGTAAAAGCGTCTAGGGACTAAACATTTATTATGTTATGGTATGATATTAGAGCAAAAAATATTTTTTTTTTGTATTTAAAAGTGGGTTTTATTGATATTATAGATATTGGGATATCCGAGAGGATACCTACATGTCTAAGAAAGAAGAAATCAACTTAGAGTGATCTTCAAGAAAAGAGGAGAAAACTATGCGCGTACGCCATGCTTTATCCTCAAGGGTACAGCCCCAATGATGTTGCCAAAGAGACGAGAAAGCAGCTCCAAGAAGTTCCAAGATGGAAATACCTAACAGATTGTGCTCTTGATCATGTAGGGTAGTCAGCTCAATCCAAATGGCATCGTCCGTAGGGAACAGATCTGTGAGACCAAGGTGTGAGATAACCTCATACCAGAAGAGGGACTTCATACCGCAGCCTATGATCATATGGTATTCATCTTCAGGTGCCTCAATACACAGTTTACATAAAGGAGAAGGATGCCTGACACGGTTGATATTGTGTAGGCGAGTCTGCACCGAGAGATGCCCATGTAGCAGCCGCCACCAAGGTGTAAATGTCTTGGCGGGAAGACAGAGAGACCAGAAATCACGCCAGAGGCGAGGAGGAAGCAAGAGATGTGGAGGACGAGACATTGGAGGGTGGGCTGGGCCACGTAGCAAAGCAAAAGATGTATGCCAGAAACGGCGCAAGGCCCCGAGCTTGATTTGGGCCACTGCAGCTGTTGAACGAGGGCTGGTGGTGATATGCCAATGCGAAAAGCTAGCAGTGGGTGGAGAGGGGGTAGTGGCGCTCTCCAACAAGGCAGTGCGTTCTTGATCAGGGAAAGCCATAACCGATATTAGAGCACAATGTCTCTATTGATTTAAAGCAGACCCTGAAACTACTTCTGTGAGTACTTCAGATGTATAATCTCGACATTTTCATCGAGAGCCTCCTTTCATTTTATCTAACATTGCTCCATGAGTTTGTTCAAAACATTTCATTTTAAAGTCACCATTAGATGCGTCTTGAAAGAAATTTCAAGAGAGCTTAAGGAGGTATGGGGTGATCATCACAGTTTATATAGTCGGATCCTGCAAAATAAGCCAAGTAAGTCGTCATTTGACCGAAACCTAACAAATTGAAGCAAAAAATCGGTGAAGCTGCAATCAAATTTTGGCAGCAGGCAGGCTATCCTGAAGACAATAAATACCCCTAGAGCTATTATATGAAGGGAATTGCGAAACATAATACCACTTAAAGATGCGGCTAGACTAATACATATCCTTCCTTGATATTTGTGTTTATTATGTAATGCTTATTGTTAAAAATGTTTTACAGCTTGGGGAAACGATCTTCATCCATTAAGCATGCATTTCATGTCAAGCATCAGCAAAGATCAAAGATCGTCTATGTATCTATAAAAAGATCTTGGGAAAAATGCATGTGCATGTCTTATTTTGTATAATAAAGATGGATTCCATGGAAAAAACATGAAAGTATGTCATGCAAATAAGAAAATGACGTTGAGCTTCAGTTCCAAAGGAGAATTGTTGAGTAGACATATCATCTGTTATCGCGAGCACTGTCTGCATGGATTAGCTTGCAAGAATCTCTAAGATGGTATTTCAAATGGCTTGTTTACTTGAGAAATCTTTAGTTTATTTTGGGAATGTGTTTAATTTGGAGGTGTATACATGTACAATGTGTTTATAAACTTATGAATGATGATACTATGAACAGATGGATCTCCTCAACCTTTTCAAAAGGCGCGAAAATAGGGCTAAAAATAGTTTATCTGCTTTTGACGCCGACAGCTTTTAATACACTTGATTTCCAAGATGTTGTCGGCTTTGACAAGTTTTGTCTAGAGTAGTAGTTTTGTTTAGCAAAGAAGGTATTTTCATCACTGTCTTCGTCATCATCAGCATAGGGAGCATCAACGTAATTATCTTCGTGATTAAAGTAATCACCGTCTTGTGTATCGGGACCAGCATTGATTGCGGCTATGGGAGCAGTGTTGGATCTTTGAGCCAGCCTCTTTCTTGAAAAGAATGAGGTTGTTGTTACTGGAGGTGAAACCGAGGGCGTTTGTTCCAGAAGGCTGTTATTTTGCTGCTCTTTCTCATCATCGAGAGATGTATAAGAAGATGATCTAGATCTCCGGAAGCCGTTCTTGTACTTTTGTCGAAATGATGAAGTAGCCAACAAGTTGCCCCTCTTGTAATAGGATGACTTGGAATTGAAGTAACTATCACCTTCAGTTTCTTCTAAAAGGGTGGATCTTGGGCTCAGCATAGTGGCAGACATGATTTAAAAAATGAGTATGAGAGAGAAAGCCGAAGCAAACAGATCCTTTCCCTCTCTTTTATATTTTTTGATTTAGACTTGAGGTTTCAAATTTAGAAAACCTATTAAGGCAAATACTAATTTGTGGCATGAATAATAATGAAATCTCCTCCTTTATGTTACTACAATCTGCGTTTTTGTGTTTAATGATGTACAGAGGTCATTTCCATTTAGATGAAGAGTAATTTGAAAGGGTTCTTTTATACTATCTTGTAGCACGCCTATAAAGATCGAGGCGATTCCCCAACCCTCTTTCCCCCCCCCCCCTGCTACTCAAAGGTAATGATAGTATTGTATACTATTATTGTTTATCATCATTCACTTATTATGCAGCCTGGGTTCTGCGTGTAAATAACTTGCCGGTTGGGCGATTCGGATGTGTACATCCAATTCGCAACTGTTGCTGAAAAGTCTAGATGCCATCGATAAACATACTATTAATCGCAAAGTGCACTAGATGTGTCCTGAACAAAGCTAGGCCCCGGAGTTGATTTGGCGAGTTCTTTTAGTTCTTTTTGTAAATGATTTAATGTGATGCAAGCTATCAATTAAGGTTATTTCTTCCAAGGTTTCGTCACAAGATAGGTCGACTGTTTGGGATCTTCTAGGAATTGTTTGTTTTCCACTACATCCTTGAATGTGCTATGAGTGATTCACCAATCAAGTTTGATTCTCATAATCCTGATTTATACATTCAGATTTCTATGTGACAAATTTACTGTACCGACTGATTAGCGTTGACGATCACAGCCCTAAACTGACCTGCTTCTAATCATCTCTGTCAGGTCTCTTTTCAAGGACACCAGCAATTTCGGTTCAAAGCATTGCGTGCGTTTGACTGAAGATGATTGATTTCCAGGCTGCACTCTTAGGATGAAGAAATGAAATAAGCAATGTCGAATCACAAATACAAACGATTCCAGCAGATTGCAAACCACTCAAAGTTTCACTGTCTAATACATTCCACAGAATCAGGGTTTGGCCCTTTAGATGAGTGCTATATAGATAGGACCATTAACACTTACATTTTCACTGCGTATGCTTCCAGTAGATTTGAACGTGAAAATACATTGCGGGCATGTATCAAGCACTGGTGCAATACTTCTTGCAATCAATATAGATGCATTCAATACGCTCAAATGAAAAATTTATTACGAAAATCAACTCAAACATCAGGATTTGCATAGTGTACATGGATATCGGCATTAGAGGTTTTAGCTTGGAAATGACCTCCGTCTGGCTTTCTACCATTTTTGGGATTGTATCGAGTACCTACAACATAGCCTCTGTCGTGCATCAGCTGAGACCAGCCCAGAGGATCAATAAATTCAATCTTGTTGTTTCTACTAGTTTCAACTTCAAAGCGACCCTCATGTTCGGCAGGCTATACAAAAGATGTCAGCTACTTCGTCAACTTTTAAGGCCATCAATCCTTACCAAGATCACATCAATTTGGCTGTTGGTAGTTCGAGCAACTAATTCAGCATGATTATTTCCCGTCAAACGTATGTTCACAGCACCATTGCTTGTCTGTGCATTCATTGCAACGGATATATTAGCACGATTCAACTCAATACGGTTATTGGTGGATTTGAGCTCTGCACGACTGGCATCAAGACTATCCAAATTGATATGGCCATTCGTGGTTATCAGCTGGACTTGCAGAGCCTCCATTGGCGCATCAAAGTCAATACCAGCATTACTGGTCTTTACAGTAACAAGATCCGTTATGTTGGTAACAGGTTGTCTAAATCGGACGCCTCCATTTGTAGTGTATATGACGATGGCCTCCGCATTACCGATCGGTTGATTAACCTCGACGTGCGCGTTTGAAGTTTTCAGTTCTATCACTTTACCCACCCATTTTGGATCAAATTCAAAGGCTGCGTTGGTAGTGACCAGAGATGCAGCTTCAATATACATGACTTCATTGGAAGTTTCAATGTGCGTGTTTTGCACCTCCAACGCAATGAATTCGAGGGTATCTGGGACGTAAATGACAGCATTGAGGCTAACACAGGCACGCGGGGATAGATCATGAGGGATATAGATTTCCAGTGAAGTGCTTCCATTGTCCAAATGAGTCAAGCTGTAGGTTAGATCCGGGTTGTCAGCGAGGCTTGCGGGAGAGACAAGAGCTGTCGTCGTGACAACGCCAGTTGTAGCTTTGTCCACGCCGCTGTCATTTTCGACTCGTTTTATAAGGATGTGTCCACTAGAGAGACTACCGCCTACTACACGAATCTTTAGACCATGGTTGTTGAATGTGAATCTGTCTGGAAGCGATCTCCAGAGGAATCCATGTGAGCATGAATCAGCATAATTGACACTGCCAGACAGTAAGCTGATCAATCGGATAACAAGGCAAATGCAGAAAAAGTAGAATACGTATTTCAGACACATCTCAAAGCAAGACTTTTGCTTTTTGGATGGATTGTAGTAGTACGGCTGGTGTTGCTGTTGTTGTTGCAATGGCGATTGTGGTGATGGAGGTAAGGGATATCCTACCAAAGGCGGTTGTGGTGATCCTATGACACACATTAAATGTTAACAATCTCTGGGTGTCACGCCAAGACTGAGTTTAGCTTACCTGTTCCACGGCCACTGCTTGGCGGAGCGATCCAAGGCCAGCTGTTTACAATGGGAAGATTTGCGTCTGATGTGGAACTGTTTGCATTTGTATAGGGGCGCTGGGGCTGATTGACAGTACCGTATTGACCATAGCCTTGAAGAGCGGGTGAATGCTGAGGATTCTGATAGCTCAATGACGGATAATGGCTAGACGTAGGAGTAGATGGCGATGTGATGTGAGAAGACGGTGCCTGGGTTTGAGGCGTCGCATGCTGTATAGGAGATGAAAATGGCAATTCTAATGGCGGTGCACTTGGATCCATAGCAACAGAAGAATTGGATGATTCAGGTTCATTTGGTGGAGGCGAATATGGAGGAGGCGGATTTGCCCAGTAAGGGTTTTCTGTTGGTTCATTGATATCTTTCTTTTGAGAACTGGCCGCAGCATTCTGGTAAATAGACGGATGTCCAAAGAACCTTGGCTCTACTCTATTGTCATTACTCCTATTCCGATCTCTCTGCACAGATGATGCTGATGCATCGTGTCCATTCGACATGATTGTGTTTATCTGAAAAATAAAAAAAGAGGAAGAGAGATAGATACAACAACAGCCCATGATTTGTCCAACGCCCAGTAGAACCTCATGAATGCACGGTTGCACAACGGTGACTCTGTTTGCTACCTTGAGATCAATTGTTCACAACAAAATGCTCTCACATTGGGGCTGATCTAGTCCAAATAGCTCCTGGAGTGTTTCTGTAACATGACGTTAAACTTGTTCAAGGTCTAAATTGCCTAATCCAGAAGATGTGTTGTATAGACAAAGCATGGTGCTACTTTCATTGGAAGTTCAGGTCAAATGTTGAAGGTTCGAAGGCTAAATCAGGTTGGTATGTCAAGAGTCCATCATGCAATGGAAGTTTGCATCCAAAATTCTCGATTTAGACGAAGCTTACACGAATAGCATGGATTTTGTATGCAGCTTTTTCTACTCCTCTAATGAGAAAATTAGCAGTACAACAGGATTGTTACATTCTCAAAAATCCATCTATCTGAGAAAACCAGACTTGTAAATGGCCTTTGACGGTAAAAATTCATACCCTCGCAAGGCTAAAAAATGAAGGTAGGGCCTGTAAATGGTTTTATGTATTAGTTTTGATTCGTAGAAGTATTTATTGATAGATAATCGCATTCGCACAAAGTAATCAGTCAAGTACAGGAAGGATGTAAGTAGGCCAAACCAGCATTGCAACACTTTGTAGAACATTCTTTTCGGCTTCCAAGCATTCACTATATAATGGATGGACATAGAAAGACAGCAGCAGATTAAATTGCTCCGTATGATGGCTAAATGATTGGATGATGCTTTCAAAAGTGTGGGCAGGTCTGTAGTGTTGCTATGGTAAAGTGCAATCCCGTATTCTGTGAGCAAATCAGCATCGCAATCAGCATTGTCACCATCAGAATGGCATTTGGGTCAGCCAACAGCAGCGCCAACCGCTAAAACTAATTAAAACTCAGATTTTTTTTTCTTAAAGGACTTTAAATAAAACCTGGAGCTCGACTCCCCTACAAAAAAAAAAAAATGCTTCCTTAAGCTTTCCTGGAGTACTTTTCAAGGCGCATCCAATAGTACTAAGTAAAATAGGTGTTTTGAATAAACTTATCTTATGAAAATATGAAAAGAGGTTTTTGGCCAAAATGTCGAAATTTTACATATCAAAGTCCCACAAAGATGATTTCAGAGATTGCTTTGGATCGATAGAAACATTTTGATTCAAGATATATCATAGTAAAAGTCTTCATTTTCAAGGTCAAAAATGCGATCGTCTGATTTTCGATGAAAACTATGAGGCCTCATGGTTTTTGGTCGATTTTTGGCCATGTTGTTTTTGATCCCAAAAAATTGAGCAAAGATGTCAGGAAGTTGCTGTTACTCGAGTACAATTGTTGAACGTTATTCTGGCGATCTAAAAAGGCCTTGAACGCAAGAAATCGCGGCTCAAATGCACTCAAATTTTGCTGTATCAGAGACACTAAGGACTAAGAAGAGGAAATGCCAGTATGCTGCTTGCCCGTATATGAAGTAGCTACATGTATATGGATGTAGAGCATCACATAAAAATCAGATCCACAGATAGTATGAAGGTTTTTTATGTGTAAGTGGAGGGTCAAAATGAAAGTAGCGCTATTTCGATAAGATAAGTAAAGGCAACCTGTAACGCAAGCTGCTGCTGCGCAGGTTGGTTCTCATTGAAGCGAAGTTAGAGAGCCATCCGAAGCATAAACACTAGCAATAATCAAAGGATTAAAGTATGATGACGATTGGTTCTTCACTGTTCACTTGTCTCCCTTGTGCGTTGCCTATTCCTTAATTGCCGATTCCACTGACGACTTCCTTTTTGAATGCCTACTCAAGGCAGCGGTTTGGCAGGGTATCATCTATGAGTTCCTCTAGCCCACGGTAACCATTGGTGATATTCGCCATTCCCTCCTTACCATCTATGTGAAATAATGTCTAACGTACAATTGTCTTGAATATTCTGTTATTCTAACTAAGTGATGGCTTAAATTTTGGAGCATGTAGCACCTCATTATAGCTACTCCTTTAAGGATGCTATATGATGTCAATTACATATAAGAGTCGCTGTATATAAAGCTGCCAAGGTAATATTAACACTACTCATTGATTATTATTTGTTCGGTGGGTTGCCCAACATCATGGTCGGCTCCGGATGATTGGCAACTCATTATAAAGAAGATGCTTTTGGTCATTAAGGTATACTGTTGACTAACTGTTGATTGCATAATGTGTCTTGATATTGACTGATTGAGTACAAATTGATTGCCTAGAGCTCAGCGCTTGTATAGTTGGGAGTGTTCGATGATTTAATGCTTACAGTCGTTTACATTCTCTGCAAAAGGTAGGCCTCTGAAGTGGTAAGACTTGAAAGCAGAATCAAATCAATCAGGCGATCTACTTGCAATGTCCCTTGAAGCCATCATTGGTGCTCGTACCAACTTTTACATACCACAGATAGTTTGTGCTGTTCTTACTACCTGAGAGTAATATGGCATCATCAAGACACAGTGGAATTGACAGAGCCAAACCATCATGACCGTAAGTAGGCGGTGAGGTGATTTTGTGTTTAGATCTGAAATGTAAACTGTGCAATCATTAGATCTCATGGCTGAGTGAGTGTCATCAGAATCATATCTGAAGCTAGTGTCCAATAGAATGCATCAGCAATTGCGTAACCCATGGCAAATGTTTGCTTTGTGTCCTGTTCTTCATGTCAACACGTGTCTTCACTGTGTTCCCTCCTCATGAGCCAGCCTCAATCTCGGTAGAGTCGCCCTGTATACATTGAACATTGAATGTCGAAGCCAATGATCCCAACGCTTGGTAAATCAGACTTTGTAGCTGTCAAATATGCAACCAAGTGGGGGAGGGGGGGGGCAGAAATTCGTTGTTAGGCCTGGCAAACCCCTCCTGTCTTTCAACTAAACAAGGCAAACTTCTTAGGTTTGGAGAGACACAGGTTTGACATTCAAGCGGGAAGGATGGAAGAGATCAGCGCATTATAGCGCACATGCGAAATTGTAGACAGAGATCCGGGGCTATTGCATCACCTCCAATTTGCCATTTACAAAGCTTGCGCAACTATCTAATGGCCCTATATCCAGTGTGTCTAGATTTACTAGTTTTTGATGCATGAAATCTAAACGCATCTATTGTATATGTAGATCATTTACATGATGCAAATTTTTGGCATCATATAGGACGTCTGTTTGGGTATGCCTGCGCAAACACTGAAGCCTGAAATCATTATTGTATGAGTCTTGTTTACACAATGGTATGCGGAAAAGTTTCAAGATGTACTTCATCTAAAAAAAAAAAAATAGATGACAACAGTATACAACGATATACCAAACGAATAACAACAATATGATGCAATTCTCTTTATAGAAACCCGCTTTGTAAACAACATTGTCTAAGTATACAAACACAATTGAAACATGGACTTTCAGGATATTTAACACTAACATATTTATTCGTAACATGTAGTATCTCAAACGTATTTTCCAAAAGCTATTATTCTCTTTTATATAAGAAAAAAAAAAAAAGACATTTTCATTCATTCAAGTCAGCATGTAACATACAAAATCAAAGACACTTCATAGATTAGCATAAAAAGGTGAATATATGTACATGTTTCTTTCAAATCAGATAAAATGATATATATATAAAAAGAGAATAATAAACAGAAAAGTGGGATAAGATATAAGCAATAAGGCATAAATATTAATAACGTGTGTATTTATCTGTTGTTGTTGCTGTTGTTGTTGTTGGCGTGGTGGTGGTGGCTCATATTGTTATAGGCGACATGATTCATCTGCTGATGGTGTGGATGATAGGAGCTATCGTTCGAAGTAGCAGCCATGGGAGCACCGTACTGCTGCATCAGCATTTGTTCAAGATGTCCATCTTTCTTTTCGACAATAAGCGCTTTCAGCCATTTGACTTCACGTTCCAGCTCATGAACGCGGTTCTCAAATGCTTTAGCTTTCTCGGTCATTTCGTTTGCTGTTTGTTGAAGTGCTTGCTCGCGCATTTTCTTCTTGACACGGAAACGAGCACTAGCAGCAGTGTTACGACGTCGCTTATCTTCTTTTGTCAAAGGTGCTTGGTTCTGAGAAGTCCTTCTGGAGGCAGCACTATTGGCAGGCTCATCAGCATCTTCGTCATCGTCTTCACTATCAACAGTCGAGAGTTCATTGCTGACAAGAGGAGAAGACTTTTTGACGGTAACTGTAGAAATGCTGTTGCGTTTCTTGGTGGCAGTGGCAGTGGCAGTGGTGCTGATGGCGGGTGCTGCTACTGTTGGCTGGAGTGCTTCAGGCTGAGGTTCGTCATAGCTGTTTGTTAACAATCTCATTGTCTTCATAAATTGGTCATCGTCGTAACCCATGATAGCATCTTCACCATAGAATATGATGGGAGGATTGATGATACCTTGGAATCCTGGATGAGATGAAGCGGTAAGATGGATGCCGTTGGGAGGCGTCGGGTTGGGAGAGTGAAACCCATTAGGAGGAGAAGGGTTGGGAGAATGATAACCGTTGGGAGGAGTACAGTCAGGAGAATCATCATAAAAGCGAGCGATAGCATCTGTTGCGTATGTGTGTAAGTCTATAAATGCAACCGGGTAATGTGGCATTTCAGCAACTCACCAGGCGACATGGAAGTATGATAGTTATTCTCAGCCAACGAGGCCAACTTTACATTCAAAAGCGAGTGCATGTCAGGCTTCTCTGCCTTGTGAGGATGAGCATTGATGTTGGAAGAGGGGGAGATGGGATCGTCATTGGCTGCTACACCGGGAGCAATGTCATAGGTAAACTGAGCATTTGCAAACAATGACAGCTCCTTTTGGAGCTCTACATCGGAAAGAACAGATACAGAATCCATAACTTGGTTAAGTGAGTCGACAATGTTATTATGGGCTGACAACCATGTATTTGCAGAAGAGGCTATTGCACATTTAATACTTGTTTTGATTGGGTAAATCAGATTACACACAACTTACAACCGCTATTAATCATATAATTAATTGATAGTTGTTCTTGATCTTCTATTGATTTTCTTTGTTATTTTCAGATATATGGATATATAGCAAGAAAAGAAAAAAAAAAGCAAACAGACGAAAGAAAGAGGAGAAATCAAGACGCAAGAGCACGCAAGAATCTATAATGATAAGCAAATGTGGTACAAGGAAATGGAAGCTGTATTTTATCCGAGTTTCAAATAAAGAAATGTCAGTTTTCGCTTTGTACATGAAATTGCTTTTGTGCTTACAACTGTTACATCAAAAAAATAAGTCAATTAAATGATTCCATTTGACAAATCTAATCCAATAATGTAACTACAAATTAAGGTTTTCTCTTGCGTGAGTGCCTCCAGTTTGCATTTACCGCCGTGTTGCACTGGAAAACAAGCTTATAGACACGTATCTGATGACATGAAAGCTACAAATGAGACAGGTCGCTGTTTCCTAGAAAGCAGGCATGGCAGAGATCTTCTCACATGCGTTTCCTTTGTCTTCATCAGAGAACCGATTACTGCTGTTCCAAGCTGTTCTTTAAAATTAGCAAAAATAATGGTTACAACTGGATGGCAATTGGTTAATCACACAATACAATTTTGGTCATGAAATGTCGCAATACACAGTAGAAAGACGCTTGAAATCACGCAATCCTTTGGATTTTACGGCCCCCCCCCTCAAGGAAGGCTTGTTCAAGCACCATCTTACGGAACTTTAACTACAAGCCCTTTTGGTATGATACTACCAATACAGGAAAGAATCAAATTTTTATTATTACTGATTTATACTTTAAATCAAGAATGTAGCACACCATAATCCCATATTCTTATATCGCCATCATCAGATGTCGAGATGATCTTCGTATCACTCAGGGCGACGCTTGTTACAGGGCCATTATGGCCTTCCAAGGCGTACATACATTTACCACTGCCGAGATCCCATACGCGCACTGTCTTGTCGTGAGATCCAGAAACAATACGCAGTGTGTCGTACGCCAAGCTCCAGACGCCTTCCACATGGCCAAATAACGTGCGAATACATTTACCTGTGATCATGTCCCACAGTTTGATTGTATTATCTAAGGATCCAGATATAATAATAGGGTTATTAGATGATGCAGCCGTGGACGCTGTTTCTTTCTTGATTGTATTTCTTCTTGCGGACGAGCTTGCTTGATTTGAGCTGCTGCTGCTGCTGTCTGTAGCACATCCAGGCTGCAATTCGGGTAGACTACCAGCTCTGTTCAGTGTACTAAGATAGGCGTCATCTTCCTCTGTATCAAAGCGATGTGTGAATCCAAGAGGGCTTGGTACGGCAATTTGCACTTGACCCACATGTCCATTCAGCACTTGCATACAAGACCGTTTTTGAACGTCCCAGAGCCTGATGGTGGAATCATCGCTAGCAGACACAAGGATAGTGCCTTCTCGACATAAGCGCACCGAGTTCACCCACTCTGTGTGTCCTGTTAACGTACAGCACTCGCCAGCAGAAAAGTTCCAGACTCGTATGGTGTGGTCAGTCGAACCACTTGCCATCAATCTTGAGTTGAAATGCAGACTCAAGACGCCTCCTGTGTGACCCTCCAAAGTACGAATGCATTTACCAGTTTGCCAGTTCCAAATCTTCAATGTCTGATCCATGGATCCAGTCACCAGCTTGGCTTCATCAAACTGCAGTGCACGAACACAGCGAGTATGCCCTGTTAATGTGCGAATCAATTGGCCCGTTTCCAGGCACCAGATACGAACCGTCTTGTCATATGAACCCGTCATCAAAATATTGCTTCCATCGCAGAATTGAACGCACATCACTCCATCCGTGTGGCCGCTCAATACGCGCAACTTGTATTTGTTGTTTCTCCAGTTTCTTTCAACCATCAGTCGTTCAGAATAGACGTCTTTCCATGGACGACGAGATGGTGGCGGTGGTGGTGGACAACCATTCTCTCCTGTGGCCGTATTTGTGCCATCAAAGATATTCTTGAATGATGTATCTGCCTCTGTATCAATTTTGCTCTTCTTGTTAGGACGTTCTATTGCTGCTGCTGCTGCTGCTGCTGCTGCTGCTGCGTGCTCTTGCTCTTCCTCTTCTCTTTGGACATCGTTGCGAGATACGGAAGAAGGTCCGCATGCTGTTCGTAGTGGAGCATCACTAGGCTCAATCAATGGGCGTTTTATCGCTGTCGCTGTTCGACGCTTATTCAACAAGGGAAGACCCCATCCACATTTGGTGCATTTTTTGTCGATATGTTGCTCGCACATTCTATGCCAGAGTGCATCATCATCTGCTAATGTCTTCCAATTATGAGATACTTGTGCTGCATGACATAACGACTTGGCATCCAGGTAAAAGAAGATTTGCAATGAAATCTCACGGGGTAAAATAGATAAAAAGTCAATTCGCAATAAGGGCTTGATAGCATCGTGTATAAATGAAAGCTGGGGCATACAGCAGGTAGATAAAAGACCTCGCAATATCAAGATACGCTGGTCTGCTGGTGCTGCTGAAAATAAAGACCAGATGTGTGTGATGGCTGCTTTGTCTTCTGTTGGTAGTTCTTCCAATTGCTAATTGTTATACAGGTCAGCTTATCAGTATTATATAAAGATGCCGTCTTACTCTTTGTGCATTTTCGATATCTAATCCATCTGGCTGTCTCTGCTTTATAAGATCAGGTCGATGCCTGTAACATAGTCGTCTTGAATTTGTCACTTGGTCAGGAACATGTCGAGATAAGAAATCCTTCACTGGCAGCGTGCTTCTCTTGTCGTCTGCTTTGTCCTTGTCCATTTAAATTGATATGATTTGTATATATATGATATTAGAGATAAAAGACAACATTATTAATCTCCCAAAAAAAAATCTTTATTTTAAGGTGGCAATTCCATATCTGCATCCACGTGATGTGCGCATTGGATAAGCGACATTTCAAGGTAAGCATTGTCGCTGATTCACAGTTTTGCATCTGGATCAGCTCTGCAGTAGTCTTATTTAGGCATGAGAGTTAATCTAGTAATTAGATAAAGGCTGAATAGTCTGGTCATTTAAATAAGCAGGAATAATCGGCTTTAGTCTTTGAGAAATCTGTACAATGCCTACTGCAAATCCTGGCTCGTCAGTGACATTTGCTCAAATGTATTCGAGCTTTAGGCTCATAACACTCTTTGTACCAATCTTAAATGTTCGCCAAAAGGCACGCTGTGCATGATTAGCTACCTATCTAATGAAACCCACACTTGAAGCATCGTCTGCAATCTCAAATACGATGGCAACATTGCATTTTGAATTAGGATTCCATTAGGGTTGCTCATTTGCTACGATTAAAAGCCATTAGATGTATAAGTTTGCAATGGAAACAGCAAAAAGTAGGCAAGTTAAGCTATTGTGCTTTTCGGCTCTCAATCTCGTTCTCAATGCTCTAAACATTGATTGTCTTTATAAGAAAGGTATTCTGGTCATCCAGCCCACCAAAACTGGTTTACGCTCCGCTCAACGTTTTACCTCGATTCGTTATTTTTGGGACTTTTTGGACTCGCTTCGACCTATTTTACAAGATTCGACTATGTAAAACGTAATGATCCGCCCATGCTTCTTTAAGCTTTCCTGTAGTACTTTTCAAGGCGCATCCAATAGTACCTGTTATAAGAGGTGTTATTAGAGAACATGTTGAGCAATCTTGGTAAATATAAAATGAGGTCTTTGGCCAAAGTGTAGACATTTTGCATAAGAAAGTTACACAATCAAAGTTTCAGGGGCTGCTTTGCATCAATACAATCATTTTGATTCAATATATACCATAACAAAAGTCTTCATTTTCGAGGTAAAAATCGCGATCGCTTGATTTTTTGATGAAAACCATGAGGGGTACCTCATGGTTTGAGGTCTATTTTTGACGATGTTTTTTGGATCTCTAAAAAGCTGAGCAGAGGTATCAGTAAGTAACTGCGAGGTGAGAGTAGCTTTTTGGCGCTATTCTGAGGGTCTAGAACGGCTTCTAACGCGAGAAATCACAACTCAAATACACCAAGTTTTCGCTGTATTTTGGATACTTTTGAGTAATAAGAGGGAATGCAGGTATACTGTATACCCTTAAATAGACTAATTCCATTGATACAAACATGGAGCAATGTAGAGGAATCAGATCCACAGTTACAAGCTCTATCAACAACTCTCAAGTGTGAGTAATACTAGTAGAGTGTCTTTTATTAGACAACAAATCAGTACTGACATTGTATACAAATGATGAAGGTTTATTAAATATGCTTTGGAAATGATAATCTAGTGTTCTAAAATGTAGCTGAATCTAGGCTTTCCAGCTCTGAAATTGCCAAGGATTTTGTTAACGTCCTTCATAGGTCGAACTTCAATCAAGGCTTGACATTGTGTATAGCGACAAATTCAAGCATGTCCTCAATTTCAGCAGGAGAGCCAGTGGCAGCTTCACAGATAAAAACTTGGTTCATGATCTAGAGCAAGGGATCAAATTGAGGGAACATTCAATCAGGAGCCATGAGATTAATAAAGTAACCGTTAACACGGAGCAATGCAAAATAAGGATCCCATTGGAAGTCTGATTTGCGGCCACAACATACTGGAGTTTATGGGAAAGTTAGGCCCCTTCAATCCTATCAACTGCCGTAACCGCCAGTTGTGTATGTACCGTATGACGCCTACTGTAGGCGGTACCAACTTGGGTGCTGTGCTGCCAGTCATGGCCACTGTTTTGGGCTGTGTATTAGCAGCTATCATTTACACTATGTTTCAAGTCAACACCGGATCAATGGATGCGGTATTTTGGTCAGCATATATATTTGAAACAAAATCAAATCGCCTGATGATAATAAATACACCTTTTTTTTATTTATTTATTCATTTGAACTCTTTTTCAGCAAATCGTCTAATTTGGCAATGACTTGTTGAATAGAAGGTCTTGTAGCTGGATTCGCTGTCAACATCCATTGGATTGTGTCATTCAAGTCTTTTGAGTAATTTGAATCCTCGGGGATCTTGTACTGATTATTCAACACTGCTAATGCGACAGAACCACCTTGATCCATATTCACTTCGAATGGTGATTGTCCATATGCCATAGCGTATAATGTACATCCCAATGACCAAATATCCACTTTCTCGTCTAGTGTGGTGCCTGTTTTGACATCAAATAATTCTGGTGCTCTGTATGGCATGGTGCATTGTTCAGCAGCGAGATCTTGCTGCTGTAATGCCTCTTGTCTTGTGTTCACTTGAATTCTAGCAGCACACGCAGATCCGAAATCCATGAGTATAGGTGTTTCGCCGTCGTCCGAAATCAAAACGTTGCTTTGAAAGGGGTTAAACATTGATTTTTTTTTTTTTTTACTGGAGAAAGCAAAACCTACCCAGGTTTGATATCTCTATGCGCCCATGGTACCTTCTCGCCTCTTTTACCAGTTTCTAGTTGCCCGCCTGAGGGTTGATCTTGTGTATGACTCAGTAAAGCTTCGTCTTGTCTGTTTTCATCCTCGGGTGATATCACTTGGCTCGGTGCATACAATACTCTGGCCCCGCCTTGTGCTTTATATGTGTGTAAAGCCTCCACTGCCACACAAACCTCTCTAAACATACGAAGCATGTCAGTTTCTGGGAAATGAGTCTTGTTCATATTGTTTTTGTTGATGGCGTCTTGCAGATTTCCTCTCTAATTAGAAATACTGTATTAGTCCATCATCCATTCATGCCAAGAGATTGAGGGCCGGATTTACTTTGTAGTAGGGCAAGAAGATGTAGATAGTCTTGCTGCCATCAGACTCAGTGATTGTGCTGGAGTCCTGAAGATAACTGTGAGTTAAGACATGTGCTATCAGCTGCATCGACAAGCACTTACCACCATTTTGATGATGTTTTTATGATTGAAAAGCTGGTAAATATCCACTTCTCTTTGTGCCAAGTCTGCTTCTTCTGTGCCCAACGTGCATCGAATTTTTTTCATGGCATACTGATTACCAGACCCGTCTTGAGCCAGATAGACAAATGAGAACCCACTAAATGACTGTTAGCCCTGATTCATGACACCCTTCCGCTGTGCCTTACCCCTCTCCTAGTAGTTTAATTATGCGATACGCTCTTCCATTGATACTGAGGTTAGAGCTAGGTATACAACAGCCCATAAAAGACGAGAACACGTCGAGAATCGAGTTTAGGATTGACATGATGGAATCAAGCTATGAAGAGATCAAGATAGAGAGAAAAGGAGATGAAGTGTTTGAATGAGCCGAGAAAGAGAGAAGTATATGGCAACAAGGCTGATGATAATTTGGCTTAAATTAACCCAATCTCGTATGATCCTCCGCTCAATAAACATCACTGATATTGAACCAGCCACAAATCTAACTCTATTTACAGCACTCTTTTTTTAATTCTATAAAAAATCAAAATTGTATTGTGATGAAAGTGTTGGATGCAGTTGTGTATTGGGTAAGAGGGGGATATTTATTCTTTTTTTTGTTTCTTTTTCTATCTTTCAAGAAGAGATGAAAGAAAAAAATTCAGGCGTATATATTTAAGGGGAAGAAGGGGCAGGTGTGAGTGTCAGTGTGTGTTTGAGGGGAGGGCAAGAGAAAGAGAGAGAGAGAAAATGTGTGTGTGTGTGTGGGTAAGATAAAAAAAAAAGAGAGAGATAGCTAATCAAAGCTATGTCTGAAAGAAAGATTTTGTTTGTATGGTAAATAAAGAGATAAAAAAGGGTCGTGTTATGAATACAAAGAAAAAGTTAATCTTGTTCTTGTCAAAAAGAAGAAGAAAGACAGGTAATAAACAGGGCAAACAGTAAATTAAAGAAAAAAATGTGAGTGTATTAATGATAGAAAGGAGCATAAAGCAACATACTTATTGACAAGCACGCTTAATCATCTAAGTAAAAAAAGCAACATTAGCACACGCTCAAAAACATCTCTACCATGCCACTTACCTCCTTGGCCCAACGTGCGGTTTCTTTGGTGGTTTGAGTGTAATGACGACTTGTTCTAGCTTCACGCAACAAGGCAGCGACCCATTCTTGTTGGAAAAATGCCTTTAATTGACTCTCAAATGTCTCTGCAAGATCACTATGAAAGAAAAGGGTTAAACTCGGTGCCAGTTCGATAAAATTTGCATGAATTACCCTAATAAACCAATGACAGATCTTGTGAGGGAATCGGTTCTGTTGGGATCAGCAGCAATGAGGTGCATAAAGTCAAAGACGTGAGGCAAGAAGGGTAATAATGTGGCAGCTATCATAGTGTTATTAGCCGTTATCCAAACAATCCAAATCTACCAAACTTACCTTGAAGTGTTCCATTTAAGCCTTGAACGATACCAACATATGCCTCAACACAGCCCTCGTATAAAGTGTTGACATAATCAATCATTTCGTAATTGTCTCTATCAGCACGCATACCGCCAGCTTGTTGTAAGACCATCATGACAACTTCCAAATATGCGCTGAATTGATCGCCAATAGCTAAGGCAATATCACCAAAGCAGGAGAGAATAGCAGGCTTGACAGTACGATGGAGAATAGGCGATTGGAGGTTAGTCACCAACAATTGCATCAACTCGTTACAGTAGGGAGCAGCATCCTTTCCAAGAGCACGACAGATATCACCAATCAGACCAACAGCAATGAAACATAATTGGTATTCGGCAGGGTTTTGTAAGGCGGTGCAGAGAATAGGTACGAATAATTGAGCATATCTGTTGAAATCAGCTTCCAAGGCGCTGGTCATGGCACCAATAGCCAAGAAAGCGTCTTCAGTGGTAGTTGCTTGTTTGGATTGATTGTTCAAAAGTTGAAGGACGACTGTCATGATGCGATCAGCGACTTGGCTGATATCTCTAGAAAGACGACGGATACAGTTGGTCAACACGCCCAACAAACTAGACTGTAACTCTGAGTGGCTGGCTCTATCGTCTGCGTCAAGGATTTGGCTCTCCATAGCCATGGTGGTTTCTAAACGGTCCAATACAGTCAACACGATTCTTTGCACAGTGTTGATACAATCCTAGTTTTCACACAGCATCAGGATTCAGGTACATTGGACTAGAAGAGATCTACTTACATCAGCTGAGCACATGGCGAGCGTGGAAATGGCTTCGTAGGCAGACGTTCTACAGTTGGCTTCATTGTTGGCTCTTTCAGTGAATTGTAAAAGAGCAGTGATGATGCCTTCGAAGAAGACCGATAGAGGAGATGTAACAGCACCTTCACCGGGACCCAATTGCTCGGCTAAATTCATCAATGACTAAACAAAACTCATATATTAGACGCTGACCTATGCCACTGCTCTTTCAACTTACCCAACAACAGTTGCCAACAATACGAGGATTATCTTGAAGGCCGTATACAAGGGCAGATACCAATTCATTCAAGTGAACCTCAGGCTTAATGCAGTGGATAAGCAATTCGCAAATACGACCAAGAGTCCAAGCGACGGTATCTTTGACATGAACGACAGAATCCTTCATCATTTGGATCAAAGTAGGTAAGGCCTAGCAAGAAAGGATAGTGTAAATATCTCAACAGTAACATCGATAACAACCTCCAACTTACTTGATCAACCAAAGGAGTCAAGACAGCTGGATCTGGACCATCTAAAATAGAGCCAAATGCCATGACAGCAGCTTCACGGTTTCTCCAATCCTCGCTTTGAATGTTTGATTCGATGAAGGGTACAACAGGTTGGATGACATTGTTACCAACACATTGCGCAAGCAAAGAGATACAGGTGGCAGCAGCCATTGCAACCGTCCATTCATCCTCATCGTAATCGTCTTCTTGCTTTGTGAGAGTCCATAAAAGTACAGGAAGGATATCGGCAAGAGCTAATTCAGCAAAGTGGTAGCTTTCACGGTCAGGTTGTTCTCCAGCTTCATGAGCCTTTTGTGAATGCGCGTGAGCGTATATTTCTCTTTATCGTATAAACATAACTTACATCGAGCAACTCGTCCTTTAACTCAATTTCCTCATCACAAACTGTAGACCAAAATTCGATAGCCTGCAGTGCAACACGTTCATCTTCATTGTTCATACCAGCAACGGTAAGCTAATACGTCATAAGATGTTAGTTTTTTGGATAGTACAACACATGCCGTAAATGATACGTACGCCAAATAAGGCTTTTTCCATATAAAGACGCATCTTGTCGTAGTAGGTTTGCATAATGCGAACAAGACATTCGAAAGCAGACACTTGGACATCGCTGGATTCGCTTTGAGTAGCTTCACAAACAACTTGCATAATGAAGTTGCGTTCGCCCTACAAGAAATAATCAATTTGGTGATCGTTTTCTCTCTGATTCATCTTTTCCTCTTTCCATCTCTGAATATACACGTACCTCACGCTCAAAGTTTTCCTTGATGAAATCAAGAGAGTTGATCAAAGCCTTGATAGCTGCAAGACGAACATCTTGACTGATTAGAGCGTTAGAGTCGGCCATTGGGTAGTTTTACTAAATCAACTTACTTTGGTTCTTCTTTACGAGCACCCTGGACAACTGCGGTCAAAATATCATTGGATTGACTAGCAAGCACCACAGGATCCTATTACAACGAGTGAGTAGGCACGATTACCACATTGACAAAAAAAAATATACGTTACAGTAGCTTCGCAAACATAGCCAATAGCTTGCAAGGTAGATTGCTTTAATGTAGCATTGTCAGTTGAGATGTTTTCAAGCATGATACGGATCAAATCAGGCCATTGACCCAAGGGCAATTCGATTTCAGCGATGGCAGCCACTACCTAAACATACATATTGACATGAGATTCAGACACCTTCTTCACATGAACCATCTGCCAACTTACTTGTCCAGAGATATTGCCGACCGTCTTTTTAGGAGAGCTCAAACCTTGAAGGACCTGAATTTTTGTTTAGCAAACATGATTGACACGACACATTTCTACAAATAACTTACGCCTTGTTTAATCTGAGCACGGAGATCCTCAGCAGTCAAGAGCCATCTTTGAGAAAGCTCCTCTTTGCGAGCGAATTCCTGTAATAAAAATAATTGAATATGCCATCCCTCTAAATTCCTCTCCCTCTCTACGCCAAACTCTCACCTTTGCTGTCAAGGTATTCTTCATGGCAAGACCAGCAGACATTCTGATTTGTTCGTTATTTTGCTCGTTGGCAAGAATTTGACACAAAGAAACCACGTAGCTAGACTATAATACAAGTTTGTCTGAATAAAAAAAATTTTCATTATGTGTTATCATTTACAGCTTTCTTACGTAGTTTTCCTGAGCAAACAATTCTAATTTCTGAGTGGCATCTTCACGCAAGGCACGATCTAAATGAAAGATAACGTCAGCAAGACGCTCTTTGTTCTTTCTGGCGTCTCAATCTCTGGAAATTTACCATTTGATAAAGTGTTGGCAAGAAGTGTAGTTGCGTCCATTTTGTATGTGTTTTTTATGTAAATTTCTCGAGAAAAAGAGCAAGTCTACAAGGTTTCCATGTGAGATTGCAGATAGCAATGGTATATCAGACACACTTACCAAGAAAATGAGGCGAAAGCAACTAGACTTTTTGTTTTTTTTTACAAAGAACAGGAAGAGAAAAAAAAAAAGAAGAAAAAAGAAAAACAAATCGCTGATATCTTCAAGTCTAAAAATTGACCTCCACTTGGAGGTCAATCACCAATAAGAAAATATTTTACCAGAGACGCGACTTTCGCAATTGGGAACACACATGAATACAAGTCGTCATCGATGTGGCTATATGCATAGTAGCTATGAAGCAAGGGTGCTGTAGTATATCATCTTCTGCAACATTTGAGGGCAATTCACTGGGCTCCTCGCAATTGGTAGCATGGCTGTCTGATGGAATGATTGAATGTCTCGTTAGTAGAGATCTGAGCATGATCTTTGTGTTGCCAGCGTATTTGTAGTTTGGTTATGGCAGATGCTATATGTATTTGATAAACCATGTACAGGCAACCTGCCTAGGAGAGTAGACAGTCTGGTCTAAATAATGAATTTTTCATCAACAGAGGACGCTTCTTGACTACAATTGATCGGATGCCAGTGCTTTTAGTACCTAGATCTCAAACCAAACGTTATTAGATTTCGTCTTGCACATGATCAACGATCCGAAATCTTATGATCTATCATGTATCCTTGGTTGAAATCTTTTTGAGCAAAACGAGTGTAGCTTTGATTGCCAAAGCATGTGACGAAGACAACGCAAAACTAATAGCAAAGGTGGTCTACTTGATCTGTATAGTTATCAAGTCATGCGATGACCAAATATTTCTTTATTTGCTATCGAAGTATATAGTTTTTGGCTTACAACCGTATGTCAGTTCTGTAGATTTACAACAAAAACGTTAAATGTCAACACATTGCATTTGATGTACATATGACAAAAAAAAAACAACCACTGGTTAGGCTTTGCAATGTTTGTAGATGTTAATCTATTATATAAGACATGTATTACGTCTTTCAATATGGACGCTCTTTGTAAAACGCGCCAGTTTGGCTATTTGGATACTTCCTTCTTGCACTATACCGCGTTTTAGTCGTTCAAAATGATACTAAACCATAGTTCTCACTTCGTATAGTAAACCCCTCATACGTACCTCTGAAAGCGCGATTTAAAATACATGGATCAGCCCTCATGAAACCCATTGGCTTAATTTCCAACATCAAAAAAAATACGATATAATATATGAGATGAAGGGCTTTTTAGATGTATAATACAACATGTCTAGCTATCCTGATAGATTATTTATATGTATGCTTTCGGTTCTATAGCCAACTGCCTCTTGTTTTGTTTTTAAGGATTAGAAAGTATATTTCTGCTTCAATGCTACTAGTGCGACCAGCGTTCATACCTAAAGTAAGATTGATTTAAACGCCCAAGTATCGTCTAAAGAAAATAGAGATACAACGCACTTTCATTAGTATGCAGTATTCAGACTTGATACGGACCGTCTTGGACCATCTACTGACTCCACATTGATGGCATTTGATCGCAACATTAGGTATATTGATTCATATAAGATAAAATGTTATACATTTACACTTGTCTCTTTTTATGACGACGCACATGCTGAGGTCTAGCTTATCATTGCTTCACTTTGTTTATATGTATATATAAAGGTGCTGAATTGTCAATATTAGGCAGCTATCTATTAAAGCCGTTCGTTTATCTCTAATAAAGATTCTCAAGTACAAGAAAATAACGCATTTAATCCAACATTTGGTAACATTGACCTTAAGAGGGTTTTACCATAACGGAGCAAACGTGCAAAACCATAGTGACCAAGCATTAAATTTGATTTCTCGGTTTCATTATTAATAAGCTTACCAACAACATATCGCATCAAAATTTACATGAATTAGCTTTACCAAAATCAATATGCCTCCTGCCCAAATTAGAAGTTGCACAGACTGCAGAACTACCCTTCCAGAAGATTTCAGCTATCAGAGATGTGATTCATACCGTGTAATAAACGCTATACAGCAAAAACATAACCAAATCTGACAGTTTTCATGCCTTTACTTGTCAATACGCGCGTTTTTGTTATAATGCAACGGCGTAAAGGCATTTTATGCATTAATCTAGATTCAGAGCATGCTGTTACATCCAAATATCCAGCAGGAAATATTGAGTTATGTCGTATCGCTGTATCATAGCATAATGATACAGCTTTTTAGTGAGACGATGGCGGCTGTAAGGCACGCTGGGTATTTAAGACGCAATAAATAGTCTACATCTAGTAAAAACTATACTAGAGAGTTAGCTCAGATATAAGTGATCCTATCATACCCTTACAGTATTTCGCGTTGATCCTGAGAGCGATCGCTCGAACATGGCATGACAAACAACAATGAAGTCTATTTTTAAAAGGAAAACACCACTAGCCTTTTTGTTTGTCTCAAAGATGGGATATTTAATGAAAGCAACCATCACTCTCTAATTCGTTTTGCAATGTATGCATGAGCTACGTAATATCATGTACAAATACGCGCGTTAAAACGAATAGATCCAGCATTGGAGATGTTGAGTTAGCATGAGCCTGTTTCCGCCCCCCCAAAAAAAAATCGCTGGCGCATATAATTAAAAAGAGTGCAACTTCCACTCTTTTACTTGCCATGGTCGTCATTGAAATCGACATGAAATCATGTAAATGCAACTTTATGCATCCACATACATAAAGTAGTTATATCGATGACATGATGCTACCAAGCTACTGATGCAAAGACTGCATCTAATCATGGACTGAATTTGCGAGAGAGAAATAATGATCTGATCATACAACTGAACTGAATTTAATTGGAAGAATGCATGTATCCAGGAACGGTTTTAGTTTTATAGGTACTAGATTCAATGAATGCTAAGAATAATAGGGCATTTCATCTGAGATGCAATTCACCATGTTTCCTGTTAGTGTATATATATTTTTTTCCTTGTCTCCTCTCTCTCTTTCTCTTTCTCTTTCCCTCTTTTTTTATCTTGTTCTCCTTTACTCACGTCAGTGTTATTCTATATCTCTATATACGTTGTCACATTGCTCTGTGGATGCCTTCAAAAGAGTGACATTAAATCAATCAAGACAGCCAATTTATACCCAACAAAACCATAGCAAAAGAAACACCATCACCACCACCACCACTTTTCTGTTTTCTCCTGTAGGCATATACTTTTTGTGATTAGATACCCGTAAACACACATTTAACCCAATTTCGTCAAGGTGAGATGCTCTCTTTCCTTCTGCCTCTTTCAACTTAAATCAACTGACATTTGTTCTCTTAGTCTTTATGATAACATCAGAATCGATCCAAACAACTGAAGCAAACGACATATTCGATCCACTCTATCAGATACAGATACCAGAAAAGGAATTGAACAATCTGTTTTCACCCTCGCTTTCCCCTGAACAACGAGTAAATGACTTCCAAGCTGTTACCAAGCGTATTACCCACTGGCTAGAGACGGCTCATATGATTGCCTTTAGCATTGAACAGAGCGTCAAACGAGGCGACATGGAGTCCTATTCAGTCGAGCCTCTGCAACTTGCTTGCAATAAGATGCATCCATTGATTCCGCTGCTGACGGAATGCATAGACGAACAAGACGAACTGGAGCACTACAGATTACCAGTAACCAAGATTCAGTCGGAATGGTCTGGCCTGCAACATTTTATATCATTCGTTAAAACTTTGATTGAAGGAGCCAACGAGAAGCACATGTTGAGGACTATGATGGAGGATATTTTGATACAAGTGGATGATTTGTCCATGATGATCTTCCAGTTTCAAGAGAAACGACACTCTGATCCTGAAAAGAAAGAAGACAGCATCTTGCTGGACATTGACAATCGCGTAGGACCTTTATTCACCAATGTGGAGAAAGTGTACACCAGAATGACGTCTTCCAACCCACCTGAGGACACCACGGGACTCTTGACTCGCAAACACTTACTGGTTCAGGAACGCTGGGAGTCGTTGCGCATTGAGATTGATGAACTCAAGATTGAACTCAAAGAAGATCGTTGGCTTGTAGTGTTTCGGCAGGTGGCTGACCAGGTGGATGATATGATGAATGGACTCGACAAAACAGTTACGCAGTGTTACACGATGATACAACAGATTAAAGACGGCCACGGCATAGTGACAAGCTCGTCCTCCACCACATCCTCCTCTTCCTCGAATCATACATCCAGCACCACCAGCACCACCACAGATGCTCGCACGAAACTTCGCTCGGTCGAAAAGAATTTTGAAGCAAAATACAAGTACTATACGCCTAGTATCACCAAAATGTTACTGATGCTAGGCAACGGCATTGCGGCACGTGTATCCCGAAACGTTGCAACTCTACAACGTCATGAGGCCATGCTGGCAAGATGGAATACACTCAAATCAACAATGGATCAGCTACGTAAAAGAGATTTGCCTGATATAGTTGTGGTTGAACCCACGTTGTCGGATAATACTCATTGTTGGTCACGACTTAGTGATCGTAGTGATAGTACAACAGGCAGCAGCAATTGGAAAGATTTAATTTCAAGTGCAACAGGGGGAGCCGCAACACCAACCTCTACTTCAAGATTCTTACATAATAAGCCATCATCGCCATCACTTCATTTCGAAGACGACAGATCAAAGAGCCCGTTCAAATTCAACCATCACAGCCCAAGTCCATTGTTTATGGAGGAGAAAGTAAGGCAATATAGAGGTACTTCACCCAACGGCAAGCGAACAACAAGCCCTTCGTTTTACGCTCGTGAGAGTTTCAATTCAGTTGGCAGTGCCCTGAGACCCCAATCTATCAGTCCATCTCACAGCAGAGAAGACGATATGATATCAACAAAAGATTTTAGGTCCCAAAACAATAACAGCAGACAACAAACAACCAACATCAATACCACTAGTAGAAGCATCACGCCGAGCATACGTCGCAGCGGCACTCCCTCCATGATACCAAGGCCCAAAACACCTACATCCAATGCATTGAGACCGAGATCTAGTATGGCTCGTATCACAAATATGGCTAGATCAGAATCCCCCTTCAGATCATCTACTAGCAGCACTGCACTGCATACCACTACCAGCACAGCGACAGCTTATAGGCCCGATCCCAAAGATCCATTGGATAAAGAAGTCGCCCTGATTGTGAACCGTAGCCCCATTCCTATCCAATGCTCCAAAAAAGCAGGTACTGCCGATGGACGATATTATTTTGGTAATGAATTAACACCATCGCTGGGAGGTGGTAAAAAGATTTATACTTGTAAATTGATGACTTATGAAAATAGCGGACGAAACAAAGTATTGATTCGTGTTGGTGGTGGATGGCAAGATTTAGAAATCTTTCTGCTTGAACACATGAACCTGATTGGATAAATAAAAGCTTAATTTCGTACGTGATACACATCCTCTGGATATATATTTATTCTGGCCGATAAAAGATAAGCTGAATGGATATAAATATGGGGGGGGGGGGGTTCGAGGGAGGCAGCAGGAAAAAAATAGATCTTTTTCTTCTTTTTTTTTCTTTTTCGCCTGTCATCACGCTATTTTGGACCTTTCAAAGATTTACATTTAAAAAAAGGTAATGTAACGATACCGGTCTCTTTTTGGTTTATTCGGGAGATCTTGGGGAGCTAGAATGGGGTTGTTGGAGCAATTCATCAACGAAAACATATGAATGACACATGAAATCATCAATTTCATTTCTTTAACCTTTTTCCCGGGAAAGTTGGTTACAATCATGATTGGTCGAAAATGTGGGGGGAAACGTATAGGTTCATCTGTGGGATAATGGGGGGTGGGGGATGAGACTAAAATGCAGATAATGGATGATATAAAAGAGATGGCATGTTGATGTGGATGAACTAAATTGTCTCTCTCTCTCTCTCTCTCTTTTTCTTTTTCGTTTTTTCTTCCTTTAGTTTCATTCTATACATCTATAAGAGAAAATAATGCCTGCCCCTCCTGCCCGCGAACACTCTGTCGAAACTATTCGTAGAAATAGTGAAGTGATGGGTAACCTTCGCAAGTTAATGGTTGCTAACCGTGGTGTAAGTATGGTAGCTTGTGGCCCAAGAAACAGCATCACTGACGTGATGTCTTTTAGGAAATTGCTATTCGTGTATTCCGTACAGCTCATGAATTGTCCATGAAGACTGTCGCCGTCTTTTCTCATGAAGATAGATTGTCCATGCATCGTTACAAGGTTTGTTCAGTATAAAGGGGTGTGGTACGGTTGGCTGACTAACTGACCAATATGATATAGGCTGATGAGTCCTATCAGCTTGGTAAGATCGGCCAATATACACCTGTTGCTGCCTACTTGGCTCAAGATGAAGTTGTTCGTATTGCCAAAGAGCGTGGTGTTTCCATGATCCATCCTGGTTATGGTTTCTTGTCTGAGAATGCTGAATTTGCCCGTAAGGTGGAGGCTGCTGGTATCACTTTCATTGGCCCCTCTCCTGAAGTCATTGAAAGTTTAGGCGATAAGACTAAAGCTAGAACCATTGGTAAAGTACAAATTTTTCATTTCATGGGATCTGTTTTTAAACTAACATGTCTTGTGTAGCCATGAAGTGTGATGTACCCGTCGTGCCTGGTACGCCTGGCCCTGTTAGTGAGTTTACCGAAGCAAAGGCGTTCATCAAAGAACACGGATTTCCCATTATCATCAAGGCTGCCATGGGTGGTGGTGGCCGTGGTATGCGTGTCGTGCGTGATGAAGCGTCCCTGGAAGATGCCTTCCACCGTGCCAAGTCTGAGGCCCTTGCTGCCTTTGGTGATGGCACCGTGTTCATTGAACGTTTCCTCGACAAACCTCGTCATATTGAAGTCCAATTGCTTGCTGATCGTGCTGGTAACGTTGTTCACTTGTTTGAACGTGATTGTTCCGTTCAACGTCGTCATCAAAAGGTGGTAGAGATTGCTCCTGCCAAAAACTTGGACAATAAGGTGCGCGAAGCCATCCTCAATGACGCTATCAAGATTGCAAAGGCTGTCAAGTACAAGAACGCCGGTACCGCTGAATTCTTGGTCGATAACCAAAATCGCCATTATTTCATCGAGATCAACCCTCGTATCCAAGTTGAACACACCATTACTGAAGAAATCACAGGTATCGATGTTGTTGCTGCTCAAATCCAAATTGCTGCTGGTGCTCTCTTGCCTCAACTCGGCTTGACTCAACAACGTATTCGTCAACGTGGTTTTGCCATCCAATGTCGTGTTACAACTGAAGATCCCGAGTTGAACTTCCAGCCTGACACTGGTAAGATCGAAGTCTACCGTTCTTCTGGTGGTAATGGTGTTCGTTTGGACGGTGGTGCTGGTTACGCAGGTGCTGTCATCACACCTCACTACGACTCTCTCTTGGTCAAGGTGACATGTTCAGGTTCTACATACGAGGTGGCTCGTAGAAAGATTGTGCGTGCCTTGGTCGAGTTCCGTATCCGTGGTGTCAAGACCAACATCCCCTTCTTGCAACGTCTCTTGACCTGTGACACATTTATTAACGGCAACTGCTGGACCACTTTCATCGATGACACACCAGATCTCTTCCGTCTTGTCCAATTCCAAAACCGTGCTCAACGCATGTTGGGTTACTTGGGTGATGTCGTCGTAAATGGATCTCAAATCAAGGGCCAAGTAGGTGAGCCTTCTTTCAAGAGCGAGATTGATGTTCCTGTATTGCGTGAGAACGGAAGCAACAAGGACATCGACGTCTCTGCCCCTGCCACTGAAGGCTGGCGTAAGATTATTGTGGAACAGGGCCCTGAAGCCTTCGCCAAGGCTGTGCGTGCCTACCCCGGTGTCTTGATCACTGATACTACCTGGAGAGATGCTCATCAAAGTTTGTTGGCTACCCGTGTGAGAACTGTCGGTAAGTTGAAATAAGTGGCATGATTAATTTGTCACACTCACATACGCGTCTCTAGATCTCTTGCGTATTGCCCCTGCTACTTCTCATGCACTTGCGAATGCCTTCTCCCTCGAGTGCTGGGGTGGTGCCACCTTTGATGTCGCCATGCGTTTCCTTCATGAAGACCCTTGGGATCGTCTTGCTGCTCTCAGAAAGCTCGTTCCCAACATTCCTTTCCAAATGTTGCTTCGTGGTGCTAATGCTGTTGGTTATACCTCTTATCCCGATAACGTTGTCTACGAGTTCTGTGACAAGGCTGTCAAGTGTGGTATGGATGTCTTCCGTATCTTTGACTCCCTCAACTATGTCGAGAACATGAAGCTCGGTATTGATGCTGTTAAGAAGGCTGGTGGTGTAGTTGAAGCCACTATTTGTTACACTGGTGATGTCTCCAACCCTGAACGCAAAAAGTACAACTTGGACTACTATGTTGACCTGACTCAACAGTTGGTCAATGAAGGTATCCACATCTTGGGTATCAAGGATATGGCTGGTCTCTTGAAGCCTGAAGCTGCTCGTCTCTTGGTCTCTACCATTCGCAACAAGTTCCCTGATCTCCCTATTCACGTTCACACTCACGATACCGCTGGTACTGGTGTTGCCTCTATGATGGCTGCCGCTGCTGCTGGTGCTGATATTGTTGATGTCGCTGTCGATTCCATGTCTGGTATGACCTCTCAACCTGCTATGGGTGCTATCGTTGCTGGCTTTGAGCAAACCAACCTTGGTACTGGCATTCGTATGGCTGATGTTCATGCCATCAATTCTTACTGGGAACAAGCTCGTCTTTTGTACTCTTGTTTCGAGGCCAATGTCCGTTCTGCTGATTCTGGCGTCTACGATCATGAAATGCCTGGTGGTCAATACACCAACTTGATGTTCCAAGCTCAACAATTGGGTTTGGGTACTCAATGGAATCAAATTAAGAAGGCCTACCAAGAAGCCAATGAGCTCTGCGGTGATCTCGTCAAGGTCACTCCTTCTTCCAAGGTAGTGGGTGATCTCGCTCAATTCATGGTCTCCAACTCTCTCTCTGGTAAGGACGTAGAGGAGCGTGCTTCTAGCTTGTCTTTCCCTACCTCTGTCATCGAGTTCTTCCAAGGTTATCTTGGTCAACCTCATGGTGGTTTCCCTGAACCTTTGCGTTCCAATATTATCCGTGATCAAACTCGCATTGACGGCCGCCCTGGTGCCTCTTTACCTCCTCTTGACATGGCCAAGTTGAAACAAGAATTAGTCGAAAAGTACGGTTCCACTATCCGCGATTACGACGTTATCTCTGCTGCTCTTTACCCCAAGGTCTTTGCCGAGTACCGTGAGATGGTCAACCAATATGGTGATTTGTCTGTATTGCCCACTCGTTACTTCTTGTCCAAGCCTGAGATCAATGAAGAGTTCCACGTTGAAATTGAGGAGGGTAAGACTTTGATCATCAAGCTGTTGGCTGTTGGACCTCTCAACAACAATGGTAAGCGTGATGTCTACTTTGAATTGAACGGTGAGGCTCGTGTGGTGGGTATCGTCGATAAGAATTCAGCTCTTGAAGTTGTTACTCGTGAAAGAGCCAACTTGTCTAATCCTGGAGATATCGCTGCACCCATGTCTGGTGTTGTGGTTGAGATTCGTGCCAAGGATGGTGCTCACGTCAAGGCTGGTGATCCTCTTGCTGTCTTGTCTGCCATGAAGATGGAAACTGTTGTTACATCTCCTGTCGCTGGTAAGGTCGAACGTGTTGCTGTACAGGAAGGTGATTCTTTGAGCTCTGGTGATTTGGTTGCTAGAATCGTCAAGGATGACGCTTAAATTTATAACGTTTCTACTATTACTTTATTATATATATATATGTATTCAATTTTTTTACTTATTTCTTTATACACAATTTCTACTTTCAAAAAAATGAATAAAACTTTCATGTATTTTTACACTGCTCAAATCTCTTTGTGTGTAATCTTGTTGTATGCCTAATTTGGGTTATTTCATAGATTAAAATAAAAGGCTTTGTTATCTGTTATCTTTTGTTACACCTTGTATCATTGGTGTCGATAAACTTATCTGGGAAATCATCTAACTTTCTCGGAGAAATCAGAGAAAAAGATGGGCAAGTTAAAGGGCACAATCTTATCAATATTTCCTTTTGTCCCAAAGGTTACAGTTTCTTCTCCCCCCCCCCCATTGCAATGAAATGCTATTTTGTAACAACAACTGATAATAGATCTGGGCACCTGAGTTTCAGTGATCGTTTCTTTGATAAATAAAGACAACAACTCTAAATTACAGCTATAATCTGATAATTCAGCTTGTTTGACCTTTGCTTTATGGTATACTCTCACGTGAGAAACTTATTGCTTGATTATATGATCATTTACAAGACAAACCAAATAGCATAATTTGGTACGATGTGTCATGATAAGAGCAATTACATACTTTCTGTAACACGGTAAAAACTTTAGCACGTTCTACAAAAATCCGTCAATGGTAACACCGATTGACAGATTATTTTATTCAGGGTCACAGAGCTGGTGAGTAATCATGAGTGTGAATTTTCTTTATAGTTACATATTCACGTTTTTAAAAAAAAACTCTGTTTAATTCATCATCTAGTTAGATTAGCACCACCGAGATTCAATTTGGACCCAAAAAATTAGATTTATCATGATATGAGACTTAACAAGCATAGCTCTGCTGGATTTTTAATCGCTAGATCTTGCTTCTCAAAGTTGCACAACTAAATCACAACTCGATGAGCTACAGCGTATCATTCGGGTGAAATGCACTTTGACCGCACTACTCAATTAGTCACAGCATGCTTAGGGTTGTTATTTAGAAAGCATTGCATACGGTATACATTCACAAGCTGTTTTTTCGTTTAAAAACGACTTCAACAATATTGATAGCTGATATGCCTATTTTTCATTTTTGATCTATAAACGCTTCGCATTTGATTGATTGATCGCAAGACATCTGATTTTATACTTAGCCTTTTCTTCAACTTGATACTGGACGTTTGATGTTGAAATTTTGATTAGAACTACTAGAAAAAATATAATTATATTATCATACAAGGTCGAATTATATCAATTATCAGGTCCTGTTGTGTTATCTTCGCAACTTGCGATGTTTGCAGCCCCTGAGAGTGCAATGTATATTTGCTGTAGGGTCAATCATCTGGTAAAAGCATTCAAGTCTCTCTGCATCTTTCTATGCAATCGCTTTCATCCAATACTGAATGTGATTTTTTGTCGTCCTTTCACTCTTTAGTCTTTCATGATTCCTGCTGCGCTGGTAGTGTATATGTCGCATCTAAATAAGGATGCTTTTAAACGCAATTGTTATTAATCGGTTTCTGTTTGAAGCTTTGGTTCAGAATAATACCAAGCAATAGCCAAAGCGACTATTCAATGTATATAACATTTGAAAGCAATGTCATCACTTCATTGAGCCTTGATATCGTGTATCAATCTTAAAGCTTCTCAGCCAAAATTTGATCAACAATTGTTTAGGAGGCGCAAATCAATCTGAACCATGATATTTGCGTAGTTGTATAAGTAAAGTGTTGCAACTTGAATATGTATTTACCTTAAAACCTTATTAAATAATAGGTGAAAACAAGATCATCTGAATATAAGCTATAGAATAGCTAACAGAAGTTGTACCATTTGATACGCATTTCAATGTTGTATAAATTTGCCTTTGGTCTGGAAGCAATAATTATAATTAAAATGTTATGTTTGAGCAATGAAAAGGTTAGTTCTAGTGAGTAGTTCTAGTGAGTAGTTCTAGTGAGTAGTTCTAGTGAGTAGTTCTAGTGAGTAGCTCTAGTGAGTAGTTCATTCTGAACTATCTTTCTCAAACAAAACCTGTTAATTACAAATAGCTACATAAGACGCATTCAAAGAGGACATAATTTCCAAAAGGATTGAAATCGAAGCTGCTTGATTATATCATGGTTCGTTGTCGTTTGACAAGAAGTCAAAGCTGTTGTGCTGCGCAGAATTTTTATAGAGGCTGATATTACGGCACTAAAGCTCCAGGGGGGATTGATGCTACAGTTTCAAGTGAGACACCAACCGATAGTTTTTCTCTCGCCCACATAATGAAAAATAATCTAGATGAGGTTGCACAGATTCAGTACATAATCCCCTCCTAGAGAACTTCCAAAACACACACACATATATATATATATATAAAACAGCTTAGTTGTGTGCAATCACTTACATGTGTAGCTCTTTGATGCGTAAGTCAGTTTTTTACCAAGTTACGTGGCTACTATAACTCTTCTATTTAAAATTGTTTAACAACGTTTCTGCCTAAAGGTCATAAATTACACGATTCTGAGCAAAATCATGAAGGGAACGTACATTTAAATCCCTCACAGCCTGATAGATCCAAATTAAAGCTATCGAGTGGCCTTTGTCTTGATCGAATACAATGAGTATCTCTCGAGATATGACCAAAATGTTTTTTTCGTGCAAAGTTGTCGATTTTTGGCCAAAATTTGCCTATAATAGCAAGACAAAATCTGAATGCCATTTTTTTGGAGCAGAACTGTTGATTTCTCATAACATAATCATGTTAGAGCTTCAAGAAAATCCTCATTCGATAGGAAATTCTTAATTCTATAATATGAAGATCACTACAAGTAAAGTTTCGATAACAGAAGCTTGGCAATCTGTCAAAAACTACCGAAAAAGCGCAAAAACTGTTCTATCATAAACCAGTCTAATAACTTTGGTCAAAGCACTTAAAACTCGTATCACTCGATTCTTCTTTTTTAAATTTTACTCTGTGTTTTATTTAGCTGGAAAGCAGTGTTATTTGCAGTGAAATCAGGTTTAATAGATTTCACAAAAAAAATAAAGCAATAGTAAAATACAATAGAAATCAACTGTGTTTTATTTGTGTATAAAATGAATTGAAGATCCTAAAATTGAGTGAACAAAGAAGATTATTTATACATTTGCAACTAGTTAGTATGGTTAATTATGGTAGAGAGCAATAGGTGCTGCTATTGCGATATCTGGCAAATGTTGTTGATGTTTGATTTAAAGTGGTAATCAATGCAGGGGCACTGGCCATAAGGATCGATGTGAGTGACCTTAATGGGCTAGGATGAGCTATCGTCATAGCATGATTTAATGTAACCTTGACAGTTTAAGGTGTGGTGTTTGTTATTGAAGTGTGGAACCCTTTATCTGATATATTGTGCAATTATGACAGCAGGGCATAGTTGTCGTGTTTGAACATGCCTGTTATTGATTTGATTTTATTTGGATCAAGATAACACCACTTTTTACGACCATCATGAGTGTGTTTGAGTACACTGTGATCGGGAGTTATTCATTCACACGATGTGCGGAATAACCGCGCATCTTTACTTTAGTATGTTTAAATGGTTGTTGATGTACATTCGAGCGCTTTTTTAATAGATTCAAATAGCATGAATTTGAATGAGTGTTATTTGATGGATTTTGGTTTTTGTTGTGCCAAAAGGGCTACAAGTGTCTATAAAGATTAAGGTATTCTTGATGGGTAGATATGTCTGTGTTGTGCAACAACATGGGCAAGCTATGATAATTGAAGTGCATCTTAGCTATCTAAATGCTGAAAGTTCACCAAATGTGATAAGCGCTGTACAAGATAAATTGCTAGTTTGGCATTCAGAACTTAGTAGTATAAATAGGATAACTCTTGTCTTCATTAATAAATCTTTAGTTTTTGTGTCTGATCTTATTCAAATAAGTCTTTTCTTGTTTTTATAATATCGAACATTTTTTATAAACTACAAATAATAATCCTTTTATTCTTTGTGCTTAACACTCACATTATAAATCCAATAAACATCTCTCACATAAAGCTGTGTAATGGATGCCAGATCTAATAATTATTGCACCTTACGTTATTTTGAATAAAGAAAAATTTAAATTGTAACAATTTAGACACACTTTTATTACATACACTCTATAATGTTAGATGACAGATCAATAGAAGATCAACTAGCTGTAGACCTTCGTTGCTTCAACTTCTTAGCCAATCAGATTGCTTGAAAACTCCGCTGACTTAAAAAAAATTTGCGAGGGTTTCCCTCTGTTTTGATGTGAGGCAAAATTTTAAGCGCCGCTATAATAGCAATATAGCCGCTGCTATCATCAAACTTCCCCCAGGTGCTAGAGCATGTCTTACTTACACCATCTAGCTTTGAATTCAGGCATTGAGACCCTTAATCATCACTAAAGTAAGTAGCGATAACCAAGTGGAGGCGGCCTATCTACCTCCTAGCCTCGGATAAATTCTTGTTGAGCTTCAGGGATAGGCACATCCACACAACGTAAAAAAAAGGTATGCTTCAAAGAAACATAATAATAATAAAATAAAGAAGAAAAGAACATACTACTAGAGGAGTATAGTAGTACGTAGGCAAAAAAAAAGAGACACTCACATGAAGCGAGTCAAAGAAACGCATAACAAACACAACATCAAAGATGTTCAAAAAAGCTCGTTGTTGTTGCAATAAAAATGCATACATGAGCAACGTGCATGGTAGTAATAGTCGGATGTAAAGCAACATGACACAAATAATGTGCACAACTGCAAAAGCAACAGTGGTATTATAAGTATGCAATACAGCATAATGACTAATGTTGTTTCATGTGAAGGCACAGAGGAAACACCACCAACAAAAGAAAAAGAAGAAAGCGCAACAAGGCAAACATCATGAATGCATTATCACGAGAAAGGAAGTAATGATATAAACGTTCAAAGAAGTTTATATCATTGCGACCAGAAGAAAAAAGATACTTACCACT